TTGTCTTGTCTATGATATGCTGCGGTAGAACATAGTGACCGAGTGCGACTGACTGTGAAGAAATAGGCGCTCCGGAACGCGGACCATGATGGAAATACAATTGGGCATCGCAAACTACTTAAGTAAGTATTTACAGCATGCAAAATCAACCCTGTGGAATAGCAGGTCTCTCCATCTCCTCCCCCATCTCTCCCCACCTTCGACTATTGATTTGGCCCGTTATCGAACGTTCCCTCACGGCAACCTTTTTCAATCGGGGTCATGCCCCGCAAAGAGGCAGAGTCAAGCGCGTCAGCAAGGCGGACAGATGTGGGACGAAAAGCGCTGTCAGAATCACCGGCGTTTGTTAAACCTATTCGGAGGAGCGAGAAGAATCCGCCACCATATGGTGCACAGGACCGCCAGGATGCACTTTGGGAAGGTGAGCAACCTCATTGTCATGCTTACTGACTTACACAAGCAGGCGGGAATGAAGCGCTTCCTCCTGAATGGCACCAGGTTAATATGCTGGGTGGTACAACGTTCTATCAAGACGACTCACTCACGATGATTTCATGGAACCGACCTTTACCAGGGGTACGACTAGGTGAAAGAAGCATGTAGTACTAGAAGCGAGGAACTCATGCTTGAGTATAGATTCTCCTGGACATCTTGTTGTTTCCGGATGCGAATGGTATATATCACCACTCGGTCGGTCCTACTTTGTCAATCACAACACTCGGACCACGTCGTGGAAGAAACCAACACAATAACGTCCACCAGGGAGCTTGATTCCGGAGGGCATTATCCAGGGTCACTCCAAGTGCATATGGAGTCTTGCTTGCTTGGGCGCCAATTGCAATATCATGAGCACTTCGGAAGACGGTTCCATTCGGCAGTGGACGAGAGACGAAGAGCCTGTAGGGAAGCCTTGGGGTGGTGACGGAGGAAGGGTAGGCTCGATGGCAATATCTCCGGATGAAACAATGGTCGTATGTGGAAGTGCAGACGGCAGGCTACGGTTGTGGAACATCAAGGAGGGAAGCATGATCTGCAACCCGTGGGAGGGGCATGATGCTGCAGTGAGGTGCCTCGATTGGTCTCCCAATGCCCTGGAGACAGTAAGTGGATCGGAAGACGGCACCATACGACGCTGGAACCCAGATACTGGCCGAGAAATAGCACCACCGATAGAGACCAGTCACGGTCGGGTGTATGCTGTCAAATACTCTCCACAAGGTGACAAATTCGCGAGCGGCGGCGAGGACAAGACGATCCGCGTGTGTTCAAAGGATGGCGAGCTGCTCATCAAGATCAAGGGACATGAAGACATGGTGATGTCATTGTGTTGGTCCAAGGACGGCGCACACATCTTCTCCTCGTCACTCGATCACACCATCCGAAAATGGCGGTTGATTGATGGACAGGAGCTTGTTGTTTTTCGAGGTCATACCAACGGTGTCGTATCCATCAGTCTGACCCCGGATGAATGCCATCTTTTTAGCGCCTCATGAGACTGCTCAGTTCGCATCTGGGACCTAAAGACCAATCAGCCGGTTGGAGACCCACTCTTGCACGATGGCGAACCCCGCGCTCTTGCTATATCCCCTGATGGAAAATACATCATCAGTGCTGGATCAGACGGAAACATCTATGTATGGAGTCTGGAGGCAGCGCTCAAACAGCAGGATCATGATAATGTGAGCATACTTATTTGTTGTCAGTGTATTTCTAAGTGGGCTTGCTTGTCATTCAGAGTGATGATGGCAATACAAAACCCGACACGAAGCTCAAGGCAGGTTACCTCCGCTTCTCTTTCACACAGCATCTCACTTTTTAACAGGGACGTGAAACCCGACCGAGAGATGTGTGCCAATCAATTATTAACTAATCCTTCAAATGCTCATTCATCTCATTAGAACTTTGACCCCCTTCTGGTCTCTAGACAGCGGGCGAACAACAGAGGGTTGGGGAAATATGTCAGTGTAACTTTTCGTTCCTGAGCTCATGCAAGGTTGACCCTGATACAGGGCAACGACTTCTGGAACACTGATAGGAACTGCACACCTCATCGAGCAGCTCCGCCTGCCAAGAGCCCATCATCCCCCACTCATTGGCGCAATCTATTCGGTTCGCTGAGTTTCAACACTCCATCTGCAGATGTACCCCAAGCCATACCACTTCAGCCCAGGCATTGGAATTTTAGATCTCCCATGAGAATCTCGAAGCAGCCTGTCGACTCGGTTGTTGCTCCTTGTCGCGAGGATGACGTGAGTCGCTCGTCACCATTAATATTCGCCTGTTTATTACTATTCGAATAAATTTGCAGAGATATGGCATCACTCCCGAGACTGACGAAGAAGCGGCAGCAGCTATGCAACGCCTAAACGGCAACAATGCTGACAGTTCAACGACACACGGACAACCTACAGTGGGTGCACAAGGGTCTCAAGGACGACCAACACAACAAGGCTCAACTGGCGGAGCGGGTGATATTGTCTATGAAGGAGTGAGCTGCTGTGGGTTTTTCTTTGGTCGTCGTCGTCCCGCCTCGCATCAGGCATGAGTTTACATCTGCTGAAACTCTGAAGGTCATCCAATGATAATTGTCTCTTTTCCCTTTCGTGTGTTTACAGGTGATCTCACACCGGCTCGTGCCATCCTATGTACATTCAACATTATATTCGTCTAGATGACCCTATGCAGCAATGCTATCATCTCATTTCCGCATTTCCGCATTATCCCTAATCACTGTTGTGTCACTGACCACTCCATCCCGGTGGGGCCATTTAGATTATACGCCGGTTTCTCTAGTCTGGCTCCGATCCGCACCATGTCCCTTGTTCATGACCAAACTTTCTTCACCCTGCTCAGACCCCTGGTAAATGTCAGCGACACCATGTAAATGATTGACTTGGTATTATATTACGTATCCCGCACGCTACTCTGGCACCAATGAGTACACGTAGCAGCTTTGACCCCAGTCAATTAGTAGCACCTTCCCATGATGCATCGCGGCGATCTTATGCGTCATAGGGCGGTGAGATCACATCTCCATTCAGTCCATCCATACCAAGCGAGTTCCCTGATTCTGGACTGTGGATAAGCAGATGACGTATATGCTGCGTTCGTAGTTAGTTCATAGTTAGTAGACGTCCATGTCATTCAATTAGTGCGCTTGAGTTGTTAATCGTGTGCCTAGGACTGACGAGTCGGCGGTGCATCTGAATTACATCAAAGTTTACCAGCCTCTCGTTTGCAATTATGTTCAATATAGCTGTTGTGATCCTCTTCATTCCCACCTAATCAAACGCGTATCTGTTTTCGAGTGAGTCGTGACGTTCAAGGGAGACTGAACGAGAGACGCAAGATCTCGGAGATGTCCTCGGTGGGAGGTAGAATATCATAAAATAGCACAGTCAATATTCCAGCCTGTAATATAGAGACCAGTCACAACTGGCCTCACTGAACGGCAAATATCTCGAGTCGATGGCTGACACACTACTTCGGCGACGTAGGTACATGAACTGTGTATGTTTAACCTTTGGATCGGACACATTCCCCCAACAATTGGCGACAGCTGAGCCTGGACTGACTATAAACTAAGGATTACTGTAGAGATACGCACTTAAGTTCGACCCAATTTGGGTGTGACCAAATGAACGTTAGGTTCGAAAGTTGGGCGCGTTGTTGAGTTTGGGTTTCGGGGTCCTAGTCAGGGTGCCACTTGGTAGCGGTCCAAGAAGCGATAGCCACGAACTTTACAGAACATCACCAGCTTCTTACCCTGGATGCCTCCTTCCCGGAGATGTCTTCGATCCATAATTTCTTTCCATAGCTGAGCCATCGGACAACGTCTCTTCAGCGCCAGCTATTGATTTGTCCTCACTGGAATCCCTGAACCCCCTTCATGGCCGCATTAGCGCAATAAGCGCTACTGGGTTCTTCCACGTCTTCAACGAGGAGAAACAATTGTATCTCGCCAAGGCTCTCGCGGGTCTTTTATCTGTATAGCCAGGCTCCGTTATTTGCGGTGCTCATGTCGGAACTCTCGAAACGAGCGTCGTAAGCTGTAACTGGCAATATGTCGGGCTCTGAGCATCACGTGTTCTCTCATTCTCCTCAGACTTGGTCGTCTTTGTGGGATGGAGAGGTGTTCAAGAAAGGCAGTGTTAAGGTAGAGACGGAGCTAGTGGAAATTCCGATGTACGAAGAACGATACTTGATGATGATGTGGTCAGTGATAAGACTGTAGGTATAATAATTGAAGGGATGGATAACATCAGCACCTCAGCTCACCTGATCGTAAATACAAGATTGAGATTAGGAAATATATGTATAGCTCTACGTTATCGACCAGCATATCTTATATTGGGCCAGAGCTATAGCTCTCCAGACATTTGAAATAAAGTGACGCTGCGCACACGGTGATGTAAATGACCAAGAGCGAGCACATACACCCGACTAAGAATTTGCCCCATTCATTAGAAATATCTCAATCCGAAATCTCAATCACTTCCTCATCAACCACCGCCCGCGTCCGCGCTGAAAACGGAACGTTCTCCTTCCCACCGTCCGAATCATCCAAATACATATCATCGTCCGATTCGACGTCAATGAAATCTTCATGCGAGGTGGATGGAACATGTTGCCGTAGAGTGGATGTAGGGACCGGAACCCTACGCTGAGGAATAGAGTTTTTGGGCTGGCGTTGGGCTGCGGGACCGGCTCGAGACCTAATGGTCGGGACAGTGGGTGGTCGAGATGCACCAGACGTCGTCCGCAGAGCACCTGTGATTCCTTGAATTCCTTGATGGCGTGGACCTGTCGCCCGCGAAGCATTCATCTGAATCATGTCCCGCATATCAGAACTCGAGGCTTTCGCACCTGACGGCTTATACGCAACCGCCAAGGCTTCCGCCTCCATTTTCTCCACCTGTGCAAGGACCTCGTCATCCACGTCCATCAAATCTAAATCATAATCTGATGGTGGGGATGGGGGACGCGGTGGTGACGCGGCAGGTCTTGCGGATGGAACGCTTCGCTTTGAGGCCAGTTTGGAGATGGCCTTTGGAGGTGAAATAGGCGCAGATCCGGACTCGGTTACGAAAGCTTCGAAGTCCTCGTCATCCCAGGTCACCCCTGGCGCGGGAGAGAGGATCCGAGCCCGTGCCAGGGGGCCGGACGGGTTGTGCTGTGGATCAGACCTGCCCGACGTTGATGTCGAAGGGTTTGAGGGACGACAATGTAGAAGACGTAGAAAAGTACGGCGAGGTGGTCGGCGCAGAACGATCTGCGGCAGGAGGAGGCTTGAGTGAAAATGTTGGCTTAGAGGACGAGACAAGGGTGAACGAGGTGGAAGCGGGGATGGGCCTCGACTGTGAGGCTGCCTGTGCTGAGCTTGGTTTCGGCGCAGCGGTAGATATAGGCTTTGATCGAACTGCTGTAGATACGACATTGGCTGATGTGGAACCTTCGGCTGAATTACCGACAGGCCGTTTATTAGCAGCAACAGGAGATGGAGCTCTGGGGGGCGGGGGCGCCTGTGGTGGAGCCTCAGCCTCTCCAGCTAGTTGTGCATTGGGGACTGGGTCTGGTTTCCTAAGAGGGATATTAATTAAATAATTATGCAGATGAAGGTAACTCACCCAAGCCTCCGTCTCAGGCTGCGCAGGAATATTTCATCTTGCATTGCTTCATGATCCTCTGTTTGGTGCCCTTTCAGCTCGATTGTCTTAGGTTCGAGGAAGAGAATGCCTTTGCGAATCTGCACGTCTTTCAGAAGGATCTAACCGCCGGACTCTATCAAAATGACACAAAGGGATCAACCAACACGTACCTTGTACCCCAACGGAGTGACACCAAGTTCAAGCTGTGGTATAGAACGATATTCCACAGCCTCGACAGTTGTGAAACCATCGCTGAGCTCGAGACGCAACATGCCTCTCGGATATTTTGGGACTGGGCCCTCATCCTCTTCTGCATCCTCTTGACCCTCTCTCACAAGGCCGGCTAAGTCCGCTCGATCCACGCGATTCTGCCTCACGTTCATCAAGCTAAATGCACTGTGGGCAATGTCGCTGATGGCACGAATTTCTACGAGACATGGAGGACCTGAAACGCGACCTCTTTTGATGGCATGGATGTCTTGCGGGAGACCAGTATTTGGCAGGGTAGAGTCTGCGAGGCTAGACTGAAAAAACTGAGAAGTTACATGTGATTTAAACTGAGGAAAGTCTGCTGTAGAGGTTGGAGAAAGGGAGTAGGAGTCCGCGATCCATGAACAACAGTCACGAAGCCAAACCTGCGGGTGAATAAATATTAATGGAAAGGTAAATGCAAACCATTGATTGAGAGTTTACTGGATCAATAACTGGACGAGGATGTTGTTCATTGATCCATTTAACGATGTTTGCAGGTGCGGCGGGTTCAGCCATTATTAAGAAGCAATCATTGAATCAATGCGCGTGTCAAATCATTCTATAATTGAGTCACGTGTGCGAGAATATTGACTTTGCTCACCGCCGCGACTGGCATGATCTCAAGGACATCGTTAGGCGGCCGTATACCACTCCGATACCGCCCGAAGCTATCCCTGTTCATCGTCCCATCGAGGTGTGCTGGGTTGAGCACGATGGCAAAATTGCCGAGGTTACCCGTGCCAGACCTCCGGAAGACACTGGACCGCTACTTGCAGTCCATTCAGCCTTTTCTGCGTGAAGACGAGGCACGTGGTCGCTCTCTCTTTGACGTCAGCTACGCGAAACGCGTTCAATGGGCAGATGACTTCGAGAAAGGCATCGGTCGCATTTGCCAGCGCAAACTCCATGGTATGTCCTTCCATTAATCCAGCGCAAGTTAATCCAACCCACCCTGCCCGCAGAATTGGATACTCGCTCGCCACACAACTGGCTAGACGATAATATTTGGACGAACTATGCCTACCTCTCATGGCGTACCCCACTCCTCATTAATTCCAACTGGTGGCTTACATTCATCAATGATTCCTCCGTACCCGAATCCATTTTGTGCGGTGATACTGCATCAGGTATAGAGCCCTGGCAGGTGCGCCGGGCCGCGTGTATACTGCATCGCATCCTCGACTGGCGCGCCCGCATGCTCAACCAGCATCCAGACCCTGATACCACCCGCACCGGTGTCTGGCTCCTCACTAATACGGAGAAGATGTTCAATACCTGTCGCCTGCCAAGAGCTGGAGCGGATGCCCTTGCAACCAGGAATCCGGCATCTGAGCATGCCCAGGACGTCATGCTCATGTTGTATGATTTTGTGTATACCGTAAGAGTCTGTGAGGATGATCGGACACCGTTACCTGTACAGACCATTGAAAACCGTATACGTGCGGTAGCACTGGACGTCATCAAGAGAATAGAGGTCGGGGAAAACGCTGTGCCGGTCGGTGTCTTGACGTCGGATGACAGAAACCGTTGGACAGAGGTCAGTATGCTCTATATTTTCTTTCTGCGCAGTTGCATTCTTCGTCTTCTTTGTTGCTGGTCCGGTTACTAATTAACACATCTCCAACAGAACTATCAACACTTACTCTCCCTTTCACCCACAAATGCCTCCACCCTCCGCGCAATTAATGAGTCTATCATGGCTCTCTCTCTCGACCACTACACCGCCATGCCATGGGATTACCCAACCCCTACCTCGCCAAGTTCTTCCCAATCCTCTCGAGCAAGCGTCCCAGCATTAGACTCCGACGCAGAATTCCACGCACATCTCCACAACACCCGCTCCCCTCCCCAAGCTCGGAACAGATGGTTCGACAAGTGCCTGACCCTATCACTGGAACGCAATACGCGTGCTGGTGCAATGGGCGAACACACTCCTGTCGATGCGTTAGTGCCCAGCATCGTCTTTGAATACAGTGTCGCTGCTGGCATCGACTCCTCAACATTCTCAAAGCCTGTGCCACTCCCTCTTACTTTAGAAGAAACTCGTTTGAGAGACGATGGTGAAAAGGGATGGACCCGTTTGGATTGGGTGACTGACAAGCAGATTGAATCCCAAATTAGAGAAGCGGAAGGACGGGCTCAGGTCTTAATTGATAACTCTGAGGCAGGCGTTTTGGAGTTCGGGGAATATGGCGCTGATTGGATTAGCAATGGTGAGTTTTCGACTCCATGTCATTTTTCTGGTGTTTTGCCCCCTTTTTGGGGTTTTTTTTTGCGGGTCTTGTGTTGTAGTGAACGTCTGAATCTTATATCGGCGAAGCTCAAGATTTTCCCCCTCCTGTGTCCCCTCCTTCCTCCGTCGCAAAGGTCACTAATCATTTCGCTATCAGCCCGCCTCCCACCTGACGCCTACACCCAACTTGCACTTCAACTCGCCTGGTACCGCTCACGCGGGATCCTCACAGCGACCTACGAGACCGCGCTCACGCGCATGTTCAATGCTGGCCGTACAGAGTGCGTGAGGAGTGTGAGTGTGGAAGGGTCAGATTTTGTGCAGGCTGCCAAGGAATGGGGACGTGGAGCTGGTTGTGTGGCAGAGGGAGGCCAACGTGAGGTGGAGGTGAGTGAATTCTATACGCTCATAGTGGCAAAGGGACTTATGGATTTCTTCCTTATCTCCCTCTCTATGTGGTCTACTACGTTTGACCCACTAATCAGCCCCGCGCACTTCTTCCCCTCCTCCAGCGTGCCATCCAGGTGCACGCGAGGCGCACGAGGGAAGCTGCAACCGGACGTGGAATCGATAGGCACTTACTAGGACTGAAACTGATGCTAGAAGAGCTCCCTGTGGATGCATCCACATTCGCTTCCTCCTCGGATTCTCCCTCGAGCTCAAGCACCACCTTCACTTCGGCAATACCCCCGCAAAAACAGACGCACCCTCTCTTCACCGACCCGCTTTTCTCTCGCTCTCAGGAGTGGAAACTTAGTACCAGTGGCTTGAGCGCTGGGTACAACTTCCGAGGAACGGGCTTTGGATCACCCTGGGAGGATGGTTATGGGATTAATTGTGAGCATGAGTTGTCTCTTTCGGGGTTGCTTTGCGGGGTCGTCGAACCTTAGCAGGGTTTTTATCGTCTGCGTTCGTTGTTAATATCGACGTTACCGCCGGTTGACCAGATCGACCGACGTCGACTCATTTCTGAATTTTTGCGTTCACGCTTTCCCTTGACACCAGCTCACACTCACCCCTCACAGACCTCATAGCACCGAATCGCATCAAATTCTGCGTCGAGTCCAAATTTTCATCCCCGCTCACCTCCACGAACAAATTCAAGCAGTATATCGCGGATGCACTCCTGGATATGCGGGCGATATGCGAGGCTGGAGAGCTCGAGCTGAAAGGTGGAAAGAATGAGTCAGTGGGTGGGGTAGAAACGCGGGTGCAGGCCCGATTATGATCCTGATAGCGTGGATCGAGGTCCGTGCCTTGGCTTATGAACGCGAGGGCTTGTCACTGATGGTTATTGATTGATTCTGACCACAGATAACTACTTGCGATCGGATAAGATGCCGGTTCATCAGAAGCTTGTCGAATATTCCACGAATTCTACACGAATTGGATGTCTATGTCGTGACTTGTCTCCGCACAATACCTGCCCAAGTCGTGGTCAGCAATCGCGAGCCAAACTTCACTGTCTCTACCCTCATTCTCGCAAAACTATACTATACCTACGTATCGCATACCGCGCAATTCACCACTCTGACTCGATTGAAACGAGGTTTCGATCCAAGAAAAACTATCCTTTAACACATGGATATTGTACAAGGTATCGTACAACCGACCGCACGAGGTATCGTACAACCAACTGCATCACTGCGAAACCACCCAGTTCAGATTCGCCACCTCCGTTAGTAACCTTTCGAATGGCAACTTTGCCTTCGGAAGCCCATCTACACATCAATCCTCTCCAACTCATCCCTCTCCACCCAGTGGTTATCATAGTATTTCAGAAGGCTCCCAACGAGTGATTCGCAGCCTGCCCGTTCCATGAACTTCTGGCTCGTACAGATGATCATGCCTTTTTTGCACCGAGTAAGCATGACATTAGTCCGGCGCAAATCAGCGAGGAATCCGAGCGCCGTAGACCGCACGAGTGAGATCACGATGTAATCCTCTTCGTTACCTGCAGTGGATGAACCATGAACAGTAAGTGTGAGGGTCACAATTTGTGTCACTAGACAAACCTTGAAACGAGTCAACATTGAAACACTTATTCTCCCAATCGAGCTCATGGGCTTTCAACCCATCTTCAATTGTGCTCCGCTGAGCATCATAAGGTGTGATGATCCGGAAGTGCTTCTTCTTCGCTTGCAACATGGTAGCAATGCGGATGATGGTTTGGCACTCTCCAAGGTTCTGTGCATGAGTGATGAGATTGATCAACTGCAAATGACTGAAAGGACATGACTCACCTTCCAGCTAGTTCCATGGGGCTGTTCCTGGCTGGGAATGTTGATAAAATGACAAGCCATCCTCTCATTTGTGATGGGGTGTTGTGGGTTTGACTCCAGTAGGCTATCATATATAGCAGCAGAGATGAACCCCCCAATTTGAGGGGGCATCCTGTCTACAATAAACACAATAAAATCAGGAAAAGGGAGGTAATTAGAGGAAAACTTACATTGGGTATTGAGGAATATTGCGTGATCCTTGAGATGCTTGACCTCAAAGATGCTCTTGAGGTCCTGGATATCCTCCTGACCATAGGGTGGCACTGAAAATGTCAGAATGTGCAATGACATGCAGGGGAAAGACTTACATTGTTTGTCATCACCAATAAAACAAACCTTTCTAATGGTGGTGTGGGAGGTAAAGAGAGGAATGTAGTCACCAATCTCAATTTGAGATGCTTCATCAATGACAAGCATCCTCAGGGGTACAGCAATAAAACCTCCATTCTTTCGAAACATGTAAGATGAGAGCATGGAAAGGGTACAGAGGATAACCGGACAGTTGTAGAGGTGCTTTTGAAGCAAACCTGGTATGGCAAAGTCCTCGGAGATAATGATATTCGCCCGAATCTTAGTATAGAGGTGCTCATGCCTAGAGTATGTTAGTGTGCCTAAATTTGCATGCAAGAGTGAAAGGACTCACCAATATTCAAAAAACTCCTTTGAGACAAGAAGCTTCCATTTAGTCAAGCCAAAGTCAGCTAGTTTCTCGGCAATGTTCTTGACAGCAACATTGGACTGAGCAACAAGCCAGATGCCAGAGAGTCCACCGGCAATGGCAGTCTGAACAAAAGAGGCAATAACAGTGGTCTTACCAGTTCCAGGGGGTCCCTGGATGATAGTAACTCGTTTATCATCCAACTGCTGGAGCATCTGCTTCACAGCTTTGGTCTGGGATGAATTAAGTGGACGACTGACACGGTCAGCCCGGAATTTGACAGGAACTGCATCCTTCATTTCCTCCGTCCAGCTAGGGGGCCATTGGAAGTCATCCTTTGGAGAGGAATAGAAAATAAGCTGGACCCATGGGTTCTCGTGCTCGAGGTTGATGAGACCTTGGAGGATCTCAAGAACCTTCTGAGCACGCTGGGTCTCAGCCTGGGTAGGGTCATCACGGCCAATGATTTTGATCGTGCCGATGATCTTGTCGGCGAGGCTGAGATTGGTGGTGGTAGCGAGTTGGGCGGCGCGACCCTGAGACTTGGCAACCTGACCGTTGACAGTGAAGCCCCGCCCGCGACCCTCGCCGATATCAATTAAGGCACGCTAATGAGATCAGGTGTGAGGTAAGGCACGGCGCGCGCGAATGACATACCTGTTGTTGACCCTTTCGAAGTTTGTACTGGTATCGGTCTGGTTGGGCGCGGATTTGGTGGTTCTGGTGATCGACGGAAGTGGTGAACTTGCGCGTGACCTCCGTCGGCTTCTTCTGCTCGAGCTGGTATGAATCCTTCGAGCTCTTAGAGAGGAACTCTAGTGCCTGTGATTATGATCAGTGCCGTTATTTGCGCAGAAAGCGGTGACTTACCTCATCAGAAAGTCGAAAGGTGTCCACTGGGGGCACTTGCGCCAAGCGGTCTTCCATCGAGGAGAGCTGCGAGACATAGTGTGCGATCCATGCACGAAGTGCAAGTAGAGTAGTTAACTTCCAAGCAGGTTGAGATGCGCTGATGGTATCATTGCGAAATGCGGTGTTTATGTTATCATCATATACGTGGTGAAGATCACCGACGGCCTGTTTAACAGTAGCGAGCGGAGCGCGTGTCTTTGGTCCTGCGCACTGCATATCAATTGCATTTGCAATTCGAAGGCCGAGCGCCTGGGAGAGCGCAAGGGCAATGGGAGCGATATCGAATGCATACAAAAACCCGGCGGTGCGGCGGAGGAGATTATCGGACAAAAAAAGCCGAGCGGCGGTGTTGTCCACCGCACTGGCGGGTGCGGCAGGCTTTCCATCGCGTTTGTTGCCCTTGGTGAGACTGGTCTTCTTCAACACGAATTCGATAATGATAATCGTGGACGTGTCGGCGATGGCAAGCATCGCGAGCTTTCCACTGGATGAATATGCGCCAGCAAGGCCAAGGGCACGTCCCTCGTTCCTTTCTAGCAGAGCGCGTAACTGATCTTGCTCCTCGATCAAGTTTGATTCAGAAATAATATGAGTCGTCAACGCTCCGCTGTCGACTTTGCACAAGATTTTGATAGAGCAGTCTTGTTGCTGTGGGCATGATGGCTTTGGAGGGTGATGTTGGTGAGTGGCAATGTGTAACGAATAAAGTGCGACTCGGTTGGAATTCTGCAACGAGGCGGAAGAAGCCTCATGACTGCGGGCGCTTGCTGAAGGCCGGAATTTCCAAGTAGTCCTCGTGGTTCCTTGTTCTCAGTCCCTTTGAGCGGCCTTCCGAGAGTATCATTTTCTACCGGAATCACAATCTCCTCGCGCCGCCTTTGCTTGTCCAATGTCGTCACCCACACTCTTATAGAACCTCCTTACTATCTCCAGCTCTTTGTCTAGCTCCAGAACTCCAGTGGGAGGATCTAACAGTTTTTCACAGATTGTCGGCCTCGACTCGCCGCGTCCAATTTACTCTGTTATGCGCGCTGTTTGGCTTGCCATCGATCAGACTGGACCGTATCCGTTGTCTCCCTAACATAGACTAGTCGAAGAAAGACAGTTGTTCCTTTGTGTAGCGTGTATCTGGCATTCATTGTTATAGCAGATCGATTTCCTGATGTTGACGCGTCTATTTGACTACATGCGCTCCGCCTGTCATGTGCGCATTAAATATCAAGCTCCTATCCGACTGGCATGATCATACGATAAGCAGAACATACCGGCAGCTGAGCTCAACGCCAACGCATATAATCATGTCGAGCTCTCCCTCGACTATACGGTATTCTCAATCCCAGTACTCGTCAATAGCTGCCAGGCTGGCAGCAGTGTCCAACCATCGGCTCTGCCCACACCTTCTAAGCGTCGGTGCGCCGTATACAATGTGACGGGCGGCCCCTCTTGCCGTCACGATTGTGGATATCATATTACTACCTCGGAAGGCTTCAGTCTCTCGAAGTAGCGATGGACTTCTTGACGGGTGGTCAGTGTCAGACCTTAGCACCGAAGTAGCCTCCGTAGAGGTTAGCGTTGACCGTCCTGTGAGCATCGAGCGCGCATAATACAATTTCCCATATGCATATGTACAGAGCTAGAACCAGTCTTTGCTATGTAGACCGTGACGTACAGCATGTACATACATCTATTGCCATATAATAGTACAAAATGCAGTGCAATACACAAGAGTTATCCAGTCCCTGTCAGAAGGTCATCCAAGAAGTACAATGTAAATAGTCCACGTTAGTTCAATTTTAAGATGCCATTGATAACGTCACGACCATCCAGCCACGCCTCTGGGCCCATGGTAGCAGCAAGCCGTCCGACCAGCGTGGCTGCTGCTTTACCCTTCGTCACGAAATCACGGCTCGTGCAAATGATCATGCTTTCCTTGCACCGCGTCAGCATGACGTTCGTCCTGCGCACATTCTTCAAGAACCCTACGCCCTCGGAACGGACTAAAGACACGATGATGTGGTCTTCTTCGTTTCCTGCGGCGAACGTCAGCCAGATCCTGTAGCATGTCAAGGAATAATTTGCCTTGGAAGGAGTCCACGTTGAAGCACTTATCTTCCCAAGGGAGCCTTGCTAATTCAAGTTGCTTTTCGATCGCCGTCCTCTGAGCGTCGTACGGGGTGAGGACCCTGTACCGCCTGCCCTGCTCCACGTATATACGGGCGAGGTGGATAACCACGGCTATCTCTTGTGAGTTCTGATGCAAAAGACGTGAGGCTGACATATCACGATTGTGCGGGGGAGAAGCGTACTATCCAGCTGTGTCCCGTTTTCTTCTCCTGGCCCCTTTTGACATCCAGGAAATGACATACTGTCTTGCTGAAGTTATCGTGCGAGGTCTTCAATTGATTGCCGTATACATGACGGGAGATGAAGTTGCCAATGACAACTGGCATTCGGTCTGGATTATGGGGTTAAGACGACGACAAAGAGATAAGGTCGAGATACGAGCTTACACTGGGTATTCAAAAAGTGCGCCCGCTTTCGGAGGTGAGGGAACTCGAAAACACTTTGTAGCTTCCCAACGTCATCTTGGCCGTATGGTGCCACTAATATCCAAGTCAGTACAGGTCGATGGAACAAATACCCGGGTCTCACGTTGCTTGTCATCACCGATGAATACCATCTTCTGGAGGCTGTGCTGGAAACGCTGAAGCAGCGGCAGGTAGTCTCCTACTTCGATTTGACTTGCCTCGTCGAATATCACGGTTTGTACCGGGACGACACGAGTGATGAATTCGATACGCGGATTGGACATCATACTCAACGTGCAAAGTATGACTCTTGCGTCGAGTAAAAGCCGGGAAGCACCAACGATTCCGCCACCGATCTCGTCGGATCGTATAAAACAATGTTCCAGTCGCTCGTAGAGGTGTTCATGCCTATAATACGAAACCTCAGGACGACAGGGAGCCGAGGAAGGTGCGACATACCAGTCATGATGGAAATCTTTGGATACAAGAAGTTTAAATTCACGGAAGCCAACCTTGTCAAGCTTTTCTGCGATATTCTTGACAGCCACATTCGACTGCGCGACAAGCCAAATCGTACTCTCCATATGGCCAGTCTTGATGATACTGTCGACACTGGCCGCTATGACTGTTGTTTTGCCAGTGCCAGGAGGACCCTGAATAAGTAACATACGGTCCTTGTTCGCGTGCGAAAGAATTCGCTCCACTGCTATGTACTGCGAGGGGTTCAATGAACCGCTCGGATAGTGCACAGACGGCGCACTGTGAGCATTCTGAGTTGGAGATGGCCATGAGACGTTTAACGTCGGTGCCCAGATAGTACAGAAGAATGGATGTTCGGTCAATGTGATGGTGCCTTGAAGCGCCTTTAGCACTACATCTTCTTTGTATGATTCAGCGAATGTCAGGTCTTCTTTCCCGACAGTGGTCACGGAGATAACCTTCCCCGAGGCTTGTACACCACCTTTGCCAACGTTGATATGAGCCTGTCTTCCATCTACGTGCAATGCGCGGCCAGTGATTATTGATTTCCGATCTCCGACCAGCGTTTCGATGTGGACGACCTGTAAGTTCGAACGTTCAGAGTCGGTGGCAAAACGTCTCATGAATTTACACACCTGATTGCTGCCCTTCATGATACGAGTACGGAAGCGAGTGCACTCGAGGTTGAGATTACCCTTCTTGGAGTGGAAGTCTGCTTTGACATTGTTGACGACTTTCGTCGGCTTCAAAGACTCCAAAATTTCAGCGTCCCGAGAGATCTTTGCCAGGGCACTCAGATGCTACATTGCGAATTAGAGGAAGAAGGTATGTTGATGACGTGATGAAGATTACATACAAGATCTGGCATTATGTCTGTAGCGATTCGAGATAGGGCAGCATATCCCAACGTCATGTGAGGAAGTGTGGCAGCGCGACATGCTGCCCAAGCCTGGAGCACCGCATCGTTCGTTGCCACATCCCCTTCTCTATGATCGAAGAGGCTTTTCACGTTGGCCTTCTGGAGTAAGGTCTCGCCTCCCAAGGCGTTCATAATTGCCTGGAGGGAGCGCCGGTTGCTTTTAGACACTGACAGGATGTCAACTGCAGCATTGATGCGAAGCGAAAGGTCCAGGAAGAGACCAAGTGCGATCCTGTCTATCCTGTACCCATAGAGTTTGATGACAGCGTCGCACAGAATTTGGTCTTGTATGAGGGTACGTCCTCGGGAAACCGGAGGCTGTTCTTCTTGGGCTTTCTTCTTCTTCCACTGCGGATTCGATTTTTTCGAAGGAAAAAAGTGGACGACGAGCGCTCGAGTGAGCGTTGCAAATGCCAGACACGAAATAGTACAGTCGGTGCGATACGTGGCTGCCACTCCTACGGCGCGGCCTTGAGTTGAGTTGATAAAGCGCCGCAAGGCTGGAAGAGAAACACTGTGCTCGTCAACGTCTTCGACAACTATGGGATCATGATCGGCATTATAGACGTTCTGTTGGAGCGTGAAGATCGTATGTGGCATGACAGGAAGAGACAAGAGGGAGTAAACGCACGATGCTAATGCGTCGAAAGGGAGGAGGAAGCAACGTGGTTCATGGCCACGGCTATTTATTGTTGGATGAGCGTCTACTGTCAATGAATGGGAATCGGCGTTTACAGCAAGCCAGTGAAAGGGGGGGTGAGAGCTAAGCTGTGTAAGAACAAAGCACGCTGAATCTGGGGTACTTTGTGTGTCCAGTATCCCAGTTACTATTAGTTTCTAGAAATTCAGCGCTATTCAGTTTTGTATGGGCGACCAGGTCGCATGCAATGCCACGTATATGACATTAAACAACAGCGAGAAATTGAAAAAGCAATCGAGGTGGTGATAGGTTTTCTCAAGAAACGCGGCAATCGCGTTACAGCTGACCAAATTCCGCACAGCCACACCAACTCTCTTCTTTCACCTCCTCATGGCAACCCCAGTTATTGTTGGTGTAGGGGCTATCACAGCTGCTCTCGTTGGACGACATCTCGTGCGTAGTGGGATTATTGGCAAACGGGCAGCAGACCAATGGGTGAAAGGTGGTTTTAAAGCGAAGATGGATCGCAAGGAGGCTATTGCAATCCTTGGGCTCAAGTTCGCAGTTTCAACATATTCTACCACCTAGTGTCTGACAAAAGTTTTTTTTGCAGAGACGGTGTAACACTACGCAACAAGTTAAAAGATGCCCACCGGCATATCATGCTTGCAAATCACCCTGACCGTGGAGGCTCGCCATACATGGCGAGTAAAATCAACGAAGCTAAAGACTTGTTAGACAAGACAGATGGGAAGTCGAGATAGCGCTTGGCTCTCATACTTGGTTTACTCATGGTACCAGTAAGTCACTGTCAAACTCTTGAATCGGGAGAGTTACTCAGATACTTCAAGTCTACTGTGTATTTCTATCGCATACATATATCCGTCATAATACATATCACCACTCGTCTTTCTATCCTCTCCTTCGGTTGTGACCTGCTATATTACTCGCCGTCCGATTCTAGTCCTCACAATGATCACATACATATGAAAAGCTGGTCACCACTGATTTGACCGGCTTACTAAGCAGTACCTTAGAGCAGCATTCATCGTTGCTCTTAGATCTTTGATCACCAAGCGAAACGTCATGGATACTTCAGAACTCGAGCCCTCAAAGCTTGGTACGAAAGACCAGTAGGCGTGTTCACTCTCTTCGCAAATTTGTAGGTCCCATCACTCATCGGTAATCAGCTGGGATAACGTTTACGAAGAAGAATTGGAGAACTTCAGTGAAAACGGTGATGAAGGTGAAATATGGTGCATATTCGCATCGCTTCCTATTGTATTGTATTTATACTTCAGGTGCCTAGGTTTGGTAAAAAGTCGATGAACGAGATGGTCAAATGGGTTAACCAGTATGCCCCTCCGCGTCCCGATATGTCAGTCCTTGAAGTTGGCAGTGGGAATGGTGCACTATTATTCGCACTCGCGGAGGGACGTGGAGAAGCATGCTATCCAGCACGTCGACTCCTAGGAATCGATTATAGTGAAGGAGCTGTCCAGCTTGCTCAGTCGGTGGCGCAATCTCGGAATCTTACGGCCGTTACGTTTAGAGTGTGCGATTTCCTTCAGGAGGACCCACCGTTGCTCCCAGATAATCAGAAAGCTGATGATAACGGAGCTTGGGACCTGATCCTGGATAAAGGCACATACGATGCCATCGCGCTGATGGAGAAGGATGAGAATGGAAGGATCCCAGTAGAAGGTTATCCGATGCGTATCGCGAAGCTCTTGAATTTAGGCGGACATTTTTTGATCACATGTGCGTATGCTCCGCGCCACTTGGCTAATGCAAACTGAACAAGGACTCTTCACCCAGCTTGCAACTTTACCGAGGCCGAGCTACAATCGAAGTTCATTACCGAAGAAACAGGCCTGCAGTATCAGTATGTGACGCCAATTTCCTATCGAAACTTGATCTTGATATTCTCCCCACAGTTCTCGCATAGTGCACCCAACCATTTCATTTGGTGGGAGCACCGGTAGTGCATGTTCTAGTGTAGCATTCACGAAAGCTGCATCTCGTAAATAAGCATCGTTATATTTTTGGGATGTGATCCATTCTTGTCTGCAACGTCTCTTTTGCCAATGAACTAGCCCACATCAAGAACCCGTCCTCTCCTTTGAACACGTTGGACATGAAAAATATCAGTCCGAGGCCAAGGTTCTCAATCTTCGACGTCTTCAAGAATATCTCTTCGAGCGCTCCACGGTTTCTCGTGGAAGGATAGTCACTGGGGTCATTGCTGAGCATGGGCGATGAGACCTGGCTGGCAACGAAGAGCTGTATAAACAAATCTTTCAAGAAAGTGCGTGTCTGCGGCTTGAGCAACGTGAAGTCCACAGGCTGCGAATCCTCGTGTCAGCAGCACCCTGCATGAATAGGCCAAGGCTCACCTTGAAGATCGTCAGCGTACAGCAATCCTTGGCTATCCACCATGCATATGCTTTAGCGACGTTCTTCATCCGCGATGGCGACATGGATTTAACATCAAACCCTACATCATTATCTTTCAGGCTCTTGATTACCTCTACCCCGCCGACGCTGGTTTCGCCCAAGTCCCGGAGAAAGTCCCATAGACAGAACTGCAGCGTGATCTTGTAGGAATGTGACCGCTGAGACAAATGCTGACAGACGAGTGTGTAATACGGGTTATAAGATTTTTCCTATGAAAATTGGATCAGCCAACAACGGCGATACAAATTCCTATGGAATCACGTACATTTCCACAGCAATGCAAATTGACTCTGATGATCTCCCGCTGCTGGACTTCCGTGAGGCCGAGTTGCGCAAGTCGTTCGCAAGCATCTAGATAATCCTACAATAGAAAATGAGATTTGATAGCAGGGATATGACATGACGCCTACATCGCTGCTCATGAGCACCACGAAAATACTTCGGCGGATATCTGTATTCATGCCCTGCTTCCTTGCAAGCTTTAGGAGCGCGGCGGTGCTAACGTCAGTTGTCTCAGCTTCCCCACCTTGCTGGGGAGTTTCGTGCTGCTGATCGACCAGTGGATCTCCGCCCCATGCAGCGCCAATAAGCCACCACTTTCCTTTGCTCTCCGCCAAATGGAGATCCTCTAACGTCATCCGCAATGGTTCATGGGCAAGGACTACCTGCGCATCGGCATCATCTCAGATAACCCGACGGAAGAACCACATACCGTGCTTCTTTTTCCCCAGACTTGATAGGAACTTCTTCATCCGCTCCACAGCATCGCCCCCCTGATGCTGTGTTGCGGCAGTCTTCTTGATCTTGTTATTCTTGAGGTTGTTCAGGGTCTCGATCATGAAACGCGTGCGTGAGCTGTGTTTTGCAGTGAGAAGAGGATGGTAAATAACATGAGAGCGGTGGTACCTCATAGCATCGGCGTGTCCGGCCACCCGGGACTGTGCTAGGGTTACGATGTCCTTCAATGCCATAGGGTCATCTTGTCGTAGCTGTTGACCGGAACCTAGCACAAACTCGAGATGCGTCGAGAATAGACAGGGCAGTACTTACTTCGAAGAAGTTTCAGCAGAAGCTCTACCCTGAACTCGGAAAGGTCCTTGTCCAAAAGACCGCGGATGATATCATAAACAAGAATACACGAGATCACTTGAAAGTTGTACAGCTCTGAGAAAAGCACGACAAGGTTAGAACACTCTTTTCCTAGGTCTTCAGGGACTTCAGTTGAGTTGGCTGTCGACTTTTCGTCCACCGAAGCGAGGTGCTGTTCGTATGACGCAGCTGCGTTCTGAACGAAGTAAGCCGCTGAGTGCACGCGGCGCATTAGCTTACGTTACGGAGTGTCATTTTAGAAGACACATACCAAACGCAGTGCCGATCAATTTATGGAGGCTAGATATAAAAGCCGCGTGGAGGACAACGTACGAGTCCAGAAGGGTTGAATGAGATGAGATGCCATCAATGATGAGGTTGGTGAGAGTTGAGGTGATGTCTGAGGAAAACACATGTGCGCCACGCTCAGTACAGATAAAAACGAGCACGAACCATGTCGGCGGTGATTGCGATATACCTCTTCGATGCTATCTACAATGGTTGCGATATTTTGCTCGGACATTCTGAGTGCAGCTGGAATTAGCGTGGAACATGACGATATAGAAAGACATTACCTGTTTATCAGACCTTTCAGCTGGCGAGTAAGTTTGATTTGTTCCTCTGTTTCGTTTGTATCAGTACTGGCTTGTTTTCTCAGTCCAGGCGGTATATAGGGCCCTGTAAAGAAATTAATTCCAATCCATGAACAATGCGTGTAGAAAAACTGACCAGCAGACTTAGGTCGAGCGTCGGAAGGCTTGTTTTGTGTCGCCTCTGTCGTATCATGGTCGTTCTCGTCCGCCGAATCATCTTCGGCAGCCCCGCTTGCGTCACTCCCGCTGAGCTCATCAAGGCCACCCCACTCTTCATCTTCCATAGATGTCGATTGATCCTCATCCCCCAGTTCGTCATCCAAATCTGAGCCCTGTGTGACTCTCAGACACGACACAACGCGTAGCTTTCAAAGGGAACTTACTGGCATTGCCGATATGACGTTTTCTGTGAAGTCAAATAGATCTACACAAAAAATGTGAGATGCATTTTCAGTAAAAGATACAATGAGTGCACACCTCCCAGTCCATCCATGTCATCATCCTTACGGCGTGAACCACCACCAGCATACCCAAGCTTGGATTCAAGATACGCGATATATGCATCCTCTTCCTCTTCTTCGCGAGTTCGAGGGCCCTTCGATGTAACTTTGCTAGGTTTAGCTGCTGATTTGTTCGCAAGCCTCTCTAGCACAGTGGTTTTAGGTTTCTGCTTTGGCACGGTTTCGGTGGTGTGCGGCTCATCGGTTCTATGACGAGATAGTACCTTGCTGGTGGCTGCATGATGTGGCTTTGTGGTAGGTGGTCGAGAAACTGACTCTTGTGATGTCTTCATGCGCTTTCGCTGTGGTGAATCGACGTGTTCTTCCTCCGTCTTCCGTTTGGCTGAGTGCGTACTGTTCAGGAAGTGATCCGCCTTTCTCTTTTTACGCTCTACTCGCTCCTGCTTTCGTGCGTCCTTGCGTGATCCATGGGTATGACCACCTTTATGTTGATGAGAGCTCTGCTCTGCATATATCGTCACGATAGGCTTCAAGGTGAGGGATATGTAGGCTTACCTGAGGCGTTGATCTGCTCGAGTAAAGACTTAGGCAGGCTGATGCCATGACGTCTCTGATCGCCCCCAGGTCGCATTAGATTTGAAGGAAATTTTGAGATGTACTGAATTTTGAGATGTACTGAATAGGAAGTACAGTACATAAGATAGTCCTCAAACAGTTACGGTTAACGTCACGTGCTAAAGTGTGATAAAGTGTGACAAAACCGATGATCACTTGCGACAGCAAAGAGAAGGATTTAAAATTGAAAGGAAGATCTACAGAATGTGTCCTTCTTCATACTTTCTCCATTTTAAAACTGTTATTTGTGTTGAATTGCAAGAGGAGCTGGTCTTACGAACAATGGAGTACTAAGATGATCTAAAGGCACTCATCTGAATCACCTCTGATGCAGATGTTTGGTGGTCGCTGAATATTGAAATCACCAGCCCGCCGCAATGCCAAAGCGTACACGGAAAATCCAGTCAGCGATTGAAAACTTCAGAAATTGGGCCAAGAAGCAGAAAACATCAGCAGAGAAAGAAAATGTATGTTTCACTACTACATAAATGCTTATAAGAGCCCGCGATAAAGTTACTTCTGAAACACATCGTCATATCTAACCAAGACTCGTAACCTTAGGTCTGGACTAGCACTCTTCGTTGTCTGCTCCTTTGCCACTCGATTAAGGCAACCGTCCGAGTCACAGTTGCACCCCACCTTCCGGTAACACCCGTGACTAACTTAGTTACTAACGCATGATAAGAAGACCTACCATGTCGGTGAGTCATGTGGTTAATACAGGACGCAAACTACGCATACTCACGCATCTAGGTGCATCGCAGTGCCTGCAGGCTGAAGTACGGATGCAAGGCCAAGGACATTTTTCACTGGCAGGGACACTAGCAGGGTCCCTGACAGGTATTGATGCTGCAGATATTGATACTGTCAAAGCAGCAACAACAGCGAGGACAAAAGAGAAACGCATTGTGTGTGAGAACGTGGTATTGGATCTCAATGAGACAGTAGGAAGACGGCTTGCTTTTATATGCTGAATATTGTTATTCATGACGATACCGTGACCTATCTACCCTTTCAAACAGATTATCTGCAATGCCAGTAGATTGCTAAAAAGATCTTGAAGCAAGGTCAATGCCAGCTCGAATCCGCTGTCGGGAACAACTCAACGTTTCCTTTCATAGCTGTTTCCGTCATCTCTATGACGCCTTCACGCATCAACTTGCAGCTCAAAAATATCTCAACCCAACCCGCTGGGCGCCAGTGATGTGTCATGCGTTGTAACTTGTGTCGGGTTGTGTCACCAACTTTCGAACGTGTTCAGAATTGGAATCGGAATGCTTCCTCGTATTGCAATAGCCTCTCTACACGCTGTCACGATAGGGTCACTATCTGCTCATACGACCGACAATACTTCCATAATCAGTCAAGCCGAAGACGAGGAATGAATCAAAACGAACCGTATGTATCCATTCCTTCCTGTGCAATCATTGGTCAAAATTTAACACTCCTACCAGTTTCAAGCTTCGCCTCTGACCGAGGACCATGAAATTGAAAATGAATGGGATGCGTTTAAGTCCGCTGTCACGCTACAACTCCCGCCGATGTTTTGGAAACCTGCACGAAGAGTTTTATTATGGACACGCATGCCAGCGACCGGACCTTGCGGCGCCATGTCGAAACCAGCATCAAATTCTTGAATCATCCCAACGGCTCGGATGGCACTCAGCAGACGAAGATGAGACGCGCCGCCGCACACGGTGGTTTAATTTCCGATACAGACGAAGGTCGAGTGTAGATCCGTTTCGTCACAGAAGGAGAAGTCAGTCTCCACGCGTGCGTCCAGAGCAGTCTCGCGGCCGATGTTCTTTCCATGTAATATCCCACACATGAACTACCACTCCAGTAGTCGCTGTTCCTCTCGAGTTCATCTCGACGGAAGCTCCCAGGGATCTTGCAGAGGTTTCCGAGGTGTCTGCTGAGCAGTCCACGGAGACAACACTTTCTGTCACAGACGCAATCCAATGTTTTGGGTATTGACGTTTCTGCGCCCGTACTCGAGTTCAGTTTCATGTCGGAAGCACCAGCTGGATCAGCTAATGACACCACTGGCGATGATGGTTGGGGTCTTGATGATGGTTGGAATTCCACTGAAGTGAAGGCGGCGGTCCGAACGCAAACTGTGACACGCTGGTGGAACGCACTACTTTCGCATTGGACGACGAAGAATTGCGGTTGTGCCTAGTGTCTACACAACAGTCAAATCTGGAACTTTGTATTAAGTGTGTCATTGAGTGAGTCACAAACTTGCAAGTCTACCTGCTTGTGTCATAACATCATGTAGAATACTCGTGGATCGTGCTCATCGACAAGTCTTGCCACTTCCAACAGATCATGAAACCTACCAGCGGGACCTTGCTAAGTGGTTTCCGCATCTCAATGTGAGATAACTCTTGATTCAATATCATGATGCCGGTCCTTCACGATTCGTGCTGACCAATGGTTAATATTAAACTGCTAAGATGGTAACCGCACTCATATCATATCTTTGACTGTAGGTTTTTTGTGATGATAGCTAGTCGGTTCTACCCCCGCCTGGGGTTCCTCTGGTGGAGGCGGTAGCACCGGATGGGAGCGGCGAAAGGAAGTAGCTGGGCTATGCCAACTGAACCCTCTTTCAACGGCCTTGACTCTAGTCTCGGAGGATCATTTCCTCAGCGCGAAGCCCTTGCTGAAGCCTAAACCATCCCCCCTTCCAGTTAAACCATCTCTGAAAGGCCTCGGCTCTCTTGTAGATTACTCGGTAACCCTCTCATCTCCAATGACAAGAAGAGTCTCTCGCCGAGGCCTGGCGCATCCCCACATCCTGAATATGCTCCTGGTGAGACAGTATTATTCAATACATCGGCTGAGACCGTGCAGACTACAGAGGAGTCTCCTGCGCCGGCTCAGGCACCAGCGGACGCGATACCGCCAACAACTACAAAAGAAACAGCATCACCTTCTACCGATGCAGCGATGCCTACAGAGAAAACGGCAGAAGAGAGCCCTCCTGTAAAATACAGCGCTGCTGCTACTGGAAAACCAACCGCTACGACAGGTGGTGATGCTGAAGAAGACAAAGAGGGGCTGATGGCAAGGGACGGTATCTGCTCCACCGATGAAAGCAACCACCAGCAAGGGAGGGAAAAAGAAGAAATGCTCGGACGTGTTATGCTTTTTGATGTTGCTCTAGGCTCATCTACTTTACGGCTGACGAACCTTTGATACGTGATAAGACAAGCATCTGGAAGCCCGCCAGGGTGATGGCGGGAAACACTAAACGAATCAGGCAAGAGTTAATAGAACAAAACCGTGGATTTCTGAGCGTGATACAGAAGAGCAATATGATGGTATGTAAGAGACACGAGTCTCCGATAAACAAGGCCAAGCGAGGTGTTATAACGGAAACGTTCACGTGACTCTCGATCTGTAAGCATCTGGCTTACAGCATCGAGTGAATGAAAACGAGCCCCTATCATAGTGCATAGGATACTCACTTGCGATCGGATGTTTGAGTTTGTTGAGTAGCACCATTAGGATTAAACAATGACAAACAATATCCGGGTAAGTTGATACGAGCAATGTCCGTGAAGTATGAAGTAAGTATAAGTACAAAGACAATACAACAGCAGTGGGTGGTATGGATGAATGAGGGGAATTATGTAGGGTAACATAGATGCAGCAGAAGATTATTATCAAGAAAGAGACATCATCGCGGGTCAATAACTTCCACAACAGATTCAAGAACCACCTTGGGTCGTAACAGTATACGCCGATCTATATTTTCTTCTGAAGCTGGCGTATCGCTCGTGCCCTTTCTCGTCGAGCACCGTAGGCCTAGTTCCGTTGTGCACAGAACGACGCCATCTGACGATCCATAGTCTTCAAAGGCATCCGTCATGTCCTGCCCATCAAACGACTGGCCGCTATCCGCAGCAATAACCTCGAAGTTCGCTGACATGATCTCCTCCTTTGTCACTTGCGCGAGCCTGCAAGCGGCCTTGGAGATACGTTTGACTTGAGCCCCGAAGCGCCCACGGAAGTTCTCGCGAGAAGCCGGGTTGGGCTGCGGATTGGTGCTGCCAGAGATGAGGAATATGTCTAACGACCAGCGAAAGATCGTTTCCGTCATCTCGTTGATCGCGTAATCGTTGAGCTCGGGGTGAAGCTCGTGAATGTGTTTATGAGTCAGAGCTCTCCATCGTGATGAAGTTGGTTGAGGTTCTGAAGCGATATGAGTGAATTGCAAGCGACAAAATGATTTTGGGGGACCCACCTGACTGGAACATGTGGGTGTAGATTTGGGTCAGAGTGATGTTGGCTTTGGACTGGTAACCGATGCAAAACGATGATAGTGCTCTGGATATGCAGTACGAGATGCAACCCTGGAGAGCTAGCTGAACCAGCATAGGATCTTGGGAGTGATCCCGAGTCGCTAATAAGCGACTCAGGGCACTACCCAACCTCGTGGCAACTTCGGAGGAAGCTTGCGTCACCTTGGCTGAGTTAGGGCGCTGCTTGGAGAAGGTGCAAAGCTCTGTGGCAGAGGCCGCGAACTGGAGAATCTCAGAGTTGAGATCTTGCACGGCTTGTATGACCTGCGCGCCAGACCACAAATCAATCTTGTTGAGGAAAGTCTCTAAGCTGCGAGAGTGGGCTCGCTCTTCCTCGGAGACGGTGGACATGTTATCTGGGTGAGGGTCGCTGGCAATACGGCGATGATTGCCATTGGTCTGCGATAAGGTGTCGTCACGGATCTCTGACCAGTCAGCGCTCAGCCGGATCTGCTGAGACTGGGATGAGTTTGATCGATGATGATGAACCGGATCACGGCTTCGTCGACGATCGATGTGCATGGAGGTGCGCTCTCTTAGCTGACGCTCGGGAGAGTTCCTATCACGCTCCTTCTTGAGCACTTGGATCTCCTGGTCTCTGACCTTCAAGAGGTCCTTCGTTTCCTTGAGTGTCTTCTCGAGGGTTTTACACCTCTCCTCCCAGCGAGCGACTTCAGCTTGAGTTCTGGAGAGCTCATTTTTTATGGCATCGTGTTCTCGGCGCATTGAATAAAGAGTTGAAGCAGCAGCAGAGGCTCCGAAAGAACGATAAGAGGATGTAGTATGACAGCGGGTGCGCTCGGCAGCATCCAACCTGTCACGTAATGGAAGACACACCTCCTCTGGATGAAGAAGTAGGTTCGAAAGGTCACTGGGTGTTGGTGGAAAGGAATGATCAGAGTCAGAGTCGTCAGTTGATTCAGCGCTGAAAGAGAAGGATGGAGTACGCGAGGCAAAGAATTCGAAGGTTGATTGGTATAAGTCTTTGAGATTCAAGTTAGCGATAGGGAGCATGGCGGCTGAACGGACAACCAAACACCGTTGCTTGCTAGTAGTCAGCCGTTGTCAATGCTCGATTATCACTTTGATCCCTTCGTTAGCGAAAAAATTTATAGGAAGATATAAGGGTAGATATAATCACTTGAGCCTGGTAACGATTCCCTAGGATTCCCTCCTTGGGTAAACCTTTGCTGTACAGGCAAGGTCACTAATAGCCCTATTTCCAGCGCAGCACGAGGTTCTTTTCTTCTTTAGCCTCGAGGCAGTTGCGTTTTTGTTCGTGGAAAGCCAATGGCAGAAGCTGGCAAAAGACTCAAAATACACGTACGTGATCATCCTCGTGGCAATCTCCAATCATCTTTTTACTTATTAACTTCACTTGATCATTCTAGCACCTTGTCGGTGCTCCTTTGCACTGCTGACACGCTGCGATCATCCTCGTCGCATCCTCGTGTGGACTGCCTTTAATCGAGTCACCCGCCCCTCCGCTCTACTACATATATGGCCTTGTAAGCTTAGTAAATCTCCCAGCAATTCGACCCTGTATTACTTGATCTACACCTGGCATGAAGCCAATTTCTGACACGCGAAAGCCCTATAGTGGCTCATCGCGTGCACTCATCATTGCTCTAGACGTCGGAACCACTTTCAGTGGTGTATCATATGCCCTCCTCGAACCAGGCGAGGTCCCAAAAATTCACGGTGTCACTCGGTGAGTATCTCATGCGAATCACGCGTCCCACATACCCTCTGACAGCAAGCGCATCCGCCCTTACCCTGGGTAGTTTCCCTGGTCAAGAACATGTAGCTGGAAACTCAAAGATTCCCTCCATCATGTATTATGACAAGCATGGCAGAGTCATGGCCGCAGGTGCCGAAGCCGACAATGCCTCCATAATCAGTCAGGCCGAAGACGAGGAATGGATCAAAACGGAACTGTATGTGTCCATTCTTTCCTGTGCAATCATTGATCAAAATTTATCGCTCCTACCAGTTTCAAGCTTCGCCTCCGGCCGAAAACCATGAAATTGAAAATGAACGGGATGCGTCTAAGTCCGCTGCCACGCCATAAAACTCCCGTCGATGTTTTTGGAGACTTTCTTGCTTATCTCTTCCGCTGCACGAAGAGTTTTATCATAGACACGCATGCCAACGGTCAGACCTTGTGGCACCATGTCGAAACCAGCATCGAATTCGTCTTGAGCCATCCCAACGGCTGGGAGGGCGCTCAGCAGACGAAGATGCGACGCGCCGCCGCACACGGTGGTTTAATTCCCGATACAGACGAAGGTCGAGCGCGGATCCGTTTCGTTACAGAAGGAGAAGCAAGTCTCCACGCGTGCGTTCAGAGCGGTCTCGCGGCCGACGTTCTTTCCGTGTGTATTCCAACATATCCCACACACGAACTTCTTGTCTGACGTGGCCCGTAGAATCCATCCAGGCACGGATTCCTCGTAGCTGATGCAGGTGGTGGCACGCTTGATATCAGTTCGTACGCAGTCCGAGGAACAAATCCCTTGGTAATCGAGGAGGTAGCTCCTCCTGATTGTGAGAATGCGGTGACGCGTCCTTCTGTCTATTTTCATATCTGATCGTTTGCTTCCGAAGGTATATTTGCCGGATCTGTGTTCGTCAGCCGAAGGGCAAGGGAATTCCTCGAAGGTGAACTATCATTGGCTGCATCATACGCAAGGCGTCATCTCATTATGTGTACAGAGAAGCTCAGAGGTTCCAAGTACGGTACTCCAGATTCGATCGACCACATCACGAAACGCTTCGATGAGACGACCAAACGACTATTCCGAGACAAGAAAGAACTGCAATTCATTCCATTCGGATCCCCGCTCGACAAAGATGCTTCAGCTGGCATCCGTGGAGGCCAGCTAAAGCTCAATGGGTAAGCACCGGAATGGACATCCATTATGATGACAATGACCGTACTCGATAGTGCGGAGGTGGCGGAGTTTTTCGAGCCCTCTGTCCAGGCGGCAATAGAATCGATCAAAGCCCAGGTTGACGCGTCGCAAGGGATGATCAAAGTACGTTACTCATCATCGACCAGCAACACGAGGTCTTAATAAACGGTCTACTTTTCATAGTCCGTTTGGTTGGTGGGAGGATTCGCGGCCAGCCCATGGCTCTTCACTCAGTTACAGGAACGCCTTGCGCCACTGAAGATCTCTGTGAGCAGACCTGACAGCCAGACGTAAGTAGCTACATGATCATTCCAGTGTTTCATGTATCTAATGTTGTATGATCTAGCTCGAAAGCTGTGGCCGATGGTGCACTTGGCTTTTACTGCGATCACCATGTTTCGGCCCGCATGTCGAAATTCATGTATGGTGTGGAGTACCTACGTGAGTATGATCCTAGTGATGCGGAGCACCTGTCTCGAAGGGACAGACTTTGCGAGCTTCCTTCCGGTCCTCGGCTATTGCCAGATGCATTTGACTGTATTCTTGCTCGGGTACGTATTCAGTGACATTTACACTGGAACGTGGGCTGACTTTAGGAACGTGCACATTTGCAGTGTGTGAAGGTTAAGGAATCCACGGTATTCTCGCGGAAATATTGCACCGAACTCACGAATCTGTCAACCCTTTCTGTATTTGAGGTGGAGATATGGTGCTATAGAGGTGGTGACACGATTCCGCAGTGGATTTTACGCCACGCAGGTGGGTAGCCCTGAACACGAGCCCGAATCCCATGCTGATCCATGGTCTTCCGTTCCTCCAGAGGATTATTCGACTTTGTGCGTAGTCCGGGCCGATCTATCGCTTCTCAGTGGAAGTGCGGAGCCTAAACATGGCAAGAACGGCAAAACATATTGGACGATCGTGTTCAGTGTCGAGATCCACTTTGGTCTCACCGAGTTCAAAGCGCGGATAAAGTGGAATGACAACGTGCGTAATTTCCGTGTATTTTTGTCACGTGTCCTGAGTCGATTATGATTAGGGAACGACCAAGTAGTATGTGAAAATCTGCATAGGACTGGTTACATCTCTGACTCTGTCTATAGTGGACCTGCATCTATCGTGTACAGCGAGAGCGGTCATCGTGCGGACGAAGATGAACAGGACGTCTCTGAGGATGACTATGCCCCATCGCGTTCTGCATCCGTTGCACCATCGCGCTCTCATTCTGTTGCACCGTCACGCTCTCAGTCCGTCGCTCCCTCTCGCACTAATTCTCGAGAGTCGCTAATATCAGGTATCAGGACTCCTCATGGAACCTCACGCGTGGAGGCCACGTTCATAGAAGTCCAAGATCGCCGAATGAGCGTGGTCACAACTCAGTCATCCGCTTCCAAGGTAGTCACTGCTACGCCTCCAACACCAACGGCCGCTGATCGCGGGGCGAGAAGCCACTCAACATCAACTTCTCATCATGCGCCACCAACACCCCCAGCTGATCGAAGCATCCGGGAGATCGAGCGAGAGCGTACTGTGTCTACCGCGTCCAAGGTCTCAGCTGATCGAAGCATCCGGGAGACCGAGCGAGAACGTACTGTATCTACCGCATCCAAGGTCTCCACAGCTGATCGAAGCATCCGGGAGACTGAGCGAGAACGTACTGTGTCTACCGCGTCCAAGGTTTCCACAATTGTTGCGAGCACTGTTGAGCGAGACCGCAAGATCTCCACTGCTTCTAGGGTCTCTGCTTCGGCCGTTTCCCAGCATGACCATCTAACTGCTTCCCAATCTACGACCTCGGTCGTTTCCCAATCCACAATCTCAGCTGCTTCTCAATCCATCCATGCAGCTACTTCGCAGCATATCCCTGCAGCCGCCTCTAAGGTTACACCTCCAGTTACCGTCGAAACACGCGGACGGGAGGCTGAACCTGCTAAAGCAAAGGGAAGGGGAAAAACAAGACTCCTAAGGCCACCGTACCTCCTTCCCCGATCGACCCGGCTGACACTACCGTGGGCAAGAGTCCAGGACAGCTAGCAGAGACCCTTACAGCCGTCTGGGGCTCTACTTCCAAGGCGAATACACCTGGAGCCTCACCGCTCGTTCAAACATCCAGATCTCTCGAGCCAACGACACCGAAGAATGAAGTTCCCCCTCCGCTGTCTCACAAAGCCACGCCAAAGATTGTGGACGTCAAGCTTTCAGAGCCACCCACACCTGCACTCCAGGAAGCCCAGCACTCGTTGCATGTCAACATCGCGTCTGAAATATTTCACGAGACAACGAGAGAGCTCTCGGTTGAGATTACGCAAGAGACAAGGGTGGAGGGCCCTCCATCATCTACCACGCCGGCAGACACTGTTCCCCTTGAGTTCACCTCGACGGAAGCTCCCAGAGACCTTGCCGCCATTGCAGAGGTTTCCGAGGTGTCTGCTGAGCGGTCCACGGAGACAACTCTTACTGTCACAGAGACGCAATCCAACGTTCTGGGTATTGACGTTTCTGCGCCCGCGCTCGAGCTCAACTTCGCGTCGGAAGCACCAGCTGAATCAGCCGATGACGCTACCGGCGATGGTAGTTGGCGCATTGTTGATGCTTGGGGTGCCCCTGAAGTGAAGGAGACGGTCGGTTCTACCCCCGCCTGGGGTTCCTCTGGTGGAGGTGGTAGCAGTGGGTGGGGCTCCACTGTGAAGGCCAACACCGGATGGGGGACAACGAAAGGAAGTAACTGGTCTATACCAGCTGCACCCTCCTTCGGAGGCCTCGGCTCTACTCTCGCAGGATCATTCGGTGGTCTCCGCAGCGCGAAGCCCTCGCCGAAGCCTGAATCATCCCCACTTCCAGTTCAGGCCTCTCTTGGAGGCCTCGGCTCTCTTGGAGGGTCCTTCGGCAACCTCCTCGTCTCCGATGATAAGAAGAGTCTCTCGCCGAGGCCTGACTCATCCCCACTTCCAGTTGAACACGCTCCTGGACTGATCGATACATCGGCCGAGCCCGTGCAGACTACGGAAGAGTCTCTTGCGCCAGCTGAGGTACCAGCGGACGTGGTACCACCAACAGCTACAGAAGAAGCAGCACCACCTTCAACCGATGCAGCAACGACTACAGAGAAACCGGAAGATAACCCTCCTGCAGAAGCCAGCCCTGGAGAGCCAGCCGCTACGGCAGGTGACGGAGAGGGTAATGATGTCGAGGAAGAGAAAGACGAAGCTGGTGGCAAGGCACCCAAGGTATCTGCTCCAGCGATGAAAGCGACAACCAGCAAGGGAGGGAAAAAGAAGAAGAAAAAGTAAGGTGCTCGGACGTGTTATGCTAGTCCCCTGCTTTCTGATATCGCTCACGACTCATCTACTTTACTGACGAACTTCTGATACCACTATTCTTGGAGCTAATTACCTGCATACCTATCACTTCGAGTCTGCATCCCGGAAAGTGTGATCCTGGACTTCAGACAAGCATCAAGTAAATGGAAACGGCCTGAGGGTCGTGAGATGAAGCGCCTATAGTACATAGGATACTCACTTGAAAGTCTGTGGGCCCTCCAGACTGCCGTTGCCCATTGAGGCGCTGAAGCTGCTGGTGTAAGTACCGTTGCTCCTGCCGAATTTGTCGTTGCTCCTCTTAGATAGCACGGATGTCCTTTATAATATTCATAGATTGCGGGTACCCATTGTCAAACAGGTGATTCGTGGGAATTAGCTCTAGCTCACTTGATCAGCCACTGCAATCCGAGGACATCCAGGAAATGGGAAGTCTGTGTGAGGTCTGCGCAGACGCCTGTCTCTAGGTCTGTGTCAAGTCTTTGTCAGCGTTACCCGGGAGTTACCAGGGGAGGTCTGTCAGCCGCCAAAGGTCTGTCTGCCCGCCGTCTTACATAACCACTGATCATCTTATCCCGCCGCCCTCTCTCGTTTGCCTGCCGCCTCCCTCGTTGCGCGCCGTCTCCTTCGTTGTGCGCCACCTCGTTGCGCGCTGTCTCTCTCGTTTATAAAGCCAAACATCACATCACATCCTGACGCTGTCGCAAGTCAGACTGCTGAACTTGGTGAGAAGTACGCATGGCTGAATGCTGCAAATTCCTCTGCGACAAGTGCTAAACCGAAGGCTGCGGCATCTTCTGCTGCTGCAACAAGTCCAGCCACCACCACGACCCCCGCGACTACCACAGCTCCTGCAGCATCGACGACCGCAACAACATCCTGAGCGCGGCCGTATGTAGGAAAGAAAGGCAGTCCGACATCACCGCTGACGGGAGAGGTTGCGCTTTCTAACGTTGTTGTTTCGATCGATATCGTCTGCATGGCTAGTCGTTTGTTTTCTCTGTTTCGTACCTACACTTCACTTCTAAATAACCTGCCGCTGGCGAAAGTTTCAACTGAGACACTGAATGCAAATTAGCAGGGCCCGCTACAGATTATCAAACTATAGTACATATTCCACGAGGATCTAAGTAAGTACCACCCTCTACTTGTACTTACATGTTACGGCTTCAATATGACGAGGGGGTTGGGGACCAGCTGGATGAAGGAATGATTGCAAGGACATCAGGTAATTGGAGGAGCTCGGGGAAGAATCTGAAAAATCGACATCGCGCATGCTAACAGCAAAGAAATTAGTTGGAGGCAGAGATGCGAAGCAGCTGACACTTACCCTGACCATAGGCTTCCCTGCGTTGCCATTCTGGTCACTCTGACATATCGTAAGTGCGACAGCGCTACCACAGCCAGTGCAGTCAACAGCCAGATCAATGGTCGTCATGCGCCACAGTATGCGGGGAATATTGGACAATCAAAGGACGGGACTGAATGATGTGGTGCCCACGGTTCAAGTATAGGTGGCTGGCAACGAGGGAGGCGGCGGGCAAACAAGAGAGGGTGGCGGGAGGGACTGCAGGCAATGAGAAAGGTGGCGCACAAACGAGAGAGACAGCGCGCAACGAGTGAGGTGGCGCGCAATGAAGGAGACGGCGCGCAACGAGAGAGGTGGAGCGCAACGAAGGAGACGGCGCGCAATGAGGGAGGCGGCGGGCAAACGAGAGAGGGCGGCGGGATAAGATGATCAGGTAAGACGGCGGGCAGACAGACCTTTGGCGGCTGAAGCGCTGACAGACCTCCCCCGGTAACTCTCGGGTAACGCTGACAAAGACTTGACACAGACCTAGAGACAGACGTCTGCGCAGACCTCACACAGACTTCCCAATACCCTGACTTTCTGTGCAATCCAGCATATGAGACAGTCTCCTGCGTGAACGGCTCTTTGGTGCGAGCTGCGCCAGCAACCTCAGCACTGGCATATTGTTTGCTCGAGTTTTGCTTCAATGGTTTCCCAGCCTTTGAGCCGCTCTGCGACGACGATCTTCTCGGTCTGGCCATCCGTGTTCTGCCACACAGGTTCAGAAGTAATTATATCAAAGTTTCGAATCGATTGTCAAGACATATAGACACAAATTGCATGCCAAGTGGCTGACGCCGTTTCGAGGTGTGGTACTAATCAGAGAACCGGCGAGCCGCATATATATTACGATATAAAGTCATATTTAGTTTCACGTTTCGTCACATTAGAATATAAAGCAATATGTGATCATAGCAAGAACTCACTGGGTTCACTGATGTAGGTCTCCAGTCGTGTATCTGGCTGGCTAGGTGGAATCATGACGAACCAGACGTCGCTTGAGATGTTGTTGTGTAACCACTGTGAAGTAGAGATCCGTATGCAGGGGTTGGTGCTGAAACTTCTTCGGCCGAGGAAGTGCCGTTAGTGCTGGTGGGTATGCTACACTGAATCACTAATCCAATGTCTGCTGAGGGTGCTGGTGCCTTGCCAAGTTGCGCCGTTTTCGTGCATTTTTGTTTATGCCAGCAGCAATCTTCTTTCTCGATGCTGGTACTTAAGTTGTTTGAGGGTGGCGGCTCATGCACGATTCCTGGTGTAATTATAGTGAGTGCGTCTCGTGGATTCAGTGCACCATTCGACAGCGAGTTTTGCGAGTAAGTGGTCTGAAAAGTGTTTTCGAATGACAATGAGGGTGGGGCGTGAGTGTCTGTGGATGTCGGGACAGGATTGGTAGCAAGTCAATGCGTGAAGGAGTGCGCAGCACCGTAAAACTGACGGTAAATGAGAATGTTCAATAAGACGGCTGATGCAAGGATGGTGGCAATGGCAATGGCAGGAGGCTAGCTGAATTCATGAGTGGGCGCAGATGACACAGTTCAGGTTCTCGCTATTCGTCGGTTTTCGTCTCACTTTATACAGGCCAGAGACCATGGTGATCCTCCAAGAGAGGCCTGAATTGGAAGCGAGGATGATTCAGGCTTCGGCAAGGACTTCACACTGAAAAGAGAATGATCCTGCGAGACTAGAGCCAAGGCCTCCGAAAGAGAGTGCAGCTGGCATAGGCCAGCTACCTCCTTTCGCCGCCCCGCCCCCCCATCCGGTGCTACCACATCCACCAGAGGAAGCCCATATCAGGGGAACCCCAATCGCCAGTGGCGTCATCAGCTGATTCAACTGGTGCTTCCGACGTAAAATTGAACTCGAGTGCGGGCGCAGAAACGTCAATACCCAGAGCATTGGATTGCGTCTCTGTGGACTGCTCAGTAGAGACCTCGCAAACTTCCGCAATGGCGGCAATGTCCCTTGGAGCTTCCGTCGATGTGAACTCAAGGGGAACAGTGTCTTCTGGCGTGGTAGCGTCAGACAAGAAGTTCATGTTTGGGATATGTCCTGATATCTCGGACGGAATACACACGGTGGAAAGAACACCGGCCGCGAGACCGCTCTGGATGCACGCGTGGAGACTGGCTTCTCCTCAGGCTTCTGTGACGAAACGGATCTGCGCTCGACCGTCTTCTGTGTCGGAAATCAGACTACCGTGTGCGGCGGCGCATCGCACGTTCGTCCGCTGAGCGCCCTCCCAGCCGTTTGGATGAGCCAAGATGCTGGTTACGACATGACGCCACAAGGTCTGACCGCTGTTGGCATGCGTGTCTATGATAAAACTCTTTGTGCAGATCTCCAAAAACATCGACGGGAGTTTTATGGCGTGGCACGGGATCTAGACGCGTTCGATTCTATTCATTCTCAATTTCATGGTCTTCGGCCAGAGGCGAAGTCTAAAACTGGTAGGAGTGTTAAATTTTGATCAATGATTGCACACAGGAAGGAACGGACACATACAGTGATGTGCGCTCAACTTGTATCGGGTTGATTTGAATTGTGATGTTGAGCTGCAAGTTGATGCGTGGTAGCTGAAAAATCCAGGCGTCATAGAAAAAAAAAAGGCTATGAAAGGCCCGAAACGTTGAGTTGTTCCCGACATCAGATTCGAGCTCGAGCTGGCATTGACCTCGCTTCAAGATATAATATAAATATCAGGTGGCAGTCTGCTGGCATTGCAGATACTGGCACCTGTTCAAAAGGGTGGATAGGCATCGCCATGAATAACAATATTCAGCACATAAAAGCAAGCCATTTTCCTACTGTCCCCTTCAGATTTATTTGATCCCATATCGATATCATATCCTCACAAACATTGCAATGCGTTTCTACTTTGTCCTCGCCGGTATGGCTGCTGTAACAATACTTGCCAGTGACCCCGCCACTGGCAGTGCAAATTGTAATTGGTGGTGCACGCACACTGATGGATGCCGCAAATCAGGCTGCGAACTCCCTAGTTGCGTGAGTATCAGTAATTTGCGTCCTGTATTTAACCACATGACTCACCGACGTGGTAGCATTGGTTGACGTGCACCCAGAGTCCAAGTTGACTTTAGTCACGGTATTGCCGGAAGGTGATAGTGATAGCGAGTGGCAAAGGAACCGATCACAATTGACGACAAAGAGTCCAGACCTAAGGTTATGAGTCTTGGACGAGTCTTGGCTTGGATGTGACTAGATGTGTTGTTCAGATCTCTTTTTCACGGGCTCTTACATTTACTAGCTATTTAAACTCGCTATATATGTACTAGACAGACCCGAGGCTCAGTACTCAGTACTCAGTACCCAGTATTCTCCCAAATAACACCAGACTGGTATCTGGCAAGACAAATATGTGACGTCATTTAAACTTTAATTTAAGGCACCTCGGACTCCTGGGCAACCATTAACCCTACTGTGATGTACCGCCAAATGAATCACAACATTACAAATTGGCTTCGCAATACGCAACAACTTTTCATATCATTGTCTAAGTATGTTGGAGACATTAGATGTACTTGTACAGACAATCTCTGCAATTTTTTTTTTCAAAAATACACCGTTGTTCGCGTTGTGTAGCGAAAACAGTGAACAGGTACATTAAGTGGCCAGTACCGCCAAATGAATCACGTGTATGCTTACTACAAATCAGGCATTGAACCTTACCAAACACTACACTTTGGATCTTACAGTTGCTGAGTCACACATACATTCCAACCATTTCACTCACCAGAGTTGCTACACTTCGTGAATTTCGATAAATCTCAATGTAATAGATACCTAGAAGGTACTCCTATATATTCCAGCTATCTTTGAAGAGTTTTCGAATGTCAATGCTGCACCCTTCGAGGCATAATTTTCAAATTGCCCAAAATGGGGTGTGTCATCAGTGGTAATTGAGACATATCATAATTTTTTCTCGTTCAATGTCAGTCAAAATTCATGCAGGTGATAATGCATGTATGCAGGAGTATATAATAGTGTTTTGCTAGTCATAAGGTTGTGTTGTGTTGGTGTTATGCATGAAGTGATTCATTTGATGGTACTGATTCAAATGGCGGTACATCACAGTACTCAATAACAGTTTATTTCACCAGTTTATTTGCTGCTCAAACGATAAGCGGTGGGAAATAAACTGACAGCGTTATTGAGTGGCAGTTTATTTGCCAGTTTATTTCATACGCGAAGTTGTCGGAGTGAACTGAGAGTGATTGTGATGCCGAGCAGCCGAAGTACGATTGATGAGGAGCAAAAGTATACCAGCATCGAGTATGAGTGACTACTGGAGCGAAGACGGACAACAGAAGCTCGCACTCGAGCTTGCTTCATGGGACCACATCTCTCTTTTGCAAATCCCCGATTTTTCCCCTACACGACATAGAAATGTTGCGAGTTGATATTTTATAGGGCGCTGGGGTCGACCGCCACTCGTGGATGGATAGAACATGGGATCGTTGCTGATGAGGTCGTGCAAATACCAGAAAGTCCTGCGGTCCATACTACGCAGTATTATGCAAGTCAGGAATTGAAGTATATGAAAAAAAACAACTCACCGCAGCCAGACTTTGAACATCCTGTCTGACGAGACATTAAGGAGGATGTCAAAGAAATCCTCGGACTTCTGTTGGTCATATGGTCCTCGTCTACCGCACCTACCATTTCGTCTGTCCTGTCGACGGCGGTCCAAGGCCACCAATGCAAGTGAAACAGCAATGAGCTGATCCCCGGAGTCTTTCGCCTCAGCAAGAAGCACAACTGCGAGAGTTTCCAAGAGTTTCGTAGTAGATTCTCTCTCGCTGATCCGTTGATGCTGACGTCGACGTCGTTGTCGACGCACTGAGCTATCACGCGCCATGAGTGTTCGTTTGCAGAGTCTCTCGGCAAGTCGGTCGGCGGCTATTTCACTCTCCGCAACACGAATGCACATCAAACCTTACTTGACAGTTTATTCCAGTTTATTTCGTCCTGCTCGCTCAAAAAAATAAACTGGCGAAATAAACTGTTATTGAGTAGGGTTATTAGGGATGCTCAATATTCAATTCTAAAATGTCGTTGTCGTTTGCAAGTCGTAAGGGAGCCAAATTCACGCTAAGCGTCGCTAAACCTGTCCTAAACGGGACTTGTACCTAAACCTTACGGCCCGCAGCGCCAACACTTGCAGTCTTAAAACATGTCCTAAACCTCATCATTCCTGGCCCTCAGTAGGCCTAACCCTTATCTAAACCTTGTTATGTAGAAATGCTAGCAATGTATGATCAATTAATCCCATTTTTGAGTGAGAGGTGCATTATATTCATAAACATACTACATAGTACTGGATATATTCTATGGAAAGGGTCGGAAAAGGTTTAGGAGTGTTAAGGATTAGGTCTTCTGAGGTTTAGGAGCACTGCTGAGGTTTAGGACATATTTTAAGACTGCAAGTGTTGGCGCTGTATCACAGTTTCGAAGCCGACTCCAGAGCCACGGTATTTCGTAACGTAGAGATGGATGTCTGGATCCCGTCCTCGGATAGAGATGGTAGGGTGCATGGCGGAGCTTTGTATGAGGCAATGTCAGCTGGGAGACAGCTGTTGAACTCGGACGATTTTCCAACCCAATCTAGGGCAGTAATGTCGCCCGAATGAGCTATAATCTCCTGCAAGAGTCGTCCGAGCGCATTCTGTTTATTCTCGCCGCATATTACAGGGAGGTGGGCGCGGAAGATGCCAAACAATGGGTACGCGATGTCTTCCTGTAAGGTGGCCACACGACTCGATGCCCACTGAAATTTCTCTCGGGCGCCTCTCATCCCTGGGCGGAAGGCGACGAGCGCCCGGACATTTATACCTGTTGCATCCTGCAACTCCTGCATGATAACAACTGACTCCTTGTGGTCGAGCGAGCGGTCGTCGAGATACAGGGTCCTATCTGCTTGGTAGAAGACAACCTTGTGAGGAGCGAGGAACTCCTGAACAGTCTATCCTCGCGTGTTCCAAATGTTGTTTGCGAGTGCGCCAGACTTCGACGAAGGCAGAACGTCCGTTAGATAGACGACGGTTAGTGCTGAGTGACGATACCAGAAAAACATGGAGTGAACTGATTTTTGGAGCTCAATATGGTTGAGCTGGTCGATGCAGCACGTATCGTTCCATGCCCAGTGATGCCCCGCATCACGAGCGATCTGGCAGAACGACTGCAACTTCACAATCATTCCAACTAGATCCAATTTGTACACGACCTTTCCCTGGATGTCATGCAGCAGTGGTTCCTTGCCTTCCCACCGATGTGATGACATGACCCAACTGAAGTACTTGGCGACCGCTTCTCTGATGGGTTCCGTTTGGAGGGGCGTATGCGTCATCGATGATGATAAAATCTCCTTGTACTCTATGCTTTCCATCAAAGCGTTGATCTGCGCCTCTCGATCGCATAAACGTCCAGTGCAGGTGTTGAGCAGACGAAGTGGGGCGTTTTCAAGTTGAGCATCAATGGCTCTTCGAATAGCGCCATCTGCTTGGGACGGACTGCGATACTGCTGACGCAGTTCTGTAGAAAAGTTAATCATATTCACGTCGACGCATGAGTAGCTTATTTCGTATCTGCGGGTCCAGTGCATTGTTAAGCCTGGAGAGCATGACCTTGAAGGCCTCGATTGCTTCGTCGTAGCGTTGAGCCTTGTGAAACACTGCATGCTGCGCTTCGTACCTAAAATACAACGAAGAGTTGGGTTCAATGACCTGTGCATCTGCGATATCAGCACAATTGCTAGACAAATGATGGACGTTATCCGCACCTTTTGCGCGTCATGAAGGGCTTCCTCAAAGAGGTTTCGTCCCAACTTTGCCTTACTGCGGTGCGCACAAAGAGAGTAGCATGAAGGATCCAGCTCTATCCCTGCTGAATAGGATTTAATAGCTCTCTCGAAAATTCGCAGTGGCCTCGTCTCCCTTGCGGCACAGAGCGCAGTGCAGTCCTGCTTAAAGATCGACACCAGAATGAGTCTCGATGTTCAAGTTGTCTATGCTGCTAATGCACTCACTGGTAGACCAACCAAGGTAGTTGACATTCTCATCCTCGTCAATCATGTGCATCATGCATCGATAGTATTTGACCGCTTCGATCGCTCGATCGGCGTGGAGGAATGCCTCGCACCGTCTTTGGTCGACAATTAGCCACAAGGAATCCAAGTCCCAACCGAAGAGCTGTACAGTACACCATGACATAATCATTCAGTGGAAGTGTCACATGCGGCGTCGCAGTACACACCACCGTGAATATTTTCAATCTAGGGTCAATAAGTGTTCTACAAAAGAACAAGTTGGCTATGCTGAGCATGCTATCGTTGAGTCGATCGGCAGCTTCATTGTAACGTCTATCCTCGAAAGCAATCATTGCAAGCTGCACGCATAAATACGACTGACAAGTGTGTTCGAGAGTGAAAACTCATGAGGTCTGACATAAAGCTCACATTGACAGCGCTGCACGGAAGCGTATCTAAGTGTTGATAGGCAATGGCGAGGTTTTGGACACGCCGCATTGCCTCATCATGGCGATTGGCATTGAAAAGTGCTACAGCCTAGATAAAATGACATTGAAGTCTCAGTATCACAAAGTGACTATTAAAGATAGTGATCAGAGTACCTTGATCAATAATAAAAGATTAATGGTAATCAGATCCTGATTCAAAAACATGGAAGCGAGATCGAAAGCTTCCGTCGCGTCCCAGAACTGCAGAACTGCTCCTTGCCGCAGAGAGCAATGCCCTTGGAAATATAGCCCAATAACGAGGGCTGGATAGTAATGGATTATTCACCAAGCTGAGTCAACCTGCGTTCAACAGCCTCATGATAGGCAGAGCGTCTGACCTGGACTACGTCTTGAAATACATTATCCCACTCGGAGTTTCACGTCCTTACAGCCGAGCAATTGGCATAGGGTTCGTGGCTGTTGCCATCTGCGTCAATCTCTCAGGTCAGCAGCTCTTCGGCGGTATGCAGGTCCCTAGCAGTGGATGCATTGCGGATTACCGTCTTTATAGCAAGGATCTATATAAAGCAAGCTCAGGTAAGTAGACGCATCGAATGGAAACAGCTCACGATAATGATTCGTCGTTACTAGTGTGCTTGTCATTGTCATGGTGACTGAATAGCCGCGTGTCACCAAGCTAAATAATGTCGATGAATAGCAAGGCGGACCAATAATTGGCAAGAGCGCACCTGCATGACATTGCAAGTAAGGGGTTTCCGTTCCTGTGGTTTTTCATTCTCTGTCTCCTCCAACTTGCTTTGCTTGAATATGCTCTTCAAGAACCAGAGGCAAACCATCCCTTGTTCATCTCCACTGACAAGCAGCTCGCCATTGGGAGAGATTGCGACACTGCTAACCTCCCCGGTGTATTTGAGTACCACCCCTATCTGCTGTCATATCTCTGTGCTCCACAGCTGAACAGTCTCATCGAACGAGGCAGTAGCAATGAAGGAGCCATCACAAGAGATTGCAAGTGATGATATGTTTTCAGTGTAGATGCCTTTCTCTGCTCACCTCGTACAATCATTGAACCCAGTCCCAGAAACGCTTTCTGGGACTAAAAGTACGTCTTTAATGTAGTGGGCTGGCTGTAATAGCAAGAGGCTATCATGTAGATTCGGTTGCCCATTACAGCCATCCACAGCAAGAAGTTCATCATGGGTAAATCTTGAGTAAATCAGTAGCGTCGTAAGTAAGTAGCCAAAGCAAGGGATCCATCAATGCAGAACAAGTAAGGTATAGGTCCAATCAAGCACGTATCCAAAAGCAAAACAAGACAAAACAGTCACCTACGGATCATCCCAACGCTCCGATTACTGATTCCTTGTTCAAAACTGTGTTTCCTCCGTCTACTATTATCAGCCGGAGATGGCACACCCGACTTCAGACTTGTAGCGCTCGCATTCTTCTTCGCATCCAACGAAAATGCCGCGCCGACTGCGGGCATGCTCAGCCGCCGTATCCAGCCCTTGGGCTTCTCGGGACGCAAGAGAATGGGCGGCTCTGGAGGACGCAGGTCGTGAGGGGAGGGCGTAACCTCTGGTGTCTTATATTTAGTGACAGAACAAGTACCGCAGCCGCAAAATGGTGCGTGACCCTTTGCAGGAAGGGGTGAAGACGGTTGGGAGCGCGATGGAGATTGAGAACCCCGCTGACGCGGTATAGACGTCGAGCTTGGTGGTGGCACGAGGTGTGAGGTGCTTTGCGATCCGCGTTTATGCTGGAATAGCGTCAAACGCGGCCCTTTGGGGGTGTCGCTCGTACTCGTACTGATACGGTCACTCCGTGCGTCGAGGAATTGCATTCGATCGCGCTCGAAATCGCGTGTTTTCTGATTTAGTTCTCGTTCGCGCTGTCGAAGCTCATACTCTTTCTCCTTGAGCTCCAGCTCTGCGAGCTCTTCTATGCGTTGCCTCCGCCTTCGAATGTCTTCTTCGCCGGTAGAGATGTCACGGGAAACAAGAGGGTCCTGATCGACCGCATGTCTATCGGCAGTCGGCGAACCGTTGCTGCGCCGAGGAGTCATGGGCTCATCGATAGGCTGATACCGAGAAGCGAGGTCTGAAACGCTCATCGGCAACCGTGGCACATCCTTCGGCACCTGAGAAGAAGGCTCAATCTGAAAGAAGAAAAAATCAACCCGACTTATCTCAACAACTAAACATCATACTAACCGTGCGACTGTAGCGATTGCGCATGGCTGCAACTACGCTTCCATTACTCACAGAACTGTCAGTGCGCTCAAGCGACTTCTTGGCGGCATCAATGCTTCGGCTCTTGAATGCGCTGCGGATCTCCACTGAGGCACCGAACTCGCCTGGAGGAGGTTGCTCTGGTTGCTTGTTAGTGAGTGTTTTCTCGCTTGAAATTTCTCGTGCGATCAGGGACGACCGATGAGCTTTTGCTTCTTCACGGAACAGCTCTGGGACTTTCTTCTCGCTACCCGTCGAAAAAACCGATCCCACTATTTCCTGAGGAATTCTCTCTCCGGGATGGTTATCAGAGTTATCAGAGTACATATAGTGCGAGGACGGTGGCGTAGTCGGTCCCTGAGACACAGGAGGCGACCTGAAGCTACTAACAAGCGTAGGCGTATCAGAAAGCGCACTCTCGATCGGCTGCGGAGATTCCGATAGTAAGTACGTCTGTTGAGCAGTTTGGCTTGGCTGGGGAACTTGTAAACTCCGCAATTGCGTTCTCTGGCGATGCAGCTCTGTTTCATTGGCAGCTAACGGGACAGGAAAATGTGTTGGGGGGAAGGGGAACGCAGAGAGTGTCGTAATCGAGTTGATGGAGCCCTGGTTCTGCTCGTTGGAGCTGAACGGTGGGCGGGGGCGTTCGAGGTCGATGGAATTGTTCTGTGGTGGAAAGGGGAGCGAGCCTGGGTATTGTTGTTTGCCAGAGCGGGCAGTCTGACCCCATTCAGTCACACCCCAATTGGAAGGTGATGCTTGAGCAGGTGGAGGTGATTCGTCCGGTAGGTCATCGGGTAGGGGACCGGTCCACGCGCCTTCACAGAGAACTCGCCATTCTTCGAGTGGTCCGATAGATGGGGAGAAGCGACGGATGCTTTCGCACGTCCGGGCCCATTCTGCGTCCGCAACTCTTGAAAGACAAGCTGCTATGCTATACGTAGTCGACGTATGCTGTTGCGTCACCAGCAGGGTGTGATTGCTGTCGGATGGATGGTCACAACTCACATCCAAACATCTCCAACAGCCATACGAGCAACTCACTATTTCTCCTGAGACATCTCAGGACCAAGCACGCTGAGGAGATTGACATAACGAGCATGCTCCTCGCCAGCATCACGTGCGCTCTTCTTAGCCTTCTTCTCATACGCCTGACCTTACATGAACCGTTGAGACAATGCAGGTCGCACGGAGAACGGCGTACCAGCTTGCTTGATGCGAGCGTTTGAATCATTCATACGCTCGTCGTGAGTTTTCTCTTCTTTCTTCAGAAGTTCCATGAGTATTGATAGCGTTGAGAATGTGAGGGACGTACTGCGAGCTTCTTGAACCACTTCTTCACCTCGGAACTGATCCCATCGCATTCCTTGTTGGCTATCTTTGCAAACTTGACGTTGACGTCGGAAAGGACGTCGAATATGCTGGCACTAGCAATAAAAGCGTTGGCTGCGCAAGTTTCGTGAGAACGCTTGATATTGTATTGGGGGGCAAATCAGAAAGAGTTTACCTGGAATTTCACTAGTAGTCTTGAGCCCAGCAGCTTCCTTTAGAGCTTTGGAAAGCTTCTTCTGTAATGTGACGATAGCCCCTGCAGCCTCGCAATAGTCATTAAGCATATTCACGAGTGTTTCGAGCGTCCGGCATGATTTGTGGATGTCTGGTCGTTCTGCGAGCTGCGGGGCGGGATTGGTGCTCGACATGGAAATATCTCTGGATACGCTCGAGGTGGGGAAGTAGAAACTGAATACTTTGCTCGCCGCTGAGTGCTCACGCCTGCGCAGTGCGGTCAACTGTCCCTCATCGATGTGGTGAGAGATGATGATCGGACTTTGAATTGATACCAGCGATAATATGCCCAAGTAGAGTGGTGCTATTCCATAATCTGCATGATAGTACAACATAAGACTCATCGAAGAAAATACGCTTTGATAGTGTACAAATATTATAGAGATTGCAAACATGTCAAGTAATACAAAATAAATTTCACGGTACGAAGAGTGATGTATTACTGTTAACTTGAGATGAAGAACTCGAGTCACTCGACCGACCAATAATATTTGGATTCCATGAGTGCGCTGACTAGTGCTTTCTTGTTCTTGAGTGTGTATGCCTTTGGGATGTCCATGTCAGAATCCGTCCGTCGGCGAATATTTATCTGGTCGATCAGCACTACATTCAGGACAGCAAGAAATCCATCTTCGTTCATCAGCAGCGGCTCTACCTTGTCCAGCCGAGCATCCTCTGCTGCACCTTTCTCTGCACGCTCTGCAAGCCGCCTTCGTTTGGCTGCCACTTCTTCCTCGTCATACTTTCGGACGAGTGCTGCTCGGTGCTTGGCCTCAAGCCCTGCAGTTTGCCATTCCCGTGCCTTCCGCATGGTGAATTTATGGTCGGAATTTGTGAACGTGGCGTGCATAAAGGCTTGAGTGTCGTTGCGCTTGAACTGGGCTCGCACATTGTAGTCATCTTTCGGCGTTGTTTCATCAGTGGGACATTTCAAACTACATAGTTCTACGTAGCAAGCCGAAGCGCAGTAGCAAAACCCCGCTACAGTAGTAGTTGAATGCTACAGGAGCTCCGGTAGCACGTCGTAGCAAATCAAACTAAACCATTTGAAGTTAAACTATATTTGACTGAACAAGTCCCAGAGCCAGTATGGAGGCTTTAGTCCTTTCAGCTACTACTGGCTGCTACTTGCTGCTACAGTCGATTCAAAAGAAGCGCTGTGCTACAAGCTGCTACAAGTTACTTCGCTCGGCAGTAGGTTTCCTGATGTTTCTCTCTTTCATAGTGTGTCCCCGTGCTCTATCACAATCAATTCACCTATCGACCGTGGGAATGAAATGTATCTAGCGGACTTTGCAAATTGCACCTCCCCACATACAATTATCGATAGTTGTGTGAATAGGTCCAGAGCTGTAGGGGTTCAATGCATAATATACGAGATGCGAGCGAGCAAGGGAGAAAAAGACCACAGGTGCACGGGCGCGTCGGTCCTCTTGTGTTTTAGTACAGAACAAGTGTCGCAGCCGCAAAATGGTGTATAGCCCTTTGCGGGGGCTAGCGCTCATCGACTACCGGCATGCAAGTCTGTCTGAAACACTGATTCAAGTACGGTACTAATCTTCCAGAGAAGGCGACTGTTGCAGGTAGATAACTAGTACTGATGTGCGCGAGCAGCTTGATGAATCAGGACGACTGCATATGCCCGATGGTCAAGCTTAGTTCAAGGCAGTCGAGTCTTGCGCTAGAACAGATTGCATACTACGTACCCTCTCGTCTGCATGCAGTATTCATGGTTGACTAGCCCGATGTAGCATCGCACTTTAGAATAGTACCTCCATTCAGATAACATTAGCCGTTTGTTCCCGCCAGCGAATTCGAGCTGGCACAAGTTGACCTTGCTTCACAAGGTAAGTAAGTTATGGTCGGACCGTCTGTATGAACTAAGATCTTAGGTGGCAATGTGCTGGCATTGCAGATATCATTTGTTTGAAAGGGTGAAAAGGTGAAAAGGTTCATCCATGAATGAAAATATTCAGCACATAAAACTTGAAGCAAGCCGTCTTCCCACTGTTTCCTTCAGATTTATTTAATCCCATATCACACCCTCACAAACAATGCGTTTCACCTTTGTCCTCGCCGTTGCTGCTGCTTTGACAGCATCAATATCTGCAGCATCAATACCTGCCAGTGACCCTGACACTGAATGTCCTACTATTTGCAACGACGTCATGACAAACTGCTGCCCTGGGAAATCATGTTTGCCGCTGGGCTTCTTTGTGAGTATGAGTAGTTTGCGTCCTGGATTTAACCACATGACTCACCGGCGTGGTAGCTCGTCTGGTTTTGTGTGTGAGTGGCTGTCGCGACAGTACTGGTGAACTACAGTGAGTCGTGTTTCTGCTTTTGCATCGGTGCTATGGTTGATGGCACGACGCGTGAGTTACTAGTACTTTGTTGCTGAGTTGGTCAACGTGCTTGCTTCTGAATAAATTTCACTGCCGCTCGAGCAATGGAGATATTGAAATAGAAGAAATCTCAAACATTTGAATACATACAATATGAATGAAGCACGGTTTGTAGTCTCGTTGTAGTAAGGGGTCGCTGGGGTTTATCACGACCCGATTAGATGGTGGTATATGTGCATCTGCGAAAGCTCAAAGGTCCAGAGATGGCACTTGTGGGAGTAGTAGGTCATGAAAGTCGATGCAGGTTATAGCTGGAGGATTTGGATCTGCTAGCTTCGATGCCCTCGAGATCCAGGCGCGAAGAAAATCACTGCTCAGCGCTCAACACCGACGAAGCAGACGTTAAGAACGTGATGCGACTACCCCTGGTTATTGCCTCCGATACAGCTTAAAATAAATTAATTTAAAGTTTGTCTTGATCTAATTTAATTCACAATTGATAAAGCATTATGTAACTAAAATTAGGCAATAAGTATATATAAGGCGGCATGTGACCAGCAATATTGTGAGTATGAGTAGTTTGCTTTGCATCCTAGATTCATTACTCGAGTAAGTGCTCAGCGCTCACCCCTTGCACCACTCATTGTTGACCAGCCCATCAACGTAGCAGGTCCGCACCTCGCACTTTAGAATACCCCTGGCATCACTGATTCGGATGGTAGCAGTGTTGTTATTAACCCGCGTTATAACCAAATAGGTTATCGCTGGTGCATCCTGCGCGAAATAACTGGGGTTAGTTGGGTTAATGGTAGTTAATTGACTGAGTAGCTGCTGGTAGCTAATTGTTGATGACAATTGGCATATTCGAGCCAAATTCGAGCTCGACGGTTATCCAACTTCGAGTAGTGTCAAGCAGAGCATATATGCAACGTCGGAACGAGATGCCATGGTCGTGTCTGCACATCGATTGTCGGGTGGTGCCGAAACTTTGCTTGGTGCCGACAAGCACCTTGCGAAAGAAAGGTTTTCTTAAAAAAAAACACGGATTCAGCTATCACTGAAAAGGTTCTTTGATAAATAGCTCTCTTCTGAGTCCTTAATGATTAAAAGTTTACCACTGAGCCCCCAACCAGCCCGATATAACGCCAAATAACTCCTGGTGTATTAACCCTACTAACCCCTACCAAAACAGCAGATTCATTTGACTATTTCGCCCATTTTATTTCGTGCAAGCAATATACATCTCATTTGCGAGTGACAGCCAGTAGGAACGGAACAGAAATACAAGAAATCGTAAGTATTTTATTCTAGGTCTACATCATTGTAAAGCGTGCTGAGATTGGAAGTCCCGACGCGACACGCGCATCACAGGCACTGGCAATTCAAACACTGGTACCGCTTGCTCACTGGAAACACGCACTATCCCTGGGCCAAAATGTTTTTGAGCAACTGCCCATTCACGACCAACGCGGACGTCTGCTCTCCCCAACGTGGTCACTGCAGTTTCCTTCCTCAAATCGGTACGACGGACATATCCACATCGACTTCTACACTGATCCGGCCTCTGGTCTTCGTCGATCTCCTCGAAACACGCGTCCCGAGAGCCTCCCAGCGCCCGAGACGTCGTAGACGTGCCATGACGGCTGCCAATATACGTTCATTTATGAAAAAAATGAGCGAAAAAAAATGTAATTGAGTGGGGCTAATATTAACCTCGGTTTGTTCCTGACAGCGGATTCGAGCTGGCATCGACCTTACTCCACACATTGCCAATAGCCCTTGCTTCACAAGGTATGTAAGTTATGGTCCGACCGTCTGTATGAACCAAGTTCCCGAGATCTTAGGTGGCAATCTGCTGGCATTGCAGATATCATCCGTTCGAAAGCGGATTTCGGGTGGATAGGTTCTTCTTATATTGCCATATTCATTCAGATTCAGCACATAAAAGCAAGCCGTTTTCCTGCTGTCTCCTTCAGATTTATTCGATCCCGTATCACATCCTCACAACAATGCGTTTCTCCTTCATCCTCGCCGTTGTTGCCGCTTTGACAACATCAATATCTGCAGCATCAATACCTGCCAGTGACCCTGACACTGGCATTGAAAATTGCCGTGTCTTTTGCTTGCATAGTAGAGAGTGCTGTTCAGGGCAGACATGCGAATGGTTTGTGAGTATGAGTGGTTTGCGTGCTGGATTTAACCACATGACTCACCGGCGTGGTAGATCTTCTATATATGTCGTTGATAAGTGAGCGGCGTGTCGCGACAGTGAACTACAGTGAGTCGTGTTTCTGTGTTCGCATCGGTGCAGTATGGTTGATGGCACGACGCGTGAGCTACTAGTAGCTTGTTGCTGAGCTGATCAATGTGCTTGCTTCTGAACAAATTTCACTGCCGCTCGAGGAATGGAGATTTTGAAATATAGGAAAGCTCGAAATATAGAATGTGCCTGGAGTACAGTTTTGCAGTCTCGTTGCAAGGGTTTATCATTAGATGGTGGTGTGTATATATCTCATCGTCTGCGCATCAGTAAAACCACCGATTCCTTTTCCAGCCTTATGTTCCTTGATGTGCCTTCGAATTTCGTTGCCACAAGTCTAGACCAGCTTACTCCTTGCTTTTTGTACTTTGTTTCGTTACTACTGAAAGCAAATCAAGGCGAGCAAGTGAAAATTGAGTGAAAATCAAATTAAGAGTAATAAGTAGTACAATGTAAATATAATCGAGAGTTTCGAACACGCCGAATTAAAAATGCTGATTCTCCCATTGTATCGGGGACAATTTGCAGGAGGAATTTGTGAAGGATTGTGCCGTGGGGTCATTCGGATTGAGTTGGGCAAAAAGGAAGCGGCACAACATGTTCGGGAGTTGGGGGATTGACAACTCCAATGCTAATGTGGTCCACATGAGAACACGAGAACACTAGAACCAGCAACTCGGTTCGGTTGCAACTGCCACAAGTCCAGTCCGGTTACCAGTTTTCTTCCGGTCCTGCAACTGAACTTGCAAACACTACTTATGATGCCTCCAAAGACTGGCGGATGTGACTGACATTGTCTCTGATGTCAGCAAGTAGGTCCCCTGTGTCAGCAAGTCAGTCAAGCACCATATCCAACTTTTTTTTTGTTGTTTTCAGAACCAGGGCGAAGGTATGTGACATATTTCCGTTAAAAGCGAGCAACATTATAGGAGTATAGTTTTAGAGAGTGCGATGATGGGTGTAAGAGATAAAGAGACGCCCGCACCAGGATAGGGGTTATGAGCCCAAACTGGGTTTGAAATCAACCCAGCCGATTGTAAGGTCATCAAAGGTTTACTGGAACCCATATTCATGTTCGTCTATCCTGTCAGGCAAAGACACGCACTCCACCCTAGTCCGCGACCGAATGGAAGGGTGGGTGTCCATAGGTGCCCATCCGCACACTGGGTAAATGCACGTGGATGATCTCCGGGTCGCCGTCCATTGATTAACCTTTACTCGTACTGACCGGAAACCCGCCTCCAATGTAGTGGGCTGGCTGTAATAGGCAAGAGGCCATGATCATGCATTACTTATCGCCTTTTACAGCCAGCCAGCTGCCACAGCAAGAAGTCCATCTGACACCTTGGAATTTCGTCGGCCTTCCACGGCTGCATCCTTCGCTTGCTTCACTTGATACAATCTTAGTCAGATCCTGGCAGGTGCATGGAATTGATGGAACTCACCGTCCATGCGTTGCAGGTCCTGCAACAAGACCAGGTGTTCTCGGGGAAGTCCTGGAATCTCGGGCCATAACATCAGGTCTTGCGATCCCCTCACGGCGTTCAAAGCTCTGGTCATCACCGTCCTGTGCCTGCAAATCATGCTAGAACTAATTGACAGTGGGATAAACCTACCGTGCCTAAACGACTGGTGTACGTCGTCTTCGAAGGTGTCCCGGCTGACATTGTGATAGCGGTGAGTTGCCAAAGGACGATATCTGACTTTCCGTTCATTGTTTGCAGAACCGAGACATCATATCGCCGACAGAAGTTAGTGTCATCGACATAGTGGGAGGATAGTAACGACCATCACTCTTCCTATACGACGATGACGTTCACTTACTGAAGAGTACGATGATGGGTGTGAGGAATAAGTAGCAAGTAGCTAATGTCCTGACTCTGAAGTACTGGGGATGCCATTCAGACTTTGAATTGATACAACAAGATGATAAGATAACTTCAAGACAAACATGCTAGTCATACACTATATACTACAGTAGATCGTGATATATCGATAGTTGTGTGAGGTCCAGCTAGAGGAGTGCAATGCATATGTGAGATGTGGGTGAGTGCATGTATGACTGCAGCGGGTCTGGAGATTGATTAGCGCGGATGCATGTATGAGGGAGGTTGGCACGAACTAGTGGGAGTGGGACATCTGAACCTCCTTTCAATGAGTTCTAGTCTCGTCTGAATGATGTTCTGCGCTTTGACTAAATCATCAATGATTACGATTTCTGCAGTATGGGCGCATGTCCTACCCTGATGACTTCATACGAAGCAACTGTTTCCAGGGCTTCCGTCTGGATCGAGGATCGGTGCCAGGATGAATTGGAAGAATGTATTTGCTATGAGGTGGTGAATGAGACACGAGCGGGTGCTAGTGACTAAAACCAAGAGTCAGAGGTGTGCTGGGAGAGAAGTAGGTACTTACATCAAGCGAGCATGTCTCGATATTCCTTTGCTCTCTCAGTCCTTGCTGGACGTGCTCGTGATCTGATGATTCATACTGAATGTCTCGTGAGAACCGCAATATACCGGTATCAAACATGCTAGACTTACATCTGAAGCATCAGATGCGAAATATACGCATTGCACCCTGGTGAGCAGGGCATAATGGTCGCTGACCCACCTCCTCCGCGTCGGTTTCCCGTATTTCTTTCCAATAGCAATCTTCTTTGGGGTGTCCATAAATAATCCTGGACGTGGCGTATAGACCAACTTGTCCAGTCTTCCTGGTGCGAGTGGAGAACGAGGTTGATACCCCCAAGTGAAGCCTCTTTCATCCGCATCATCGCCGCTCCAAGCATCCCACAAGCCAACAGATCCAACAATTGCGTAGTCATCGGGTGTGAGAGCATTAAAGTCACCTCCAACGACTCCTCCAAACAGTTCGTCCTGCATTAGAGCATTAGCGATGAGCTTGAGTTGTTTCTCCCTCATTGGAGCGCCATCGGGTAAAGGCTCAAGGTGGGTGTTAGCAATTCGCAAGGTCACGGTAGACTCAGATGACCGGGGGGCTTGCGTTGGATCGAGGAGACCGCTTAGCTTGACATCTACGAAAATAGCATGGTGCTGCAACTCAGAGCAGCTAAAATGAATGGAAAATGACTTTGTGATGCGCAGGGAACGAGAGACGAGCGTAACAGTGCCATACTTGGCAAGCCTAGGCCAGGCGTCTGTGGTGGAGGGAATGACGACGAAACAATTCTGCACCCACTTATTGTGGAGAATGGTAGTGAATGCAGTTGCCAGAACGCCCTGGAGTAGGATAGAGCATGGTTCAGGACATTTGCGATTTGTCCTGCATTTGAAGACGTTGTGTTGGAGATACGAGAGGGAGGCGTCTAGGCGGAGCTCTGCTTCGGGCCTCATGCAGTCAATATTCCACGATACGACACGGATGAAGTTGGGAGTATGCTTCTGGTGCTCTTGTGATCTCCTCAGTTTGAGCTGAAATGGACCTGGAATCCATTGTTTCGATTTAGCAAAGTAATGGGCTGGATGAACGTCTCGATAAACGTCAGTCATTGCCCTCGTTCGAAGGGCATGCGCACTAGGTGTCTTGTCCTGTCGATGGTAGCGTCAGTTAGTAGTAGTAAGTAGCTGTGCTTGCACAGCCCATCATAATGCGTGTAACTTTCATCAAGCCGATCAAGACTACACATGTACAGCGCAAGTACTTTCACGAGGACCTTGAACAAACCTTGAGTGTCATTCTATTCCAATGTATTAATGTTGTTTCGTGTCGAGCTACCTTGCATGAGCTCGCAATGCTGCGAACGCAGCAGCTTACAGTGTGGTGGCAACCTAGGCCTGTTGCATAGGACCAGGATCCACTGCACGCAGCTCACAGGCGAATTGGAATGCATAAACGAACCTCTGCTGGCATGCCTCTCAAAATGCCTCTTACGGTAACGTGGAACGTTGATAGTATTATCGCAGGCACCTTCTAGCGGGTCTTCAAGCACAATGCGACCCTATTAACCGCCTAGACCTTCAAGTTGCGGCATCCCGGCGCTTCAGAAGTCCTAGACTCAGATACGTTCATAAAAATCCCGAGTCATGAATGTTCGACGTTCGACGATGGGTCATCGTCATGCCAGTGATCTTTGATCCAGCGATTAATGAAAATGAAGCTGGAGCCGTTCGACGTCATTCACGATTCACGACCAGAATTCGGCACTGATGGTAGGACAGTGGAAGTCGCCGTCGTGGCGGTATCGGTGGGTATATCGGTCATTATTGTGGGCTCATGATGAATGTGCGTCTCCTCTCGTCATCCAAATTTAACTTTCATTTTGTATTTTAATGCTTCAGCACCGAGACTCGTCTCCTCGGGAGAAGCAAGGTTCTGCTATTCCAGGAGGTTCTCCTCTTCAGTTTGGTTGATTTCATTCAGACTGGGTGTTGCCAAGATGGTTACACGCGGGTCACATGGGCCGCTACTTCCAGCTTTTGGCCATAGATGATGGGAGACCAGACCTGGAAAGGTTACGAGACCTATCTGCCCTTCTGGAAAGCAAAGGTCCTTCTTTCATCGTCATCATAAGAAGATTGACTATAGCAGCTTGCCAACTTGATCTTGACGATTTGATCGAGTTCATGTGCCTCATTGTTATCAGTATATGTAAACCATTATCACCTCATGCTCATCGTCGCGATTACGCCCCGCAATCTAGACGAAGATATATGTCTGAGAAATTTGTGTGTGTCGACTTTGTGGTTGGCTATGCTAGCACGTGCACATGTAGTGAAAAAGCTATACGCCTCCCAACCAAAGCAAGCAGGTTTCCGTATTTTTCGAATCAGAGAAGGTGTAGTTTAAATATCCGTGGGTTGGCGCTTGCTGTAACTTTTGTGATCGACCTGGGGAGGCCTTGACGGGTGAATGGCACTTACGTCCATGAGCTCTGGCTCCAGTAGTCCTCAGTGGGATAACCGTCATCGTGGCTTTATTTCACCCGCTGAACTACAACAGCTCAGACAAGCCAGTCCAGGCAGAGGAACCGATCTACACGAGTTTCACGCACGACAACCTGCAACAACCAGTGCCAGTCCTCCAGGCGATCACGATTCAAACCCTAGCTCTGGAGGAACATTAGGAGGAACTCAACAGGAGGAACAGAGACCACCTACTCAAGCTACTCAAGCTACCATGTCTCATAACAGAACCTCGTCTTTCTTTTCTTTTCGAAAGATACACTCAAGTGACGCGCATGATCACCAACAATCTGCAGTTCCTAACCGCCGCCCAAGCACCGGCGCACCTGACCGCGACTTTGCACCACAAAATAATCAACAGCGCGCTCAAACAATGGGTCCCTTGCGCTCTTCCCCAGACAAGCAGGACCCAGACATGGCTGAAACAGCTCGCAGAACATCTATCACGGCCCCTCCTCTTCACCCTGAAATACGCTCCATTGTTCAGCTCACTGTCGCGCACGCACGCAAAGTATACTTCAGCGGCCCTCTAGTGAAACACGTACAGCGCCAACCTGATGGCCAACGTCCCAAAGATGATGGTTGGACCGAAGTATGGGCCCAACTTGGAGGTACAACGTTGAGCATTTGGGACATGAAGGAGATCGAGAAAGCAAACAAGAAAGGGCTCGAGGTCCCTCCTACGTATGTGAATATAACAGACGCCGTGAGTTTACTGGTCTCTCTTTCCATACTCGTGGTGATGACACTGGCTGTAGTTTGTTCACGTATTAGGTTCAGTGACTATCCCTGAGACTGCAGATCGTCCGCGAAAGACGTACACGAATGTTCTCACCCTCAACACAGCAGGCTGCAATTTGCTCTTGTTCAGCTGCCCGTCCATACCGGCATTGCAATCATGGGCGACCGCCCTCCGTTTATCTGCATGGGAAAAGTCTCGTCTCGAAGAAATGTACACTGCTCATTTGATACGCATAACTCTCCTCGATGGTTCGTTTCCTCACTGGAACCTTCATATTCATTCCTGACTATCTTCTCAGGCAAGGACACCCGCTCTACCCTCGTCCGCGGTCGAATGGAGGGCTGGGTGCTCATCCGCGTCGCTGGACAAACGGACTGGAAAAAGTTGTGGATGGTCATTTCCGGGTCGTCGCATTCCTCGACCCTCGATCCTGGAACACCCTCTAGTGCCACTGGCAGTGGTCCTACTCCGAAGAAGCGCATGTCAAGTCTCTTCTCGCGGGAGCATTCCCCTGAACCACTCCCAGTCAAGCCTCTACTCGCACTTTACGCATCCCCAAAGCCAAAGGACAAGAAGCACCCCCTCCTTACGTTTAGGGAGGTTTCGCAGGCGTTTGCTGTGTACCCAGAACGCCCAGAGTTGATCAACCGCAGCACGCTCATGAAGCTTGAGGGCCTGTTTGGGGATGAGGATATGGCAGGCGGGTTCAAACGGAGGGAAGGGTGGTTGCTTATTATGCCTGAGCTCGAGGCGGGAAATACGCAAGCGTCCGAGATGCTCAAGTGGCTTGTCGGTGAGCAGAGTATATTAGTCACACAGAATAAATGGCTCACCTTTTATATAGCCCTTCACGACGCCTTTGAGCTATACGGACGTCCCAAGGCATACACATGGGACCCTCGTGACCCAATTTCACTGATGTTTGCTTATCCAGTCAGTCCAAGCAAAGATGTAAGCTCGATTTGCCCTGCCACGTCAGTTTACTGATGTATTGGATGATAGCTCCTGTTCCTTGATCGCGAAGTTGCAGAGACCATGGATCCACGTGACGATCGTACATCTGTCATTCGTAATCGTCTCCTCAATATCCTCCACTCGCGCATGCCCGCGGCTGTGACGCCCGTATTGCCCTCTATGGCTCTTGGTGCTGAGCCAAATCGCACACTGGAGCAACAGTCCATCACAAAATACAGCTCAGCCCCCATCACAGACACAGAACGGTCAGCTTGGTTATCTCCCCACGATCAATTTCGACTTGTCCTCGCCACCGGACCTCACTGTCGGTCGTGTTCTCTCTCCCATTACGGAACGGAGCATGACGCGCGAAACGCTTGCGGATTTCGCTCATACGCACAGCCGCTCGATATCACATGAGCATCACGGGCCTGAGCCGATGATGATTAGCAACTCGATGTCGAGTGAGGTGCCAGATTCTGTTGGCCCGTCGATGAGCAGCGGGCACCAGGACTTTATGTCGCGTTCCATGTCCGAACATAGCCAGCAGCATCTGCTTTCTCCGCTCAGCCCGTTGGACCCAGTTCCAGAAAGCGCATGTGGGACTAGTTCGATAACAGGGCTCGTATTGACCGGAAGCCCGCTTCCTACGACGATTTCACTCTCCGAGTCAAAGCTTACGCCGAGCTTAGAGACTGCGCAAACGAAGAGCACAGAGGCGTCAACAAGTGCGAGTGTGGATGTTGGCGGGTTCAAACTTCCTCTCACGCCCGAGTCTCCTGGGTCACCTACATTTTCTACGGGCTCAACAAGTCCCAGCTCGGGAATGGGGAGGCCGACTTCACCAGGGATGTCTTTGACGTCTCTTGTTGCTCCTGTGCCTATTAGGACATCGGCTTCGAGATCTCCCCCTCCTTCCTCCAGGCTACTTTCAAGTCTCACATCGCCTTACTCTCCTAAAGGGAAGGAGAAGGAGCTACCTTCCATTCAAGATGTGCAGGATGTCTTGCATTTGCCGCCTGGAGCACTGTCTCCGCCCATCACTTTACCGCTGCGTAATGCAGGTTCACCACCTTTACCTCCCAAAGCGCACTCACCTACCCTATCGTCAAGGTTGCCTGTTCCTGTAGCATCAGTTCCTATCGTTCCCACACAGCCCTCTCAACCAGTGCAAGACTCTCAGAGTATCTTTTCGGATGCTCTGTTCTTCATGCAACAACTTGACGATAAGCCCAAGAACCCGCCACGGCGCGTCCCAACAACCATTTCAGAAGCCTCAAACTCCGACGACAGCTCAGTGTCTGACAAACCCCTGCGCTCCGCGCGTCGGGGACCGCCGATGTCATTCTCAGAGTTGGGAAGGGCGGAGCCTAATATAAGCGAACCAACCATGATTGGCTCGCGGCATTCCCTCGGACGTAAGCCGTCCGGAGCACGTGTTCAGCCCACTAGCCGAGGACTAAATGTGGAAGCCACATTGGTTTCCTCACCTTCTTTAGAGCACGTTCACGTTCACACCAGCGGCCAGGCCATGGCGGATTCGCAGCAAAAGAATATCCAAAAGCAGAACAGCGGCGACGATGTCAATGCAGATGCACTTGCAGCGTTGTCTTTCCTCGATGGTGCACCAGAGGCGCCACCACCACCTGCTCCTGCACCCCAGCCACCCCCGCCGGCAGAACAGGACGTGTCATCCGAGCCTACTATCGAGGGTAGCGCTGCATCTGAAAGCTCAGAGGGTGTCACGCAGTATAGGTCGTCGTTTGCACCGTCCAAGCAAGCGGCACAACGAAAAGCGCGTGCACAGGCCCAGCATCAGGCAGTGCTGCACAAGCCTGGGAGAGCGAACGGGAAGCGAGCCACGCCTGGGAACCGGCTCGCGGGGTGGAACGAGAGTAGCGATGAAGAAGAGGAAGAGGAAGAAGAGGACGATGACGACGACGACGCTGATTCTGATGAGGAACCGCCGTCCACGGCAGAGAGCAAGAAGCCGGGTCCAGTCGCGCCTGTACCGGTTGCATCCGTCAGACCCCTGCGCCCTGGCAGTGCGGGACGTCCTGGTAGCGCGGGACGTCCTGGTAGCGCGGACCGACGTGCTGTGACGCCAGGGGAACAAGCAACCGACGCGAATCCCTACGCGCAGCTACGACAACCTCGTAATCTGCCGCCAGTTCCGAGGCCGATGACACAAGGTCAGTACACCTGTCTTCATTGTCTTTTTCATGCGTTTCTAAGCTGACCTTGTATCAGGCGGTGTGCCGGATGACTACATGAATGCCATGCCACCGCCTCGACGACTCACATCCGATCAGCATATGCGAACACCAGATGATGCCCCTCACCTGCGCCCTCAGTCCGAATATACTTCCCAAGTCCTTCGACCACAGGCGGACTTTAATCAGCACGCTGCCACTCGTCAGAGTATTTGGACACAGGTTCTTGATCCTGGTCGCACGCCTGGTTCTCATCCACAACCTGAAACTCCTTCGTACCAAAGAGACCCTTTCATCCAGTTGGAACCCGCCAATCATTCCATGACGAAAGCCTTCACTCCACATGGTCTGCTATCCGCTGGGATGCAGGACAAGCAGGACCGGTCAGCCAAAAGACAAGAAGAGCTTGCGCGGGAAACTGGTGCCTCCCTCATCAATGTCCCTAATAAACCACCACCGCCTCAGACGGGTCTTTTGGGCGCAATCACTGCTCATGAGCGAGAGCGTAAACGTGAGGGCGGCGTCGGTGCTGCTCTGACGGAGCGCGAGCGTGAAAAGAGGCTCGCTGAAGACCGACAGCGCAAGATCGACGAATTCCAACGCAGTCAACTGGAGATGCAGGGCATGTATGCGGGTGGTCAGCAGTACCCCAACATGATGGGCAACCCGATGATGGGCAATCCTATGATGATGGGGATGAACCCGATGATGACTGGTGGGAACCCGATGATGGCCGGCGCCAACCCGATGATGGCTGGTGCCAACCCTATGATGAACGGCGCCAACCCCATGATGACTGGTGGATATATGGGCTACCCCAATATGATGCCAGGATATGGAAATCCCCAGTTCTTTGCGCACCAGGCGGCTCAAGCTGCTTACCAACAAGCGATGATCGCTGCATACTCTTCTGCTGCGTCACATGTCGGCGATGGCATGCACCCCACGCCCATGAATCCCATGATGACCGGTAATGGGATGGGCTATGATCCTCGGATGTCGATGATGGGCGTGCCGATGATGGGCAATCCCATGGGCATGAATCCTATGGGTGCTGGTATGGGCATGGGAATGGGAGGTGGTGGCATGGGAGCTATGGGAGGCGGTGGCATGGGAGCTATGGGAGGTGGGGGCATGGGCATGCAGATGACAGGTGGTTCGGCATTCGACGCACGATATTCTCCAGCTAATATGGAAGACCTTCGTCCCCCCGGCTCGCTCGCGCATGGTCAACGCACTGGCCACAGCTCGTCCCGTAACAGCTCGGCTGGTCAAGGATCGCCCGCAGGACCACGTCCCGTCGATGCCAAAAGCTGAATTGCAGTTTCCTGTTTATAGGCTCCTTCTCGGTCAGGCGTGCAAAGACAGTTAAATCATTCACGCTTTTTATGACGTTTACGACCATAAAATGCCGTTTGCCTAGTTTATCAATCTTCATAGCTCCCCTCCTCATGGACTTGGTCATCATTTATCTTCTGCATAGTTATATCTGGGTCCCTGACGAGATTTGTTACGTCGTAGTATCAGGTGTATCTGTCGATCATAGACTGTCTTTTTCACTGGTGAACCAAATGTCGTGTTGTCCGTGAGCGGGTGCAATTCCCCACGTGGGGCGCTCGGATCAGGAGTCTTGTCCAAAATGACTCTGACCACCGTTAACGTTCACCAACTTCCTTAGAATACTGACAGATGGGTGTGAAGTCACTATGGGATCTCTTGACTCCAGTGGGCCGTCCAGTGCCGTATGTACTCTCCATGGCTTCCGAGGTTCCAGGCTTAAACGTCGCGTTTGTATTAGGCTCGAGACCATTGAAGGGAAAGCGCTCGCGATTGATTCTAGCATTTGGATTTACCAGTTTCAAGCTACTATGCGCGACAAGGATGGACGTGCATTAGTTAATGCACATATGCTTGGTTTCCTCCGACGTATTTGCAAGCTATTGTTCTATGGGATTCGCCCAGTATTTGTCTTTGATGGAGGAGCTCCTGCGCTCAAGAGAAACACGATTGTAAGACACTCTTGCCTTATCATTATCTCAGTTTTGACGGCATGGTCCAGATTGAGCGTAAGAAGAAGAAGAGTGGTGCTGCTGCAACTCACGCCAAGATTGCGGAGAAGCTGCTGGCAGCCCACATGAGACGGGAGGCTTTGGTACATGCTCAAGCATCACAGTATGCGACCTATTGTATCCTGAACAAATGTGCAAATGCTCATATCTGTGAGCCAGCCCCCCAACTTCAAATGGAAAACAGAAAGCGCCCTCAGGACCCGTAGTCCTAGATGAGAATGTGGTTTATCTGGAGGACATTGATGGCTCTGCGCCGAAGACACCAGCAAAGAAGAAAGCAGAAGAAACACCCCCGTCGTCAAAGAAGAAAGCCCGCTTTTATGATCACGATCCGTACAGGCTTCCAGACGTGAACCTCGAAGAGCGCGTGGCGAAGGCCACTAGTTCACGGGTTCCGGACCCGCGACTCGCCACAGAGGAAGAGCTTCGGGCATTCATTGAGGATATGCGTCCGGAGGACTTTGATGTCACTTCTTCAGCATTTCAGGAGCTGCCCACTGAAGTTCAGTATGAAATTGTTGGTGACCTCCGGTTGAAGTCACGTCAGACATCGTACAAGCGCCTGCAGAATATGCTACGGAAGGCAGCAACGCCCCTCGACTTCTCACGAGAACAGATCAAGAATCTCAAGCAACGAAATGCTCTGACTCAACAACTCTTGACGACCACCGACAGTATCGGTAAAGCACACATTACCATCCCTGTTCGAATTGCCAGTGAACGCAATCGAGAGTATGTTCTTGTCAAGAACGAGGGGGCAGATGGTGGTTGGGTCTTGGGCATCCGGGACGAAGGCACACGGTCAAAACCAATCGAAATTGATCAAGACGAGCCCACACTTCAAAGTGACAGCGATGATGATATGGAGATGGAGGAAGTCAGTATGTACGCTAGCATGCTTCATTATTTTTGATCATCTGTTCATCGTATTTTCAGACCAGGTGGTGGAGCCACTGACCCCGATCTTCGGGAGTTTCAGTCAAGTATGGCATTGCACACCATAGGTAAACGCTCGCAGCCATCTGTTCTAAAACCTGTCCAGAGGCGAATCAAATCGAAGCCTTTGTTTGACCTGGATGATGACGACGACGACACATCCAGACCTCTGATTCATAACGAATTGGAGGACATTGATGATCCTGAGCTTGCCCTGGCAATTCAGGCTTCACTGGAAGATAGTGCTGCCAATTATAAGCCTAGTACGTCTTTCCAGAGGAGGGATGCAGTGAAAGTTGACCTTCGTTTAGTCACTTCAGAACCTTCTCCTTCCAAACCTAGTCCTCCTGCAACTCCTCAGTCAAAACTTGCTCATCTAACCCATGATTCCGATGACGACTTATACACGTCCCCTTCTCGGCTGGAGACTGCACTCTCAATTGCAGGTGCCGGTCCAGCGCGAAGGCTATCTGGAACTCTGCCCGATCTTCCGTTGCAGACGTCGTTTGGGAAGGCAACTTTGTTGATGTCGCCGAAGACAGCGTCGCGTCCCATGCCATCCGTTCGATTACCCTCGTCAGAATCAGATGAGAGCATGGATGAAGTATTGCCTGTACCATCCTTCGAGGTACCAGATATAATGCCGCCGCCTGTTGCTACCGCCACCCACATCGAACCATCTCCCTCCCCCCAATTTTTGCAGGATGCCGCACAAGATTCAGATGACGACATGGAAGAAGTCGCGGTCACTAATGAAGGCCGCGTCGAAGAATTACCCGAGAGTTCTGTACCTGTGATGCTCTCAGCACCAGAAGTTCTCGATGCGGCCAAAGAACGACGATCAATATCCTCTGCCTCTTTTCAACTGCCGAAGACGTTGGAACCTCCTTCGCAGCCTTCGTCATCTAGTATGGTCACGCCCGAGGCTCCGATACCCGAGAGTGACGATGAATCTGATATCGAATGGTCACGGTCTCCGTCTCCCGTTCATGGTGCTGCTCCTGAGAGTGCTGAACAAGGAGCATCTGCTGCCGCAGAAACATGGGATGCTGCTCAAGAGATGGATCCCCATGCTGAAGAAGGCGAATTTGTTCGCTTTATCTCTCAAGTTAAGGGCAAAGATTTGAATGCCGTCAGAGATGAGATCGACGAAGAGATTCGGACGTTGAATCAGCAGAAGAAAGCAGCGATGCGTGATTCGGAAGACATCACTCAACAGATGATCTCTCAAATTATGGTATGTCTGATGCTCCGGTCCATTATTCATTTAAGCTCACCATCTGGTCTAGTTGATGTTGCGTCTCTTTGGTATTCCATACATAACCGCACCGATGGAAGCCGAAGCACAGTGCGCAGAACTAGTGGCGCTGGGATTAGTCGAGGGTATCATCACGGACGACTCTGACGTTTTTCTTTTCGGAGGTATGCGCGTCTTCAAGAATATGTTCAATCAATCGAAGACTGTAGAATGTTTTCTTTCGTCTGATCTCTCACGGGAGCTTGGGCTGGAACGCGACACGCTCATTCGTCTGGCATATCTGCTCGGAAGCGACTATGTCGAGGGGCTTCCTGGGGTTGGCCCTGTAGTGGCCATGGAACTGCTCAAAGAGTTTCCAGGCGAGGACGGCCTTCACAAGTTCAAGAACTGGTGGATCAAAGTCCAAAGTGGGCGGGACCGAGAAGAGGACAATACGACCAAATTCCGGAATCGTTTCGTATGTGCCTTGCTGAAAATTTCGTTTTCTGATGCAAGTTGATGTGCTTATCTCTTGATCTAGAAAAAGAAGTTCAAAAATCTGTATCTGTCGCCGGAGTGGCCTAATGCGTTAGTGGTGGGTGGCTGCTGCTTTATCTGCTGCAATGGAAGACTAATCTCTGGGCCATAGAGGGATGCTTATTATCATCCGACGGTAGATTCATCAGAGGAGCCGTTCAAATGGGGTATGCCCGACCTCGACGCCCTCCGACAGTGCGTAGCAACCACGTCCCCGCAATAAAAATGCTCACAAGGTTCCGCAGCTTTTTACACGAAGAGCTACACTGGAACCAATCCAAAGTTGATGAGCTGCTGTTACCCATCATTCAGAAAATGAATAAGCGGAACCAGGTATGGAAAGGCTATGTGTTATGGCATTCAATCAATATCCGGGTATTCATTTGCTCAATATGTTTGCCAGGCCGCAGCTATGAATCGGCAGGGCAATTTAAATAGCTTCTTTGAGGTTGCACCCGGTAGCGGATCATATGCTCCCCGGAAACGACAAGCATACGGAAGTAAGCGCCTTCAGCAAGTGGTTACAGATTTCCGAAAACAGCAGGCACAACGGAACACTAGCATACCACCTGATGAAGCAGATAATTTCGTACCTGAAGACGACCAAGAGCCCGCGATCAAAAAGAGGAAAACAGACACTAACCAGAAGGGTCGAACGAAACCCAGTCCTGCGGTGGCACCACAGAAAAAACAGCGGGCAGTTACTAGCCGCAGAGGCAAGGGCCGCGGTGCCAAATTGCAGGGCTCGTCCGCTAGGACACTTGAGGAATCTGGACCTGAAAGCGGAGACGAGTATATTGGCAATGTTAATGATCGTGACGGTCCTTCCGCCGCAGAAACCTCAAAACCCCGACTCCGCCCACGGGCGAGACCAGTGGCAAAAGGGACCCGAATACCTGACAGATATACCATACTTGCGGCAGAGTTCGAGGGTCCTTAGCTTAAGTAACACGTACATAACCATAGCGCATGCACTTTCTCAGGGGAACTGGACTTGTGTTGTGTGCCAGGCTGTTGGCGGAGTGCAGTCAACGGTAACGAATCATCACGCAAAGGTAGTAGAACGCGTGATAGCGAAATTCTCCCGGATAAGAAACGTGAGGTCTAGGTACACCGCAATATTACTCGTCGATCTCTTCAGTCTCTTCTCTAGCCTAGAACACCAGTCAGATCGACCCATCGACAGACACGTGGGACACGAGCCCACCTTATTTTCCTCAAGTCCGCCAAGTTCACGTACAAGACCGGAGTACGGGTATTCCCGGGGTATGGTTGGTCTGTCTGGTACGAGTGCGTACTTGCATAGGAAACCGAAGCCAACGAATGCCGAGATGGCGAGAGAAAGCTGGAACAGAGCCTTTTGAGGGGCAATCGGAGGAGTATCAGGACCCCACATGGACAAGACTTCGTCGTATTCATGTATCTGAAAAAAGGTATGGTCTGAGACGTGATTACGCGCCGGAACTGGGTAATAATGCTGACCGGATCCCCAAAGTTCCGTCGCATTTGCTGATCCCACCAGCCTCTAGGAGGAAGTTCCTGGTCTGATAACCATGGAAGGTCAGGGTAATCGGCAAGCTGAGGGTCTTTTTCGTGTTGTTTGTACGTTGCAGGCGTTGCGTACGCACGCAAAGATAGGGGCGATCGCCTTAGTGCAACGTTGCGAATGACACTCGCGAAACGGAGTGATGTTGAGGAGCTCATTGAAAGTCGAGGTGAAGTGACCAGTTCGATGTGACCACTGAATGAGACCAACCCCCGAAAACAACTACCAGGACCCCGGATACTAGAGTAGGTCAATTAATTATGGGAAAGAACCGACGGGATTCGGGAAGCTTACTCTTGCATGCTTATTGACAAGCGGACTCAAGCGAACGGCATCTTTCCTATCTTCGCGGCCCTGCAAGTCCATGAATGGTACAAACTTTCATGGCATGCTTGGAGAAGATGCGGCCGTCATCACCTCCCCAAATTTTTCGAGGTAGATCGTTTATCATGTTGCAGCTTGCTTCTACATTGCTAACATTCAAAACCCTTGTCCTATTTCAACGAATTTACATCACAGGTCCTCCTACTTGCATATAAATTGGCTCATCTATAACGACTATCATACATATGACCATCGGCATCCATCAACATCCTAGATAAAATCATCCATGCCCATGCACCTTCTTCCATCGTCATGAACGTTAACGATAGCCCCCACACGAACATCGACGTCGCCCTACTTTCAATGCCAAAATGCAGGCGGCTTCCCAACGAGATTATTTCACCTTTGCAATATACAAACGACATAGTGAATTTGTGAGTTCCATTTTTAACCATGCTTCTGCTTTCTGTCTCCTTACCAATCATATTTCAGTGATCACTGGGATCATATGTTTATAACAAACTGTTGTAGGAGCTTGACGCTTTATGATTTTGACGGCCCTCCGTCTACAATTCTCGATCTTGGGTGTGGGCGCGGTCTTTGGGCCATCGAAGCCGCCAGGCAATGGCAGGTTGGTGAGATTATACACAGCGCAAACCGTATTTTTACGGGTGGATGCAGGGCAGCACAGTTGTTGGGTTCGATATCGAGTCCAGGCAACCACGTTTGAATGTCCTCGAAAAGTCTGTTTCTCGTCGGCTGAGATGGGTACAAGGCAATCTGTAAGTTATAACGGGTTCCCCACGCATTCCATAATCCGAGTCGTATCTGATGTGCTTCTTCAGGCTAGAACAGCTACCATTCCTGCCTGGTCAATTTGACTTCGTGAGGATGGTCCGAATGGGCCTACACATCCCAGAGGATGAGGTTAGTCCTTCCGGCATCGCCTAGTTGACTTGCTAATACCTTTTTCTACTGTGCAGTGGCCATCAGTTCTGGCGGTAAGCGAATTGTCCGTCGCATGTCGTAAACCCTTTTTGAATTTGCTTTTACCTGACATACCTCAGGAGATCGCCCGCATCCTCAAACCTGACGGTGTGTTCGAGGTGCGGAGCTTTTTCCCGGTCGTATTATGTATCGGCTACCCTGACGGACTTCCAGGTTATTGAAGAAGACCTACTATTTCCATGCCAATCTCCACGATCACATGATGTGACCTCCACCAGTGGACAGTCTTCCGGCAGCTCTACCCAGGGCTCATTGGCAGATACGGTGGTAACCGCAACTTCTTATCACAAATCTGTTTCCTCCCTCAAGGTCAAAAATAAAAATACCAGCCTAGATACATTTTCTGGACCTTCATCCACGTCACTATCTTCGTCAAGCTCACTATCCTCCGTGCTGGATGCCCAACTCAGGCATCCAAAACCCCCAGATCCGCAAGATCACTCACGGCTTCAGCGAGCATGGGAGGAGATGCTCGACACATATTTCTTGTCGCCGCAACCACTCTCCGTCTTGCCACTGTATCTCTCGCTATCATTCTCCAGTATTCGGTCGCATCCCCCACTGCAAATTCCCTTACCACGCAACTCTTCGGATAGACAACAGCTTACGAGTCAACATTCGATCTCGACTGTACAGCTTGATCCCGCAACTCTTTTTGAGCTTCGAGCCTTATCGGCCCAACCGGCAGCTGAAGCCGATTACAGCTCTCGTGCTTCTGTGATGACGGCAGGGGGTGAGCGGAGCATGTCGTCATGGGCATGCATGCATCTCGCTAGGACCGTGCGCACAATCGTGGGTTGTAAAGAGTCCATCTGGAGTGCTTACGAACGATTGTACGGCGAGGACCCCACGCCTCCAGTCGTCCGAACAACACAACAACAGAAGTCCAGCTGGTGCGACCGAACATCTCCCACCAACCCTCTTCGCGATTACTTTGAACGCGACTGGATCAATTGGGAAAAGTAATTCATTCGCTTTTTGAATGAACTATATAGCTAACTTTGGTTCGTTTGTACAGCGACATGGCAGATCGCACCAGCATACGGGGACGCATGCGAGCGGAATTAACGTGGTGCGAGCCGGTCGGTAAACCTCCAGATTGGCGCCTGTGGCGTAATTCTTTGCCCCAGGAAGATGCGTGCTCTTATCGAGAGGAATCGGCTGAATATTGCCGGTGCCTTCGTGGCTTTGTATGTTTTAAATCTTAGGATCAATATGTTATGACCCGACGACGTTATATACCCCTTTATTGCACACAAATTTGCATGTCTCAATGCATCAGTTGACAAAATCATTTTCGTGACTCCCGCGTGATATATGGCCCGCCAGTATTGAAATGAGTGATCTGTTTGTACGTTGGAAACATCTATCGTTGGGAGTTGTGCTGAGAGGCTTGGAAGTCGTGTCTATCCCATTCCTCGTCTAGTCAGAATTGTTTCCCAGGTCAGCGGGTCCGAAGCGAAAATTTAACATGAACAACTGGCACCCAACACCCACTGTCGAGCTGCACAATCGTTCTCAGGGTTGTTAAGAAACAGCTATGCATGATGCGTTATTATGTAGCTGTATACAGAGAGCAATTTATAGTAAGAAAACGAATAACAACTGTGGCGAGATCGACAGTGTCAAGGAGGAACAAATTAGGTACGAGAACTCATCAAGCTGCGCGAGGTTTACAAACATACGAGAAATGAAAAGAGTATTAAGTGAGGAAGTCATACGCATCGCCTCCGATCATTGGTGGCAAGAAGCTGAAGTTCGACAACATTCGTGTGAGCCATCGAGGAAGAAAATAATGTTTTCCGTGGGAGTGCAATGGGAATGAGATCTTGTACGTCAGAGCTATTGTTAACGAGCGCGCGAGATCGATGCAGTGTTGTGGAGAAGCAGTTTAGGTACGAGAGTTGGGTTGCACGATCGTAGTCGTACAATCCAACTCTCGTACCTAAACTGTTTTTGACAAACATGCGAGAAATGACCAAGTGACGAAGTCATATCCCACGCCTCCGATCATTGGTGGAAAGAAGCAGTCGAGAACGTTCGTGTGAGATATGAAATAACGTTTTCCGTGCCGAGTTGCGATGCGAATGAGACCTCATACGTCAAAGCTGTTGTGGGCATGAAGTAGGACTCGCATTCTGAGGGGGGAATGGACGACTCCCGCTTGAGGCGTCATCCCCAACGTGTCCAATGCGAATGGTCGAATTTAGGAGCAACATGCGCAAAGGCAAAGATACCGACCTGCGGAGAGCGAGGGTGACTTGGACTCGGGAGGAAGGAAGGCGAAATCAACGAAGACACTTATTCTCTGATCCCACCTTCTTCGCCCTGAGTCTGACATGGGCAAGTCCCCCAGCGAGGTGGGTTACAGGGAAAATCACATTTCCAGCCCTTAGTGATCATCCATCCAACCGAAAGGACGTTGACCATCGCGCCAGGAGTATGCAGACAGCTTCTCAGACGAAAACAATGCCGATTCCAAGTGAGAGTGAGCCAGGCTACGCAACCGCCATATCCAGATCCTGCATTCGCGCGCTCAGATTCTAGGCGAGAGGATGTGATGGCTTGTGTGTTGAACAAGACGCAACGCCTCGGCAATGATACGCGCCACACAGGTGAACGTGGGGGTCGAGGAGGATGTGGAGATGCTGCTCAGGACTGCATCGTGGTGCATACGCTGTAGGAGCTCTGACGTCATATAGCCTCCTGGCGTTGCTGGCGGTCCCATGAGAGGATGGGAAGCTGCTTCCTCATCGGAGTAGGTAGCGCCCTTTTCGTGAAGGGAGACGTGCTGGATGAGAAAATTAGAGGCGTCCGCCAAGTCTTTCATCTTCAAATGAATGATCTGACGAATATGATGTTGGGTTCCGATATCGTTGCGGTGCTTCTGAATCGGTATCTTGGCCTACTTTTGTGATGTTAAGCTGCAATTTGAAGTTGATGCGTGAGTTGTAGGCTAGGGCTGAAAAAATAGGCGTCATGGAGATGACGTGAAAAGCTATGAAAGGAAACGTTAGTTTGTCCCCCGCAGCGGATTCGAGCTGGCATTGACCTTGCTTTAAGATCTGAGGTGGCAATCTGCTGGCATTGTAGATACCATCAGTTCGAAAGGGTGGATAGGTTCTTCCTACATCGTCATGAACAACAGTATTCAGCATATAAAAGCAAGCGGTCTTCCTACTGTCCCATTCAGATTTATTTGATCACATATCACATCCTCACAAACAATGCGTTCTCCTTTGTCCTCGCCGTTGTTGCTGCTTTGATAGCATCAATATTTGCAGCATCAATACCTGCCGGTCACCCTAGCAGTGACTGTCCTTTCTTGTGCTTGCATACTAGAGACTGCAAAAACTGCTATCTCGCGAATGAATGCGTGAGTATTAGTTTGCATCCTGTATTTGACCACATGACTCACCGGCGTGGTAAGTCTTCTTCGGATGCGGCGAATGAAGCAGTGAGATAAAGAGCCTCTGCTGGAGGTAAATGTTAGTGAAGCGGACTACACAACATACCTGCAAGTTGAATCGGTTCAGTCCTTTTCGCTCAAATTTGACATGGGGGCAGAGTACTTAGAAGTCGGCAAATATTTCGAGTGTGATAATGAGTTGTTTGAAGTTGTGTCGTGTGTCGTGGATGCGGATTAGAGAGTTAGATTACTACATGCATATTATCCCCGACACCCACTTTTATTGAGAGGCTTCTGTCAGGGAGACTCAGCTGGATTTTAGCCAAATATCCTGTTTCTGCTGACAGACCTCAACCTAACTTTTTTTTTGTAAAAGCAGTTCAACACAACGACCGAGTGACGAAGTCATATCCCACGCCTCCGATCATTGGTGGAAAGAAGCTGGATGTCGAGAACCTTCGTGTGAGATATCGAGGAATATGAAATGACATTTGCCGTGCCGAGTTGCGATACGAATGAGACCTCATACGTAAAAGCTGTTGTGGGCAGGAAGTAGGATTCGCATTTTGAGAGGGGGATGGACGACTCCCGCTTGAAGCGTCATCCCCAACGTGTCCAATGCGAACGGTCGAGTTTAGGAGCAACGTGTGCAAAGGCAAAGACATCGAGCTGCGGAAAGAGCGAGGGTGACTCGGACTCAGGATGAAGGAAGTGATATCAACAAAGACTTGGTTCTTCGTTACTATCACTTTCACTCGTCCCGAATCTAACATGGGAATGTCCCCCAGGCGAGCTACACTATACACGAACTCACAGCGTGGTGGGTCACAGCGGAAGTTACGTTCCCAACCCGTAGTGACCACCCATCCGACCGAAAGGAATACGGTGCCGATTTCCGTTAAAAGTGAGCCAGGCTACGCAATCGCCATGTCCAGAGATGACCAGATTCCTGTTATTGGCCGTGCGCACGGTCACAGAATCAGCGGTGGAATATGAACAAAAGAATTCACGGTCTCTGAGGAGCGTGAGCGAGGTACTACGATCTAGGATAGTGGAGAGAACATGAGTCGCGATGCTAGCCATGTTGTGGGGTCGAGGGGGTAGTAAGCGGCGAGAGGGTGGAGTCTATGGAAGCGCAAGAGAGGAAGATGATGGGTGCTGCAGCATTAGCGGAGTTGGCTGGTGCAGCAGATGCAGGGGTCGTGACCGATGCTGACGTGGCAGATACAGAAGCTGCATCTGCGTCAGTCAGATTCTTCTTCCTTTTGCGCTGCCATGGAGCTTGACCTTCCACGCCGCCCCCTTCGCATAACCATGATCGTGGTCATCCCACGGCCAGGCGTCATGCAAAGTATACCTTCTGGGTTATACTTGTGCTTGCGTAGCCCGACAGGGTTCGACCCCACTCTCGAAGTCATTTCCGTATTCACGCCCTCAGATTCTGAGCGATCAAGAGGCTTGCATGTTGACAAGATGCGATACATCGGCAATGATACGCATCACACAGCTCTAAATGGTGAGCGACAAGGGCTGGGAGGTGAAGGGTGTTGTGGGTTGAGGAGGAAGTGATGATACGGCCTAGGACCACATCGTGATGCATGCACTTTAAAATTACTGACCTAAATTGCTGCCATATAGGGATTTCTGGCACAGTCCTATGAGAAGATGTAAGACTGCTTCCTCATCGGAGTAGGTGACGCTCATGTCCTCGAGAGACGTGCTGGTCGAGAAAATTAGAGGTATCCTCTTCAAGGTATTGAATGTGATTCAAAATCGCGTCGGTGTTCCTTTGTATTCCCGGACGACCGTTCCCACATTTTTTGTTATCTGGAGGATGGATGGGTCCAGCCTCGAAGCTAGTTGGACCAGCGTTATTCGTGTTTTCAGCGTTTTCAAATTCACTTGTGACTTTGATTCACGTGACACATGTCTAAAAATAACACTCACATCCTACATAGCCCAAATTTTTGTGAGATTATCTACTTATCTAGTACCACGTTCCTTGTCCTTTACGGTTGCTACGCATGTCTCCACTTGAGTCTTACAAGACACAGCTCCTCGAGCAAGCAGCTCAAGTCGGCGCTCTTAAATTTGGTAACTTTACACTCAAGTCTGGCCGGTGAGTGACTTCCATGATTTGTCTTCATCAACTCATCCTAGACGTATACCAGTAAATCTCCTTACTTCTTCAATGCGGGTCTCATGTCCGACGGCACCATCTTACATACCGTTGCACAAGCTTACGCCGCCACCCTCTGCGCTTCACCCTCCCCTGGTGACCCCAATGCGAACCCCTTCACTGACTTCGACATCCTCTTCGGGCCAGCTTACAAAGGCATTTCATTCGCTGCTTGCACAGCGCTCGTTCTTGCATCCATACACGGCCGCGACGTCAAGTTCGCATACGATCGGAAAGAGGCAAAAGACCATGGCGAGGGCGGCAATATCGTCGGATGGCCCTCAGGTGGCAAGGAGAAATGGCGTGTAGTGGTCGTCGATGACGTCATGACCACTGGCCTCGCAGCCAGCACTGCGATAAACCATGTCGTTCGGCAGGGCGGAGAGGTGGTTGGTGTCGTACAACTTCTCGATCGGGAGGAGTTTTCCGAGATAGACGACCAGGGACGCAAGGTCAGTTCAGTCATGAAGCTCGAAAGATTGCTAGGAGGCAAGGGGAAGGTGCGAAGTGTATTGAAGATGCGGGATCTAGTAAAGTGGTTAGAGGAAAAGGAAGCGCGAGGGGAGTCCAGCGAGGAAGAGATGATGAGTTTGCAGGCGCTGAGGGAGTACAGGGACACTTATGGTATAACATCGTTCTAAGGACGCGGCATCTCTTCGCGTGGGTTCAATGTGGGTATGTACTTGTAACTAAAAGCAAAATCCATGATGACTACAAGAAACGTCGCGAACTAAGCTTCAAGCTTGCAAGGGTAGCACTCACGGAATTCCTCCTGTTTATATTATTTAGACTTCGTAAGTTCCCACCAGCAGAAGCACATACGAAGAACGCTGGTGCTTCTATAGAACTGGGACCGTGACAGCGCAATCAAGATCTCCATGGGTCGAACTGGATCAAACCGAACCGATACATCAAGAATTAACGCTCCGCGTAGATACTACACAGTGTTCTACCAGATATGGGATATCAGGAAGTAATGTGAGGTAGTCGGGAGATGTTACATCTTCTCCAGGATCGTGCCCTGAGCCTGACGGCAGGCGTAGGCGATCAGAGCCTCATCCTTAGCGCCGGTGGCATGCGTGAAGCCCAATACCCTACGCATCTCCTCCTGGAGCGCTCGACTTCTTCTGCCTATCGCACGGACCTGGCCTGAGCATTGCGCCATTCAACCCTAATATTCGGAAACACGGTTAGTGTTGTATCTTGCATGGTTTGCACTAGGCTTACCAACTTGTATCACTTCAACGCGTGAGTAGCGCGATATTCGTCGATCTCTTCGCTTCCACACGACTGAGAGAGGTTTAAGCCCGAGCACTTGTATTTGGCTAAGGACCCGATTCCTCCTGGATGGATCGCACAATCAGAGGCTGTCTTATTTCCTCATATACATCTCTAGCATGAGCAAAAATGGCTCGCATTCAATATTCTGGAGTCGGATGTTGCAAAGTACTGTTTTCGGAGCATACGGCCGAACGGTAGTCAGAATTTGGTGTCTTCGTGATGAAGAGTCTACCTTGGATATTCAAGTTGGTAGTTACACTCCATGGTATAGAAGGCCTGGGTGTAGCCTGGGGTGGTGCGCGGGTCGGGTAGAGCGGGCATGGGGTCAGAATTGCGCTGGCACTAGTAATGTGTGTGCAGGTTAGAATACCCGCCTTCACGAGTCGACAAAAGAAAGAAAGAAAATGTTCTACGATATCCCAGATGAATGGTCCAGACATCTCCACATGTTCAATTGGTGGCTAACATATGGTCAGTGGTCACGGCCAATCCCACATGAGGAGATGTCAGTAAATTCCAATCCCCTGCTGCGTTTGAGTGAGCTTGAAAAAAATCAAATGAATGAACTGTCTGGACTCTGGAATTCGAGAATGCGTGCTGGTGTTCGGAAGATGCGGTAATTGGGTACGAATAATCTTGCTAGCTTGCTTGCTCGATGTTAATGACAGTACTCTCCCGTAGTCAGACTTAAGTCAGACCTCGAAAGTTGAAAGGTCGGACGACATTGTAGGCTCGGAGTGCCACACGTGGTTTGTGCCTCTGACCGATGAGGAAAGAGACATACCATATCGGGAACACTAATCCTGCAAGTCAATCTCTCCAATCCTCGCGTGCAGCTCTCTTCTTTTGATTATTCCTATTCTTGCATTAATCCTACAACATGGCTGAGGCTACCACAGACGCACCAAAGCCCGCTGAAAAAACCCGGCTGATCAGTGAAGCCGATGTCACAAAGTACAAGGTATGGAGGGCGTCATCACCTTCCTTTGTTCGCCAAGTTTGATCGAATGGCTGCTGCGATGTCTTGCAGGCTGCCGGTGACATCGTAAACGATGTTATGAAGAAGCTGATCGAGCTCTGCGTCGAGGGCGCAAAGATCATCGATCTTTGTATCGAGGGCGACAAGTTCATCGAGGAGGGGACTGGTGGCGTTTACAACAAAGTCGTGAAAGGCGTTAAAATGAGCAAGGGTGCGTTATTTTTCATGTTTCGGAAATGATGTTTATGACGTTTTTCAAAAGGTCTTGCATTCCCGACATCCATTTCTGTAAATAACATCGTTTCCCACTTCTCCCCCCTGGCGTGCGTGATTTTATATTTCACTGTGAAACTTTCTTCAAACATCACTTTCTTTAGATCAGATCCCCTATCGTCCCAGGCACTTGCTAAAGGCGATGTGGTAAAGCTCCACATCGGTGCACACATTGACGGTTTCGCTGCTATCAGTGCGGAGACCATCGTCATCGGCGCATCAGAACAGGAACCCGTGACTGGCAGACAAGCGGATGTGATCAAGGCAGCTTGGCATGCAGCTGAGATCGCCATGAGGCTCGTCAAGGTCGGAAATAAAAACTTTACGGTTACCGATGCTGTCGCGAAAGCGGCTGCGGCCTGGGATTGCAAGCCTGTCGAAGGTGAATTTTGTGATGAACTCAAGTGTGGGCGGTGCGAATCTGATGTGACGGATCCAGGCATGCTCTCCTGTCAACAGACGCAAAATGTGATCGATGGCAAGAAGCGCATTATTCTCAATCCGAACGAAACGCAGAGACGTGATACCGAGGCGATTACGTTCGCAGAAGATGAGGTCTATGGAATCGATATCCTCATTTCTTCAGGAGAAGATGGCAAGGTCTGATGCTGACTACGAACGGAAATGAACCTCGATCGCTGAATATTCGACAGGCACGTCTCGAGGATTCTCGGACGACTATTTACCAAAAAGATAGCTCAGTAACGTATCAATTGAAGATGAAGAACTCGCGTGCTGTGTTCTCGGAAGTGCAGAAAAAGGCTGGCGCTTTCCCATTCAACGTTCGTGCGCTGGAAGATGAGAAGAGAGCAAGACTTGGTCTTCAGGAGGCCGTGCAACATGGCTTGATCAAGCCTTATGAAATCGTGTACGTGTAACACATCCTTGTCCCCTAACACTCTTAATGACATTGCCGTAGGTACACCCCTGCAAACACGTTTGTGGCAGCATTCCACTTCACGATCGCATTAGTTCCTGCTGGTCCGCTGCTGCTGACTCACCCACCGCTGTGGTACAAGCCGGAGCTGGTGAAGACTGAGAAGGAGTTGGAAGACGATGAGCTCAAAGGCCTTTTGTCCAAATCCCTTCGTGAGAGCAGAAAGAACAAGAAGAAGGCAAAAGAAGCTGAGGGTGACGCGGACGCATAAGATATATAACATAGTGTAAACGATCGCTGTTCGACGATCAATGAACTTCTGTACGATGAAGACGAAGAGAATTCTGTCTCCCTCACGAACCATTACTTTCCTCTTCATGTCACTGGTTTTCGTTCCGAGTCTTCTCCAAACTCGCCGATAGTCCGGGCGACTAGATCGACATTCTCCAGAAAGCCGTTCGTCGTCAGCCTTGCCAGCCGAACTGTCAAAGTCGCGAATGACCTGCGTTTCGTTCAGTATGTGCGATGGGCGTGATTCCTCTTATAAACACGTACGCGACGAGATCATTACCATCCACAGTCAAAGTACGTTTGACGGCTTCCCGCTGAAGCTCTGGATCTACTTCAATCACTTGCATCGCTATCGTTGCGTGTTTTGGGTTCGCAAAGGGGACCCGTATGGTGCTATGGTTCAGTTTTGGATGAGATTGGAAGATGGAAACAACACACTTACACCGTATGCCATGATGATTCGGCCATGATGATGGTGGCCAGCAAGTAATCTGCTTAGCCGCTAGTAGTGCTGTAAGTTAACGTTAAGGTAATATTGTGCTTATTAGCTGAAGACAAGCACTGCGTGTCAGTAACAGTCAACTCAACCAAGTCTTTATTTGAAGACTTCATTCGTCTACTGTCTATCTAGGGGAGACTAAGACACCGCCATGGCTGATTATTTAGGACGCCATGAACTAGTAACTGGTAACTTGAACCGCCCGATTCAAAAAGACACGACTCGCAGGACATCACCCCATTCTCTCTTCTCTGCGCCCATCCTCTTTTGCGCGTCGCTCACCAAGTTCATCGTATCCCCACAAGGCGATCATAAAGGTTCTCTTGTGGGCCCCAGTCTGCTCGGATAGTGACTCGGTTCCATACGGTCAACCCGAAGCTTTATTTGCGTAAATAGTGGGGTCGTAATTCATGAAGACAGGAATGGGTCAGTTGCTTCCTTGATAACCTGAATATGAGCTGAATCTCTCGTGCCAGCATTATCCTGGACGACTGCGACGACTGCGCTGGTCGCAGCTTTCACGTTCTCAAAGGTCTTCAAGTTAGTATCGGGTCTGAAGGTAGGAATCTCACGACCTCATCGTTCTCTGTGACCATAATTGATAGTAATCTCTCCGTCCCAGGCAGTGAATTACCTCCCAGGCTTACGGGTGCCATTTGAACCTCTCAGTTTGCTAGGTGTAATTGTACCAGAAACGTCATGGAACCCAGGTATGTTCAATTGAATCTTCTCTTCAAAACTGCGGGACTATTGCCTAATGCAATCCACTAGGTTTCATCTTCGTCTGGACGTGGAGACATACCAAAAATAGTAAGCGCAGACATCCTCAGTGACTGCACGTTTGGCGTATTCACTGTTCTCCCTGTTCGCTGCTAGTTTATCGTCGTTTTGGAAATGACACCGTCTCGGTGGTACCTTTTCTCTTTGGCGTACCGACACTGTATACACAATCTATGGAAGTCACCAGGCAGGTCGTGTCAACTGGTCAGAAGATGGGTGTATTTGGGAAGAGTGATGATATGGGTGGTGGGCTTCGGTAAGTTGATCTCCCTCTGTTAAATAACAGCATCCCGATGAATGACAGGTTTTGGGGCCCCAATATTGTTGCTGCAGAACACGATCAATGGAAGAAGTACAGGAGGATCGCTGCACCTGCGTTTAATCACGATACGTGCGTGTTGTGTTTGGTTGCGGGGGAAGCCCACCATAACCTATTCTAACAGCTATAAACTTGTCTGGAATGCTACACAAAAAGTGTATGCCGACATGATCGAGTGTGAAAGGTGGGCAGAGAAAGCGACGATAGACGTTCCACGTGTCCAATCACTGACGTTCAAGGTTCGTGTCTTGGTGCAATTGTGTCCGTCCTTGGGGCTCACTATTCATAGTTCACCCTCATCATCATTGCCACCTGCGGCTTCGGTCTCCCATTTTCATGGGCAGAGCCCCCCTCTCACGATGGACAAATGGCCATCCACCAGTGCATGGAAATCGTAACCGGTAACAATCTCTTTGCGATTGCAGCTCCAAAATGGGTTTGGAAACTGCCGTTGCCATGGTAGTTCTTCCTACTCGAATGCATCGAGTGAGTAAGTCATTGACTTTCCGATTCACAGGATTCGTCGTACCCGCCAAGGTTTCGATACCATGAGGGCATTCATGAATTCACACGTCCAGGCGAAGCGTGAGGCTATAAATTCTTCTGTAGGCGATGACACAGCGAAAGACTTGCTTTCATTGTTTGTTCGAGCGAGCGAAGATGAGGCGGAAAAAATGCGTTTGGACAACAACGAATTGGTACCATTTTATAATCTATTGGAGATTATTTGCTGAACGGTTGTCGTAGATCGGGAATATATTTGCGTTATTATTTGCTGGTCATGGTACGTTTCGTCACGTTGATCGTGCTGGGGTTTCAAGTAACTCTTTACAGAGACCACTGCACACACTCTGGCAGCCACTCTTGGTTTCTTATCATTACACCCATCTATGCAGGAAGAGATAGTCGAACAAATTCGCGAAGTCACTAAGGGGCGCGAAAATGGCGAGATCGTGAGTCTGTTCGAAATCAGACGCCTCCGATATACCTAACCTCACTTTCAGACATTCGACGACTATAGCAAACTAGACAAGGCTCTCGCCGCATTCTATGAGGGGGTCAGAATGTTCCGTAAGCGATTTTTTCTTCTGACCAGTTGCAAACTGAGCTGTCCTCAGCTTCTGGTGTATATCTCATGAGGGAGGCAAAGCAAGACACTGTACTCAATCTTTCAGGCATCGGTGAAGAGCCGAAAATGTTGCCAATTTTGAAAGGTACATATGTAAGCTGCATGTCACACTCTGGATGGTTGCCCGGCTCATACTCTGGATGAATAGGTCGTGGTTGACATGGTTGGCCTCCGTGCGTGTAGCCATTTCGTTTTTGGATCATCTTTAACCCCACAGGATCACTAATACTAGATTACAACCCACGATATTTCTCTGACCCAGAAGAGTTCAAACCTGCACGATGGTGTGCGGACCGAACGAGCAAAGAAGTTATTGAGGATGTGGAGGATCACACTGCTTTTAGCATCGGTATGTATCGTTGCTGTTGGTTTCGTTCGTATCGCTCAACACTGGTCCAAGGGCCGCGCTCGTGCCTCGGCAAGAAGTTCGCGACGACTGAAGCCGTCTGTCTCCTGGTACTACTTCTACGCGACTGGCGCGTCGAGCCCCTCCTGTCTGTCAACGTCTCCACTGGGGAGAAGGAAACTACAGAGGAATGGCGCGCGAGGGTCATGCAGGCTAAAATGAATTTCACAATGGGCATCAGAGATGTTCCACTGACATTTGTAAAGCGGGTTTGAGGATATTTAATTTCTTGCAAGGCCTGGTAGTTATGCCATCGTACTTGTATAAAGCTTTGGCACCGGCACCTTCGGCATGGCAAGGACACGGACACTCCAGAAAGTCGTTCGTCGTCAGCCTTGCCAGTCGAAGTGTTGAAGTCGCGAATTACCTGCGTTTTATTCAACTTGAATGCATAATGATATATGCGATGCGTTCGATTCTTCTTGTGGACACATACGCGATGGGACCATTACCGTCCATGGCAAAAGTGCGCGGACTCGTATGGTAGCTTTGGATGAGATCTCGAGGCTGACCATATGATTTACGATAACTTTGTCCGCTGGGGCTGATTAGGGGACTGTACCATATATTCAACTTGAACGAGTCCGAGGGCTCTGTGTATCAAATATATCAGTCCGCAGCTTGGGAAACTTGATGCGGTCATTGGCCATTGGCCAGCACACGATTATGCTCACACCCTCGTTTTGACGGTCTTCGTTGTTGTGCCCCGGCCGTGTCACATAATACTCGGTTCCATATATTCGGAAACTCGATTCGAAAGCCTTGGCGTTGTACGTACCGTATTTGTCAAGTGTTCGTAATTCATAAAGTCAAGAATGGGTTAGTACGTTCATTTAGATAAGCCGAATATGAACTGAACCTGAAAGTCCGCGCAGATTTATCTTGGACGACTGCGACGACTGCGCTGGTCACAGCATTTACGATCTCAAAGGTCTTGAAGTTCGTGTCCGGTCTGAAGGTGCGAATATTATGTGACCTCATACTTCTCTGTGACCAAGATCTTCCGTTCAGGCGGTGGATTACCTTCCGGGCTTACGGGTGCCATTTCAACCTCTCAGTTTGCTAGGTGCGGTCGTACCAGAAAGGTCATGGAACCCAGGTATGTTGGATCTTCAAACTGCGGGACTATTTCCTAATGCAACCCACCAGGTTTAATCTTCGTCTGGACGTGGAGGCATACTAGAAACAGTAAGCGCAGACATTCTTACTACTGCAAGTGTAACATATTTACTGTTCTCCCCATTTGCCAATAGTCTATCGTCGCTTTGGAAATGACACTGTCTCGGTGGTACCCTTTTTCTCTGGTGCACCGACACTGTATACGCAATCTATGGAGGTCACCAAGCAGGTCGTGACGGCTGGTCATAAGACGGGTGTATTTGGGAAGACTGATGATATGAGTCGTGCGTTTCTGTGAGTCAACTCCCCTCTGTTAAATCACGGTAGCATCCTGATGAATGTCAGGTTTTGGGGCCCCAGTATCGTTGTTGTGGAACAGGATCAGTGGAGGAAGCACAGGAGGATCGCTGCACCTGCATTTAACAACGACATGTACGTGTTATGTTTGGTTGCGGGAGAAGCCTACCATGACCTATTCTAACAGCTATAAACTTGTCTGGAATGCTACACAAAAAGTGTATGCCGACATGATCGAGTGTGAAAGGTGGGCAGAGAAAGCGACGATAGACGTTCCACGTGTCCAATCACTGACGTTCAAGGTTCGTGTCTTGGTGCAACTGTGTCCGTCCTTGGGGCTCACTATTCATAGTTCACCCTCATCATCATTGCCACCTGCGGCTTCGGTCTCCCATTTTCATGGGCAGAGCCCCCCTCTCACGATGGACAAATGTCCATCCAGCAGTGCTTGGAAATCATAACGGTTAACAATCTCTTTGCGATTGCAGCTCCAAAGTGGGCTTGGAAACTGCCGCTACCATGGTAGTTCTTCCTACTCAAATGTATTGAGTGAGCAAGCCATTGACGTTCCGATCCACAGGGTTCGCCGTACCCGCCAAGCGTTCGATACCATGAGGGCATTCATGAATTCACACGTCCAGGCGAGGCGTGAGGCCATAAATTCCTCTGCAGGCGCCGACACAGCGAAAGACGTCCTTTCGTTGTTTGTTCGAGCGAGCGAAGATGACGGGGGCAAAATGCATTTGGACGACAATGAATTGGTATAGTTTTGACATTTGTTGGAGATTATTTGCTGAACGGTCGTTGCAGATCGGGAATATATTTGCGTTACTATTTGCTGGTCATGGTGCGTTTCGTTTCGTTGATTATGCTGGGATCTCGAGTAACTCTTTACAGAGACCACTGCACACACTCTGGCAGCCACTCTTGGCTTCTTATCATTATACCCATCCATGCAGGAAGAGATAGTCGAGCAAATCCGCGAAGTCACTAAAGGGCGCGAAAATGGCGAGATCGTGAGCCTTTCCGAAATCAGACATCTCCGATATACCTAACGTCATTTTCAGACATTCGACGACTATGGAAAACTAGACAAGGCTCTCGCCGCATTTTATGAAGGGGTCAGAATGTTCCGTATGTGAATTTTTTTTCTGTCCGTTCCAAACTGAGCCTTTCCCCAGCTTCCGGTGTATTTCTCATAAGGGAGGCAAAGGAAGACACTGTGCTCAATCTTTCAGGCATGGGTGAAGACCCGAAAATGTTGCCTGTTAAGAAAGGTACACACGTAAGCTGTAACTCATTTATGGAGGATGGTTGCCTGGCTCATGCTCTGGATGAATAGGTCGTGGTCGATATGGTTGGCGTCCGTGCGTGTGGCCATTTCGTTCTTGTATCATTTTTAATCCTGCACGATGACTAGATTACAACCCACGGTATTTCTCTGATCCAGAAGAGTTCAAACCTGCACGATGGTGTGTGGACCGAACGAGCAAAGAAGCTACTGCGGACGCGGAAGATCACACTGCTTTTAGCGTCGGTATGTATCACTGTTGCTGGTTTCGTTCGTATCGCTCATCACTTGTTCCAGGGCCACGTTCCTGCCTCGGCAAGAAGTTCGCAACGACTGAGGCTGTTTGTCTCCTAGTATTGCTTCTACGCGACTGGCGCGTCGAGCCCCTCCTGTCTGTCAACGTCTCCACCGGAGAGAAGGAAACCACAGAGGAATGGCGCACAAGGGTCATGCAGGCTACAATGAATCTGACATTGGGTGTCAGGGATGTTCCACTGACATTTGTAAAGCGGGTTTAAAGACATTTTTATGTAATTTATGGATGATTATCTATTATCTGTAGCAGTACAGAGTATGGCGTTTGGTGTAGTGGTTCTTTACCTCCGATAGTTCTGTGGGTTGTGGCTGCTAGCTACAAGCCTACATCTGCGAATGACCCATTTTTCTCGCTTGTCAAAAAGAAGTTTGATGCTTACGGCGATGGTGAGAGTACGTGTTGCGCATTGGACCGTCGCAGGCACCACAATATTCCTCGTAGAAAGGACTACATCGTTACAGCGTAGAAAGCAAGTTGTTGTATATACTACTACAAGATTATCGCATGGCCTACTAGTAACAGAGTCCAGACACTGTTCCTTGATAATCAGTCTCAACATAACCAAACTGAGCGTTTACGAACGCAGACCTGAGCTAACCAGAACAAAACCCTTGTAAGCGTCTTGTGAGCGGGTTACAAGACCATTTCTGCAAATTCGCATTTTTAGGTGTGCAGTGCTTTTGTGAATTTCAAATCACGTGGATGTTCGCGACCCATGCTCTGGCCCTACCCGTGGGTTCTGGTTGTACATATGAAACGGATCGAACATGGTAAGTAAGTCGGTCCTCTCCAGAGTCCACCAGCTTGACTCCAGAGCTTCCTTCTACGTGACGATATTTCACGACAAAACGACATATATCCTGCTCTTACAACTAACTTATACGTTCCTCGAACCTTTCTGTCAATTGCCTCAATTCTTTGCACAGGCCGCTGACCAGGAATCAGGATAGGGTCATATATGCTATGACTAGTAGTTGGCGCACAGCGGTAGTGCTGCACTACTTGTTACCACTTGCCTTAGCTCAATATACTCCACTGCCTAGGTACGCGAGTCGTGTTTGTTGACGCCCAGTTGACGGTGATATATTACGATAGATGGGGACAAGCGGCGGCTTTACTGGAAAATGTTCTTTATGTTCACGGAGGTCTGACAGATCAGTATGATCAATACTCATACACATCTGCACCCCCCACATCAGAACTATTGCTACTCGACCTTTCCACATCCTTCAGTGCCACGTCCCCGCCTTGGCAACTGCTCTCAAATACAACCACGACGAGCTCTTCTCTCGCTCTAGGATGGCACACCTTATCTGCATTTAATATATCTTCATTCCTGCTTTTCGGTGGTCAACCAGGACCGAATTCCCAAACAGTTCTCACTTCCCTTAACGATTCTGCCACAGTCGTTTCCGCTTACGATCGCACGGACCCTTCATTCTTCGTTGAGCCCCAGAGCTGGGCTGGTGAACCAATGAGGAGGATTCGTCATTCAGCATCGTCAACTGGCGGAAAGGTCTGGATCGTTGGGGGCGAGAAGGCCGATGGGTCCGGAAATTCATTCTCTGATCACTATCTATTCAACCCTGCGTCACAGATGTTCGTAATGCTTCCATCTGGTGGTAATGCTCCGCCCGAAATTTACGGACATGCATCGCTCGTCCTTCCTGACGGACGATTGCTTGTCTTGGGTGGATATTGTGCATCATGCGGGGAACTTGTACCTCTGAATACCGTCTGGTTTCTTGACACGACACAGGCAACCCTCGCATGGGACATGATATCCGTCTCGACTTCTACCCTGCCAAATCCACGCCGCGATTTCGCAGCCGTTGTCCTTGCTACTGGAGAAATCCTTATTCATGGGGGAGGCGACAGCCAATTACAAACAACTTATAGTGATGGATGGATACTAAATACCAACCAAAATCCAATGGTCTGGCAAGAAGCCCAGTCTCTTCAGCAACTCGGCGCTCGCAAAGACCATCTGGCAATACAATATAATGGCCAAGTGTTCTTTGCCTTTGGTGAGTCACTCCCTGTTAGCTCTTCACTCATTTCTGATCGAACACAGGTTACGGATCTTCTGCCCCCGCATCTGCCACTATGGAAATATACGACCCCTCCACCTCGTCCATGGTGACCTCTTATAGCCCGCCACCTGCGGGTTCGACCCCGGCCATCAATTCACTTCCTGCACCTTCTCAAACTGGTAGCTCTGGGTCAAGTGGGGGAAGTGCAGGCGCTCCCTCAACGGTGTACCCAACGAGCACTGCCGGTGCTGATTCCAGCTCCAGTAAAGCCAAAGTAACCGCTATCGCTGTAGGCACTACCTTTGGCATCCTTGGGCTTGTCGCTGGTGGACTCGTCACTGTCTGGTATATCAAACGTTCACGGAGACGTTCGCCTTCGAGCAATGGGAAATTCTTCTTCCTCGGTGGTGACCCGGAGCACGACAGTACTGATGGTGGTAGCGCCATTATATTGTCTGTGGGTTCGGACGAGAAAGAACCTCAGAGGAGTCACAGAATTTCAGATGCACCCGCGCTCCCGCTGGCTGCAGTTCTTGCTCATCTTGGGTTAAGCAAACACAGTTCTTCTGAGCCACCTCGCCCGCGCCGTGACATGTTTGCCGACGAAGACACGCGGCAATTCGGGTGGGACAATCCTCCGGGCATGTCACGCAGGGAAGGGAGCGGCGGGGCTAGTGCATGGTCAATGCGCTCGATGGGGGCAATGGTGCGCGGTATGATTTCCAGGGCGCCAAGTGCTGGCAATAGCGACCGAGATTGGGATGGATGGGAGAAGATTGAGGGTGACCACGAGGGACTGATACACGAAGACAATAACTCGTGCAACATCGACATAACGATGCCCACCAACGGCCACCTCCATGGACGAGATGGTAGTTCATGGTCGTACTCAGATCCATTCTCAGATCCTGTGCCAGATGATGGAGAGTACGACTTGTATCGGCCACATCATGATGCACTCAAACCTTGTGGCGAGTACGACAACATTGATGTTGACGATGGGAACCGAGACCCACCACCCCTTCGCCCACTGGGGACCCTACTACCTATTTCTGCACCCATTCACACCCTTAGTCCTTTGCATGGGGTCGCATCCGACTCAGCCAACACCCTAGCATCATGTCCTGGCTCGTCACACGATAATCCATCTTCCAAAGGTCCTTCTTCCACCAATACTTACTCCCAATCAAGCTTTCTCTCGCAGCCGACTTATAGTCCTGCGACGCCTCCCATCTCGTACTCTGCAATTACTACACCCTCACAGCGCCACTCGTCCATCCTTGACTCGTATTCACCTCCTTCGAGCCCCATTCGTCGATCAGGCAGCTGGTGGGCGCGTTTCATGAAGACATCTCTACTTGATCGACGCAATTCCACCGGCCAGAAACCGCTGGATTTACGGGACCCTAACCCAGCTCCGCGTCTCATGCCGATCGAGGAATCGAAGGCTTCCCCGGACTCTCTTGAGTCCAAATATGAGCACACAGATAAACATGTTCGTTTGATCTCGTCATCTGTGCATAGTGGCCGAACAGCAAATACTGAGGCCGCAGAGCGGCTAGGTGGAAGTTATGATGTCGTACAGCGAATCGCATCGGACGAGTCTACGTCACGCCGAACAACGTCGATTTGTTCGATTGATGCGAATGAACATGGAATATTGGATGGTATATCATCCGATCAAGCCAAGCTTACCTCTTCTCCAGCCATATCTCCGTCGTCGCATCCGTCTTCTTCCTCGAAGGAGCACAAACCACCTTCGAGGGCTGGAAGCCCCTCCATGTATGGTTCTGGACTCACCAGGTCCGCAACTCATGCCGTGTCATCTAGGGTTCAGGAGATCGAGCGGCGGATGACAAACAGTCTGGAGGCGGAACGTTCTCCACCTCCGCGGAATACTCGCAAGCGAGAAGAAGTGCCTTCGCGTACCCGTCCAAGTATTCAGTACGGTCTGGCTCCGCGAGCATCATTGTACGTTGCCAACCCTGACAGTGGTGTGCCTACATTGTGATGTTGTGACTTCTACCCCTTTGTTACCAATGTCTGGACTGGTTATGGAAGGAATTGTACTTCTTACGCTCCTGTCTTTCCTGCGGTTGCTTTAGTACCCGAGATACCACATGACCGACAATTATTCCAGCTCTCTTTTTTTTGGTCAGCATGATATACATACTACTGCAGAGATAGCGTCTCCAACCATGATACCTTCGGACCACGGATGTATGTATTTGAAAGAATCCTTTGGTGACTAGAGGCCTCGATCCATGCCTTGCGCCTTGGGCATTTTTAGGGAGCGTGGGTTACGGTTCAAATACATCTGACTATGACCTCAACTGATAGTATCTAGCAACGCGTGTCTGATTGGCAGGTAGATCATTCGCGCGCGTAATGCGCGCAACGATCAAGATGACTGCCACAGGGGAACGTCAGAAGATTGGTTACGGACCGGTGATTGTGATGCTATCGGGACATGCATTGAAAGCCGATGGAGACGAGTACGCTAGTACTTGTTGAACAACCATCATCGGTGGATGAAGTTGAACGATGAGCCTGCTTCCACTTACATGCGGTTACTGTGATGAAAATATAGCACAGAAGAGACCAACGGTTCGAGAACCATTTACTGAAAACGGGCCCTTCTCTTGGCGGCTATGAGAGAATTAATTGAAGGATCTGCCCACGTCTGTCATTCGTAAGCCAGTCAACCCCATGTTCCTGTGTTGAACGAAGACAACATACAATCACTCATGCTGTACTACATTGTCTTCATCATCGTTACGACATGCTATTTGGTTGTTGACATATGTAAGTATAGTCAGCCGGGGCCCGGCCGCCACAAAATACAATAATTATCGCTCCTGTCGTTGGCAGTCACGGATCACATCAACCACGATGCGATGATACCCTGACAGAGTGAGAGTATGCGAAACCAACCTACTATGGGTGGGTAGCCTGTCCCTGTCAAGCTTAGTGTACCTGTGCTAGCCAAGAGCCCCGACACAAGACAATGCTGCGGCCGCTATAGTAAGAACACTTACACAAGAAGAAATTTGAATTGCTATCCGTGCTGTCATCGCTGGAGCTCGCAGTGCCCGGTGACCGAGGTAGAAGGTTCAGGGTTCGTCTCAGCTTAAGTACCTATAGTTGGAATTCTTCCAAGATAAGGAGAAAGCATGGCTTTCACTGCACGTCCTAAAAGGGGCGCTTAAGTTCCGACGAAACTCGATAAGCTAAGTCACAACCTTACTCACTTACATAGGGTTCAATGGCGCCGCATGGGGACACCCGTAGCCAGAGAAACCACGAGGGGTACCTATGGGAGAGACTGTTCAGGAGTAGATTGCATAATGAATTGCTACTACGTTCCCCTCTCAATTGGCAACGTGCCGTTATTTTATCTGGATCATACGTACAGGTGAGACATTAATTCGAGTGCTGTGATTTGTTCGTTTGAGCTTGATTGTGAGTTACGATTGTGTGGGCATAAGTGGGCCCATGGGTGTCCGAAGTGCGAAGTTAGATCTAGGGTCACATCGCCGTCCTGCGGGGAGTCTGTTCACTTAATTCTTCGGATCATGCTTTCTGTACAGGGACACTTCTGGCTCTGGAGGCGTGTCATTCTGGCAAAGCGGGATTCTTTGATCGGATCCTTAGGAGTAAAGTTCAATTATTTGAATAGACTGAACCGTTTAACCAACCGCTCACATGAATGAAGTGGATTTTTATCAGACACCTTTGGATAGTATTTGAATACGGGAAGCGAAAGCAGGCGTTAGAGAGGTGTGCCACGGACACCTAAATTTGCTGTACTGTTATGAGTGTGTCTGTCAGAAATTTGTTGGCAGATAGGCTGTTCCACCACATATATGCAATCAGATCGCAAGCTTCGAGTATCAAACCATTTGGGGCATGGCCTATCACGAACACGACCATTGAGTGACTGGATTGATCTATGCTGCTATCCGACACGTGCATATGATGACCCTGGGTCTGTGTGCAGGCCAGGTCTTGCGCCACGAGCTGAACTGGTACATTGTCGCGAACAGCATTCTGATTGCCATTTATATGTTCGCCGCCAGGTTGACTCTCGAGTAGGTCGAGATTCTTCACGAATAGATTAGCGCAATACTATATATAGAACCTGGCAAACCTACCATGTAGCCAAAAGCGAATGCAATGCGGTACGCAGTGTAGTACGTGGAGCGCGTCTCGCTGAGCTCCAAAATACTCGTGGAATTGCCGACCGTATGAGTTGCGCTAAAAATTTGGGAAGTGATCGCCAGGGCCAGCAATGATCGCTTATGCCTGAGTATTTCTCGTGTTAGCCTGGCCAGCCAACCACATGCTGTGTATCATGAAGCATGAGTATCTTGGAATTTCGAAGTTCATTAATTCGATGCTGTATGAACCTTGTTCACTGCATCCCAGCAGTGTATTTTATCTCCGTCAACATGGGGTGCCGGTAACCGGGATCACTGAGGACCAGCAGACCACTGCAAGTACTTACCTTAAATAAGTAGGCCAACAGCATGTCACGCACGAGTCGACTCCACATCCAGGCCACAATAGCCACAATCTGCAGCATCAAATGAATGGAACGTTGATAGCTATCCGGGTGTTGGTCATATCCGTTTTGCCTACCGATCAGCTCGAACAAATTTCGAAGCTCTTTGCATTTGCATTTCACTTCTCTGACTTCCGTTGGCAGGTATGAAAAACGGGCGCCGGAAACTTACCACCCGCAGTTGCCGGCGTCATCTATGATCTGACAGGCCCTCGGACACCCTTTCATTATCCTTTTGAGGGAATTTGCATCGGAGCTTGCATGAGCCACTCAAGGCACCCAGCAGCACGTGCTGAGCGCTTCTGATGGGCGTTCCACTGTTCCAGACATTTTGGGGCTGCTGGGTGGAAGGCTCCTATATGTTCGGATGAAATGGCACCTCAAGTGCTTCTTGCATGAATTACAAAACACGGGTATGCTACCATCCACGTGTAGCACAGCGAGCTAGATAGTTCAAGCCTCGAGCTCTTTGAGGATGGGCTCTTCGGGGTGCTTCTCCTTGAGGTACTGAAATAATGTTGAGATGTAAAATCGGCGGAAGGGAGGCATCACGAACTTTGATAAGCTGTTTCACGTAGTTTTCCTCTGCCTCCTTCTTTGACATACCCTTGATGCCATTCCAAGCCACCCTAGAAGATAGATCAGGACAAGTTGTCTGCGGTAATTTCAACTCACCATTTAGCACGCTCAACGAATTGCAACCTAGACGGTTCCTTGGTCGGGTCCGCATCTCCCACCGTTGCTTTGGGCGCCGAAAAGTTAGCTTCTATTCATCTACAGGAGAAGTAACATGGCAACCTTGCTTGTAGAATTTGTAAAACTGTTGATGGGCGCAATCAGTATCGCCCATCTATGGCGTTCAAATTAATCATACTCGCCTCCAACTTGACAGTGCTATCCGGGCCAGACCCCTGCTTGTCGAGACCTTGAACGTACGCAACAGCTTTCTCGAATTTAGAGGACATCGTTGAAGGCGATAAAGAAGATGCGGTAACGGAGCTGGATAAAGCTGAAGAGCAGACAATCCGAAATTGCCAGATCTGGAACTCTTTGATCTTATCAGTTTCATGACAGACGAGACATGGGGTTCATATATAGTTGCGTTGTCGCAGCTTGACGAGCAGTAAAATTAATGGATGTCTACTATAGAACATCATTAGACCTCAACATCTAGAATCACGCCTAGCCTATAGTACTGTAGTACTTAAGTACCTAGAGTTGATCAAACGAAAAGTCGAAGCGCTGTAGCCACGTCGTTGATGTGACATGTCACGATGGCTCGACGTGACGGTCTGTCACGATAACCCACACACATCTCACTCCCACCCCATGACGACTAGTAGTACTTCGCGGTCAGCACCACCGCCGTCATTACAAGAAGTACAAAGAAAATTATCCGTTCATTCAAAAGCAAGACCGAAGAAGGTTCGTATACATACAACCCAGTAATCCTAATTCTCCTGATTATTCGGATCGATCTGAATCCTGCAGGCGCCTCCGGTATCACAAGCACACATATCTGGAACAGAGTCTGACTCAGACTCAGTTCTGTCCCCCGATCTTGTGTCCCCAACCTCTCAGTCATATGGTTCTAATTCGGTCCTGTCTGGCAGCATCACTCAGCCCCCACTATCTTCTATCGCAGAGGGAAGATCAGGAAGCGGTGAAGAGTCCGACGAGGACGAAGAGGAGGAGGTGGGTGGTTGGAGAACTGCAACAATGACCGAAAAACCGCACAGTTCTTTCGACGAGAAGATGATCAAGTCGGGCTACTTGTGGAAGAAAGGCGAGCGACGCAAGGTTCGTACATCGGAGACCGTCTTCTTGGCATTCGGTGTGGATAGCAATTATCACAGACATGGAAGAAACGATGGTTCGTGCTCCGACCCGCACATATCGCGTACTACAAGACGAACGCGGAATATAAATTATCACGCCTTCTCGATCTCTCCGACGTACATTCATGCACCCCAGTCACCCTAAGAAACATACCAACACGTTCGGTGTTGTCTCTACTGTTCGAACATTCTATCTCCAGGCTCAAAGCCCCGAGGAGGTCCAGCAGTGGGTCCAGGCAATTCAGGAAGCCAAGGAGGCTCTCATGACTATTTCAACTCAATCATCGCTGACGACGCCCCCTATACCAATCCCCGGAGCTCAATCAGTACCTCGTCGTATTATAGTAACGCACTCACCTCCGCAAGCCTCCCACGTTCAAAATATAACCTCTTCCGACTCAGAGGATGCATCGCCAAGTGCACAGCGAACCTATTCCACCTCTTCGCAGAATCATCCAATAATCTCCTCATCACCCACGCGAATACAAACTATGCCAAAAGAAGGCGCAAAGATAGTCTTATCTGGCTACTTGATGAAGTGCGGTTCGAAACGACATAATTGGCGCAAACGGTGGTTCGTGTTGAATGGTGAAAAATTGGTCTACTCGGGAAGTCACATGGTAATGGGTATTCTTTCATTCGTCGCGTTTGATTCTTGCTAACACGGCACCAATTAAATATGACTATCAGGACACAAAACCTCACCGGCAGTTTTCATTTTCGGAGATTCTCGATGCGCTGGAGTTCGATATGCGAGGTCACAAGCACAGTGCAGCTATTCCTCCCCCTTCCACTTCGCCATTATCATCATCAACAGCACCCGATGATTCGCACGGTCATTATACGTTCAAGATAGTCACGACGAAAAGGACGCTGTTGTTATGTGCTCCAAGCGAGGAAGAAGAAATAAAATGGCTCAGTGCCATTCCGTGCTCTTATAGCTCGACGATCAGGCGCTGGTGTTGTACCAGGAGACCCGAGCGGAAGCGTCGGTAGCGCCCCGAAGCCGCCGGCTTCTGGTGGAGACGCCGGTCAGGGCACTGGAGGAGGATCATCATCAAGTAGCGGGTTGAGACACAAGGTCAGGAACTTGAGTATAAGCGGACCGAGTGGCATCCCCCCAGCGCCCATTTCGGAGGACTAGACAAAGTACAGACCAAGATAACGGCATTCTTTCAAGTCACCTCAGTTGTCCTCCAATGTAACACTCTCACGTCAGTATTCTTCCAATCATGTTTCCCCGGCTGCATTTGAACTTGACTGTCATGATTCATCGCCTCACGGCATTGATTCTATTCCTCTTCCAGCGATATCTAAGTCTCCACAACTCTGGACCTATGCAATATACCTCAGTCTGGCGTTTTGAATTCTGTAATACGTAGACAGCTTCGCTGCCACTGGTTGGACGAATGGGAATTTTCTTCCTATGTGTTTTTTTTTGTTCCAATTCAATTGTGAACACTGGAACAATCCTACCAAGTAGTTTGATAAAGGTCAGGGACAAAGCGACAAGCGCGGATGATTTGACAAGCGGATCCTTTTTCAGCGTTATTGTTGGCCCATGGGGTCTCCCGAAGGCAATCAAAGTAAAGACCGGGGAAGGTATGAGGATAGGGCTTGGTGGATGTTTCTGTGGATGGGCATCCACTCCGACTGCACCGGTTATTGCGATCAGTGCACGAGGTAGGCTCTGCAGTACATGAGTCTTTTTTTTCCCGAGAAGGTTTGTAGGTTACACCACGATCGTAGTATGGTCGAGTTTGGGAGTACACCGCCACTACTGAGTGGTTCTACCACGCCTGAGCCCTGAATGGCGATGAGGTGATATGTTGTTTGTTTAATACTTATTGACTACTACTATGACTATGTTCGAGCTGAAGCGGAATGACGACAATCATATCCGACGATCGCGATGCAGGTTTGAAGCGAACAAAGATAGTGGGTATAGAAGCTGTGGTAGTATAGAAAGCGGGTGACAAGGTGTACGGAAGCGAACCTGGATACACAGGTGTACATTGTCGTACACAAAGCCGTACATCTGATCAAGAAATGATGATCAGCTAGCGCCTGGATTGGAAGGCCGCGATGCAAGTCTGCCGTTTAACGCGCGGAAGCAAAAGCGCCCCTTGTTAACTTTCTCATGGTATGGGGGTGGTTATGTGGTAATTGAGGACCCCGAAACTACCCTCTGTTCAACTTATGTTACTACTTTCCTTTTTTGGTTATTTTTCCGTTGAACAGGTGTTAACTTCCCCGTTCTCGTCGAACGTTATGTACTTATACTCTTGCCTAGAATGCCTCCTCTGTTCCCCGCTTCCTCCTCTTGTCTCTTTCTGTCTCATTGTATACCATTTCTCTATCTGTATCTTGGTTACCCCACATTCTTCACTATACCAACATCTTCCTAATCATCATGCCCGCCGCACCAAAGTCTCCAACCCAGGCTCGAAGAACCGGAGCGCCCAAGGCTAAAGGCGCGGTGCGCGCCAAGTCGGGTTGTTACACGTGCAGAATCCGCCGGAAGGTAGGTCATTGCGCGTCACTACTTCGATCTTCGATCGTCTCTTTGTCATCAGACGCTCATTGTCATCTTCCTAGAAATGCGACGAGCAGCCCAACGCAGACGGCAGCTGTCAGACTTGCGTTCGACTTCGACTTCAATGTCTCGGTTTTGGCGCAAAGCGCCCCGAATGGTTACGGGTATGTTATTTAATACCACCCCTCTCTTATCATTTATATATATGTCTATTCTCTCTCAAGGCAAGCGACAAGGTCGTTGACCTACGAGAAAAAATTAAAAATTTTCTTGCCGCACAAGGGATGATTAAGGGTCACTCAGGAGCTGGGCCTCGCCCATCAGACCAAGAACCTTCTATTCTATCACTTTCAGCAGACTATACTTCACCTAGTACGAGTCCTCAGACACCGACGTTGTCGATCTCCAGTGACGAGCGACACCCGGGTATAGCACGGAATGATTATCTTCGAGGGGATACTGATGCTCGTAAGGCTTACATCGTCGAATACCCCTTCTTGTTTTCTCATCTTGTCGTAGGCCTTCCGGTGATGCAGGACATTGATTCACCATTGGACGCTCGGGAAACTTATCCCGGGGTTATGCTACCTGCGTATCCGTCTTCCACTACTTATACGACTAGCTTAGAACCATCATGTAAGACCCCGTATCGTTACTAAGAATATGTATGTATCATAGTACTCAAGCCCTCCTTTTGGCAGGGTCGCAATCAAGCGCGTTGATTCTGCCTCGACCTCACACCAGCGATCTCTCTCCAATGTACAATACACGATGGCCAGACGACGACAACTATAACACCATGACCACCATACCCTCTGGATATCTCTTGCCCCCTCCTGTTAACACCTTCCATCAGAATTGGTTTGACCTGAACGTCTACCAAAACTCGTCATTGCAACATTATATGGATCATGTTCTCCGTATCCAGTACTTGCATGCCGACGGGTCCATTGATTCCCTTATCTGGAATCTCATACATTCCAGTGACACAGCCCGAGAGGCTGCATGTCTACTTGCGGAATTGCACCGCAATAGTACGCAAGGGCGTTCGATTGGTTACAGTGCGCCAGAAGATCATGATGTATACAAACGCATCCAAAGGGCCACAAAACTGACCGAAGGAGACGCTCTTGCAAGCCTTTGCATGGTCTCCTATTACCTCTTCTCCGGTGGTCAAGGGCAGTGGCAAGCGTTCCTCGACAACTGCTTGCCGATTTTCCATCAACATCCTCCAGCGGAAGCATGTTTCGCCCGACTGGGCACTGATAGCCTGCACTGACAGCATGCGATTTATCATCAAGACGTCCATGTGGTTCGATGTGCTCGCCTCTGCAACGTTGATCCGTCGTCCCATGTTCCTTGAAATACTGCGTTCGCTGTATGGGCCCACCGCCACCAATGAGCGCAGACCGGAACTTTCCATGATGGGTGTCATGGGATGCGAAAACCGCATCGTCCTCGCCCTCGCCGAAATTGCTGATCTCGCATGCTGGAAGGATGAACTCGTGCACGCTGGTAAACTCAGCGTTCCTGAGCTCGTCAGACGTGGGCAACGTATTCAGTCCATCCTGGAGACTACCTATGACAACAGTAACCCCGATGGTGCTGACGTTGAAAAGTCTCACCGACGGCGCCTCACTTCTGAGGTATTCCGCGCGTCTGCTCTTGTTTATCTCCATTCCGTCATCTCTGGGGATCACCCACAATGTCCAGAGATCGTGTCCGGCATTGAAGAAACAGTCAGGTGTCTCAAGCTTGCTGAAGACGTCACCACAGCGCGCCACGTTGTGCGCAGTGTCGTATTCAGCATATGCATCTGTGGCTGCCTGACGGATAACAAGCATTACCGCGATTACTTCCTGCAGCGCATACAGGAGCAGCAGACTGAGACAGTTGGGAACTGTGCTCGGGTCGGTGATCTCATGAAACAAGTTTGGACAAGCCGAGCAAGAGGGGAACCTGTGGACTGGCGCGTAGTCATGCAACATTCCCAGATGCTTCTTGTCTAGAGTCTATCCTGCGACGTATGGACATTTCTCTTACTGAATTACTACCTGGCTTTCTTCATAGTTTACTAAAAGTATTCAGCGCCCCCTGGTGTGCAGCACGGCCATTATTTCTTCAGGTTCTTCATTTTCATACCCTACAAGCTGTAATCCATACATGCCTCACGAACAACTCGCATCTCTGCCTCATAGTACATACTACACACAACCTACAAATGCTATGTATTGTTTTTCTAGACATCTCCACGGCCTCGAGGGGCACTGCCATTCCAAGGATTTCTGCTATTTTATTCTACAGTCAATGCACCGCATAATGTTCTGATTTGATCATCCTCATCTGATATTCCGTCTCAGTACTGCCGTAGGCCTGGTGAGCCGAACATGCTTATCATTCATTCATTTCACGAGGTAATACGCGGGCAGTTCAAATTGTTCCCTCTCGAATTCGGTCATCACGTTCTTGGTCGAAATTGATCTCACACTTTTGCTTCTGCAGCGAGCTGCACGGAAGATATATATCTTTATATATCTTGAAAATAGCATTGGATTGCTGTGGAGAATCCCCACTCGCGTCATGCCGCAGTTGCTGTATGACCCTGGCAGTGCTACTCAGCTTATCAATGAACGATGTCAAGACTCGAGAGGTACCACTTACCTAGGAACTCCCAAGCAAATAGGACGAGGGTACTTGCTATGAATCACAGCCTGTCACAGGGAACTGGTATTACAGAGCTTTAATGAGACCAAGTGTATGCTAGAGAACACAGCGACAGAGGTACTCCCAAGGCTATCGCAACGACGGTTCACGGGCGCTGCGACCCTCCGTGATGGGAGTATTCGAGACCCTGTCAGTGTGTAGAAATGTGTTCGGCCAAGTGCCGGTGACTATCTCGAACCGAAGCTGACCAGATTGTCGGAGATTCATTATGTAAATATGTAAATCCAGCGTGCCTGAGAGGCCTGGTCCATTGAACGTTCTGGTTAGCGGAACTTTTTTTCCTTTTGCTGGGCGATCGTGTGTTCATTTCCCCTCGTAATGACGAGGGTGTATAATAGTAATATGACTATGCGTATGCAACCCGAGCTGGCCATGTACCCCAGAATCACATCATGAAGAACATTCATTTGCCTGCAGTCTGCGACATGATCGGATCACACGAATGTGCCAAGTATCGGCCAAGTGATAACCAAAGTATTAGGCCTAGGGACACGCTATTTAAATGTCAACGAGAGAGCAAGCCTATCTGACCGCAATTCCATGCCTCTTTTCTCTCTTGACACTGGTGGTGCTGTATAAACGATTACTTACTACATGCCGTGCAGGGATGGTAAGTGCTGAGCAAGCACCGTGATTGTATTCCGAGGCTTCCCACAAATACAATTGATGACGAAGACAGTGAATTATCCGAACCTCCTTGAACGGGCTGCTTCCTAGTCACGGTGATCATTTTATTAGTGGTGCTCTGTCATATCTACGATCAAGTGTTTCCAAACCACATTTCTACCTCGAGAACGTAAGGTTTAGTGAGGGATACTCCCGGTAGTCGGTAAAGATAGAACGGACGGTTGGCTGCGGTACATGTACCCCTTTAGAGCGAAACATCCATAAAACTCGGAGATTATATAAGCAGAGGCGAAGGTGTATCCAATTAAAATTGTTCATAGTTCGTCCACCCTGCATGAGAGATGACATAGATGACAAGATAGAAGTGATAAAAATTTGTTTCCCCTACGTGAACTAACGAGAGGGAGATAGGTGGTCACGGTTGATGTTGCACACCGATATCCCCCAAGCGACACTGGACGCCATAGCCACTTGCGGAGTTAATAGTTGAGAAGTTGTCCATGGAGACGAAGCCATGTAATCCAAATTAGTAGGGCATATGAACTTCTATTTGCTTCTTTTAGGCCATAAACCATCACGCCGTCTTTTCTTTTGCGACAGAAAGCCCAAAGCGAACTTCCGACTTGTCACCCGTCGGTAATTTTCTGTTCACTGACCCCCGACTTCCCATCTGGCTGTAATCTGCTTTTAAAACATCCTCTTGAAAAGAAAATTATCTTGCCTTATTATTACAAACACCACAGTGGCGTGAATGTTATACACATATTGCAGTTCGTCAGCAAGCGGCAGTCAATCGCCCTCGTCCGAGACTGCTTCCAACAACACATCGCCTTCCCTCATCCCCACACCCCTCTGGCCCTCGAAAACGTCGGATGAAATAGATTCGCATAGCGCACGTTCAAGACAAACCCCGAATAGAATGCCAGTAGATTTATCTCGCGGAGTGTCCACAGGGAGGGGGGGATGTTGGTGTGTATCACGCGATCTCCCAGTCTGTTCCACTGTGCTAACACATCCCGTCCAATCGTAGGACATGTCGCCTGCGAAGAAAGGTGAGCATCCACTGAAATAAAGCCGTCCATGCATTTTGACTGCGGACCCTTCTAACAGAAATGTGACGAACAACGAGAGGGCAATTCATGTCATACCTGTAAACGTTTAAGAATAGATTGTCTAGGATGGGGCAACAAACGTCCAGAATGGATGCGCGTGAGTCCAGTTCGCACCTTCATCGTCACCGTCTCTCATCATCCTACAGGACAAGAAAGCAGTGGAAGATTACAAGGCTGGCATCAAAGCTCAGCTCACACGTGCTGGCCTGATCCGCGGTCAGCCCAAATCATCAATATTGCAAGCCAGTGCAGCGGCACCGATATCTTCGCCAGCTTCTTCATCATCTGTATTCCCTTCGCGACAATTCCAACGATCTGCAAGTGCTTCAGGGTCTTCTCGAATCAATGATTTGGCGATATCGTCGTACGTTGATCCATTGAGTGACCTAACCGTGCTACCCGTGTTTGGTGGGTTTCTTGTGATGAGCTAAATGAGTCGACGGCGGCTGACAGCCGCATCCCCAGGTTCAACATTGAACTCACCTCAGAGCCTTTCTGTCCCTCTTTACGTGAGCGATGGGACCTTCCAGCGTTCAAATCACAATTCCCCCTTCAGCCCTGCCGGCTCCCTTACCTCCCACCCGTCGCCCATGGCGGAAATGCACTTTAATCCTGACTTCGACACCGCCACCCAAAACCTGTATAACAGTCCGATGTTGTCGATGCCAGACGACGGCCTCCAAATGGAGCACGTATTTTATTATTTTGAGCATATTCGCAAGTTGCAGTATGCATTTGCCGGCAACTCTGTAGCAAATATAACATATTCAGTAAGTTTTCTTCCAAGACAATATTTCATCGCTAACCATTATTCAGCTTGTATTGCAACATCCACAGGGCCCTGTAGCGAACGCAATCTCCGCGTTAGCATCATTGCATTTCAGTCTAATGCGCACCGCTCACGGGCTTGAGGCGCCAAACCCAACACTGGAGAACTCACCAGCAATTCGATTCTATGATAATGCCCACCAACAAATTTATAGAAACAAGCAGACAATGCTGAGCGAATGCGACGCAAACGCAGCCATTCACATGCTAAGCTTCTCGCTCGTTTCAGGTGGGGTGACCGATTGGCGCCCAATGCTGGACATTGCGAGCGAGTGGCTAGTGAGGACGGGGATAACAACGAGCGACAACCCTAGGTTGATGATGATGAAAATGAACGAGGCATCGCGACTGGCACTGAAAGCCACCATGGTGAGTTCCATAGAGATTATGATTCACTGAAGCTTACATGAAGCACAGTGGTATGATATCATGTCAACCCTAACCCTTCAAACGATGCCAAAGCATCTAACTTTCTACCGGCGGCTGTTCCGCGGAGGTTCGGGTTACTGGGCATTAGCGCAGCAGGGCATCGGTGACGAGTCGGTCCTTCGTATGGATAGCTTGACCGGTTGTCCAGACGAAGTACTCCTTGGTATTGTGGAGATATCAACTCTATCATGCTGGAAGATGCAAGAACTTCGTAAAGGTTCTTTAAGCATGAGAGAGCTCATCCGACGAGGGGACGTTATTGAGCGACACCTCCGTACCCAAACAGAGACGGTGCTATCGGTAGACGCGGACCAGACACCGTTACATCCTGATTTGTCATCAACGGCTGCTGAGCTTGGCAATGTACAAGATTCACCTGCTGGACAGGCGCGCGCATCCCTTCCCGCGGATGACTCTCGGAGGCTAGTAGCTGATATCTTCCGAGAAGCAGCCATCCTCTACCTCCATACAGTGCTCAGCGACCCTAATCCAGGTCAGTCGAAATTGGCACGTTGGATCTGCAATACTCATGACTTTGTCACAGGAGTACCCGAAATCGTGAATTCGATAGATGTCATAGTACAAATTTTGAACCGGCTGCCCGTGTCGAATATCGACCGCTGCCTGGTGTTTCCCATATGCCTGGCTGGGTGTCTCACGGACGATCCCATGAAGCGCGAGTTTCTGAAAGCTCGGTTGCAAGGTCAAGACGATGGCTTTGGCAACACCAGTCAGACTCTGAGAGTCATGGAAACAGCATGGCAGAGACGGGATAATCAAGGAGGAGCAGTTGAATGGCAGGAACTGCTCCATATCCAGGGACGCTATCTGCTCCTGCTAGTTTGAGCTCTCACGGTTGCTCACTCCGCGACTGCACGATTAATGCAGCGATGATACCCTACGCACCCCTTATTTAATGTAATTGCATCGGCCTACGCACGCTACCATCCTACAGTACTGTGATTAACAATATATAACGCTGGGTTTTTGAATAATTTGACTCACGTTGCAACGCCCTACTCTAGGAAGAGCGACGTGTTGTTGACGGAATAGCTTGAAAGGACAACATGAATGTTTGCGAGGCCACTCCAGCAAAAGGTTTGCGTGCAAGCGGAGAAAACAGTCTGTGCAGAGAGAAAAGGTCAGTTCTGGTGAAGGGCAACAAGTAAAAGCTATATACCGAGCGACCGGAAATTAGTATTTCCTTTGTGAGGCATGCGCGCTCACCAGCGCTCACACAAGGACCAATAAGATGGTGAGAACTACTACAGTTCTGATTGAAGAATGAAAAAAAGGGATGCAGGCAGTGAATATTGAATTGATGGCATGCCACGGTACTTATGAGAACAACGTTAAGTCGAGCGCTGGCGGAAATGGAAGGGCGCTCAAAAATTTCAACTGATGTGATGGCACTGGGCGTCGGCGCTTGCGAGTTTGAAGTCACAAGTCGTTCCGAGACAAAGTGTCAATCGCTTGACCGTGGTGGCCACAACCCAAATAGTAAAAAATAAATGCACGTGACAGTCGCGTCGAAAAAGATGAACCGCGTGTTGCAACGTCACAGCCACAACAGTTAACCTGAACTTCACGCTTTAATCTCTACAAACACATCGTTGACGACGGTTCCGACTCACTACGCTTACGACAGATAATACCCGTCATGTTCAAGGGAATTTTACCCTCATCAAAAAGAATATCTTCCTCAGAATTCACCATGGTCACCAGCCTTGGAGATCCACTCACCGGAAAGGAGAACGTCCCTGACAATAATAACGTTGCGGCTCCTACAGTCGCAAAATCAGGGAAGGGAACTCTTTACAAGGGTAGTTCAAAGCAAGAAAAGTCAAAGACTATGACTCGGGCCTCACAGGACCTTGTGGTCGAGCCGGTAGTGATGAACCAAGCCTTTGACAAACTGTTGGTAAGACTGTATAGTGATGACAATGGTCGATAGTACTTAACAGCACATGCACACAGGACGACCTACAAATTCCTTCCACTGTTCGTTTGAAGCTAGTTGGCATGGATTCAACCGTTAAAGCCGCCATGCTCAAATCATCTCATGTTCTGACATCAAATCCGACCTCTGGCTCACCAAGCACCCCAATGACATTGAGAAAAGCACGCAGTAGCGAATCTGTCGGTTCGCCTCTCCCGCCTTCTCTGAGTTATGACGAGATGCCTACGAAAGGCAGTTGGATGTCTGGTCTCTCCGGAAAGAGTACAACAGATCTCCACGCACTCGATAGCAAGCAAGGTCACGACCGCGGTTCATCCTTTGACGCCGCACGGACATTATCTCATGGTCAAACTTCTCCGGTTATCCCAGGCGACTTGATTACGAGCAAATCCAAGGACAAAGGCTTCGTTAAGAGCATAACTCCTGTCAAGTTCTGTAGCATCTTGACATCGACTTCCAGCACTCAGCTAGGAATGGAGACAGTCAAGAAGCTCCGACTACTTCTACGAAATGAGTCGGCAACGTGAGTGTCGAGTAATCTGAAGGACTTTTGCCATGTGGCTCATCGAACTTTGACTAGTTGGTCGGAAGACTTCCTGAGATTAGGTGGATACAATGCTCTGCTGACGCGATTGAACGAAATACTCGAAGTCGAGTGGCGGTGAGTTAATACGTCAAACCTTCAAATCACATTCTTATCTCTTTATTCCAGAGAAGAGCAGCATGATGACCAGATGTTGCATGAATTACTTCGATGCTTCAAGGCCTTGTCGACTTCTTCAATAGGTTGCTTTGCTTTGCGCAGCTCGTGTCCAACTCCGTTCGTGCAATTGGTCTCTTTGCTTTACTCTGACAAGAAACCCGGAGACGTGGCAACGAGACAGCTCATCGTCGAATTATTGCTCATCTTGTTCGAGTTATACCCTTCTTCATCGCTCCCATCCACTGGTAGCCGTCCACGTCGTGAAGCTTGGGAACCTGAGGGCCGTTCATCCTCGAGTCTCATCACTCTCCCTGCGCCACACAAGAATTTTTACTCGTTGATCCGTGCTCTCCTCCTGACACCTGCTCCCCCTCCAACCGAATCGCCTGCGGCGCCTGTGTCACCTCATGCTTTCATTGAATCGCTACATCGCCCGAGGATCTATAAAACTTACCTTCAGGAGCTTTCGGACGTTTGTAGAGATTACTTCTGGGTGTTCTGTCACCCAAATAACACAGTCTGGAACTTGGCCGAGGTGGATGAGGGTAAGGTGGAGAAGCCCAAAGCACCTGGGGGTATGACTGGAGGTGTCGAATTCGAAGCTATGGGGTACTTTGTAAGTGGATGAAGAGCAAACGCAAAGGCTGAAGCTGACCAGCAACTACCACCCGAGCAGACGATGCACCTCAAACTCATCAACGCAATTGCTAGATCTGCTCATGAACTGAACCTGCCCAAGGAACACGACATGTCTACACACCGCTTCCACGCTGACCTATTTGCGTCTGGATTCGAGCGGATCATTTTGGTGAGTTAACCTAGCCTGATAGTGGAATGAATATTCATCGTATTTTGATCCAATAGATATCGCGCAAGACATCCGCAACATATTATCCGACGTTGCATCTCGAGCTTGCGCGATACATTGCCTGGGCGGGTGCAGCAAGATTCGAGCTGCCGTGGACTGTATCGCGACTGATTGGTCCTCCCCCAGCAGCATTAGCCAAGATGACTGCCAACCAACAACAGAGACCAAGTCGACAAGGCCAAAGCCCACAGAGTTCGGCGACCAAGAGACCCCCTCCGGGCTTTATTGGGCTGCCGTCTCCTAAGAAGGTTGAACCCATCAAGTTTGATTAAATGGAAGTACTGCGCAGGGAGAGCTGGCTTCCTGGTAGCGGTTTTTTTTGATCTAAACCGATGATGATCTCATTCGTTCTGTTGTACGTTTTAGCCATGCTTTTTTTTTTTTTTGCTTTTCTTACAATGAGGTGCACGAAACATGATAAATTAATTACAACAATAAAATGTTGGAAGTGTCTGGGTTATACAAAAACGAACATATATTCGAGCCCAAATGTACATATGTATATGAAGACAGGGTAGAAACAGAAAGAACTATGCATGCTCCTCGCTACAGGGCACCAACTCGCGCAATGCGCAACATCTCAGTCCACTTGGTGTGCTATTTCAAACGCTACTTAGTGCCCACCCAGAAGTCGAGAGCCCTCGTGGTCATTACCACTGAACCCAAACCTTGCCGCGTTGTTGTTATTGGCTCTGTTTCTGATCTTGAGTTCCAACCCGATTGCACTCCGCATGAGCCAGCACAACGACAGGATGGCAGCTCCAAGCGCACACCAGTGCACGAATGGAGACTTTTCCGGCGTTTGATGTACAAAGACAGCCCATAGGAACCAGGAGACTGCAAGGCATCCAGGAAGGTCGCCCTCTGTGGACGCGTACGCATAAGCGGATGCAATTGTCTGGAGGGTGAACCTGGGAACATATGATCAGATATCACCCCGGTCAAGCGAACTATAACTTACAGGCTAAGGAAGACGAAAACTTTGGTCCAGGTCTTCGCCGGCTCAGTTTCTGCATTCACACCAAAAGCCTCAAAGGCGGTGCTGAAGATCAAGGATGTAGTCCAGCCGTGGTAGAGGGAGAATGGAAGGTGCAGGAAGAGTTCGTCGCAGATGTTGCGTACGGTGCTTGCTTTCACAAGCTGGTAAATTTTCTGAACAGATAAGTCGTATCTATCAAGTCGTTCGACTAGGAAGTGGCAAATAACAACCTACCGATACAACTGAGCCAGTAAAGATTATGAAAACAAAAGCTATGACATACGTCAGTAAACTGAATGACCGACAGATCAAATTACCGACCATATTTGTACTCTTGGTTGGTCCAGGAATAAATGTACATGACATTTAAGAAAGCAAGAAGTGGGAGATTCCAGCCTATGGTGTCCACAATGACCTCCTTACCCCGTCCAGAGAACTGGTAGATGCATGTTCCAAGAGCCAACAAGTGAATGAGAGGCCTGTTGGCGGTAAGCGCCTGATATAGGAAGTGTACGTATTTCGTACCAAAGGAAGAATGCCCAAGGGGCAGGGGTAAAGTACGTCTCTTTACCGGTGTAGTAGACATCCAGGGGAGAAACAACTGTGTACCCATTTGCTCCCATAACGAAAAGAGCTCCGGCGATATTGGCCAGCTGGAAGGAAGCACCGCATGACGTCAAAAATAGTAATATTTTATCAATATAATTGCTTTACTTTCAGAAGTAAGTGGTCAGACCACGTATTCTGGGGAGGACGGCGGAAGAACGATGACATGACTGAATTTATGTGTTCTGTGTTGGGGAGTAGTACTGGAAGGAAGGGGACTTACAACGAGGCGTCAAGGGTGGAGTTTATGTAGGTCCACCTTGGTCCGCCAGTAACGTGTGCAAACCACGCGCCAGAAACCGCGTTTGATGGGCGTGGTCCGTCACGTGGCAATCTTGTCTTCGAGCAATGGAAGCACCACCAGTCAGTGCTAGTCGGTGATTCGCCTTAATCTCCCTTCACAAAAAGCGCTGTAATTGTACACGCAAATATAACATCAGTGATGGCATTTCCCCCTTGTGCAGGACGCTGCAGTGCCAGCACGCCGATGGAGTCTGATTCCTGAAGCAGTGGAACTGCCTTCATGCTTGCTGCGAGGGGCATACTTTTGGATATTCGACTGACACAGCTCATCGATCGATCATACCCTGGTGTTCGAAGGTGATCTTCTAGTGCTGTAGATTATCTGGAAAGCTGCAAAAGGCTGCAAGTTTGCAGTAGTAAGTAATTTATGTCAAACAGTCGCAAACATTGACCTCGCGTCAGAACGCGCCCCTGATGAACCTTCCACTTTGTTTCCACTCATGTATTCTACCCCCACTCCGCTCTGAGCGAGTCAAAGGGCCCATCAGAATACTCGCAATCTGTGCATGTTCCAGAAACAGAATTTCTCGATTCCTCCCCACCTGCCAATCTTTCAGAATCTGACGAACAGATCCTGGTGGCCTCAGAACAGCCCCTAAAGTATGATTTGATCTTGACGGCGATTATGAGTACAATACCTCGAGCTTCGGTACGGATGCCTCAGATCGTTTATCTTATACATAAGTTTCTTCCTGAAGGTCACGTTTACATTTGAAGTGGGAAGGTTTTCTCTCTCTCTTCAAATGTAAAGTACATTCATCAGCCACCTACTGACCTGAAGTCGTGCTGATTAACTTTTATATATCAGAATCAGTTGCTTTCTATATGCTCCAGAAGTTATTGTTACGCGCCCATATCCTGTTCACCAATGTCTCACTGCTAATCTATTATATGCTCTTTAATATTGCGTCCACCCCATCATCGAACATGATGCTGGGGAATCAATAGGTATCATGGGGATCACTGATAATTGCTTTCCTCCGCCCCCGACCTCCAAGTCGCCATCTCCCGTTTCGAAGATGGGAGATTTAGGATGCCTTCGATAAAGTGGGTCAGAGAGTGCGGCTTCATCACATCATGATTCGACACTCAAACTTATGGTCGACGATGACTCAAACATTGATTTAGCGATCTTGATCTCTAGAGAAGAGAAGTCCGGATAGCGCCCCCAAAAGGAAGACAGCGACACCGCAGGAGCCCTTCGCAAGAGTCCTATAGGCTATGATAGACTTGGAAGGATTCACTCCCAATCGGACCCATGACGCTAAGTTTAGGCCGGTTGTCGTCGAGGGCCACAACTGGCTCGACGTTACCGAGATTCGTTACACCGTTTTTCTGCGTGGCGGAGACGGCAAGTTTTATTTCGATAGCAAGGACTCTACGCACATCGCAGAAGGGGTACGGCGCGTTGATATGCGATATCACAGACCTTAGCTGACACTTCGAAGACACTTTTCCCTACTGTTCAGATGGATGATGTCGACCACAAGCTCATGGAGGGCGCTGCAAGACTGAAGGCATGCACGATATCTGTAATGGAGGACCTCGGGGTAGAGCAGAACAAGTTGCCACTTGCGCGTCAATTCAGACTAGAACTGCAGTTGAACTGGGCTGCTGCGTCGAACCAGGTTTCGAGCGCAATCTATTCACCGCTCACTTGCGCTATATTGACTGGTTCCATTGTAAGCACGTCAAGTGTGCTTCGCTAGTGCAAATTTAATTATTATCTCAGCAACGAGTGTTCTTTCGGACGTATACTCGACTCAGGTAATTCATCACTCTAGATGATCCTGTTCTGCCGTTGTACCGATGGAATGTGGTAGTACTGCGCTTCCTGTGCGTGAGCTGTAAGTGATGCAACGAGTGTCATATTTTGTAATGATAACGTCCATGGCATAATTGGTAAATACTGTACAATGTTAGTTGGGTATCCCGATGCGTCCACCTTCCACCCACTGATAGATCTAGACATGATACAACGCCGTCCAATGCACATATTCCCATAAAGACGTTCATAGCAATCATAATGTCCTCTAATTGATCATACCTTGATACGCAAAACTTTCTTGAAGGTGTCCCATTTGCTCGGGTGCGAGAACACCACCTGCCATCTAAAAACTGTGAGCCACAACGGCACGATGTCCGCAGCTAAGATCTTACCTGACAATCAAATCACCGCGTCCAACTGTCTTTCGACCTTCCCGAATCGGCATGCCCGCTCCTTTAACTAGTATTTGTCCTTCGGTAGACTTGTCGTAGATTGGATAGGGAAGTGCGAAGGTAATATCGTCCCCATCCATGCCATCTATACAAACATCGCCCCCTCGCTCGGCAAGGCTTTCCACCCATGGTACGCATATGTCCATAAACAGATCGTCTTTCACCCTAGTGAAACGACCATCGGGCACCTCTTCAACCAGGAAGATTACGTCCTGAAGGGTTCCGTCCTTACGCTGGTGACCTGTGCGGGGACAGATAATCCTGGTTCCGCTCCGAATACCCGGAGGTACTTCGATACAGATCTCGACCTGCTCCGTCTTGCGGGATAGTAACTCCCGTGTGACGAGAAACTGGTAAGTGGTCCCGTGATACATCTCGTCCAGAGTCAGGGGAAGAGGAAACAGCCACTCCTTAGATGCGCCTCGAGGTGCACCAAGGGCTCGCAACGGGGAACCATACGTGGGAGCGTGATCAGAGTAAGATGGACACTCTTCTTTCCTGCCCTTCGATGACCCCTTAGAAAGCTTTTGGAGGAGCTCCCTATGAAACAGTAAATCGGTTGTGATCGTGTTGAAGACATATCACTTACTCTCTGAGTCCAAGCCGAGACAGTTTATGTAGCTTGGATGACGGGGGTGGAATTACGGGCTGCGAAAAGTTCCCTGTTTGACTTCGTGATAGTTTCCCATCGCTGCGGCCCTTGGAATATGTGAAGGTAGGTCCGGCCCCCTGGTTGTTTTTAGACCGGGTCGAAGTGTCCGACTTCGAATCACCACATGCAGCTAGAGGAGGCACTTGTCCTGATTGCGACTCGCGCGTGTTGCGTGAAAGATCACGCAAATTGTCATGTGATTTTAAGGGAGAAATGTTGCTCGTGTGACTGCTACGAGAACGGCCAGCGCTCGTGGTAGAGGATGGCGGTTGAACAGGTGTAGCTGATCGTGGCGACCCGCGTAGGTTATCGTATGATTTTGTTCGGGAGCGGGAACGAGAACGAGAGCCATTACTGCCAGTGCTGGAAGACTTGGGGAAATGGTGTTTCGGATTGAAATGGTGGTCATGCGAGGCATGGTGAGTCGGTTTGTCGTCTGACGAACGAGGCTGAGAAAGTTTTTCGGTGTCAGAGCTATGAACGGAAGCGGACGGGAACGGATTGGGTGCCTGCGCACTGTTCTGAGAGCCTGACGACGTTGTGCGACGTGATGCCTGTGTGTTCAAGGCTTGGGGGTTTGGCTCTACGGAAGAGCTTCGGACTGTGCCAGTCTCAGTGGGTGTAAAGGATGGCGAGGCCCTGTCTCCACAAGAAGGATCCGTGCTTTCTGTGCCATCCATCAAGGAATGGTAGGCAGAATTGACCTGGTAATGATGGCGTCGAACGCTGGACTGAAACACGCAATGATAACGCCGCTTACTTCGACAAACATTTGCGCTGCATGTTCTTTGCCGGTCAGATGACGGTCAGGGTGCCACTGGAGGGCCTATAAGAGGATGAGCAGGGTTAACGCGCCATGGAACCCCAAAACACACCATTTTCTTGTATGCAGCTCTGATATCATCGTCAGTAGCGTCAACGGTGAGACCAAGGATACTATAGTGATCTGGTCTGCGAAAAGCTGCGGGCATTGTCGGATAGTAATGAGAGTGGGTTCACAAGGCTCACAAGTCGCACAGGGCGGTAAGTATGCGGGCTCCAAGAGTGGGGGAATATTAGCACTTCTTCTGCAACGAAGGTAGCGTTTATATAAGAGAGAAGGTTTGTCAAAAACCGATCAAACGTACCTAAACGTACTCTCCAATTGATAGGTCCCGAAGCGATCATGAAATGCAGATTGCCTGCAGGTCACATCCTGAAAACAACTATGCCTCATGTTAAGCACGTTTCGCGTGTCTTTGTGAGTAATCACTCACCCGAAACATGATCATTGATCAATTTGCGTCGGACGCTGCTGATAATACTACAGCTTGCATTCTCCGTTCGACTGTTAGCTTACCATATTGCTGCATTAACCGGCGCAGCAGACGGCAAAAGATAGTAGTCAGAAGACACGGAGACTATATACACCTACTATTCAGTTACTTTTTCGGGCGTCAAAAGGTTCATGACGGTGTTACTCCACTGTGAATTGGGACCACTGCCATCTTGCTGCCATATAGACAATCGATCGCTGCGAACGTTTTGGAAATAAAAAAGATCAGTGGCGAGTCTGCGACCCAAAACAAACCCAGAATGCATCATCGATGCATCAGGTTACTCCATCTTGACTCCATCCATACGTTGTTCAACTTTTCATATCGATTGTGCAACTGTCCAATAAACTTCCCAATCACAATGAGCCTGGCCTGAATTCCTAAAACGTCATCAAACCTTGTGCAGCTCGACTCGTGACAGGGTTCAGTCATTCCACTTTCATAAGCTTAGAAGTACTGGCGAAGTCCTCTTGACGCGGCTGCTCCTTCTCCTCTGCGCATCTTCTCGTCCGAGGATTTTTCAGCCTCTTGGTCAATCTCTAACTTCAGGCTACTTGCCCCAGTAACTTTACCCCACACTAAGGCCGTAAGTCGAGGCTTTTATGAATATTGCGCCCATTTCCGCAGCCGTCGGTCATCCATGAACACTCTCCGAATTGCTCGTAGTCCATTCTATAGCGCCGCCTCATGTCTCTCATATTCATAGCCTTCCCCCAAAGCTCTCGGGACCCCGCGTCTCACTAATGCTGAGCGTGTATTGGTTCCCGTGGCGTTCCGAATCGCCGCAAGGATGTTCTGCCATTCGTCACCTGCCCACTCTGGTGGAGTAAGTTCGTGATGGGGAACTCTTGCGTCCCCTCCGAGGGGTTTGCCTGTGAACTACAAGAACTGGCACACTCGTAGGCATCATCTGAACAAATGTGTTTCTTTCATTTCCTCGACACTTGCGCGTCAGGTGGTTTCAACTACGTGTCTCGCCCATATTCACGGGTGGCCTATTAGACTTATTCTCATCGGTGTTTAGATTTCTGCCGCGCTCAGGCTTAGTGGCTGTTCTGTGCCCGGTCAAGGTGAAAGTCTATACACACATTCGCGGGAGAATCACCCTCAACGCGGGAACATTAATCTCGATGCTATTTTTTGCTCGTTAACCATGCTCGTTCTATGTTTTCCCCCTGATCGTTATGATCCGTCCTGCTGCTCATACGCTTCATTCTATCGTCCGCGGAGTGGAATATCACCGGCCTCCCAACACTGCAAATCGATGCTCATTATACCATGCGATTTTCTCGTTGCATGCCAGGTACCTCGATCAGCGTAAGTTATCTACAATTCTGTGGTCTTCGCTCCTGAACCCTCTTGAATATCACTATCTAGACGCTATTGTTGTATGACCGCATAGACTGCGATAACACCAAGTATATCTCACGAGACTCGTTGTGAAATGAATTAAAAGTACAGTTGCTATGTAATCTAACGAGCGGAGTCCACCAGTGGAGGTAAATGATGCCTTAATACTTGATTATCTCAACACCTTTTTCAGTCCCTCCTTCTGTGCGGGCGTAAGACGGTCTGGGAATACGATATCCCATCGCACTATGAGGTCTCCTTTCTTTTTCATGCTGCCCTGCTTTCTAATCGGCGTCCCTTCGTTGGGAATTCTGGTCTCTTGATTGGGTTTCACAATGCCAGCAGGCAACGAGATCTGCAATTTTCGGCCGTCCAATGTCTCGACAGTTCTTCTTCCGTCTGCTCCTGTGAGTGCATCAATCAAGGGTATCTTTAGGCGGCAAATCAGATCATCTCCTTCCCGCGTGAAAACCTCGTGTGGCTTTTCCTCCACAACGAAGACCAGATCTTGTGCCTCGCCGTTCGGCTGTTCATTGCCGGCTCGAGGGAAGCGTATCTTCGTGCCGCTCTTCCAGCCAGGGAGAACTTGGATTTCAAGAACCTTTTCCTCCGTGGTGCCGTCCAATAGTCGTCTACTGACCTTCAGGTGTTTGGTAGCACCTGAATATAGATCTTCAAGCGAGAGTTTTAGTGGGCGAGTGGTCTCTGATGGGGCTGGGGCTGGGGCTGATGTCGATGATGTCGATTGACGTCTGGGAGCTTGTCGCCCTGGCATGCCCCCCGGTATTCCAAAGAAAGATCCACCACCTATTTCGTCATCGTCAAAAATGTTTGGACCTCTGTTCATGCCACTCATGCCACTCCTACCTCCCATGCCGTTCATGCCACCCATGCCACCGCCTCCAGAGCCGCCCATGCCCCCGAAACCTCCGCCTCCAGAGCCGCCCATGCTCCCGAAACCGCCGTCCATGCCGCCAAATTGGTTGAATATTTGCCTACAAGTGTTTAGTTACTGAGGACTGGACAAGCACATGTTACTTACTCGAATATTTTTTGCGGGTCGCTTGGTGCGAACCCATGCGTCCTTGCGTGCGCACCAGGGCCAGACGTGAATGAGAATGAGCTTCCCCCTGGAAAGCCTGAAGAGCCAGAGAAACCACTAGAGAAGCCAGGGAAACCAGCGCCAGGCGCAGCCCCTCCGCCTTTTAGACCTTCTTCCCCAACCTGGTCGTATATAGTTCGCTTGTTCTTGTCACTGAGGACTTCAAATGCTTCTGAAATCTATTGACCAGTCAGCCAGGAGGATGTGTTATGACGTTGCACTTACCTCCTTAAACTTCGTTGAGGCTTCTTCAGACCCTGCATTGCGGTCTGGATGCCACTTCAGAGCCTGTGGACGACATGTCAGCCTGAAGATTCATTGTGAACGAGACACAATTGCATACCATTTTCTTGTACGCCTTCTTGATTTCATCTTCACTGGCGTCTCGAGAAACGCCTAAAAGCTTATAGTAGTCGGCGCCCATGATATGTACAATTTCGTCAATGTAGACGTCCTGGAAGTGAGCGCTATATAGTTCTGTGACCTGCTGTGTAAAGGCTTTTGACCAGAATTCAGGAAAGTTCAAGCAAGGCCCCACGCGCTCTTTCGATTTCCCCAGAACATCCCAGAACCGTTGAGAGCCACTGACGTCAAGAGTATGCAGCACACGTGGGAAGATCCGAGTCTAACCCCTCAATAAGTAAGTGCATTTTTCAAGATCATACATATATATCGCAGTCGCGCCAAACTGTCGTTCAGGACAAGTGTCAGTAAGTAAGTACAAGTACTGAGGCTGTAAACGAGACGAGTGATAAAACCAACATTCGGACATAGTCAAACGTGTAGGTAATGATTCAAGCACAGCCCATCATCACAGTACTTCAATGCACCGCTCCCTTACAATACTAAAGCCATTAAGAACTCTGTTAATTGAAGCCCATTGCTCCATATTTGACTGCTTCTGGGGTAACGACCTCAGAGTCTGGGCCATGTCCCGACAATCAAGAGTGACCTGCTCCAGGTGGGGAAAGAGGCCGCTAAGGATGAGAAACTTTATAAGTGGGTATTCAATGAATTTCCGAGGACGAGGTGCTTGAGATATTTATTGCAGCTTCCACCGCTGGGGGATTTGAGATTTTATGCCGTCCAGCTTGGTGGTGTCGATGACAAGAGCAAGCGAAGTCAGAGCGGGACAGAGCCGAAGAAATCCGATTAACCCATGGAATGTAGGTACTGCGGCGTTACCAATGGCAGCGTAGCAGCTGATTTTGAGCACCTCGAGCTTGGGCCAGTCTCTCACCAACTGCCAGAGTTCTTCGCCAGATATGGAAATGTCACAACCCCTCTCGACGGACAATTGTGGCACGTATGCGATGACACGAGAGCGCCCGATCTTTCCAGAAAATGCAACGAGAGTGAAGACTTCAAGTTTGTCTCTGTTGCATCTCTCTTGGAGGATAGCGCGGAACTCGGATAGTAACGTAGATCCTCTTGCAGAGGAATTGTCAGCATGAGAGTTGATGCCGACCTTGATCTCTTTGCTCTCGACGACCCGAAGGAGGCACAGATCCAGTTGACGGAGTCTGTTGAGGGAACATCTAAGTCAAATGCAATCACACAAGTAACTCCTGCTAGAGCCGAAATTCCTGCAGTCAAATAGAATCCGGAATGCCAATGCGTCCTGTACGAGGACATTAAAAATACAGCCTCATGCACAAGCAACTTATGATGTACGAGGAAATTTCTGCAAGAACGCCACCCATCACCGTGCCAAACGAGCCTCCGACAGGAGCGCCCACTGCAAAGGTTGTGAATGCTATTGAACGTGCTCTATATGAAGGGAATGAATGTGCCAGGATACCAAGCTGAAAAATTTGGATGAGAACTTCCTGTTCGTATACAAACTACTCACTGCAGAGGGTATTACAGCGGCGGTACCAACACATTGGAAAGCGCGCAAGACTGCGAGGGTAAGACCGTATGTGAATGGACGGAACTGGTGGAGAAATCAGAAGGTGCGCGCACTCTGTGCAAAGCCACAACCAATAGAAAGGGCGACTAGACAGAGAGTGCCGATCATGAACACCTTTTTCCGGCCATAGAGGTCCGCCAATCTACCAAAGAACAAGAGAAGGCAACCCTAAGTAGGAGGTTAGCTGGGACAAAAGGAGACGGTCACAGAAGAGAAGCGAGGACATACCGAACTAAGTGAATAGGCAGACTCAACTCACTGCAGCTGTTCTTCGTCCATATCTAGATCCCTTTCGATGGTTGGGAGTGACTCATGAGATAGAGATAGAAGTGGGATTAGAAACCTGTAATCAACAACGAAGAGCAAGACGTCACAAAAAATGGCGAGGAATATGATCATGGTGAGGACGTACGTTGACCGTCATTGCAGTGGTGCAGGCCACGACAATGAAAATGGAACGCAACAGACTGCGCTGGACGACGTGGTGCTTGACCTTCTCGAGGTTAAGACCGTGGCTTGGTGAGTGAACGAGTAAGCTCGCTGACCAGGCTCGGCTCGGGAATGGACATTACTTCTCGTGCTTCCTGAAGAAATATCGGCGACAAAGCCTCTGTAATCGCAATTTTATAGCATTGCGAGTCTCGGAGTGGCGTAAGCACTGCTGAGGGTGGTAACTGGATGTGTATTTAACCGGAAGGTCAACACGTCTGAGCCCACTAGTGTTCCTACTCTAATGGAAGTAGCCGAACCTCGATGAAGCCTCGGACAGCCACACATAACCTTGCAAATGTTGGAAGGCCTGCCTGCGATTCCTTTCCAGGAAATTATTAGCCCTGGCTTGGATGGCCTTCCGAGCCCGAGAGTTGTTGAGCCTTGTAAGGAAAATACTAGAGGAACAGACGGTTGCAGTGAGAAGTAGCAACGCAACGTAAGGGACGAACACAATGCCCGACTCGGATATGCTGCATATCGATTGATGCAAAACAGACGTTCGAACACCAGGAAAAGATCTCTGGGGAGGCAGGCACAATACGAAAGAAAGACTGTCTTCCTCCGATTAGTCTAGCTTGGAGAGACTATGGAGGTGTCATATGCGTACGTACAGTGCAAACATGGCTCTTGATTGGACCTAGTAATGGCGGCACTTGCACTGGCTTCATTCATGTCAACGACAACATTCTGAATCTGAGAGGCGACGGCATTCAGCGTCCGTGTTAGCACATCGTTGCGAGGACGATTGTTCAACGGACCCACCCATTGTGGAGCCTTGGGAAAACCAGAATACGCGTTCCTTGATGTGACAATTGCATGACCTATTCAATACACCGCGTTTGAAACTCCAAGCATGCGTAAATCGGGTCCGGGGAGCGTGTGTGTATGGAGCATGAAGTAAGAGGAAGTAAACCCAATGGGTCTCATGCTAAGCGCCTCGTGCCAACCTGGACAGTACATTTGATCTAGCCTGCATCATACTCGGAGGAGGGTAGATACTGTAAGTGGCCGTCATTCCAACGCTGCAGAATAGGTTGGTGATGGATCAGCACTCAAGATATTGAATGGAGCGTCGTTCTCAGCATAGTGGTGTATTCACCTTTGCAGCTTATGCTCCTGTTAATTGTCGGTATCATTGCGCAAGGAATTGGAATCGTAGTGCCTGTCGTAGTTTTAGGTTGCTCCCAGCTGCAACAACATCCATAAGAGGGCCTTCATTACTACATGGCTGTCTGCCACGTCTGTTTTAAAATTGAACGCGAGGGTAAGACACGACAACCACTCAGGGCCAGTTACTTAGTTGTTTTCTACCAAGGTGTATCCAATGTCTACCCAAGCTCTCATACGATCACCATAACGAATCGTGAGAACTATAAGCCTATGTACCAGCATAAGGTGTGTCAGCTGCAAGTGATCCCTACAGCAGCAGCACTCACCCATATCCAAGAAGCGCAATTACTGTAGCTATGCCATTTGTCGCCGCCACGCCCAGCGTTTCAATCGATGGAATTACGGCTGCAGTCACTGGTGCAAGAATTATCGCGCGGAAGGCGCTGCGCAAGGGATTGGTGTGAAGCCCGCTATGTAGAACCTTTAGGTGCTACTCACGTAACTGCGGCAATTACCTCTGCGCTGCGTGATTGTAGCACATCGACGTTGTACGAGCCGATCGGAGTGAGGACGAAGTCTACCTGCACAAAATGTAACTTGTGACGGAGAAAAAATACACACCAGTTTACGACTCACTCCAACGCCATTCATAAACAAACAAAGCAAATTCAATGTCAAGCCCAACGGTCCAGCGATGTACGTGGTAACCAATCCCGAAAGACAAACGGATAAGGGGACGAAGAGTCCACCGACCAAGACTGCACGTAAGCGATCTTCAGGGATCCAGATGCCTTGGCGCTTTGCCTTGCATTTTTCAATCATGGCGTCGGACAACCGCCCAGCGATTGCTGAGGCAACTTAGGTAGGAATTAATCGAATGCAAAAAAGACACTTCGAGAGAAAAATATGTACACACTAAAGTTTCCGAGTCCACTGGGGAGGAAGCATGCACCGATCAGTGCCTCGTTAGAGATGTGGTATCGTGCACCCTGGCATTAGATGTTGTGGGCCGGATGATTTGAATAGGATGGCAGACTCACAATCGTGTAGGCAATTGGAACCAATAAAACTGGTGCTCATGTTAGTCTGGGAGATGACGTCGAAATCTTCAACGTACCATAGTCCGTCACCATCGCTGATGTATTTGCTAGTGTCTGAGAACAAGACTTCAGGCAATGTGCAGTCAGAAGAAGAGCCAAGACAAACGACAGCCATGATGTTTGGACTACGGAGTAGCCAGAGACCGCTGAAAGGATTGATCCACACGAATTTGAATCGTGCCGTCGGCTCACGTGCCCCTCCCGAATGCAGATGACTTGTCTCCGGGAAGAACAGATATATTAGAACCATCTCAACAATGCCCCATACTCCAAGCGAGTAGTGTAGGCTGCGCCATGACCAGTAATGTGCTGCTGTGCCTCCTGTAATGGGTGACAGTGCGACGCCCAGAAGACAAGCCTTCATAAAAGTTATAAGTTGTCGAAATATTATCAAATGAAAGTACATGTACCCCAAAGAAAATACCCATGGCTGTACCTCGCTGCTCGATCCTGTAAATGTCGCCAATAACGGCCGCACCTACCGACACTCCGCCAGCGCATCCGAATGCCTGAACAAACCGCCAGAACAGCAAGCTCACAAGAGACGCGGACACTGCAACGCCGAAGCTTCCTATACACAAAATAGGCATACCCCACAAGTATATTGGCCGGCGCCCATCTTCAGGGGGTGAGCTTGTCTGATTCAAGTAAGCAATAGCTATGGAAAACCTACAGAATGAGGAGTATGCTGCCCATACCAAACCCCCGATCGCATTCGCAAATACCGACAAACTTACAGCAAGGCTGAGGACAGCCAAACTCAGGTCACGAGCAAGGGCATGATGCGAAATTCGGAAACATACCTCACAACAGCACCCGTTGAATCAAGATCATGAGCTATCTGAGGGATTGCAGGGACGAAAGTCCCAGTCACGAACACTGGAAAGACAAGATCAACTCAGCAAAATGGTTTATCTTTGACTTATACGCACTAGGAAGTAGCCCTGCAAATGACACTGCGAAGACAATGAAGTTTTTCTGGACTTTGCTGAATCGGTCATACACATCCAAATAGTCAGCGACCTGCAATTCCTCTAACTCGAGCGGGAGGCTCTCTTCCGAGGAAGACATGGTGGCAAAACCGGTAGAAGAACTGGTCCTCCCTTCGGAATTTCCATTACCTGGGCCCTGGGATGAGATGAGAGTTTAATACAAGGTTTTCTGTCAATCGCATTCTAAGAATAGTGCGCAAGTCCAAAGTCATATCACATATGACCTCGCCTGTCATTTCGGGGAGTCTGGAGCCCCCCTTCACATCAGGTGAGGGAAATGTGTGACTCGTCATTTATCCGTACCGTCAGAATCTCGAATTTTGAGACAATGAACGAATTTGGGATGAGAATAATCTCCAAGGCTTTTGGGGAATTACTGCTAGTACTAGTCAAGGAGGGTGCTCAGGCGGACTAAACATTGGACTGCCTGCTGTGAATAGAAGTCCTTCGTTTTTGGGACAAAAAAATCACAGGATTGAAGGTTCTAGCTAGCAAGGATTAATGACGAGTAAATATTATTAGTAATCGACCTGGTCAAGCTTTGCCTTCGAACAGTCTTCTGTAAACCATGGCCTCTAATAAACAGCCCGAAGATGAAGACAACAACGCGCACGTCGGTCTGTTCAGGCGATCATGGACTGCATTTTTTCCGTTCTCTTCATCCGCGCTGGCATCTCTCCCCGAAAACACCCAAAGGCCTATTCGCTACACGAGAGAAGATGATATCCCAGACGTGAACCACGACGTTGACGGTCAAAGGCCCACCATCAGAGATTACAACGCCATCAATTCAGTACCGCCCCAGATACGAGTTCCGAAGAAAGTGGCGACGTCTTTGAAGATTGAGGGAAAGGTATGGTTTGCCAATGAAAGGAGTCAGCGTTTATCTTTTTCCTCTTTCCTGTCGTTTGCTAACGCCAATATAAGCATGGATATCTTGGCTGAACCTTGCTGTCTTATTGGGAACATTGGCGCTTGCCCTCTTCAATGCGTCCAAAGACCCGGTGGCTCGGAACTTCGCATATACTTATGCCTTGATCAGCATTGGTGTATTGGTAAACACCCACAAGTCTGCCGTTTACAATAAAACGACGCTCACGCGAGATCCAGGTCTACGGTTTTGTAATCTATCAGAATAGGATTACGATGATTCGCAAACGCGATCCTGGGCACTATGGTTAATTAGATAAATTCATTATTGATCTCAACTCACTGTCATTTCCTAGACCAAATCGTTGGACCTGTCCTTATCAGCGCACTTCTGTTCTTCGCAGTCCTGTTCAATTTCGTGATTCGAGGTAAGAATAGACCAATCGCACGTTTACAGTTCTTAACAACCCCCCTCATTGTAGTGCGCGAGCTGTAAGTCTCCTCTGATACTCCTGAGTTGCCGCTAATTATTTCACAGACAATCAAAAGAGGTCCCTATCCCTGGTCTAGAATTTCTATACCGCAATACCAGTGCGCTCATTATGTCTGGCAGAGAGTCATAGCTTCGATGTAACGATAACATCTCTATTACTTCTGGCTGTTGCCCAGATGAGCATTCAATATTCAATGATCATGTTTCTCTCCTGCCCACTCAGTCCCATACTAAGTTCGCCTTGCTGAATGCATGACACTGGTCCACTGTCGGATCCAGAAACTACAATATAAGACTGCACGCAATCGAAGCTTCCACGTGAATGTGACGATACTAGCCACGAGGTCATGGTTGATTAATATACGGTCGCAAGGCGACCTAGTGTGTTCAGAAGAGAATACAACAGAGAATCCACATCCAGATACAAAATCACAGATTACTTCAACGCCTTCTTCATTTTCTACAGAGCAAGGAAATCAGATTTCGATAGGACGAATCCAAGATTATACTAACCTCTTCCATCTCATCCAGATCATTAGTTTCTATGCGGATGATCTTCTTGTTTAGTGTCTTTTCAATCTCCTCCATCTGTTCCCAGGTTCGGCGATCGTGGACGAAGTTTATTGAAATACCCTTGCGTCCGAAACGACCAGTGCGACCTTGAAAAGAATGGTTAGTAAGGAAGGTAAGGAACGAATTTTCGGAACTTCCTACCAATACGGTGAATGTACGTCTCAACATCGGGTTTTGCGTCTTGGGCCTGTTGATTTCCCCGCTCATTCATCAACGGAAGATCATAATTCACCACCATGTTAACCTGCATGATGTCGATACCACGCGCGATGACATTCGTCGTGATAAGGACTTTTTCGCGTCCTTCACGGAAGTTGTCAATAATGGAGTCACGTTCTGCGGCGTCCTTGGCACCATGCAGTGATGCCACCTTGTGACCTTCAGCTGTCATACGTTGTGAGATTCTATCTGCTGTATGGCGGTGCTATGAAGAGTAGGATGGTTATCAGAGTATTAACAAGCGGCAGATGGATATCTTGCTAACCTGGCAGAAGATGATACTTTGACCGATCGTCAAAAGTTGATACAGGGACACGAGGATATCGTATTTGTGATCTTCATTTTTGCAATCCATATAAAATTGCCGGATGCCCTCCACAGACAGCTCCTCCTTTTGAAGCTCGATCTTGTTCGCATTAGGAGCGAATTTACTAGCGAAATTGCGGACGTGATCGGGGAATGTTGCGGAAAACAAGATAATCTGAACGCCCGATCGGGGAAGGAGGCTTGCATCGAAGAATGTGTGTAAATTGTAGCCCAAACTAGAGGACAAAACACTCACTTTTTCACTCGCAATGTTTGGTCACCAAGTCCATCCTGGTCAAGCATGTTATCCGCTTCGTCGAGCACAAATACCTTCACGTCAGATGTATCGATAACCTTTCTTTTTAGAAGATCCGACATTGTTCCCGGAGTCCCGACAACGATGTGTGCAGTTATTCGCGATGCACCCTTGGGAAGGTTATCCTTTATTGCGTACTCCGTCTGAACTGGAGTAAATTTGCCCATAGCAACGACAACAGACATAATCTGACGCGCAAGTTCTCGTGAAGGAGCTAGACACAGCGCCTGCAGCCAATCTTAACAGATAGCCAAACAAATGTGCATAAAACTGACCTGCGTCTTGTTCTTGGAGAAATCTATACGACTGAGCATGGTAAGCACAAAGGCAGCAGTCTTGCCTGTGCCAGATTGCGATTGTCCGATCATATTCTGAGGACTTGAGGTAGAAATCAGCAACATAGTTCCATGTTATGCGAGCCAGTGCACCTACGGATTCGCGAGCAATAGGGGCAGCGCACGCTCTTGGATCTTCGACGGCTTCGAGAAACCAAGATCATAAAGACCCTTCAATAAATCTTGATGACTATGATCAATCGTTAAAGCTGCATAGAATACCGGGATAGGACGACGCACAGTCCAAGTTCTTCGAATGTCTTTGCACTGAATAAAGGGGAATTCGGGTCGGCCTGCTGGTCTGCAAGCGTAACCTGATAATGTAGTTAGTTATTTAACAACAACTTACTATCGCACTTGCTAAACGTACCGTGACCTCGAACGTCGACGAAATCAAGTCGGTTCTAGCTAAGAGCATAGTATCAGTTTCGCTGCGAGACAACGACACGACCTGCACGCACTAGATTGAGCGGGCTGTTCCACTTCCTTCGTCACATCCTTGTTTTCATCCTGTGCAAGCGGCACAGAACCTGCAAAATGTTATGTTTATACTACCTGGCAGCGATACGTCACAAACCTTCCACTTTCGGGGTATAGAAACCGTCTGCGTCCTTCTCCATGGGTGATGGTTAGAGTGAAAGATGCGACTGAGATGACAAGGTCCGACATCCGATTATGGAAGATCATTGTCAATTGCTAATCTTATGTAAAGGTTAGCGGGCCCGGGGTAGACAAGTCACGACGCATCTTATCTCTGGTCACTACTTCTTGGTGGGTTTATTTGTTGACCTGTGAAATAGTGCACGCTATTTAGACCAGGTCTACCTCAATCCAATGCTGGGTTGTAACCAGACATGAACGCAAAACCGTTATGGCCTCCTAGGAGTCACGCACTCAAACTCCTCCAGAAAATACAAAAGCATGAGTCTCCTGTGGAGCTCGATGAGTCTCCTGTGGAGCTCGTGTACATGTCCCATGAGCGCTGGCCCTGCCCTCCACTACCTATTCACCCGCAACGTAAACTTGACACCATTCGTGTATCTGTCTTAGACTCTTCCTTCAATCCACCGACATATGCCCACCTTGCTCTGGCAAACTCTCGACCTCCACGGTACACCATGAGATCCGGTCTCACAGGCTTAGCTCTGGAATCAACGGTTGAGCTCGATTATGATGCAAGGCTGCTTCTGCTATCCGTGCGGAACGCTGATAAAGCACTGAAACCTGGCGATGCAACATATGAACAGCGTCTGGAGATGATGTACCTCTTATCAAAGGACATATCAGCATCCGTCTCGCAACTCCCAGAGGATACATCCGAGTCTGCGCATGCCAACATCGCAATAGCCATCATTGATGAGCCAACATTTGTCGGAAAAGCTACAGTTCTTCGGCAGTTCCTGCGTGCGCGGATTTCGGGCTTGTATCGTCCGTCAAGTGCTCTGGACAGAATGATGACACCTCCCACCTCTGGAGATATATCAACACCCGGTCCACGCCTCACATTCCTGATTGGCTTTGATACTCTTGTCCGCCTCCTGTCTCCGAGATATTATGCATCTGAAGCTGCGATGATGGATGCTCTTCGTTTCTTTTTCTCGCCTGTGGGAGATGATTGCTATGTGGTATGTGCACGACGGAATATGGAAGAAGTGGAGCAAACGGTGCAGGCGGAAGTAGAAGCGAGGACTTTATCCGCGGCAAAAGAGTTTGTGGAGAGCGAGCGAGTTGCGTTGATTGGCATAGGGGATGATGAGCAAACCAGTTCAAGCCAAGTGAGAACAAAGGTCGTCCTTCAGGACGAGACGTGGAGGAGACTCGTTACTTCATCTGTTGCTAACTATATCATTCAGAACAGTTTGTACACTTCAGCATCTACTTAAATAATGCTGCTGGATGGCACTCTACCCACGCATTTGCACACACCCTTGAAAGCGAAGAATTCTATTACGTTACCAGTCTACTCTATGTTACAACAAACGGATATCGGTTTCATTCTGAACGAGTAAAGTATTGAATTATCGAGAACATGCCAGTCATGAGAGTCCAAGACGAATGATTTTCTATGATGAAGCTTGAGCGAAAGCGATTGCAATGGTCTGATGGGATCTCATGTCAGGTTATGATTTGACGATGTGTCACAAACATACCTCAGAATGACTCAAGGACACCAACACGTTAGTGATTCCCTTGCTATGTGCAGCAGCCTTTGCATCGCCGTGGAGAGTTACGGTCGGAACGCCAGATTCGTTGGGCAGGATCTCGATGTCCTTCATTGCAGCGGCAGCACCCTTTGATGACACACCCAGCGACTTGAACACTGCTTCCTTTCCTACCCATCGAGCCGCGAAAGATGATGGAGGTGACGGTTGAGCACGGCAGTAGGCAATCTCAGCCTCAGTGAAGTTACGTGCGACGAAAGTAGGGTTAGAAGACGGCACGGAGGAGATCAACTCTTGATCGACACCAACTCCAGCTACGGATCCCTGTGATGCAAGGGCATCTGCAACAACCTTGACGTTGGCAGTATCAAACGGAATGTTCTTGTCAAGGCTGGCAGTATACGAGTAGCTGCGAGTCTTCGGATCGAAGGTAGCACGAGCCATTGGGTTCATGAGGACTGCTTGCTCCAATTCAGGAGTGTATGGCGGGCCTTCCTTGACCTTGACCAGCGAGTTGGAGGTCATCATCTCTGTCATGACCTTGTACGCCTCTTGCGCACGAGACTGGTTGCGTATCTTGTATGACTCATATTCGGAGGGTTCAAGAGCACCGAGGAGATACCGGGGATGAACAACAACTGCGGTGCCACCAACTTGACCGAAACCGAAGGATGACTAGTGGCCACGGGATTAGTCCATGTCGACTATCGGTCAGATGAACTCACCATAACACCAGCACGGATACCGTCGGTATGAATAGGCCTCGACGGGAACATAAGGAAATGATGAGCCTCAAATCGAGCATCGATGTTGCTGAAGGATTGCCATGAGCAGGCGAAGCCAATGTGAAGATGGAGTACTTACTCGCTGTTGCGGTTACCTGGGATAATGCCAGTGATGACAGTCTGCAACAAACCAGCCATCTGCCACGCCGCTGAACCACCCTTCGAGTGTCCAAGCAAGCTCTTTTGAGCAATGACAGGAACAGCATTGCCGTGGGTGCGTGACATGGACTCGAAGATGTTGTGCCAGATTTGCGTCTCATTCTTCTCGTTCGCACCGGTACTTGTTCCGTGGATCGAGAGAACACCGACGTCATCTGCCGTCAAACCCCACACCGCGAGTGCACGCCGCATAGGAGCCACACGAGGATCAGTACCCTCCAGCATGCCGTACGTAGCCAAAGCCTCCTTCTCTTGACGGCGAGCTTCCTTCTCAGTGTCTGCAACACGGGATGAGAAGTAGTCATTGTCGATATCTCCGCCATCAGCCTTGAGGATGTCCATCTCCTCGCGCAACTGAGTGAGCTCATGGTCGAGCCACTCGGAGATCTGCTTGCGTCTGAAGGCAATCTGGCGAGAGCGGTAGTCAAGACTGAGACTAGGAAGGGGGAACTTCGAGGGGAGTTCTCTTGCGACAGAAAGAGCACCGCGACCAGGAGCGGGAATAGATCGTCCAGCCTTGTCACTGCAGAACGGTGAGTAAGTGTATATCTCTCAGGTTCGACATAGACTTACGTGGAAGTCGACGTGAACGCCAGGATACCACGGATAGGAGCACCAATCTCCAGAGCCGTCTTTGCAGTCATAATGATATGTATGCCAGTCCCCTGCGACTCCATGAACTAATACGCAAAGTTGGTGAGTTAAAGATATCGAGGATATAGATCAGAGAACTTACGCCTGAGCGAGTCGTCGTAGCGGGACGGGACATCTCAGTGGGCTCACGCCCCATGGCGAACTCAGTCTCGGCGTTGCTCGTGGCCTTCATGTTAGCGAACTCGTAAGAGCCTTCCTCGCTGATGTCATCGAAGCCACCAGCAATCATGACTTTCGCCTTCCCAGACAATAGTGTGTCAGAGGCAATCTCGAGAGATTGGAGTGCAGTCGCACTGAGATTTGAAACATGAGGAACCAAAATCGCGAGTCATTATGAACACTCACCAAGCGCCAACAGGAATCTTCACTGGGCCGCTAGATGACATGAGAAGAAGGTTAATCCATCCAGCAGTAGTGTTGATGAAACTGTGAGAATAGATTGTCAATGATTCGTATTCATCGGACGAAGCTAGGTGAACTGACGTCTCCTGCAAGATATCGTTCTGAACTTCTTTCTCCTCGCGACGGTCTTTGAACATTTGTGCAAGACTTTCCGTGCCACCCATACCGCTGCCTACGCAAGTGCCAACTTCAGAGGGGTGGAAGTACTTGTATAGTTCGTAGGGATCCGTGATTCCAGACATATTCAAAGCCTCGGCCGTGCAAACAAGGGCCCAGAGAGTGGCGCGGTCGGTTTGAGCAATGATATCCGGTGGAATACCGTAGCGACCAGCATCCCAACCGGTGGGGATCTGACCAGCTACCAGGCGACTGAATTTGAACGCCTTGGGGACTAAGACGCGTGCACCCTTCTTGAATTTGACGAACCACTGATCACCTTCTCCGGTCCAGATGTCGCATTTATCGCCATGCTCGTACTTGAACTTCTCGGCCTCAGATTGTGCGACCTCAATCGGTTCTAAGTCGTGAATAAGCTCAATCTCTTGGTTGAAAACCTTCTTCTTGGGATCATAGCCACGGAACAACTCAGGCTCTGCGAGAAGATCAAAAACTGTCTGATGAATGTTGGGACTCGACTCACCGATCAACCGCACACCAGCGTGACTCAGAATTTCCTTCTCGTAGCGACTTCTGACATCTTTGTCGTCGACAGGCTCGCCAGTTTTCAAATCAACCCAGCCTACGTACAGCGAACCATCCTTGAGACGTCCGTCGAAGTGCTTGATGTAACCCATGAGCCAGGCCATCTCGATACAGCCCTCAATCGTGAACTCTCCTCGTGCCTCCATTTCCCAACGAGTGCGCGAACTACCCCAAGGACCGACCTCGGCGAATCCTGTGATGACGACAACCTTCTCTAAATCGATAATGCCACGAAGTTTCTTCAGATCTTCCAAGGCCGAAGTAGTCTCCAGGGCAGGGAATTCGAATTTGAAGTTTGCTCGCGGAACCACATTGACGGTTTGCAGGACCCGTTCGCCCTCCGCCCCATTGATGACCTTGAAGTCAAGGGCATTATCGCGCGCAATAGCACGACGAAGCTCGCTCTTCTTATTCAAATCCATGCGGATGCGGCTAGTGATATCAGCGAGGTCAGGGAGGCGATCCATCCCACCATTAAGGTCAGCCCAGATAGGCTCAACCTGGGTGATACTGAAGAGCAATGGGTGCATCAGACCGAGTATATTGAAAGCCATCTCCTTCGCCGAGAAGGTGCGGACACCGTGACTCTCGACTTCATCTGCGACAATGTTGGTAGCATCCATGAGACCTGTGCCGCGGGTCCATCTACATGGGGCATAAGCCAACGAACAGCACGAGAAAACCGGCGATACTCACCCAATGACAGCACCAGCCAAGCACAAATACTCGCCCCAGCTCTCAGAGTTCCAGCGGTTGAACAAGGTCTCTAGCGATATCTTGGATTCTGAATAGAGACCATCGTTGCCGAAGAGACCGTGATTAGGAGAGAGGGGAAGAATGACCTGTGTCGGTCTGGTGACGAAATGACGAGAGGCCTTCTTATTCTTGACTGCACCGAGGATGCGCAGCAAATTCACCAACATAATGCGGTGGGCAAGCTCAGACTTGTCATCCAGGCCGTCAATCTCGCGTCCATTCTCGGGCACTGCAGCGAAGGGAAGTATGTAGTCGAGATCGAGCCCGAGCGTAGCATAGATGTAGTCGACGAGCGCTTCAACGTCCTGCTTTGAACCTTGGTTGAAGGGAACAACAGTCAGGGCCGATCCTCGAGCACCAAAGCTCTGGTAAATAGATTGGTAGTACTCGACGGTCGCCCGGTTGTAGCGAGAGGTGGTGATGACGACATGTGCACCGCCGGACAGAAGACCCTTCAGGATCTCCACACCAATGGAGCCCTTGCCGACTCCAGTGAGAAGAGCATTCTTGTCCTTAAAGGTAGTGCCCGAGGTTGCAATCTCGTGAAGAATGTCGAGGTACACGCCAGTCAAGTTGCTGGAGTACTCCCAGTTGCTGCCCACCTTGCGTTTGAGGTGGAGAAGAGGGACCTTGTCTGCGGACACGGTGGTGACGGCTGAGATTTGGGGACGGAGGAATTGAGAAGATGAGCGACGACTACGAGTGCGAGTGCGTGATTGCTCGGGGCCCTTTCTGAGGGAACGAACGACTCCCTCGTACAATGCCTTGATGCGGTTTTTCTGGTCCTGACTGATGCCGGGCTGGGATCTGACGACAGTCCACAGTTTCAAAACATCGTCTTGCACCTTCTGGATGTTGACAGTGGAGATAGTATCGCCACTGGCCATCTCCTCGACGTAGGCTTCCAACTTGCGAACGTTCTCCCGGACGACTTCGGAGTAGACGATGTCACCTTTCTCCGTGACTTCAGTATGAGGAGCAGTGGGGAACGTCACTGATTTCAACATGATTAAGGGTGATGGACGAAAGTTAGTCTGATTACTCACCATCCTTGTACACGGGAGGGTGGCCAATGACTTCCTTCGTATTGTCGATGAGCTGTTGGCCAAACTGCTTTGCAAGAGCGTAGGTGTCACCCTTGCTAGCGTCGCAACGGTCGATGTTATACTGCATGTAAGTGAGAAGTTCGGGGTCGGCGCGGTTGAGTAAAGCAATGCAACGGGCGGTAAGCTCGCGGTCGACAGTGGTGAGGCGACCATGGATAATGTCATAGTACATCAAGAGAGCATCTTGTCGCACCCAGTTCCATGAGGAATCGAAGTGGCGAGCTTTGAGCGGGTCGAAAGCAGGTTGAATACCGTCAATGTATGCGTCGCCGTGCTCCTTTGTGATGGCGTCCAAGCGAGCCTGCAATTGAGCGGAATTGGCTTTCTCCTTGTCGAACGCAATCTCCCCGGAACGAGAGTCCTTGTTAAGATAGCGCATGTACAACTCAACGTGCTGAGCCGCAAACTGCTCCTGCTCAGTACGGAACTTCAAGAACTCCTCGCTGTTCATAGTCGCACCACCACCAGAACCACCGCTGGCACCTCCAGCACCTCCGCTAGAGAGAGAGATACCAGAACGCTGAGCATAGATGGCGACGACAGTGTCAAGCCATGCCTTGCCCTCAGCCTCTGAAGAGAGACGTTTGGCAGGCTCCATGGTGGTCCCAAGGAGAAGGACGCCGTCGGCGCGTAACGATCCTAGTCCCCAAGTCTTCGCTAGATGCGTCTTGATGGCAGACGAGTTGAAACCACCAGGCATCTTGCCACCGATCATGCGGGACACCAAGCCTGAAGTGTACTTGCCGAGAGCACCAGAGTGACCGATGCCGAGAGCAGAACCGAGCTCTTCCAACGGCAGTTCTTCACCTTTCTCGGGTGCAGATGAGAACTCAAGTTGCAAGTCACCGAGAATCTCGTTCTGAAGAGTCGACTTGCCACCAACGAGGTCCTTGATGGTTTTGCTAGCAGGAACCTCCTCAATCTTCTTTTTGAGCTTCTGCGCGATGATGGACATGAGGATGTCATTGGCCTTGATGGGGGCATCTTCAATGGAAGTGGCGGGGCCAGCCGAAGGCGCGGAGGCGACAGGCGTAGGCGCAGCGACAGGAGCTGCGGGGGCGGGTGTTGACTCCGCAGGAGCTTCAGTCGCTGGAGGCGCAACAGCTTCATCTTCGAACTGGTAGTAGATCTCGCGGACATTCTTTGCGTGGCAGAGGATGATTCTCTTGCGGCTGACGGCGTCATCTTGTGCTTCGTACTTGGCCTTGAGAGTGCGCGTGGCCATGCCAGTAAGCGTAGGCGAAGGACCAAGCTCGATGAAGCGTTCGAAGTGATACTGAGTGAACAACAAGTCCTGGGTTTCAATCCATCGGACAGGAGATGCGAACTGATATGAGAGGAGTTCAACGAGGATAGTGTATGCAAGTTTCTGACGCTGCTCAGGGGAGGTCCAGCTGTCCTGATCCCACTTCTTAAGAATCTTGTCGAGACGGGGCGAAGACGTCTGATCATAGATCAACTGCGCGTACTCGCGCGTGATGTCGAAGGGCTTCGCGACCAAGTTCGGGATGTATTTTCCGATCAGCATGTCAGGGTTAAGAAGCGAAGGGTTGATCTTCTTCGAAAGGTCTGGGTAAAACGATGAGCGGAATCAGCGCAACGTATATACACGACTTACATGCACGGAATGGCATGACACCAGCCCAAAGGTAACGAGAGTGGAAGGGTACATCAATACCAGGCAGAGGAATGGTTGCAAATCCACGCTCAAGCTTGATGTAGCCCTCTGCTCGTTGCTGTTCCTTGGCGCGCTCGAAGCATTCCATCACGATGTCCCCAAGCATCTCCTTGACCTTCTCGACGGTGAACTGCTCAGTCAGCTGTGAAGACCTATGTTAGGCTGCGAACGTTCTGACAAATAAAGCGCAAACCTTCTGAATATCAATCTTCTGGACTTTCAAGTAGTTCAAGACGTTAGTCATCGTCTGAAGAGCAAGGAGCTCTCCAGCGCAAACGTATTGTTGACCCTACGTGAAATACATGTTAGTCACAAAGCGGCGTAAAGTAAGAAAGCACTGACCTCAACGTTGTAGTTCACGATTTCAAGCAACGTGGTCGTACGCGTAGCAATGGTGTCAACGACCTCACGAAGTGCAGCGTCGGTGAAGGTTTTCGAAATACGGCTGGGGTTGACAGCACACATAGCATAGTTAGAGCGGTTGTGAGCATCACGCTCGACGGCGCGCTGCATGGTGATGCCACGGTAGAAAACGACATCGACAAGAGCGGATATATGGAGGACATCGGCCATGGAGGCGAGAGCGGAATATTCACCAAGCGAGTGTCCGGCGAACGCGCAGTCCTTCTGGACGAAGCCCTTGGCGCGCATATCTTCGAATGCAGCTTTCTCGGTGACGACGAGTGCAATCTGAGCGAATTGAGTAGCAAAAAGGAGACCATTGGGATGGCTGAAGGTGTATTTCGGGGTGCGAACGTCGATGTCGGCGAAGAGAGGAAGAGTCTTGACGTTTCCGTCCTTGTCCATGGTGTCGTAGGTCATGTCCATGTACCGTTGACGGATTGCCTGACCCTTGATGCCACCGAAGTGGATGGTCTTCTCCTTCGGGTTGTCCTTCACGATCTCAACGATGGAGAAACCGTACACGGCGAGCAAGTGCGTATCAGCTCCTTCCCAGACTGCACGAGCAGCAGACGAGCTGTTGTAAAGATCCATTCCCATACCAGGCTCCTGCGAGCCCTGGCCGGTGAAGACGTAGACAGTGGTAGCCTGAGCAACCTCTGCAGTGCCCTCGAGGACCTTCTCATCGCGTTGGTTCAACGTTTCGACCTTGACGACCATGTTGCCGTCGCGCATGCCAACGTGGCGAATGTTGACCTTAAGCTCATCGCCAGGCAAGATCATGCCGACGAAAGAGACATCATATCTGAGAGAGAAGTCAGTTTGCTGATCATGTCAATGAAGACTTCACTTACGCAACGACACGGTCGGGATTGCCTTCCGCGACAATGTTTTCAACGTAACGGCGCGTAGCAGCGCTAGACCACATGCCATGGGTGATGGTTCCAGGGAGCGATGCATAGTCTGAGAAGTAAGGGTTGACATGAATGGGATTGAAATCGCCAGAGACCTTCGAGTATGGTTCATTTGCAAGCGGAGAATTGAATGTGGTGGAGACTTTGCTGGTCATGGTGTACTCATTGCCGAGGGGGGTGAGACGGCCTTCCTGGGTGCCGTGGCGCTCGAGATGTGCAACGACGGGGTTGCCGTGGCATCCTTCCTGCTCGAACTCGACTGAGGCAACCTTCTTCAAGCGCTTGAGCTGATCGCGCATGAAGACGTCACCAGAGACTGTGACATCGCGGTAGGTGGCCTTGTCCTTGAATGTGACCTGCGATTGCACGCGGAAAACAAGGGTCATTCCAGCCTTGAGAGGCGTTGCCTCGTCTTCCCAGCTCAACCACTCCTTAGACTGCATAACACCCGACGTCGGCATCATTGGTAATCTCCACGACGTAATCAGGCTCGTGGACAGTCTCAAATGTGTCCTCGAAGTCGGTAAAGCGGCCGCGGTAGATGAAGGAAGAGACGACCTCGATAACAGGCTTGCCGTCGCGGAAAACGTTGCCCTTGACTTTGACGACCTTGCCAGCATCCGTGTTCTTGACTGATGAAATGTGTGCGTCAGCGATGCAGACGTCACCAGCGACTAAGGGCTGCGCGCCAGGAACGAGGCGGAAGCCATTCGAAAGGTGGACCAACTTCAGCAGATCCCCATCGATGGTCACTGGGAAGATTGCCTTCATGATCGCCTAAATCATGATCCAAGTCAGTCGAAGTTCCAAAAGCATACGACCTAAACCACATACCTGCCACCCAGTCACAATTGCAAAGTCCATCGGAGCCTTGACAGTCTCCGTGCGCGCTGCTTTGAACGCTTCATTCTGGTTACCAACAACACCACAGAACATCCCCACATCCTCGGCGGAAATCGTGACCTCAGGGCCAATGAACGTCTCATGAATATCAATATCGGGCAGTTCCTCCTCGTCTCCGAACCACAGCTTCCAGTAGAACTCCTTGATGCGACGATTGCGGCCGACTGCGACCTCGTGAATCGGCATGGAGCCCATGGATGGTACATATTTGAATTGCAGCGAGAGAGGCACGGATACGTCGCGCCTGTCCTCGTAGAAGGTGACGTCGATACTCTCGGAAGACGCGGTGTAGTGGATCTCAACGGCCTTGAAGTCAGGCTTATGAATGCCATGCGAGCGACCAGCACCGTAGAAGGTCAGAGAGGTTGGCGAACCATTCTCCATGCCGATGACCACCTTCTGCCCGCGTCTCGGCGCAAGCGCACGTTGGAGCGGATTGTCAATGTAGGCAGTGCCTTGTACGATTGTCTCGGACGTCAACAACGCCTTGATCCAGCTCAGCTCTGAGCCGGATAGCGCCTGCAACCACTCCTTCGTATCAGGGATAATATCACCAACGGTATAGGTCACGCTCTTCGAAGTCTCTTTGTACGCAACACCATCGGGAGTCTCAGCTTCTTCTGGGACAGGAGCAAGGTAGTCAACAGTTGGGACATTCGAAACGTCTCCGTCGTAGGATCGCTCGAGGAGCTTCTCAACGAGGCGGGAAGTGATGTTGCCCAGAAGATCCTTGATTGGCTCGTCTTTGACGGTAGAGTACTTGACGGCAACGGGGCCTTGAAGAATGCACACGCGCTGCGGGTCCTGATCAAACACCGCCTCGATATCCTCGGCAGCCCAAAGCGAATCCTACAATCATCCAATAGATCAGTGAACGATCTCAATGACAGCGGACTGATGCAAACCTTCTTGAACCAAACCTCGAAGCTACTGTCCAAAATCGGAATGAAAGGCGCCGGCTTCTGGCCCATGCGCTGAGAAATCGTGAGGAAATATGCGCGGTCCTCAGCAGCGAGCAACTGAGTCTTCGCAGCGGGATACTTGTCGAAAAACGACTCCACAAACATGCTGGGATCGTCAAGTTCGGTGAAGCTCTGCAGCACGCTCGGCTTCAACCCTTCATTGACGCCTGCAAACCTCTCTTCCACGCGCCTCAACCAATCACCCGTCAAGTTCCTCAAGCTCAAATCAATCCATCGACTCTGGTGCGCGACGTACATCAAGCGAACCATGCGGAGGGCAACCTCCTCGTAGGTCATGTCGCCGAGGTCGAAAGCAACGCTACCATCTTTCTTCCAGCCAAACCATGGCTTTGCGAAGTCCGCGTTCAACTTGGCAATGATCTCCGCCTTGCGCTCAGCGAGCCAAGGGGCACGCTTCTCCTTCGGGAGCTTGAACACGCTGTCGTCGAACTCCTTCCACAGCTTCACAGCGCGGGTTGCGACCTTATGGATCGGCTCACCCAACTCTGAGCGCACCGTCAAAATCCCGCCGGTAGGCTTCACGTATGTGTTCTCCCATTGCTTGTTATCGACACCAGCCGCTGCAACGATGAGGTCCTTGACGCTCGAGCTCGTGTGCGCTTCCTTGGCCACCATCACGCGCGACGCGAATAGGAAACCGTCGAAAGGCATGAGCTGCTGACCGTAGAGGTCCTTCGACCAATCACCAGTGAGGTATGGCCACACATCATCTGCACCTCCGAACCCAGAACCGCCGACAAGAATCAAGTTCTCCTGCGCACGCATGGAGCTGTAGGTTTTCAGAACTGGCATATGGAAGTCCTCGTAAGAGTGGTGGCCACCGGCACGCCCACCCGTCCATTGAAGAATGATAGGGAAATCGGGGTTGGCCTTTGCAATGTTCACGACCTGCCTGATACCATCCACGGAGCCCGGCTTGAACGATACGTGCCGAATACCAGCCTTCCTCAAGCCATCGATGATCTCGGCTGCTTTCTCAGTGCTGGGAATGCCAGCAGCAACACAGAAACCTTCGACAGGCAAGCCTTCGCGGCGCATTTCCTGCCACAAGGGGAACTGGAATCCGAATTGGCGGGGGTTAATGTAGAGGGAATTGAGCGTGATGCCGACGCCTGTAGGAATTTGTGCTTGAATTTCGGCAATCTTTGCACGTAGCGATGCTGGGTTGTAGTGACCTCCACCTGCGAGCTCGATGTGATACCCGGCAGAGAGAACTGCAGAAACGAAGCCCGCTTTCACGGTTGTGGGCGTCATGCCAGCGACCATGATCGGGGGCTTCCCGAGCAGGCGCGAGAAAGGCGTGTCGAGGTGGACGGTACCATCGCTGTGCATGTAATATCAGAATATGGAAACTCGTCGACCATGGTTAACCTACCTCGTCTTCACAAGTTTCGGCGCATACTTCTTGCTCCACCACTCCTCGTACTTGACGTCTTCAATATCGAATACCTCGGCCTCACCGCGACCCTTGTCGCCTAGCGTGATAACGCGAACGCCGCGGCCATCAAGATTACGAGCTGTGAGAGGCCCGATGCCATTTAGGCCACCGGGACCAAAGTCGATGACGTGCGTTGCAGTCTCAGGGAAACCCGTTGCGAGGGTCCAGTGAATTGGGGACGTAAAGATCTGGTCGCATAATGAACGCGTGATAGATGTCGCCGAAGTACGCATGTCAGAGCCTACAACCACCAAATCAGCCATAAACGCGCTCTGAAGTGACTATATATGCGTACCATCTTCGGTGTTGAAGACTGGGATACCCAATTCTTCCGTGGACCAAAGCTCCTCGCCTTCAAGATCTTCATCGCACAACTTCTCCGCAGCACCTTTCAAATGTGCGCTGTGGTACGGGGCATTCACGACCAAGAATCGCACACCAAACGCGAGTTTGCGCTGCGAAAACGGAACTTTGCTCTGGTCAAGGCCAGGCGATGCACGTACCTTCCTCAAGTTTGTTACAAGCCCGCACAGGGAGCGAGGAGGACCAGTAACGACGAAATTTCTGGGACCATTGAACAGCGAGACGGCGATCTGTGCATTGGCGGGTAGATGATTGTTGGTGGCGGTCAGATGGGGCTGCAGCGCCTCGAGGGGTAGGTTTGTGATGGAAAGCATGGGTGTTGGCTCACCCTCGCCTCCATCGACGCAGTCTTGAACGATGCTTGGTTCTAGGGCAAGCACAGGGAATGCTTCCTGCCCGCGCATACCACAGAAGAAGAGCCAGCGGAGGGCTTTCTTGGCGTTGACGTCAAATGATTCAAATGATGTAGATGCTGAAATAGCAATCGCAGAGACAACGCCCTGCGAATGGCCAGTTGCACCAGCGATATGGTCGCGGAGGTCACCGGGAGTGAATCCGGAGACGCGACAGATGACAAGATACTGCACGAGCTGGGTGAGACCGATCAAAGGAAGGGATACTGGGATGGAGGCAAGATACTCGACAGGGGGACGAGGGGACGTGCCTGCGAGCCATGCGGCAACATTCATGCCATAGTTGTAGAAGCTACAAGCCTCGCGAGATGCGACGAGGGGGAGGAGAATCTCGTTGGTGATAGACGTGATTATGGGGGAAACATAGGGTTTGTACGTGTCGTACAGCGCTTGGAGCTCATCAAAGTAGACCTCGTTGGTCCCTTGACCGCCAAAGAGCGCATATATTGATGCTTCGGTGTCCTCAGCAGCTGTGAAGAGGGCGGAAGTAGGGGGTCCTGGAATATCGGTAACATTATGGTTCTCTAGGGTAGCACGTGCTGCAAAGAAAGCAGCCAAGACTCTTGTGCGGACCTCGGTATCGAATGGGTTTACGAAAGAAAAGAGGTCGGTATCGGTAAGATATGAGGAGACGAAATGCTTGAACACGCTAGTAAGAAGAGAAGTGCGTGCCTTGATGCTGTTGGGTGCATCTGAAGTCCTCTGTGCAATGAAAGCGAGGAAACGTGCGAAGAGGTCTACGTTGGCTTGCAATGGGTTTTCAATTTCAGCGACATTTTCTACGTCGACGCGTTCTTGAGACAGAATGAAGTCATCCCTAAGGACTTCAGCAGCGATCCACTCGTCTATTTGGGTGGAGACAGGGATGGAGACCTGGAAAAAACAGTTGAAATAAAGTCTAGATTCAACAGAAAAAGAGATGACGCGTACTCTAACGTTTGCAATGGAGATCACTAGTGGACGAGTAGCAAATTGGTTTTCATGAACGGCGTCGCCGTTCTGAACAGACATTTTGGAGGGGAGGTGAACGTCGGGAACGACGTGCGGGAGGGATGTAAAGAAGGAGGAATGGGATTAGGCTTTACTTATATATGCCCTGGTACCCCCCAGCGTGTTTGACTCCCAATTTTTTTGTTTCAGGCTTGTCGACTCCCCCAAAAACTGCAGGCAGGTCACGTGATTACGTATTTAACGGCAAGGCAGCCAATTAGATGGCGTTTTCGTGATCAATGTTCCACCGAGGTAACTTATGTATCTATTAACGAATTCTATGTGAACGCTGACCGTCTCATCTAGACAGTATCGCTGACCAGGCTTAGCGTATCTTTTTCACGTTCAAATCGACTTTCCCACTTGAAAGCTGGCAGTGACTAATCAGTGACTAACAGATAAAATCTATTCATCCGCCATCATCTCAAGATATTCACAGAAACACGTACCCGTAACCCCCTGTCTCTTGCTAGCACCTCTGCGCCCATACAACGGAAAATGAGACACGCGAGGCAATTGTAAAACACATGTGTTTCTCTTATTCAACTCAATTTCAACATGTGTTGTTTGACTCAACTTAAAAGATGCCTCCTGCCATCAGGCCATCTGTCCATATATGCACATGTCTCCTCATCATCACCTCTATCGATTGATGACGCGTCGCCTATGGTCTAGGCTACCTGCGAATAGTTTCAAGCCTCGTGTGTTCAGGCGGCACATGCAGATCACGATAACGTTAGTATTATGTTTTCATATAGACCACCAGTACGATGTCTTTCACTCCGCCAATACTCCGCGCTATTTCGTTCTTTGGGTGGTCGATCAATATTATATTTTATCCCATCTTCTGCAGAGTCCTCTTGATCGCCCGTATCTTTGTCAGTTTCAAATCTGTCTGATGAGTCTGTGCAGTCAACGATTCCTCCGATCTTCATATTTCCTTGCTTGATCGCACACACAAGAGCCTAAACTCCAAGAACAAAGTCAGTGACGGGTCGTGACTCGGCAATACCCGACATCATATTGAGATTATCGAAAATCTTCCAGACGGCGATCTGGAAACCCCAGCACTAGTTCACAGCAAAAAAACATGGACATTCAGAGGATTGAACTCTGGACCTTATACATGCAAGTATGCAAAGCATACGCGCTACCACTGCGCTAAATGCCCATGAAGTGAGGTTAGGGGGATGTCCGATCTTCATCTAGCCAAGATGATTCCTTCCCCAGCGCACCGACTCATTCGACAGGCTATTGTTGGGCTATTGGTATCATCTTATGTTTGACAATAGAGGCCATAATATCAATAACTTCCACAGGTCAAAAAAGGCCCGCCACAGAAGGCTGACATGGAATTCCATATGATACTTACGAGGCAGCTAACCAACAAATATTGTAAACCACTCAACCATCCCAGCCTCCATACCAACACGCACGTCGCTACGGGGTATCAATTACATCGTCAAAATGATTGCAAGTCAATTATAGTTATGTAACACAAATCGCAGATAAAGATGCAACATAACATGGTCCTTTCGAAATGAACGTTCAATAAACAAGATCACTCAACCATCCACCTCCACATGCAGAAAAAGACACGAGTGGACAGAGAGCTAGCTGTGAACAGAATATCGAGGCATATTGTCTATGTAGTCCGCATAGGAATGGGTCCGAGGAACGAGAAGGCATTGTAACACCGTTTAGGCTGGGCAATCGGGGAGTGTGAGGTTCTTCAAGTTTTTGCTGTGAATAGATATGAGCACCGCAACAGTGGGACGAGTGGAGTGGGATTTACTTGGAGTCGAACAAGCCCCAGTATCCCTATCAACGAAGTGTGAGATCACCACGATGATGAAGCAAAACAGATCTGAACGTTACCTCTACACCACCATATGTCGTAGCCTGCAAAACAAAAGTCAATTTCTGCTCCTGGACACTGCAAATGCAGGCTCACCTTCCATGGCTCGTCACAGTACTATCGTCGCACATTGCAGTTAGTAAATGTTAGGGTACGCTGGGAGACCTAAGACGCACCTCAAAGAAGAAATATCCAGTACCGTTAGCAGTAGCTAATGACGTAATGTTGAGCTATCATTGTCCTTGCTCCACGCGAGAAGAAGTGCATACCTTGACATGCGAAAGTATCTATGAATATCTGCAAGTATGAGTCAGCAATCATTATATGACATGGGTGGTGAAAGTGACAGGTTCAAAAACGAATCGCACCTGTAAGTTGGCCACCGAAGCAACCGAAGGCCCGTCATTCGGGCTGTAATTGAACTGAGAAGAGTCCTATAGCAGGGGTTAAATGAGTCAGGGATAAAAGAGAAAGAAAACAGACAGTTGGCCAGCCAGTCTCGGCGATAAACATCTTCGGCTTGTTCGCAAGAGTTTGAGCAAGAGCAACATTCTGGGTCTGGAAGAAGTTCGCCGTCCAGCCAGCCGCGTCATTAATCGATTGATTGGCGAACCATGGGTGGACGTTCGACATCTGCATAACATAAGTGGGTGCCAATCATATACAGCGAGGGATACCAACCCCATAGTCAACGGAGGCGAGAACTTGGTCGTTGAAATAACTTCCAGCATCTGCATTACCGACGAGAATGTTGCCAAGATTCAACCCAGCCAACATTGAACGGGTATCATTAATCCAGGGTATCAGCATCGCTGCAGCTGTGACAAAAAAAAGTTGGAAATTCATTTCAGCGGTAATGAAAACTGTGAACTTGCCTGCCTGTCCTGCGGAGCCGTTAGGATCCGTCTGCCCTTGGGCAGTGATGTAGCTGGGAGTCAGTCAGCAAGGAGTTTTTGGCCTGAAGAATGAGAGAGAGCTAACTCAAGAACGAATTCATTGCCGACTGTAACACCGAGAACGTTGGATCCACCGTATTGCTGAAGAGCAGTCTGAATTTCGCCTCTCTGGCGCTCGTACGCGGTCCCGTTATCGCCGACAGCGGGGTAGTTTCCGAGGTAGACAGACATGTTAACCTTGGTGGCCTCAATGGCGGCAAGCTACAAACAAGCTTTCATAGACAGGTCGAAAATAAGCCGCATGGTAACTTACGACGAGGGAGGACTGGTTGCAGTCAGCGCCATAGAGACGGATGGTCTGGCAGTCGGAGAATGAGCGAGGAATAGAGAAGACCTCATCAAAGGACTCACCGTTGTGATCTGAGACAACAGCTATTGATTGTGTAAGAGAGGGAGCTCAGAAAAGTCCTTCATATGACCTACCTGGATATCCTCAATAACCTCCGCTGCGGTACATTAGACACATTCCAACCAACAAAATGCAATTTTACACACTTAGGTTGTTCCCACAGTCGGGCAGCTGCGAGCCAAGTGGGGTATACGCAACGCCATAGAACGCCTGCTTTAAAGCTGGGTTTTTCTGGAAGTTGCTAGGGTCGTTGGGGTTCGTTCCGGCTGGGGCGCTAGAGTCACTGGTATTGGAACTAGAGCTGTTGTTCGAGCTCTTTTTCGAGAGCGTGACACCAAGAGCGACGCCAACAGCAACCAGTATGGCGACGGTGATCACAGAGCCGATGACCTTTTCAGCGAGACGTTGCTAAGTGGGCAAGCGAAGCATGGGTTTAGAGAGACTCACGATCCATCTTGACCGTTTGCTTTTCTGCTGCGAATGCTCGAGCCATTCATTGTTGCGGGGAGCTTCGATGTTCTGGTAGTTTGGTTGTGGGACGGGCATGTAGGGCACGTCTGGGTTGGATTGGCCTGGAAGGGGATGCGCTGAATCCGTTGGGTCGGAGAGATCGTGCGACGAGTCGAATGGTGAATGAGCGTGTGTGCCAGGAAGTTGGCGATTTTGGAGCTGCACAGCAGAAATTTAGTTCAAAGAAAAAGGTGTATGTAGGCGAGAGAAGGTGGAGTGGAAACAAAATGAACCAGGACTATATCCGAGTGAACTCGGTTTCAGAACTACATATGATGACATATATATATTTGGATTTAGAATGGTAACGGGGGGCTACTTACGCCTTCATCATGATAACCGTTTGCATTGGAGCTCGTTGGGTCGTCCCTGTAGGGCGCTATCTGTTGCGTCGAGTACCCGTCTCGTTGCATAATGGTTAGTGCGGAAGAAAGGAAACTTGTGGAGCTGGATCTGGGACTACTGTCGAAGGCCTAGGTCAGGTCGTGTTACGGCTGGTTAGGCCTTTCCCTCCTTTATTTTACTGTGCCTCGCGAGGGCCGGCGTACCAGGCCGTGGCCCAGCATCATGAGATTCGTTGGGCTTGGCTATTCTTGTTCTTTTCTCGCCCTTGATTGCAATGAACTTCTATTCTCGTGTAAATCTTTACTTAAGGAGACAAAATTAGATACTGCGGAATTCACACCAAGGCCTGGGGCGCCTGGCCGAGCCAAGCCGCCGCAGTGATAAGTGTCCTGGTTGTATGATACCACACGAGTAAGTACTACAACAGCCCTATTAGGTACACAGAAAATCGTGCAATTGTCCAGACCCGCGAAAAGAAATACAAATGAGCGATTGGAAACAAATAACTTCGGAATAGAGGAATTCCATAAGTAGCACGACACCGTGCCCGCCTCCAGGTATATCAATATCATAAACCTTCAGATGACACCATCACGCCCCACTTTGACCTCTTCACCTACCCATCCGCACGGCCCCCGATAGGAGTAGGTGAGTTGACGTGTCGCGGCTGAGTTGACGTCCGCTTCTGTTTCCTGAGCACCCTAGCGCGGCGTCTGTCATCATCAGTGCTTGATTCTCGATTGGAGGGCAGCGTCCGACTTCGGCTTATTGCCACTGCTCCAGGACCTGATGCTTGGCTTATGGGGCGTGATATTGGTGACTCTATGACAGGCGAAAGTTGTCCAGCATCAACATTTTCAGTCCTATCGGGGGGATCTGAGGGAAAAGATATGGCACAAATACAACGGGTGCCCTCGGACTTCAGCGACGGTCCATTTGACGCGCGGGGCCCGGGAATGACCCACCAGTGTGTTCCAGCATTGTGCGACGCCGATAAATGCGACGTCTTTCACGACCGACGAGCTTCCAGCCTCCATCAATAGATGTGTGCTCATCTTCTGAACTAGGCACAACAACAAGGTCTGAGTCTTCCTCACTTGGCACTTGTGTGTGCGCATGGTGGGGCCGTGGGGGAGGGTTCCATAAGGAGCTCGGTTCCGATCGTGGTGGCGGTGGTATGTCAAGTAAGAACCAATCCTGCTGCGCGATCAGGAATTCGAGAACACGTTGGCTCAGCGCGTGCTCCCCCGGGGACAGTTCATGGTTAGGATGGGATATAAGGCCGGGCCGAAAAATCACTGCCAGATCTGCGCGGGAAGGATGAGAATAAAGTCAAAACCACAGAGGGGCTTGGCGTACTTGTTGCTGTCATAAGATTCTTATCTGATTTTCGTGCAAATACTGATAATAGATCCAAGACGTAGAGAAGAAGGTATTGGTTTGCACGGGGCATACGCCGGATTAGGCGCTTGTACGTTGCAATCACTTCATCATGGTTGAATGGCTTCTTTTCTGCAGTTCTCAACATTAGCTTGAGCTTCAAGCTTTCGGAACTCCTTACCCAAAATATCCCGGAACTGATTGAGGAAGTCAGCCTCTATCAACAGCAAAAATAGCATATACTCACATCGTGATACATATCATGTGGTATTACAGGTTCCTGAGTGAAGCATGAGTAGGCACAGCATAAAGCACCGAGTGTCACTGACAGGCATCTGAGTTAAATATCTGCGAAAGACGCTTGCGACATCATGCGTCGTAAAGTGTTCGTTCTTCCAGTCCAAAGATTTCCCGTACTGATGGGGAAAATAGCACATCAATTGTACTTCATAGTGCTAGAAAGAATGTGTACGCACGCGTGGAGGTGTCTCGAAAGCGGCTTGTAGATCTCGCATGCGCTTAGTAGAACCGTTGACACGAAACGTCCCCTCTATCTCTGTAGCTGATAGACGCGAAGCATTTAAATCGATGATCACATCATATACACCGACTTGCAATGACCCACCATTTTCTTTGAGATACAGGCCACTAGAGGGGTCAAGGTAATCAGGGAGTCAGCGAATCGAGACGGCGCAGCGTAGCTCCACCCACCATTTCGCTACGACGACGGGGATGTACCCCCAGACATACAGCTCACCATTCGCATTGGCGGTCGAAATCTGCACGCTTGCATATCTCAGGCTCTCCTTGAGCGGTTTCTGAAAAACCGGATGTTCCTCCTGACCTACAGCTGATAGGATTACGTATTAAACAGCATGCACCGGAGGTGTGAGCATAGTGCAGACCTTTACTTGGGTCGGAATCCTTTTTGCGATTCTGCGCATTGGTGAACTGAGTCCACCACTTGAGGAGGCCGGCCTTTGTTGGCGGGGGGCTGGCTGAAGGCATGGTGGAAGCTTGTGGAGGGCTATTATGCCTACTAGGGATAGGGAGGGTACTCCTGCGTGATTGTTGCTTTTTTGAAAGGAAACCGGGATAGAATATGCGCCTAAGGGTGGCCAGCACGGGCCACGATGAGTAGGGTGGTTTATTGAAGGGGAATACAGGACTAGTGGAGAGCAGTGGATTAACAGTGGTCAAGCTTTCAAGGATCGTGACCCGCAATGCTTCTTCGGCGCACAGCCACACACAGCAGAGCTCAACTTCGCTCCGTAATAAGCCTGATAGGTTCAACAGCTCGGACCTTGGCTAGACCTTCATGGAAAGATCGTGCCATCCGAAGCAGATCGCTCATAACGTACGTTATAGACTACAGAAGAAAGAAGTTGATTATCTTTTACATTCTGGTGAAGTTTACTGGTCCAGAGCAAGTTCAGCTAAGATAAGAATTCAACGTCATCCAATGGTCTGGATCGTTCTCTAGCTGGACATTTTGGTCGTGCTGGTCACTGGTGCGGCTACTCTCGTTTCCGACATCCTAGGGTTGCCTGTGAATTCGTCTAGTAAGTCACTATAATAGGTGGGAGACGAATGAAAAGAAGGAACGACTGTCTTCATTCTTTCAAGGTCTGGCTACGGGAGACTAGGCGAATCGGGGTGCGAGCTTCTAGCAGTGATTTATGTGCGCCTGCCACTAGTCTTTTGTCTTTTGGTTGCTGAGTACTATACTTATTCATGAATAACTGTCTAACGAATTATCGTATGTGCACGATAGCTCCTGTCACAGCTTAGTGCGTCGATCGAGGAACAGCATTGGCATGTTCATAATTTTTGCCTCCTTCTCCTTGGCATCTCAAGGAGAATATCTGGATCGAAAGGCTTCACCTCTTGACATCTCTCGATCCAGACAGCCACCTTCAAATCCTGTAATCGGATTGACGGTGCATCGTGAATTCGATGACGAAGTGGGTGATCAAGTACCTGTCTTTCGAGACTCTAGCAGCGAGCTTGCCGAAGTCGCTTCTACAGCAGCACTAACTCGAAAGGTTGTGGCGGGAGGAATGCCTGAATGATAAAATGTTATCTGCAATATCTGGAAACTGACATTGACGATACGAGTCAGTCAAAGTTGAACAACAAAGTTCTATCCCAGTAGTCGCGCAGAGGTCTGGTGGACAGCCCGAGAGCTATCTACCTCACGTTTCCCTACTGCTGGCCGACTACCCCAACTGCTCTTTCGAATCATGTGCAAAACTTCCGCCACCTCCAAATACACCAAGTTCAGCATCTAACGCACCCAATCCTTATGTAGCCACCTCGAGCAGATGGCATGAACATGGAGAATGAGCTAAATCTGATTGACTGCTTGTTCCCGCATTCTGATTGGCTGCGCAGACCTCGCGGAGTCAAACGAGGCAAACTTCGTTGCTGTCGAGGTGGGTGCAATTTTCACTTCGCATCGCTTCAGTTCGCCTCGCGGCAACAGAAGCCACTACTAACCTGGTGGTAGTGGTCGAAGATTCAATATCCGCGGCGATGCTGGGTCATTGCTCGTCGACTCTGCAATATAGTGTCCACTACTAGTAGTGCAACTTGACCAAGTACATACTTACCTTCGCGTTCTCCAAGCATTCCACTGAAGGAGATTACAATTAATGTTAACTCGGTCACGATTCGGCCATTAATATGACGCGACTCCGTAATAAATCGGATAAATTCACACATGTGCCAGCACAACCGACTCGGTTCCGACGGCGCGCTGAGATATACCCCCTCAAGCTCCCTGTAACTTGAAACATTTCATCCTGCGTAGCACCATGAACGACGCATTTCCAAAGCTGCTTGGTCTTTTGGGTACCCTTCAGGCTCGTGTTGGCCCCCGAACTAGACTTTCTCTTGGTGCAGCAAGCGCTGTGGCGTTAACGATCATCCTGAGGTACATCACAGCGAAACAACCGAAGCTCATAACGGACTACGCGAAAGTAGCAAGGAAAGCCAACGACACCGGACTCGAGTTTGACGAGTGGGACTTCATCATTGTTGGAGGAGGTATGATCTATTTGTTCCTTAGCCATGTTTCCTATAACCGCTTGAACTCGTCTAGGCACAGCAGGATGTGTTCTGGCATCACGTCTATCCGAAGATCCAAACGTGCGGGTTCTACTCATCGAGGCTGGTGGAAGGTCAGCGCTTTGGAGGTTTTTTTTGCCTTGGAGATGCTGAAGTTCTTAATATCAGCTCTAAAAATGTCACTCCAAGCAAGATACCCGTTGCGTTTGCGAGGTTATTCCGCACTCAATGGGACTACCATTTTTATACCGAGCCCCAGCAGCATGCAGGCAACAAGAAAAAGTATTGGCCTCGCGGTATGGCGTATTCCTCGATTCCAACTTGTCATGCTGATCCCCATCTGTTTAGGTAAACTCCTCGGAGGATGTGAGTGGTTGTTCTCCTGGTAAAGAGTTATTTTGATGTCCCTCAGGCTCTGCAATCAATGCCATGATGTGAGTCGCAATGCATATCCCCATGGGCTGTCTGACCCCTACTATTCTAGTGCACAATATGGCGCACCGTCCGATTTTGACGAGTGGGCGGAAATTACTGGCGACGAATCCTGGTCTTGGAATAACTTCAGCAAGCACGTAATCCATTCCTCATTACCTTTCTTCCGATAACTCCGTTATTCAGGTATATTCGAAAATTTGAAAAATACACCCCAGACCCGCGCTTCCCAAACGTTGATCCACTCCTCCACGGTGCCGATGGACCCGTTGAGATTGGATACAGCGCGCACATTTGGCCAGGCTGCAGCTCCTTTGTCCAGGCGAGCGTGAACGTCGGCATCCCCTTTTCGCCCGATTTTAGCACGACTAAAGGAACGATCGGGACAAACAAGGCGAGTCTTCTTTACAGGTACTTCCGCCTTGAAGTTATAAGGCTCACTAACACCGGTCGATAATATGATACAGACCAGTGAGTTCACTGGTGACCGTCAGGATCAACGAGTGCTGAATACTGATATATAGTGACGTACATCAACAGCAAGAGCACTCGTGTAACTACTGAGTCTGCATACCTCACCGATGAAGTCCTTGCGCGTCCAAATTTGAAAGTCGTCACCCATGCCCGTGTCTGCAAGATTCTCTTTGACACCTCCAATGGCATCCCGCGTGCAACTGGTGTTGAGTTTGCCAGCAAATCTCACATAGGCAAAGTCGGACCCAAGTTCCGCGCACGGGCGACCAAGGAAGTCATCGTCTCGTGCGTGACTGTATCATGTATCTTGAACAATTAATCACCTTGCTTTAGCGGTGGCACCATACATTCTCCGCAGATCTTGATGCTTTCTGGCATTGGTCCAGCTGAACAGCTTTTGCGTCACAACATCCCGGTCGTGCTCGACGCTCCCAGCGTCGGGTTTAACCTCTTGGATCACCCATGCTTCAGTCTCCGGCTTAGGGATAAGACGGGAACGACGTTCCACCATCTTAGGCCTCACAGTTTGCAAACATTCCGCTTGTTCGTGCGCGACTTTATGCGATACCAACTGTGGGGCACTGGCCCAATCGCTTCGAATGTCGGTCACATTTTCCCCGTGCTTACATTGTCGGTGCTGAATAATGGCATAGATCGGCGAGGCTGCATCATTTTTCCGATCAGACGATCAGGTGGTCTTCCCACCTGCGGAGTACAACCATGACATTGAGGACGCCAATTCAGGCCCAGACGCACCCGACCTCGAACTCGTCATGTGTACCGCCGCAGTGCACTCACACAGCATACCCCTCAGCACGCATCTTCAGGCATATCAACTGACCGCTGTCTTATTACGGTGAGTAATCAACATCTCAGCTTCAAACTCGACCGAAACATCTTTGTGCTGCCAGTCCCACAAGTAAGGGATCACTCTTTCTCAAGTCTGCCGATCCTTGGGATGATCCGCTCATGGACCCCAGGTAGGGTACCCGTTTACTTCAACACCACGTTGTACTTATCATGGGCTAGATATCTCGAAACAAAACATGATATTGATGTGCTCGTTCGAGGCGTCCGCGCTGCCTTCAAAATCGCACACACTGCGCCTATGACCTCTATCACCGACGTGCACGCCTCGTACCCTGAACTTGATCACCACTTCTCTCGTCTCAGTGATGCAGAGCTGGCTGATGTTATTCGAGACCGCGTTGAGACGCTATATCACCCGGTAGGAACGTGTTCCATGGGCCCCGGCGGCGTCGTCGACTCGGACTTGCGTGTCAAAGGCACTCAGGGTCTTCGAGTGTGTGATGCAAGTGTTTTCCCCAAACTGGTCTCAGGACACCCGGTGAGTAGAAGCTCTGAAAGCTCCTTGTGAAAGCTGACAGAGATCCAGGCCGGTGCGGTTATTGCAACCGCCGAGAAGTTGGCCGATGTTATCAAGGCTCACTACTCATAAATCGTAGGCTCATGGCGAGCCGGGCAATTTTAACGTAGTACACGGCTGATCTTTTTATTTTGGTTATTTGTCCATCGGGGCAGCACCCTGTCAGACACAATCTACAATTCTGTTATATTGTATATATCTTGATGTACGCTGTTGGTTATTCCCATTACCATGTAGTGTAAGGGACTATGTACTTGCATGTATCCCAGTAGACGATGAAATGAGTTGCTGTGATGACTACCTTGATTATGGATGTGTACTTGCAGTATTAGTGAATGGCCAAACCTCATCAACAGCTTGGCCTTCTTCGCTACTTTTCGCAACAACTCCAAGCACCTTGTACTGCTCACCCATCCCAAGCGGATCAACGAGCCTATTTGCGCCTTCTTCGATCGCCTTCTTCCTCTCTGGAGAGGAAGCCGAACGCATAAGAGCGCCAGCTCGTATTTCTATGCCCATGCGCGTGAGAAAATCGCGTTGGGAAATCGGGCCATGCGTCGAGACTGTACAGGTTCAATAAGTATGAAGCAGAGCACCATCATGAAACATACCCAGGTCAGCCATGGACTCTTTCAGCAATCCAAAATCGACATTCGCCGTAACGTCACACTCTCCGGGACGGCAGAAGAGATCAACAATTTTATGCTGTTTGAATGCCTGTGAATGGTTAGTGGTCAGAACCCGATGTCTACGTCCGAAGTCATACCCGCAAGGAATCGCCAAACGCTTTGTCTGCACCATAGTCGACGATCAGCGCGCATCCTCCACCCTTGGTACCGATGAGTTTCCCAATATTCCGTGCGTGATTCATGGACGCTCTGGATACCTCTATACGCGTCCCAATGGGGAGCGAAGAGAACCGAGGAGATGCAAGTCCGAGGAGGGTCGATGATCCCGTTGGACTTGGCGAGAGAACACGCGTCCAACGCGAAGACATGGGTTGAAATTGCGGGGGAGAGACTGGCTTTGAGTCTGACTCTGAAGAAGGCATGGTATATTTAATGCTTGGATCACTTGAGGGGGCAATTAGCACTTCGTTCCAGCCTTGTTGAGTTCTCTATAATTCCCTCAAGTAAAATAAATTTTCGTTTTTCTGAATGGAACCCACCTCGATGACGTTCACGGGAAGTGCATCGAAAAATTCATGAGCAACCAGCATAGTGAAGACATCTTCCTCGTGCTCAATTTCTTCGATTGCATCATGCCACATGATCTCGAAACCGTCCTCCTGAGAAGCCTTGCGAAGCTTGCCTTCTTGCGAAGCACGCATGCTTACACTGCTCTCAACAAGGTGAACACTCTTTAGTTTTCCAGGTGTGGCAGGAAGCTGGTTCAAGACCTGGAAAGAAGACGGCGAGAAGTAAATAACCACCCGCTCAATATCACTCACCCGAATTATGTCTTCCATAAGCGTCCCCCTACCAGGCCCGAGTTCTACCACTCGAAAGGGTACCTTAACATTCGTGTCCATCCACTGCTTTATCATCCATAACGCAACAAGCTACCCGCAGCGCATTTCGCGCTTTTAAGGTAAGACACATATGATCACAACACAAATCTTACCTCACCAAACATCTGGCTAATCTCAGGACTGGTGACGAAGTCACCTTGAGTGCCAAATACAGCGTGTTCCGGCTTCATGTAGTATCCATATGTAGGGTGCCCAAGACTAAGTTGCATGAACGTGGAGAATGATATAGGACCTGTTGCCTTCATTTCATGAGACCCAAATTTGAGAAGCCGCACGGTCGAAGACCTCACCTTGACACTATCCAGCATTATTTTCTCGACGTCCGTCAGAGCACCGAAGGAGTCACCGGATATCATGCGGGCACGCAGGGTGGTTCTTGCGTGGACCCCATAACGACAATATGGCTGCCTGAGCCACGAAGACACTCCATTGGAACCATACCTTGTAGCAAATCTGAGCATCTATGCTTTAGTTAGTAGAAGTAGTGCAACATGCTATGTAGTTAATTCAACAAAGCGATCTAATAATAGGGTTCCCAAAGTGGAACCCCAGCTCTAAGTTGAAGCTTAGCGCTTAGTACTTTACCTTCCCCGACTCGGTGAATCGCTATACAAACTTGAGAAACGTGGGGGTATGTTCGGGATCGGATGCGCTTTCTTTATCCATATGTGAAATTTCGATCGGTTTTTGGAGTCGGAGGGTATCTTTTGGATCGTGATCTTTAGATGTGGTGCCACGAGACACGAAGTGAATGAGTCACGTGCTGTTCGCTTTCTTCGTTGACGCTGTCGCTCACGACAACGCCTCGGATCGTATTTTTCGAGTTTTTTGAACTCGCTTCTGTGTTATGGACGGCTTGTCTGAGGTTATTGCTGGTGATCCCTTATGGTTTTCCTGGACTGCCAGTGATTTTGCGCGTGTTTCACACACTCACTCTTGTCCAGCTGCGAGTGTGTATCTGACGTTCGCGTATCCGCTCGAACGGTACTTGCAAAGCTGACTGTGGATTGTATCGCCAATTTTTTTTTTACAAACAGGTCACCCGTGTCTATGCTCTGACTGAAGAGGTGCTCGAGGTGCTGTTGTCGTCTTCTCCTGTTGCTGAGGAATGTTGCGGTCGTTCTCGCCTGATTTCCATCAACAAGCACTTCAATGTCCTTTGCGGAGAGGAGATGATGGCTGCCATTCGTGCTCCCAATGTATTTGTTGGTGCAGAAGATGCTGATTCCACTTTGCCGCTTCGTGCGGCACTGGGAAAGTCTTATCCGGATTGCGTCCCTTCAGTCTCTAGCCGTTCGAAGAAGCCTTACGCGCGGGCGTTATTGGAGTTCATATGGAACTTTTCTCGCGTGTTGTTGTCTCTTGACGATGTTGGTTTCTTCAACCATGTTCTTCACGTTGGCCCTTCATTTGATTTCACTCTCAGCTCGCGATCTGATTTCCTCTTGTCTTGTTTTGATTGCTGTTTCTCGTGTATGAAGGACTACTTCCAAGGAACGCTCCGGACCGCTGGGTTGGTTTGTGGCGTCTGTTGTCAATCGCAGTATGATAAGCACGGGTCTTAGCCAGTCATCGTGTACCGAAATATAACGTGTAACAAGCACGAGTCGGTGCCTCTGCGCCGCTATATACATAACTTGTTGTGATTCAATCGCGGCTGTACGTAGATTGAGCATTGCCTCACGATTATGATTGGTAATGAGTCATTCATGAGTCGATGGGAACCGAAAGACGGACACCAGAAAAAGAGCCGCTTGGAGGGAAGCGGGACGGCACTCGGAGATCTTGATTGCGATAATCTGACTCGGACTATGTACAGTAGTATTACCTTGTTTACGAAATTTTCAAAGCATATATCTTGACCGTCCAGGTCGAGTATTCTAGCATTCACTCAGGCTGATCTTTTACGATCCTCCATACCTCCCGCTCTTTTCTGTACTCTATCTCTCATCTAACCCCCCAGGACCAGCTGTAGATTACTCTCCAATAAACATGGCTACTCGTGAGTGTCTTTGCTGCTGTGCAATCGTACATATCCTAAACATACATTACAGGTATCGAATTCGAGAACAGCAGCGAAATCGGCGTGTTTGCAAAACTGACAAACAGCTACTGCCTGGCTGCAATCCAAGGCAGCACGAATTTCTACTCGGCCTTTGAGGCTGAGCTTGGCGATGTCATTCCCATCGTGCATTCCACGATCGGCGGCACCCGTATCGTCGGGAGATTGACCGCAGGTGTGTGATGGGCTTCTATTGCTTTGCCTATAGAAGGCTGATATCTATCATCTCTAGGAAATCGACATGGTCTACTCCTCCCCTCAACAACGACTGATCAGGAACTACAGCATCTGCGTAACTCCCTTCCTGACGCTGTTTCGATCCAGCGAGTCGAAGAACGTCTATCTGCGCTGGGTAACGTCATTGCTTGCAACGACTACGTTGCCCTCGTCCACCCTGACGTTGACCGCGAGACGGAGGAAATCATTGCTGATGTGCTCAAGGTTGAGGTCTTCAGGCAGACCGTCGCAGATAACGTCCTTGTGGGGAGCTATTGTGCGATATCAAATCAGGGTGGACTTGTTCACCCAAAGACGAGCATTCAGGACCAGGATGAACTGAGTAGTCTTCTACAGATTCCCCTTGTGGTGCGTATTCCTGGAAGGCCCCGTGTAGGTGGATCGTAATCGAATTTTTTCTCGGCGTTTCTTAGGCTGGTACTGTCAACCGAGGTTCAGACGTTATCGGTGGAGGTCTGGTCGTCAACGACTGGTGCGCGTTTACTGGACTTGACACTACCGCCACAGAGATCAGTGTTATCGAAGCTGCATTCAGTGGGTCCACCATTCTTGGCTCCTTTTCACCTTTCTTAACGTATTCCACCAGAGCTTCAAGGACAAAGTTCTTCAGCTGTCATTGGCGAGATGCGGGATTCTCTTATCGACAACTGGGCATAATTGAATTTTACGTCACGCATCCCTTTATCGTTACTTATACCTTCACGTCTACCTTCATCTACACTCGAAGTGCTACCTTAGTCTGCAGCATGAATTCTGTATCTTTACGCTTGTAAGTCGTTGGCAATGGAATAGTTGTGAGAGGAATTGATACTGGAGAATAATGGGATAATATTTATCCTTCAAGTGCAATTTTAGGTTTGACCCCTGTTTTGTAGCATTTGGATTATAGTTCGTTGTTTGACGTGACAACTAAGTATGTATGTTGCTCGGGCTCACGAAGGCTCACAAGGACGAATGATGTCACGCGTTGTGTGACAGTCGCGTGACAAACGTATGCACCGACGAGCGCTTCAGAACTAGTATCAGCACATCTTCATGTCCGAATCATCCTCCCCTCCTCAAAGGCAACCTGAAGATGGTCATACGTTCGCCCGAGTAATACAGGTCCGTGCGATAACTGACTAGGATTCTACATCCGCTCAGGTTAGTCTTGACAGTTCATGATCAATAAAGCTGCCAGTGGGTCAATCAAGGAGCTCGATGGACTATGCAGCATTGCACAGCATTGGAAACCAGAACAACTTGTCATGCTACTCCCAGTCTTCTATTACCACCTTGATCCAGCTCGCATCCCCGATGTGGTCACTTCGAGGGACGTGAGGAGCATCATGCTCGCAAGATACTCCCTTAAAGGAGTGCTAGTCACGCTGAACCGCCTCGATTCCCCAAAGGAATTGACGCAGGCACTACAGACCATTGCTGACCACCTTGTATCCAATTGGCATCCCTGTCATCTCTGGGTCAATTTCTTTTATCGTAACTTCTTCGCCTCCAGCAACCCCACTCGCCTGCCGGGTCTTCTCATAACTAGATCAGAAGCGCTAAAGCTAGTTGTTAACATGCTGATGCGCATGGGGTTAATCGGCGACTCGAAAACACCACAGTCATTGATCAACACACCATCTCTACACCCCGTTATCTCGCAGTTGTGGTGTATGGCTGTCACCTCAAAGGACAACGACTTTCTCGCCGAGGCTGACAAGGTAATGGGCAGCAAGGAACAGGGGGCATTCCAGGAACACATGTCATACGTGGTGCAGACATGCCTGGATGTCGACCATCCTTCTTTTACGTCCACCCTTATTCATGTCGCTGGAGGCATTAAAGCCACGGCTTCTATTGCCTCCAAATATATCAGAAATATCCGATGTCTGTACAGGAAGAAGGTTCTTTCTGGACAAAGCATCGACGATACCACTCCATGCGATTCTGTTTTCGGGTTGCCTCGTTGGCAAATAATGCTCATAAATTGCTTCGGGAATTGTGCAACCCTACTATTCGTTACCAGCCAACAGAACTGCGCCTTGCGGGAGGCCTACATCGATCGCAACCTCGTGGCCCTCATTACCTACACCCTTCGTGATCTATGTCAACTCTCTTTAACCCTGAAGCACGATGACTTCGCCAAACATGTCAAGAAGGCATTTGAGGATGCTTTAGGTTACATTGCGTTACTCATGGGAGGTCCTGTGGATGATCTTGTGGCCGTTATATGTCAGGCCCTTCGGGCGCGTTTCCTCCCTACCGTCCTTCAGGCTCATACCTGCATTCCTGGCGCGGATGCGGCGGAATGCCTTAATGCATTGTTAATTACTGCTCTTCGCTCATACCTCACGTTCGACAAGGTCTTGCGGATCGCTGGGAGCGAGCTAGAAGCTGATGAGAAATCGCTAGATGCGATTGCTCAGAGCGACACAGACCTACTACAAGCCTGGAACCTGTTCAAGAAAGACGTTCGACGTTACTTGGACCTTAGAAGCCAGATACCCGCGGCGTCGATCTTCTTCGATCGTCAGTGTGCTGCTGTGCATGTGAGCGAACCATATCACTTGTCCAGACTGTTGCTAATCAGCCACCGATGCTGCAGAACAGTGATGAATGGCATCCGCAGTGGGATCTATTCCAGTGTGCCAGGTGCACGGTTGCGAGGTATTGTTCTAGACAATGCCAGAACATAGATTGGGATCAGGGCCATCGAATGGCATGCAAGTACCTCAAAGCTGCCATTGGCGCGTCTCCCTACATCATGCGACATATTTTGCATACTGAGACGCATTCACAGGTCTAAATGCCTCACGATATGTCAGGAGAAGCCTATTTCTTTTGGCCAAGATTGAAGATGCTGAAATTCAATCCCATCAAGAGTTCATATCTCAGCTGTCGGTGACCGCTCAGGCAGAGCACCCAGAATTCCAAGATTGTCTTGTTCTCGAGATCGATCCTGTTGCAGAGGGCCCTGCAGATAAATTCAAATTCAAGCCGGTGTCCAACTATCTTCATATCTTCCCGGAGGCATCGGAACGTCCATGGCAAGCCGCAGGCAAGTGGCGCCAATCTGCAGGACTGCATAGCCTTCGCCTGCCGCCTGTGATGCGTATTCACGAGGGATATGAGATAACGGATAAACCTAATTTGCTCTTCAGCCCATCGACGGCCCTCAGGATGGCGTTTAAAGAGCACGGATTAGATGCTCGTGTCAATGACGGCGCCTCGAGTGTTTATTATACCGGGAGTTCCTTGTGATTGTGATTGTACTGCGCTTCGTCTGCTACCGTGCTGTTGTAATAGTTTTGCCTCCGATTTCCGTCTGCTGTGCCTGCTCGCTATCTCGAGACCCAATGTTATGATGCTGTCTTTTGTTTTACCATTGATTGTATACCAAATTGCGCCGTAGATAGCCTATGGTACTTATGAAACGTCTTTTTTTATCACAACACACACATAACGAAACAGCTGATGAAATGCATGGAGGATGCAATCGTGACAGCTCACTAGCAATGAAGTTTGCAGGACTTGCCTTCGTTTACCATCCGATGCAGCAACAGGTGATGAGGCTGAAGGTGCCAACCAGTAATGAAAGAGGGCTTTTGTCTGGATGTGCTCGTTATCTGTTCATTGTAACAGGGAGGCGTCCACATGTACATCTAACTGAAGGCAAGACCATCATTGTGCTTGTAAGTCCGATTATGTCGTTGTACGCAGCGAGAACGGGAAATGCGACTACGAAGGGGAATAGTTAGATCGTGAAGGATAGAGCAGATCAGAGTCGATGGACAAGGATACTGAGAACGTATCGGTCCAGATACTTTGGATCAAAAACAGCGGGTGAATTCGATACTGTACTGTACGAGACAATACATGCTATAAATACGAGTGAAAGATAAATGAGAATATTGGTCCTTGGAATGGCGGGGGCAAGCGCATTCGGGTGGTAATGTGGCAGTTGATGTGGTGTGTGCAGCGGCACGTGGTTGAGTTCAGGCGAGAGAGTGGAGAGCTCAGCTCACACTCATCCCTGAAAGGAATGACTTGGCCTGCTAGCTATAAAACAATCAGCGGTCAAGAAAAATGACTGGTCATGTAGAACGAACTTCCGAGAAAACCTACGTGCGATTGGAGGTAGAAGTCGCACACAGCGGAATTGCCGACTCCGTTATCCGGCAACGAATCCTGCAGGGCAGTTGCAAACCTGTCCGCTTCGTTGCTAGAAAAGCGTCCAAAATCAGGTAGACATGGGGAGGTAGTTGAGCAATATCATACCTGTTCTTCAAAAAAGCAATGACCGTTGCTAGACTAACCCACCTTCGATGCCCTCGATTTCGTCTTTCCCCGCGATCAGGGTGCGAGATTCCAGCCGAGATGACGCAGCCTGATCAATAGAAACGTTGATGGCTGCAATGAGTGACTTGGTAGAAAAGAAGCAGAGGAGCTCAGCGAGTTTGCTGCAGACTGCAGTAAGACAGACCCCCGCAATTGCCTAGAGTTGCCTGCGCGGAGGCAGGACACAATCCTCGCAGCACATCAGAACAGCAAGACAAACCATCTACATGACTGCTGTAAGGTGAACCTGCAAAGAAAAGTCGCACAATGGCCGTTGGCACATACTTCCACTTACTGAAAATTTCGGGCGCCCGTCAACCGAACTACAAAACTCGCAAGGTCGCAATAAGTACTCGCTCGCTCTCACTCGATTACAGTCGTTTGCAATGACTTTTTATTAGCTCAAGAAAAATACCTTATTTTGACTATGTTTTCCACTTTCGTACCATGGACAATATGTACAAACACATGTTGCGCGTTTTCGCAACTGAAAAGTCATACGCACTGTACTCACTTGAGGCTTGAACCTTCTACTTGCGAGCTTGCAAACTATGCAGACGGCAGACTATTCAGACATTTATTTTCTACAGAACCCTCTCGTGGCCACTAAATTGAGTGTTGGGGATATATGCAGTAGTGCAACTCTCCAATCCGCATCCACAATACAGACACAACTCATTACCATACTCGAAAAAATTGTACCAGCCCCCATGTATAACTGAGCATCGACAGGAAGAACTGAACTGATTCAACCTGCAGGTATGGGTATGTTGTGTAATCCGCTTCCCTATCACTTACCTCCAGCAGCTCTTCATTCAATGAACTGGTGCGAATGAGCATCCGAGCCATACCTACCATGTCGGTGAGTCAGGGGTTAAATACAGGACACAAACTACTCATACTCACGCAGTAACTCCCATCATAGCAGGTTCTGCACGGTTTATCATTGAAGCACATGAAAGGACAGTGTCCACTCTCAGGGGCAGTGGCAGGTATTGATGCTGCAGATATTGATGCTGTCAAAGCAGCAACAACCGCGAGGACAAAAGATAAACGCATTGCAATGTTTGTGAGGATGTGATATGAGAGTAAATAGATCTGAAGGGGACAGTAGCAAGACGGCTCGATTTTATATGATGAATATTGTTATTTATGGCGATGTAGGACCTAACTATGGCCATCCTTTCGAACAGATGATGTCTGCAATGCCAGCAGATTGCCACCTGAGATCTCCAAAATGCCAGCTCAAATCCGCATGACGCCATAGCTTGTTGGGCGCACATCACTGCCGGATTGTGTACTTCCTAACATCTCGTATCGCCTCTGCATGCTGTCACGTAGTACACATCTGCTTATACGTCAAGTCTACATACCTCAGCAGGCGCGAAGGAACGACTATCTTCCCTTGATTAGTCTGGCTAGGGGAGACTACAGCAGGCAAGGACTTTGAGAAACCGCTGTTTTGACCTCTGCGCGGATATCCAGGTTGTACTGTATCGACCAGTATTTGATCTGACAGATTGCTATAGTTGCGTACGGATGAGCTCGAGCTACTTTCATCATGCCTTTTACGATTGCGCCGCAGCGTGCTATCTTGATCAATTTTGTCGCCCCCACATTTGTCCACCTTGCTCCACGATTTCCGTGGACAGTTTATTACCAACACACCCGTCTAATTCCCGCCCTCTGAGCTTCCCGCTTTCTCGCCCGCCCGCTTTGTGCCCGCCGAAATTTTCGCCTGCTCACCAGTTAGTATCCAGTCGTTATTTACCTCGACTTTCATAATTTACTGATTGAACTCGACTGTCACGCGTATTACTACACCTCGCACTTTAGAATACCGATTCAAATGGTAGTACTGGCACTGCTGTTAACATCAGCCAATATTGACATCCAGACAGCGGATTCGAGCCGACATTGGCTTTGCTTCGCAAGGACGTATTTTATTCCACGTCACATTGCCAATAGACCTTGCTTCACAAGTTATGATCGGACCGTCTGTATGAACTAAGTTCTCGAGATCTCAGGTGGCATTTTGCTGGCATCGCAGATATCGAAAGCGGATTTCAGGTGGATAGGTTCTTCCTACATCGCCACAGAGAACAATATTCAGTACATAAAAGTAAGTCGTCTTCCTACTGTCCCCTTGAGATTTAATTGATCCCATTCACAAACAATGCGTTTATCCTTTGTCCTCGCCGGTATTGCTACTTTGACAGCGTCAATATCTGCAGCACCAGTACCTGCCAGTGACGCTGCCAGTGACCAGTGTCCTTTGTTTTGCGATTATACTGAACAGTGTTGCCTAGGGCAGCAGGCGTCCTTGTCATAGTAATGCAAGAAAATGCTGTGATTGCAGGGGTAGTGGTGATGCATTTGTCTTACAACTGTAGGCCTGCAAATACTGATGCATCATAGCAGTATAGGGTGATGTATCCATGATGCATTTGTTCGATGCATCAACGGATTATGCATCTGTGATGATGCATCATCCATTAATGCATTCAGGATGCATCCACATTCGATGCATCATGCACTTGCCTGCCTCCCGCATTGCACGGTTACAATACCTCGGTTATTTTAGGCGCCTCCCGCTCACCGCCCTTGGCCATTTTAGGACTGATGCATTATGCACCTGCACGCCTCCCGCTTCTCACCACCCTCTTAGGACTAATGCATTACTATGCATCTGTACACCTCCCGCCTCCCACCGCCCTCGCCTATTTTAGGACTGATGCATTATGCACCTGCATGCCTCCCACCTCTGACCACCCTCTTAGGACTAATGCATTACTATGCACCTGCACGCCTCCCGCCTCCCACTGCCCTCTTCCGTTTTAGAACTGATGCATTATGCACCTGCACATCCTCCGCCTCTCACTGCCCTCGGCCATTTTAGGACTAATGCATTATGCACCTGCATGCCTCCCGCCTCTCGCCTCCTGCCCTTGGCCCACAATTTTAGGACTGATACATTATGCACCTACACACCTCCCCCCTCCCACTGCCCCCAAACTTCCTGCACCTTTACAATAGCTTGGCAATTTTTAGTGTGCCCGCTACCTACACACATTACCCATCTACAGTCACTTGTATGGGCATTGTTGCTGCTGCACCTGATAAGTACACACCCTTATGTTGATTTATATACTAGTGTACCTTATGCAGTCATTCACGGTACTTGCTTGGAAATGCTACTGTTCATTACGCACCCTTCCACTGGTAAAAAAAATCAAACAATAAACACAACCACCACCCAGCGATGCAGCACCATATGGTACCTTATGAATTGCATCCAAGCCCCACATAATCTCGCCCAAATAATCTCCATTGTCGAAATTTGCCCGAGTCCACTTGTTCAAGACTACGTAATGGATGACTTTCCGTAGGCTTGAAATATATAGATTATAATATCATATCATAAATTTGACTACATTAGGAAGGTGTGCCGCATTGCTGCTGTTCATTTGAGGTGAATTTGCAAACAAATATTTTTTGCCCCCCTCTTTCAAACCTTAATTCTATTTTGATCTGTAGGACCCCCCCCCTACAGACTTGAATATCCGCCTTTTGTCCGTTTTAGGCCACTAATGCCAGCGATATTTGCTGATGTAATATGCATTGCTCAATGTGTGTGGCACCACTCGAGGTCACACAAAGGTGCGTCATCAACATCTTGCCAACTTTGTTGACGCATTTTTCTCCCTCGTCTGTTTAGACTTTAATACCAAGTCCTTAGTACGAAACTACGACCTGACTACGCTGCATCGGCCTGTGCCTCCCATCCCATGCAATATCAGCCAGTGCCTGGCTCAACCAATCCCCACCCTCTGTCAATGAAAATTTACTTTCCATCCCTACATTTACGGCCAGCTCCCTCACAATTGCTACATATTGGGCTGGTGCACTCATGTGGCATTGTTACTAGTGCAGGGCACTTGCATTTTGCAGTTTTTCAATGAAAAAACACACCCGGCCCTTCCTTCGGACGGCTCAACAAACTCAAGGACTATATGGGTTCAGTGCATTTCCAGTCATAAGGTAAGTGTGTTCATACAGCAGTCCCTACAATGTCTGATATCCCTCCTTCCCAATCTATGTTCAACCCTGATAGCCCATTGAATCCCAAGTTGCGTTATGATGGCGCAGGGAATGCATATGCGTGTGATCATGCAGGAATTTGGCAGTCCCATCCTGGGATTGCTCAGGCCATCACTTGATCACACTGGCTTGAAGATCACATGTCGTATCAAGTAAGTCAATTTGTTGTTCTTCAAGCTTCGTGACATGGACTCACCACTCGTGCCGACTTCTCCCAACCTGGTCACGCATCTGAACCACCAGCCATACCATCTGGCTTGCGTCTTGTTCTGGGTGCTGCTCAGATTCCACTCCCCAACTCACCAGATAGAGAGCTTCATGACCCCATGGCAATTGCCGAGGCTCAAGGATATGCACCTGCCATCAGTACTGCTGGTGCACGTCGCAAGACTGCAGCCAAAGCCAACAAAGGCAAGGGGAAAGAGAATACATCAGGAAAACCTGTTTCTCTATATAGAGGACCATCCTCTATATAGCCCGGATAGCACACCATAGCCCTATACAGTCTATGGCCAGCTATCACAGTGCTATAGACCAGTATAGACATCATGAAAATCTATATATTACCATAAAGTTTGGTAAGCATATTTAGAAGTAAAACAATTAAGTAAGAAGGTATCGCATTTATCTAATACATTATCAGAAGTCCAATCTATAGGAATTGTTGTTCCAAAGTTTGGAACAAGCTGACAAGTCTGTCTAATAGACGACAGTGGAATAACTTTACCTGGCAATGAGCCATCTGAGGAAAGTAAGTGTTTCTTGACTGTATACATTTCATGATAGTCTTCTGCTGCAGGTTTCAATGGAGCATACCACTCAACATATGCCAAAGGGTCTTTGGTCCATGCAGGTTGAATAGAACCATATACTTGTTGTGGCAGACGAAATATTACTTTCAATCTTCCAATACGAGTTCCTATAATGTTAAAATTTTCATACAATCAATGATTATATATATACCAATATTACTCACTTGTTAAACCAGTAGATTCACAGTCAGGCTCATCCATTACTACAACTGTATCAAAGTGTCCAGCTTTATGAGAAATAGGTGGTTGTGCTTTGACAATATCCGCCTCCTCCATTTGATCAAAGTCAACATCATTGCCTAATGAGTCTAGACAGAATTTGAATCCATGATAGATGTCGATATGACTGAAAGGAAGATCCATATCTCTGAGCTGTCCACATGAATGAGAGTGAGCCAACTGAGTGTTAAGATAGGTGATGAGATCTTTCTTGAAGCCTTTGCAAGCATGATTCTGCATGACGTCCAAAATATTTTGGTGAACTCGATGAGGACGTTTGGTGAGGATAACTCTGTGATCTCTAAACCTTGAGTGGGCAAACTTGTCTTCTTCATCCTCCATAGACATCTTGAGATAGCTTTGAAATGATGCTACCTTTTCTCTTCTAGTTAGCCAAGATATCATTTGAGGCTTTTCGTTTCTTCCATTGGAAGCGTACCACCCCTCTTTACAAAAGTCAATATGAAACCTTTCAAACATCTCCGTGTTATAGTTATTGGTGGTTCCAAAGTTTTGGATGTTTTCCAGGTAGTGTTGCAGGGAATGGAATTTCGGAATGTTGAGATGGTCTCTGATACCCAGATTAATGATGACGTCCTTGTGAAGGTGAAAATCTTGTAAGGCCTGTTGCATATATTCCAGAGTGTTGTCGTCATGAGTGGGATATTGGGCAAGATAAATGAAATCAAGGAGGGCACGGTATGAGAGGATTACGCCTCTTGGAACCTTGCCAATCAAGCAAGCCAATAGCACCCTAGCCATATGTTTTCTCTCTTTTCCACCGACTTGACCCAAAGCAGACCAGCCCTTGTAGAAGTGGTGGACGCCATAACAAGGGGGGAGAGTTCTAAGTCTTCTATCCAATTCTTCTTCGTCCATAAGCTCCTGACACCACTCAACCATATGCTTGAATATGCCTTGATAGAGTTGATGAAGTATGTCAGATGTGATAGCCAAGTGAATATCGCAATGAGGGAAATCAAGCCAAAATGGTTAGAATACGCCTCCAGCTACATCCTGAGACATGCACTGTTTACGAAAGGCAGAGTCAGTCTTGGTGGAGATGTTGGCATGGTCAATGATGGCTGAGGTCCAAGGTTGAGTGCGTCTGGCAAAATTTTGTATTTCAGCCAATTCATCCGCTCTAGCCCTACACTTGGGACAAGTACCGTACTTGGTACAGGTAACCAAGCATTGCTCAGGATAATCCGCCACGTAGCAAGCTAGAATGGGAAAGACCAGGCGCACAAGACCATCTCCACCCACTACCTCTATTCCTCTTCTTCCTGCATCTTTCAGCGGTTCCAAAATAATTCTGATGGAGTCATGGAAGAGACGTTGTACCCTGGAAGATACTTCTCTGGCAGATAGCTCCTCCTTTAGGATTTTATCCACGGATAAATACCCTATTAGAATACAGGCATGCTGACCGGATTTGCGTCGTATTGCTCTGGGTATATTGCCTAGCGTCAGATTGACCAGGTATGCTGATTTGGATGCAGAAAATCTTGTGAGCTGAGTTTTGTCGGTGGAGATAATTACAGGAGCTACAGATGCTCCTTCCGGAAGTCTGTCCTATAAAACATATGTTAGTTGTTAAAGAAGTGTAGTCAATATTGAGACGCTCACCTGGACTGCATGCCACCAACGCCCTGTCCACATTTCATTATATATGCGTGTAGAATGAGAAGCATCTGTAAATATTTTTGAAGGCTTATAGACAATATCTTGAGCATGAGCAGGATTGCCCAGCAATGTCTGAATGGCTTCCAACGGATCTCGGTAGTGTAGTTCATGCTTATAGTCCGGCGTATCATTGAAGGCCAAGTAAGTTGATTGCCATTTAGCTCAAGGAGGGATGCTGTCTATGGTTTGATGGAGTCCTCTGATATTATAATATGCAAGTCCTAAACACTCTCTAACCTATTTGCAAAATATCAGCCAAGATATTGATAGGAAATATATAAGTTGACATACACCTGGTATAGCAAACAACCTGTCAAATGCTTTGTGTCCTATTCCCTCTTGCACAGCCAAACACCCTACCTGCCAGTCCAGACGTGATGCAAAGGGGTAGAATAAATTACCATCTTCATCTTCATCAGAACAGTCTGATTCCGCCTCTTCTCCATCACCTGATCCAAATTGTGTCCGCCATTTAGCATGCACTGTCTCCTCCATTCGTATGACCCTCCCAGCAGTAGGATGAGTCTCTGTGACACGCGCATCTTCCTCCTCTGCTAAAGCGGTTCTATGCCTACTAGTAGAAGGACCGGCTACAGGCTCTCCCTGCTCCTGGTCTATGTCCATCATGTGCTGGTTATCGTAGTGCATTTCATGAACTAGAAATAAGGTAAGCACTTAACAAGAGAGCGATATTGCAACTTACTATCTGGCCCCAGAGGTATCAACTGAAATAAATCATCTTCCGCCTCATCCTGCTATCCCATCTGGTAGTCCCTCCATACCTTCCTCATCCACCCTATCCAGCTCTCTTCCCTTCCCTAGCTTATACCATTTACAACTTGCAGCATTGCGTAGATGAGAATTCAGTCCTTGTGTAGTACCGAATGTGCGAATGCAGCCTGGAGCAGGGCATTTATAAGATGTTGAACCCTCAGCAAGAACACGCCTGCTGTGCACCATTTGATGGAAAACAAGAGAATGCAGAAAGAGTCTTAGGAGGAGCGTCTATGCAAGCGTCTACTGCAATGAAAGTTGTCAAAATATTGCGCCAAAAATACAATTGCAATAAGTATAGCATGTTACATATGATACAAAGCTTATGCAAAGGCTAAATGACTTGTAAACTGTACAACACGTATGATGGGTTGTCCTTTGAAATCATAAAAATAAAGTCTGATAGTCTGACCATGCACACTTTGCAAATCATGGACCTAAGATGCCCATTCCTTCCGAAGTTCCTTCAGCACCACAGGCGCGGCCATTACATTAATGCGATCCGCTGTCTTTCCACCAGTGCCTTTCAGGTACTGTGACGAGTTACCAGGCATGAGCTTGCGTTCTTGGACTGGGGGACAGGGCATGCGAGCAAAGAGATTGAGATCGGCATTTTGACGATCCTTGTGGTACAACAAATTCATGCACAAGGCAGGGAGCATCTGTGAGCATTTGGCAAATCCGCCACCGCCTACCGCCCTGGCCCACTTGTTGGTCATCTGTTGAGGCTGGCAGAGATGGGCCAATGTACGATCAGTACAGAGCTTGAAGAGTGCAGTGTTGATGACGTCGAGCATGCGGGAGTGGCTTGGTGCGTTTCAACGAAGAGGATCGTCCTCATCTCCTTCAACATCGTCCTGACAGGCTCATTTGCCCAGTTGTTACCCAACACTCCGTCCACCATACCGAACCCTGCGTCAGTAGCCAGATAGTGTTGTTTTTCTACCGCTTCATGCCAGATCTCCTTCTCTATGGTGTTCTCAAGCCAACAATGGACCCACATCTCCCCTCCGCTAGCTGTATCGGGGTGTGGAACTTTCTTCAATCCGTACGGTGCATCAAACATGAATGCGAGGGTGAATAACCTTCCAGATCATGTGCGATTTCATGTTGGATGTTATCTTGGCCTGGTTGTTGTGCGAACATCATCTGGATGGCCATCCAAGCTTGAGTGCCCTGTACATATGATGCGATGAGCAGGAGGGCAAAGACAATGATTAATACTTACTGTCAGCTCATAAATGCCACCCTTTTCCTTGAATCATTCTAAGTCATTGTCGATATTCAAAGAGCCGTAGCCAGCAACATCGACTTGAAGACTTTGGACAACGTGCTTGGGCTTGATGTTCACCTTCGGTACGTGATGAAGGGGAGCTTGTCGTTTGGATGGACCGTCAGCCGGCTTGCCTTGAGAAACGCTATCAAAACCGCGCTTGCGTGTAGCAGCAGAGGAATCGGGAGGGGCATTGACAGCACCAGGGGTACTTTTTCTCCCATCTGTGCCCTTTCGTCCTCCTTGTTTGCCTTTGCCTTTACCCGTCCCACGTCTTCCACGTGAAGGTGCAGTTGAAGCTGGTTGAGAAGGGATCATGGAAGTTGGGGGTGCAGAAGGGATTATTGACATTGAAGGTGCGTCCGAATGTGGGACGGGGGAGACGTTTGTTGGTGCGGCTGGTGCACAAGAAGCTGAAGGAGCGGCAGAAGTATCGGTAGAAGTACCAGAGGCAGAATTGCATGGGGCGAGAGTATGAGAAACCGAAGCATGAGCAGGAGAATGTGCAGGATGGTGAACCAGAGAATCGTCAAAGTGAAGGGCTTCATCTTGGGAGGACAGCGTTGAAGCGGTGCCAGCATGCTTGGCAAAGATCTTTGATGGGGGTCTTCCTCTCATAGATGTGCTTCGCGTATTCCAGGAGGCAAACGCATGATCGTACAACAGGCCGCGTCGAATATTGCTTGGATCAATTCTGGTATGATCAATGTAACCCCAGTCTGACATCGCTGGATGAACAAGTCCCATGTTCCACATGGATGTGTCAGCTTGCATAAAGGAGATGGGAAATAATTCGTCGGTCTCATTGCCACCCTCTGAGATGATGTAGGGCGAAAATGCCTGGCCATGTGCTGCAATTGTATTCAGTTTACAAAAAAATATATTAAAAAGATTAAATCTTACATCGGATGCAATCCGCAATCGCAACTAATGCCTCATAGACACAGCTGAATTCGTATATGGGTGCGCAAACAGATATAACCAAGATCGGGTGAGCATCCACTCCTGGTAAACTTCACGAGTCACAGGTTCCAGCTTTGGTACGGTGACGCCTTCAGGCACAGGATGGCTGTGATCATATTTGTTGACGCTCCTAGCCATGCTCTTGTGTGCCAAGGCCAGTGTTGGAACACCCCAAAAAGACCGGTTGTAGACAGTGCTGCTCCAGACATTGATGTCGCCAGTCTGAGATATGGCGCTGATATCCTTCAGTGAACCGATGCCCGGATGATCATGAAGTTGAAAGTGTGGAGGTGGTGAAGCAGGGCCAACAACAAGTCCCTCAAAGAGCAAACGCGTAACACCCTGGACGCCTTTCAGTCGAAGGTAGTTGAGAATCATCCCTTCTGTGTGTGGTGCGGTGAGATCAACCCAGGTATCTTTCACCACCACATCCACCTCCTTCTCCATTCCCTTGAGCCATTTCTCCATGGCGCCCCAAGACCCACCCGATTGCAATGCCTGCGCAATGCGCTCACGTGACAGCGTGACATGATGGGCCATGGTCCTGCGTCCGTGAATATTATTGCTGATGAACAGTACCATATTGATTGGCACCTCGGGACCGAAAACTCTTGATCGTATAAATCGCCCAGCTTCGTTCTGCATGATGGATGTCTCCAGACCCACCATACCTATCGCATAACATTGTGAGCTAATGACTGTATGAGCGTGATTGAAAGACATACCAGGATCAGCCAGCGATAAGTATAAAACAAGCTGAAGGAATTCCTCCGTATCGTCCATGATGTTTAGCATATCAAGGCAAACAGCGCCTCTGCAATCGAAAAATGCAAATGTAAACGCTTCGCCCACGAACATCAAGATGATGACAAAGTTGCGAGCATCCTGACAACTCCAGATCGTGTTAGCTCGCTTTGCCATCTCATCAAACCACTCCGGTTTATCCATGTCAACACCGTGCTGCTTCATCTCAGCTAGCGTGAAGACACAACGCCAGTCCTGAACAAGAGGGTCGCTGGCAGTAGTATGATATCCGGTTTGCGTTCTTCAGCAGACCCAGGAAGAGGTTTCTGACAATATTCCGAACTCCAAATCCGCTTAATCTTTGAATCGCCTGCTAGCAAAAGCACCTCTTCGACTGAACGATTCATAAACTTGGTCATACGATCTTCTGTGCTGGACCCGCCACCTTGTTGGCGATTAAAGTGAGGTGCTTTCAAGTCAGGACAATCTATTTTATCTGTCCAACCTAGCTAATAGATGAGAATAGACAAGCATCAAAGCATCAAATTTCGCACCTTGATCATTCAAATACCCCTTTTCTTTAAACCTCTGCAGAACACCCTTCATGCTCCGGAGCTTGGTAGGATCACCTAGATTTTTGATGTGTTGGAAAATAACATCATCACGACAGAGCCAGTTGATGACGTCTCGTGCGATGGCCTTGTTGTCTTCCATTTGTGTCGCAACAAATCCTTCAGAGGCCCAAGAGGAATCCAAGGGCTGCGAGAGTTAGAGGCCTGAAGGTGTTGCAAGGGCTGTGGGTGCTGCGAGGGCTCTAGAAATGCCCTGAGATTGCGAGCTTGTTCGACTACTGCTCTTTGATATCCCTCGTCGGTCTTAGCAACAAGACCACGGGATTGAACCTCCAAAAATAAACAGGTCAGCCATCGCGCCGTATAGAGAGGAAAGTCTCTCACCGTGTTATAACTTCGGTGTTCCAGATGAATAAAGTCTGGTGTAGCCATTGTTGAAGTGGTTGGTATAGGAATGGAAAAAGACGGTTGGTGGCAAGTGGAGGTCGTGCGGATAAGGGTTGGCAGCGAAGACACAGGGTTATCGATGAAAGAAATAAAAGACAAGGTCAATACAAGGGATTACAATAGAAGCACTGACTTACCTTGATATTTTCTCCGAATTAGCTCCAGACCGCTGCCATTGATGGGCTACAGTCATCTGTCTGCCCTTATTTATGTCCGCTATGCAAAAAGTTGTGACGTGTGGAGCAGGAATGAGTATGATTGGTGGAGAGCTCTGATTGGCGGAGAGCCCTCTGATTGCAGTGAACTCGCAATCATAACCCTAGACTAGGGTTATTGTTTGGGCGAAATGGTTGAATTATGTTACTGTACACGTTCTCAAGATCAGCTTCTTGGTATTCATAGCCGCATGCATGGAAACGTACCGTGGAATGTTGTGAAGTCGTACCGATTGGTAAAGTAAACGCTCTGAGGTAGCAAGTTCAGATAAGTTGAAACAATGTTAAGGAAGCGGAAAGTCATGGACAACAGTCAAACTTGGTGGTCATGTGACTGATACAAACAACACGTCAACAAACGACTTTGACGAAATTCTTCTATCGTCTGGCTCATATCCTCTACCTACTCGTATTTCACTGGGCCTTTTGGCTTTGCTCAGGGATGACGTGGAGGTGTTTTCATCTTTGACCACGGCTGTCCAAAAGTAAGTTTTGTTCTTTTCCCAGCGCGCTTCTCTCTTCTCGCATTCGCGACTGAAGTCTCACGTACTCGTCGCAGTTCTCTGCCAGCCCTGCACATCATGTCTTCCCCCTCATGTATCTAACGACGTGACTCTACTCTTCCCTCAGCGCTGAACACATCCCAGCGCCCTTCTCTCTTCTCGCATTCGCGATCGAAGTCTCATGTCCTCGTCGCAGTTCTCTGCCAGCCCTGCACATCATGTCTTCCCCCTCCTGACCCTGGTGGATCTAATGATGCGACTCTACTCCTCCCTCAGCGCCGAACACATCCCAGGGCCCTTCTCATCGAAGTCTCACGTCCTCGTCGCAGTTCTCTGCCAGCCTGTATCATGTCTTCCCCACCTGGCCCTGGTGTATCTAACGATGCGACTCTACTCCTCCCTCAGTGTTGAACACCTCCCAGCACGCTTCTCTCATCTCACGCACTCGCATTCACGACCGAAGTCTCACGTACTCGTCGCAGTTCTCTGCCAGCCTGCATTATGTCTTCCCCTCCTGACCCTGGTGTATCTAATGATGCGACTCTACTCCTCCCTCAGCGTCGAACACCGCCACTGGCTTCCACAATCCTACAAAATGCACAGACAGGGTGTTCAGGCACCACGACCACAAATTTGAGTGGACAATTGAGGAGTTTAGGGAGTGGTGTGAGGGTGTTGTGCAGGAATGGGGATAAGATGTGGATATGACAGGAGGAGGTGGACCGGTAGTTAAACTTTGTAATTGCCAAGTGCAATGTGATGAGCACTGATTGGTGGAGAGCTCTCTGATTGCAACCAACTCGCAATTTGAACCCTAAGCTAGGGGCAAGAATTTGTATCTTACTTAATTATTTATCCATCCTTCTTGCCCCAAACCAGCGCCTTCTTGGTTCCAATAAGTCATGTCCCCTCCATTCAGATTTAACATGCCAATTGTTCTCTCCCCTGACGCAGCAGATCATCTGCTACAGATATTGGGAGACAGTGGACAGCTCCCACCCACTTTGCATGACTTGTATCAATATTTGACTGATCAAGCTCATATTCAATGCTCGTTGTCCGATACTCATTCCCCCTCATGCACACCTATTGATCATTGCAACTCAATTCCCATTCCTCCTGTTATGCATCTGCCGCTTGATTCATCATCCTCAACAACTGCTGGCGACATTCTGTCCGAGTTACCTGCTGTTCGTCACCGAACACAATCACACACCGAGGACTCTGGTTATTCTGATTCATCCCACCCTACTAAACAAGCTCGTCTTTCTACAACACACGCACGCAATGGACCGCCAGGCGAGTCACCTGAGCCTGGTGGAAATGACAATCGTAATTGTGGTGCTTATCATGATTGTAATCGTGGTGCTAGGAGGTTGCGGTTACGATTGCGGCGTGCTGCTGCACCTGGTCAGGACCCTCTGCGCCTTGATGATGGGGAGGAGGAGGAGGAGGAGGAGGAGGCAGCGGAGGAAATGGAGGATGAGGCAGAGATGGAGGAAGGTGATGTAGGCAATGTGGCGAGAGCAAATACCAGGCAAGGTTCATGGCGTCACCGTCACTACAATGACCCCAAGATCACATGTAGCGATGAAGCTGCTACGATCATTGCAGAACTTGCATCCGCTCACTGCAACTCAACCATCCACAGTCCCCTGAGCTGGCTGCAGGATATCACCAATCATGTACAGACTCCATGCATGGAGGACGAGTCACTGATTTCGGTTGTAGTCCGATGTTGAGGAATCATAAGTAAGGACGTTCGTGCCAACTTCCTCGTCATGATGAACTATATGACGCTGGTCTGCAAGTGCCAAAGGTGTGTATTCTATCCTTGTTCTGCTCTAACGAATTTAAAATACGATCTTTTGTAGCATACGCCTCAAGACTGGTCTTCGCTTGAAAGCAATATACGACCAGGAAATCAAGCTTTATGGTTCTGCAGGAAAGATCTCTTATTGAACATTTGCAGACTGGCACGCTATTGGCAGCAAATTTATTGCTCTCGCCAGTGGCGGTTCCATTTACATACTGGTGCTCATCGCCGGCTTAGGGCTCAGGGTCTCTATTGCTTCCATGGTAGGCACTACGCACTTGAATATAGCTAACTTCCTGTGATCGCCTCCTAAAGGTAAGTTGTTCTTCTGACGTTTTGGGATGGGAAAGTGACATATTCTCTGAAACATAGATTCTCTCCAAAGAGATCTCATTATAGGATACATTGTTCCGACTATTGCACGCATGCATCTCGTGTACCCTCTTAGCATGGCCTCAATGTTCCCTCTTGCACTGATTCAAAGATTTGTTGTGTCCAAATCAGTCGACTGCACAGACCTCTCAGCATCTGATCGGTTCTTTGACGCCATCATACAAAAGTGAGTATTTCATACTTGGATGTGCTACGTATTGACTGACATTGTTGTTGCTCAGCTCATTTGTACCACTCGCAAGAAACACACGCGTTTGGAGGTCATGTGTTGTGCCTGTACCAGAAAAATCTAACAGAGTTCTGGTACAGAGCTTGAATCACGACGTATTCTACGGTTCCAGTCGCGCTTATAGCCCACCACTTTCTGATGTTGAAGAAGATGAGACGGTGCATATTGTCATCAAGACCTCGTACGATCCACTCGCATTGGACAACAAGAGCTTCAAGGCACCAAGAAACAAGGCAGCCAACGATATCTGGAGTGCTGATGAAAGGTTGCGAGCTGAGCGGGGTGAGAGGGTAAGAAGTATTGACGGTTTGCGGGCAAAGGTATGGGTATGTTTCAGCTAGTACTGATTCAATTTAGCTCATGATCCCGCTTATATAGCTTGCGAAGTTGTATCCCAACGGTGTTAAGAGATTGCCGGACACATACTTAAGAATCCCTATGGAGATTATACCCAAGTGCATAGCGCACTCCTGCTTTTTTACTGTTACGATGACGCTGACACTTCTCAGTCATCACTTGGAGCTGTGTTGCAAAGATGGTTCGCTGATGGCATTTGTGTCAACGGCACTACCGAACCACATCCGTTCCATGCTCAAGGTAAATCTCTTGTCTGCGTTGGAAAGGCCTGAGTTGCTGGAAGATGTAGACACACAATCGCCAGGGTGTCAACACTTTCAGGCGATGCACTTGTCTTGGTATAATAGGCATTGTACCTCGGTAAGCTGTTTCATTTCTACATTTTAACATCACTAAATATTATTGATGCACCAGGGTAATGAGGCCCCGAAGGAGGTTCAACCGTGGCTTCTAGAAAAAGAAGGCATGCGTACAAACCACCAGCAGGTGATTCTGTACATATCAAAGGATTTGCGTGAACACCAACGCATCTACTCTACAATCTCACGTGTATATGCGGAGCTCTTTGAGTGGGTAAGAAAATTGGTATGTAATTGTAAAGAATTGTTCACGCTCACAGATTTATGTTGACGTTTGGCAGATGGAGAATTTTTTGCAAGACGAGTTTGAGATGCTGATGGAGGTTGCATCAATCTTGCCTGGCAATCACTGTCCGCCTTTCGCGCCATTTATATCTTTGGTCATCAACATCAATGTGAGGACCAAAGCCCATCGAGATGGACAGGATCGCCATTTCTGTCTTGTCATACCTATTGGACACTTCCAAGGAGGCGCTTTGTGCCTGCTAGAGAATGGACTTGTCCTGGAGTTGCGTTCTGGTGATGTTGCGCTCTTTAGGTCAAGTGAGGTAACCCATTTCAACCTTGACTATAAGGGTGCAAGGGCGTCTCTTGTCTTTCAGACTGACAGGGAGTTTGCAACTTGGCTTAAAAATCAAAATGGCTGGGTAGATAACCAGACCATGCATTCTTTTGTATGATACATGTGCAAAATGTAGAATTCTTTATTGCACCATGGCTTATATGTTTGGTCCCACATAATTATAAAGTTTTGTTTACCATTTTTAAGTCAGCTTGAATTCGCTTCCATCCTTTCAACCTTCCCATTCACGCCATTACTCATTGTTCAAATCTCACTTCTATATAAAATGTCTCACAAGCCCAGCAAGCCTAAAGGGAAGGGAACAAGTTCACTTGCACCAGCACCCTCTATTGCTAAGACCAGTGCACAAAGGAAACCAACTAAGTCCAAAGCGCAGGTGGCAGAAGACCAATACGAAGAATTCCTCAAGTATCAAGCACAGAAGAAAAAGGAAGCTGATTTAAAGCGTAAAGAAAGCATGTGATGCAGAAGCTCAATGAGACTGGAAATATGCTAACTATATTAGATGTCCGGAAGAAAGCTGACGATATGTTAGATGAAGAGAGTGACTTGGACCAGGCATGTACCAGCACCAGCAAAGACAATAAGCATAAAAGAGGCAAGTCTTTGCTTTAACATCTATAACACAGCTAATTGTTGCAATAGTGTTGCGTACAACAACTGTGGTTCCAGATGACAGTGACATGGAACATATAGATGACGCTGATCCTGCAGACATTTTACCACCAGTTCTTCCTCCTAAAGAGAAGGTATCTACACCTAGTTCTGGTATGGCATCATTTCTCTATTTAAAACATCAACATTATATGCTCATCATATATTAGATTCTAGTGATGAAGATGGGGGAAATGAGGGTAGTGGTGATGAGGGCGGCAATGATGGTGATGAAGATGTATCTGTGGAGGGCACAGGCGTTACAAGGAGAACCAATGGGGTGCGTAATATTTATTCAATAGACTTCAATGCTGACTTTGTATATGTAGCTTACTCAGGTCAAGGAGGAGCCTCAGGAAGATAATGGAGAACGTGTTCGTAGGAAGAGAGTTCATAATGGTGAAGCGAAACTACCTACGACTTTGGCTTCCTTGAAGAAGGACGGCTGTAGACCCTTAGTTGATCTTGCTCACCAGCTACTTTGCATCAAGATTGCATTGGTGAGCGCCTTTCCAGGGCCTTCAGTGGATGTGCAGGACTCCTTTGCATGGGACTGCATCAAGGAAGCGGTCAAGATTCCAGACTCTCCCCTGAAGCCAATGTTTGACGCAATTAGTCAAGATCCTGTTCTTAAGAATAGAGCACTGGCTTATGTGAGTGTTTTGGTTTTTGATGTGCTCCATGCTTACTTTTTTAAGGTGTGGTCCGGTGCTAGTCAGTTGAGAGGGGAGCTGGTTAGAAAGGCAAGAGAGAATGTGATTTTTCTATTGCAGCAAATGAAACCTAGGGATATTGGTGCATCACTTGTTTTTTTCAAACAAAATACTACTGATTCCAAGATAGCAGACATAGCTTCCTGGCTGGTCTCTGTTAAAAAGGATCCTTTTCTGTGCGGTGAACTGGATCTCAAGGTACGTCTCCTATGTCTGGGAGATTTAAAAACTAAAGCATGGTTTAGAACAAGACCTTCAATAAGAATCTCCCATTCCGTGCTGCAATCTTGCGTCAGCTGCTCATCAGTCAATTTTTTCAAGGAGCGATTTCAGAAGGTCTGCTGTACAAAGACGAGTTTGAAAAACTTCCTGATAATCTTATTGCACTGATTGCTGCAGCTGTAATTAAGCCCTTTTTTCCATTTAGCTATGGCTAATTTATTTTTTTCAGGCTGAATGTGGATTCAAGGGTATGCTCACAGGATCTCTGGTCTTCATAGAATTCAAAGAGCCAGTCTTTCAACCAAGGTGAGTGGCTCTTCATTATTATAGTTTAACGTCATCTAATGTTAAATTTCTTTAGACACCAGTACTATATGCTGAAGCTTGCTGAATATCGCCAGAAATCTCCCTTGTATATGGAAAAACTAAGGCGTGATCTGTGGACTGAGGTTGGGTAAGATCTTTTTCATTGTTAATATTTATCTATTTTATTTGCTAATGGTTGCAACCCTAGGGAGGCTTGTTGCTTTGTAACTAGAGAGGATGCAGATTCTGGTTCTGAATTGGATTTTGATGCCATGGAGGCGTCTGCTAGAGTAGAAACCAATGCTCCTAGTACTACTTCTGATGTCCCAAACCCATAATAGTATCTGAATTCACGCTTTCTATATCTCATGCAATATGAATATATGCCTCTTTATAAAGCTATAAAGCACATGATAGACAAATGTTTCACCAAGTATACCAAGATATAGACATTGTATAGTCAGGTATAGTCTGGTATAGCTTGAAATTTGCTTAACATTAGATACATATCATAGTAGTATATAGTTACATTGCTCTGCATAACACTATATAGCGCTATATACTGGTGTAGTAAGCCTGCACAATTGGGCACTTGGCTATACGAGCTATAGTGCTATGGAGTCTGTATAGCAGTATATAGCGCTATGGTTGTCTATATAGCCTTACCACATTTTCCTGATGGTCTTTAGCGATATGTTCATCAATGAATGTTTTGACAGCTTCGGTTTCTGCTGGTGAAAGTGGGTAGGTTCTTGCGGACTTTGGTATGAAGCCCAGTTTCGTTTCGATTCTGTGATCGACTCCTGGTCTTGATGGGGGAAGTTGGTTAAGGCCATCTTTGGCAAAGATATCTGCAAAGTCATGCAGATATTTGGGGACCAGTTCTGCAAAAGTTTTCTTCTTTTTATCCTGGGCTTCCTTCATTGCAAATTCCTGCGCTTTGTTGCTTGTCTTCTGTATTTCTTCTTCCTGCGATTCTGCAAGTACCCAGATGTTTCTTAGGGGTACGGCGGAGGCCATTCATTTGAGTTCTTTCTTTGATGTTCCATCCCGAGTGAGCGGGGAATCAAATGTGAGGTATTCAATAAGGCAGACCGTGGTGCCATTTGCAGCATATTCAACCAGGATTTCATTGTCATTTAAGACGTATTCCGCAGTGTTTGAAACTGCTGGGGCGAGGTCAGCTTGCCCAATCCACACGTCTTCCACCTTGTCAAATTGTTCTTCAACCTTTTCTTCTTTTGGTTGTTCTGTCTTCGCTTTCCGTTTCTTGCGATCCTTTTTCTTTGCGCGCCGGATTTCTTCGATAACATATTGAGTGTTAAGGGGAAGGAAATTTAATGGTGCAAAGTCATCATCATCCATCTCGTCTTCGATGGTTGCTCGCCATTTCTTGTGATCTGGTGAGGGCATGAGTGGTGTGGCAAAGTGATTTTCCAAATCAGCAGATGCTCTGTCTCGCTTTGACATACCAATGACTGGTGATGGTTCAAGGAGTGCAGGAAGGGGAGTGTCTTCAATTTCTTCCATGTCAGCTGGTTCTTCTGGTAGTGGGGACAGTGGCAATGGCGTGGGTGTTGAAGGAGGTGACAACACAGGTGTTGACAGGGATGACAATGTTAGGGTGGTAGACGGGAGTGGTGCTTCAGGTTCTGCGGGCTTTGGTTCTTCTTTGGGTTTTTTTTCTTGCTTGGTAGGTTCTTCTACCTGGACCTGGCCTTTCTTGCCTTGCTTCTTGGTTTTCTGCTGGAATTGATAGGGTTTCTTTCCATTCTGTTTTCGTGCGTCATTGATTTCTTTTTCAAGTTCCCATGAGCGTCAGGTAGCTGGGAGTTCAATGGTGTTGAGGGCCCAATCGATGTTGGGGCGCATGGCGCTTAACCAGGGTTTGCCAAGAAGGAAGTCGTTGTTTCGCGAGAGTTGGGTAATGTTAAACTTTCCTTTCATGGTTCGTTGGTCGATGTGAATGCCTAGGACACAATAGTGTGTTACTTTCCCAGCTTTCGACGAGCTTCCATCCACAGTGTTAATGCGGAAGGGGGTCATATGTTTATGGGTAGTGATGCCATGTGTGTTGACGAATGTGTTGCTGATGAATGATCCTCCTGCTCCAGAGTCGATGATGGCGGTGGTTTTGATGAGTTTTCTGGTGCAGGATAGGAGTGTCATTGGGACACGGAATTCGTTCTTTTTTCCTATCATCCTGGTTAGGAGGACGGGGGTTATGGCTTTCTTGCCTTTTTCTTCTTCAGGGCGCTTCTGGGCGTCCCTTACCTGATCTTTCCTGATTGGTTTCTTTCTTCCTCCTGTCTTGGAGTCTTCGGTCATGAAGATGCCATACCGGTTGTGGTTGGCGGTGTGTTTTGTCTTGGAGGCCCCTGTCTTGGGGTGGTACTTTTGATCGTGGGCTCTATGGCCTTTCTTTCCACAAGCGAAGCATAATCCGTTCTTTATGCTATGAGCACGCTGGGTTTCAGTTAGTGCTGGTTTGTTAGCGATGAGTTTGTTTCGGGAGTTTTCAGGGACATGTTGCCATTTGGTGTTGCTTGCGAGGTCGGATCTGAGTTGGGTGGATGGATTCATATTGAATTATCCCAGCTGTCTGCTGTCCTAACTGTCTTGTTAGTCTTCCGGTTGTTAGTCGGGGTTAAGCTTTACAGATGGTAGAGTTCAAAAAGGAACTTGAATCTTTTGTTACGCGTAACCTCTCGGATGAGATCTGGCAGCGCTAAACCCACAAGGGGTGTCCGAAGCATGACCTTCGGCGCTAGCCCAGCAAGGAGCTTGCCTGTGCTAAGTCTGAGTAAGGGTTGAGACCCTTACTTGCATAGAGTTGATCGGAGTTTCTCAAGGATGCGATCCAAGAGATGGAAGTCAGCTCAAGAGTATCGTCTCAAGAGTAGATGGTTCTTTGTACAGAGGGGATTCTCTTAGGCAAGAGAAGTTCAGTCCCAATGACAAGATCAGATGAGAACCGAGTAGATTCAAGTTAGAGAATCTTCTACTGTACAACGAGAGATATATATACGTAAAGGTGATATACCGGTGGAACGGTAAGGGTACAGGGTGCAGAAGTAGTACTGAAGTAATGGTAAGGGTTGAGGGTATGTATGAGTCACATACCGGAAAGGGTAAGTAGTACTGGTTGAACGGTAAGGGCAAAGGGCATGGGGAATCCCCATCAATGAGAGAACTGAAACAGTGGAATAGGGCATAGGGTTCGGGAGAAGCCGCAGCTTCTGTGATCTAGGGGAAGAAGCAAGAGCTTCTCGCGTTTCAGAACAACAGGATCAAAAAGAGAAAGAGGTAAAAGTAGAATCATAACCATGGGTCTGGGTCTAGACAAGTCCGAAGAATGAAATGACACATAACGCTCATGTTACTGTAACAGAACGCCCGTGATCAGATCACAGCGGCGCTTACACACCAAGTCCCTGACTCCAATTGATACAATGCCAGCTTATAGCAAAAGTTATTGAGGTTACTTGACAATACATGGTATCGATGTTTTGACTGAAATCAACAGCCAACATCACTCAAAGTTCTTCACATGTATTGAGTTTTGAGAGTTATACTTGTCATAGGGTGTATGTCACAAGTGACGCACAGGGAGCTTATCGGCTCAGCCTCAAATCAACATGCTCCTCGTGTAAGGACAAACATGGTTGTATATTTGCCTATGAGGGCCCGTATTGGACAAAATTCTAGAGTTTTGCTTTGAGTTTGTCAAACTTGATTTCGACTTTGATCTTACCGAATAAGGAAGGTGTGTCCTTCGACAGCGACAGCGACATCGACCTTGACTTTGACTTTGACTTCTGCTTTGACTTAACCATAACTCTACTCTATGTGATTAATACAGCTTATGTTGAATTACAGCCAATTCCCCTCGAGACCGTGACTGTTAAGCCCAAGGATGTCGGCGCTATTGATAAAATCGCGTTTCGTTGCTGTTTCCCACGCTTGCTCGCTGTGTGCCACTAGTGGCACACAACGACGACGCCAAGCACACTACAAAGCACAACGCAAGACAACTTCAACAGTTGCACAGCTTATTCGTATTAATTACAGCCATGGGTATCACTAAATTCCCCTCGAGACTATCGAGCTGCTCATGAAATACTTAACTGATTTGCCTTGACTACTGATGGTGACCTTGTGGAATTACATGGGTTATCAACAGCGGAAGCAGAAACAATGGGCATCGAGGACGGCAGTACGACGTGTTGCCCGCCGTAGGGGAAGAACTCGGTCTAGGAACAAGCAGACGTGAAAAATGTCAGTTGCGTATACATAAAACAAAATGAACAAAACCATCAGGCTTGTCGCCTCCAAGAGGTGTGTTGGACCAGGGATGTAATGGTTCGCCGCGCCGCGCCGCCGACGGACAAGAAAGACAACAAAATGAATAAAAAAACTCACCAACCATCGTGCCGGCAGTTGTCCGTGCGTTCTGGGGGTGAGCGCAGTGTCGTTTGGGCTTGGCGTTGGGTGGATGCGGGGAACGTGCGTGGTGACATAGTTATTGAGTGTGCCGGCGATGTGGACGCTGGACTTTCTGGAGCCTCAACACATCAAAATCAAAATCAAAAGATCATAGTAACGCGGAAGACATTCCAACATCTAAGCTCAAGTCAAGTTTCGCAAAGCCAAAAGCGAAAAAAAACAATTTGTCCAGTACGGTCCCTTATATTTGCCGCCTCTCATCGTCTCGAAAAGCACATTGACCAGATGGGCTCTCTGAGAGCAGTTGATAGGAGACAATATTCCATACGGAAACAGCCGAGGTGCACAGCTTTTTGCAGAGGTTTTGGTGATGGCCCTCTCTACTAACGCAGAAGTCGGGGATATGACAGAAACATTAGTTTCGACATCTTTCAGGTTGCTTGCTTCCCTGCTACTCAAACCTCCGTGAGCCACAATAGAATTACTTTGTTGACGTTGCGGCTGATGTGCTCGGTCGTGCCCTGCGTTATAGTGCAACCGTCGAGGTGCTCCCTGGCGATGCCTCCAGTCTGGATCTCCGATGGGGCAGAACCATCCCATTCCCCTTTTCTGCTTATGGAAAAAAATCCTTGGTGTGCCTGAGAAAGAACTTCGTCGGTCCCTACCTGTTCGCTGTGCATGTTTTCGCTGCTGCACGCAAGGTTTCCGGACTTCATACATTTCAGAATGCCTCCACCCTTACCATGACTCCAGCGATTCAGGACATAATCGATTCTTCTGCTGTCCTCATTTTGATGAATCCGGCTCACCAGACTGCACTCAATGCTAGAAAGTGACTTGTTGAGCAGAACCTCATAAATGTAGGGCAAGAACTGAAGTTTACAGCTGCTCTACTTTTGAGCAAGCACTGTTGCAAACAGGCCGAGCTATGGTACCACAGGCGATGGCTTTTCCGGCGCATATACCCAATCCCAACCTCTCCTCAAGGGTCCATTGCTGACATAGCCCCCGATTCAACAAATTTCTATCTTCTTCCCAATGACCTCTCTGTGGAAATCAGTCTTGTCATAAGAGCTTGCGAACTCTATTCCTGCAACTATTTTGGCTGGATGCACCGCACAATATGCATTAAATCTATCATCGTATCAGCGATGCATTTTATCACATCAGACGTGTTCGTTGAAATCGTTACAAAAGAGATCCTCGACGTCACGAAGTGGATCGAGTCTCACATCTCGGACTATAGTGCTGTGCATCACCTCAAAACTCTTGCTTATCTCGTTGATGAAATGGAGTGTACGTTCCTCCCAGACAATCTTCAGCATTTACTTTCCCCGATCGGACACGCCCTCATGCTCGTACGTGCATTTCCGGGGCACGAAACACTTTGGCAGTATCTCCGCCTATTTTGGGATGAGGGGGATGTCACTGCAGCGTTTATCGCGTCGTTTGTGGTACCTCTACAAAGTACTGGGATGGTGGACGAGGGAAACGAGTATCGAGAATGTTTTAGTGCCGCGCATCATGCTCGCCACTTCCTCGAGTGGAGGAATCAGAGGTTGAGGTGACACAACTGCTTGTTACTTGGTACCGTACGCCACGCGTTATCATGCAATCATTAATCAATTCATGCCAGCACGACAGGTTGTCTTCACAATTAATTAACACCTTCACAGATAAATCAAATCATTATACTTCTTGATCCTTGCGATCGGTGGAAATCAGCGACCCGTGCGTTTCAAAACGCGAAGATTACGACCGGCTGTGTCCTTGCAATATAATATCGAATGCAATTTCCCCAACTCCCTAATTTGTCCCCCACTCTTAAACGGGCAAAATCAATTAGATCAAGGGGACCTCAGGGGATGCTTTCAGGGGATGCCGTGTCATGCACACTGATTCGAGCATACTAGTTCCTGCGAATCAGCCAGTAGACAATTACTGGGTACGAGCGCTCGCGTATACCCCGAACGCGACGTTCGACGGCGGCCAGAACTCGGCCATCTTGCGATACTATGGCGCACCCGTCGCAGAGCCAACTACGAACCAGACCAAAAGCACCATGCCGCTCGTCGAAACCAATTTGCATGCGCTCATTAATCCAGGTGCACCTAGTATCCCGGAATATGGAAAGGCAGATATCAACTTGATGATGGTGGTCAACAAAACCAGTGGAACATTCTATATAAACGACATTGTATTCCAGCCTCCGTCGGTGCCCGTGCTGCTCCAGATCCTCAGCGGCGCACGAGAGGCAATCGACCTCCTTCCAGACGGAAGTGTCTATGTTTTAGAGCCTAACAAGGTCGTCGAATTGACGATGATAAATGGCGACTGGGAACTCGTTGGTCCTGTAAGTTTCACGCTTATTCGGACCTTGTATTACATACATCTCATGGCATATTCCTAGCATCCAATTCATCTTCACGGCGTAAGCACTTCTGGATACGACTTGACCCTAAATTCCTCATTTTACATTGTAGCATATCTTTGATGTCGTGCAGAGCGCTGGCAACAGCTCTTTCAACTACCGTCAATCCCGTGCGCAGGGATGTAGTATCCATCGGACTTCAAGACCAACAGATGGTGATCAGATGGGTCACAGATAACTCTGGTCCATGGTTCCTGCATTGGTGAGCACAGCGACCTTTGTCAATCTAGCGATAGCACTGATCTTCTTGTTTACCCAGTCACATAGACTGGCATCTTAAGGAGTGCGTACCTTGAGCGCTTTGAAACTCTCCTGTAATTTGATGTATTTTTCCAGTGGTTTTGCTGTAGTTATGGCCGAAAGTCCTTCGGAGACTCGGAAGTATCTCCACCGCTTACCCGGTAAATTTTTATATTCCATTTTACCTCCTGGTTGAACTGATGGTAAACACAGATGCGTGGCATAAACTTTGCCCAATATTCAACTCGTTAACTCCAGCCCAGATTGGAACAGAGAACTCGTATCAGGAAGCAGAAAATCTCGCCATCGCCTCAGGGCAAAATATCACCGTAGCGCTGTTTCCCAATGTATAATATGTGGCACCGCAACCCTTGCCTTTTTAACAACCAAAATCTTCATGATCTGATTGTCTTCCATCTATCTACATAGCTAGTGTAAGGACAGAGTGTTTGCGACCGCGAAAGCAATTCATATCACATGTGCGAACTCCATTTGAACCTTTTCATTCCTTCCTTGTGCCGATCCCCTGTTGAGCCTCCGCTGTCTCTCTTTCCGATGACCACGGCATGTCCAAAAACTACTTTAGCCCCTCTTTTGCACACCGTGCCTCTTGCCCGATGGCTGTACTTACATGTGGGCAAGGATCGATTATATTAATATACCATTAACTTCACGCGCATATACGTGGAGCAACAGCGTGGTATTGACCTTCCTCTGAGCATGTATAACATGATCCAACTTTGAGTCCACACATGCCGATGCGGTTGTTTGGATCTAAGGGCTTTGCCAAACCAAGCTGCGAATTCGTATGTCCACGTCATCACACGATGACGCGTTGTGGCGCGCCACACTCCATATCGGGTAATAGCTGACTTCAGCTATTTTTGTGATGTGCTATAACTTAAATGTTGCATTAACGCTTCAGTTTCATCTCCCCAAGGGCTCAACATATGTTATTCTACATCAGTCCCGGAGATAATAATTCCAATCCCGTCAACACTCAAGAGTTGACGGAAACGAACATATCTATTCTTTTGCCTCAGCTGGTTCCAGAGAACTTGAAGAAGTCAGATCCACCACTGCCAGCCTACGACGTCGACTTCATAAATGGTGGATAAGAGGAATGCATTATCGGGGTTCCCATACCTACAAACAGGTATCGTCGTTTATTCAATGGGTTTCCTGATGTAGTTCACTTTGTAGGGTCCAATATCTCGCGCAGCAAGAAATTGAATTGAAATCATCAATGGCCAGCCAGTCACAGCCAGAGGCAGGATCATCGCGCACTGCAACCACTGGGGAACCATCAATGACGCGATCATATGGTGTTTCATATCTCGACTACTTTCCGATCTTACAAACCCCTCCCGGGATTATAATTGCAGGTCTCAATGACAACGCTTACTCCAATTCTCGTGTTTTCATTCAAATTCATACATGTACTGTGTATTACTTTGCACTTGTAGGCTTTTTTCCCAGAGCAGGGTGCTAATGTGCTTCCATGCGATAGCCGAAATCCATCTGTTTTCTCTAGGACAGCAGCCAAACATGCTACGACTCTAGCGAGCAGTACTAAAATAGAACGATCGATTTCACCGCCACTTCACAGCCTGCACGATCAATGCCTCACTCATCACAGATCTAAAAACCCACTACTCTAGACTAGTCTCCACAAGATTCCACTACTACGATAGCCTGGAATTAGCAGGAATTAATACCGTGACCAGACACCATCCTACACCATCTGTTTTCTTTAAAATCGATGCAATAAACGAGAATAGACGCCATAACAACAGTTGTCTTCAAAATTAATAGTCAGCAATTTCGCCTTCATATATGACGTCGACACTATGGGACACTATTGTTAGCGACTCTCAAATTGCAATAGCAGTCAAAATAGCTTCCATGGCTCCCAAGAGGCTGACTCTCGATAGCAGTCAGAATAGCTCTCAATCGCTCTCACGAGGCTCACCGAACGCAAATGAGCAGGACTCAGCACGCTGTTGATCGGTTGAGCCATGGAATGACATTCGGTCAATGACGGATATTTCACTCGGGTCTGTAATTGCCATGTTATTGTCCGCAACAGCTGACCTGACACACACCTGGTAGTCAATAGTTTTGAGCGCAATAACATTATGACGATTTGAACCGCATGAGGTAGCAAGGGGAGATCAAATCATGGTACTTCTCTTCATCTATGCAATCAACGGAAGTTAGAAGACCCGCGCGCTTTAGAACGCCTGAAGGATCGCCGCCGGTTGCATTCTTACGATGTGGCATCGAACGCAACTTCCTCGAATCTTCGAGTTATCGCCCTTTCCGGGAGCTCAGCGTCTTCGCCGGGCAGGCAAAACAACCAGAGGGGATCGAGATGCCATGCGCAGCCATTCGAGCATGCTACATGGTTCCGAGGAATCTACAGCTGGGGACCGTAACAACCTGATGGTGGTCTCGGATATCATCGTCTGGCACGGGACACACTGATTAACATTAATTCCATGGAACTCCACGGCCGAATCGATTTTGCGTTGCATATCATGTATATTGTGCCACGTCGAAATGCGAGTCTATAAGAGCAACCATAACGGAGTGAGGGTTTGGTTGAACATCTAGCTTCAATATTGCCCTTGCACTAGAATGCTCTTCCTTGGCTTTCTTCTCCTATTGCTGCATCTCGCACATGCTGCATCCATAATCTCGCGGTCCCATTCCTTTCCACTCAACTCTCGTTCGATTACCCTGGGCCCTGAAACCGACCTAGTAATTGCTAATAAACTTATAGCTCCAGACGGGTTCGAGCGCTCGTGAGTTTGTCTTTTTTTCGTGTTGGTGTTTTAATCATTGTTACAGTTCAACTCTCGCCGGAGGAACGTTTCCGGGTCCAATTATTGCAGCCAAGAAGGTGCTTTTCTGCCAATTTGATCCGCCCATCAGGAACTGACAATCATTGAAGGGTGATAAATTTGCGATCAACGTTGTGAACAAACTCACCGATGATTCAATGTTCAAAAGTACCAGTGTGGTGAGTACATCTGTTCAGGATTCGGATTATGGGCTTACCGTACTCTGCAGCACTGGCATGGAATCTTTCAGAACGGGACCAACTATGTGGATGGAGCCGCATTCGTTACTCAATGCCCCATTGCGCAAAACGGCTCGTTTCGATACTCCTTCGAGGCTCGGAACCAGGCGGGAACCTACTGGTATCATAGCCACTACTCGACGCAATATTGGTTTGTTGATCCGAAATTCTTCAACTTCTGCATTTTGTGACCCGAGACCGTTTAGCGACGGCCTGCGTGGGGCTTTGATTATCTACGATCCCGAAGACCCTCTGTCCTACCTATATGACGTTGATGATGGTACGGAGATCATTTCATGGTCATCAATACGCTCACTTAAAGCATTTACAGAGACCACTGTCATTACCCTTTCTGACTGGTAAATCTCAAAACTATTTGTAGCCTGCACCCACCTCACTATTCAATATAGGTACCATGTGATTGCCCCTGTTTTAAACCATTTTGTCACTGTCGATGGTAATTCAACACTGATTAACGGTCTCGGTCGGTACCAAGGGGGGCCCAACTCCGAACTTGCGGTGGTCAATGTCGAGTACGGTAAACGATATCGCTTACGCATCATAGCAATGTCTTGCGACCTCAATTTTGTGTTCTCCATCGATAATCACGACCTGACGGTCATTGAAGCTGATGGCGAGCTGACGGAGCCCCTCCTTGTGGACTCGCTCCAGGTACTTTCCGGACAGCGATATTCTGTCGTGCTGAATGCGAATCAGCCAGTCGACAATTACTGGATACGAGCACTCCCAAATATCGCGAACTCGACGTACGACGGTGGTCAAAACTCGGCCATCTTGCGATACCATGGCGCACCCGTTGCAGAGCCAACTACGAGCCAGACCCAAAGTACCATGCCACTCCTCGAGACCAACTTGCATGCGCTCATTAATCCCGGCGCACCTGGTATCCCGGGGTATGGAAAGGCGGATATCAACTTGATGATGATGGTCAACAAAACCAATGGAATATTCTATATCAACGGCGTTGCCTTCCAGCCTCCGTCGGTGCCCGTGCTGCTCCAGATCCTCAGCGGCGCACAAGAGGCAACCGATCTCCTTCCAGACGGAAGTGTTTATGTTTTAGAGCCTAACAAAGTCGTTGAATTGACGATGATAAATGGTGAACCCCGTGGTCCCGTGAGTTTCACGCTCATTCGAACCCCCTCTTACATACATCTCATGATCTCTGCCTAGCATCCCATTCATCTTCACGGCGTAAGCACTTCTGGATACGACTTGACATTAAATTACTCATTGTGCATTGTAGCATAGTTTTGATGTCGTGCAGAGCGCTGGCAACAGCTCTTTCAACTATGTCAATCCCGTGCGCAGGGATGTAGTATCCATCGGACTTCAAGACCAACAGATGGTGATCAGATGGGTCACAGATAACTCTGGTCCATGGTTCCTGCATTGGTGAGCACAGCGGCCTTTATCGATCTAGCAGTAGCACTGATAACGATATCATTGTTTACTTAGTCACATCGACTGGCATCTTGAGGCGTGCGTACCTGGAGCCATTTGAAACTTTTCCGTAATTTGACGCATTTTGCCAGTGGTCTTGCTGTAGTTATGGCCGAAAGTCCCTCAGAGACTCAGAAGTATCTCCACCACTTACCCAGTAAATGTTTGGTTTTCGATCTTGGCTTCTGATTGAACTGATGGTAGACACAGATGCATGGCAAAATCTCTGCCCAACATTCAACTCGTTAACCCCAGCTCAGATTGGAGCAGAAAATTCGTATCGGGAAGCAGAAAATGTGGCCATTGCCTCAGGAGAAAATATTACCACAGCACTGTTTCCTATGTAAGAAACGGCGGTACCGTAATCCTTACCTTTGTCAAAATCTAAATCTTCACAATTTGATCGTCTTTCCATCTATCACTCGAAGCAATGATGATCCCGATAAGGGGATGTATAGCGATGAAAATGATCAAGCGAACGGGCTTGAAGAGAAAGAACAGACCTTCTGAGCGTGTTCTGATCTGTACTGTGCGCAGACCTCGGGCCTGAAGGTGACACAAGTCTAGACAAAAACACACTGAGATATGAGATGGGATGGTGGGTGGGTCGAAATATCGTACGCGCGTCGCACAGGAAGATGAACGCTAAAAAGAGAAAAGCGCGATCTTATACGATACGCAGTGCGCACGGGCCCTAATGCTTCGCTATGAAGGAAGCACTGGGATGGAGGATCAATCACGTGACCGCGTTACAAGCACTCGCCGGCGCCCTCCGTCTGGACTCCGGCAGATTGCCAACGCACCTGTCGTACTAGGTGTGTGGGTCGTCCATTTCTCGATGACCTTCGAGCTGTGGCACCCCAGACGATGGCTTCTCCGGCGCATATACCCAATCCCGACCTCCCCTCAAGGGTCCATTACTAACATAGCCTCCGATTCACTAAATTTCTACCTTCCCCAATGACATCTTCTGTGAAATTTAATCTTGTCATAAGAGCTTGTGAACTCCAACTATTTTGGCTGGATCCACCACACAATCTATCATTTGTATCAAGAGTGCCATCAGATGTGTTTATTGAAATCCTCACGAAAATGATTCTCAGTGTCACGCAGTGAATCGAGTCGAGTCTTACATCTCGGACCACAGCTTCCCTCACGCACGTACGTGCATCTCTGGGGCACGAAATCCCTATGTCACGAGTCTCGAGAATGTTTTGGTGGCGCGCAACACACTCACCACCTCCCCGAGTGAAGGAATCAGAGATCGAAGTGACACAAATGCTTGTATTGTATACCGGTACGCTACGCGTTATGATGCAATCATTAATTAATTCACGCCAGCACGACAGGTTGTCTTCGCACTCAATGAACACCATCGCGGGGCGTCTTCAAAACTAATAGACACCGTAACGACGGTTGTTTTGGAAATTTATAACCTTCACATCAGGTTGTGTTGTCTTCACATGCGACGCTGTTGGTGACTCTCAATAATATAGCTCCCAGTCACTCTCACGAGGCTCACCGCGCGCAGTTGATCTACACCATTCTGCCATCATGAAACCCATGTCCATATAGCAACCTGGTTTTCCAACCTCCTTGCTGATGTCCAGATGGTCTACCCTGGTTGACCCCGAACCAGACATTTGATGTCCACATCGTAACCTAGGAGGAACGATCACTTGGGTCAATTGCTGTCCGGATCGCCGACTGGGTTCCATAGGCATTTTAAGAGGTCCTGCAGCTGAGTAGGGCTCAGCGCGCGCTGTTTATCGGTTGATACACGGAATGGCATTCGGTCAATATCAGAGATTTCACCTGGGTCTGTGAGTACCATGTTATTAATCCTCAGTGGCTGACCTAACACAACACACATGCATGATAGCCAAAGGCGTTTAGCTGGCGCACTGCTATACAGTAACACTTCTGGTGATGATGATGACAATTTAGCCAGTGTGAGATAATAAGCATAGACCAAATTATACCATCATACTTCTTTTTACCTTTGCGATCAGCGGAAGTTAGCGACCTGCGCGTTTCAAAACGCACGAAGGATCACGGATGATTGCGTCCAATATGATATCGAACTCCATAGTCCATCGCCCACTGTTCTGGAACTCAGTGTAGTTTGCCAATCGGGCACAAACGATCAAAGGGGACGCTTTCACGGGCCGACACACCATGCATAGTGGGTGACTTCCCGTAAGGTTTTACAGACAAATTTCTGTTAATCCTCATGCCTTAGCCGAATAGCCGCGCTGGATTTGGAAGGTAGCTGTCAACGCCTGTCAAACGGTTGCTCTCGCTCTCGTCTGTAAATCTGCCAATCTGTGGAGAGGTAGCTACCCCTCTGTAGATTTCTGTAAATTGTCGGAGTGCACTAAATGTCTGATTCGGGCAATTTTCTTACTCTGTTTAGATGGCTCGCTCCCGGAATTGTCGTCCGGATCATTGATGTTGTTCCCAGTCCATCATCTTGCTGAGTTCTTACGGTTTACAGATTCTGTCCGTAAATTAGCCGATGTCGAGCGATCAAACTTTTACAGACAAGCTTGTTTCTGTAAATTCTTACGGGAAGTCACCCAGTTATTATTAGCTTCCACGGACTCTACAGCCAGGGACCGTAAGAACCTGACCATCATGATCTCGGGATCGTCTGGCTCGGGACACACCCAATGATTTTCTCCATCATGGAAATTGCACGGCTGATTCGATGTCCCATGTGGATGTCATATATCTTGTGCCACGTCGAAACATGCATCTATAAGAGAAACCACAACAGAGTGAGTGTTTAGATGATCTTCTAGCTGTTCAATATTGCCTTGCTCTATACTTCATATATGATATGATGCCCATCCTTGGTGTTCTTCTTCCATTGCTGCATCTAGCACATGCAGCATCCATCATTTCCCAGTCACATTCCTATCCACTCAACTCTCGTTCGATTACGCTGGGCCCTCAAACTGACTTAGTAATTGCTAATAATTTTATTGCTCCAGACGGATTTAATCGCTCGTAAGTTTTCTCGTTTTTGTTCTGTCTTTTTACATTTTAATCATTCTCTTATAGTTCAACTCTCGTTGGAGGAATGTTTCCGGGTCCAATTATTGCAGCTCAGAAAGTGCTTTTCTGCCCATTTGATCGACCCGTCAGGAAGTAACAATAATTGAAGGGAGACCAATTTGCGATCAATGTTGTGAACCAACTCACCGATGATTCAATGTTCCAAAGCACCAGTGTGGTGAGTACATCTATTCAGCAGTCAGTCATGTTGTGTCAGGCTTACCCCACTCTGCAGCACTGGCATGGAATATTTCAGAATGGGACTAACTATGCGGATGGAGTCGCGTTCGTTACTCAATGCCCCATTGCGCAAAACGACTCGTTTCTGTACACCTTCGAGGCTCAGAACCAGGCTGGAACCTACTGGTATCATAGCCACTACTCGACGCAATATTGGTTTGTCGATCCGGGGTCCTTCAACTTCTGCATTTTGTGACCCGAGACCGTTTAGCGACGGCCTGCGTGGGGCTTTGATTATCTACGATCCTGAAGACCCTCTGTCCTACCTATACGACGTTGACGATGGTACGTGATCATTTCATAGTCATGAATGCACTCACTTAAAGCCTCCGCAGAGACCACCGTCATTACCCTTGCTGACTGGTAAATCTCAAATCTATTGCGGCCTGCATCCACCTCACTATTTAATATAGGTACCATACGGCTGCCCCTGTTTTAAACCATTTCAGAACTGTCACCGATGATTCAACACTCATCAACGGTCTAGGTCGATACCGAGGGGGGCCCAACTCCGAACTTGCGGTAGTCAACGTTGAGTACGGTAAAAGATACCGCCTACGCATCATAGCAATGTCTTGCGATCCCTATTTTGTGTTCTCCATCGATAACCACAACCTGACGGTCATTGAAGCAGATGGTGTGCTGACGGAGCCCCTCCTCGTGGACTCGCTCCCGATACTTGCCGGACAACGATATTCTGTCGTGCTGAATGCGAATCAGCCAGCCGACAATTATTGGATACGAGCACTCCCAAATACCGTGAACGCGACCTTCTCTGGTGGCCAGAATTCGGCCATCTTGCGATACCATGGCGCACCCGTCGCAGAGCCAACCACGAACCAGACTCAAAGTACCATACCACTCATCGAGCCTAACTTACATGCGCTCATTAATCCCGGTGCACCTGGTATCCCGGAATATGGAAAGGCAGATATCAACTTGATGATGGTGGTCAACAAAACCAATGGATTTTTTTATATCAATGACGTTGCGTTCCAACCTCCGTCGGTGCCCGTGCTGCTCCAGATCCTCAGCGGCGCACAAGAGGCAACCGATCTCCTTCCAGACGGAAGTGTTTATGTTTTAGAGCCTAACAAAGTCGTCGAACTGACAATGATAAATGGTGCAAACTTTGGTCCCGTAAGTTTTACGCTTATTTGATCTTCATGTTACGTACGTCTCATGATATCTTTCTAGCATCCAATTCATCTTCACGGTGTAAGTACTTCTAGATACGACATGATCCTAAATCACTCATTGTACATTGTAGCACACTTTTGATGTTGTACAGAGCACTGGCTACGACTCTTTCAACTACGTCAACCCCGTGCGCAGGGATGTAGTATCCATCGGGGTTGAAAACCAACAGATGGTGATCAGATGGATTACAGATAACTCTGGTCCATGGTTCCTACATTGGTGAGCGCAGCGACCTTTATTCATCTAGCGCTAGCACTGATCTTCTTGTTTACCCAGTCACATCGACTGGCATCTTAAGGAGTGCGTAACTTAAGCGCTTTGAAACTCTCCCGTAATTTGACGTATTTTACCAGTGGTTTCGCTGTAGTTATGGCCGAAAGTCCCTCAGAGACTCAGAAGCATATCGGCCGCCCACCCAGTAACTATTGGTTTTCGATATTAGCTTCTGATTGAACTGATGATAGACACAGCCGCATGGATAAATCTCTGTCCAATCTTCGACTCGTTAACTCCAACTCAGATTGGAGGAGTGAATTCGTATCAGGAAGCAGAAAATATCGCCATCGCTGCAGGGGACAATCTCACCACAACACTGTTTCCCAATACTAATAGTACATTAGAAGACTCGTAAACAGTCTGACTAGTATGCGTTAATCTGAGATCAAGTTGAGATGTTCGATGTAGTCATGTCCGTGGTAGTACGACACGCCAGGGTGGTCACGATAGTAGCTAATACTACATAGTGTGCGCTGTGGTAGAGTGCGAAGCAACGGCGGTACCGCGACCCTTACTCCTTCCGTAGGAACGTAAAACTAGAATATGACGTTGCCAATCTGAATGTCATCAGTTTGTAAGTACTGAGTATGCTTTCTTCATGTCTGCATGCATCTCCGTCGTCTATTCACTGATACCTATATATTCTACCAGAGTGGCGGTATGATGTAAAGGAACGGTGTTTCCGCCGACGGCCTCACCCTCTAGTTACTAGAGTGAGCCATGATATGTGTGATCCGTCAAATGATTTGACATGATGAGTATTTCTACAATATCTGATCTGCGTGACTTCGCAGTCCTCTTTAACGACGTGAATAGTACAATTTCATACCTCTTTTCATCCTATTCTCCTCGTGCGCTCATAAATGAGGGCTCAGCAACGCTGATCACAAATTCGTTGTCATCCCGATCCGAGCTCTGTGTAGTATCTCAGCGTCGCATACTCAAATAGAGGTGATTTACAAGCCTTGATGATCAAGATGCGCTCGTCATCGAAAGTAACATCTATCATGTTCGAAGGCGTCTCGATGTGTCTCTCGTCTATAACGACCATGTAAGGAAGGCTTGTTACAATGTCTTTGTTGAGTCGATCGTGTTTGACTGCCGATGGCCCTGTGACAATGCGGCCGCGAAAGTCCTTGGAAGCTGCGGCACGCGATATGCGATACTTGTTGAAGTCGTACATATGCAGGCTATAGGATGTGCAGTTGATGTCGTCCGGGGTGGCGTGGACTGCTCTATAACCTGCGACTTCTAATCGCACGACGTAAAGGCTGTTAGGGATGGGGTCCATTATGCATCGCGAACAATTTGGACCCCATTCATCCCAGGATAATACGCGGGCCTGACCCTCAATATGTACGCCGCTTCGGCCGGTAGTGAGGAGTTTATCGGTGTCAATGACAAAGACGAGGCTGGGTGGACCGTCGACGTTGAGGGCGATGAGCTGATTTTCAGCATTTGGACAGAAACGTGTGTCTTGAGTAGCTACGGAGCTTTGTACATCTGGGTTGATGGTTACAAATTGAGAGTGCCGGAGGAATGTTCCCTCTGGTTGGAAGGGTAGGACACACTCCGCAACTACGACTGGGGGTTTTGCAAGGTCAGAAAATGAGAAAATGCTGAGTCTGCATGGTAGCCGCCCGGAAGTTCCTGCAGGATACGATCAAGTGATCTTGGTTCACTATGCAGAAGTCATCCATCTTGCCGTATTGTTCCTCTTCTCGATAGACACACTACAATACGAAATGGTGAGCGCAATTGCTCAGACGGATATGTATTTGCTGTACCTTGAAGTCCTGTTTCTCTTGCCAGTTCCAAATTTGCATTCTTGTAGGACAAGGAGAAAGTTCATCGCAGAGGGTCAAGAGCGCTATGCGGTTCCCCCAGATTTTGAGCTGTATTTTTGTCAGATCATGGTGACAATTTGCTGAGATGTGTGGCTTGAAGGAGGTCAGGATCTCACTGGCTGCTAAAGGGTGCGGCTCGCTCGTGCTAATGGTCTCCAAGTAAATCCGGCTTGGAATTTCCGCCATGTGGTTTGGCTCGAGTACGACAAAAGCAAACAGATCCTGTGATGGGTCCATGATGACACTTTGGACTCGGAAAGGAGTATCTTTTGGCATCGGGTAGCCGTCTGCATCCCAACGCCTATAGAACTGAGACTCCGAAGGACCTGAGTCCAGGGCGCGAATTTGCGCGATCTGGGGATGATCATCCCAAGTGGACAAACACCCGAAGGACATGGATATCTCGCCACCTGGCTGCGTAAATTGATGCACTACAGCCGGTCTAAATGCCCGCCAGGAACACATTTTGTTCCTCAGTATCTCTAAGCGCTCTGCGGGAGATGACATTGCGTCTGGCGCAGTGACTGCCACCATGTTTTGTGCTTCGAGTTCAATCGCATATTGCAGTGCAGAGGAGTCATCAAGGACTTTGCGAAGGTAACGACACGTCTGTGTATCAAATACGATCAGTGGATCGATCCTTGATCTGGACGGATATCACAAACCGATGTACAGCTCAAGATGGACGGGGCACGAAGGAAGGAGAACAAGTAACACAATATCTCTACTGGGAGCGTGTGTAGACTTGATTTTGTGAAATCCATTACCTGTGACAGTTGGAAGTGCACTGGTAGCCAAGCCTAAGGATGATGGACCTGTTTAAAGATAAGTAGTCCCCCAAGTCCCACGGGTTTTCGACTCTAGCTACGTATTTCTGTCTGGAACCCTTTTGTATTTTAGTATACTCACTAGTTCCAGACGGGCGCAGCACCATTTAGCGGTTATTATACCGAACGGCCGAGTTTAATAGAAACTCGAAAGGTACAATAACTTTTTTAAAGTGAACCTTGGCAAGGTGTAAGTGCGACAAACAGAGACAAACTTACATATCATTGAACACATTGCCTCCCACGGTTTTATCCTTTCACCCAAACCCCACCCCTCCTCCTCCTCAAACAATGTCTCAACCAGGGGGTGATATACAAGAGCGAATCGCCGCTGCACGTCGCGAGGCGGAAGTTTTGAAGGAGAAAATTCGGGCCAGTAGGGAGGCCTCAGCTGATACGAGCTGTATGTCCTTTTCTCGTTCTTACCAATCCCTTCTTCGTCGGTAACATGCTCTGCAGTACGCGCCATGGCCGCTGAGGTTGATACTCTACCTCGAATTGTCATGCGACCTCGGCGTTCACTCAAGGGTCATCTTGCAAAAATCTATGCTATGCATTGGGCTGCTGATCGTCGACATCTCGTTTCCGCGTCACAGGACGGAAAGCTTATTGTATGGGACGCCTACACGACCAACAAAGTTCATGCCATTCCTCTTCGCTCAAGTTGGGTCATGACCTGTGCCTATTCGCCATCTGGAAACTTCGTTGCATGTGGTGGCCTTGATAACATCTGTTCTATCTATAACCTCAACAGCAGAGAAGCCAATGGCGTCAGAGGTGGGCGCGAGTTGAGCGCTCACTCTGGTTATCTCAGTTGCTGTCGCTTCATCAACGACAGGCAAATCGTTACTAGCTCCGGTGACATGACTTGTATGCTTTGGGATATTGAAGCTGGTGTCCGAGTGGTCGAGTTCAGTGATCACACCGGGGATGTCATGAGGTACGGATGATTGCATTGCTTTGTTGTACAATCACTGCGTTGCTCACCCATATCACATAGCTTGTCGCTAGGTCCGAACCAGAACGTTTTCGTCTCTGGTGCTTGCGATGCCACCGCCAAGCTGTGGGATATTCGGAGTGGTCGTGCAACACAGACTTTCACCGGTCATGAGTCAGACATCAACGCTGTTCAGTAAGTTGATTGTTTCCATGTGGTTATGCACGATACTTATTATCGTTTAGATTCTTCCCAAATGGCGATGCATTCGCCACAGGATCGGATGATGCTTCATGCCGGCTTTTCGATATACGTGCGGATCGTGAATTGAACAGCTTCACACACGACAACATTCTTTGTGGTATTACATCTGTCGCGTTCTCCATCTCCGGCCGCATTCTCTTTGGTGGTTATGATGATTGGACGTGCAATGTTTGGGACACTCTACGAGGCGAGCGCGTGGGTGTTTTGACCGGGCATGAAAACAGAGTCAGCTGTCTAGGTGTAAGTGTGGATGGAATGGCTCTTTGCACTGGTAGTTGGGATAGCACCCTCAGGGTATGTGTCTTCAACTTCATGTGTGATAAGGATCTGACAAATTAATGTAGGTTTGGGCATGATAAAACTGTGGACTGTCTTTCGTTATCTCGCTATATCCTCTATGCTCACCTGCGTGCGGCACTTGCGACGTACGCCTTCGAGTCGGTCCTTACTCATCATTAGTTTCATACTCTCTGGTATACATATATTGTCTCCTATCAGGTCATCTGCTGCTATCCAGATATTATTCCTTGATGTTCTTTTCTCCTCGAACCGTATATAGTCCTGAATTCAAGTCATCATTCAAACTGGTTTCCGAGGATGCTAGATGTTTCGCACTTCGGGTTCACGCCTACTGACATGATTGACTCAGCCATTCAGCAGTGAAAATGGTCACGCCGCGAAGGCCGCTCGAGCAACCGCCATGGTTTGCATCCTCGACTCTTCAGTTATTCCACCGGCTCACAGTCTCTGTAGCTCAAGAAGGGGCAGCAGAAGAAGACTGCTGGCAAGTTCACCTCCAAGATCATATACTCCTGCTTCCCAGGGCAGGAGTCTGCACCATCCACGGAGAACACCGAGAATGACGTTGCAAACCTGTATGTTTGCTACCTCTAACCCGTCTGTCGAGCCAGCGCTAATATTATCATTCTTTGTTTCACACCGACATCGAAATGGTTCAAGTCTCTGAGTACTTGTTGAACCTTCTGAAGTTCCCGATGTCCTGTCAACTGCTTCGCTTCTCTTTCAGGCGTCTATTTCAACGGCTCTTTCTTGGCAGGAAGTTGCCGTCTCATACGTCCCCACAAGCACGATTATTTATATTCAAGATGACAACAGCAGCCTACGGAGTTCGCCAAGTCGCCTACTAAGAGGCATACTAATACATTTTATGCCGGCCCCACCGATTGCCACAGGCGCCATGGCCCAGCTAAAGAAGCTTAGGGAGAAAGGTGCGTGGTGCAGGAATAGCAGCACACTCACGTAGATGTAGCTGTCCAAGAGAAGCAGTCGTTGGAGAACAAGTTAGGCGGAGATTCTTCAATTGAAGTCGCAGTGCGATGACCATCGCCGGGGTCATGCAAGGTTGAGGGTGAGAATGTGCAGTTATCGAGTCTGACGACTCCTCGCTGAACAGCCTGAGCATATTGACTATTATCATAACACAGCCAACAAACGACATTCGATGCACTCGATAATCACCGCCGCATGGCGAGTAAGAGAGAAGGTTCCAGAAGCTTCAGCTTGGCGAAGGCCTTCACTTCAGAGGCGGGGTCTACAGACGAGCAGGAAAAACCTTCAGAAGTTCTTGCCCTCCTTATTTCAAGATATCATTTCTGGTTTTAGTTGTTTGTCTTGAGGAGCTCGAGATCGGTACGTTGACGACTCCGATAACGTCGTCGTCCGACTGATGATTTATATCTGAAGATACGATAGAAGGGTGAATTGCTGCAGATTGCTCGGCAAATTCATCCAAGATCTGGAGACCGGCCCTTCCAAACTCAACATGCGGGCACAAGAAACCACCGTATGAGAGAGAGATACCAAGCGAGCCAGTTAGTTCCTAGAGGAAGGCGAGGTCTGTATCTCAACATCGTCGACAACGCTAGTGTTCACGAACTTGAGGAACGAATCAACAGCGATGATCGTGCCCATGGGCTGGCGGCACTCAAGACTACTCAGGATCCCACTGAAGAGCTTAAGTATTAGCTTTCTAAACTCGAGGCATATAGTGGTTGACCTGGTTATCTTCTTGTGCTCTCAGGCTCTCGCAAGTAATGAGATGTTCAGGGTACTCAGGGAACATGCCATGAATCTTTCCAACGCCGACTCCTAAATTCATGCTTTGGAGACCACTCTCTTCCGAAGCTCAGGTGGCGATCAGAGGAAAGTCAGCACGTTGGAAGACCAGCACAATCAAGAGCAACCTCACGACCAGCTTCTCCCGGCACATTGCCAGTTGCCAGTGCTCCCTTGAATTATGCGGCTTCACGACATGGGACTAGTCTCCCGTAGGCAGACCTTGAAAGAAGGAAGACATCAGCAAGACATTAGTCCCTTCTTTTTCAAGGTGGGGGACCTTCACCCACAAACCAAGTAATCTTGCCTCACCGTCCCGCGGGCTGTTTCGACGTACGTTGGACTCTAACCCCGAAACTCGTCACAAGCGCCAGTCAGCCTTAGCATGTTAAAAGCTGTTACAGTGATAACGAAGTGGCAGCTCGGCTGTATAAATTGGGCCCTATCTGTGTAGCCAAATCGAAGGACAACTAATTAGCAGGAAATGGACAACATGACAAATCGTCGAAAAGCCCCTCATAGTTCCAAAGGGTAAACGGTTACGGCAGGTGCGCTTGTCCATTGGAGTGGTACCCCCTAGCGAGGGGGTGGTGCAGGCGGGGGTTTGCCAGCGTTTGCGTAGCTTAGTCAGCAGGGTGGAGCCTTCGGGCATTGTCGTAGGTAGCATTCATCATTAATCATTAGCTCGAGCCACACCAGCTCAGTCTGCCAGAGGCAGGCTCATTGCTAGTCGCCGCCAGCCCACCGTTCATCCCCGATTCCCACGATTAGCGGGAGAGGGTTTTGTCGGACGAGATCGTAACAACTGTCTGTACGGCTGCGCAGGAAAGTTTATGACAAATGCTTACAGTTTTATGCTTAAGAGGTTTGTCAGATGAGAATTTCTATTACTTAGTCACTATGGATGGTACTTAGGTATGGATGGCTTTCGATGTTCATGGCGCCGATTGCCTTCAATCCCTTGTCTCGTGGGCTCGTATGCACTTCGAGCCTGTGTCCTATTCTCACTACTGTGTTCTGTCGTTTTTCTTCCAGAATGAGCCAGCGAAGGCTTTTGTCCTGAGTAATGGTGTTAGTCTGCCTAAAGTCATTGGTATATTGATCACAGACTCAGTCGAGCGCGAGCAGTTGTATCTTATCATACTACGTACGAATAGATCAGCCACGAGACACATATGTGTACTGACCACTTTGTATCCATTTGATCCGTGCGTCTTCGAGTTTCGTGCGTTCGAAATCATTAGTAAGTGACTTTCTGTGACGAGCGGTAAAATTTAGCAGGGAGGTACAAGATGTTTTGCATGCGCTCATCTAAGAGCTACAACATCTAAAAAAAACATTCCTTGACTCGCCAGTAGTAGCGTAGATGCGACTACAAACTAATGTAATTCTTGAAGCGTGACATGGTGTGTTGAGGTCGCAAAACGTGATTGCAAATCTTTGCATTACAGTGGTCCATCGATAGTAGCGGAGCAGTTCAGACAGGTTATACACGCTGAGACTCCGGCAGCATGAGTTGTCCCTATTTTCAAGACACGTGCCCCAGATCCAAAACTAAGAACATGCGCAAAGCCAAGGCAGTTGTATGATGAGATGTACAGTGCGCGCGTCTGATAAGTCGACGGACGTGGGCCTGGTCACGTGTAAGACGGAAGTTGCCGGTACTTAAGTCGATGGTTGGAAATTCGGAATTATGGGTTAGTGCGTGGTCACGTGTAATACGAAAGTTACCGGTAAGTTAGGAACATGCACACATGTAACGAAACCTTGACAAGCAAGGTCATCATTACTCAGTCTCTAAGCCAGATACAAGCATGGTGTTGTTTGAGCCAGCATGCGAGCTTGCAAGTAGATGGCTCAAACAAGTGCTTACTAAGCGAGAGAGTGTCCCAAATAGAGACGCGTGCTTGTATGCGCATCTTATCTTCTTTCTTTTCTTATGCTCACTTGCTCTTTGTTCTCGAATGAGGATTCATATGCATACATCCACTTAATTAATGTTATACTTATTCTTATACCTTACAATGACTGAATCTACAAATCCTGCCCCTGCAGGTGCTGGAGGAAAAGACACAAGCAACATCAACCCCGACGGTGACAGACACATGTCGGATGGTGAGATGGACAGTTTCACTAGTATTATGGCTCATAACAGTATGAGGTTTGTCGGACGTGAGGCATGTGTAGCAGAAAACTTACTCCGAAAGGAGAGGAATTGCTTACGTGCCAGACGTCGGGTGGACCCTAACTGGATCAAGTGCGTTATCTATGACAAGGACCTTCTCGATGAAGACGATTCACCCCCTTCTACCCCACATAGAGATCACTCTTCTTCCTCACCTCCTTATGATAATGATAGATTACTCAAAGCAGCAGATGTACTTAATGCTCTTACCCTGACTTCTAAAAAGATACTTCTTTCCCTCTCTGGAGCACAATCTGTTGCTCATCCTGCAGTAGAAATTCCTTCTGCGTTGAGTTCGACTTCCGATGCTCCTATTTTTACCTTAGCCAATACTACGTGTACTACAGCTACTTCTTCCGCCCATGAAATTCCCTGTCCTCTCATCAACTTGGCGAAAGCTAAGATCCACATTCCTCTTACCCTGCTTACCACAGCCGCACTCCACAGGATCCACATGGATCCCTCATGCATAAAGATGAAGAAAGGCCTTGTTTTGGACGATCCAAAACTATGTGTAATGGACACCTCTTCCGGTTTCCCCATTGAGATGACTCTTCCGCTCAGGAGCTTTTATGAAGCCTCAGCCAACTATCTGAAGCTACTCGCCAAAGTAGCGGATGACAACATCGTGAAGATTTTCACACAGCACCAAAACTTCTGTGTTGAACACGACAATTTCATCGACCAATACCAGGCCATCCTCAATTTCAATATTGAGATATGTCGGAAGTTTTTTAACACTCTTAGCTTCCCCGACTCTGCATTTTACGCAGTACATTGGAACGAGATATGCATTGACACAAAGCTTGCCTGCTCGTCACACTTACAACAGGAGGGTGGATCTAACCAGTATGCTCCTTACCCTTCCAGAAGGCCTGAAGCCCTTTCGTCTTCAATTGCGAGCATGAACGTAGGTTCGGATGGAAAGCCCTTTTGTAGGGGCAAAAGAGAGTGACCCACCGACCAACTCCTTTGCATTGTCTGCAGTCGGAAAGGTCACAAGTCCAGCAGGTGCACACACACGCAAACTGTCAAAGGAGATACTCCCATCTGCATGTGGCTCGATGGGAAGGTCGTCCTCAAGTCTTCTATGGCAGCCATATGTATATCCTTCAGCCTTAGCGGTTGTCCCTCCCCACAACACAACTCCAATGTTCTCCACATCTGTTCCCGCTGTGGTAGCAAGTCCCATTCCACTGCTTCAAAGTCCTGTTGAGGACATTCACGGTTGTATCATCACTCCTTATAACGCTAACGTCTATGACTCTTACTTGAAGAGGTTTAATCTTTCAGATCGGTACCCTAATCTCATCTTCAATCTTCAACATGGTTTTCCCATTGGCGACATGGCGCCGCTCATGCACACATATACACCCAATAATCATAATTCAGCGACAGAACATCCTGAGGTCCTGCGCACATACTGCACCGACAAAGTTAACCTTGGATGCATGTCGGGTCCATACACTATGGAAGAAGTTCAACACATCCTTGGGGGACACTTCGTGTCATTGCCGCTAGGGCGAGTGGAAAAATTGGGAGAGCCTGGAAAGTTCTGAATTGTGTGGGACCTATCGTACCACAATTTGGATGGGTATGCCATCAATGACAATCTCGACTCCGACGACTTCCCAACTGAGTGGGGAACCGTGGCCCAGGTGGCTGAGATTGCGAGTTGCTGATTTCTGCTCAAATACACTTCCCCCTGTCCTTTTGCACTCCCGCATACACACAAGGGTGTGTCTGCCTTTTGCACCCGCAAGGGCAGGTGCTCCATGCGAGGGCATGTGCGCGTCTGCGTTTTTCCCTTATGGGGTCTTTCACACACTAGGGTGTGTGCACAAGGGTGCTTTTTCAAGGGCACACAAGGGTGTGGATCTCCATTCCGCTTGCATGTCCATCGAGGATATTGGAGCTCACTGTTACTCTCAGGTTGCTATGGCTCCATTGGGAACCCAGGCTGTGACCTTGGACATTGAGGCTGCTTACAGAACTGTGCCGGTTTGGCCCCCGCACAAGCAGTTCATCGTTGTATCGGTGGACGGTAGCTTCTTCATAGACCACGTCTTCCCTTTTGGTTTGACCATGGCTGGAGGCATCCAGGGTCACATTGCAGACGCCATGGTGGACATTCTGCACAATCTGAACCTTGGACTTTTCAAGAAATGGGTTGACGATCATACCATTTTTCGCTTTGCATGCAGTGGCAGTGAGACGTTACCCAATGGCTCCGTAGCACCTTACCGTTACACCCACAACTTGGAAGACATTCACACACACTCACAGCCACTGGGCGTTCCATGGCATCCAACAAAGTGGCATGACTTCATGGAGATTTTTACTTACTTAGGTTTCTTGTGGGACCTTATCAGCCACACTGTGGATTTGCCCATAGAGAAGCGTCAGAAGTACCTCCGCAAGATCATAGAGCTACTCACATCGCTTGAGAACTGTGCTCGCATGTCGGGAAAGGATGCCATGAGCATCAACGGCACCCTTTCTCATGTTGCCTTTGTCATCCCACATGGCCGCGCTTATTTATCCAACCTCTCAACTTTTATCTCCGATTTCCCTTCAAAACACGCTCGGTTGCGTCCACCACCTTCGGTCCTGTCCAATCTAAAATGGTGGCAGAATACCTTAAGTGCCAAGACCACCCCATGTAGTCTTATGCCGTGGGGATCACCGCAGGAATTAGACCTGTGGGTTGATGCCTCCACCAATTGGGGTGTAGGCTTGGTTTTCGGCAATAACTGGAACACATGGACCCTCATTGATGGGTGGAAGACTCACGGATGCAACATCAGTTGGCTGGAAGCTGTTGCGGTAGAATTGGCCATTCTCACACTTTTTGCCTTAGGTTGGAAAGACACCACTGTACTGATACACTCAGATAATCAAGGCATTATTGGCACCTTTCAACGAGGCTGTTGTCACAACTTTCAGATCAATGCATGCATCAAACACGTTGTGGCCATCACCATGTCCTCCAACATTTTCCACATATTGTCTTATGTCGAATCCACACAGAATCAAGTGGACACCATCTCTCGTGGTGAGATAGGCTTGCTCACCTCTTGTCTAGCACCTGTTCAGCTCCCTGACGGGCTATCACCTTATCTTGCTGATTATGTCCAGTAACCCTTCCTCATCAGCGTCAGCACACGCTGGCGCTGTGACAGCTTTGGCCCTACTTAGAGAGGCTCTGGCATCACCTCCCATGGTAGGGGTTCCGCCCAACACTAGTTGCAGGCAAATAAAGCCATGAAAACCCAAACCAGGCAACATCAGGAAAAATATGGTTGACTACAGGTTGCTGTATAGTCACTGTAGTACCTGTAGTCCCATTTGTCAGATCCCTTCTACATGCAGCTATGTAGTCATACGGTTCACTATATAGTGCTATGAGAGTCACTTGTAGCTTGTTATAGCCAGCTACAGGCTGCTACACAGTGCAATAGATAAGACAGGCAACAATATAACACTATGACACTCACCTGTAGCTCGTCATAGCCAACTACAGGTGGCTACACAGTGCAACAGCTAGCTACAACAACCAATCCACGCCACTGGCCAAAATCAACAAAACTGAGTAGAATTAGAGCATAGCGGACAGCAGACAGTACTACATCCAGTACTACATCCAGCAGCAGCCTCCTGAAAGGTCAAACATTACCAACTTCTACACCTCTGCAGCCCCCTCAGGCTCTCGTGCATCTCTAGCCTCGGCTTCATACTCTTGAATTGCATCATCAAATACATCATCTGTGAAGCCGATGGGTGTCGCCTGCGCAGCCAGTGAGTTCACACCAGCATGGAGCCTTGCCGTCCACATCAGTTTGGAGGACGATCAATGCAAGTGGGCAGGCACATACCGAGCAACCTCAAGGATATTAGCACCAAATTTACCTAGCAGTTTATAACCAGATGTGCGCTCATCAAACTGCTGTAAGGAACTGAGATGAACAAGGTAGATTGGAGAATAAGTTGCCAATGAGAATTTTATGTCTTCCTTCACCCTGGTTATCCACTTGTTGATGCAACATTCAATCTGTTAGACTGCAGGAGTCAGCTGCAGCATAGACATCAGATTGCTGGAAGACACTCACCGCTGTGAGTATAAGCACAAGAATTTCAACTGGTAAAGGGTTGAAATATTTACTGTGAATCACACCCTCATCATTGCAGTTTGCAAACCACATGTTATTCACCGCAGACTGTATTAATCCAGTTTTGTAAATCCCGCATCTCTTCTCCCAGTCCTGTTACTCTGTGAGTCAGACATCGAGCAACAACAGGTGAAGTTAGGATTGGCAACGCACCTTGAAAACGAAACATGGCCCATCCTTCAGACATTCAGCCAGGTCACAATTCTGTTTAATGGCCGCTATAGAATGGCTTGTGCGGAAGCCAAAGAATGATGCTGTAAGTGCTCACATCTTAGTTTTGAGCTCCCCTTGCACTTGTGAAGTGTGCCTCGTCATCTACATAACACATAACATCAATAGGGCAGGAATGTGTACATGAGCAAGCGACTGCTTACCATTTTGACCAAAGAAGGCATTAGTTGGATAGTAAGCCCTGCTATTTTTGATGCCTCTCACCAGGCCTCTTTAGCTAACTTTGTCTTGACGATAAGTGTCTGAGGAAAGGGTTCGCATGTCACAATTAGACAGCGATAGATAGATGTCACAATGACAAGCAAATCCTTTATGACCTTCTCAAAGTCACAGGCCTTTAATCATTGGCGAGATCCATTTGAAGTTTTGCTGAACTTTGGTGGTTTGGTTTCTTCATCACTGTCCTGCAGTTGATGCTTTGTCCCGATGAGCTGTGGTGAAGCATCTTTGACCACGGCTTGATTGCAATGGTCACTAGTGTAGTCAGCATCATTCACAGACTCAATGTCGCTTGATTTGTGTTCGTCCTCAGTGCCACTATCGTCACTGGAGGACACAATGGTTGCAGGAGCTGACAAAAGTGTGTTAGTATTGTAGATGTACACAACGTAAGATACAGTACCTTTGTGGGACTTACTGATTGACTTTGGTGCTGAGACGGTCAGGCTCGAGTCCATACTCAGGTGGTCCTGACTGAAAGACTTTGGAGCAGAGACAGCTGGTGGGGTTTTGCTCGTACTGAACATGAGCACCTGTGACTTAGATACCTTTGTAGGTACACAGTGATCTGAGAACTACCACATCGTTGTGAGCAACATGGCACTGAAAGAACAAGACGCCAACCATATTTTCTTCTTCCATATTGATATCACTGAGGAGTTCTGCAGGCTCAATGTTGAACTCCTCGGGTTTTTTTTTGTATGCAGCATGCAGTACCTTCAATTGGTGTTTTTCCATTGCTGCTTTGAAGTCTTTGTGGCGGACTTCACCTTGACGAGCTTCTAAAACTGTTGAGTAGAAGGGTGTCAGTCACATTAGAACATTAACTCACTGAGACCTACTTACTTCTGTAGGTCTCTCTTTCAGTTGGTCAGTGTTTGCAACCACTTGCGGTGCGCCCTGCAGTTGACTCCATCTCAGTGCATAGGTCTTTCCAGGCCTTCAAAACAAACATTTTGGCAGGCTTATTCAAACCTGCTTTTGTGGCCATGATTAATGGTAAGTAGAAATGGTGACAACATAAGTGACAAACATACCTTTAAAAATGCTGCGGCAGCATTCAATCAATGAACAAATTTTGAGTTTTGTTGATTTGAATGTTAAATTTTCATCTGTCCATGCGGTGTCAATTCAACAGTATAAGTAAGAGGGATTGAACGACTTTCCTTTCAACCTTATGATCAATACTCCAGTCATATGCAAAATGACCATCTAGTAAGTCACTTCAGCAGGTCCGACACTCACCACGCACTAATCAAAATTGCAGTTCAGCCTTAACACCATCAAACAAACCACTGCTGGAGGGCAACAAAGTCAGCACAATGTGAGATGCTCAACCATATACTCCACCATGACAAATTCTGACACTCCAGCAGGCCCATACCACCTCCAAGTTGACCGTTTAATGTAGTTTGCACCCCAGGACAGGCTAAGGCTAAGGGGGGTCCAGCCCCCACTCTTGACGTTCTGTTTCCATTGCAACCATTTTGTCAAACACCAGGACCCGTTCAAGCATCACAAACTTACCTTCAAACTCTGGTATTGGAACATTGGGATGCAGAGATAAGGCGCTGTGATGAAGCGTGCAAAGCTCAACTATTGGAACACTTCCAGGGCCTAGTGACTCACCAACTGTTGATGCAGGAGATGATAACACAGTGTTGGGATGCGGAGAAGAAGCAGTGTGAAGAGGCACGCAAGGTTCAAATATTAGAACTCCTACTTGTGGCTCATGGTATCACTAGCCTGGTTTAGTCTTGCGAAGGGAGAAGTAGAAGGGTTGCATGCCTGTTAAGGTCATGCTCAAGGGAAAGATTACTCAAAGGGCTTTGGCTTCAGCTCGTGCACTGTGCCCCTTACCTGAGTATGTGCCCTTAATTTCCGAGGGGCAGAGGGGAAATCCGATGGAAGTCCAGGGAAGTCTGGAGGTCAGACATAGAAGACATAGGGGGAGTTCGGCAGAACTCCAGAAGGCTAGGAATGAACAGATTAAGGCTACTGTGGACAAGTCCAGAGTAGAAGCAGAACAGAGTTTAGACTACCCTAAGGTAGAGCCGGAGATTTAGTCCTAAGGTTTAACCCTAAGACTCAGAGGTAGACAAGAGTTTTAGACTCAAGTCCGGAGAAGCAGGAATGAGCAGAACTAAGATGATATTCGAACTCCGGAGTTCCAGAGTTTTACAGGAGTTTATATACTGTAGATATCATATAAATAATCAGTCAGCAAAGTAAAAGCTATGCCCGAAGCATATGGAGAGTCTATTAGTAAGTGTACAATGGATCAAAGAAATGAAGTCGGAAATGAATTACAGACAGTGTTAGGTACCGTGCCGGGCTCAGGAAGTGGAGGGGTCGGGGCTTGGCTTCAGCTCTTGCGCTGTGCCCTTGGCCGAGTATGTGCCCCGAATTTGGAGCGGGTCTGACATTGTCCAACGGTAGGATGAGTAGACCGCTTTTGGTTCGCTTTGAGGGTCAGGAGGTAAGTGCTACTAGCAGCGGGCCAACTAGGAGCAGAGCGGAGAAGGCGGAGGATAGAGCAGGGGGTGGATAGGAGCAAAGGGGGATTATTGATAGAGGTGGAGAAGTAAGGGGGAAGACTTAGAGCGCAGCTCTAAGTCAGAGGTGACAACAAGATGAAACTTGTGTCCAGAGGAGGCAAGGTCCTACTGAGAATTCTCACAAGTAGAAACTGCAAGAAGACAAGTAATATTAAGACTGAGGAAAATATCTAAGTACAGGATATGTTATATACTTCTAAGTGTGAGGCAGTGATCAGGAGAACTATGTTGTAAAGCTATGTACCAAGGATATAATTTGTAAGTACCTACACAGGTGAAGACATAAGTCGGAGTAGATATCAATATATACGCGTCAGATCAGTGATCGAGCAGTAAGAGGAATTACTGGTGATCCGGAAGTAAGGGTCTATGTACCGAAGGGGAAAGTATATGTCTAAATGGGGAAAGAGGTTCCAGTTGAATGGAGACGTTATAGAAGGGGACCAGTTGGGCGGTCAAGCGGAAGCGTAGGAGTGGATGTGGATGATGATTGGACGGAGCGGAGGACAGATGGAGCGGAGGTGGTCAGAAAGCAGAGCGGATATTGATATCAGAGCGGTCAGATCAGGTATATGACAGACGGACAGATCAGTAAGCAAAGCGGAAAGATGTACAACCAGTAGCTGGAGAGCAGTTATTCTAAAAGGAGACAGGTGTAAGTCCAGAGATGAAAGCGGAGTGCCAAGCAGACAACAGGATGGAAACCCAGACTTTCATAGGGGAGAATCTGGACTTCCAGATCCGGAGATATGAGATATAGTGTCGGAGAAAATAGGGGTAGTGTCGGAGGAGCGGAACAGAGTCGGGTGGAGGTAGCAGGGCTAGTCCTGCTGAAACTTCATGCATTGTTGGAGAAGGAGGGATGGAGCGGATGGGGAAACAGGGGGTCGGACTAGTGGTAGGGATGTTCAAAGGTGGTATTGGAGGTGCTCAGATCCAGTATATGACAGTGCCAGTGGTTAAGGGTTGTGTAGTTGTCGAAGGGTTAGGGTTGTGGCGTCGAAATTAAATGTTCCTGGAAAAAACTTGAAGGGTGCTAGTAAGTGCATGGGCGGGTTGTGGTAACAGCAGTCAAACCATGCCTTCCTGTATGTTCTGTGGCAAGGTATCAACCATACACAAAGGTCTCAACAGACACATTGCTCCTGAATGTCAAAAGCAGTGGGCATCAATGATCGAAGATGTCAAGGCAGAGGATTGGGATGCACCACCTGTTGACTTCTCCCATGATGACGCTGCCGATATCAACAACAACCCCACTCCCAGCAAAAGTTGTTGTGTTGCCATTGAGGAAGTCAAGGACAAGAGAAGACATTCTCCCACTCTGGGCATTATTTTGAACCTCAAGGAGATGCCAGCTGGGCGCTGTGTGAGGGGGAGACAGCTTTTGAAAGAGATAGAAGATATCAGGAGGAAGAGGGTGAGCATGCATGGGCACCCTTTGAAGACGCGTAAGTGCTTGAACGTGGCATTGGTGAGAAGGGAAACTAAACTCACCAGGGAGGAGTGGGAATTGGCTCAGTGGCTCATCAAAAATCTTGGACAGATATGGACAGACAAATATTTGAAGTTACCAATAGTATGTTAAAAGTGTTGACTGAACTCACAATATTGATACCACGACCAGACACAAAACCACATAAAAGTCTCGTTCCATAACAACCACTCTTTCTTGCAGAGGGTCGACAATCTTCCACATGGACCAGGTTGGAGTTGCAGGAAGGTTACCGTGCACGGTAACCTTGAGGATGATAATGGAGTACCACTGCAAGAAAATGTCAAGCTTTGGAGCTGTGATCCTGTAGAGTGTGTCAAGGAGTTAATCAGCAACTCTTTGTTTAAGGTGGATATGGTGTACTCACCTGCCAGAGCATATGTGGACCATGCAGGCCAACATAGAGTGATTGATGAGATGTGGACGGCAGACTGGTGGGGCGAGACACAAGTAAGACTGTTCAAGAGGGAGCAATGAAGAAATGGACTGACCTTGTGAGCAGAAAGCCTTGCCCAAAGGAGCCATGATGGCACCAATTATTCTATCATTGGACAAAACCTGCTTATCACAGTTCCGAGGGGACAAGTCAGCATGGCCAGTATATATGTCTATTGGCAACATCACCAAAGCAAAAAGGCATCAGGCATCAGCACGAGCAATGATTCTTATTGGTTACTTACCTGCAGGCAAACTTGACTGCTTCACTCCCGATGCACACTTGCTGGCCGGATACAGACTCTTTCATTACTGCATGGCTCTACTCCTCCATCCTCTCATAGCTGCTGGACGAGATGGTTTTGAAATGGTGTGCGCAGACTCACAGATTTGTTGTGTCCACCCAATACTGGCAGCATATGTCACCAACTTTCCTGAGCAGTGCCTGGTTTCCTGTTGCAAGGAGAACCATTGTCCAAAGTGTCTGGTGGCAGGGAATGAGCAAGGTGACAGACTCAACTCAGTAATGCATGATCCAGAGTCGACAAAAGAGATTCTGGAAAGGCGCAAGAATGGTCAGCATCCTCCAGGAATTTGAGGAAAACGGTCTACGTGCCGTTTATAAACCATTTTGGGCAGATATGCCTCATTACAATATCTTCCTTGCATTCACTCCCTGACCTTTTGCACCAACTCCATAAAGGAGTGTTTAAGGACCATCTTGTGAAGTGGTGTGTTGATATTGTTGGGGAGGAAGAAATGGATGTGTGTTTCAAGGCGATGCCTGACTATCCAGGGCTCCATCACTTCAAGAAAGATATATCGGCTGTTAAACAATGGACAGGAAGTGAACACAAAGAGATGTAGTAAGTATTTATTGGCTTACTCACAGGTGCATGTTTGAAGAGTCAAAGGTCATGTTTGTTGATGTTGTGAGGTACCAGCTGTGTCTTGGTGGTTGTATGATCAATTCTTGACTTTTCCTATTATGCACAGCTGCAAATTCACACAATGGACACGCTTGAAGCCCTACAGACTGTACTGGCTGTGTTTCACGCCAATAAAGATGTGCTGAAGGAACTTGCTGTTCGAGAACACTTCAATATACCTAAGTTACACCAACTGACTCACTATGTTGATTCAATCACCTTGTTAGGTGCAGCTGATGGCTTCAATACCGAGCTTCCCTGAACACTTGCATATCGACTTCACAAAGGATGCTTACTGTGCAAGCAACAAACGGGACTATGAAGAGCAAATGGCTTTGTGGCTGCAGCGGCAAGAAGCAGTGTTTTGTTTTTGTGTGGTGCGTACCTGCATTGGGTGTCACAACAACCTCTCTTTGCAGGTGGCACAGAGCATCATTTGTTTGGTCCTGACTCAGACTCAGACTCCAAGTCAGAAGACACAGACTCTCCCATCACCGCACCAAGCTCACAATTTGCCACTGCTGAACGAGTTCAAGTGACCCACATCCTTACAAAGGTTCTGGCACATCCTCACCAAACGGTTGCAAAAATTGTGACAGTGCATGGTGCTATCAATTTTCTCAGCCATTCTCCAAACTTTCCTTCACAAGAACCTCCCACACACCACCATTGTACCCTGCCTTCACAACTGTTTTGATGTTTATTGTCAAGTGGTCATCATAGCGCCACCTGATGAGTCAGCGATGTACCAAAGCAGTGGCACATTAGAGCCACGCCAGAAGTAGTTGTGTCAGGCCGGAAGCCTAGTTGCCCAGCTGGGTTTGACATGGTGCTGATATCAGACAGGCCTCGGTCATCTTGCAGACTCTTGATGGTAAGTTTTTTTTGGTTGCTCAAGGATCATATCTGACAGTGATCTCCTGCAGGTGTGCGAGTGGCTCAGGTTTGCACTATATTCTCTCTCCCTCGTCAATTTGGAACATACAGCAGAGCCCTTGCTTATATCGAGTGGTTCATGCCATTCAGACCTCCAGATCCCTCCTCTCAAATGCGACAAGTGTCACGCTCAACGCGCCAACTCCACTGCAATGCGGCTGTAATCCATATCGACGAAATAGTGCATCCATGTCATCTGATACCGAAGATGGGCCAGTCAGTGGATGTGAGGTTGAGAAGTGGAAACGCATGAGGTGGCAAGTGATTTTTATTTTAACGAGTTCATCGACAGTGAGATGTTTGGTGTGTCTGTCATAAGTAGTTTAGACACAGGCTAATATCACGCGAGTGCAACCTGTAGCTATCTGTAGTGAATCTTGACTTGGCGAACTCCTGTAGCCACATGTAACACAGCTTGACGCTATATAGTACTATAAATGTCTATGTAGTTTAAAGGGTGCCTATGGAGTGCTACAGTGTGCTACAGTGCCTACATAGTGCTATATATCTGTCACCAGGGCTATTATTTTCCTGATGAATGAACTTTCTGTTTCTACTTTCCGTCCTCATGTCCCAGCTCACGAGCGTCTTTGTCACTGGTTTGCACCTCATTCAGATTCCTTTCACAGTACTGTCCTCAATGAGCTTCCCCTCACTGATGTATTACAACTTTTTGACGTCATGCTCATGTCTGTTGAAATCAAGACACGCGAGAATTATGGAGCTGGACTCTTACATTTCCATCAGTTCTGCGATTCACATGGTATTGCAGAGAACATGCGCATGCCTGCATCCAATCACCTACTTGCAGCGTTTGTTGCATCTTGGGTGGGCAAGGTGGCATCTACAACAGCCCAGAACTGGCTCGCAGGTCTTCATTTCTGGCACAACCTTCATGGCGCTCCATGGTTCAGGTATGGACTCCTGTGTTCTGCAACAGCTGGTCTGGGGAAACTAGTACCCAATTCATCAAAACATCCATGCCATCCCCCTGTAACTTTAGACCAAATGCACACTCTCTTTTGTCATTTGGACCTCTCAAACGCCTTTGATGCAGCTGTTTTCGCTGTTGCCTCTGTTGCCTTTTGGTCCTGTTGCAGGTATGCCACAGTCATGCGATGTTGTGGATTGTTTGTTCTAACACTTGTAGGCTGGGTGAATGTTAAGGTCGTGCTCAAGGGGAAAGTTACTCAAAGGGCTTCGGCTTCAGCTCGTGTGCTGTGCCCCTTACCCGAGTACGTGCCCTTAATTTCCAAGGGGCAGAGGGGAAGTCCAACGGAAGTCCAGGGAAGTCCAGAGGTCAGATGTAGGAGACGTAGGGGGAGTTCGGCGGAACTCCGGAAGGCTAAGAACAAACAGAGTAAGGCTACTGCAGACAAGTCCGGAGTAGAAGCAGAACAGAGTTTAGACTACCCTAAGGTAGAGCCGGAGATTTAGTCCTAAGGTTTAACCCTAAGACTTGGAGGTAGACAAGAGTTTAGACTCAAGTCTGGAGACGCAGGAATGAGCAGAGCTAAGATGATATTCAAACTGAGGAGTTCCAGAGTTTTACAGGAGTTTATATACTGTAGGTATCATGTAAGTATTCAGTCAGCACAGTAAAAGCTATGTCCAAAGCATATGGAGGGTCTATTAGTAAGTGTACAACAGATCAAGGAAATGAGGTCGGAAATGAAGTGCAAACAGACAGATCAGTAAGCAAAGTGGAAAGGTGTACAACCGGTAGCCGGAGAGCAGTATTCTAAAAGGAGACAGGTGTAAGCCCGGAGATGAAAGCAGAGCGCCAGGCGGACAATAGGATGGGAACCCAGACTTTCATAGGGGAGAATCCGGACTTCCAGATCTGGAGGTATGGGAAATAGTGTCGGAGGAGTGGAATAGAGTTGGGTGGAGGTAGCAGGGCTAGTCCTGCTGAGACGCACTTCATGCATTGTCGGGGAAGGAGGGATGGAGCAGACAGGGAAACAGGGGGTCGGACTAGTGGTAGGGACGTTCACAGGTGGTATTGGAGGTGCTCAGATCCGGTATATGACAGTGAACTCATCCCCATTTCACACCTTTCATTTGATCCCACTAGACATGTTTTGCATTCCACAAGTTTTCGTCGTCACACCCTACCGAACAGGGTGCGGTATTCAGTCTTTCACATTCCTTGGACTAAAATGTCTCACGGCGAAGGCACTGACATTATCACTTCAAGAGTAGACAATTTCACCAACCCTGTAGCTGCTCTTGATCATCATCTCTCTGCCAACTCTCTTGTACCACTTTCAGCGCCCTTTTTCGCTTATGAGACTGCTTCCAGTGGATGGGCCACCATGTCTAAACCTTGGTTCTTGGCACGTTGTAACCACATCTGGAGGGATGCTGGCTTATTAGAACTAACAGGACATTGATTCTGTATCGGTGGCACCTCAGCTGCCTCTAGCACACCATCTAATTATAGTTCGTGCTCTCACATTAATTCCCTCGCGGGATTCCATGGTTACATATGTTTTCTATCATCTGAAAACAGTAATTTTTAGTACTACCTTCGAAAACATGACCCAAATTGGCAGTTCCAAGATATGAATGTTTTCTGGCTATGCCAAACTTCATCCTGCTCTTCCCTGTGTAATAGGCTTGTATATATCATGTGGCTTAGCTAGTATACACCCAATAGAACATATCTGAGAAGGCTTGACCACTTTTATCTACAACAGTCTTGAAGTGTTGCAGGTTGGGTTTGCAGGTATACATGCAAATTTCACATTTCTTGCATAGATGCACATTAGGCTATACAGTGGACCAGTGGTTCACACAAAATTTCGAGTTTTTGGTGTCTAGGCATATATACCACACTGTAACACTTCAAGACTGTTGTAAATGATATTTCTGAGGTCAGTCTATCATACCATGTGTGTATTATACCATAGGAGGTCTTGTGTAGTGCAGTATGACATGTTTTTATGTTTCAACCATATGTTTTACATACTTTCCCACGCATCTCCAACATATACTTTGCTTCCACAGCACTTAGATCAACGTCTGGAAGCTTCAGCTTATAGTACTAGCATTTTAGTACTATTTAATACATGCTTCAAGTCTCAGACCTCCGGCATATGTCTTATTCCTCTCCCAAAACATATGTCTCCTTAGATCACCCCTATCCCTGGTACAACAGATATCTAGCATATTGCGGCATAAGTACTGTATCAATGCATGGTATATATCATATAGAACATATAAATAAGCAAAGAGCCTCATGTACACTGTGTTGTAATACATAAAAACAACAAAAAGCGATTTTGTGTATTTTTCTGAGAGACTACTGTAGAACATATAAATACCCTGATACAGCGATGATATATGCTCAGATATATCTCAGGAACATTAATACAATATCTCTATGCCTGGGAACATCTTTTGGTTGTCATATGGTCGCATTTTTCACTGTTATTTTATTCTAATGACATTTGTCATCAGGTGATGCTCATGGGCTGTAAAAGTGGTCAAGCCTTCTCAGATATGTTCTATTGGGTGTATACTAGCTAAGCCACATGATATATACAAGCCTATTACACAGGGAAGAGCAGGGTGAAGTTTGGCATAGCCAGAAAACATTCATATCTTGGAACTGCCAATTTGGGTCATGTTTTCGAAGGTAGTACTAAAAATTACTGTTTTCAGGATGATAGAAAACATATGTAACCATGGAATCCCGCGAGGGAATTAATGCGAGAGCACGAACTATAATTAGATGGTGTGCTAGAGGCGGGAGGGTAATAACCCTACTCAATAACAGTTTATTTCACCAGTTTATTTGCTGCTCAAACGATAAGCGGTGGGAAATAAACTGACAGCGTTATTGAGTGGCAGTTTATTTGCCAGTTTATTTCATACGCGAAGTTGTCGGAGTGAACTGAGAGTGATTGTGATGCCGAGCAGCCGAAGTACGATTGATGAGGAGCAAAAGTATACCAGCATCGAGTATGAGTGACTACTGGAGCGAAGACGGACAACAGAAGCTCGCACTCGAGCTTGCTTCATGGGACCACATCTCTCTTCGGTCCTCGTCTACCGCACCTACCATTTCGTCTGTCCTGTCGACGGCGGTCCAAGGCCACCAATGCAAGTGAAACAGCAATGAGCTGATCCCCGGAGTCTTTCGCCTCAGCAAGAAGCACAACTGCGAGAGTTTCCAAGAGTTTCGTAGTAGATTCTCTCTCGCTGATCCGTTGATGCTGACGTCGACGTTGTTGTCGATGCACTGAGCTATCACGCGCCATGAGTGTTCGTTTGCAGAGTCTCTCGGCAAGTCGGTCGGCGGCTCCTATTTCACTCTCCGCAACACGAATGCACATCAAACCTTACTTGACAGTTTATTCCAGTTTATTTCGTCCTGCTCGCTCAAAAAAATAAACTGGCGAAATAAACTGTTATTGAGTAGGGTTAATAGAGGCACGCAGGGAGGTGCAGGAGGTCTGCGAGGGAATGTGAGAGCATGAACTATAATTAGATAGTGTGCTAGAGGCTATTCGGAGGGTTAATAGAGGCGCGCAGGGAGGTTGTAGGAGGCATGCAGGGAGGTGCAGGAGGCCCGCGAGGAAATGTGAGGGCATGAACTATAATTAGATGGCGGGAGGGTGGGTCTCAGAGACTAGTTTCTCATCACATAGAAACCGGGTCTCTTAGACCTTTATAGGCACCGAAAAGTGCTGCCTGAGGTGCCCTAGGGATCTGGTTGTTTGTATCCCGCAGATTGATTGTTCTTTTTATTTCGCTCGAAACTTTTCAGTCTCTGTGAATCTGTTCAGTCGCATCGCTTTTCAGGTGCGAATCACGTGACTGGGAATAATTCACTCAATTTTCTTCTCGCAGAGTACCATCAGTTTCGATGCCTTCGTCTCGTCGATGACATCTGCAGACACTAAATCCGGCTCACGCCGTCCGACACAACCAGAACCCCCTCCCCCAACTGACGAAAGCAGCATGAAGCTTGTCCGGGCGCTTGACGTGAACACTGGCCTAGCACTAAGTTTCTCCGAGCATAGATTCACCAAGCGCGTCGCGCGCGATATGATTCAGACAGAGTATCCCCGTGCTTGTGTCATTTCGCGCGCGTGACTCACTGTAAGATTCGGTCAACACATTCTATGCATGGATTGCTATGAATAAGCGTGCATCACGCACAAAACGACGGTTCACGCGAACACCGGGTCTGTGTCGTTTTGTGCGACTTTCTCATCATTTTAGTCGAACGAAATATCTAGTAAGCACCAGCTCGGTGACAATTGTGGCGATCTAGCCACTGGCAATTCAATTTTGCTGTCATCCTGTACGTAAATTGTCACTGCTTGCATACCCTCCAGCACCACAATTAGAAAGTGATGACAGGTAATACCCCAGGTCATGTTAGCAGTGATTCCCCAGGCTTTCAACGCCAACTCGTGACACCTCATGATTGGGTCGAGTGCAACTTGAGCTTGACTAGGCTGGGGTTCGTATAAAAAGGTATCTTCGTATGTCCTTCTGCTGCATTGTACATACCCACAGGCCTAGACATGTCGTCTTCTTGGCTACGTCCGAGACCACACCATTTTGTTAGGCTTACGCAGTCTGCTACTCGCTCGTTATGGCGGCCTGCTGCCATTGGTAATCGGTACATGTCCCAAGGTATCACGCGGGACTCCGTGACGAGCGAAGCTGTGACTGGGCTCGGTATTGAGGTACGGACAACAATTTTGAAAGTTTTCATTTTTTTATTGTAACTATCCATGAAGCCCTCCCGACTCACTGTCACCAGAACAACGAGCCCGAAGGAGCTTCCTCCCTCTAAAAACCTTACCTTCGGACAGACATTCGTGGGTCATCTTCTCATGTTTCTTGCGTGTTGCGCCTCATCGTGATCTCAGTCAGATCATATGCTGAGAATCCCTTGGAATGACGCTACTGGCTGGGGGGCACCCAGCATTCAACCTTGTGAGTCCCTCCGCTTTCGCCATATCATTTACAGACATACTCCCTCATGTATTCTAGTCGGCGATCTCAATTTGTCCCCTAGTACTACCATGATTCATTATGCCCAATCGTTGTTCGAGGGTATGAAAGCCTACATGCATGAGGATGGTACCGTAACGTTGTTCCGACCCGACATGAACATGAAACGTATGAACACCAGTGCACAGCGGCTATTGCTTCCCGTACGCTCCATTCTTCTCTCCCGAACAGGTGTTCAAACCTTCTCGCAGACATTCAACGGCAACGCGCTTATTGAATGCATAAAGGAGTTGATCACCCTTGACCGTAAATGGATACCTCAGGAACCCGGACACAGCCTTTACATCCGACCCACGCTAAGTGAGTGTTGTGACTCTTGCTGAGGACACAAATACTGAGGGCGACGACGCTGCAGTTGCCACGAATAGCGCGTTGGTTATTGCGCCCCCAAAGGAGGCACTACTTTTCGTGATCACCAGCCCTGTAGGACCATACTATCCTCACGGGTTCAAACCTGTGCCATTATATGGCACTACGGAATATATTCGTGCAGCGCCCGGAGGTTTGCATTGCTGCTCACTCCACTATCTGATATCGTAATCCGCCTGCAGGTATCGGTGCATATAAGCTTGGTGCGAACTATGGCCCCAGTGTCGTCGCACAAAACAAAGCAGCGAAGCAGGGGTACGCGCAGAACTTGTGGTTACATGGTCCCGAGCATTGGCTCACGGAGGCGGGCATCATGAACTTGTTTGTCGTTATCAAGGACAGGGATGGCTGTAAGCATTTACCCAGCCGTGATTCCATCGCATGTTAAATCCATCACCCTTGCAGTCAGCGAGCTCATCACGCCTCCTCTCGATGGAATGATTCTCCCAGGTGTCACCCGCGACTCTGTGCTAGCGCTTGCGCGTAACCACGTTTCTGGCGTTAAGCGCCTCCAAGGTCTTCCTGATGCCATCAAGGTCTCGGAGCGTCCCGTTGCCATGGGCGAGATCATTCAATCCTCACAGGAGGGTCGCCTTGTCGAGTTATTCGGCACCGGCACGGCGGCTGTTATAACTCCCGTCGAGAGGATCGGGTACAATGGATGTGATATCATGATCCCTACCGGTCATGACGGCATGGGTCCCGTCTCGAGGTCGCTTTGGACAGAGCTGGTGGGTATCCAGACGGGGGCTATTAAGAGTGACTGGAACTACGTGGTGGCGAATTAGTGCGGACACAAATCATACCTGGTATTTATATTTGTGCTTCCTGGAACCTATACATATTTCCCATTTTGTACAAAACCCGGAAGTATGCGTAGTCATTACAGTGAGGACACACATGTAAAATGATGATTGTCATCGGCCCTTTATAGACAGACCATTGACGAATGAAGATACTATTAGTTACCACTAAATCGTGCACACCACATCTCGTGCAATCACATGGAATTCGTAGGGCATTCTTTACTATTTCGAATAGAAGTAATAGTTTGGAGATTTGTAATAGAAAAAGTGGTTTTGAGGGTGCACTAGATGTGGGGATGCACGGACTGGTGGTCACTAATAGTATGTAGTCATTCCTTCTTCCTAATACTATCATCGGGAACTTACAAGGATGTCCGACGTAGGTGTACAACGACAATTTAAAAAAAAAAAAAAAAAAAAAAAAAGTATGGGGCTCTGTCCAAGTTACACGCCTTGCATTATGAAAAGCCTACTATCTGGAACGTTTGAGGGACGTGCTTTTGGCGTGAGTGTCACGGACAATATTCTCTTCTGACTTGGAAGAAGTGTACACATTACTTATCCACATATCTTTCCAGACACGGGTTGGACGAAAATATTTCGGCGATACCATGATAATTCTACGGGAATGAGATTACCCCAAGCCCATCGATAATCATCACTACAGACCTTGAATAGAATCCACGATGTCATCCAAAGCTCTTGTAGATTGTTTAGTTGCTGTACCAGTGATACCGAGTTTATAATATTTACCTGTGTTTTCCAGCTGATGGATCCTTCGGAGCTTGATTGTCTGGGTACCATCTACGGCATAACTCCTGGATGGCATAAGTTGTCAAATATCGTCATTGAAAGATATCGCACTTTGATTGATGACACATCTTGGGAAACTTGCATCGGCCGCTGTCTTCATGATGAAAGAGGAGATGGACTCACCAATAATCCTGCCATAACATCTAATGAACTCTTTGCATGCGTGAGAGGACGGATTGTTTACCGGTAATGAAGCCAGTCAATGACTTCTGGCATCTCCTCCACCAAAAATGATCGGTCTGCATGGACTGAGTTTCCGGCCAGAACAGCAGTCCGTTGTTGTGGTACCCATTTCTTGATATACTCCAAAACGGCTTTTGCAACGTACTCTCTCGTGTGAGGCGAAGTCTTACATGCTTGAGTTAGACCAGACTAAACGTTTATTTCGCTAAATGTTAAGTAAGTACACTCGGTTATACAATGACGACGAGCCTTTCCATGTTGCATTCTGCACCACTCATCCATACTGACCGTTCTCAGTATTCAGTGGTGTGCTGTATTACTATGGAAGGCTCACGAATTCAGAACAGTCTCGTCAGTCCTGATAACGAACTGGATACCTCGTTCATCGACGAGCTCCAGGTTACCATTTGTGATCAATACCTAGACGTAATCATGGATTTCAATAACTGCTAGCAGCGTTGATTATTCTGAAGTGCTCACTGCAATTTCCAAGATCTTATCCCTTCTAGGATCGAGTCCAGTCATTTCGCAGTCAATCCAAACCATGGGACCTGAGTCGAAATTGAGTGGCGTCTGGGGCGACATTATTCTAAGCGAGCGGAACTGGGGGTTTTGAAGAGAACTTGGTGAGAGACGTCGAAGTACTAGACGTGGCTGTGTTATTCGTCGAAGCATACAAATGTTGAACGCAAGTTGAGCGTTGAACGTTGAACAAGTAAATTCATGTAAATAATGTCAATATTGGCTTTTGTCCCTCACTGTGGTCACCACCGCCCAACTACTGCCCGACTCGACTCGATTCTTTTTGTACGTCAGAAGTGACTGGAATCGTACACTTAGCGCACAACTTGGTTAAAAATTGAACAACGGCATACAAGCCTGAGCCTCGGATCCTGCAACAAGTGACTTGCAACGTACATCACACACTTGTGATAACGAAGGCAATGCTTTATTCCGACTTTAGGCGACTAGTATATCTTGCGTCTGCGACCTCGCAATGTTGTTCTTTCAGATTTGGAATATTCATTATTCCCGGTAGACAAGGTCAGATATAGCATCGTATCAGCGCCCATCCTGATGCCTTCCTGATTTGACGTATGTATTGTTGTCTCCCAAGTGCCCATCATGTGCAACAAGCGTACATAACTAGGCTGATATATAGGCTCCGCGATTGCTATGGTCTCCATCACTTTGCCGTTTCCGCCCACTGCATTCTCCCGATGCCACTCGATCTCGCAGACATCACTGTGAATGTCCTGACAGGCAGAGTTATCAAGACGAAGCAAATCGCCAACGGACATTGCGCAGAGGTATGGAAGGGTACCTACACAATCGGAGGTCAACAAGTCATTGTACGCTGTGGTGATGGTAATCGATTCATGCATACAATGTATCTTACGCACACTCGTTGCAGGTAGCCGTGAAGGTTATGAGATCAACATTGTTTCTTGACAATCAAACTGCAGAGCAAACATTACGGGTAAATCATCTTACATCACAAGTCAAATTTTGTCATTCAATCAAATATTTCCAGCGGCTCCTGCGAGAAACAGGAGTATGGAGTACATGTATTCATCCTCACTTGGCCCCGTTTATAGGCATATATTATGAGATCGTGCGAGGGTACCGCGTCCCATGTTTGATATCTCCATTCTATGAGAACAAAACCATCATGCAATACCTGGAAAAAAATACAAACGTTGTGCGGATGGACTTGGTACACTTTTCACTTCACTGAACTTCGTACCGCGTTTACGATTGGCAGGGTAGCTTCGCCAATTTATTTCTGGATTGGCTTATTTGCATGGCCGAGCCATTGTTCATGGGGACCTCAAACCTGTCTGGCACACATTTTCTACATGCGGAATCGTAACTGACGTGACTCTCTTCGCAGACAAATATTCTCATCGACGACACAGGCAATGCCGTATTAGCGGACTTTGGACACTCGCGAGTCCTTGAGGCTTCTGGATTCACGACGAGCACATTGACCATAGCTGGCACGTTCCGCTACATGGCGCCCGAGTTGATGGTACCTGCGACCCCAGATATAACACCAACACCAACACTAGCATCAGACGTCTGGGCAGCAGGGATGACGGGCCTGGAGGTGCGTTCGCAGACCAAAATATTGTGACCCGGGCGCTGGATTTTGATTGTATGCTTAGATTCTCTCCAGTAAGATTCCATATGTGGAACTAAAAACGGACAGCCATCTAGTCGCAGCTATGGTGGCTAACAAATTACCCAACAAGGCACACTACCCTCTAGTTCGCCACGGTGCATGGTCAGCATTTGAGCATTGTTGGAAAAAGGACCCAAGTGAACGACCGGATGTGCAGCGATTGAATGATTACTTAGATCAGCAATATGGACATGAGTCAAAGAGGTCTACTAGAATTCGCGGTTGAATCTATAAATCTATAAAGTAATTCTATAAAGTAAGGGAGAACGGTATGGGGGAAACCGTGAGAGACGCGTATTCCGCGTATTCCGGCAGTTTCGGTTGCGTCGGTTGCGTCGGTTGTTTGAATCCCTTCTCCCTTGGAGCGCTGAAAAAGGGAATGCCATGTGGTTCTGTCAAGCGGAGTTTGAATTTTGCGCAAACCTTCGTCCGTTAGTATGTAAGGGTTGACTGATTTGGCAGGTGGCTCCAACAACAATGATGTATATGTACTGTAATTGTGTATAAATATAAATGTAGCCACAATAGGATATAGGATAGAAAAAGAACACCAAGCAAATAGAAAAATATGAAAAATGCGAAAATGCGAAAATGTGAAAGTGTGAAAATGCAAAAATGCAAAAATATAAAGATGGGAAAAATGGGCAATGGGTAAACATGGGAATGGGAAGATAGAGAATGGAGAAATGGGGTGAATAGGGAGATGGGAGGATGGGAGGATGACAGGGGGACGGGAGGACAATGAGAGGATGAGAGGATAAGAGGACAAGACTACAGGAGGACAAGATGATGGGAGGATAATGGGAGGACAATAGGAGGATGGGAGATGGGAGGACATGACAATGGGACACAGGACAATGGGACAATGGGACATGGGACAATGGGACATGGGACACAGGACACGGGACACGGGACATGGGACATGGGACACGGGACACGGGACACGGGACATGGGACATGGGACACGGGACACGGGACACGGGACACGGGACATGGGACACGGGACATGGGACACGGGACAAGATAATTGGGAGGAAGTGTATGAATCAATAGCATGACACAAACAGTTTGACTGAAGGTTACCTGGGACACTGGCTTGCATCCCGCTGGCCGAGGCACGAGGCCACGGGATCGCAAGCCAGTGTCCCAGGTAACCTTCAGTCAAACTGTTTGTGCAACATCTCATAACTAAAACAAAACTATATAATATTTTTTTAAATGTAAGATGTAAGAATTTACTTATTTCACACAAGTAAATAATATGTAGACACAGTGAGACAAGGCACCGAAGGTGCCTCCAGCAGAGCACGAAGTGCTCTGCTTGCTTCCTGTGCCGAAGGCACAACGGGCTTGGGCTAGTCTATAAAGTAAGGGAGAATGGTATGGGGGAAACCGTGAGAGACGCGTATTCCGCGTATTCCGGCAGTGTCGGTTGTTTTGGTTGCGTCGGTAAGGTCGCTGAAAAGAGGATCCCATGTGGTTCTGTCAAGCGGAGTTTGAATTTGCAAAAACCGTTGTCCCTTACTATACGAGCTCACTGTCCAAACGTGGGAATTTGTAAAAATTGAGCCACAATGGGATTGGCAAGTGCTCACTGGCCCTCCATTTTGCACAACAACAATGAATTTTATATGTACTGCAACTGTGAATACATAATAAATAGTAAAAATTGAAGGACAACAAGGGATTTTGGGATTTTTGTGGGGAAAAGAGAAAAGAGAACACCAAGCAAGTAGAAAAATGTGAAAAATGCAAAATGCAAAAATGTGAAAATGCAAAATTGCGAAAATATAAAGATGGGAAAATTTGGCAATGGGTAAACAGAGGAATGGGAAGATGGAGAATGGAGAAATGGGGTGAATAGGAAGATGGGAGGATGGGAGGACAAGAGGAGGACAAGGGGACACAATGGGAGGATGAGAGGGCTACAGGAGGATAAGAGGATGGGAGGACAAGAGGAGGACAGGACAATGGGACATGGGACAATGGGACACGGGAGAACAGGACAACAGGACACAGGACATGGGACATGGGACACGGGAGAACGGGAGAACAGGACACGGGACATGGGACACAGGACAATGGGACACGGGAGAACAGGACAACGGGACATGGGACACAGGACAATGGGACACGGGACAACGAGACACGGGACATGGGACAATGGGACAACAGGACACGGGACAACAAGACATGGGACAATGGGACATGGGACAAGATAATTGGGAGGAAGTGTATGAGTCAATAGCATGACACAAACAGTTTGACTGAAGGTTACCTGGGACACTAGCTTGCATCCCGCTGGCCGAGGCACGAGGCCACGGGATCGCAAGCCAGTGTCCCAGGTAACCTTCAGTCAAACTGTTTGTGCAACATCCCATAACTAAAACAAAACTATATAATATTTTTAAAATGTAAGATGTAAGAAATGATTGATTTCACACAACTAAATAATATGTAGACACAAAGTGCAGACTCAGTGACAGACAGGGAATATGAATACATCCCTCAAGAGTTCCTTCACACTCTCAACCCATCAGGGTTCCCTCTGCACAGACTGGAGGTGAAGAAAGGAGTGCCTCTGATGCTCCTGCACAACTTGGACCCCACACAGGGACTGTATAATGGGACTCGGATGATCCTGGTGGATTGGAACACAAGAATTCTCAAGTGTCAAATTCTCAAAGAGGGCAACAATCAAGTGGATGGTCAAGATCAAGACACTGTGCTGATTCCTCAGATGAATATGGAGGCCAGTGATGATGAGAACCCCATTCCTCTGAAGCATCGACAATTCCCTGTGCGACTTGCATTTGCAATGACTATCAACAAGGCTCAAGGTCAGAGTGTCAAGTGGGTTGGTCTAAATTTGAGGACACCTGTGTTCAGTCATGGACAGCTGTATGTGGGTTTGTCTCGGTGCACTCACCCATCAAGAGTATTTGTGGTTTTCCCTGAAGATGAAGAAGAGAGAAAGACAAGCAATATAGTATACACAGAGGTGGTTAGAAGACTGATTGAAGATTGATGTACAATAGATTGTATAAATGTGTATTTGTATATGACAAAGATTTATTTATTGAAATTGTATTGAGGACTATGTTGAAATGATAAAGACTGGAGGGGCCAACGGCCCCTCCAGCAGAGCACGAAGTGCTCTGCTTGCTTCCTGTGCCGAAGGCACAACGGGCTTGGACTCGTCTATAAAGTAAGGGAGAACGGTATGGGGGAAGGGGTGGGACGATTTGGGCATTTCCGCGTAGCGCACATGGTGTCGGTAGGCCTCGCCAGCGTCAGCTGGCGAAGGTTAGATACGGTTATTTCGCTAAGGTGGCTGAAAAAAGCATCCCACGTGGTTCTGTCAACCGGAGTTTGAATTTCCGAAAACCATTGTCCCCTACTATACGAGCTCGCTGTCCAAAATTGGGAATTTGTAAAAATTGAGCCACAATGGGATACACCAAGCAAATAGAAAAATGCGAAAATGCGAAAATGAAAAATGGGATTGGCAGGTGCTCACTGGCCCTCCATTTTGCACAACAACAATGATTTTATGTGTACTGTAACTGTGATACATGATGATAAATAGTAAAAATTGAAGGACAAAGGGATTTTGGGATTTTTTTGGGGAAAAGAGAAAAGAGAATACCAAGCCAGTAGAAAAATGTGAAAAATGCGAAAATATAAAAATGGCAAAAATTGGCAATGGGTAAACAGGAGAATGGAAAGATGGAGAATGGAGAAATGGTAGGCAACAGCAGGACTGGAGAACAATGGGAGAATGTGGGGAGAATGGGAGGATGAGAGGACAGGACAACAGGAGGACAACAGGATGGGAGGACAACAGGAGGACAATGGGAGGATGGGAGATGGGAGGACAGGACAACAGGACATGGGACAATGGACATGGGACATGGGACATGGAACAATGGAACATGGAACAACGGGACACGGGACACGGGACACAGGACACAGGACATGGGACAATAGGACATGGGACAATGGGACAGTGGGACATGGGACAATGGGACATGGGACAACAGGACAACAGGACAACAGGACAATGGGACACAGGACAACGGGACAAACAACAGGACAACAGGACAACAGGACAGTGGGACAGTGGGACACAGAACCATGGGACATGGGACACAGGACACGGGACACAGGACATGGGAGATAGGAAATCAAATAATTGGGAGGAAGTGTATGAGTCAATAGCATGATACAAACAGTTTGACTGAAGGTTACCTGGGACACTGGCTTGCATCCCGCTGGCCGAGGCACGAGGCCACGGGATTGCAAGCCAGTGTCCCAGGTAACCTTCAGTCAAACTGTTTGTGCAACATCCCATAACTAAAACAAAACTATATAATATTTTTAAAATGTAAGATGTAAGAATTTATTTATTTCACACAAGTAAATAATATGTAGACACAGTGAGACAAGGCACCAAAGGTGCCTCCAGCAGAGCACGAAGTGCTCTGCTTGCTTCCTGTGCCGAAGGCACAACGGGCTTGGACTCGTCTATAAAGTAAGGGAGAAGGGTGTGGGAACGTCTCTAAAAAGCAAGGGAGAAGGGTGTGGGAACGCAGCCACCCACACATGGATGCCACGTTTCGTCGCATGGATGCCATGTTTTTTCGCTAAGGTCGCTGAAAAGAGCGATGCCATGTGGTTCTGTCAAGCGGAGTTTCAATTTCCGAAAACCGTCGTCCGTTACTATACCGTCCGAATTGGGTCATATGTACATTTCGCTCGATTTGGCAATCTCACGTGGTTTTTTTTTCAGCACCGACTGCACCAGACGCGACGCAACGCAACGCAACACAACACTGCTCTACCATTCCAGCAGCTCCCAATCACCTGCCGTCGCTTCTGATCACCTGCCATCACCTCTCACCATCAGCTATTAAATCCTGCTGCCTCTCAGTGCCCTCAACACTTCACCATGGCCATTTCCAGCACTTCCCCAGCACCTGATACTGGCTCGGACGCGTTTTTGGCCGCGTCACGTGACGCGGAGCTCCCTGTCACACCGGGTCACGTCACCATGTGAGTTTTTCGGTGTCTGTTTTTGTCTGATCACACAATTTACAGCAGCTATTCCCAGTGCTTCCTCAGCACCTGATGCTGGCTCGGGCGCATTATCACGTGACACTCCGGTCATGCTGGGTCATGTCACGAGGTGAGTTTTTCTCTCTCTCTCTCTTTGTCTGATTGTGTATTTATGGTAGCTACAAGGCAGGAGCCCAGACCTACTGTCGACTGGAATGCCAGGCTTCTGCAGGGCTTTGATGCAAGTTTTGCTGCCCGCCTGCAGCAACGTCATCAGCCAGCCTGTCAACATGCTGGCCCCACCTCCCACCTCCACAACTCCTTCAGTACCCCCTCCTTCTGAGTTGTCGGCACCTGCTGTGACTGACTGGTCTGCTGAACTCTGTCGCCGCTGGTCCGAGAGTCACATCACGCGTCTTGAACGGAGACGACTCAACAACCCGTATGCTAAGGTCACCACTTGGCAAGAGAATTGCAATGCTATGGATCAGACAATCCATGACCTCCGACGATATAACGTGAAGTTGGCAAAGAACATCATGTGGTGGGAAGAGCAACATGAGCAAGACCTCAAGAATGATGATAGGGATGTGGATACCTTCTGCTCTCAGTTGGAGGAGGCACGTAAGCATCGAAAGCATCGCAGGGTGGTGGATGCTTGGCGAAAGCACCTCTTTGAGCAAAAGAAGGGAAAAAGTCGGGAGGAGCGTCGGCATTTGGATGAGCTACGCAGGGAGGGCCCTCCACCTGGCTGGGAGCCTTCTGAATAGTTTTTTGTGTTAGAGTTGTTCCTATAATATGATTTGATTTCTGATTGGATGGGAGTGATGTATGAAATGGGTGATGTGACATTATTGGAGCGGTGGGAGGATGGGAGGATGGGAAATGAGAGATGGGAGATGGGAGACGGGAGACGGGAGATGGGAGATGGGACACGGGAGACAGGAGACAGGAGACGGGACACGGGAGATGGGACACGGGACACGGGACACGGGACACGGGACACGGGACATGGGACACGGGACACGGGACACGGGACACGGGACACGGGACACGGGACACGGGACACGGGACATGGGACACAGGACATGGGACACAGGACAAGATAATTGGGAGGAAGTGTATGAGTCAATAGCATGACACAAACAGTTTGACTGAAGGTTACCTGGGACACAGGCTTGCGATCCCGTGGCCTCGTGCCTCGGCCAGCGGGATGCAAGCCAGTGTCCCAGGTAACCTTCAGTCAAACTGTTTGTGCAACATCTCATAATAACTAAAACAAAACTATATAATGTAAGATGGAAGAAATTCTTGATTTGTTATAATTAAATAATATGTAGATACATTGAGGCAAGGCACCTTTGGTGCCTCCAGCAGAGTGCAAAGCACTCTGCTTGCTTCCTGTGCTGAAGGCACAACGGGCTTGGACTCATCATAATATTATGGGAGACCGGTTTTGTGGCTGTGTGTGGGAGACGCGTAGCTCGCTAAAGGCCACATGGGAATGCTTAGCTCGCTTAACCTCGATTTAGAAATTTCGCGTGGTTCTGTCAATCGGAGTTTCAATTTCAAAAAACCGTTCTCCCTTACTATACGACCTCACTGTCCAAAATTGGTTAAGCCACAACAAGGGGAGGAACACCAAGCAAATAGAAAAATGTGAAAAATGCGAAAAATGCGAAAATATAAAGATAGGAAAAATGGGCAATGGGTAAACATGGGAATGGGAAGGTGGAGAATGGAGAAATGGGAGGAGGAGGACAGGAGGATGGGAGAATGGGAGAACAGGAGAACGGGAGAACGGGAGATAGGAAAGCAGAAAATAGGACAGAGACACGGGAGAATTTTTTGGGAAGGGCAAGACTGAAGTTTACCTGGGACACTGGCTTGCATCCCGCTGGCCGAGGTACGAGGCCACGGGATTGCAAGCCAGTGTCCCAGGTAAACTTCAGTCTTGCCCTTCCCAAAAAATTCTCCCGTGTCCTCTGTCCTCAGAACTAAAATAAAAGTATATAGTATTTTGTAAATGTAATATGTAGACATGTGCCGAAGGCACAACGGGTGTGGGCTAGTACATAAATGTTTGTCTTGTGGTACGTCTAGACTGTGCATATGCACTACATTAATATTGGTACGCGTGCACGTAATCGTGTTACGTCAACACGTCAAACTTTTGATGGAAAGACCCTGATGACTAGCTACTCTTCCGAATCGCTCTTGCTTTGATCCTTCAACGAGCTTGCGTGTGTCGGTTTAAATAAAGTACTTTCATTATGGGTAGAGAATCAGACGATGCAATCCCTCAAGAATATCCATACCTTTGGTCCAAGGAGTCAAGCATAGCTTTACCAGACTTTTTGACGAAGGTAAGATCACGGCAATGACTGTCAAGCTCTTGTTGTCTTATAACGCGTACATGTGTTCTGCCAGTATAAACCATCCATGGTCCAGAACGACGGCACAAAACCGGTGAGCTTGCCTACTGTAATCTTTTACTCACTTTATGTAACCTGGTGTTCATGAAGTGGATATGGGTTGAGGGAACCAAACCAAGCCCGGATACACCTAGTGCAGCAGCTGCCATCAGCGAAGCTGCAGCACTGCGTACGTTGCATCGATAGAGTACTCCGGCTCACTGACAAACTCTACTTTAGTGAAGGAAGTGTCGCAGAGAGTTGAAGACATTAAGGCAGGTAATCAGTCTTATTTAATGTTCCTTGTATAACTGTATTGCAGAATGATGATTCAATCCCTATGCGCTCCAGCAAAAAGACAGGAGCGAAGAGCAAGAAGGAAGTTCGTGAGAAGGTAGTTCATTTTTCGTAGTCAAGACATGTGTGCTCAAAGGTTTCATAGGTACAAGCAGATGCTACCGAGAAACTGAAGGAAATATCCATCAAGCACAACTATGTTTGCGGAAAGTGGTCAGTATCCCTAATTTATGCCTTGTCAGCGACCGGAAATGATTTGTGAACAGGTTGATATTCGCTTCTGCAGACAAAGTGGACGCAATATGGTCCAAAATTGCTAGTAAGCTAGACTTTCTTTTGATAACAACCTCTCGCTAAGTCCTCCAAGCATCTCTTGCCTCTGGCGTTCTTGCGTCGACCTGCGCATTTCTGACGAAAGTAGCCACATCACCAGCGAACGAGACACCAAATCATCAACACGTCATCTGTCTCTATGTTCCAGATGTTTGCGACAAAGCTGCTGTCACGGATGTTTGTGTCGTTACTTTTATGCTAATTTTCGAGTGTTGACTCTTGAATCTCCGAGCAGGTAATGAAAGTTCTCTTGAGATACCACGGCGTCAATCTCAGTGGCGTAAAATCGGATCTATACACAGGATTAGGCAAGCGTCAAAATGAGTTGTTGAAACCACTTGACAATGATTTCGTGTTCAGGTCTCGATAGCAAACACTCAAGCGGAATTCCATCAACAGTATGTCTCGTACAACTTGAAGATGATACATGTCTGAGAATTGGATCAGGTTTGGAAAAATACTGCACTGCTCGCAGATTCTGAGATCAAGGCAAGTGTTTAGCCACGACGAGCTTATGCAACCGTTGCTTACTCGCCTCCCGTGCAGGACCTCAAAGATGCCTATTTCTCGGAGCTGAATGTTGCTTCAACTCCTGCAGCGAAATCGGAAGAAAAGAAAGGGAAGTCTCTCGCCGATACAAAGAAAAAACCCATTCCCAAGAAGAAAGTCCAAGAAGACGATCCCTTCGCATCTGAGGATGAGGCTGATGCTCAAGAAGCGGAACGGAAGCAAAATGTTCAAGCAAAGACGAAATCGGCAAAGAGATCCCAATCAAGCGTTATGGATGCGGACGCAGACGAGAGTGACAAGCCGAAAACGAAGAAGAAGAAGAGTACACGGTGACTGTTTCAAATATTGTGGTTATTTCTTCCTTTTTGTGGTCCCGTGTTGACTCGACTTGTGTATACTATTTGTCGCTCCCAATGTTTCTTCGAACCAGTTCGAACCGCAGACTGTCATTGCATGCATCAAGTGTCAGCCCACGGGTATTTCCGTCGCGGTCTCCCGTGACGACAATCAGGGTGCGCCCTCGAAACTGTGCTGTACTTGTTCCGCGTTAACTCTCCACGTGTACGGAGTAGATACGGCTCATGCACCATGCAGCGAGCTTTATATGAACATCAGTTACGGCATGACTCATCTGCATGCTAGAGCGAACACAGCGAATCGCGATCAAGCCTTCAAATTTATTCCAACAGGAGCCGACGGACTCGCCTTGGACGCCATCGGTGCTGCTTATCGCTGAGAATTCTATCATCATCCTAGGGTAGCTGTCGGATCCTGAATGAGAGAATTTCTAAAGCCAGATCCACGAATTGTCCTCGATGATCTCGAGGCATTCAGATCTTCCATGCTCTATCAATCACGATGGACATCAGAAGCCTTCATATCCGCTTCGAGATCAATCTGTACGTCTCTTCATCCCTGCCCCCGCACACGTCAAGAGCATATATTCTGCCCTATTTTGGCACATCTTCCCTCCGGGCCACACTTCCACTTTACCTTTCACCTAAACCTACAACTACATGTGGAACTCTTGGAGCTCCCAGCACGATTCCAGGCTTGAGCAGAGAAGAATTTGCGGCCTGCTCAACAAACTGAACGTGACAAACTTCGACTCTGTCGCTACTAAGCTGATCGAGCGTCTTGCAAATTGTAGACGGCGCGGCGGCATAGAGACCATCGAAGCCTTTGCTGGTTCAATTACACTACGTGCAGTTGAGGACCCCCAACGTTCCTCCCTCTATGCCTATCTATGCCGAAGAGTTGACAGAGAGCTTGAGATGGAGGACAGGCGGTGGACATGGCTCAACGATGGCACACGCCAATCATCGCACCCGTCATTCGCCAGTATTCTCGTTGGCATTTGTGAATGTAGATTCACCCAAGCCCTTGATGAGCGGACAGCACAGCTGCTCCCCTTGATTGAATTCATAGGGGATTTATTACTGGATGGTGTTTTGCCCATCGCCGACATTCAAGACCTGGTGGACCAGCTCTTCACCCTGGCGGAACAAGGTCAGGAGGACAGTGCCATCGCACTGAGTAGGCTCTGCCGCAGAGTTGTTCGAGAATCAGAAGGAGTGAACATTCTGGAGCAATTAGGTGCTTCGGGAAGCATTGAGAGAGTGCTGGAGGAAGATATCATCACGCCAAAAGCTCGGTACCTTCTGATGGTGAGTTGTCGGATAATGCTGTCGATTCGCTCGCTCATATTTTCTTTCAAGGCTGTGGTGGACTTGTTCCACCAGGAGCCTGTAGATGTGTTTGATTCGGCTGGGCTTAGAAACGAGATTTACAATCTTGGTAACGACGAGCAGGAGGTCTCATCAGAACTCGATTCGGCGCCAACAGATGTTGGTGATTCACTTCCTTCGGAGACAACTGCCTGTGAGTCGGATGACCAAGCCGAGGTTTCCAAGGTGGACGAGAAGCAGTGAGAAGATGGTGGTCATGACTCATCCCGCATTCATTCCACCCCTCAAGGTCATTGAACGGCTTTGGACATCAGATTGAACGGAGATACTACAGATACAAATGAAGATGGATATGTGGCGAGGAAAAAATGACACAAACATAAAGATACCGAAATGCTTTCATTCAGTGGGAACCTGCTTCTGTCTCTTGGCTTGCGAGTCTTGTTCTTCATCTGCTACACGAGGCCGCTTTTTCCCTTTGCTCTTTTTCGTCTTGCGACGACCCTTGCCTAATCCATCTGCCCCACTATCAGAGTCATCTACATCCTCTGGATGAGGCTTGTATGTAGCTGAGTCTGCACCTTGACGTTTGCTCCGCTTCCGTTTCAGGATGTGGGTCGATAGCTGCGAACCTTTCGATGGATCTTGAGGAAAATTAGTATCCCCTTCTATGTCTGCACGTATTCCTTCATCGGAAACGGATTCCTTCCGTCGACGTTTTAGTTCGGGAGGACTGCCTTCTTCATCGGACGGCTCTTCACCTGACGCTGAGAATAGAGAAGATGTGTACTTGTACAGCTGCGCCTCAGACCAGGACGATCCAAACGACGTCGCGATTGATCCTGTGGTGGAGACGGGTGGCCGCGAGATCGATGTCACCGGTGAACGGCGCGACGCCACTGAAACTTGTGGCGAGTTGACGGCACTCTGCGACATGGATGTGCCAAGCTTCGACCCTGCGGTTGATTTTCGACCCTTCTTCTTGTATTGTGCTTCCTCCCCGGGTTGGAGCAGATAGAACACCTCATTTTCTCGAATCAGGTCCACTCCGACTAGTTGCCGCAAAATGCCGACGAGATACGGATTGAAGTCCAAGGCTTCGATATTGCCCACCAAGCGAGGGTAATCCTCATAAGTTGCGGGACCATGATCCTGTATCTCCTCTTCGTCCATCAACTCCTTGTCACTAAGAGAGCAACCGGGCACCACAAAATATACTCTTGGCCCGCCTTCCTCTTTAGGTAAACTGACTTTATGGAATCGACAGTTAGAGCGAGTGACAGGTGAACTTGTAGATGCTGCAAGACGCTGAACGTTGGAAGAGGGAGCACGGGTCACAGCTGAAACTGAAGAAAGATCAATTTGGCCGACGTGGTCATGGGAAGGCTCCGGGGATGCCGTCTTGACATCGTGAGTCCGAACTGGCACAGGAGGTGGAGGTGGCGGTCGATGGGTGTGATGCATAGCACCATGTGCATGGAAGAGCGGCGGTGGAATTGGAGAGTGTTGAATCGAAGAGGAATCACTTGGAGCGGTGGAGATGATAGATGACGCCCGTGACCCGTGAGCGCTGGTTAATTGGAGGATCTTGGCAGCGGTGCTAGTGCCAGAGCTTACTGATCCATGATCGCTACCACTATCTTTAACGTCGAGGAGCTTCCGCTTCCGGCCGCGAGCAGGCACACTCTGCTCTGCTTTGTGATTCCCCCGAGATTTCTTACGTCCATCTGAGACCCTGCTTGACATCGAACGAGTGAGACGATTCGAAGGTTGTACTGATGACGTTCTTTTCCGCTTCGAAGGCTTTGTTTGAGATTCTTGGTCCTCAGCATCTCCAGACCTTTCAGGTTCATGAACATCAAGAGACTCGTGCGCAGTGTCCGGGACATTAGTGAAGTGTTCCCTGTGAATCCGATGAGTAAAAATCGGATATTCGCAGATAATGGCGCACAATCCACTTTTGGAAACAGCGTCTTCCTGATTGTCGTCTTGGCCTTCTTCAGGAACGGATACCGGTGGTACCTGACCGTTAAATGCCACTGATTGGAAGGGATCTTGTTCTGACAGAGGACTCAGTAAGGGGGAGGAGTCCACGAGTCTGAGGACGTCTGTGGGAAGAGCTTCAGCTGATGCTACTAGAGCTTCTTCGGGGTGAGCATCATCTAATAGAGCCCCTTGAATTACTGCTGTCGGCGCGGTGCTTCCGACCGTCTCCTCAACTTCCTCAGATTCTAGCGAATCTACTGTGGTGTCCTCCACTACTGAATGGTGTCCAGTGTCATGGTTTGTTGGTGGTTGATCGCTTTTGGTCACCGCATCATCATCATCGGCAGACAAAGGATGGGATACATCAAGCTGCGTAGCTTCCGCAAGCTCAGAAATACCATCTTCTTGGTCACCAGTGGATGTTTCGGCTGAACTTGGTTCGGTGACTACGACGTTTTCGGAGGCATAGATCATGGCTGTGTCAATTTCAGCTTGCGACTCTTCGGCTAGGGCATTCGCGACGGAGGCTAAAACATCATCAAAGGATGGGAGCGGTGTGCCAAAGACGTCACTTGTATCCACACTAGTCGACTCGCCACTAGGCGTGAAAAGACCACTTGGACCGCTGCTGCCTTCGGATGGCGACACCCGACGAGAGAAGGCATGCAACATTGACGTAGAGACCGAAACTGAGACTGGCGTGGGTTGGCCTGGTGTAGAGTGCGGGCTAATGATGATGTGAGGGGTGCTTGGGAGTTTGATCAAACGTGGAGGAGTCTGTTGCGGATGCTTGGTCCCAGAAGAAACGATAGGGTCAGATACAGAAGGATCACAAAATATGGGCATTGGGAAGGTCGAGGCATTGTGATTATCAGATGAGGATAATTCCGCAGAAGCAGACTTTGGCGTTACAGGAACAGTCTCCACCAGTACGTCGACTGGGACAGCGACCTCTAGCTCTGGCTCCTGTAGAATATACGAAGTTTAGATGACGAAAGGCATTTCGAGGTTAGACCCACCATCGAGGCTTCTGCAGTAAGAGGTTCCTCAACTACATATTCACCATCGAGATCAGGCACTTCCCCAGCGAAAGATGCTACTTCAATCCCTTCGCTCACCCCACGAGAAATAGGGGGAGTAGTTTCCCTCTCCACAACAATGCAAATGGGCTCGGCGTCAGGTTTATCAGATTGTTCCTCAGGAGAGTCACCGAATGCGGAAGTAGGCGCAGCAGAAGAAAGGGGAGACTGTTCGACACTCTCCGAGGCTATATTCTCATATTGATTTTGAGTTTCCGTGGCAGGGGTCAGTTCGATTGAGGTAAATGATTCTGTCGTAGCACCTGGGTGCTGCGACTGTAGTCCCGTATCCCCAGGCTCCAATGCCACCATTGGCGCTGTAATGTCGCCTGTTGCAGCAGCACTCAGTGAGGAGATTTGCGGTTGATCTGTAAAGTCACCCACCAACTTCCTCAACGCCTTGAGACGTCACATCTCCACCAATAAACTCAGCAGCGACCATGCCGCTAATGTCAGCCAGTGTAATCTCGATTTGTTCGGTCACGTTTGCCGGGGATTCCTCCCCGCAATTGAGAAGATCAAAGAAATTATCCACCGCGGCACGTTCATCAGCATTCAGCTGAGTTTCCAAAGAAAGCGGGTATTGACCGGCTTCCGGGGCCTGGATATCATCTTCCTCGACAACTTCCTCGCCCAGTCCGTCCCGGTCGTTGCTCTGTTCATCCTGTCCCCGCTGATGAACCTCGTCATTATACCCAAGATCGCTCGTTCCTAGTGGAATAGGACCTTCCGGGGCTTCCTCACTTCCATCTTCTTCCTCCGCGTCGACATCAATGACGTCATCGAGCACCTCTTCAATGTCGTCGAACCCCGCGCTTGGAGAAGAAGTTTCGAGACATCCAGCGCGGTTAGCAAACTTCCCATGAGGGAACGCGGGAGGCCAATTCCAGTCAAGGTGTTCAATTGGTTTGGGGTAGGCCTGGAGAGCAGACATTGAACCGCTATGGAATCCATTAAATGAAGATGCGAATATCACTGAATGAGAAAGTTTTTAGTATAAATATGATATGAAATATGGTGCATGTACAAACTTTGCTGCTCATCTTGAGACATGTTGTCCGCGTCTCGATATAAATGGTCAATAATATTTTCAGGCTCTTCATGCTCTTCGTGAGTTCCCCGCACATTGGAGAGCTGGTAATCATCCACACGACTACAACTGGAGCGCACCTCGACAGGGGAGGACGGAGGGGGGCTCGAATCAGGCAGTGCCTCGTCGGCCACGTCCACATTGACTACAGCGGGTTCTGTCTTAAACGCCCCAGAAGGAGACTCGCCATCCTGTAGCGTATATGTATCAACGTGTGCGTCATGCACGGGGGTGAGACTAGACGGGGAGACGCCGTTCAGCTGATCTTGTGCACTAAAATCGCCGCCAGCGTAGAAGTCCTCTGCGTATGTCTGTGGGCCCTGCCATGGATCAGGAAGATCCAGAGGGAGAGATGGTTGACGCTGCGTATTAGATGGAGGGAAATCTTGATTAAAAAGGTCGATTAGCGCATGGTGGATGTTTGGTATAGCATGGACTACCTTCGACTGCTGCGTCAAGTTGGTCTTCCTGTTCATCCACGACGGCACCATTAGGACGTAGTTGATCTTCTACCTCATCAGGAGGTAATTGAGGAGGTCGGGCATGCTGTCCGACACCGTATCGTGTTTCGTGTACAGAAGCCCGAGTACCTTCTTCCTCATCCGAGCCAATCTCAATAATGTCCGGACTCTCCTCCCTAGAAAACATTTCCTCCACCTCATCTTTCTCGACTGGGGATTCGATAGGGCAGGGGCGGTCATTTACGGTCCAATGCCCAGCTTGGTCATGACCGTCATAAACCTCACTTCCCTCATCAGCATCGAAGCCCTCTACTTCCCTATCAAAGTACTCTTCATATTCTTCCTCACTCTCAGAACCTGACTCTGAGTCGGAAAGCAATTCAATCGGATTCTGCTGAGCACCAAGACCAGGGCCCTCTCGCGGGTCTTTGGCCTTTCCTTTGGCGCGTCTGCTCTGGATATCAGCAAACGAATCCTCGAAGGACTGATCTTGGAATGTTTCCTCGGCAGCGGCATTAACATCCATTGGCTGATATTCGTCAAGGGCAGCATCCTCCTCAGTCTCCTCACCGAGTGCTCTGCGCAGAGCGCTCGTAATCCCACCAATCCATTCGTCAAACTCTGGTTTGGTGAATTTATCGTACGGGTTGTGAATAGGCCGTCTCAGCGACTTGGGATTGGTCGAGGCGGGCGTAGTGTGTGGTGCGTGTAGGATAGGAAACTGGCGAGCGCCAGCTAGTCGACATTATTGTGGGTCACTGTGAAAACGACCGACTCGCGAGACAGAAATTGACTACTTCAATATTTGTGAAATGAAAAGACGAAGAGGAACGCGTCTTGTCACGAGCAAAGGATGAAACAACACGAAACAACATGGAGCGTGGCATTTTGAACTCAGCGACACTTTCACTCTACATTGAGCTAACATTGAATATCGACCACCAACCTGAGAGCCGTACAAGAAATGGTGAGCATGATAATGAACGATTGGGATGTTGAAGAGTTCTTATGTGAGTCATAACAGTCTCAGTAATGTGATTCACGGGCCGGGTCAGTTATATTTCAACATTGCACATCGGATAGAGCAGCAGCTCGCTCGCAGCATGTGTAAAGTGTTCGAACACGTGCACTTGCACGGTGCACACATTAATATTGCGACTATTATTCTCGCACACCGCATGAAAAATGATTAGGTGCTCATGGTACCCGAGGATGTGGATGACATCAGCTCCGCGGTCGGGAGATCTGTTGAACGGAGGCCGACAATGTTTTATAGACCGGTAACTCAGTCTCCGTTCCGAGCTACCGAAGCTGAGGAAGAATCCCGCATGAGAACTTATTCAATCGAAAGTTGGGTGCGCACAGCAGTGCGTACTATGTTAGTAGAACAAATACAGCAATCCATCGACGATCCAGTGGCTATGGGATAAGTCGAAGTGTCCTCACAAAGCCGGGGCCGAGCAAATAGATACCAAGTAAGTAAGTATTTGTGGCCTGAGTTGTCGAAAAAGTAAACCCTCAGGGTTCGCATGCTCGACGCAGCGCGAGAATAGGTTCTGATTAGATTGGATTGAATCTCCCGGGATGCGATCTTGAATCAAAACTGAGCGCTAATCATTAATCGTCCGATAAGGTCGATTTGCTCCTCGCTGGCAGTACTTAGTAGCTGGGAAGACCTTTGAGTTGCGAGTTGTGAGTGTGCTGACTCAGTGATCAGACACCCGTCCTTGGGCGCGGAGAGTAAACTGGGTCCAAACTCACGCGCGCTGCGCACAGGCAAATACTTAACCCCCGGATAGCGCTCAGGCGTTTTGGGCCTAGCCTACGACGGTAAACACGATTTGAATTCACTCGAAAAACTGTGCATGCCCACACCCGTGAAACTGGGATCAAGGAGGGGCAGCAAGGTGTGGGATTATAAGCTTCAGAAAGGAGGTTATGGTTGCGCGAGAGCGATGTGTAAACATAGGGTGACATGAGGGGAACGAGGAATCTGAGGTAAAATATCACTATGCAAGACTGATAAAAAAAGAGTATAAATGCTTGCATGTGCTCCAGGACAACTGCAAGCGTAGCCCCATGGACTTGGCATCTGAAAGAGAAACGGAACATTAGGCTCAGATAGTGGTCAGACACCAGTAGGTTAGCAACGCCGATTGGATATAATAACGAACAAGACATCATGGCACCAAGGCAAGATTCTTGCAAGTACCTATGTAGCCTTTTCACTCAATCCCACAGATAAGGGCTGGAGGGGCTGATGTACTTAATTCGACATTCTGGATGCAATTACAGCTGACTAGATTGATTGTGTGAAACAGGTACCTGTGTGCAGGATGTACAGATGATCGATATACGCAGTTCCAATCAAAGGGTACGCACTGAATCAACAAAGTGCGGTAGCAGCACTGTACATCACTAATAAAGTGACCGTAGATGTATTTTGGGTCTTAAAAGTATCATGAACCAGGAGCCCCTTGATCAGGAAGCCGTTCAATGGCATAGCGTCTGCTGACGATATACATTAGCGGCACACCAGGAATCTGTCGTATACGCCTCCGGAGTTCTCGATCGCAAGTAGCGACTATATAGCACTTGTGAGCAGTGACACGCTGCACCAAGCAGTCATCTGCGTATGTCCCAGTGTGGCTGCAGTTCAATCGCTCGAATCGTGGATCTCGAGCAACACTGATGAAAAAGCAAATGAATACGCCGACACCATAAGAAAAATTACCCTACCGAAGTGCCACACGATATCGGTGACCGAGCTTCTCCAATTCAGCCATAACGCAGTCCGTAACACAGGGTATGCCTGTCGATATTATTGTCAACAATGTACCTGATAATGCAACAGGACCACAAACATTTTGCATATAAACAGTCCATCATCCCACTGACTAATTCAAGTTTATTCTGTAGGCTGAAATTTATGAAGTTTGTATCAATCAAGACTCGATATGGTGGCACAAGTTCTGTGTTGTGCGCAAGGAACATGGACGATGCGACCTGTGGTCTGAAATGTATGTGTTACTAGCGGTTGGACATCCTATAGCTTACTCTGAAGACTCACACTCGACGAACCGCCTTGGCTTTCTCTTCTTCTTCTTTCCTCTTCTGCTTCAATTGGTTCTCTTTTCTGCATTGAAGAATTCAGCGACAAAGCGGAGTGGCCGGTTAGGCAACGCACAATCTGGCATCATTGGGGTTCAAGAGGCGTTTGACGGCAGCAAACTTTCTGGTCTTTTTTGCCTTTCCCTAATCAGAATAGTCATTAAAGAAGGACGTTCGCAAGTTACAAAGTGCGCTTGCCATGCTTTGAATGCACCGACTTGAAGCTCGAGTACTTTTTAGATCGACCTGTCGAGATTCGACTCGGACGGTAAACGGTATTTGCTGAGTCAGCAACAACATCTCTGAATCTTCAACCAGGCTCAAGTTTCAAGCAGTCAGCCGTATTCTCAGAGAAATAAAGCCTTCTGTCTCTGAGAGACAGATAGATGCACTTTGGCAGTTTATGCAATGTAGGGCCATCTAGTTCGCATGTCCGCTCGATATTCGTGCACACCGATGACTACTTTCCCCCAGAAGCGGTTCCGTGTTCGAGGATATTGAGAGATGTCGAGGCACTGTGACTGTCCGACATATGTAGTTCGCTATAAAGTATGATCGCTGTAAATCGATCATTGCAGATCTACATACGGATTTGTTGCATTCAATGAACACCGGAGTCATCGCCCTGGACCAGAATCTGCACAACCCGTTCAAAGTCTGCCTGGGTGAGTCCCAGCCCTGCTGATCTGTGTTCTATAGGGACTATCGGAAGCCTCACTTGGATCATTTTAGTGACGACGATCAACCAATTAGCGTTTCCATTGGACTCACAATGTGCACAGTGCGTGCGACTGTGACTGCGATAACTTGCCAAATTCCCAGTGGCGAGGACTTCTAGGGTCAGGGACTTCCATCCGCGGCTTGACTGCCTAAACGCCTAAAATATCGACCCCATTTCACAAATGGTTGCGTCGGTGCCTGTTATCATCAGATAAGATAGTTGCTCACTCCTTCCATTCGCAGACGTCAATCTGTGTGTATGTGAACTTCTGCTCGAAAACACCAGGTTGCGCTTGGTTGGTAGTACACCGACTGCGCGTGCGAGCGTAGATATCGGACGGAACATGCATCTAAATTTCTCAATCGTCCTACGACCTAATGTTAAATATCCGGGCTTCCAACTTTCTTTCCCAAAAACCGGAGTGGAGACCACCAGAACTTCAACAGTTCCTCTAGACCCTCTTCTTAGTATTAACTTCTCCAGTCGACCATGTTGGCCAACGATTCATACAGCACTGCATCCACAAGTGTTGAGGTGTGTGTTGGACTTGGTTTCCATTATCGCAAGCTCACAACATAAAAAGCTGGGATGTGTTCCAGACGATACTACTGGCTTGGAGCGCATAATGCTTGCGGCTCAAGGCGATTTACAGAGACTACTGAGGTAATGATCCATTTTCTTCCGCCGCACTGAGTCATGCATTAATATTTCTCCTCTTCAGCTCATATTTTGCTCGCCCTATCTTTATCGAACTTATCTATGCGCACTGCTCTTCTCGTCTTGAGCCAGCATGTCCAGAGAAACCCATCACACAATCACGACAGGTACATCTCGTATGTGCGTCACGCACCGTCTGCGTTGCGACATCTACTGTTACCATCACGTCTCCCGAGTGCGAACGCCTATTTCTTGACGAAAAGTTCCCAATCGGGCAGACCTTCCGACGCCTTAACCGTACTCCGAAGTTTAGTCTCCTCAGTGTAGAGACGCAAGCAATCGGTGGACAGCGTGAACTTCGGAGAACGTATAAGCTGGAAACCGAGGGCTTTGTTGCAGAAATCTTGGAAGTATTTCCGGACAGAGACATGTTCGTCCGTGGCGAGGCATGGTTGATGGAGCGGAGGGCTGACTTAGACACCACTTGCACCATCTCGACAGAAAAGCCTGAGTGGCTATCCGTACGCAAGGGAAATGTTGTTCATTAGGGCTCGAGAAACCTCCATACATTACTTGTAAAACATTTCGCCGTCATACCGTACGTGTATAATTTTATCTCGTCTGTTCAGACTACGAAAGAAAATTTTGTATATTAGGATTCACTAGACCCCCGTGGATTTTTGTCTTTCATTCGCGAGCTGTGTTTGCGATTTTTATATATTCGTCACTGGGTCACTTCCACAATTCACATAATCGATTGACTGGCACCGCACCCATATTAAATATTGATAGACACCGCTCCCTCACCTAAGACCTTTGTTCAAGTTGCCCAATCAGGCGTAAGATTTGAGTGTTCCCAGCACACATTGGTTAATTGAATAGATGTCAGGCTGGCGCTGAGAATATAACGTTTGTCATATATGTGTGCAATTAAATTTCCTGACGGCTCGACTTTTCTAAATCTTCCTACGTACAGAAAGGCCACGAAGACATTAAGACAGGACGGATGTCCATCCTGTCCTCGATAAGACGCACTTGATTTCAGGGACCCGTAGAATAGACCTCTGCGAGGACGCCAGTACCATTACCCGTACTTTCACTCATGTGTAGCCCCGAACGTGTCGGTATCTTAAGATGATCGTAGTGAGCTCAGGAGTCGGCATATATAGAACCACAATTCCTGTCCTTCAGCGAGACCAAATGAGTGCTTGCGTTCAAGAAGAAAACGCCTGGTGACTCCTCTCTTGCTCTCGAAGACGACGTCTGAGCGAAGAAGACCGAAATCACTAAGGAAATACGCAATGTACATCACTTTGGCTGATTGGATCCGTAATTTTGATACGCGGGTGGCGGCATGTCCGGTGTCAAACTGTATGCTACACCTTCATAGACCTTCATTCACAAGCCTTGAAGCTTGACGCCATGGCCGCACATTTCTGTTTGATGTCCGTATTTGTGCGAATCGGCCCACCACAATTGATAGCTCACCTCCCATTCAATGATACTGTTTGCATTCGACATTAGGTTCGCATGTTCGTATAGCTGAGGATGGTTTAACAATACGGTAAAATAAGTTCGTGTACTTGATTCGTTGACTGGTGACCTGCTTGTGTAGATATTTTTCGTTTTTAACATGGAATGAAAAAAAAACAGAGTCACAGCGCTGGACAGGGCCGTGTGGCTCGACCCCGGCTCGTCGCCCAAAGACGCAGCGAGCAAGGCAAAGTTGAGGCAAAGGCTAGCTATTTATCACTGAACACCGTCAGAGGTGCTGTTGACTGCGGGCTGTCTACGTGCTGACTAAGACATTGGAAATGCCGAGAGACCCCAAGTCCATTGATTATCACGCTGGACCCGGTATCAAGCACTAAGTTAAATCTGGTTCATCAAACGTAGCTAGCTGGATACTGTATACATGTGGGACGAGAAACTACATGTGAAATAGAATCGAACGTAACAGCGGGGTATAGCGACGGGCGTCAGCGATTTCAAATGTAAAGGTTGCATGGAACAAATATGTACTATGTTGGGCTGGTCAACTGTCCGTCACGATGCGCGGTTGCAACGCACTCGAAATTTCAATTGCCAGTGCAATGTTTCGCGACGGAATGATTGGGAGGCCTTCGAGACACGGTTTGCGAGGGGACGGACGAAGACCGGTCAGATTCTGAGGCCGGATCAGTAGAAGTAGAAGTGGGTGTGAATATGACTTCTGTCTGAATCTGTCATACTGATTCTAGCGGTGCCGCAGTACTTGTTCGGTTCTCACTGGCTGTCACTCGTAAATGAGAAGTGTATTACTTTCACAAAACAAAATGACAGTTCCCTGGTCCTCGGGAGGTAAGAAATTGCTGAACTTCAAGAGTGGCGCTAGTTTCACAAAGGGGTTGGTTGCGCAACTAAAGAGGTTGAAGCGAGGGCCTATATTTCTGGATCGGTGCTGATTTCAATCAGCTTCCGCCAATCACAACTTGGACCTGGACTTAGCGCCGAGGCAGTTACTACCGTATTGAGTATATACTAGTACAAATATGGCGTCAGTGAAGGCGCGCACCCAACGTAAAGGTCGTGTTCTCACGTGCGCGATTTGTCGAGTTGATAAGGTTATCCACAAACCGCCAAGTTGACATGGCAGATTCTCAAGTTGACAACACTTCGCTTATCACACTGCCTGATCAATGGCTCTGCCCGACTCCAGGTACATTAATTCAGGTTGCATTGCAGAAGGAGTTCATTTCATCGCCCTCCGACGTGTCGCACTGTGGGAGTCCGAGAGCCTTATAAGCCTAGGCGTCCTTGATCAAGTTGTTCACTCCTTTTTTCATCCACCCTTTGTAAAGCACGCATCCAATGATCAGCAAGGACTCATTTAATAGTACCTGCACCAACGTGGAGGTAGTACTCCTATCCTTCACATATTTGGGCGCCTCTGAACCGTGACCTTCAACAGTTGTCATGCATCCCCAAGGATACCAGTGGCATTGAGCGCATTATGCTCGCTGCTCAAGGTGACCTGCAGCGACTTCTGAGGTACGTTAAATTTTTTGGGACTCCATCATGTGTCCTCATCGATGAATGCCTATTCGCAGCTCATTTTTTGCTCGGCCCATATTTATTGAGCTCGTATATGCCAATGGCTTGCCACGGGCGAGACCGGCATCGCCTGAGCATCCTATAACCCAGTCACGGCAGGTACATCTCGTCTGTGCTTCTCAAATCGTCTGCACTGCTACATCGAACGTTACCATCACAAACCCCGATTTCGAACGTCTATTCCTGGACGACAAATACCCCATTGGCCAAACATTCCGCATGATGCAACGCAACCCACAATTTTCCCTCCTTGACGTCCAGACACAGGTCGTCGGTGGCAAGCGAGAACTCAGCAGGGTGTATACGCTTGAGACGGAAGGTTTCCTATGCGAGATCCTCGAAGTGTTCCCTGATAGGGACATGTTCGTTCGCGGAGAGGCATGGTTTTCTGAGAGCAAGCTCGAGCTTGAAAACAGTTGTTCTGTGAAGAGTCAGGATATCAAGCCCTTGTGGCTTCCTGTCAGCAAGGGTAACACTGTCCACTAGGGACTTGCTTAGACACATGGCTTTCTTCACTATTGTCATACTATTACGATATTTGGCTTGTTTCGAGGTGCTTGCGCCTCCTGTACATATATATACTTCATAAAATACCTACGACTGCTAGCATACATTTTCATAACTTGGATAAATTTACACATTTCTCAACTCGATGTATATAGTAGCCACCCGCTTGCAATTTTTGAATACTCATTCTTCCCCGAAAGGCATTTGGATCGCTACCGAACAATTGCTCCACGAAGGTCGTCGCCATCATAGTCGGCAAATTGCAAAGTGTCATTATGTGTGAATTATACAGACTGAGGGAATAAGATAGCACACGGCCTTCTACACGTCATCGTTAAAGGACGACACTAGTACTTAGCAGGGGTGCGATAATTGGGTGCCGAACTACGAGAGGAACGATCACTGTTGTGACAAGCAACTCCAACTTGGCTATGAACCTCTCTACCGTTCACTGCTTTCGAAATTCCGATTCCATAAATTCACAGACACGTGCATCGTGCACCTAGTGAAAAGAAAGCATATTAGAAAGAATGTGGGGGGTCGCTCACAGAAATGAGATTGCCGCCCATAACAGCCCACAACGCGAGTACATGCACCGATTCCTCATCACAGAACACACTATTTTTGGGAAGAAGCGATGTCCAAGCGGCCAGGAACGCAGGCGCGGAACGAGGTGGCGATGTCGACGGAACGGCGTTTCGGAGTTGAAGGGGATTAATTGATAGACGCCAAGGAAAAACAGAGGTGGTCGGCTCTGTGTTCTTTGAGCGTGCGAGGCAATGCAGAGACGCGTACCTGCAGTAACGAGAATACTTAAGGCCTTGTGTGAAAACGATATCATTCAAAGCTCATTGATAGGGCAAGTCTCCGCTCGCCGGTCTTTCAGACACCGAGAGCGAGGAATTTCGAGGGTTTTGCTAAAATAGGGGTGAAAGGCTGTGACCCTTTGATCTCGGATATTGGTGTTTCGATATCACGTAGGGCTCCTTCTAGCTCGAATGCATGTTCTGAATAAGAGAGACACGATCGTAGATTGAGAGATGCGGGTGATGACGATTGCGCGAGCTGGCGAACTGGCGTATGCGGCCCGGCGTTTATGATAAAGACGCCGGTGTTCTGACGTCTATAGAAAATAAGCCAACACTGCTCTCGGTGTCCAAATTTCAAAGCCGCAGGATCATTGAACAATGACAGTGATTCAGGTATCCATGCGACCCAACAAAGTTCAACGTGGTAAGATGAAGGAAAAGATAAAAACTACCATATTCCGACTCATACCCCGCGTCACGTTGAGTGCTGCGGTTGCTGCTGCGGTGTTGTGGTACACATGGTCATACTGGATCTTTGAACATTCCTCGTCGCGTTCCTGTGGCTGATGGAACCCTATTAATTGTGGCAGATAAGAAGCGTACCAAGTCGAAGTTCTTGAGTCCAAAGAACTGGACGAACACGTTTTGGTATTCAGGCAAAGTTCTCCGAAACACGAAGTTGAAGATGAGTTAAAAAATGAAGCCCGAATTCCCTCGCCCCGTTGAGCAAATGCTGTGCTGCTATGTCGTGATCATGATCATGGTCATGCTGGATCTTCACATACAGGTTTCTCCGTGTAGCTAACGGCACCTGCGGTATACATCGACAGCGCTAGTAAGAAGACGCATGGATGCTTCCTTGATGATACTGGAACTAAGGACGGCAAGGACGCGGCGATACTGAGCATGTGAATGATGTGAAGATGGCTTCAATTTGAATGAGGCGATGGTTCGATCGAGGCTGCCATCACGTACTGGTGGGTAATGAGGGTGACTCGTCGAGGGTGCGAGTCACTGGGTGACCTGCTGTATTGACAAGACCACGTGAGGCGCCTCCAGGGTGTTGGCCAGGTAAAATGAACCTGCTGTATTGATAGACTCGGTACACTGTGGCAGACATGATGTTCCTGTGTTCATTAACGCAATCGATCACTGAGGTGACAAAGAACAAGGAACAATGCTGGCCTGATCTACGGGAGGCGCCGAGCTCTTGATTAAGGATTAGCCAGTCCTAGGCTACGGCAGTCATTTCGAAGGTGACGGCGTGCCAGTGCCACCCGCCACAACGATGACGACAACGGTCGTTAAAACAAGCTTGTTGGCCAACCTACACTTTGACTTTCCTGTGCACCACACACAAGTAGAGGTGACGATTAGATAAGGTTTGGTGGTCCTTGTAATCTGGTTGTCCTGAAACGGTTGACCGTTAAGCTTTGGCCCAATCACCAGACACCAGGCCATCTAAAAAGCCGAAGTTCCTCTCAAAGTGCTTTTGAGCAGTTCGCTTTTGGTTTAGTTCAGGTTTGCATTCGTAAGCACACATTTTTGGTTGTGTGCTCAGGCCATCTCCGCCAATCGGTGCGCTACTGAAGTCGTAAGCGTTCATTTCAGTGTTTTTGCAGATGCGGCAGTACTCAAACACGATGCGCGTGTGATCGTAACGTGATAGAGTGCTATGCAGTATGCATCAATGATAACCTATCTGGCAGATAAGTTTGCCAGACTACTTCACACACGGAGTCACTTCCCACAATATTGCGGCCAGAAGGTCTGACTTAATAGTAACGTTACTAAATGAATTTAATAACATCGGTGTCGCTTGGTGGTGTAGCCGGGCGGGCGCAAGATGTCCAGCTGGGTGATAGGACCCCTGGATCATGTGGTGAGTATGTCAGACATTCGCGACGTGATCGAAAGTGAACCAAGAACGATCCAAGACTGGATCCCGCTGACGTGAAAGTGGCGACCCTAGACCGTAGGCAAGTGCCGCGCAGGTTTAAAAGTTGAAGGCAAGACTTTGAAATGGCTGCAGTTGGTCATGATCGACGAACGGCAGAGATGACCGTTGGATGCGGTGTTCTGGGGATAATGACGAACGGCCATTATATGGTTTGAACCGAGGTGTCGGAGTCAGTATATGATCTTGAACGTCATGTACGTAGTAATGCTAGAACCTGCACGTAGCATCAAGCTATCTCCGTGGGGAGAACTTCGTCAGAAGCACTTACATGTCGTTCTCTGAACAGTGCTGCTAGGCGTATTCTAGACGTAGACCGGGCCTAAGGAGGCGCAGCCCCTGTTAGAGGATACGAATAGGCGGAGTTTCGCCGCGTCAGAGGAAGGAAATTCGCAATCTGAAATTGGAATATTTTGAGAATTCTGAAAAGACGATGTGTCGTTCAGCCATTGCGGCCGCTGCCAATGGAGTCGAAATAAGTAATATGTAGTCACAGCGCATAGAATTTGGAACTGGAATGCATGAACCACGCTTGGTTGGAGGTGGTGCGCGACGTGAAGATGCTGTAAATGGGAGTAAACTGTCGATAACTTGGATTATCTAACATCATTGACATGTTGTATTGGGTCAATATTTGGGAGGACAATGGGCTGCTACCAGTAGATCATGATCCGGGGAAACGAAGAACGGCATTCCCGTTGGCGATAGGGTGAATGGCGTTAGGAACCTGAATTCGTCCCTCGTGGGCATTGGAGATACTTCAAGTTAGTACTATCCATAGGTGAGGTTCGTAAATTTGCTCACGAGTAAGCTTCCGTTGCATTGGGAGATTAGACGATATAATAAAATAAGATAAGTAGACCAATTGATAAGAAATAACGGTCATTGCAAGATAACGAGCAATCCGACCTCAGGTTCCACTTGCGCCGCTCAGCATGATCGGGGAAGAAGGGTGCGGCTATAAAAATAACGTTGCACATACTTAAAAAAAACCTACACAGGACGAGGATGAATATTAGCCCCGAACAAAGTGTCCTCCAATGCGGCGTGAAAGAGCCGTAGTGGTAAGTTATTATTAAACGAGAGGTTATACGTACACTGCTGTATACAAATACATACATACAACAATTGTGGCGATAACGAATCATTGATGATTATCATTAAATGCATGAGTCAAGTGAATCTTCTGGCGTGGAAGTCGAAGGCATTTTCTTATTCGGTCAAGCTGAATTCCGGAGGATTGAGGATGCGGGTCTATAGGAGAGCGTTTGTTTCAGCGAGGCCGCACAACCTGGAAATTAAACAGGGAAAGGCAGGCAATGAGGAAGTATTGAATGGGTGGGGGGCACACACGTACTAACTAACTTGATATCTGGAATCCGAGGAATACTCTAGCACTGGTACGGATACGTTGACATGTCAAACTATATCTGATACCCAGTATTTGGCTACATAGTCTTCGCGGGAAGGGGCTGGCACGGATCATAAACTGAGTCGACCCCTCTGAGCCAACCCCCCGGTAAGGGGGGGTCAACTATTAGATCTCGATTTGAGCGCCTAAGTATGGTGCTGTGTCACCAACTGTGTCATGTAAAACTTTCCTGTTCACAAAATACAACGGCTTCAGCTTAATTCGCGGGCGGATCAAACATTAGAGGCGAGATATAAAAGCTACAGCTAATATGAGTATGACTTTTAATCCAGACTGACACCGCTATATAAGCTACTTAATACTTAGACTGTGACTTACCTCCTTCATCCTAGATATCATTCATCATGGCTACTCATGCTCTCGTCTCCCAGTACGTCCAGGATGTCAAGGAGCTTGACTCTTACCTGTGAGTAACCTCCTTTCACTTACTTCTAGTCCTAATACTCAATTGCCTTGCAGTACAGGATCTCCAATCGCCCTCACAGGATCTACCCTGTCTCTTTCTCAGATTGCTGCTATCGCCCTCTACCCGCCCTCTTCTCCTTGCATCAATCCCGTTAAACTCCAACTTACTGATGATCAGAATGTCAAAGCAAAAGCATCTGCTTCCCGTGCTGTCATCGAGAGCAAGGTCGCAGCAGGCATTAGTGTCTATGGTGTCAGCACTGGTTTTGGTGGCAGCGCAGATACAAGGACAGATGACCCTATTGCACTCGGTGCCGCCCTCCTGCAGCACCAGCATGCCGGCGTTATTCTCCCTACTTACGCACCCACCGCTATCCCGACCCTCTCTTCTTTCAGCAATTCTCATCTCAACATTTTCCCTTCCCCCGCCCCGCTCTCTGATCCATTCACCAGTACTACTATGCCACCCACTTGGACGCGCGCCGCTCTCCTTATCCGCGCTAACAGTATCATGCGCGGACACAGTGGTGTCCGCTGGGAACTTGTCCAGAAAATGGCAGAGCTTATAAACAAAGGCGTTACCCCTGTTGTCCCTATGAGGGGCAGCGTCAGTGCCAGTGGAGGGGAGTAATCTATTTTTAGTTTTGTACCTTTCTGTGGTACTAACGCCTCCCACAGACCTATCCTCCCTCTCTTACATTGCCGCAACACTCATCGGAAACCCCGCTATCAGGGCTTGGGTTCCTTTGCCCCGCCCCTCTTCAGATGTACCCAGTACATCCTCAACCCCCTTTTCAACTGTAACATCTTCGCCACACTCCTCACCCCAATTGTCACCCTTCTCTCCGTCTACCCCACTGCTTCCCTCAGCCGATGCCCTACCAATAAAAACTCCCAAATTGGACAACTACGAATCGTACGCCCTCCTTCCTGCCCCGCAGGCCTTGCAGGTTGCCGGCATCACCCCCCTCCCGCTCTCGAGTAAGGAGCATCTAGGGATCCTGAATGGCACGGCATTTAGTGCGGCTGTAAGTGCGTTAGTTGTGAGAGGTGCGCGGGGGGTGGGTGTGCTAGGTGCCGTGAGTGGTTTTTTTTCACTCGCCCCCTGCATGACACTGACCTGCTTGCGCTTATAGGTCCTAACAGCCATGTCTGTTGAAGCGATGCTCGGTGCGAGGGGCAGCTTCGATCCATTCGTCGGCGAGGCAAGGCCACACATTGGACAAGTGCGTTTTTTTCGGATTTTTCGAGCGGTCCAGAGGACTGATTTTTTTTGTCTCATTGTTCTTCTTCTGATGATTAACGAATGCATTTTTGCATCGCAAACACTCGTAATCTCCTGGTGACTCAACGCAGATCCACTCCGCACATCTTATGTACACTCTGCTCGACGGGTCTTCCTTTGCAAGTGCACATGAGGTAGAAGTCAAGATTGAGGAAGATGCCGGCGTGTTGAGGCAGGATCGGCAAGTTCCGCTTTGCTTGGTCACATCACTGAACGTTAACCCCGCACGCAGTTACTCCCTCCGCACAGCCCCCCAATGGCTCGGTCCCCAATTCGAGGACCTCGCAAATGCAGCACAAGTAATCACAACCGAGGTTAACTCCAGTAAGTCCTACCCCAGTCCCGTAGCCACATGCCAACCTATCACATTACCCAACAGCCACCGACAACCCGCTCATCGAACCCCCTTCTGCGTCCAACAACCAGACCGGACAGATTCATCATGCAGGCAACTTCCAAGCGCTCGCCATTACGAACGCGATGGACCACGTCCGTCTCAGCCTCGCTCACATCGGCAAGCTGATGTTCGTGCAGCTCACGGAAATTGTGAACCCAGCCATGAACAGGGGCTTGCTCCCCAATTTGGCTGGTGGAGAGGTCGGATTGGATTTCGGGTTCAAGGTGCGTGATTTTGGTCTGACTGCGGGTGTACATGACGGCTGATAGTAATGATGCGGACAGGGTGTTGACATCGCTGCTGCGTCATATACGGGCGAGTTGAATGCACTTGGGGGAATGAACGTCGGCGTCGGCAACGTGAGCGCTGAGATGCACAACCAGAGTGTCAAGTACGTCTTTCATTTCCTTTTCTTTTCTTCCTGAACTAACCTTACCCCACTTGTACCTCTACAGTTCCCTCGCGCTCATCTCAGCGCGGTACACCCTGACTGCACTCGAAGTGTCCACTCTTCTCGCCGCCTCACACCTCCTCGTGATCTGCCAGGCGCTCGATCTCCGCGCACTCGGCGAGGAACTGCGTGAGGCGCTCCCAGGACTCATCCGCTCATCCCTCCTCGATGCCTTCCCTTCGCTTACTGATGACACTACAGCTACCTCGCTCGTGGCTGCTTGTCTCCCAACACTCACAGAGACACTCGACCACACAACGACGCTCGAGACAAACGCGCGGATGCACAAAGTTGCAGGCGCATGCGTGGTGCCGCTCATCACGACGCTGTCAACCTCTCCAGTGCAGGGCGCAGATCTGGGCGCGCTCCCGGTGTTCATTGCAGCGCTTGCCACGCGCCTAGTTAAGAAGCTGACGGAGCTGCGGTGCGCGTATCTAGGCGTACAACCGAACGCTGTGCGCGGTGCAAGCCCGAGTGCTGAGGAGACAGAGGTGGCGTGGCGTGGGCCCGCCCCAGCAAGCAAGTACCTCGCGCCGCGGACGCGTGCGCTGTACGAGTTTGTGAGGGTGATATTGGGCGTGCGGATGCACGGGGCTGGGAATCTCAAGGGGGATGTGTTTGGAACGCGGGATGGCCTGGATGGAGAAGAGGGGACGATCGGGAACGGGGTTTCAGTTATCTGTGAGGCGATCAGGGATGGGAGAGTCGGGCGTGTTGTGGTGGAGATGCTGGAGGGCATAGAGGACCTGTGAGGGGCCTTTGTAATGACCGACTTTCTGCGTCTTTCCATGGAGGCTAGCTTCCAGGCATCCGCGCACTCATCGTCCCCCTCCCCCTGGGCTGCGCCCACTTTAGCTCGGCATTCGTCCAGTCAGAGCAGATTGGGTGAGGTGGCCCTTGCATATAGTATTCTCGTCCTCCTACTTTTCTAACTATTTTACATCAACGGGACTTTCTCGTTCATCGACATCCATCATTCCCTTGTTTGTATTACTTAGTTACCACATACAGCCTCCACGCATTTCTTTCCTATACTAGTTCAATGATTCCCCTCTATATCATGCGGAACAGGGCTTGGATACAGTATGCATTTATGATCTATATTCTAATAGAGTTTTTGAAGCCTTTTGATTCTTGTTGAGCGGAAAGTGCTACATGAACATATCATGACGTTATACGTTGTTTGTCTTCGACGTTCTGTCAAACACCAATCATGACCCGCACAGCTTTCAGCGAGTTCTACCGCCATGCAGGCCGCCGCCACCCCCACCACCATCGTGAGTGAATATTGCTATAGCAAGGCTTCCCTATTTTCTGGATGCACTGGTGCTGAGACTCCTAAGTCTCAGTTGTACTACTTCAAAACTATTCTAGAGGAATAGGCGACGCTGTCCGTCCCAGGCTTTCAGGACGGCTACAATATGTACCTGCCTCTTGTGAGGAGGTCCTCCAGAGCCTCGGAGTTCCACATAGGTGGAATTTCTTCTCCGACTTAGACTCACCTATGCTGTACAGTAAAGACTCTCCATCAAGGGTGACCAAAATTACAATAGGTACCATCGTCTTGGCACTAAGATAACCTTCCACACTTCTGCTGTACCTTCTGGAACGCTTTCCGAAGTCATGTGTTTAACATCTGCAAGCGCAACAGGACGAGGCACTGATAATGAACGTCCCACAGCAAAAACTCTATCAAGGTGAGCTTCATGAGATCATGTTCCCATTTGCAGTAGTCTCATTAGATGCGACTTCAGTTGGTGCACCGGTCCTTATGCTTCCGGGCTGGGGTAGGTCTATTTTACGCGTGGGTTTTCAGAGATTCATTGACAAGTCCTACTGATAGATTTCCGATTGGTATCGTGCGGGTTATGGATTTCGGGTTCTGGTGACCAGCGCCACGAAATAGAATCGCAGAATTACCCCTGCCATCCGAGAACTTAACCTGGAGATTTTTTGAACGTCCTCTGGTATGTTTTTGAATACCGTTCACGTGCGACGAGTGAGAACATACTCTGCAGTCTATACTTCGAACGTGCCGACGTTTGATTGACGGTTCGTCCAGGACATACACGCTCTAACTATGCCTCTGAGTAAACGAACAAGCTTCGACTTCGACACACATGGACCAGTCGAATGCTCAAAAAAATTCTGTAGGGCTAATTTCGCGGGAAAATAGGCTAAAACGTCTAGCTGTGGGGGGTCTCCGAATTACTTTCATTCCTCACCAATCCCACCAAAAGTCCTCGCCTTTCCTCATGCAACACAAGGTTCACCACGCCCAATCACGATAACCATGTGCATTGTTGTGCATGATCACGGTGCACACGCGCCGGTCGGTTAGTCTGTCGGTCGGATCTCTGCCTCCTGTTGTCAACACCTGCACATTAATTTGGTTACCAATGTTCGGAGGTTCTGCGTATACGGCAACATCATTTCATTTGATACAGGCGTGCGTTTTTGGATGTTGTGTTGTCGAGGTCTCGAATAAAGGGTCGAATTTCCTCAAGTAGACAAGGGCGCTTATGGCACATATATCCTACATCCATACCAGAAAGTTATCGGACACCATGATAATATGCAGACTGCGGCGCACCCTAATCCACAAGGTTAGCTTGCCGGACGGATCTCCTCCCTCACATTCCGTTTAACGCTTCGGGACGCCCTGTCGTTATCGTATTTATGTTGTTGCTCCATATATGTGAGTGCATTCTACGTTCTGTTCTGATTCATGTAGCATCTGACATCGCGTGTCATCGTCATATCAGCGTGGCGTGCCTTTCGACCTGACATCGATGTTCCGTCAAGGTTCCGTTACCGCACTCCATTCTCGCGATCGATTCTCAGGTCTGTCTTTGGTAGATGAAGAGAACGCCCTCCGGATCCCAGAGGATACTTGGCATGATTACATTTGGTCTTCAAATCGTACCTTCTTAACTTTCTTTTCTTCTCCCAATCAAAATGAATGACACTGCGGGGTCAATCGACTGGCGGCGCTTGGAAAAGATCATTTTCGGGCGGAACTATCAAGCCAAGAGTGTATGTAGGCGTATCTTGTCAGCTACAGGATGGTACAAGACTTGAACTCACTGTTACTGACGTTGGTCGTAGTCATCATGTGCATCATGTTAACCATGGTTGTGATTGGGTTGACAACACTCCAGAGCGTGTCCTGCATCCACTTTCAACGATCTTTCCTTGAGAAATTCACGTCACCAAAAGCCATGGAGATCCGAGGTTAGTATGTGTGAGGAATCGGTATTAGGAACAAAAGGCCCTGTCAGTGTTACAGACATTTGAAAGCGGGTATACCAAAGTATGTAATCGACTGAAACAGTTCATCGATTTTAAGTTGCATGATCCGACAATGCGGCCGCATAGTCTCTTAAGTGCGAGTTGACGTGAACGAGGAGCACTAGTACACAAGGGTACAGAGATCCAGGGAATCGCATCACATGAACGTTCCTTGTTCGTGAGTATCAAGAAGCTCTAGGACGCGTGCCAGTGAGAAATCCGTCCAGGGGAAGTTCGTCGGGAGAGCTGCTGCATGGACTGCTCAGACACTGCTACTTCAGGCTGTGGCCAATGGCAATATCCATCGCACTGTGGGATGTATGTTTTCTTGGTGTCCAAGTAATGATGATCGTGATCGACTATCATATCATACTCACAGCAAGCGAGCAAACTGTCAGCCCCAGTGTCTTATCCACCATTCGGTGCCATTCGAAACTCATCTTTTTCAGAATTTTTTAGATTTGTTGATGTCACACGAAGTGCCGCAATCAGCTGAAGAAGTCGTCGAATCAGTGCATGAACGTTTCTCAACTAACATCAAGAACCCACGACTGCGGGCGGCTGAAATTCATGCCAAAGATATTTTCCTTTCAACTGAACTAGAGCGCAATCGTAAAGCCCGCTGTGGGAGGTTGGCTTGTCCGCGTCAAGTGAGATCAAGAATGTAATGTGGAGATGTGCGATCGCTATTTTGAAGTAAGTCTCCGTGGCTCGGGATTATACCACAAGCAACAGTTTTTCAAGTTGGCCATCGCGGTGCGTTAATGGCATGATGGCTAAAGCTATAGCATGAGTTTGAACTGAAATTCTTGTTGTCGAGACTCGAGATCATAGTAACAACCGAATGTAGAAGCGCTGTCAAGTACTGTTGTTACTAGTTTGTTGTCGCCATCGCGGTCACGGCGCAGGCTAATGTCAAGCTTCACTTCCCTTCCGAAGCCCGCAGTGGTCATCATTGGCGCCGGTACATTTGGCCTGTCCACTGCTTATCACCTGCTCGAACGTGGCTACACCCAGGTGACAGTACTCGATCGTGCTGAACATCTACCCGCGGTCGATGCGGCGAGCACTGACATGAATAAAGGTGTTGTGTTGTTTCCGGTGCCCCTCTACGACATCAAATAGCTTACCTTCCGTTAGTGGTCCGTTCTTGTTACGGCGATCCGGAATACACGCGACTTGCGCGCCAGGCGATCGAAGAATGGCGCAAGGATATGTGGCAAAACTGTTATCATGAGTCTGTCTCATTTTGCGCTGAGAGTGACTGATGACCATAGTATCATACTAAATCATACAGGTGCGGTGTTCTCAACTTGGGCGATGCATATACTGAGCAGTCCATCAACAACGATCTCAAGCACGGTGCCAACGTCGAGCGCCTAAGTAATACTGCATCCATCAGAGCCCAGTTTCCCTTGGATCTTCATGATTCTGGTAAACTAGGGACATTCGCGTCGTTGGATATCGCTTCTACGGGTTATATCAACCATGATGGCGGATGGGCAGAAGCTGAACGTGCAGTCAGCCTCCTCATGGAGCATGTGAAGAAACGTGGTGTCAAAGTCTTGCCTGGGAAGCCAGTTCAAGAATTGGTCAAAGACGAACACGGACAAACGAAAGGCGTGCGCTGTGCCGATGGCTCTGAGTACGAGGCCGATGTAGTAGTACTCGCTCTCGGTTCGTGGACTGCGAGTGCATTTCCATCGTTAAAGCTGACGGGAAAGTGTCTTGCTACGGGGTAAGCAAGCAAAAATTCTGGTGCTAGGCTCAATCTGATGTGACACTGCCTTTTTTATGATATCCACTGATGCTACCACCCGGCATATTTTTTTGCATTTCAACTATTTCAAAAGACAGAGCATAGCAACGATTCAACTGACCCCGGAGGAGGCAGAGGAATATCGCAAGTCACCTGTCGTAATCGATTTCAGGACCGGTTTCTATGTGTTCCCAGTGAGTTATCGTCCATATTTTTATTTTCCTTCAAGGGAATAAACTTCATTATATTTGTTACACACATGGGATTTTCCTCATGTCTTTGACACATTTTCTCTGTTGCGTTGAAGTTCGGGAACAGGCGTGACTGTGTTGGACGAACGGAACGCCTTACTTACCACCTAGCTCCATGTGTTCTCAATGGTATGGCCGGACCGATCGTGTTCTGCACACCCAACGATGATTCTCAATCAGGCCCAGTGATCATCATACCACTGACATCTCGTGAACATTTTGAATAATATTTTGCTCTCTCTGACGTCGCCGTGTACCTATAACGCATACCAATTTTATAATTCATTCATCCTCGTTTGGTATTTTCTCATTTGTTCATCACGCTGCTCTTCCTTCGACTTGTCAATTTTATATCTGACGTCGATTGAACTTTTTTTATCCAGCCGACACATCGTAATGTTGTCAAACTTGCGATCCATGCTGCAGGATACACCTACACAATTCCTGGATCCACCATATCAACCCCGCGCACTATCGTCTCTCACCCAGACAACGGCCTGTGGATACCGCGGTCGGTTTTGAGGGAGCTGAAGGTCCAGCTGCGAAATGTGTACCCTGCGCTTGCTGAGAAGCCCTTTAGTGGGACAAGGATGTGTTGGTGAGCTTGTGTTCTCCTTCTGTTTGTGAGAGTTTCATATTTTCGTGGCATCCTCGGCTTTCTCGTGTGATTGGGTTCATGGTGCGATGGTGTGTGAACGTCTGTCACATCAGAGAGTTAGAAGACGAGGATAGACGAGGACTTGATTTCTCTTAACTGTTTGCCTTGTGTGTGTGGCAAGTTGAAGGCACAGATGCTTCTCTTCGATTCCGTTGCCATGCCTCAACTGACATCATTTGTCTCAAACCATGGTGTGCTGATCATCCGAGCAGGTACACCGACTCGCCAGATGGCGATTGGGTCATTGGACGTTACCCCGGCGATCCAGGACTGGTCCTCGCAACGAGCGGAAGTGGGCATGCGTTCAAGGTGCATTTTTTGACTATTCACCTCTATTTCTCCTCAACTCTTGCACTACACGGTAATGACTGGATGTGTCAGCAAATTTCGTTTTGTGGAACAGTGTCCTGAACATACATCCAAGAACGAGAACTGATGTCATTCTCGACAGTTCCTCCCTACCATAGGGAGCCTTGTGGCCGACGTTATAGAAGATAAGCTAGACCCGAAACTTGCGGCACGATTTGCTGTCGATCGACAGGTGAAGCCTCCCAACGGCGAGCGAGTGTCAGTTGTTTCTCAGGAGCTCAACATTGACGAACTGTGTGGACCCGAGGATCTGATACCAACGTTTTGACTTTCGTGTTGCGCTATCTGGAAAGTAGTATGCATGTCCAATATATTCAAGAAAGCAATGGAGAACGCGGATAACATGATGCAAATATATACGTTTACACGTTGCTAAATTACAAGAGATCCATCTTTTATTCCATATGTTCATGCCCGCCAACCCACGAACTCCCGCCATGACCGCACCTCCGGGGGGATTTTACCCTCTGTATACTTCGCCAGTCCACCCTGGGCTATCTTTTTTTCAAGTGCTTCCACCCACAGCTGCGCACAACGGGCATTGTTGAGCAACGGGAGTCCGAAGTCTACAGCATTCCTCCGTGCAACATAATCCTCGTCAGTGAAGCCGGTGCCGCGTGCCTTTGCGAGGTTTACAACACACTGGATCTCATACTCGTCGAACACCTCCCGCAGCTTACGTTTGTCAGTCTTGGGGAAGAAGATGCGCTTCGCGGTCACGTAGGGGAGGTTGTTGAGATATGCTTCGACCTCGGATGAGGAGCAGTAGAGCTTAAAGCCGAGATCGAGAAGCTTTTTGGCAACAGTGGCCATCTCAGGCTTGGTGACATCTCCACCAATAAGGACGCCGGAGTTGAGGCGGGGGACTTTGAAACCTGTCGTGCTGAGTAGCGATGCCCAATATGCCTCATGGATATCTGACCCGAAACTGGCGACTTCACCCGTGCTAGCCATTTCTAAAGTGATAATCAACAAAGTGAACCCCGAAAAGCAACCGGACGCGACCAATACTCACCCACACCAAGGAATGGATCTGCACCTCCCAATCGAGTCCAGGAGAACTGAGCGACCTTGATCGAAGTATAGTCACGTTTTTGCATCATGAGATCAACAGGCTCTGGGACGTCGTGGTCCATAATTGCTGCTGCAGCGGTCTCGATGAAATTATGGCCAAGGACCTTCGACACGAAGGGGAATGATCGCGATGCCCGCAGGTTGCACTCAATGACTTTGAGCTGAGGCTCGTCGTTCGGTCCGTCGGCAGGCTTCTTGATGATCTGCATGTTGTAGGGACCAGAAATCTCGAATGCAGCAGCAACCTTCTCCGCGATGGTCTTCAAGCGTGCCATGTCCGTCTCTGTGAGCGAGAAGGGCGGGAGGACAAGGGTAGCATCGCCCGAGTGTACACCGGCGTTTTCGACGTGCTCGGAGACAGCATGAACGAGGAGCTTGCCTTTGTGCGCAACGGCGTCGACATCGATCTCTTGAGCATTATCGATGAACTTCGTGATGACAACAGGGTGTAGGGGGGAAACGGAAGCGGCGGCAGAGAGGTTATACTCCAGGGTAGATTCTTCATAGACAACGTTCATGGCAGCACCAGACAGGACGTACGATGGGCGGATAAGAACCGGGTAGCTAGGCAGAGTGATCAGACATGTTTGTTCAGTTCATAACCTAAACAGTGCCTACCCAACTTCGTTTGCAAAGGCTTTCGCGGCATCCAGGCTCGTGACCTCACACCACTCGGGTTGATCAACGCCAATGCTGTCCAAGACAGAGGAGAACTTGTGGCGGTCTTCGGCGGTGTCAATCTTCTCTGGGTCTGTACCAAGCACCTTGACACCATTCTGTTTGAGACGAAGTGCGATGTTCTGGGGAAGTTGACCTGGCTCATAACGTAAGTCTCCTCGTTGGAACGGTCGTCAGTGATGCTAAACTCACCACCAACACTAACGACAACACCCTGAGATTGCTCAAGCTCGTAAATGTCCATGACACGCTCATAGCCAAGCTCTTCGAAATAAAGCCTATCGGCCTCATCGAAGTCTGTCGATACCGTTTCGGGGTTGTAGTTGATCATGATCGTGCGCTTGCCCATACCCCTCAGTTTCCGTGCGCACGTCACTGCACACCAGTCGAATTCAACAGAGCTGCCAATGCGATATACGCCACTTCCGAGAACCATGGTACCATGCTCATTGAATTCAACGTCGTGCTCAGAGGCATTGTACGTCGTGTAGAGGTAGTTCGTATGCGCAGGGTATTCAGCAGCTAGCGTATCGATACGTTTGACGAAGGGGGTGATGCCAAGGGACTTGCGGTAAGCACGGACGGTGTCTTCAGTCGAGGCAATGAGGTCAGCAATCTGCCCATCGGAGAAGCCCATGCATTTGGCTTGCTTCATGAGTTCGCGGTCAATTTGTTCGACGGAACTAACTGTCTTGATAGCTCTGCTCGTTTGAACGATGTTGTCTATTTTGTAGAGGTACCACTGGGGACGGGTGTGAATACAACGACAAGCTCGTTTGTGAGCGAGTTCCTCACCTTGTCAATCTTGGTCAGGTCATGCAGCTGGCCAACAGTGTAGTTCTTGTTGTACATCGCGTAAGCAATGGCAAAGAGTCGCATATCTGTGGGTTTCGACAGGGCACCATCAAGGTCCTCAGGCTGGACGTACGCCTCGAAGCCTTTCCACCGCGGGTCGACCTGGCGGATAGCCTTTTGGAGACTCTCCTCGAAAGTGCGACCAATAGCCATGACCTCCCCAACGCTCTTCATCGAGGATCCAACTTCGCGGTTGACCTGTGATGAAAACTTCGCGAGGTCCCATTTGGGTATCTTAGTGACGATGTAATCCAGAGAAGGTTCGAAGCAAGCCGTAGTTGTCTTAGTCACCGCATTGGGTAGTTCTGGGAGGGTATGTCCGAGAGCGATTTTGGCAGCAGTGTAGGCAAGCGGATAACCAGTGGCTTTAGACGCCAGGGCACTGGAGCGGCTCAGGCTGAGAGTCGAGTCAGATATATAAACGTATGAAAAGAACCATAAACATACCGTGCATTAACTTCAATGACACAATATTCCTTGGACATCGGGTTAAGTGCATACTGAATGTTACACTCGCCGACAACACCGAGATGCCTGATGACCTTAAGAGCAGCGCTGCGAAGCATGTGGTACTCGTCGTCCGGGAGAGTCTGAGATGGAGCAACAACAATCGAATCGCCAGTGTGTGTACCGAGAGGATCGAAATTCTCCATATTGCAACAGATGATCGTGTTCTAATGGGAGTATGAGCACTCAACTTCCGCACGCACAATCAAGCGGAAAAAAACCTACATCAGCGCCATCACGAACAACCTCGTATTCGAGTTCCTTCCAGCCCTTCATACTTCGCTCGATCAGAACCTGAGGTGACAGACTCAGACTCTTTGCAGAAAGATCACGAAGTTCGTCGGGGTTGTTGGCAAAACCAGAACCGAGACCACCAAGAGTGAATGCAGACCGAAGGATGACCGGGTAACCAATTTCCTCCGCTGCGTCCAAGGCCGCATTGACAGTAGATACAGCTGTGGATTGTGCCACTGGAATATCGATCTCTGGAGGGGAAAAAAATTACATGCTGAACCAAATATGATTTTCTCGATAGGTACCTTTGAGAGCTTGTACGAAGAGTTCGCGGTCCTCGGAAACTTCAAGGGTGCGAATCGGAGTTCCAAGGACTTTAATGCCAAGGCGCTCGAGGACGCCCATTTTGTCCAACTCAATACCAACGTTGAGGGCACTTTGACCTCCGAAGGTCAGAAGGATCCCGTCTGGACGCTCCTTCTCTAACACGTATGCCACGTAGTCCGCAGTGATAGGGAGGAAATAGACCTCGGATGCCAATTCATGAGACGTCTGCCAGGTTGCGATGTTAGGGTTGATGAGAACGGCGTCGACACCTTCTTCGCGCAAAGCCTTCAGTGCCTGCGAGCCTGAATAGTCAAACTCGCCGGCTTGGCCAATGCTGAGGCCACCGCTGCCGACGATGACCACCTTTTTGACGTCTGGACGAGGAAGCTTGGGAAGAACCTTTGCAGAAATTCTGCGAGCGAGCTCTGATGGCGAGTTAAGTACGTGCTCGCCATCTTTGGGTATGTACGAGCCGACTGCTGGTGCAGCTACAGCTCGGAGTGTTTTTGTTGGGGAAATAAGCGCGCGCTGTGGAGTGGAATGAAAAGCGCGAGCTCCAATGTATTTACATCGAGCAAATTGACGAAGAATAGATGGCCTTATTTGAAGGGCCATCCTTTTCTATACAGCCTTGAGAAGGTCTCCAAGGTTTCAAGGTTTCAAGCTTCTTGAAGGAGGGAAAAGACGAGGTCACTGAGGTAGCTAATGGAAGACAAATATCAAGATCATTTCAACTTCAGGAATCAAAAACGAGAAACATACTCGTCGCGTGTGTTCTGAGTGAAAATCATTCACTGACTCGCTCAAATCTTGGTCCAATTGCGATGATGACAACTGGAGACGTTATTTTTTCGTTTTTTTCGCAACTTTTGACCAAGCCACCAATTGCGTGAGAAGCTTCCAAAAGGGGAAAGTATACTCATCAGTAAGCACTACTAAGTGCCGTTGAACTCCAAGACCACTAGTGAATCACGATAGAGTTCACCCTATAATTCGACGTGGCAGGACTTTCACGTGGTGAATCCTGCGGGAAAACTTCAATGGAATTGATGTGGCAGACTACAGAACTGCCGCAGTGTTCCGGTATGAAAAACTAACCAGCTAGCCAGGGAGACGCTGAGAACGTGTGTAAACTATGTCCGAGAGGGGCAGGGGGAGCAAAGAAATATGCTAGACACTGGACGGGAGAATTCCGAGGTGCTTGGGTCACATACTCTTCCAGTTCAACAGCGCTTTAGTGAATAATGAGCATCCTGTCACTGAAAATAAAACATGCTGCCAGGTCAGCAAGCTTCAAACATTCGAAAAACACTTGATGTCCCCGCGGAATCATGCTACCGGATCTGCAACATTGTCACGGTCGTCCGTTCATTGGATTGTAAAATTGTCCGAGTGTTGGCTCCGTAGTGATTAGGTTTATCGAAATACATAACATTGGAATCTGGTAGATGCGTTGGCGCTGGGACGCGTCATAGGTTCTTTTCGTTCAGTCTATTCCAATATGGAATACACAGTGCACGGGAGCTCAGTCAATGTCGATAACGGTAACTGTAACTTGTCTCTGACTGACATGGGCAAGAAGCTGCCATGTGCTATTCGTTCGATGCAGAAGGAACAATTGTCTTCCTCTTGTTGGGTCTGCCTACGGAAGAGTAGGTCGTTAGAGGAGACCCTGGAAATCACTGCACCCATGCCTAGAAGTGCAGGGACGTTCTGAGTCAGCGGAGGGTTAATGGAGGCAAGTAATTTGTGAATCATGATGCCCTTCACCTCAAATTCGTGCTTTCTGTCCAGGGATCGAGGGAGAAAGAGGCGGGCTTCTATGCTCCTTCTCTCCAGACACCACACCACTTCCGAATCCTCGCTGCCCAAAGCATCGGCATCGCGGGCTAAAATTGGTAAAACGCGAACACAGACAAATTGGGTGACCCGCCCCTTTTCTAGCTTCTGGCGCGTCATAGCATGGTAACGACTGCGCGTTTTACCAACAAGACATCAAGGTTTTGTTCTTTTAGGCGTCCCAATCTGGGAGACACTCAACCAACGCGATCCTCGCAATGTCCGTCGGTGACAACGACAACTGGTCCCGGGCGTCTTCCTCCGGCAATACCTCCGGGGCAGCCTTCTCGCAGAACGCACTAGATCCGTAGGTCGATGGGCAAAAACCACGTAGAATATTCCCAGTTGAATCCCATAGGTGCGGGAAACTCGGAGGCGCTGCGTCACTCGCGACCTCGAGCCACGCAACAAGCTTATGCATTATTGCCGAAGTCTCCCTTGAACATGTACCCTCTCTTTCCTGAATGGTTTAACCACATCAAAAAGTCGATAATCAGTTTCTCTCTTATACACAAACTAGAAAATAATGAACATCCACACCCCTCTCAGCCTCGGTTGCTTTGGCACTTGTTGCTGATTTTGAGTACTATTGGATGATTTAGCATATTATACTGGGGTAGTAAGATGAGAGATTTCTGTGATACAATATGATGCACGTCAAGTAGCAACTCTCTTCGCTCTTTTTCTCTCCGGCTCTTCATCTCGCGATCTCTTGTGACTAGAGGATGCAACACTTTCATCTGTCGACCACAATGTCCCCTCGGCATCAGATTTAGTCCTGCGAAGCGGTCAATACCTGGGAGAAGAGCCTCGCCAAGAAAACCTACGTGTAATTCGAGTAGTCCGAGTCCGAGAGACCAAGCTCTCTATTGGATTCATTCACCTGCTCCCATTTCGCCAGGCGCGCCTTCTTCCTCTCAACTTTCAACCACCTGATCCTAAACCTGCGCGGCTCTCTCTCCAGCCGCGCCGTTCCATCATACAGTTCCTTCTTGACCTTCATTTTCTGGAAGTAAGAGATCTCTAGTTTCTCGCGCATCATGCACGTTTCGCGTAGGTCAGGCATGACCGCGGCCATAATGGTAGCAGCACGGTCAAGGAGGCGCTGTGTCTCTAGGACCCGAGCGTCAAGGGCTGGCACGCTGTCAACGAGCTTGGTGAATGTACACAAGGAATCGCGCGTTTCCCATTGGCTGATTCGAGGGTGGAAGTTGTCGTTCGAAAGGCAGGGGTTCTGTGCACTTCCGTCCATGTCAGGGTATAAGTTTGCGATGCGGGGAGTATGAGATAATCACCTTTTGTAAGCTCTTGATGTATTTAAGATGCCACAGTCAGACAATCCACAGAACAGCCCATACCTATTGTTCTCCAGATAAGTGTCATGCTGTGACCTATGGCGTATTCAAAATGAGGTATATGCCCCGGCTGCTTGCTCGTTGTCACGGTACTCGATATGGTGTATAATTCTGTAGTAGTCTTGCTTACTCTACGAATACATGGCAAGATGGCCGAGCGGTCTATGGCGTGTGACTCAAGCGCAAGCTTGCCTGCAAAGCAGGTTTCTCATCCTCGTAAGAGGGCGTGGGTTCAAATCCCACTCTTGTCATTCTTTTTCTCTTGTCGTATTTTTCTTACTTACATGCCTTCACTCCAGTTTTTACCCGAATCTTTATGGCTGATGATAGGAGGGCAGCTCAATTTTGATAAATAGGCGAGATTCTACTACTGATCGCAATAACGTAGCTAGGCTACTTGCCACAATACGAAACTGCTCCCGGACCCTTGCTTTGACCGCGGACTTGTGTGGCTGAGTTAATCTAATCTATTGTTCTCTGGTACAAGCATACAAGCAAGTCTGTATTTAAGTTGTGGACAGAACAGTGCCACAATGCCACATCACGTATCGACCCAAAGTTCCACTGTTTCGCGGGTATTCTATACAGCTACAAATAAGATCTCCGACATCCAGTACCATGTCTTTCCATCGAAGCAACCGTGCGTTAAGAGTCACATCGCCCAAAATGAATGCAGTACCCCTCCCTCAAGGTGCGCACACACCGAAGAACCCAATCCCGGCTCCATATCTAGGGAAACTCGACATGGACGAAGCTACACTCCGCAAGCTCTCCCGTGCACAGCTGCAAAAGCTAGCTAAAGTGTGTTTCGCGTTTCTTGTCCTCAATGTCGCAGTCACTGACCTGAAAACAGGAAAACAAGGTGAAAGCCAACATGAAGAGCGAAGTGATTATTAAGGAGTTAGTAAAGCTCTGCAAGGTTGTTCTGCTGCAGTAGGTCCCCTGCTTCATGTTCGATACTATACATGTTCCTGACGATCACTCAGTCAAGATGAAGAGAGCGAAGAGCCTCCGAGAAAGAAGTCGAGAAAAAGTGAGGAGAATCCTCCAATTGCTGGCCCTTCGACCCGAATCATAGACGTACCGATGGACACAAGTCGTGAGTGTCATGCCTCATGGCGTCGTGCAAGAAACCTACACTTGACCAGTTGAACAGCTCCCCACCCAGGAAGATTCTCTCAAATCTGCGTTGACCACAGAAAACACTGCTCCAATCATAGCAGCCGGAAATGCTGCTGACATCGCTGCTGAAGGTCCAACGGGAAAGTCGCGAGGCCCTTCACCAGTACTGGAAAGTCATGCTGGGCACCCAGCTGCGGAGGATGCCACTAGTGATTCGGGCTCCGACTTGTCCTACGCAAATCCGGGTCAGCAGAACTACTATAAATCCCCCGTGAGCTCGCGTGCAGGGACGCCTCCGCTCGAAGAACCGATGATGCTCAAGCGGGCGGTGAACATCATGGACCAGATCACTGCTGACGACCAACGCATTATCGCCCAGATCGCCACTCTACGCGAAAGAGCAGCGATGCTAAAAGAGCAGGCAAAGAAGGTGAGGGACGTCGTTCGCGCAGAGCAGGGGCGGCGTGTGAGATTGGAGGCATACTTCACGTACTGGAGAGAGATTTCGCCCAAATGGCCGAAAGATTGGATATACAAAGAAGGCGAGGAGGAACAGATCCGGACAGAGCAAATGCTGAGGACTATGACACCACCGTATGCGCTCCGTCGTCCTTCACTTACTTGCATTTCTGATCATTTCTTTTATAGGTTGCCCTCAATAGGTCCATCAGGACCACCCACGTTGCCTTTCGACAAAAGAGATGCGCCGTGAGTTCCCGTTCGCGGTTCGTTTATCCAATCCAGCTGACGGCGGATATTAGGGGCGGGCGTATGGAGTTCAAGTTGAGACGTCATCATACGCGGCTACAACAAGGAGCTTGTGAGCAGGGGGGTGGGGCAGCTGCCCCTCCTGCCGAAGTCGAACGGCTGAATGAAGGTGCCAATCGCCTGCCTTCGCCACAGTCGAGCACTAGTAGAAGAATGGCAAAGCGAAAAACTTGCGCTTGAAAGATTCATGGTGGTACTTCGAGTTTGCCCTACAAATTACTATACCCACAAGCTATATTCATATATCACTCACAAGTTGTATTGCGATGCTTTGCAAATTAGCTAGCATGACGCCTACTCGTCCAGTTATCTCTGAACTCAGGGCCTAGCGGAGCCCCAGTCTGATTCAGGCTGTGTAATATTTCAGCCAGTGCTAGACGATCAGAAAAGACGATAAATCTCGCACCGGTCAACTCAGCCCCAAGACCTACTGTACTTTCTCTGGAGTCTGCAAGTCATCATTCTCACAGGTAATGATAAACCAAGGACGAGGCTCATCTTTCATACGTCGTCGTATGACTGATACATTAGTACTAGTGCTTATGATATCTGGTGGTTGAGTAGTGTCGAAAGAAGATAAACCAGTTAGGAACGACTGGCAGAATTCAGGAAGTGACTCTAAACTATTCAAAGCTACTTCCGATTCGATTCATATATAGATTTCTGGGATATTAAAGAAACAAAGGGAGGACTCGACAAAGGAAAGTACAAAGATCTCTATAGTTAACTGTGCTTAAGAGCTCTTCCTTTTGCTACGAGACATGATATTATAAGCAAAATGCACGCATCGAAAGAGACGTCAACCCACAGGCCTCAAGGGGAGGCCCGCACCAAAGCCTATCACATTCGCCTGCCCAATCCGCCACGTAACTATGAGACCAAGTATGTACCTAGCGATGGGGATGAAAGGGGGGGGAGCAACAGACACAAGTACGCAGACATAAAAACAGCACAAATACTACATGGGGCACGATACAATAATAAAAGCAGTCGCAGGTTGTGTCCGAGTTTGGGATTTAATGAGGAGAAGAAAAGAGAGGCGGCTTGAAACTTGCGGAGTTGCGGGAGCCGTTTAGTTCACCGCCCCCTCTAAATGAAGGACGAGCGAGATCACCGTAGTCATACGGCGATGGGAACTGCCTTCGTTTCTTCCTTCTTCCCTCCCGCAGCCTTGGCCTCGTCAATCGCCTTCTTCGCAATCTCCTTCTGCTTCTCGATGTCCTTAAGCTTATCCTTCACATCCTGCGGCTTGTTAAATGTGACGCTTCTGTGATGGCTGTGAGCACCCATACTCCCTGTCTCTGGCGTCTGCACATTAACAAGGGGCCCAGTCGTCGACAGGCCACGGTGGAATGTAGACGGAAGGACGCGGCCCTCTGGGTGCTGGAAGGGGCAAGTTGCGCGCGTGCAACCTGTACCGAAGCGACATTGCTGCGCGAAGTGATTTGTCTTTGGTGGATGCTGGTACGGACAATTTGGGCGCGTGCAAGCACCACCAAAACGACATGTGACGGTGTGCTGAGGGGGCCCACTAGCGGTGGCGGGAGGTGCTGTTGGGGTGTGAGTCGTGCCTGCACCTGGTGATGGATAAGTTCGTGCAACTTTCATGGAAAGACAAAGAGATGACATACCAGGGTGATTGACAGCGGGGCTGACGTGGGACTTGATGCAGTCCTTGTCTTTGCAACTCTTACCCTTCTCGCACGCTTCGGTGCTGAGTACAACGCCGCTCTCAGCAGTAGCAACAGGAGACGGGTGGGAATACCGGCACTGAGAGTTTGTGCACTTTATTCCGAATTTACAGAGCGTGGGCGACTGCGGGCGTTCGGGGAGGGCGTACGCTGGTTTTGGGAGTGCATTAGATGGCATGGCGCTTGCAGGAAGGGGAATGGGCGCCGCTATTGGTGTGGCTTGTACTGGTTCAGGGATTACTGGAGTGGGAACCGACACAAATGCGGGTACTTCCTCGATGGATGGTGGAGCAGGTGACGAGCCTACGTGACCACCCCGTGAACCCCCTCGCCCCCGGCCCCCTCTTGCTCCAACCCGACCTCTACCATTCACCCCATTCTGCTGGAAACTATGTCCATTCACACCCGCGCCACCATTGAACATCGTTGCGTCTCCACCCACCTGCATTGGGTTGAACCCAGGAACACCCATAGCGGGGTTAAGCATGCCCATCGAGTTCGCCATCTGCGCCATAAGAGCCATTTGATTTAGCATCATCTCTTGTAGAAGTATAGGGTTTGCCTGCATCCCCACGCTCATGTCAGGCATCCCCATACCATTCGGGAAGCCCATCATCATGCTCGGGTCGGGTGAGGTGTTTGTGATGTTGTCAATGCGTGCTTGAACTTCATCTCTCCCACCTTGGAAGCGTGAAGCTGGAGCTGGGCCGCCGACGCGATCAAGTAGACTACGTTGGGCGGGCGGTGGATTCTGCATAGCTCGAGGGCCGGTGGGTAGGTCCGTGCGTCGGGACTTTGTTGGATGAGTAGATGGTGAGGGCGAGCGGAGACGCTTTTGAGAGGTGGAAGCAAGAGTTGAAGAAATGGCTTGTTGGTATAATGGTGCACCTGCGCGAGGACCATTAGGCGGCCGGCGCGTAGGCTCGCTGGAGGGTGGATGGGGCACAGGTTTCGATTCAATGGGTGTTTCTACAGGTGTTGAAGATGCAGCAGGTGGCGCTTCAGATTCCGGCGCGCCTTTGGCAGCTTCAGCGAAGAGCCAGTCTGTAAAACTGGGATCTGGTAATGTTGTCAACATGTCAAAACGCACAAATCACAGAAAAACACACCGAATTCTGGGCCAATTACTGAAAGCATGGTCAGTATTGAGATTTGGAACGTAAAAACGCCACTTACAATCCTCGAGTTCCGAAGTTATTTGTGCTGTGCGACGCGATAAGCCAATGTCAGCAAGGAAGCTCTGAATGCCACATACCTGCAGTTTTGTTGTTTATAATCATGATAGTAATATATTCCGCCATGACAGGATCTATTCCAGCAGTAAGTATGAAAGACCTAGCAGCGAAGAAGACTGAGCGCTCGCCAGCATCGGGACTGAAACTACGAGCTGTGAGTTCATCCTGAATGGATTTCTAGACGAAAAAAAAAGAATTATGCTAAGAAGGACAATAGTAAAGAACAAAGACACACTTGTAGAGCGGATGCACGGTCAGTTCCAATGATAAGGCCGAACGGCATAGTGGAATAAGTGTGACAACGACGAAGCCAGCGACTCTTGCAAACTCCCGCTACTGTCTCAAACATGACTAAGCAGATTTCTTAATTAGGCCAGCTGCCTCGGTGCCGATCTCAAAACTTGAACAAATTTGCGGGTCAACAAAATTAATTACTCTGTATCGTGACTCGCGGAACTCGTAGATAATTTTTCGTACGTGGTTCACCCTGCACGCTTGCAAAGAGACTTTGTTGTCGCTGGGAAATCTCTTGAACTTCAGCAAATTTTCGCCGGTCTCAGTGTTTCCAATCCAGGTATAATGCGTTTCGGACATGTCTATGGGGGTATAGACCACACCCAAATCTCCACTCTCGGAGATGGTGACCTCTACATATTTAAAGCTATCTCCGTTCGCATCAAGGGCGACAGAAAAGACCTTTTTACATCCTCATCTGATCTACTGCGACGACACGAATCTCAAAGCGGATCCTCACACAGGTGACTGTAACAGTCTCTGTGCAAGGCCTACTTTGTTCACTGCTGGGGTATTGGAGGATACTCGTGCTAAGTGAGTTCAACGAGAGATGCCATCATACAAGCTTGCGCATTTTGCAAGCAGGAATCTCGGGAATGACAAAGTACGCGTGCACAGACTCCTGATCAAGGTCGAGGTGTCGACAGCCGATCTTATATCAGTCGTGTAGTCTGCAAGGTGGGGCACAAATTTGATATCGATTTGTGCAGGTATGAGTGGAGGACCTGACATCTCTGAGCCGTGAGTTCATGTATTTATATTATTTAATACATATGGATATTGGCATCTACCAGCAAGCTGGGCATTTGGCACACATCGAATGCCTCATTACGACTCATGGAACAGAGAAATCATGGATTTGCTGTCTGTATGCTATCCTAGATAAGGCAGACGCAACTCTAGAACTAAAGACCGGAGAGTGCCGTCAGAGAGTAGAGCACATGGGCGCCAGGGAAATCAAAAAGCATATCGCTTTGTCCCTGGTCCTTAGCAAAACATCCAAGCGTGAACGCCAAGAAGCTCGTCGAGCGTGTTCCCTCCGTTGAAATGCCGTGCAGCGCTGATCACGAGCCTCTGGTTTCAGTTCGACAACGCGGCTGAGGGCCGGTGGACTGAAATCTACCTAGTACTGTATTAGACATCTGTCAATATGTATCTCCGTCATGGTCGGGATCTCGCAATAAGCATGCTATTCAGGGGAAGCAGGACAAACGGAAGGAGCTCACCGTCGGACCTCGCCGCGGTGCACCGGCACCGTCACTACCGGTCGTACCGTAAAGGCACAAACCCAGCAGAGACTCCTTCATCAACGAGGAACAAAGCCTCCTTCTGCCTCATTTCGTTAGCGCGCAAGCCACGCGAACTGACTCAATCCAGTTCATCCAGAAATGAGCACGATCGCGATCGCACTCCACTGTTATATTGTCTTCTTCTGCGGCTACCAACAACGTCGGCCTCCTCTACGGCCATCATATCGTATTGCTGGTGTTTCCGCTGGTCGCGGGTCCGTAGGGAGATAATATGACGCCAACAAGTGAAGCCCCAGTAATTCATGGTAAGTGTAGAACTGACTCGTGTGCACCGCATTTGCAATTGATTTAGAAGGATATTAGCACGCGTGCGACTCGTTGGAGATGCCCTTGTCGAATTTGGCGGTCGCAGACCACCTGTCCAACGGGACTCGGTGAGTGGTGGTGGAAGGTCAGAGTAGGGAAATGACAACTGAGAAGGCGATGGTAGTAATGCCTGTGCTTAATGTGAGAACCATTGAAACGGCGGTCGGGGACTAACCATGATTTAGGAAGTTGGAGTGTCCCTCCCGCCGCCGATGTAATGAGAGCACTCGATATTGCGGGCGACCCAACAAGCGAGGGTTCACGCCTAGGCACAACGAAGTGGCGGCCCATGATTACTTATAAAATAACATGCGTCACCCACGTAAATTTAACGGCCTGTTTCCGGAGAGGTTCGCCGTGCAGGGTCACCTGATAAAACATGCATAGTAAATGTCGTATGTATCCCCAAACATGAAGAGGCAGTGTGTAGAGTACCTTCACGGAGATCCCGTCTGGAACACGCGGCGCGCGCAGAGTCCATGAACCCTCGATGGACTCATACATAATCCATACTTTTCCGAGGCGCAGGCCAAAAAAAGATCAAGGTCCGGTGGGCGCATCAGAGAAAACTACGCCTGCCGCAGAGATGAACACATAGAATTTAATACCGTCTTCACTACGATCATATATTAAAGCGAGTATGAGAAAATCAGCAAAGCTGTACCCGCAGCATATTCATGTGAGTACACTTACTTCTGAGCAGGGTGAAAATGAAACGATCATCTGTTTGACCATCAATGATGTCACGGTCGGACATCTGCTTCGGTCTAGGGTCCACCACCGCCATCGCTATCAAGGGTGAAAATAGTGTCTGCCTTGCCTCGTGCTCGCGTCTGTAAAACATTGAATAAATGGATTTCAAAGGGACATAGATAGACCACGATTAGGAGTGGCAGTACTCACCCATTTAAAATACTCCTTCGAGCCGGCGTGAAATGCACACCGAACCGCGCGCATGATAGACCAAAAAGCATATCTATCATCCGCATTCCGACTCAGACCAGTATGACAGTGCAGCATTGCAATGTCACACATGTTTGTAACGGCTCTCGAACCATATTCCCGAAGTAACACCGCGATCATTATTCAAGGTGCCGATTACAAAAAACAGGTCTTGTCCATAGCATCAGGATCTTCCACCTATTGAAATTCGGTCCGCGCCGTAGATACCCAGAAGGCCCTGAAAAACCATTAGACGCAACACGCTGCTACGCCGAGAATGGAGAACATACTTATGGTGTGGCACAGCCTCTTGCGCCTCCCTGACAGAAGCACCCTCAGGAAGACAACACGGCGTTGCAGAAGGGGAGATCGTCATCTGTGATGCTCACAAGGCTCGACTTTTCTGTGATCCAATGTGTAAAAAGTCTAAGCGTAGGTGAATCGGCAACAAAGGAGCAAATGGCAGGTTTTCCGACTTTCCTCCTGTATAAGACAGATCTAGAGGCTCCTGTCAGGTCTGATGTCATCATATCCGGGGGAAGAGCGCTGAGGCACGCCGTGGGTGTGACCGTCACCAATTTGAATAAACGTGAAAGAAGCGTTCAAGCTCGTGTTGTAACCAGGTTGTAACCGTGATAAACACGGTTAACACTGGCGAGCACTATTTCGCGTATTGCGCAAGCATCCCACTCACGACACACCCTGCCAGTATCCTGTCGCCAGCCTCATACCGAGAGCCGATTTCGTCAAAAAAAAGCCCTGTATGACCAAATCCGATCAGTCTTAGCTCTGCAAAGAGGTTCTATCTGGATTCTGCTGATCTGATCAAGGGTTTTGCACCTTCGTGGTGTGCCCCGGCTTGTCATTGGATCTTGTCGATCCTCGGATATCACGCAGTCTCTGGCAAGACTTCGATTAGTGCTTGAGGGCAAGATTGACAGGCAGCCCGTTCAATCTCATGCGAGTTGCGCTACATATGAACTTGCCACAGGCGCACCCCTTGAGTAAATACACCTTCGAGGCCTCGTCAGTGAATCAGAAACTTCCCTTATCATGAAAATTTCCTCGGCTCGAAGCCTCGCGATAGACTGAAAAACGACGTACGTATGTAGTAAATTTGGTTCTTCAAGCGCAAACGAGGGCAAACGTCATAATCAACATCCTTCTTTCGGCTAACTCAGAGCATGACGGATCAGACACTTGTTTTTCATTCGGCCGATCAGAAGAAGCTCTGAGGTTTGTCGGTTATCGTCGGAGCTGCCGACCTGAGCCCTGGTACCCTTGAACGTGGCCAACGTCAGCCAATTTGTCTCGTTTGCGCGAAACCTCGTGACTCCCAGCTATTCGGTAACGGAAAAAGGCAATCCAGTAATGTAGTACTTACTACTCAGATATACATCAAACGTCAGGCTACAATCGGGACCGCAGGGATGATATCAGATAGGATTGTGACCATGCTACAAGCCATACCATATCTCGAAGCTAACACTATCCCAGACGCATGGACAGTGAGAGTCTCCGCATGGAAATGTGGAAAATATATGCTTGCTAGCTTTGATGAATCTTGTAGATAGTTGTGGCATTAAGTCTGCAGGAATCTGCTCCGCCACGCTTTGTATAAAGAGTGGTTAGCAATCAACAAGTTTTGAACCGTCGAGCCGGTTCGTAGAAGATCGTGGAGAAGCTGATAAGCGCACTCGTTGGACTTCGAGCAAGAAAAAGTGTTTTCAAATAATGATGAGATCGGGGATGAATACGTTCTTCTGCCCCGCGGAACGCCCATGAGCGTTTCAGAACTCCCCACGGCTTGCAAACCTTATCAAACGAAGTGACTCGTTAACAAGGCGAAGTCCTCTGGCAAACAAGACCGAGAGATCCGCGTCGCGATATGCAATGCTTCGTGACTCGTACTTGATGCACCGGTTTCTGGTAAATAAACCATTTGATAGATAATCATGGGAGACCTTGGTAAGTATCAATGGCGTGCTTTCTGCCAGTGCAGCGCTGAGATACTAGTACGACCAGCATCAGAGGCCATACTCTATTCACCGACCTTATTGTTCGATCAGAAACTTGATGTCCAATAAGTGGCAATACGCACTGCGGTCAGCTCGATTGCCTGATGTAGAATGAGGGCGCGCTGTGGGTGTCACTGATTAGGGCTAGCCCGAGGGAATCGCAAGCTGGTTTTGGATGTGTATGTGGCGCAGCGGCGTGACAGTAAGTCGGGCGGCATTTCGAAACAACAGCGCTTCCGAAGAATGAATAGTTTGAAACTGCATTATTCACGACGTAAGGGAAAGTTGATTTGAGCCAAGTTCGAGCGCTAATGCACCCACCATGGTATAAGAAACGAGTCCAATAACACGAGACTACGAAACTCCCACAGTCTCGTGTTTCGAGTTGTGACACAAGGCTTGAGCGCTTGAGCATACATCGTTTCTTGGATTGCAATCCGGATTCTGCACTCGCTGAACAACTTCTGAAGTGTCAACAGGATGTCAGACTCGTGATACTCAGTGTGCCGTGTTCGTCTGACGTGTCCTTGGCGCCTTCAAGTCTCAGCCATCAAGATAGGGAAAGCCACACGTTTTGCCGCACGTTGCAGAAGAGCTGCAAGAAGTCCAGCACGCAAACTGAGAGTGGGGGTATCACTTAGTGAGACGGGTCCAAATAGAGGCTAGTCCTAGTTTTGGAATTGCGGCGTGACGTTGTCCATTTCTTTGTTCTAGAATCGTTGAGGTTCGTGTGTGGTGGTGGACGAGCGCAAGTCGCTCATTAAACTCGCCTACATTCCTAAGATGAATTGGTGTACATATTCAATGAACTCGTTTAATTTTCATAGCTTCAGCAGCCACCCGTAGCCACATTGTATTTTGCTCATAAAGTTATGTAAACACACGAACTTCAAGTTAGTTGGAATTCTACTCGGCTCTTGGAGAAAAGGCAATGCCTGTTGTATCGTGCCATCATGTATTGACTGCCGACTGATAGCCTCGTAGACTTCCCTCTCCGTCCTCGAAGAACACCAGAAAGATTGTCGACTGTATGATGCACTGGAATGCACGTATGCGGCGTTCCGTTGGTATTGACGTTTTCGTAGTAGTCGTATCATTTTGTTTCTATTCCTCTCTAGTGCAGCATCTTCCCTGATATACAAACCCTCTCGCAACGACGAACAAACGACAACAAATGCAAACTCACCAACACTCCCAGCAACTCTCCCGCTGAGGCGACCCACAGGAACGGCAAAACACTAAGTAGTGTAGCTGTGGAAGGATAATTTCGCAGCACGTGAACGACATGCGAACGAGACATCCTGAGACGCGCGCATCAAGACTCAAGAGGAAAAATTGAGTGAGATAAATAAGGATCTGTCACCTGTAGATCAGGCGGCGCCCACCAAACAGCTGAAACGGCATGAAGGGGCGCCACAATCGGAAGCGCAAGGGACGAATATGTCTGTATTGATATTCAAAACACGAAAACCTGTGCCCAGCACGTCCTATACCCATCTAGGGGGCACTTATCATGTTACGACAGGAAGCCTCGAACGATGCACTCACGTTGAAACTGAGTCAAGGGCCTAGTCTATTGGGGCTGGGCGCTCATCATCGCTCACGATGAGTACTCGTACTAGTGCATTAGACTTCAGTTCTAGGCGCTACCGATAAGCTCGATCGGCGGTTCGCCACTCTTCGCAAGCGGTCATTGATGGTATCCCAGGGCGGGGCTGGTTCGCAATTCTATATGGGTAAATATCACAACACGTGTAATATAGTTGAAACTTACATACAGTGGACCTCGCAACATATATGATCCAAGACTGTTGAGCCCACAAAACGTGTCCACTGACTGGCTAGCTTGGCATAATGATACAATACATACTTGTCCGCCGAGTAGTTCACAACACTGCAGGTTTGTTGCAGGGTCGAGGCTAGATGATACCGCACTTGAAGCTTGATGGAATACTGATTGCGGCATAAAACACGCATCATCGTGGGTGCCAGTGTCCTGAACTTTGAACGAGGGCCTCGTTCAGGGCGTTACGAGGCACAGACGCCCTGATCCTGAGCTACCGCGGCGCCGATCTGATGATATCTTACGTCAACAGCACGTACTTACGTTCCTGTGAGAGCACAGCAGAACGGAGATAGTTAGATAATCCGAGTCATGAGACGTGAGCGTCAACTTGTACTACTACTGGAAGTCTGATGCGTACTGACGCTGCACTCCCAACTGCAGTAACACAGGTCCAACGTTTAGGTCAGGATGTAATGTTCGAAGCTAATACTACCCGAATGATCAATTACTGTTCTTCAGCCGTCGTTTGTGGGGCGACTGGGGAAAACGCTACATAGTAATGAAATGCACGTGGATCATGCCCAGGTCCGAAGGGGCCCGAAGTTGCCCGAAGTTGCCGCGTCAAGGCAGCCGCAAGAATCTCCACTCCGAGTTGCAAGTCAGGATCCTGCAACATTCACGGAAAATGGGGTCGAGAAAGAGTAAGGATGAGACAGCAGTTTCGGAATAAGAAATACCCCACCTCAAGTAAACCTGCACCATCCTGCTCGATGTGAGGCTCAGGTCAAGCGGCTTCCCAGTTATCATAAATAAAGTTCCTATCAGACGCAGCGGAGATATAGAAGCATACCCAGGCCGATTCTGTGGATCACCGCGCTCGCGCACACCATATGAGCGTATCACAACTGGAGGACCTAGCAAGAACACGCTGAGAAAGGCATTTCTATATTGTATTCTTAGCGCTTTGCCAAATTTCGACTCGATAAGCAATTCGCGTGGTCAGATGAATGATGGGCTACGTACCGCCCCAAGTTAGCAGGACTCTAGTAATCGAACGGGGGCCCGAGACGCCATCGATGTACCAACTCCCAAATGCGTCACAGTTCTTTTATCTTATCCCGGACCGCGTCTATGACTCTTGTGTGAATATTAAATTTATGGTGGGTAGAGGCCTATTAGGCTACGTCATGATCGGTATATGATCATCCATTTATGCTAGACAAGGTGGATTTCCCATGTGCGCAGAGTCATAAACGCCTTTCATTCATGATTCATACTGACTTCTGCGCCACATCAAAGGCCAGTGGTGGTGCTGTGGCTAGATAGAGCTCAACTAAGCAACAGAACAACCGTGTCACGTATCATTGAATTGCAATGGCAGACACTGCAATCAGGTGGCATAACCTGTTCCAGGACGGTCGCTCCGTGATATCGGGAAATGACGTGTGAGGTTTGGTCTCTAGTATAGAGGTGATGGTGATGAGCCCAACTTGGCTGATGGCGCATCACAGGACGCCGACGGCGGACGGTAACAAGCTGAGAGCTATGCAACCCCCGAATTGCACTGCAGTAGGAGTTTTAACACCGCAAGAACCAAAGGCATGGGTGATGCTCGCACGGAGCGCTATGTATAACACCATGAGGCTTAGGCAGAGTATAAAGATGAAGGTTATAAGTGCCAGGGACACGCGGTCGTCTATCTAGTGCGCATCTGACTTTGAATAAAACTCCACACCCGTGGGGTGTGTCTTCGAAGGTAGATAAAAACTTCATTGACGTTATATCTGTGGTAGCGATGAGCCGTTTAGTATGTGAGCGAGATGAGTTGCAAAGCTATCTAAATTACGTAGTCACATATGTGGATAAGTTCGGAAGGGATGTATCGGAAAGGCTGCTACGGATCGAGGACGTATTGTTGGTGAACACTGCCTGCCGCGGATCAAGCCCATTAGGGGGCAAAGCCGTCGCCTCTCTACAAGGGCAGGAAGAGTAAAAGGCTATTTGGTGCAGGTGATTGCTTCTGTCTTCCATCCGGATCATGATACACGAAACAATAGGAGAAAGCAGACGCATACGAGCGTTGTTTGACCAGAAGAAGTATTGTCGGGACAAAAGCTAACCGGAACGACAGCTAACATTTAATTGAGGCTTGTGGGATGTGCCAAAGCTATCCGGTATGGTACCTGGATTGACCGGCGTGGACCCGGATATATCGCAGAGCTAAGAGGGCTGCGGCAGTCTAGGAGGAACTGGAACTTTGCATTGTGCTGTGATATCGGACCAAATGGTGACATGAAGGGCATTGCCACCTTTACCAGGATGGCCGAGAATGGTTGCCAAACCGGTTCGGGAAGTGGCACCTAAGGGTGAACCAGTGAGGGTGGGAGCTTGCTCCGAAAGGCTGTTACCCCAAGAGCCACAGTAAGCGGATGTACATGTCATCACATCATTCGTTCTCAAAATCGTTTACAAAGAAAAAGTTGGCATATATAAGCTTGGGAGTGATTAAATGTTTCGTTGAAATTCCTTTCCACCTCTGCTCTCGACAGCAAGCCCCGAGCCTTCCCGCAGTTTCATAAAGCGGCAACGAGTTTTGTACAGTGATCGCAAATAGAGCTTCTATTGCCCTCGAGGTGATTTAGCGAGACATAAAGATTGGGCCCTTTAGCACGCAGCGGCTGCACGAACCGCTGTAAGAGAGGTTGTTGAATATTAGATTGTGGAACACGTTGGTAACACGGTAAGTCATCGTTCCTGGGCGTGACAATATGTTATGTAATTTTTTTCATTTTTATTTTAAATTTTTTCTGATATGTATTTGCCTCGCGGCAACGGAGTCTATCGAAGTGAGCTTGCCGTTGCAAACCTTCGTATCCCAGGCTCATGGTTTTGGTTCTATTCATTTTCCTTCTTTGCTTTCACACTGCCCCAATTCTTATATACCCTTCGTTTTACCGTCCCATTCTAACCAAACTCCCAGTTGTCTTTTCAGATCACTTTTAGTACTACTGCTCTCCGTTTACCTTCGCGACACCACCGCCGTTCATCACTACCATGGCTGCAGTTCACGGTCCGCTCGTACCAGCTCATCCTTCCCCATTTCGGAATACCCAGAGCGTTCCCCATTCTCGTATGGGATACCATCCAGCTCCCTCTGTAAGTATATTATAAGCGCCCTTTGTTGTATTTTCAACTTTTAAAAAACCATAGGCGCCACCCAAACCTCAATCCACTCAGCCCTCAACTCGGCATTCTGACCCGTTTTATGGACACGAGCAGGCTTCTCGTATGTGCGCACGGTTTATCACCCATCTATTCGCTTGTCCCGAATACCCCCCATCCTCTTCCAACTCCCAAGTCAAGTTACCCCACTTCATCGCTTACGCCTTGCACCGCACTAAACTCCACTCCTCCGTCACCTTCGCCGCTCTTGTGCTCCTTCAGCGCTTGAAGGCGCGCTTTCCCACTGCTCGGGGATCTTCCGGACATCGGTTATTCGTATCCGCATTCATGCTCGCCTCCAAGGTGATCTGTGACGATACCTACTCGAACAAGTCCTGGAGTATTGTCGCCCAGGGTATGTTTCAATTACGGGAGATTAATCAGATGGAGCGAGAGATGTGTCAATATCTTGAATGGGAGCTTAATGTGGATCCGGTCACGCTGAGGGAGTTTGAGGAGATGGTCAAGAAGGATTTTGTAGGACCCGGTCCTTACCCCACTTATATTCTCCCCTCTACCTCCAAGACAACGCCGCCCCCCACCACCAATCCTTTTCCGCCTCCTCCTACAGGCTCAACCCCTACGCCCTCGTACGGGCAACGCTATCCTTCTCCGCCTAAGCCCGCCTTCCCTCCGCATAATTCCACATACATCACACCCCCGACGACGCCGGATACGCCATCACCCTAGTTATTCCACTTCAACATCTCCGGCCTCAACTGCGTCGCCACCAACGCCACCCGCTATGGAGGATTGTACCGCTCGCATCGTCTCCGCATCTTCGTCGCCAGGCATTCCGAAACACGAACCCGTGCCTGTACCACCGCCATCAAAACACAAGATGTTCGCGTTCGCATCGCCGGCTGTTTGGTAGTGGTAATTTATTGGGTGGATCGTTGCCGTTGTTGCAATTTTTTATCAACAGTCATACATTCCTTGACGTTCTCACCCGTCTCGATGACGCTAACATATACATTTTCATCGCAGTCATCACGATCGATCGCGGTGCGTTATTTACCAGGACTATATATACCCTGCAGCATCATTACTTGGCCCAACTTTGTTCTGGGACCCGTGCTTCATTTTACCGCATTATCATCATATGTTGTGTCAATAGTGCATTACAGTATTTCATAGGCATATGTACAACTATACAGAAGAACAAAAAATGCCACAAGTCGCTTTGCAATCTCTGGGAAGAATCTTGAGCCTGATGAGAATCCAGACGGATCACTGCCTCAAGGTATGTCTCACCAAGCGACATGTTGACATGTCCCCGAAGGTCCCCGACTGATCGCTTCCACGCAGATTTTTCCTTCACACACATACCGAGTCGTACGACAACGCCGGCTGCTTCTTACAATGATATGGACACTTTCGTTACTGCGATACGATCACCTGAGCAAAGCTCTGCCGGAACCGATACTAGTTCAGGACGCTACAGCTTGACAAGCTCTCTGCGATCTGCAATGATGCCGTTCTTTGTTCAACTTTAACATGGCATAAAGAGCCTTTGTATTGAAGCGCCACATTCTAGGGACGTAAATCCGCGTTTAGTCGACACAAGCTGACTGCCTTATCCGAGCGCTAGCTACAAAGTTCTATCAGATGTTTCCGATGGAAAACTTCATATGCCCAGGGGCAGTACACGTGTTTTTTTGGGGATGATATTGGCTGATATTGGAACCTCTCGTACTCCCGCATGCCACCTTTTATGGGAAGCAACTCGCTCGCAATGATTGTAGTTGGCTTGGTGTGTTTATCTCCGGCTTTGCGCCTGCAAAATGTTTAGCCCCTGGCCTCAGGCTGCGACACGGCCTGGGTCTCGGATATTGGCTGGTCTGGTCGTAGGCTAGCGTCAGTGATCTTCCTTCTTTCCATTACGCCCAAGAAGTATAATACATATCTGAAGGCATATCTTAGCAGCAAGTGCTACACAGCGACAAGGAACCAAGTATTTATCAACTGTCTGACATTACTTATCTCACAATTGTCAACAGGGAACCGTGCGGGTGCCATCAAAATATCCGTGCGAGATAGACACTGACATAGGCTCTGACACATGTAGTCTGCTATCGGCCCACACAAGAAGTTCATTTTTATCCATTGAGGCTTCTCAGTTAGCCGAGATAGCAGACGTGACTGTATACGGGTCACGTCGTACATGTGGCTTGTAAGGAGCGCTTGCCTCCATTAGCTGAATATCAATCATGGCAGACAGACCCCATCCTAATACCGTCCATTTGATGCAGCCGCACTTCGACCAGGCTGGATCTTGCAGATCGCAAGGCTAATCTCGACAGAGAATTATATCTATTGTAATCTTGGTCCTCAGCGTCCAGGGGCCAACATGCTGTAGCCTCATGTCTTGCTGATTTGGTAACCCTTGGTGCGGCCTTCTCCACAGGGTGGCGTGCATGCCGACAATGTGAGTTCATTCTTTACTTTAGTCACTGTTCAGATGCCAAAGTTAAGTTCGACCATATAGATCATAATGCTGTCGAAGGGGCATAGTGCACGAGTGTTCGTCCTATGCGATCTTCTGTTTCATGCCTAACAGACATGAGGTCGCGGTGCGCAGTGTACGACACGGCGTTCATTGGTTTGTCTGGAATGTTGCTGTGATGATCTTGACTGCAGGTTTTAGGAGAGTTCAACTGCGGTTTGCGGAATGTGAGGCATCTTACCATTACTCCGCGGTCTTTCTATCGCCTTTGCTTATTTTCACATCTCAGCCAAATAGTGCTGGCGCTAGATCGAAGTATCATCTACATGAAATTCTCATCGCGCTGTGGCTTGCATTCCAATCAGAACTTTGTGCGGAACATAAAGCACTGGAACACGACGCACTGGTTAAAGACGTCGCAATCTCGCTGCAAAGAGTATACTAGCCATCTGCCAGATATCGTGCATGCTGTGCGTCGGCATAATCCACCCGCGAAAGATATTATAATCTCGCTGCGGAAGGTGTACTAACCCATCTGCCAGAGAACTGACGAGTTTGTGCATTGCTGTGTGTCGGCCTCCGAGTCGCGGCAGTAAATCGGCAGTCATGTGCCTAACACCGGCGTGCGCACAGATCGTGATTTGAAGGCGCCGACGGTCACCACTTTTACTATCAAGTATCGTTTTCCGGCACATGATGGAATGCTGCATTGTTGGAGCTGGAGGAACTTAGCCATGAAGTTCTGTGAACTGGTATGGGTATGTACAGGTTTCGCCCAATGTGACTTTCCCGAGTATGTTTTTTCCATTTGCAGGGTCCATTCGATATTCGTGTGATGTTTGTGCTATGTCACTGCCTTTCGTTTTCATACAGACTCCTTGTGAGAACAGAGGCGTTTTAGCTGAGTTCTACGCTGCCTCATCCTTCCAGTCTAGTACGCCACTCGATAGCATATCTATCTCCTATCTACCCAACCTCGAATGCAGAGGCGTTCCGAGGCGGTACTTGTTTGGTTCTCCAGTACCGGCCGGGTAATCCTAGACTCGAAGTCCTTCTTCCTAAATTTATCAGATCCGTCTACCCCTTCAATCCTGCACCCTTTATTATCACACGTTTGTATCTTGTGCTGGGAACCCCAAGGAAACACCCCCTTAAATCACCAACTGCCTGATAGATTATCTCCAAAATGATTGGCAGGGATGCACCCGTCACGCAGTCTCGGCGGCCCCCCCTTCGATGTCACTCTGACACACCAGATGACCGGTGACCCTTTGATGTCATCCCTCTGGGGCTACCCTTCCCCACAAATACCTGTCAGAGGCCATTTCAGCTCTTGGAGCTCGTTATCTATAGCTAGGATCGATAATCATTGACGTCTTACTTTGGCCCTAGCTGTCGGTCCCACGTTCTGCGGAGAAGCTTCGAGATGGTGGCGTTAGGCGCCGAGGATGACTGTCCTTGAAGGCTTGGAGGCCGTAACGGTACTCAGAGGGCGCAGGTCATATGCTCGTCATATGCCACAATCGGCTCGAACTGGGATTTTGTTGTTGCGGTGCCTAGGCCTTATGAACACCGTATCAGGTGTCTTCGACTGTTGAAGCTTTTTCATATTTCCATCGGTGTTCTGTGTGTCATTTACTTGACGACCAGTGCACATATGTGCAGTTGGACTGATATTGATATCTGATCACTGATCGCGTCTTTCGGTCCTATGTTTCTTCGAAGCTCTTATAGAAGACGATTGCATCAACATATTCCTCGCCCTCTCCGTCCTTCCGCCTCAAGCGACCAGCCTTAGGTATGAGACCAGCCTTGGTAAAGTTCAGTGTCTCCCACAACCTGGAACCGAAGTTATCAGCGAAGCTCAGATGCCAATAATGATCGTCGAGGCTCACCTAATGCTGGCGGCGTTATTATTATACACTAGGTTAAACACGCTGGCCTTGTACCCCAGCGCCGGTGCATAGTGCAGATATGATTTAGCAAGCACACGCCCATAACCACTGCCACGTTGGGAAGGGGGGACAATAAATCCTGCATTACAGATCTACGGTGTGTATGTTAGTGGTCTAGTTCGTCATCAAATTGCATGAAAGCGGCGGTCCCGGTTGAATACAATACAATCCCTTGCCCAGCAGAAGCACACTCACATGCGAAGATCGCCCAGGGTAGTTGGGTTTTACCTGCGTTATAGATTTCACGGAAGACAAATGTCAGATTGGGGTGAATCAATAGGATCGCGACTGACATAGTAAAACCCTGCAACGCACGCCTCCCACATCCGCCCATCCCTTGCACCATCCAGACTCAGCTGGATCTCCCGCACGCCGCGCTGCTCGCTCTCAATCGCTGGCGGATCTCCTTTGCCAGCGATCGCAACAAGCACGTCTCCGCCGAAGAAGTATAGTCCGAACGCTGCGGGATCGCGGATATCTTCTTGCGGATACGTCTGGCCCCCATCGACTTCATTTGCAAAGATGGAGTGGAGGTAGTTAAATAGACCGGTTTGGTCGCGCTCCACCGCGGACCGATCGATGTGATGTACAGTCACGAAGAATTGGGCCCCGGGATCTGGGTCTACCCGAGGATTGTCCCATAATGTAGCGGGCAAATAAGAGGTCCTCTGCGCTCTGCTGATGACCCCGTAAGCAGACATGATGTCAAGGGACTGAGTGTTTGTACGGGATAGGGATGTGAGTCATGGACTTGCCTTCATTTGAGTGACTTAGGCTATCACTTGACTTCGAAAAGCGAGAATGCCACCTTCTGATCTTACTTACGGACCGGAGAAATACTCACTAGCCGGAAGTCCTAGAGCCCTATGCTCGAAGGAGATACCACTCAGCCTTCCGGACGAGATCAAGTCACAGTGCAGTGCAAGCGCAGTCCTCTGTAAAGTTAATGCGATCTAGCGTAACCTTCTAAAAATGACTGGTTTGCAGGAGTTCTCTATCATCACCAATCGTTACTGATAGCCCTCTCCCTATCCACGGCGGAAGTTGCTCTGTCTCCGTTCCTTCACAGCCTGATAATCCTTTCGTCACTCCGTCACCGAAAAAGACGTATCCGGGAATATAGCGGTCTACGAAGCTGCTCATGATATCGTCAACGGTTACATGAAAAGGTAACGAAGCACCCACGTCTTGACTTGATCATTCGTCATGCCCTTTCCGCCATTCTTGGCCTTCATATTATGCTCCTGCTGTAATCTCCACTTATATATGATAGAGAGCTGTGCGGATGAAGGCCCCTTTATCTTCGAAAAGTGAGACACATGCCAACGGTGCATCGAAAGCGAGGAGTCTACCTGAATGAAAGTATCCAGTGCCTCCCACCATTCCACATATCGCTTTATTTGCTCGTTGACGGCCAGTACGTCATCCACGGACACGAAAGTTTTCATGTCAAAGGTATCAGGCTGGAGAGTCGGGACACGCTCCTTCCACCTTTCTTCGACGAGCTCTTTACTCGTAGGGAAAAACCCTACACACCATCCCTCCAGTACTACTACGTCCACGGGTCCTTTCACCGTCTCACCATGAGATGCGCGGTCCCCCTCTCCATTAAAAAGACTCTTGTCAAAGAACGGGATGTCGACAGTCTGTGCATCTGGGTTGTTGATCCTTTTGAGGCTCTTCAGGACCGAAGTGCCGAGAGGCACATCGTGTGTTCCTGGCTGTCCCCGTCCCTGAAAGAGGATATTGTGGGGATGGCTTTCCGCAAGTCGTTTGAGCCCAGAGTGTGGGAGATAGAGGTCGTCAATAGAAAGAACGGCAACGGAGAGGGCGTGTGGTGGACTGGAAAGGTGTGCACTAAGGCGGGAAGTCAGGAAAGTCTTTCCGCTGCCCTGTGGACCTTGAACGCCTACAAATAATGGGGCTGGTCGTATACTCGCCGAACATCGTGATCGATGTTCTTGCAACTGGTCGAGGACGTGTTGGGCCATGTGCTGCACGGCAGGCGGGTGAGTTTCTTCACTCATTACGTGCAATGCTCGTGGGGTAATACAGCGAGAAAACGTCACAGTTGCAGCCTTGCGGGATGCGGTGGACTGCAAGAGCGTTCTGGTCATGAGACCGGTCACATGGACACGCTATGCTTAGAAAAATGAGTATCAAATAGCATCCCACTCGTTTCATTCAGAAATACCTGCGTACCAAACTGCTCGTGCTGTAGAGACCTTCGCAACAACTGTCACACAACCGTGGGAACGAGAACGAGAACTGTTGGCGTGCTGACCACCTCGTACCAAGTACGACAAGTAGTGGTAGGGCAGAGGAGCACGCTCGCCCTTGGGAGTTCTTGTTACTTGATAGCCAGCTAATGTCAAAAGAATGTCAGTCGAAGCTCATCAACTAGATGGGCTCACCAAGTATGCTTATTTCAAATGCAGAGCCACAATACACGACGGCGATGTCAAAGGAGTTAGATTATCAACGCCGTGATCCATATCCCGTATCGTAGCGATGCTGCGAACTTCGCGGACACGAAACATCATGGAAATGGTACAGCAATAATATAGTCCTGTATTACGATCCAAAATCTATAGGTAGAGAGAAAGTTCCGCATCACAATAAGCAGTAAATAATTTCTACTTGCTCCCGCCGTAACGTGCCTTGCGTCCTATGTCGAACGGAATGTATTTGTACTTAATCATGTGCCTAACAAAACCGATTAAAAGAGCACGATTCAAGAACGTATGTACGCACTGGATTTGCCGACGCATTGTCAATGCGAAGAGAACACAGAAGTAGACCACGAGGATCGGCCAGTAGACTGGTACATCGAAGACCTCGGACACGGTGCAGAATAGTGACACGAGAGTCGCCCTTGTTGCACTTAGCCTAAGGAAATTATGTGCGGTCAGTGACACAAAAAGGGAACGGCGAAACTGATGGTCGCACCAGAATTGCCATTCAGGGAGCCGCCTCACAAAAGGCCTAAATTCGTCATCCCGCTGCGAAGGAAGGACAGGTGCGTTTTGGTCGCCACCCTCCTCTATCTCGTCGGCAAGGAGATCATCTTGAAGTGAAGGGTCGAACTTGGGTTGCAGGAATGCAAGAAGCAAGTTCAAGAGGTAAATAGCCAAACCGTCTGTCATAAAGCCACGTCAAGCATGACCCAAGCAATAAAGCACGAGAAGACTCACAGCAGACTACAAATGCATCCAAGCACCGCATGTATGACTGGTGAGCCAAAGATCACATTTGTAAAGTAAACACACAAACCGATATACCACTGTTTACACGTCACTAGTCAGTTTCGTCCTCTGCGCATGTAATAATTTGTAATTTACCCCCTGGGACAACACAATCCTAAGCATGAAGAGCGCTAGCAGACCCAAAGTCGCTAACCATCGTTGAAGAACGTGAGGAGTCCATCGGTCTAGCGTTTGTTGGTATTGGCGCTGGAACTTCGAGAACGATGCTTGTGCAGAGTGAAAGGGGGTTGAAGCAGGTTCATCCGAGGACATCATCTTTACAGGAATCGTGACGAGGACAAAAACCGAGGACCGAGAACGAGTATGTATGAATTTTGTTGTTTTTCTAGTGCAAGTCGTGGAGTGTCGAATTTGCCGCCCAAGGCAGTTTCAAGCGGCGATCCAATTTATCCCGTATTATCCGCACTGTGCCTGAATAGGAAACGGGTCACTTACCCTTGATTTCTGATTTCCAGCACTACTTCAGATTATTTTATTTTAGGGACTGCGTGGAACGATAGAAAACGATCCTGGCTATCATAATATCGAGTTTTGGTAATTTTAGAGAAGTGTTGTGTATGTCCATGAGTATTTTGCCAGAGGGTCTCAATTTCGGTCAAAACCAGTATAGTGGGTCAGTTGGCAGTACTGGCAAACCCACCACACAAGCTCATGCAATTACTTTTGGGGGAAAACTTGTCAGATGGGGTTCGAATTGATTCAGGTATACAGTTTTTTGTGGAGGAGGCGAGGGCATAGTAGAGGTCAAAAGTCTCAGTGCTTAGGATACGTGGGAATCGTGTAACTCTGAGCACTTATTTCATGTCAACCTTGAGAAGTTCTTGACAGCTCAGCTCAAAATTTTAAGACAATGACCTTTCGACTATGCTCTATGCGATGGCGAAAATAACAAGTCAATAGCTGCTGTGGTTGGCGAGAAAAACACCGGGTGACCCACTACTTGACCTGTTGCTTACTCAGCCACAGTATCTGGAAAATAAATGATAATTTCCCCCATAAGCCATCATAGAAAGTTGGCAATGAAACAAGCTGATCGTGATAATAAGAACATTGACTGCTGTCCTTCTCGAAGGGTAGAAGTACGCGGTGATGAATTGAAAGAGTCACTGGTTACTACAGCCAGCCTAAATGATAAACGGCACAACGGCTTTCCTCTCCTTGGGGTACTCGGGAAAGTTCTTGTGGTACCATCGGTGACCCTTATATGCCCGAGGGATCATAAGCAAAACTTCCGACCAGAGGAACAACCAAGGGGGTTGAATGGTTTTCGCTGTTTCTGAGAGCGGTATGAGAGTGGGGAATGGCGCAGCGGCTAATGCATAGCCAGCCCATTCTAACCACTCGCAGAAGTAGTTTGGGTAGGAGATATATCGGTAGAGGTAGCCATGCGGGATTGCATAGTGCTCCTTTCCAGCTTGGTTCTCGTTGCGTTTGCCTTTCGCTTTAGCATTACGACGGATATTGAGAAGCACCTCATCATGCAAAATGTTTCCCGCGAAGCCACAAGCCCAGAGCATTATTCCAGCCCAGAAATATGGACGAGAGAAGGCCCCTGTCAGAAACGCAGATGCAGCGGGAGATGAGAGGTAGGCACCCATGAGAGCACCGTTCACAATATTGAATATGACAGCGTTGAGGGGGACAATGATGTGCGACTTCGAACGAGATGGTGTTCGCAGAGGGGAAATTATTGCACGGTTAACATAATGGATAATGAATAAGCTGGCGAGGACGACCTGGGGGGTGGACATCGCAGACGGCGATATTTCCAAGGGCGCGCTGTATAGTGCGACGATGAAGGTGATGGGAGAGACTAGCTCCATAATAATCCATGACTTGATTCCATCCACGACGAAGACGCTATCATTGGACGGAGCAAATCTTCCGAACGGGGCATCAATGGCAAATTGAAGCGGACAAATCATGGGTGGGATAAGGAAGAACCATTTTCTTGCCACTGAATTCGAGTTAGTAGGTTGAATTGAATATACAAGCGCTCAGCGAAACTGCTCACCGTCATACAAAGATTCGAACTGCATGTCGTCGTAATGGAACAGACCGTTGGACATAAGGGGTCATGATACTGTGCTGACTAAGCATTGGTGAACCGTGACTTGGTTCACAAACCTCCTCCTGTGCTTGTCCTCAGACCTCCTGGTTGCTAAATCACTGATAATTTCAGTGGCTATTGTCTCGCCAAGGCAATGCCAACCAATGGGTAAGCTAAATCTCAAGCGCACACCCGCTGAGGAGGCCGAGCGTGCTCTCCGCAAGGCTCGAAAAGCCGCAAAGAAGTCAAGGAGGTGGTCACAACTGTCGGAGGAAACAAGCGAGCATGGAGAGCCTAGCTCCAAGCGGAGACACCGAGAACAAGCAACTGATTCTTATCTTGACGAAGATATCTATGGCCCTCCGCCTCCTCCGTCATCGTCATCCGCGCACAAACCTGACTATGACACCATTCTTTCTGAATTGGAGGACGCTCGCTTCAGGGAGAAAATGTGGGACGCTCTACGTGATGATGAACGGTTGGATGGTATAGACGCTAGATTTAACGATTACGCCCATGTTCCCGATAGATGGCGGACGAATGCAGCCAGCAGTGGAAGTCATGCAGACGAAACGGATATAGACCCGCGGTTCATGGACGATAACACGTACGCCGAGTGGATTCGAGAAGGGATGTGGAGGTTCGTCTCTCAGCTACGAGTGGTTCCTTGCAGTTGTATTGAGTGTCCCAATCATAGGCGGAAGCACGTGCGAGAACACGGAGAGGAAACTCGCAGGAAGGCGGAAAGGGCAGCTCGTAGGACTAGGAAGAAGGAGATGGAAGCAGAGGCGGCTAGACTCGAGAAGGTTGCGGAAGAGCGAAGAAAGCAGAAGAAAAGGGAAAAGGAGAGCCGGCGAGAGGAGAATGCTCGAGCAGAGTACGACCAAAAGTGGAAGGATCTCTTGGATCCCAACACTCGGGATGGCTCTCTGCTTTCCTTTGGCGATATACCGTGGCCACTGTTTGTGCCCATGATGCACTCAGATACCACTCATTCAGACTCATCCTCGATTACATTGGAACACTTCACGGCGACAGCAATCTCTGCATTCCTAATACCAATTTCTACAAAATTTGCGCTCGCTCAGGCCGCTGGTGTTTCGCTCCCAACTAACGATCGTGACAAGAAGGAGAAGAAAGAAAAACTACGGGAGACAATGTTGCGGTTTCATCCGGACAAGTTTGAAGGACGGGTCATGCGGAAGGTCCTCGAGGCGGACAAAGATAGAGTAAGGGAGGCTGTGGGGCAAGTGGCTCGAATTCTCAATACTCTGATGGAGGAATAGATTGAAGGTAGTGATTCAGTTGGTATCACAAGTATTTGTGGCATATGGAACTCATTAGTGCTTCAGCTTATACAGAGGTTTGTGCTTAGAAACTAGGTGACCGCAACTTCGCACACTATGATGCCAGTAGATCCTCGTCGTACTGTCAGCATTTGTAAGAGTGAATATCCGGATGACTGCCGGTCTGCGTATAACCGCGCATTCAACCCCAGGCTAACTGGCTCTCGCGGTTACTTTTTTCAGGAGAGGAGCATCAGACATGTCGAGTCGCATTATGTTTCGCACACGGGCGCCTTGAATTTCTCTCCAACATGTCATCGTGTGACGTATCAATTGGCAAAATCCGTTGGATTACTGATGCCAAGTACGTTGTCACCTGCCTTCGTGGTACAATTATTGAACTACACCGAGAAGTACTAGTCAAATTTGGCAAGGACCTACGACACAAAGGTCTGGAAGCAATGTCATGTCTACATACCCTTTGCCCATTGTTTGCTTGATGCTGATCCTGCTTGGAGTTCATGGCACGCGGCTTTGCTAAGTTCGCCTCCGCCATCAGGAGGTACATAATGAACGCAGCCCCTTTCCCACTGTCTTGGTGGGTTCTGTTGCTTGCAGCGGTTCTCTTGGATCCGCATAATCGCGGCTCTCGGACGGCCTAGGTTCTTTATTACCCTGCGTTGGTGGGACTGTCCTATTTTTTGTCCCGCTGTAAAAGGCAACCCTGACGACCGTACTTATACAGGTATCATGTCAAGCACTCGTTGATTTGGTCCCCGCTTGAAGTTTTTTTGGATGGCCAGCAATATTCAACCACGGTAAGTCAGTGATATACTTTCAAGTTTTGATATACTTCGACCTCACAAGCGTAGATCTTCTAACACCTTTGAGTAAGCATCTCGCTTGGCATCTACTCGATGGTAATTCACCAAACACCGGAAATGACAGTGAGGGTCCATTTGTGAGGGGTGCTCTTGGCTATCTTGAACCAACCATCTGAACTATATCCCAAGGTCATTGGGTACACCTGTTGCTTTGGGCTCATGGGTGTCCTTTTGTTGCAATGTTGTACGTCGCTCCGATCAAGTACGCCTGCGTTCCAGTCTGAACCTAGAACAATACCAGTCATCTACTTCAGTCGATTCCCTCACGACCGAGCATGGACGAAAGTTTTGGGTAACATACCGATGTCTCTGTCCAATGAAGTCTTGCTGACACAGAGAAGTGTCTGTGATCTTGCTGCTAGAGACTCTTATCACAGTCTTAGCATTCCACGGTTTTTGGATCAGTGCCACTCGGAACGGGTCTAATCTATCTTGGGTTGCCGCGGTCGGCGTTGGCGGACAACAATTAATCCCTGACCCTCTGTGGTCATATATGGCCTTGGCGCCGCTTACTGGACTTGGTGAGTGATACAAGTTTCAGTAAAGGCAAAATATTAATTGTGGTAGTTTCTTTACTAACACACGGTTTCTTCTGCTGGAGAATTTGGGCTGTCAGGCAATCAATGATTGTTCCTGTGTTAGTTATGATGGTGAGCGCTCCGATAGCCAACCCTTCCTTGATGCTGAACACAGGTCCACTCCTAGATTTCGTTGACGCAATTTGCGATGATAACTTACGGGGGCATAGTGGTAACGATCCATCTGTTCCATGTGTTCGTCCTCCTGAAACAACCCCAGTATGGCTTAATTCCTGACACAGATTCCTCACACCCCATGCCGTTTTACATTCCAGTGAGTTAGCCCGTAATTGAAGTGGACACATTGCTTGAACGCAGAATATGTTAGGTCTGGCTAGTTGGCAGCCTTGTGTGCGATTCAGTCATTACCGTGTACATGACACTCAGTGTAAGATATGGTACCACTTTGCATTTGATTATGCTCATTCGAAAGTTGCAGCTCCTGCAATGCAATGAGAAATCGGGTTTCAAGTACACAAAATCATTGTTCGTGAAACTCATCAAATTGACCATCGAAACCGGGCTGGTAACTACGACCGCCGCGCTCACAGAGCTTGTGCTTGCCATTGCATTCCGGGTGACGACGTACCACATTGCATTGTAAGTGGCGGTCCCCTTCTAGCCAACTCATCCTCATCAATAGCCCAGATTTTATATCATCTCAAAGTTGTAAGTGACTTCATCTGACCTTCAGTCTGCCGTCGGATTCAGTGCTGACATGATTATCTGTGTAGGTATGCTAATTGTATGCTGGCAACCCTGAACTCGCGGACAATGCTGAACAAGTCACTTGATCGACATAAGACTGCTGCCGTCTACGACGACTGGCGTTCAAATTCTCATTCAGGAGGAGCGCACACAGGTCCTTCGAGAAATTCTGCCAGTGTGATACAAATACATACTAGGATTGAGACCATCATAGAGATGGATTCGTACCCTGTGAGTTCTCTTCCTCACCACAGAATGACTGACTCATTTTCTTGGTGTAGGACTGAAAGCATTCCTTGGAGGTATAAGCTATATGTAGTCTCCAGTGGTTGATCTAATGCCCATATGTATATGACAGTCGATTTATTCAAGCCATCTGTATCATAAAATATATTCCCGCAAGCATAGAGTAGAGTAGCTAGAAAGATATTTAGAGTAACAGCGCAAAGAAATTTGGCCTCCTCGTACCATGTACTAACCCTGTGCAACCTGATTTGGTTTACCCGCCTGCGGGAAAGCTTCACCGCTTCAGTCACTCGAGGCAATGCATAATGTAGCGTTACGAATACAGGAGATCAGCTAAACTTCGGGCCCTGCAAGGGTCCCCATCGTCCATGGATCAGAAAAGAGGAGATAGCGAAAGAAGGCCGTGGAGGGAAAAATGCAAATTAATAGCTCTAGGAATGATAGATAGCTGTCGCATCGGGAACAGAGCGGAAGTAGCAAAATTTTTTACTCCCCTTGCGCACTGCAATTGCAAAGACAGGATTAGTAAAATTCCTGCGCTGGAATGGGGGAGGAGGTTACCAGAGGTTGGCCAAAGGAGTGCGAATCTAGTGTTGCGGTAGATACTGTCTGGATTCCACTCACCGATGGAGGTTTGAACCCCAAACCAGACGTAACCAGGGAGACATGGTCAATTGGGATCGATTTTTGTCTGGATCGTAGACTGGGTCCCATAGGGATTTCTCCCTGGGCGCTTCGTAGATCGTCATAGTTGACGCTCGTAGTCTTCCGAGCGTCCATAACGCTCATGCCGGACAGCGTTCATCGATAGATTTAGAGTCTAGACAGATTGATGATCCCGAAGATGGCATGTGGCGGTCAAGTACACGGTGCCTAAAAGGGAATGTGGTGTAGTGGTGCCGTTTGACCGGTGGTTTGGGAGGTACAAGGGCCACAAGGCAGCTCTTAAAAGTTAATTTTTCAGTGGTCTGCTTCGTTACACGATACCATCAACAACTGGCGTAGAAGTTCAGTAGAAAACAAAGAGTTGTTGTGTGGACTACAACTGGTTTTTGTCTCAAAAAAGGTACATTCGGAACAATAGCATCCACACCGGTATCAATCTCCCGCCAAACAACGTTTCTCCACTACTACACCACAATCCGACCTTTTGACATTCTTTCTCCATCACTGAGTCGCTAGACTCGTTTCATTTTCTCCACCATGGCCGACATTGGCCAAATCATAAACGCAAATGCCTCCAGAACGATCACACCAGCTGCAGTAGGCTCTCAGGTAGCCCTGATGTCAATAATCTCGGTAACTTGTTTAGGTCTTCTCCTAGGATGATACTGAATCCTTTCAGGTTGTTACAGTTATCGTATTCAACGTATTGCGACCTAAGAACAAGGTGTGTCTTTTCACCATATCACCAGGTGTATCTATCCTACATATTGTGCAGGTCATCTACGAACCCAAGGTCAAGTATCACGTTGGTGACAAGAAGCCACCGCGGATATCTGACTCCCTTTTGGGATGGCTGCCACCCCTCATACGCACCAAGGAGCCCGAGCTTGTTGACAAGCTTGGTTTGGATGCTGTCACCTTTCTCAGATTCACTCGCATGACCCGATCACTTTACACATCCATTGCTTTCGCGTGCTGTGCCATTCTTATCCCTATCAATGTGGCCTACAACCTCAAGAACGTCCCTTCTACGGATCGAGATATTCTCTCCATGCTGACTATCCGGGATGTCAAGGGTTCTTTCCTCTTTGCACATGTCGTAGTCTCGTACGCGATCTCAGCGCTCGTCATGTTCTTCGTATGGCGGCACTGGAAGGAGATGCTTCGTCTCCGGCAACAATGGTTTCGCTCTCCTGAATATATGCAATCCTTTTATGCGCGGACACTGGCAGTCATGCGTGTACCCAGGAAATACCAAACTGACGAAGGCATCCGCGCCATTTTCGAAAGCGTTCAAGTCCCATACCCTACTACCTCGGTGCACATTGGTCGTAAAGTCGGACGTCTACCGGAGCTCATTGAATACCATAACACCGCCGTTCGCGAACTCGAGCAGGTTCTCGTGACATACCTTAAGGGTGGAAAAATAGCTAAAGACCGGCCCACAATTCGGATAGGTGGATTCATGGGCATGGGTGGTGTCAAAAGGGACGCCATAGACTTCTATACGTATGTACATGTGCTCCATTTGTCGTGACATTGCTAACAATATCCAGCGCAAAACTGAAACGCACGGAGCAAGCAATTGAGGATTATCGTCAGCAGATTGATAGTCGCAAAGCAGAGAACTACGGTTTTGCATCCATGGCAGCGATCCCATACGCACACATTGTCGCTAACTTACTTCGAAAGAAGCACCCCAAAGGTACTGATATCGCTCTCGCGCCGAACCCTAAGGATATTGTGCGTTATTTTAACACTGACCTCTGAATGATACTGAATGATTCTTAGATATGGGCGAATTTCAACAAGACAACTTCCGAGATTGTCCGCAACAAACTCATCGGCGCTCTGTTCTTGGTGGTCGTTTGCTTCTTCAACACCATCCCCCTGTTCATCATCTCTATCTTGGCAAACTTGAGCTCAGTACGATTATTTGCGTTTTGTTTAGTATTCGGTCAATTGAAAGATGTCTCTATAGATATCTGCCTACGTGGGTTTCCTCGCGGAATGGTCAACTGCATCTCCAGGATCATTTGCTTTCGTTTCTGGTGTCGCGCCTCCTGCCATCTCGGCACTTTTCGGTTTTTTCCTTCCCATAATCATGCGTTGGTTAAGCAAATTCCAAGGTGCTCTTACTCACAGCCGGTAAGCTCCTTTCGTCGCTGTTTGTTTATCATTCACCTGGTTCTGATGGATTCTATGGCAGACTTGACCGTGCCGTCGTTGCACGCTACTTTGCTTTCCTTGCTATCTCCCAGTTGATCATCTTCACTCTCATTGGCGTCGGATTCAGTCAGAAATTGTTCTTGCCATCAATTGCTCTTTAACACTGACGCCGATCTTATAGTTGCTGCTGAACAGATTGTGACGGAGATTGGCTCCCATACCAGCTTCCAGGATATCATCGATAACCTGCATAGTGGGTCACCCAGTTATACATTATGGGCTCTATTCATCTTTTGTATAGCCTTGCCGAGTACGATCAACCAGACGTATATCAATCAGTCGTCGTATTGGTTAACATACTTCCCGTAAGTCTGCGTCTGTGCTTCACATGCAGATATGCTTATGCATGTCACCACGATTTCAGACTTCGTGGCTTCTTGGTTATCTTTGATCTGGCGCAGATCCTGAATCTCCTTTGGACGTCGTTCAAGACCCAGTTCGTCAATTTTCGTTATTGTCTGCATGGCGCATACGCTGATACACGTTCCCAGTGTCTTTGGCCGTACACCCCGTGATATCAGAGAGTGGACACAGCCGCCAGAGTTCGAATATGCTATTTACTAGTATGTGCCTTACTTCGACACCTATGTGATACTGATGTCTTTATCAATAGCGCGAATATCGTAAGTTCAAGTTCGGCGACCTGATCTGACACCCAATTCACGTCTTGCAGCTCTTCATGGCCACTGTTGCCCTGGTCTTCGCGCCTCTAGCCCCCTTGGTCGTCCTTGCTGGTGCTATTGTGTTCTGGATAGGTTCATGGGTGTATAAGTATCAACTCATGTTCGTCTTCATCACGAAGGTCGAGTCGGGAGGAGTGGGTTATCTGTTCTCAGCTTGTGATTCGGATTGCTAACTTTAGTGCAGCGGCTTTGGAACATGATGATCAACCGGTTGCTCGCCTCTGTAATTCTCATGCAACTGCTGATGGCCCTGAGTAAGTCATTGCAACCATCAGAGGCTGCGGCTGCCATCTTACACTATTGTAGCCATCGGCCTCCAATACGGTTTCAAGTCTTTCATGTGGCTTACCACGGTCCCCCCAATCCTGTTCATAATCATATTCAAGGTTCAGCTTGACCAGACTTTTTACAAAAAGTTCCTGTACTACATGCCCTCGGAGACCGAGCTTCGCGAAGCACAAGTCCACTCCTCAAGGTCAGATGCTTCTGGCAAAGGGTTGGAGAAGCGCTTCGGTCACCCTGCGCTCCATGCAGAGCTATTTACTCCGATGCTTCATGCAAGGATGATGCCGCTCCTGGCAGATGTCTACAAGGGAAAGATTGGCAGTGACAAGGCCAAGCTTGATGAATATGGTGGTCAAAAATTGGACGCTCAGGTTATCGAGGGTGGCCTGAAGATTGCCGCTGTTGAACAGGTGAACCTCCTATGTCTGCGTCTCAAAACGAACATCATACTAAATATGCCAATTTAGCGCGATCTGGAGTATGATCCTGCCCTTTACCAGCGTGACCGAGGCGAACTGGACTGGGATCAACGGTCCATTACATCGACTGCGATCTTGGGCAATGCTGGAAGCAGCGATAACGCTTCACTTTACCACCAGAAGGCCCATCATTACGCGGCTTCAATGGGCGGAGGTCGTGCATCTCCGGCACCTCCCGCATTCGACCGTTACCTTGCCCAGGGTCCATCGCAATCTCAAAGTGATATAGAGTTAGCACGCATGAACCACAGTGTGGATCAGTTGCCTCTTCTGACAGATCATCAATCATATGGATACTTCGATGCCCGGCAGCAACCACCGCCGTCTCCACTTGCTGGATACTCTCCGGATCGGATGACCCCGCCAGTCAGATACGGGTCACCCGCACCAATGGCAACGCCACCGCAAATGCAATATCCTCCCCATCCTGGAATGCACCGGGTTCCCACAGAAGGCTACAGAGAAGCACCTCTACATCGCCCGTATCCCCACCACCATCAAACCCCGAGTTACTCCAGCGAATCTCCATCACAAAATATGTCTGGACGAGGAGCCTACCGAGGATGAACAATCAAAACTTTTATGAATTATCTCACAAGTACCACCATTCATTCTAATGTGCGCTACGACTGGGCCTACTCTGCCTTTCCTCAATCTTTCATGCCGTCGTTATCTGTTATCCCACTTTCATTTTGATCACGCACATACAATTCGGACTTGAACTAGGATAAAGCAAGTGCAATGGTTACTTGGACGGACAGGCTTACTGCATATATTTTACGATGCGGGAGGGCCTGCCGAATAGTGACTGGCATTTTCTTTGCTGTACTTGTTGCATTTATCTTACCTATAGCTTGTGTATGCGAACTTCCTAACTGCTACTAATAATCAAGCACTTATTTGGCTGACGTCACTATCATCTTGAACCCGCTGTATGTCTAACCTGGATTCCTATGTGAAGGTTGAACGCCCTGCTCCAGAATGTCTGGGTACCTCACAGGAGATTCGTGACCGTGGGTCAGCGTTCGTAGGCAGCGTATATCGCGCTCGGACACCTGAAGAAGCTAAAGCTGCCATCTCCCATCACCGAAATGTCGTTCACGCTGGGAAGAAGGCGTATGAGATATCTGCCTGGAGATGCATGACGCTGAAACACGGCAAGACGGGGCTTGGGGGTCCCGATGACTTCGAGGTGATAACGGGATATGACGACGATGGGGAGCAATGGGCCGGGAGCAAGGTGTCCAAGGTCATGCAGCACGAGGGTGTACTTGATGCTGTTGTTATCGTTAGTCGATGGTAAGTTTCAGTCACTTCGTCTATTTTACGGTGGAGGAGACTTAGGGGAAATTTATACATTTACTCATCATTCACTCGCAGGTTCGGAGGAACCCTTCTGGGGCCAGCTCGATTCGCTCACATCGAGACCTGCGCCAGTGAAGTATGTCGTACATTCAAACGAGTCGAAGAAATGGAGGACTGCACTTCGACGCTTACGAGGCTCGACAATATTCTAGGAAGCCTACGGCAAGAGTTAAGGAACCTGACTCAGAATGCTGAACTGGCGACACCTGGAGGCATCTCAACTCGAACTGCCTCGGACGAGATCGATTCTGCAGAAGGGAGGAGAAGCAGACAACCCAACTACACAGCTATGCAGAGGGATCTCGACATTGCAAAAGCGAAGAGACTTATTGGTGCGAGAGAAAGTGCCATCAAAAGTGTGAAGTCTCTGTTGTCGAAGAAGAGAACAACGGCAAGTACTGAAGCTGAAGGGTAGCGCAATTCAAAAGGTTCAAATAATACGAGTATTGATGGATCTGGATGCAGAACAAAATAAGAGGTACCTGTGTACCAGAAAACGCATACAGAAAATCGAAGAGGGTGTACTAGAGGGGACTCTTTTCAGCTGGCTGAGGGACTGGTGCCATTTGTGAAACTTGTATTCGTAGTATCCAGAGGTTATTGCAAATTGAGGTAATCCTGAAAACTTCGGGAGAAGCTGGGAGAGGGAGGACCTGAGATGGCATGTTGAAAAATGGATGGAGACTGCAAGAGCTTTGGGAATGAATCAAGGCGCTAAGATGAATCGTGGAAAACCTAAACGAAGACACGTTCAATGATGATGAGAAAGATAACGAGAATGAAGAACAGAAGCATATGAACCTCTAGATGTCGGGAGTTAACAACTGAGGCACAGGAGACACCTAATTGATTTTCTCGACTTCTTTTCCTCACTACACCTAGAGCTCCAGCGCCGCCGGTGTAACATACTCATTTGTAATGCGGTAAATATAACCCTGTGAGACAGGCCGTAAGCGTTAAGTCGGTGTGAAGAAAGTCACTTGGCAACAATGGAAATCGGTAGCGCAAGGTTTGGCTATATGCTCTGCCGTTCGTCAACCCATGCAACTACGACTGGGGCGGCAAGCGAAATCGCCATGAAGAAGTTTTGGTATGTTACCCACCTTTGCAACGAAATTCGGCCTACGTCCTAACAGACGAAGCCCACTTAATCATATTGGCTTTACCATTGTCCGAGAGAACTTCGGAGAAAGATATGCCAATGGGGACGGGTAATCATGCCTAAACAAAAATCATTAGGCATCGCAGAGAAAAATCGCCTTCACTGCACCATAAGCCAAAACGGCAATTGCGACATCCCCTGCCAGCTCCCAGGCAATTGCCGCGGAGGGTTCGATAAGCTAAACTGCTAGTCTTTCACCAAATACCTCAGACGATGGGGACAGTCTCAATTACTTCATGAAGGACGACGAAGGAGAATATTGAAGATGGTACATATGGTCTTCCCGTTCTCCCAGAATCGCGGTAAGAGCATGTCTACAAGGTGGACGAAGGAACGATTTTCAATTGGGAGGTAAGTAGCTTAGATAATTTTCTTTATTTTACTTGTTGCGGCGAGTGGCTGTGCAACCCGACTCAGAATTTCTCGGATGTTTACTCTGAGAGTCGGGCGACAGACTGGCTATCATGCATTGCAGTGGAGAGCGTATGCGACCGTTGATACTGTCAAAGAGGGCAATTACGCGGCTTCAACAGTGACTCCTCCGTGGTCAAGGCGATTCCAATTGCAAGATGGGGATGAGGAAGACGTCGGCCCCGCCCGGCGTACAGTTTGCATCCGCATGTCCAGACCGCTCGCAGGTGGGATGGTTGACGCGTTTGCTGTTATTCGTGGGGTAGAGCGCAAACTTGGACGTATACGTGAATACCGGTTCATGCGGGTATGTGCGATGGAGAGCTTTCAAAACTCGGTTTGCTGACGCGCCATTAGGATGGAGAAGTGGACTCCGAGTACCAGATGTTATGCTGGGCTGCATTTCATTCTGAGGACTCAATGAGCCTCATTCCAGACAAGGGTATCATCATGAGTGTTCCGGCCGTAACGCAAGACCCTACTATTCCTGAAGGGGGCCCAGGGCTTGAACATCTTCAAGGTCTATTTGATGCGAAGGATGTTGATTCTCCCAGTCCCTCAATAGACTTCGCTGAAGGCCCTTCAACAAAGCAGAGAGTGATCGAACTCAATGTTCAGCGAGCTGGTGTGTCTACTTCATCATCCGACATTGCTGAATGCTCACGACGTGGGCAGCAAGTGACTTGCGTTTCAAAGGCGAAAGCAGTCCATTGAACCTCACAAAGGGTAAAAGGATTGCAATAGGACACGGCTTCTATGAGTGGAGAGGCTTCCATCCTCTGAAGCCTCTTTATATGTCATCGCCCTTCGCATCTCAATCCGAAGAACCACCGCCCACTCCAGACCATGAGCAAATGCGCATTGCGCTGAACAAGTGGAGCCAAATACTGAACCGACCCGACCCTTCGTTTGCACAAATGGAGGCTGCAGCGGAAGCGGAAGCACGAGTAGAGACTCAAGAAGAGGATTCCATGACAGCAGATTCGGAACGGTCAAGTGATTCATTAACATCAATGAAGCTGTCTCAGAAGAGTCGAAGGAGGACTAGACGCGAAGTGGATGCCTGGGTACCACTATCGACGCCACAACCAACGGAAATAGCTCCACCTTCTCCTGACACCATCCCTCTTAAAAAGCGCACAATGCCCAAGGCTTCGCAGCCTTCGACGCCTAAGGTTTCGCGCAAGGAACGTTTGCTTGAACAGGCTCGCACCCAGGCCCGCGAACAAGTCTTGCAGCAGGTTGCCTTGCGTGCCAGAGAGGCCGAATCCGCTGAACTCGAGAATCCAAATCCAGAGACACTGAGAGAGAGTGTTGAGGCCCTTTTGAAGGATTCTCAAGTCGATGCAGAGTCCCAAAGCGATGCCACAGGTGGTTCTGGGTTTGAAGTCAAGCCAAAGGCAGGAAACAAACCAGTGGGCGAGAACCGAACCGCTCCCGCGAAGGAAAAGTTGTGGAACTTGGTGGGGAAGTGGTTCTGATCGATCCTGGCGACATAGATCTTTCATAGATTGTCTGTTCTTGCTACAAGTTGCTATGTCCTTCAGTGCCATGCCATTGTCTGTGCAAACTTAGTTGACCGGCGTCAGCCGGTAGTTCGGCAATTCGGCTATAAGTCTGTAGCTCCGCTCCGGTTTGGCATTTGACCCCGCAACGCATCCCCCACGTCTTTCAAGAGCAAGCAAGCTTCAAGCTAACTTCAAACTTTTGAGTTCAAACGAGGTGTCTCTACCGTCAATTTGCCAGCGAACATAGCTATCGAGAGTTATAGAAAGGATACCAAGAATGACTACCTCGTTTCATGCGCGTAGTTCCGTTCACCGACTGGGATACTATTTTTCCCATATGACACGGTTTACGCTCAACGGGAGTCGCGCAGGTTAGTGAAATAATATTTTTTGGGCTAAGGTGGGAACTCATATCGATCCAATAGCATCAGGGTATGTGAAATATAACCATGAAGTAAGTCCAGTTCGCACTCAGTGATGACCCGGGTAAGACTACTGCATGTTCAATAGGATCCGTTGAACTTGGAATCTCTACTAACGGAAGAGGAGATTGCCATACGGTACGTATTAAGCTGGCGCGTCTTCTTCGATCGCTTATACCCACAAAGTAATACTGCTCGCGAGTACTGCCAGGCAAGTCTGTCATGTGTACTTTCAGAACGATGTGTGATAATCCGTCTAGTAGGAGAATCTCGCTCCCCGTGTGCTGGAAGGTTGGCGGACAGAAAGTAAGGCACATCGTTCGTCCTTTATTCTTTCTTTCATCATGACATGCAGAATTCAATCATGACATTCTCCCTGAAATGGGTAAACTGGGGCTGCTTGGACCGACAATTAAGGGCTATGACTGTGCTGGAGTGAGCAACGTGGCGTATGGCCTCATTGCTAGAGAAATTGAGCGGTTTGTACCGCGGCTTTAGTCATCCTCGCCATCTCACCCTTGCACATGTTTAGCGTCGACTCTGGCTACCGGTCGACAGCATCTGTCCAATCATCGCTTGTTATGCACCCCATCAATGAGTTTGGTACTGAAGCACAGAGGGAGAAGTATCTTCCTCGGTTAGGTGGGACATCTGATTGCGATTGAGAACTGGCGCTCATACTATACAGCTAAGGGAGAAATTGTTGGCTGTTTTGTATGAAATCACAGCACATAAAATTTTGAGTTCAAGGTAACAATTTTAACAGGGACTGACCGAAGCAAATCATGGTTCAGACCCAGCTGGCATGGAGACAACTGCTGAAGAAACTGATGGTGGTTTCGTTCTCAATGGAAGCAAGACTTGGATATCAAATGCACCTGTGGCGTAGGTTCCGGTGTTTAAGCTCCATGGTTTCCACTGATCTGCTGGCGAGATAGTGACATTTTTGTCGTCTGGGCTCGCTGCAAATGGGATGGCAAGGTCCGAGGCTTCGTTCTCGAGAAGGCAAGACCCACGTTTCTCGTCCCATCATCACATCTCACTTCCACACAACTGGCAGGGTCTGAAAGGTTTGGAAGCGCCAGCCATTAAGAATAAGCTTGCACTTCGGGCGTCGTTGACCGGCTCCATCTTCATGGACTCTGTTAGATTAGGGCACGATGCATTGCTCCCGCATGGACAAGGTCTTAGTGCCCCTTTCTCCTGTCTCAATAGTGCCCGGTATGGCATTTCATGGGGTGTAATGGGGGCTCTCGAGGATTGTATCGAAAAAACCCTCGCGTATGCACTTGAGCGCAAGCAATTTAAGCGACCGTTGGCATCTTTCCAGCTCGTCCAGAAGAAGCTCGTAGACGCGCAAACTGAGGTGGCTCTCGGCTTGCAGGCTAGCCTTCAGGTTGGCAGACTGAAGGACGCAAATAAGCTGGCCGCCGAAATGGTTAGTATGGTGAAGCGTAATAACTGTGGAAAGGCTCTCCAACAATGCCGAATCATTTTGGATATTCTCGGAGGAAATGCATCATCAGATGAGTATGTCTACAGTACATGTGAATGTCATGCGCAAGCTAAGCTGCATGTTTAAGGTACCATGTCGGTAGACATGTCGCAAATTTGCAGGTTGTGAATACTTACGAAGGTCCGTGCCTTGCCCGCTGTCACTGGGAGCGAATGCTGACGTGTTCGCCTTCCAGGGACATATGTTAGTTTCTTTCCTTTTAACACCATATCTTCACGATCTCCTGAGCCGACAACCCAATCCCTCTTTTCATGCAGGATATACACGGGCTCATCCTTGGAAAGGCAATGACTGGCATTCAAGCATTTGCTAATTAATCCCATCGATATATTTATTGCAACATATGCACGTCGCTATTGTCTTATCCATCCGAAGATCATAACTAAGTTGATATTTACAGGCTCAGAATTCAATGAAGGACTTCACATCTTATCTCTTTGGAAGCATTGTCAAATGCATGAGCCTGCTTATTATTCACAAAGTGCCGATGGTAGTGCACAAGCCAAACTTTGACATTGTGTATTGTGGTGGATTCAGCCGCGCCGCTAGCCTTTGAGCGGTTTGATCCTACCTGCGTGACTGCTAACCTCTGCCGAGTCCTGACCTTTGGTTTCTCTTAAATGTTACTCGAATTTTGACATTTGCAGTCGTTGGTGCGCTTAATTGCACCCGTCGCTATCCGCAGGATCAACATAACATCAGGCGGGAAGTCATCTGTCTCAGTCTATCTCACGCCGCGTCGGTTCCGTTTATCCGCAGAGCCCAGGGTCCCGAATTCGAACGGCAATTATGAAACGACGATCATACCGCCCTTGGCCATGTCTTCCAACGGTTCCGATTCGGTGGGACGACAGGTGACGACAGACTGATCGTGACAGTCATTGGCCCCCACTGGCCACCTTTGCCCAACTTGGGTATGACATCGCCCTGGCGTTTAGCTTTGTACCTACTAATGGCTACTCATGGTTGCATTATCTGCGTTGCCGTGTCAGCACAGCAGTAGTAATGTTCAGACTGCATTTGAAATTTTCTTTCTCGGAGCGCACAGAAAGGTATGTAATTACACAGTTTAATTTTGTCATGGAGACACGGCTCTGAAAGGGGTAACTTCAGTCCAAGCGGTGGGGAAGGAAAGGATGGATCTAAGTACATATACATGGGAGGTACGCATACATATCCCGAAGATTATGAAAAAGAGTCTAAATCCTCGGGGTCAAATAAGGTCAAATCATCGGTCCGTGGAACCATACCGGCGGCGACATTGAATTCTCTCGAACTCCGGTGAATCGCGTGGTGTTAAGTTTAACAGGTGTGTGTGAAAACGTAAACAAATCCCGAGCTGATCTTGAGGCTGGGAAGTGCTGGGAAGGCTTCAAGACAAGAAAGGAAAACTCCCTCCAACGCCTGCGCTCAAACTTCACGCGTGACGCGGTTGGTTCTCCGTGAATTGCGCTCGTCGTCTCATAATCGAGCGTAATGCCGACAAGACGTTATGTATAATGCGCACGATCTTTCGGTATTAGGAGCTCGAGGACCTAACACATGTGCGGGCTGTGCTGCGACAACCCTGCGTGATATAGTCCGAATAAACGGAAGATCATACGTTACCCGCCGGATACGCAATGTTCACATTCATGATGAGTCCATATTTCAGCATCTAGGTGTGCTTATTCCTCAACATCCACTATTCCTTAGCAGTATTTAACTTTCCGCTAGGCACACGCTAGCTCTACCCTGAGCTCGGCACATGTGAATATGGTTTTGATAACTTTGCCCTTCGAAATTTGTTTGAAATGATAACAAATAAGACTGCCCTCTAGAGCACATGACTAAAATACTATGATGAGGGCACGGCGAAATGCGATGATGCTCTTTGCGTCTTCATTTGATCACGACCTATTCGAATGTCACGAACATTTGGTTCGAATATCCATGTTCGTATCACATCCTCATTTTGTATAATTTCATTTTTCTCCAGTGCCGTCCCCGCAGGCCCCCGCGATTCATATACACATGCCGCCCGGACCATCCCGGACCATACTGTATTCTACTGCAGCAAGCCACGTCCTCCCGCATCCTCTCTACCCTCAAGAGGCTGCAGAATAGCAACTGACTATCTTTACGCCCTGTCTCAGTGTTCTTTCATACTCCCCACTACCAACGCCTTTTAATACCTCCCCGCATCTTCGTTGCACCTTCTCGACCTCCCGTACCTTCTTGCGGCCACCTGCCGCTACTGATCACCCAGGACCTCCCGCACCCCACACCGTTGCGCACCATTGTGCACCCTGCCGGTCAGAAGTGTGACGGGTCTGGCAGGCAGACCATGAAATTTCTCAGCTTTCCTCTGGCACAACGTCGCATCCCATTCATAATAGATAAAATTCGGGTCCATGTAAGGAATCTATAAAGGCGCAAATGTGCAAAAGAAAGAGTGTTTGAGGAGCTATTAAATATTTGCTGAAATGTTTGTAGATTGCTTAAATGATAGTAAGTAAATCTCGCACGACAAGCTCGAGTGAGTGAGAAAACGATCACAATGGATCTGCTCATGAAACACGTGGTATCTACTTCAACCTCATGCTTATCGCGCCAATTATTTGTTAAGTGCAAATGAGCAGACGTATATTGACGAGAAACAGCTCCTCCGGGTGGCGCACCGTGACCCGCGACCATCGTAGGTATGAGGATCAGCCTGGATCAGCATCCGACTCGGAATCGGGAAATTGATGGGTCTCTATTTTGACTCCCTGGCTCTTACTGACTGTACTCAGTTGAACTCTAGTCTCCTCTACATACTTCATGTGAGAGAAATCTTCAACGGGCCGTTGCCTCGCAAGCGAAACAAACAGGTTATTCATTTCAAAGATCAGTGATAAGTAACTCCACTCCGACAAGGTTGGCCGTCATGTAGCGTGTTGACACCCGGATCCGCTTTTGGCCCCGCATTGCAACCATCATAAGGAGATAGAACAACTATAATATTCTGCTCGAGGAGCCCGCTCTGAGGCTGCTTGTACATGTTCTGTACCGTAGTTGTCAACTGAGTCTAACTATTAAGATTTGCTACCTACTGAATCTTTGGCTCTTACAAGGCTTGACGAACCTTAAAATAAAGCTCCGAGATATAAGATTATTATCTAGGGATGCCAGAAAGTCTCCATTTCAGCAAACTTTCGATCGCGAGGCTGAAGAGAATGTGTGAGCTCAGACAGGTCCCGAGGGGGTTTCCTTGTTCCCACTACTCCCCAAATGGAGGATTTCCTTTTACGGTGCTAAGCGGAAAACTCAAATCTCCGGTAGGACGCAGGAAAACTTCTTGTGAGCGTCATTTTCGCTATACTTCTCATTCGCACAAAGCTGTAACATTAATTGTGTTCGTTGCAACTCTGTCATCCTTGCAGATGCCTTTCAAGCGGCCATTGAGCTCGCATACCAGTGATGATGAATCCTTGTTTTCTCACGACCAACATTCCAAACGAGTTTGTTCCGGCTCGCCATGGAATATTGGGGAGGAGAAACCCCTTCTGGTGTACATCTTACAAGCCAAAATACATCCGGAAACAATGTCTGAGCTCGCCGCGCTAGTCGAGAACTATACAATTGAGCGTGTTGACTCCCAGAGGAACCAAGGCCCAGGTGTCGTTAGCAAGCTCAACCTTGAACTCACTGGCGATGTAAAAAAGGCGAACATCATTGTCACCGCAATTAAAATGAGGCAACGCCTGGAAAGGCACATTGATTGGAGAATTGCGGTATGCATTCACACTGTCGATTGGACAGAATACTGTACAATGTCATCCACAGAAAACGAAGGCCATCGTAACACCATCATGGCTTCGAGATTCCGTAAAGTCCGGTCAGCCCCTTTCATGCGGCAATTATGTTGCAGTCCACAACTTGGAAGACGAAGCCTTGCAACATTGTCCAGACACTGTCCAAGACATTTCATCTAGTAGTTCGATCCACCTTCCCTCACCAGAGAAGGAAAGCTCTTGGCAGACAGAACCTGATGAACCAATAGATGCTACTGAAGCGGAGTCATTGTCGTGCAATGCAAAATACAGTTGCCTACGACCGTCGCCACTCGTTTGCCCCAATCAAGGTCTGGTCAAGGAAATTGATATCATTCGACGTAGCAGGCATATTGAAGGAGAAGACCGAAGCATGCTCAGCTACTCTAGGGCTATTTCTGTCAGTTCAAATTATTCCCATTGTCTAGTCATATTCTTAACCCATCGTGCCCAGGTTATTAAGGGTTCGTAATTGCAACCCATTCAATGCATAGCGAACTGGATCAAAAACGCAGCTTACCCGCATGTCATAACGGAACACAATCTACATGATCTCCATGAGCTACCATTCTTGGGAGAGAAAGTCCTCTCAATGGTGCTGTCACGCCATCTTCTTCAACGTCCACTTCTCATCATCACCCATCTTAGATCGAGGAGTTTCTAAAGACAGGCCGAATAACAGAAGCGCGTTCGTGCCATTATCTCGCTTCATTACCTGGCGCTGATGCAGATGCAGAGAAATTTTTGGCAGATCCGCGGTTTCAGTCCCTCTCTGCTTTCATCACAATACATGGCATTGGACCCCACTCTGCTCGGCGCCTTTACGACCTTGGCCTCCGCACACTCGAAGAACTTGAACGATACTATGAAGTTATACCAGGCCTGTCTGACGAAGAGACTATGTCGCTGCTTGAAGCTGAATCAAGCGCCAACACAGAGGCTGCAGTGGAAAAGTCGATTAAGATCGGGCTGGCTCTACGACATGACTTGAGTCAGACGTGAGCATTTATTTATACATCCCTTAGGATGAAGACATCGTGCCGCCCTACTGACGGGAGTTTATTGACAACTGTGCCTTTATAGCATTCCGTGCGAAGAAGTGGAAGAAATCAATCGGACCGTCATGCGAGAACTCAGTCATGTCCAGAAAGGATGCAAAAATGTGATTGCTGGAGGGTATGTTTATCTTGTTCGTCCAAGCCAGTAGCTGTCATGGATCGAGTTGGTCTTTCGTGGGCATCACATTGTAGTTACCGCCGAGGAAAGCCACAAAGCAACGATGTTGACATAGTCATCACCCATACAGATTGGAAAATAGGGTCCCAGAAAGTGAAGGGTCTGTGTAGAAAACTTGTGCAACGACTGCACGAACAAGGTCAGTTATCTGCGATGAGATACTATGACCGCATACTAATCAATTACAGGCTTCGTTACGCATGTCATGCGTATGTCTCAAGCATTATCACAGTGGGGTTGTCTAATTTGACAATCGTATAGATCTTTCGGGATTTCACGAGCACAACGTGCTGCGAACTCGTCACTGGGACTCCTTGGAAAAGGCTCTAACTGTGTTCGTATGGCCTCACAATCCATCGCGACAGAGAATTTATCGACGAGTCGATCTGATCTTTGCTGCACCCGAAGTATTTTGGACCGCAGTGGTCGGTTGGTAAGCACCAAACCTGACCACTTCGCAAGTGATGCTAGCGCCAATCTAGGACTGGGTCGACAATGTTCCAAAGAGACTTACGTTTGTGGGCGAAGCAGCAAAAGCAAGTATTCGCATTTCTCCATGTTGGTCCTGGTTAACACGGCTCATCAAGGGGGATGAAATTCGACAGCTCTGGAATGTCAGTCCAGTGACCCAAAATAAAAGACTTCATAGCGTTTGGGCTGATTCTCATTGCCTTGTAGATCACGACGCCATGATTCCAGATTATATTATCCCAGAACGGAACGTGATGTATTCAAAGTACTCGGACTGCTTTACGTCCACCCGACGCTGAGGAACGCTGACGCATGATCTAACCGGCGATCTTCAAAATTCCCACTTGTATATTCTGCAATGCTTGTGCGTGGGGGTATATCCCGACGCCGTTCTCTGCTAACTTCGTAGTTACTTCCGCGGAAATGCAATATATGTAGTTTTCGCCTGAATGATATTGCAAATGATAGTCGCCGGTCTTCAGCTTGGCAAGATATTTTTCAATTGCGCTTTCCAATATCATTACCGCTCGCATCATATCGCCCTCTTGTAACACAAAACCGATGCCCTACGGGCCTGCGGGTGCTCGCACACATCAAGCTATTTTTTCAGTCGTGATCACTTCCAGACTAACTTTTTTCAAGCCGCCACCCCAGGTTCGCTCCACAGAAGTCGGGGAGGCCCGTAGGTTTTCCCAAGTTCTCCCAGCCTTCCAATACCATAAGCGCTCCGGATCGGTGAGTGTCTTCTTTGAAAAGCTTCCATGCCTTTGCCTCGCGACTGGCGTATCTCGCTTAGCGCTCCCCGATATTTGGTCTGTATGGTACTGGGCTTTGCTTCACATCGGAGGTTCGTTAGTTCTAATCTGAGTAAGCTCGATATTCTAGCCGGACACCATAATGGGAGACCTCGAATTCACTGCAGGACTTACTTGAATACTCTGGACTCTTCTGGACTTGGCGAATATAGGGCCAAGATATTGATGTCATTTTTTTTGGTCATTACTCACTCAGATCAGCTCGATCTGCGGGGCAGAGGACTCAGTTGTCACCCCAAACGGTACGTTCTTGCGAATTATCCTAAATGAGCGCTCAAAATGAGTTACCAGAGGTTACCGGGTGATGTGAAAACGGCTGGGATCTTCTACTATGAATCCCCAGTCTGTTTTCAAAAAAGTTTTCGGTGTCTCTTCTTGTCAATTGTAAAACAAAGTTTTGATGCCATATGCGAGAACTGCCAGCACGCTCGGCACAGTAGAGGGGGAGTGTCTATGCTGGTTGCTTCCCCCTCCAATCCCCTTCATCCTTTCAGTACGGCGATATCTCGCACATTTCACCTCCTCCGGCAACAATAGCTGCTCTCCGAGCCAAGCTTGCGAGTTGACACCGCTTTTTTTGAAAACAGTCGTAAAAACGTCTGAATTTTCTGCTGAATTCCCCTAAGCGGTCGAGTTTGTGGATTCGAAGAGAATTTGATCATATCGCTGAGTCCTTCGCAACCGATCGCTACGAGCAGTCGCCTGGACATCGATGTGCAACTAAAGTGGAGTCGTTCTATATGCTTCATTCGACGTTGATATGTAGTACTATAATGTAGTAACAGGTAATCACTCAAGGAGTGAGATATTTCGAGACGCTCTCCGCCAATCGCAATAGATCGCGACGCAGTCGTAAGTCGTCAGGCTCAAAAGCGAGTGAATTCGCCAAAGGTTTTTGCCAAAAGGTTTTGCTGATGGCCTGGTGACTTGTACGTATGGCGTTGGTCTTGAGACCTGACGTTCTATAGCTAGGGACACGGTTGATCCCGAATCCGCGGGCTAACTACTATGTCATATTCTCAGGTCTGGTTGCAGTAGCTGACCTAATTATAATCACATACATACGGTGATTACTCCTTGCGTCGAAGAATGATCGACATGATTGTGACCAAACCTCACAGAGATTGGAGCTCTTGGTCCCAAGAACGTTGTGTTGTCTGCTAAGAAACTGCGGGGAAATCTAATGTCTACTTCATACATTTGTTATTGGAAACCAATCTCTCTGCATCCACATTGCCCTTTCAGAACACGAAGTTCCGATTTCATGCAAACACGGATTGTTATGGAATTTTGTGGGGGATCGGTCGCGGCAGCTTTGGGGAATGAACACATGTTTTGTTGTCAAAACCAATGATGGGATGGAAGTATGAAATATTGCAGCGTAATCTTATTTTTGAGCAGGCGCATCGATAAGGCGACAAGGCGGGCTTGACTTCCAAAAGCAGCAATCGAGGCGCATCGATAAGGGTTCTACTAGTACTTCCTGTGCCATATCAGCGGCTGCAGTCGACAAGATATCAAATAAGGTATGTGCTTCCATGGAAAACTTGGGTGCGATGCAACTTACCTGTATTCTGCAGGGACATTATGATAGACTTGAAAGTTCAGAGGGAGATATACAACCGTCCTTTTGGGGAATTTCGCATGATGCGGTGAGCGCAGAGTAAGTGTACTACTAACTCCGAAATGTGTTTGTGAACACTAGACGTAAAATTTGCCCGTGTGCGCTGAGCGCTGAGTACCGAGTCTCAGCGCCGACCGAGCCCTGTATCTCGGTAAGGGTCGCGTGACCCGCTATTTGTCTCTGTTTAATTTTCTGCGACATTTCTGTTAAGCCGCCGCCATGTTCCACGGTCAGGTACGTAGGCAAGACACTTAGAAGAAGAGAGTAGATCTAACTGCTCATGTTAGTCGCACGTGGGATCCCCCATAACGGCTCTCGTAATTTAATAAAAGGACGGTTCCCAAGCCTTTGATCGGGAGCGTCGTGGAGGAAACGAGTACTTCTTCTGTCAACTTTTGTTTCTCTCGATTTCAGACATTTTAGGCCCGACTGTCGGACGGAGGCAATGTATGTGGTCTATAATCTTGAGCCCCCGTCTTCATCCGCGAACCGAGACTTGCCGACTTCAGGATTGTCCTGTGCCGCTTGCAAGAGTCAAGAGCGGCGGCGATAGTCGCTTGGGTGGGTGCAGAAATGGACTTGGCTACTAGATCTCAGTCCTGAATTCAAATCAACGCAAGTGCATGTGAGAACCGACATTTTCAAATCAGATGAGTACTTGATTGGAGTTGATTGGTCGGGTAATTGAAATGTCCTGACGATCGTACTTGCCTATGAAGGCGATACATATAAATCCGGGCGCACTTCATGCGTACAAAAAGTTGGCCCAGTTTCCGTTGCATCGTGTCCTCCATAGCACTACATCATTTGGTTCACCTAGCCCCCTCCATCTCATGCCCCGCCATTCAACATCTTCGCATATGTCCCAAATAACTGATGGCGACGTAACTTTGATCACCCCCATCTCGCCATCAAACGCACCTTGGGACCAGTGCCCCCCATCATACTCTGGAAGTGCAATGAACAATATAGGGTGGAGTTACTACCCTTTGCCACCTTCTCCGCCTATATCTATCGGCTCAAATACGAGCGATTCTCCGGGACCCTCATCCAAGATATTTGGTACGCGCACAAGTCCTGACTCTGTGCGTGAGAAGGAGCAACAATTGTGTTTACCGACGCACCAAGTATTTGACTTCCCTGAGCCTTCACCATCTATCTCTCCACCACCCTCAAAGCCCTCTCAACCATCCATTTCCATTGACACTGAAGTACCCGCAGAAGGGCTATCTTCCCTCCCTATCGCGGGCCCATCGAAGAGACCGCGAACTGGTGGAGAACGTATCACCACGAAAGACTTTGTACCGCCTGATGTATCGGGGCTGAGCAAACGCGAAGCACGTCTGGTTAAGAACCGTGCTGCTGCTTTCCTCAGTCGGCAGCGCAAGCGGGAGGAATTCGAGGCTATGGAGATGTAAGTGCTCAAATAAATTCTTAGATGTGTCACAGGATGCTAAATGATACCCGCTTGCCGATATAGTCGCGTCAAAGAGCTGGAAGAAGATAATGCGCGACTCCAAGCTGCTTCCAAAAGGGGACACGATGGGTTGCTCTCAGAAATAGAACAGTTGCGCGCTCGCCTTTCTGCATCTGAAAAAAGGGGGCGCGAACTGAAGGCCGAGCTTTCACGAAGGAGTGATGTTCATGTGAAGACAGAGAATTACGACCATTGTTTGACTCCGGTCTCACCGTCTGCCTCGCTGCCGACACCCTCCCACCAGAGGTCTGGAGCAAGTCTCGGCCTGATGGTAGGCAAGCTAGCTTTTGGAAATCAGAATTATAAGACCAATGACCCTATAGCAGGTTCTCCTGTGCACACTTCCGTCCCTGCTTTCCTTGTCTCCTAGATCACTTCCCACCACATACTTCATTCCCCCGTCGGATCCCTCGGTTCTACAGCCCTCTTGCAACTTCGACTACAGCTCCATCATCCCAAGCGAAATTGAGTGGGCACCACATCCTGACGGGGGAGCGATGATGAACCTTGGTTTCGGCGATCTTGCAAAGCTTTCTTCGAGCACTGGTTCTTCATCCCCTCACAAACTCGAGATCCATTCCGAAGCGATCAGAGCTCTTGGGGGATTCGAAATTTCCTTCGACGCCAGTCCGGTCAACACTGGAAAAATCCAGGTTCGAATCCACCCTTCCCAATCACATAATATCAACTCCAACCAGGATGCACAACGTGCACGCCCATCTTCAGTGCCCATGTGGTTCGAGTCAGCCCCAAATAACTATGGCTCTGGCTTCTCAGCTGCCTTATCATTCACTTCCTCGTCGGCACCGGCATCTTCTTTCGTACCGTTAACAAGTGATTTTGACTTGGATCCTTTCCTGAGTGGAGTCCACGACTCGGGAATGCCGTATGGCAGCTGCGGACCGGCGTTCGGCCAGCATCCATCGGATGCCACATTTGAACACATACCAGGGTTTATGAGTGGCACTCGCAACGATTTCTCTAAACACCGTGGGCGAGTGACCATGAGAAACATGTCAGCTATCGGGATGGAAGGAGAGTGGGAGGTTCCAACTTGCTGAAAGTCACCAGTACAGCTGGCCAATCGCGTTACGTTCGATAATCATTACTTACTACATTATGCACGCCTTGAAACAGGGATTACCGCATTGGAATTTATATCAGTAGCCACTTGTACTCGCTTGGGCTGGCCTCGAAGCAGTTGCTCACATTATTCGTTCAAAAGTATACTGGATAATTTTGGAGTCGGCTTGGCAAATATTGAATATTGAGGAATAAGTCACTCGTCGATTCATTGAAGGTTTGCTCAAGGTGGCAAAGCCCGCTACCTCCGGCTTCCATTCCTTTTACAGACATTCCGCAGATCATCTTGCATCGCGGCACGAACACGTGAAACCCTTGCGCATATGCCCAGGGTCACTACATGGCGAGGAAGCTATATGTCTGGGGGTTCGCCCACTGGCAAGCAGGACGAAAGTTAGCTACCTTTGACGATTACCTTCGCGGTTCCGACGCTCATTAATGCTGACGTACTGACACAAAATGTCAAATATCGATTTCATTTACTCAGTTCACTAGTTTATCTTCCCATGTTTAACGCCGTGAGACGACCTCTACCACAAGATCCCACCGCCTCGTTATCTAAAGGTAGTGGGTGTGCAATTTTGATTGTTCTCTCCGTTCCCAATGTTGACTGAGTAGCGCGTTCATCTGCGCTTTCCGAGCCAATAGTATCAGCCTGAGCTTCTCCACTCTCCCTGTCCTTCCCATGTTCATCTTTCTCCGGGCCGAGCCCGTCGTTCGGGTATAAATTGTTCTGCTCTATATAATTGATAACAGCCGCTGTGAGGAGATAATGTACTGAGGAACCCCAACGAAAGAATAGCCGAACCTTCGTCGAGGAAACGTCGTTCTGGACAAGCTGGGGGATAGGGTATATGTTGTTCCGCCAGCGCACTAGGCTGTTAATCGCTTAATCGATGGCGGACCCCATGCGTTCAATGACAAACGAGCCCAGGCGTCCAAGTATATCATCGAGCTAGGAGTCAGTACATTAGCCTGCAGTACACGCTACTATGTTTGAAACGCAAGTAGATACCCACATCATCATGAGACCAAACGCCTGACTCATACATGGCGCTCATCAAGTCTGAACCAGCAAGAAGTATGATCCGAACGTTGCGATGTTCACCATCCCGAGTGGATACACCGCCAAGAACCGTATTGATCTCATAATCAAAATGGTCAAGCACAACAGCCGTACGTTGATAATTCTGGAATGCCTCCCAGGAATCGACCATTAACCACGATGACTCCTGCTCTGTAGCGAGCGTGCACATTTTGACCCTGTTGTATGGATGATATCAGTATCGCATCTAGTAGGAGATAGATGCGGCTTGAAGATAAGTAGCTTTGCCTCCCAAGATCTCGGAACACCGGACGGCGGACACACATCATAATGCATATATCAAGGTGTCTTCCGTCTAAGAACTAAAGACACGTACACTTAGTGCCCCGAGCTTTATGAAAGAAACGCACATGATTGGCCCGGTGCGACGACTTGATCTAGAGACCATCGAGGTCGCTCCCTCTAGGAAAAAATGCAATCCTTCTCGGATAGACCACATATGTCACGGTGGTGCCGCGATTCACAGGGACGAAACAACCGAGCCGCACTAACCGATGTGCACTAACTAGTCCCGGTTGCTGGTATTCGTCACTGAGATATCCACCGATAATCTCAAAATCAGTGTTCTGCCGAATGAAATCGTCCGCAATTTCGAACATTCGAAGGTGGTGGTATGTTATAGGATTGAAGGAGCCACATACTACCAGGGTGATCGGTTGCTTGGTGGAGGTATGTAGAGTTCTACGGAGGCGACAGGGGGTAAAAGTATATTTTGGAGGCGCGAAGGTAGGCGTCTTGTGAACAGATATTTGGGCGGCCATAGGTGCTGCTTTAAAGGTCCCTTTCTTGGACGTTGTACTTTAACTTTCCAGTGAATTCGGACTGGCACAATCTCCACAATACTTATTGAACACGGGCAACTTCTAAAAACACATTCCCTGCGGACATTTCTGCTATGGGACATACCATGAAGACTGCGATGAGATACGATCCTGTCGGAAGCGTGATTGCAGTGGCAACACGCCGTCGCAGAGCTGTGTGAGAAACGTGTGCATTCCAGCAGTATGGCCATGTGAGTTTGCTTGCGAGTTCAAGGTATCCTAGACGCTTATTGACCCGAGCCATAGTTTGAGTCCCAATATCTGGCAAAAAAGTACAGCATAATCATAAGGCATGATACAATGGCATAACCCATTATCCGGGCTTAGCAGGGTAACTCAAGTGTGCCCCGAGCCTAAGGTTTGACGGGAACCATGGCAGCACCTTAGACAACCACCGGAAATGATAATGAGACTACTTCCTCGCCCACACAATCTTGCCCTTCACCCAGGTGCTTAATACATTACCTTGGTGGTCAAGTACCACCAAGTCTGCATCTGCTCCTTCGCGCAGTGTACCCTTCTTGCTCTCAATGTTCAGGCACCTAGATAACGGGATTAAGCAAAGGCCCACAGGTTCAATTTTTGTGCGTACTTAGCAGGGTTGTAAGTCGCACATCTGATGGCTTCACCGATGGAACAACCCGTGTAGCGCACGAAGTTCCGTACACATTTGTCGAGGGTGACCACGCTGACGTTCAGTCATTAGATATGCAAAGATGGTAAGTAACGTAAACAAACCTTCCAGCAAGGGTGGTGGTACCCTCCACGTAAAGCTTATCGCCTTCCTTGTAAAATCGGCGGCCATCGCGCCAGTCGTGAACACCATCCTTGAGGTGCGGATCGAGAATCTTCATCGCTGTGGGGGAATCAGTAGAGTAAAGTAACTCCATAAACAAGGGCATATACCATCGGTAATCAGGATACACCCGTCAGGGTGAGCACTGTACGCCAGCTGCCGAAAATATCAAACACAATCACAGTTGTACATCGACAGTGAAAACGCACTCTCACGGAGTTGGGATGAGAATGAATCCCATCCACGATAATCTCGTAGAATGGTCGATCGAATGGTATAGTCGTCACATTGTTCTTCGGCTCATTTTTACTCGATTGCTTACTCTCGGGTATGGCGGTGATAGCGGCAGAGCCAGGGCTCGCGATGGAGTTGTCTGTGGGAAGGCGAGACTTCTTGTGAGCCTGTTCCGCAAGGAGCATGGGTGTCTGAGGGGGTGTCTTGATCTCATCAAATGCTTCTGATATGTGACCAATCAAAGGCTCTTGGGTGCTGGGAAGTGACGGCATCGAGGCCTTGAGGGCATTGATAATGGCGGAAGGGAATGGCAAGAAAGTTGAAGAAGACGAAGGAGATAGATAAGGAGAAGCGCCAAGTAAACCAATGATAGATGGATCGCGATGGTGAAGTTGTGGCATTGCGTTGAAGAGATGCGTGATGCACCTCGCACCATTCCGTACTGCTGCAGTTGCAATATCCGTCGTAGCCATACTACCCTCGTTAGGCACAACTTAGCATCTTCATTTTCAACAAGAGCATACCTGTGTCCAATGTTGAAACAGATTCCGCGCTTGCTGGCTTCATTGATGGCCTCCATAACGCCCTCGACCTCGGGCGCAGCTGTGATCATGCGCACACCCACAGTGTTGTGATCGCTGTCGCCTGACATGAGCCAGTCTTCCGCTTCCGCCAGGTTCTCTGGACTGTAAATCGACTCAAAAGTTTCAAACCCTTCTGAGGCAGGGATGATTAACGCAGGTGAATGTGCACCCCGCTTGGACATCTGAAGGAATGGCCCCTCGGCATGCCACCCGAGAAGGTGTGCAGCGTTTGGGGGCGACCATGGACGAAGCAGGTTGAGAAGCTTGGGGTAAAAAGATTTGTCTTGCGTCTGTTATAATGCACATATATTATGCGGATGAAACACACAAGGACCGGAAGCTTACGATGATCGTGGGGACCAAGCTGAGAACAGAAAATAAGGGGCTAAGAAGGGGTGGATGGTAGATGTAATACGCACGCAGTTACACCCGTCTCAACAATTCTCTCTGCGACCAACTTTAAACCATCTCGATAAGCTTGATCGTCGCCTTCGTAAACAGAGAAGTCGAAACCAAACCCTCCATTGATCTGAATGTCAATGAAGCCTGGACTGTTCAAAATAATTTGGTCGTCAGCAGGAGAAAATACGTAACAAGGATCGGTTAAACAAATTGCATTGACAAAGCGGGAAGTCATGTTAACCAGGACACCCACCTCAAGATATTTCCCCCCAGATCAATGATTGTATTTGGACGCTCCCTGCGTAGGAAAAAGGTTCGCTAGACACAATATATCGTTGAACCTGACCAAGACAAACTTCTGTAGTCTATGCAAGGTGACCCACCTGCGCATCTAGTATGACGCCGCGCCGTTCGTCAATCCACAAATCCTTTTCAATTAAACCCCCATCTTCTTGCGGGAGCAGGCAATTTGTGAAGCAGACAAGGCCATTTGATGTCGTCGCCGCCATAGCAGATGACTGTAGTTGTGCAAGAGGCTGGCACAGTACCGGGTCCGCATGGTACTAAAGTACTGAGAGCTACTTACATTACTGCTACTGGACGGATATGATCCCCGACGGTCTACGCCATGCCATGTGGACTGCCCCGTCTAGCGCGCAAGTAGAAACACGTTTTGAACTCGTAAGCTCTATTTTAGTTCTAAGCGTGGCAACCTCAGACTGAAGAGAATGTTGTGATAGGTCACTATTTTTACAAGGAATGAAACCTTGGATTATCTGGCAGCGCTCAGGCCCGGTTAGTGATACGCTCAATAAACTATCTTATGCAACCAGTACAAGATAGTTTATCGAATCGACAGCAGATGACCCGCGGAGATATCGGCGCACCGACCAATATGCTCGAATGCTCTACACAATGCCCAACTGTGACTTGAAAAGCTATCGCACTTCGCACGCCTCACACAGGTATGATTTCATATCTGCCGTGCTCATGGGAATAAATCCCTTTCGTGGGCATCGATCGCCAGATCGATGGCGAGTCCAATGGGTGCGTGGAGTAGGTTCCAAATCATACCGGATATCAGCGTGTAAGCGCTACTTATCACTCTTGCATACTCCCAATAGTTGGAAGCGTTATAGTGGCGGCCAACGGCACCCAGGAATGCAGGGCACAGAACGACGTCGCAGCCCTGCGCCCGCCAGTGAAACTCGACGGAACACGGTGTATTTGTCATGAAGCTATGCGTTCCAATGACTCAAGCGCCACTAACGGGATGGCCCGCATCCGACTCGGCCTGCTAAATCCAGATGCGCGTTGTCATTCTGCTTTACTGTGAATTGCCGTATGGAATATCTTGAGCGCCCCCTCCATGGCGAGCGGGATACGAATTCGGAATGACATGAGGCTTGTAGAGTAAGTGACTCAATCAGTTTCTCTACTCCTTGCCCACCAGCCGCCTCGACTGGTAGGAACCCGCGATTTCCTTAGTTCCGTCACTGTAGAGACGCGACACTTGATCCATTTTATAGAGAGCAGTTCCACGATAAGCTCACCGGGATGTCGACATTGTTTGACAGCACAAAAAATTATTCAATGACGACTCTGGAAACACTCCCAGACGAACTGCTCTTAGAGATCATCTCCAAGGTCGTTCTCTCCTCCACGAGGCCTGACCGCAAACTAGAGCAATCTCCTGTCGCAGGCGTCACCAACACGAGTCGGAGGAGACTCAGGAGAGCAGAGGAGATACCAAGCGGCATCCACGCCGTGGCTCTTACCTCATGTCACCTCCATAACCTCGCGAACACTGTGCTTTATCGCACTGTAGTTCTCAATAGAGAGAAGGATATCTTCTTGTTTCGAAGAACTGTCAGGGACGCTCGAGAAGCGAGTAGGTCCGGAAGAACGGGAGACGTAGCCATCACTTTGGCCTTCCTGCAAAATGCTGTGAAGCGCTTTGCAATTACATATGCCCCGGTGTGCATCGATCTCGCATCTGTGTTCACGTTGCGAAATTCAAACACAAAAGTGTTAAACAGCGACATTGCCGATATTATCACTGCATGCTCTGGAGCACGCACAATAGCCATCCCTTCTCAGTGGGCACCCGTCCTGCGTGACGTTAGGAAAACTCCAGGGGGATCAGAAGGAGGGGAGGCGCCGAATAATACCACTGAGCTTCTCCTCGGCTCCTATGTCGATTTCGCCAAAACGTGTTGCACAATCCCTCCAATTGCTCAATGGCGAGCCTCGGCACCTTCCACACCCATCCGTTCTCTCTCCGCGACACCAAGCACCACGCGTCCTTCAACCGCAGATCCCATCATGCGACACGAGACCACCAGTACTTCGAATGATCCATCCTCGGCTACGATTTTCCACCGCATTACCCACCTTTGCATCGCGGAACCAGCTTATGCATGGTATTCGCCGCTTGCACTTCTAAAAGTCTTCCCTTCATTGACGCATATCGCACTCCCCCGTCGTGCACACGCAAACATCGAAAATGACGAACTCTTCATAGAAGACGTAAAGGCGATTTTGCAGGAGCCAAGGATGGAGGTGATCGTCATCACCATTTTCCCACAGATACTAGTCGGGGCAGACAAAGAACAGGCTGCTGATCATGATGCAAGCCGGTCGTTGGATATCAAGGACAGCACCATTTGGCTCGCTGCGGAAGAGCTGAGAAAGGAGGATGGGCGTCTGTTCATTGTTAATGGACACATGGGTAGTTGGAGAAAAGATTGGCAGGGTCCAGCGGTGGTGGCGAATCCTCAAGGCCCTGGAAATTGGTGGAGGAAAGTTATGAGTGCATAGACGCTGTCAGTGTCAGCTTGCGAGACTGGGTGTAGAGTCTTCGTTTGGTACGAAACATAGAGTATAGCATGTAATACATAGACAGGTCTGGGAACTCGACAATTCAACAGCGATGCCAATAGAAAACCTAGCATAGCACTCCCCGAGATAAGCGGCCCATTGAAGAACCCGACACGCGCGAGGACAACACACGGCGCGAGCGTGCGAGTCAAAAAATCGCGATATTGCGCCCGAGCTGATAAGACAAGAGGCAGCCCACAAAGACACTGATAGGATGATCTTCATGGCCTCCTTCCGCGACTCTCATCTCGCTTTCTTTGTGAAGGGGGTAGGGAGAGGCGTGGTTGGTGGCCTGGGTTGGGGCTGCCATCACTGTGCGGCCAGTGATCAAAGTTGTTATAATGTATATTCCAAACAGATCCTCAGTAACATCGTTCGTTTAACTCTGCCATCGATAGCGAAAATTTTCAAAAATACACTCAACTCGGACAGAAGTATTGTTGTTCAACGTTGACATGCATTCCGATAATAAAATGCAGCACTCGAGAACGATAAACGATATATCAGATGCGTAGAGCCACCGACTGAGCGAGGTGGGAAATGCTACGCAGAGCAGACTCGTCACAGAATCGACGCTGTGTCGGCAGGAGACGGGGACGTCCATGACAAGACGGTGTTTGTCTTCTTGATCGAATTATTTGAGCGACCTCGAGATGGATGTTACTAGGTACTTTAATACCCTTGCATCGCAGCCCGTACATGAGTTGACAAACCAGCAACATGTACAAGTACAAGTCGCGGCAACTTGCAAGAGCCGTTCAGTAGGCGCCTGGACCCTGTAGGCTGTGCGCCACAACGCCCCACCCATTGTCACTAATATATCAAATCCTTCTATGAATCCCGATTGGCGTAAGTTTCTGGATTTGAACGTCGTTCCTTCAGGTCCCTTACAAACCGGCTGTGACTCGCTGCAGTACGAAGTTAGGAGCCTCAAGGCAGACTACTCTTTCCTCTAGAACACTACTACTACTAGTAATGCCGTGACCAGGGGCGGCCCAACTATCCCTTCAAGTTGTCACTATCGTCTTTCTCCACCTGGCCCTTTCGATCTTTCCTGCAATCAGCGTGCGCCGGCCTGACTGCCAAGTGCGCCAGACGGCGTACTAAGCAGTGTTAGAATGTAGGTGAGCGCTGCGTGTCAGACTGTCAGTACGTGAAGGATGATCTGAATCAGCGTATTCCGCGGCCCGTTAATCCACCGTGACTGACTCGGACATGCCATCGCGGGCTACTTACTATCTTTGGTCACATAAGTATATGGCTGCAGGCCCATCTTCAAGCTTCTCCAAGACATCGCGGCATCGGGATCATATCCATGTAGCTCCATCGTAATTTCCAAGAATTGACACAGCCTGGACGTCAGCGGCATAATACACATTGCGGTACTTCCGGTTCCCCGGACACGTAATTTTGCCTGCCAAGGGTAAAGCGTTTGGATCAATGCCAGTTCCGCTTTCAGACTACACATGTACTGAAGGGTTTCCCTCTTCCTCTGACTGCGCAAGATGACAAACAATTAGTGCTATGTAGCGAACTACGGGTCAATATCAAAATGCCCAACCGTTCGGAGAAGGACAGCGACCCTTCAATTACATCACCATTAATCTAACAACAACGGAGCCGTCTTCAAATGAAGTAACCGTTTGTCACCACGAGCAGGAACGCTGAGCAACCGACATTTGGCGCCTCGGAATCGGATCAAACGCGACCTACATGGTATAGCTTACTCCAAGGGTTGTTGGCATTTTGACGTTTTAAACGCATGATCCAGGACAGCAAGTTGCATATCCTTCCTGCGGCTATCCTCAACCCAATATCCTTTGAGTCCTCACGACTGCGCAGAGCACTATTATGACCTCACGACGAGCCCATACGGCTGAAGGTGAAGTTTTATTAACTTTACCTGAATTGAGGTACTCAAACGTCCCCAAATAGAATCAGTCCGAGTGAGTAGCATTCAGCCACCGATTCGTTCCCGCACAGAGACGCCCAGCGTGCTCAGGCGACTGGGGCTCAGCGGACACCCAGAGGAAGACGATGGCGATGTTGCAATTGCAGACGTCTTTCCTTCTAGAAAACGTATGTTACAGTGCCTCGAATCGAAGAGCTCTCCCTGACTTTCCGTGCAGGAACGCAGAAGGAGCAAGACGAGGAAGATGAAAAGGCTCGTAAGCGAGCAATGAAGAACCTCGTGAACTCGTGGCAGGAGCGACTGCAGCTCATCAGTGTCATTGTAAAGTTCTGGTTAACCTTGTGGGCTGTATTCATCTGATGAACGACGACCTCTTTGTTACAGACGACATTCTTTGCATCCATAGAAGCAGGGATGTTAGTACCAGTGAATACTGATCCGAACGGAGAGAACGCTTTGCCGAGTCTCCTCAAAGCTGCGAATGCAGGATTTTTGGGTGCCTTGATCATGCACGTTTACGCGGGTAAGTCGGATGGGGTATCATCACCTGGGTCCAGTCGATGACTCGTGCACAACACGTGTATTACACAGCTATCCTATCATTCCTGGCAGCCTTCCTTTTGATCCGATATAAACTGAAAGAAGCCTCAAGTGAAGAATTATTCGCAGAAGGCAAAGCTAAGGGATTCAGAATTTCGGCATCTCCATTGACCGGCACATTCCATGTCAAAGACATCGAGAGAGATGCCCAAGAGCTTGACACCCAGAGATCTGACCCAGAGGATTCACCACAGACAAAGAACACCAAGGACACCCAATACAACTCCCCAATGCTGAGGCGGATGGGATCAGAGCCTGCAGAGCCTCCTATCTTTGCCAGGGACCCACATCTGGAGCAGGTCGGGTTTTGGAGTCCCACTATTTCATCGCATATGCTGAGCCGCGTGCACACGCTATGTATTCTCCTCGCTGGGATTGGGTTCCTGCTTGCAATCATGGGTATTATGACGTACGCGTGGGCATTGCAACCGAAGGAGGTCAGCATTTTTGCGACTGTGTGCCTCGGGTTCGCTGTCCTTACGATGGGGGTGCTTTTGCTCCCTGATCCCTATTGATGGCAACTCATTGCTCTCCATTTCATGACATTCTTCCATTGCACCTCCATACTATAAGTAGTTTCCCCTTAGTAGACGAATGAAGACAGTCGTTCCTTCTCTACTACTTACAATAATCCACATCCACATTTATAATCAGTCTCCTTGCATACTTACATAATTGTCGAGTATCTCGCAATAAGCTTTCTATAAATCGTTCGGCAACCAGATATGCAACCAGTGACTAGTGACATTTTGATCAATATTGCCGCATCTTGATAACCTGTGACTCGGCCGACGCGGATCATCCAATCCCAGAACATCGTGTGTCTCAGAGTTATTTCTATCCCCTACTTATGTATCATACAGACGCAGTCAAAGTTTTCAAAGCCGCTTCCGTAGTACACGCTCACGATTGACTAGTCCGACGAGACCAAGTACTCCCACAAGTTTACTTGTGCGATTCCACAGTTCTTGCAGATCACTGATTGCGTGTTGCCTCGTACATCCCCATCAACTCATCGAATCTGCATCGTGGACATATCCTTGCCATCCCAGGAATCAGCCCATCAGGCAGTACGAGTTGGTCATTTGATAAAATGGTTCAGAATCGGACCTGGCAGGAGAAAAACACTCTCTGCATCAGGTTAACTGAATCTGTCGTGTTCCTGCGCGCCTCCGATCCGACTGGCCGGGACCACGTCCAAGACAATGCAGCACCTGCAATGGTTCGCGGGCTGCTCACCCTGAACATCGTGAAGCCTACTCGCATCTCCAGCATCGAGATTGAACTGCAGGGGAAAGCCACCACTTCGTCGTTTGAAGGTGCGTGTACCTTGATTTCATAGAATAGAAGCGTAACTCACTCATTTGTATGCAAATAGGGGTTGGTGCGCGCCGCATAGAGGTGACAGAACAACAAAAGGTGTTTTCTGCATCTACTGTCTTATTTCAAGCACCATCGTCACCATCTGCCCGACGTACTGCTTCAGTTGGCCCTGGACTCCCAGGCCGTGACCATGATGAAGTTCATTACCCCGCAGAGCACAGTTTAGTCCCACCTGGACCACATCCCAATGACTTTCCAGCATTCCACACCAGGAGCGCTAGCGTGGATCCACGTCAATTTTCTTCCACAAGCAGTGGGCGTTGTTTCAGTGACAACAATGTTCTTCAGCGCGAGACTTATGCTCCTCCCCACCAAGACACTGTTCACCTCCCTCCTACTCCTCCTTATAGCCCACCCCTGGACCCCTCCTCGTTTACTGTAGACCATCGTCCCTCGCCTACACACTCGCACTCGGGCTCGATTTCTCAATCTTCTGGTCACCCCAAACCAGAAGACAGTCCAGCCCAGACGCTGGAAGACCTTCGACAAGCGCTCAGGAATAACATAGAGGCAAGCCAACCGAGTAAGTCAATTACTTACTGCTTTTTATTTCTTATGTCTATACGCCTTACACTAGGTTCCCATGGCCCATTTTACACGCCCACTGCTGGTTCTTCTGCGTCAAGCATACACTCGTTCCGCGAGATTTCCCTCTCCCGCCGACCGAGTATTGAAGACATCTCTGAAAACGAGCAGTTGCCTGGCCAGACATCCCGGTTCAGCTCCCGCACACGCACGTCTCCTGCAGAGTCGCAAAGTTCAACCGTCGTTTCCAATGTCGCAGCAACACCCGAGGATATCTATCGTGGGAGAAAGCATGCCCGTTTTTCGCTTTCTGCTGTTGCGAATGCGATCGATACGATGGTGGAGCGTGTGAGGTCGCGTTCCCCACGTGCTGAATCCCAGAGGAGAAGCAAGAGTGGAAACCGTGATGGCGAACGAGGTAGGACGCTAGACAGAGGAAAGGGGAAGTTGCCGGAGCTGTCGTCGCATGAAAATGAGAAGCACAAGCATTACACAGCGTTAGGAAAAGTGGGAGAACTCTTAGGGCTGGAGGAAGAGCATAAAGATGTGGGGGAGGGTTGGAAGGAATTCAAGAAAGGTGGATTTTGACATATACCGCTTTGTGTGTTGACGGTGCTTATTCTCGCTCCCAGGAACATATACCTATCCCATCTCATTTACCATACCAAACAACTCCCCTCCCACCATCGAATGTGACCACGGATCCATGATTTGGAGGCTGAAAGCTGAAGCGCACCGACCTGGTGCATTCACATCAAAGCTGACTGCCCAACGCGAAGTTCCTGTGGTCGCAGCACCTGGAGAAGATGATACCGAGGACTCGGAAAACATCATCATCGAGCGCCAGTGGGAATCGCAGCTGCAGTATCTGATAGCAATATCGGGACGCAGATTCCACACTGGCGGCACCATACCCATTGATCTCACGATCATGCCTTTCACGAAAGCCAAGGTGCATCGAATATCTGTCTACATCGATGGTGAGTAACTGTGTACGCTTTTACCTGTTATCAAACCTGAAGTATTGTGCAGAACGGATTGAGTACCACACACAAATGAAGCGGGCCGTACGCTCACAACCTACACGTCGAATACAGTTGCTTTCACTCCAGAACGAGGTTGACGACGAGAGCCAGCCGTTACTACCTCTCATATCCGACGACCCAGAGGCATTCAGGAAGTCACCTTTGCACCGACTCCTGAACGCTGGCGACGACGAGAACGAGATGGCCATGATTGTCATGGGACCAGGACCATGGTCATTCCACCACGAACTGCAGCTTCCGGAACACTGCTCCCTCATTCATTTCTCCAATCGGAACAAAAAGAGCAACATCACCATCAATCACACACTCAAGATTGTCCTTCGCGTAGAACGTGGCGACGACGAGTCGGTTGACCCGAAGACGAAGAAACACAAGCTATTTGACATCCTGATCCAAACGCCTGTACACATCTTATCTGTAAGTTTTTTGTATATTCCATTCCAACGCACCCTTTGACTAAGTTGTGCTTCCAGTGCCACTGTGCCCCAGCGTGGGCGTCTCTACCCAGGTACTACGAGGCGCTAGAACGCGACTTCGTCAGCAAACGCGTATCCTGCCCATGCGACCTCAGACCCGCGCGCAGCACGCACTGCGGTCCCGACGCCAGTGAGCTGTACACGTCATTGAACCGCGTGGTCTCGATCGACTCCGCCGCGTCATCTGCAGAGAACCTTTCGCCGGCGAGGCACAGTGGACCACACGCGCAGACGCTTGTGGGGCGAAGCGCACAGTATGAACGGCTGGTGTCGGGAATGGAGAGCGAGGCCGGGGAGGCACCGCCGGCGTATGAGAGTATTGGTGGTGTGATACCCGTTTTTCGGTCTCATTTTTATCATGCTTGAGCTTGAGGGGTCGATAGGGTTGTTAATGACATTATTGATATTTATGATACGGTATTGGGTTGTGCAATCGTTATAGTTGGTCTCTTCAAAGAGTGTGTAAGGGTTTATGAGGGGTGCTGGCAATCTTGGCGGAGGCCATTACTAGAAATCTACGTAAGTAAGTACTTAAGTACTTGGAACCTTCTCGCTTCATTAGTGGATGCCATCCAACTCTTGCCTTCCCAAGTGAAAGCCTCTAACCGAGCCACCGTTGTTTCAAGTCGTTGCATTGGCTACGCGACACGCACGAACGCTCGCCCAAACGGAAAAGGACTGAATTCAAGTTGCCACGGCACTGCGATAATCGCTGTCACAGTCGTGAGTCCAGGAACACAGGCTATCATGCAGCACTCAGGCTCTTTCTCATCCTACGGACTACAGATCCGGGGGAAACAGACATCCTATTCGGCCGCATGCATGTAAAGTCGAGGTTCAGGTTCGCTTACCATTTTGCTCACATGACCCTCTCCTCGTGCTACAGACATGGTCCGACGAACACTATTATTATTATTGTCCTTGCCTTGGGCATGCGCGGGTTGCCATGAGCATCAGCTATTAGTTAAACTCACATGTCTGACGCGACTGTGTTCAGGATCAGCTTCTGGTAGGCCTGCTCAAGCTTATCAGGCGGCCGCTTGGGTACATTCGAACACATGATGGCGGGCGACGTCCCACTCACCACTCAGAATAGGAAGTATCATGCTTTACCCCTTGTTCTTCATCATCATGTGAAGGTACATCAATGGGCTGGTAATTGATTTCGCAGACACATTTTCACAGAAAAGGGCTGTAAAATGATCCACTTAGAACTCATCCAGCATTAGGTCGTCGGGGTATCGTGATCAATCAACGCATCTGTGAGAACAGGGCTGATAGATATATTCTTAGGCATAATGATACATATAGATCCTTCGATGAGTAGCGACCTGCACGCATGGTCGTCTTGTTATCTCTATCTGGAATTCTGCGGGTTTCGAGCGACTTTTCCCCCGACAATGCTATAAATCGGTGACAGATTTTCTCGGTGAGTGCGCTCGAGATCATCAGCATGCGCCTACTTCCATCCTTTGTGGTTCTTGCCCTCGGGCTGTTGGCTTCTGCCGACTCGTTCCTTTCGCCTTACCGCGTTCATGAGAGACGTGGGCACATCCCCACTGGATGGTCATACAGCCGAAAGCACGACAGTGCCGCTGTCATCCCTCTGCGGTTCGCTCTGAAGCAGAGTAACATTGACGACATTGGTGACTACCTCATGGAAGTCTCTCATCCAGAGTCTGCCGGATATGGCAAACATTGGACCGCCGGGGAAGTTTTCAAAAAGTTTTCGCCTAGCGTTGAAACCATCGGGGCCGTCCGTGCCTGGCTCGAAGAGAACGGGTTTGACTCCTCCCGTGCCAAGCTTACTCGTAACAGAGGTTGGATCGAAGTCCAAGCCACTGTAGAGGAAGCTGAGCGTCTCTTGCAGACTGAGTACCATGTGTACGGTCACGAAACCGGTCACGAGCATGTTGGTGAGTAGTACCTTCAATCTAATTGTTCGTGAACATGACCTATTATGTAGCGTGTGATTCATACCACTTGCCTGAGCATGTCCAGTCTCATGTCGACTTTGTGACCCCTACTGTACATTTTGACGCCAAGATCTTCAAGCGTTCCGGCTCCGGTTCGTCCGAAGGGATCGGGCGCTCTGTCGGTCAACCAGGAAGTGGTTCCTCCCCAAAGACCACCGGAGAGATCCAGAGTCTCCTGAATCAACTGGAAACGTGTGATCAACAAATCACCCCGATTTGCTTGAGGGCTTTGTATGGGTTGGTTTACGAGCCGCTGGCAGCCAGCAAGAATAGTTATGGAATCGGTAAGTTATACAACATGTCATTTTTCGCATGATGTTGACTCGCCACAGTGGAGTATACCCCGCAGGCCTACCTGCAAAGTGACCTCGATATGTTTGCCAGCAATTTCTCTGATGGCCTTGTCGGAGTGGCACCTTACATGGTGTCAATAGACGGAGGTATGTTAAAATCATGGCTCTTTGGATTTCTGATAGTTATTTCGTCGCCAGGCTATGCACAAACCGAATACACTGGCTTTGAATACAACGGTGAATCTGATCTCGATCTCGAGTACGGGATGAACCTCGTCACCGCTAAGCAGCAAGTCACCTTATATCAGGCTGGAGATATGGTAGAGGGTAAGTCCTTTCATGGAGCACTGGGACATCCTTACTGAAAATGTGTGAAGGTGCCTCTTTCAACAACTTCCTTGACGCAATCGATGGCACGTACTGCACCTATGATGGCGGAGACGACCCAACTCAAGACTCCATTTACCCTGACCCATATGGCGGAGGCTATGAGGGCCCTGAAGATTGCGGCACCGCAAAGCCTACCAATGTTATCTCGACCTCCTATTCGTACAACGAAGCTGATCTGACACCCTTCTACACTGCCCGCCAATGCTCGGAGTATGCTAAACTTGGCTTGATGGGCGTTACTGTCCTCTACAGCTCTGGTGACTATGGAGTTGCTGGAAATGGTGGATACTGCCTGACAGCTAACGGTAAGTGTTCCTAGCATCATTGTAGCAAGATGCTAATATCATTCATAGGGACTTATTCCTTGAACGGCACGATCTTCAACCCCAGTTTCCCGGGAACTTGCCCCTACATCACATCTGTTGGTGCCACTCAGGTCAACCCTAATTCGACTGTCTATGAGCCAGAAGGGGCCTGTGAACAAGTCATCTACTCTGGAGGTGGTTTCAGCAACTACTTCGCGATGCCTGATTACCAGAAGTCAGCGGTCGAGTACTATTTGACGAATTACTACCCTCAGTATCCTCCTGATATCTGGAACGCCTCAGGAACAGTATGTGCCGCTCAAGTAGTAGATGATACCATCTAATTTCCTTTCGCAGTCCCGTGGCTTCCCTGACATTTCTGCCAATGGAGCTGTAAGACTTTGTCGTTGAGGATTCAGCAAGTGCTCACACCATATTTACAGAACTACGTTGTTGCTATTGATGGCGGATTCTATTTGGTTTATGGAACGTCTTGCTCTTCCCCAGTCAGTGGAGCCATCTTGACGATGGTCAACGATGCTCGCCTGGCAGTTGGAAAGAGTCCGATAGGATTTATCAACCCAACTGTGAGTGCCTGCCTTAGATCATTGTTGCCTTTTTCTCACTAGCTGTTGTAATGAAGATCTACTCGGCTGACTTTGCTGGTGTTTTCAACGACATCACCATGGGCGGAAATCAAGGATGTGGCACCGCTGGATACACTGCTGTTCCTGGTTGGGACCCAGTGACTGGACTGGGGACTCCCAATTTCCCGAAGCTTCTTGCGAAGTGGTTATTGCTCCCTTAGACTTTGAAAAGGTGACTACAAACGGATTTAAACATGGAAGTAGAAGATCTGAGGTGGCATGATGCTCGACCTTTGGAAATAAAGCCACTACCCCAACGCTACTTGTGTATTTTAAACAGTATTTGAATGTACTAAAGGGACAGGTGACCATCGCATATAGATGAGGTTGGCGGGAAATCAAACGCAATCACAGTGTTTTGAACTACACACTTATCGAAGACGCAAAAGTTACTACATTCGAGGTACTCTGCACACCCAAGCCCCAATTACGCTGTTGCAAAGCCAGGGGCAGCAGCGAAGCTACTGATAAGTATTTTTTATTTATTTAAAAAATCGAATGAGTCCAGGAGCTAGTACTAGCCATTCAGTTATAAAACTTGCAGAAACTCGATCCCCAGTTCCCAAAGCTGCAGGTCGAGACGGTATATCCTCGCGGTCTGCGTATATGACTCTGCTGACTGCAATCTCCAACATTCTTAGAGACAAGTTGAACGATATTAAGGACGTACGTTCGCTGCCTTCCAGGCGGTCCTGCACATCCCCCCCCTATGTTGTGCAACGATACAATGGGGAAGGGGCGGCCCGAAGGGCTCGCAACTTGTTTAGTGCAATCCACAGGAGTGTGATCGAGGTCCTATTGAGGAAAGTCTTAGGCTATGCTCAATATCCGACTCGGCTTCGAGGCAACAGGCTCTGTTAGACTAGTTTCAAACCTCACGAATATCTACATAGTAGTTACCGGAGAGATCTCGCTTCTTCCATTCCTTTCCTGATGTTATCAAGGACTTTGAGATTTGCCGTTCGTTGCTCCTCTATCGGCCCATCCAGCGCGTCTTCCCACCACCTCTCGCCTTCAGGCACTTCGCGCCAGCCTCCTTTCAGGAACTCGATAAATTTAGGCATGCTGCCTGATGGAGCCACGCGCAGTGCTTGTGCCTTCTTCCAGTGAGTGGGCGGATTCGTCGGCGAAAACAACGCGGAAGAAGCACTGCTAGGGGGCTTCGAGAAACCTTCACATGCAAGGATGACGCTAGGAGGCACTGTGATGCGGCCATGCTTAAAGCAAACGTATGAAACCGCTACACAATGGAGTACGGCATTGTCAGGTTTGGTCGTTTGTGACTGTGCGGCAGCCAGGTCTTTTATTGCCTCTGCTGCCTTTCCTGGCCGAAGGTTAGAGTCCTCCTCACTCTCATCACTGAGAGTCGGAGGGGTGACCAAATCCTCTGCAGGTGTGCGTAACATTCGAGAAAAATTATTCGATGTCGTCGGTGTTTTCGATGATCCCAGATGCTGGCCTAATTCAGACATAGTACAACGGTCCATACGTCCACGTCTGTTCTTTGGGAAAGAGACAAAGCGAGCGGTAATGAACAACTTCAATATCAATCATCGTTAGACGCTTTTCATTTAGAACCCTCTGGAGCTCACCCATTTGTGGTCCCATGCCCGGATGGAGAGTCTAATCTCATATCTCGCAAGGAATGGTATTTCTTGAATGAAATGAAAGTGAGTAGCTAGATGAGGAATGACTCTTATCGAAAACTGCGTGGAATGAGGTTCACGCACAGCCTACAGCTACCAACCCACCACTCCTTGTGAATGCAGGGAAGGCTTTCAGAATCAAATTCAGGCCGGCTCCATCTTGGGCCTGAACAAAGAGTGAAAGGAGGGTTTTATTACAGCGTTATTTGGATAACCAAGTACATCGGGTCCCTACCTTCGCGTAACTGGAGTTGCTGAGGTGTCCATTGAAATCGATGTCGTCCAAAGCTAAAGCCAAGTGAGCCTATGCTTCATTAGAAAGTTAGAATGAAACGTACTCGCCCAGCCATGTTGAACGACTACGAGCTCGAAGGGGCTTGCGCCAATTGGACATAAAGCCTCGTTCCAATCGTTAAGGATCTTTGCCTTCACCTTTTTTGGCTTGAATATGATGCGGAGCCGAAGGAGGTAGTACTGGAGACTGAGTCGCAGAACTGGCAGGAACAGACGAACTGAATACCGCAGGCTTGCCTTTGAGGCGCGTCACGGCCAAAAAAGGATGCGTACTCACTGTGCCAGGCGAGCGGTAGAGACCGAAAATTGACCAGTAGCAAGACCAAGAGCGTATACTTGGTGACTGACAGCACCAATTGTCTGCGCAATAACACGACTGGTGTCGGCATCTTGGCCAGCAGATGCAAACTGTCGTAAGAGTACCGGCCAGACATCGTATCCCGAGTTGTGTAAGTAACTAGGAATATATGTTGAACAGCTTGGGTTGGGCTTTTGTGGTAGTACTAGAAAGACATAGCGGGCTTGCATCTTGCATACGTAGTCTCATATAGGTAGACCAGATACGATAGTCGGAATTTGCATATGAATCATTGATAAGTAGTTTCATTGGAATTGCTGGGACGCCATGGGAAGAGCTACAGGCATGTGGACACAAAGAGAAGACTGCATGACGTCACCGAGCCAGCATTGTAGATTAATGTGGGTTTTGACACGCTGCAAGTGGCAACGCTGGCGCCGTGCACGAGTATTGACTGGCGCTGATCATAGATCCAGATCTGGGGCGTGAGGGACTACCCGGTAAGCGGTGCGAGTCACCAGGTGTTGCCGTCATGGTGAAAGCGACCACCGACGTTCCCCAAGTTGTAAGTGACTGTCAAGCTGAGAGCAGTAACTTTGAACTGGCGATTGTAGAGGAACCCCTTGGGAAGGGCCCCGTAGTGCGTTTCGCCACACTCGCTAAATCTGCTGCACCGGTACCGCGGGAAGAAGTTTTGCGGGTTGGAGACTTCTTTACGAGCATTCTCGAAGACCCAACACGAGCCTACGCAACTTGTCTGATCAAAGAGCTTGCTGTTGCGAAAGAAAGTATTACGACGGGCAGGCTGTTGAGTTATGCGCAGCTTTGAAGTAGCCTGATCTTCACTTCAAAGTCATCCACCTCAAAGTGAAACGGCGCTCGTCAATTCAAGCCCCGAGATGGCCGAACCGTTGCAATAGGTACATGGCAAGGCGTCAGCCGCAGCAAATATAGTTAGGGCACTCTCGGCCGTCTAGGCCTGAGGGAACTCTTGCACAGTTCGTGCTCAGACACCCATATGTTCTGCGACGCCATCTCGTACTTGTAGTCTTGGACTGGTGATAAAGTGGGAGAGGGTGGATTCGCAACCTGGGTCGAGGTGAGATATAAGATACGCGGCTGTAGTGAATGTCGAACTAGCTTTCAACGGTAGGATAAATCCTCTAGGTAATTACCTGATGGATCTCGCTCCTTCCATCCCTTTCCTGATGTTATCAAGGACTTTGAGATTTGCCGTTCGTTGCTCCTCTATCGGCCCATCCAGCGCGTCTTCCCACCACCTCTCACCTTCAGGCACATCGCGCCAGCCTCCTTTGAGGAACTTAGCAAATGCAGGCATACTGCCTGATGGAGCGACACGTAATGCTTGTGCCTTCTCCCAGTGAGCGGGCGGGTTCTGCGGCGAGAATGGCACAGAGGCAATGCTGGGGGGCTTCGAGAAACCTTCGCATGCAAGAATGACACCAGGAGGCACTGTGATGCGGCCATGCTTAAAGCAAATGTATGAAATCGCCACACAGTGAAGTACGGCACCGTCGGGCTCGGTCATCCGCGACTGCACAGCAGCTAGTGCTTCCATTGCCTCTGCCGTCTTTTCTGCTTGAAGGTTGGAGTCCGCCTCATTGGCATCATCGGGGATTGCAGGAGTGGCCAAGTCCTCCGCAGGTGTACTCAGTAAAATCCGGGGAAAGTCAGTTGATGTCGTTGGTGTCTTTGACGGTGTGACACCATGGTTATTAGTCTCTGGTTGCTGGCTTGATGAGTCCGCCTGTTTGCTCCCCCGGAAGGAGACGTAGCGAGCAATAATGAACATCTTGCCAATCATTGTTAGACGGTTCCTATATATAAGCGCCGAGAGCTCACCCATTTATGGTCCCATGCCCCAATGGAGAGACGTATCTCGTATTTTGCAAGGAACGGTATTTCTCGAACGAAATGAAAGTGAGTAGCTAGACGTAGAATGAATATTTGTTGAGACATTGTGGAGTGAAGTTCACGCACAACCCAGAGCCATCCACCCGCCACTCCTTGCGAATGCAGGGAATGCTTTCAGAACCAGTTTCAAACGGGCTGCATCAAGAGCCTGAGCAAAAAGTCTTTTCATTACTGCGTTATTTGGATGGCTGAGCGTACCGAGTCCTTACCTTCGCATAACTGGAGTTGCTAAGATGTCCATTGTAATCGGCGTCGTCCACAGCTAAAGCCAAGTGAGTTGATACCTCAGGAGACAGTTAGACTGAGACGTACTCGTCCAGCCATGTTGAACGGTCACGAGTTTAAAGGGGTTTGCACCAATTGGACATAAAGTCTCGCCCCAGTCCGCAAGGATCTTCGCCCGTACCTTTTTAGGCTTGAAAATGATGCGAAGGCGTAGGAGGTAGTACTGGAGACGGAGTCGCAAAACTGGCAGGAATACGCGAACTGAATACAGTCATTACGTTTGGTATATATCACAGCTGCAAGGAATATTTACTCACTGTGCCAGGCAAACGGTAGAGACCGAAAATTGACCAGTAGTAAGACCAGGAAGACATATTTGGTGGCCGACAACAATAACGATTGTCTGCGCGATAACTTCTGTAAGTCAACGACCAATATTTGTGGTATCCGGGCCAGAAGGCGCCAATTGTCCCGAGAATACTGGTCGGACATTGTGTCCCAAGTTAAATGTTGAAAGGTAAACGTATTGAAATAGAATTTGGATAAGTTTTCTTGCCGATGGGAATAACTAGAACACTAGAAAGAATTGGCCCAACTTCGGGCTTGCGTCTTGCATATGATACTTTTCACTAAGGACGGATGGGCGTGAATAGAAACCACGTGCAAAGTGCAAAACTAAAATGTGTTCTTAAGTTTCGGCAGCTTCGGCGGCCCGAACCGCATGCCCGACCACAGCGTTGGGGAGAAGGTTTTTCCGCGCAAGTACATGAACCGGCGCGCGATAAAACTGGAGTGCGAGGTCTGTGAGTTGACAATACCTTTGTAGGACAGCATTTCTGTGAACTTTGAAATCACGCAAAATCAACCGACAGCAGATCAGTCATAAAACTTCCGTAATTATGACTGGGGAAGTGGTATAACGGATAGTACTTCAGGCTCAAAGGTTAAAGAGCTTCTGTGCGTCTTGTGCAGCCTGATTCGAAGGAAACACTGGGTACTGCAACCCCACCACCCTCCCCTTGTCAAAAAGAAGAGTTATGCGCTTCAACAACGTCTCCCCTTGCACTTCAAAAGTAGGTAAACGCAAGGCGCGAGTCAACTCAAGCCCCTCGTCACTCAAGATCGGATATGGAAGACTCAAACGGGTTGCAACCTCTAGTTGGTACGCAGTACCCTGAGTGCTCAGTGCAAAAATTGCAGGGCGAGGTGTCAGCTGCAGTAAAGATTCGATTGAATCTTTGATACTGCACAATTCCTACGAGCGTCAAAGAATATGAGATCTTGCCGATGAAACGCATGGTGAGGCCCCTTACTGGCGTGCATCCCCTAGCACCGGGAATATCGTCCCAGCCATTCGGATTGGGCACTCCCGGTTGCCCTGTGCGAGGGTATATGAATAAGAGAACTGGTCTTTCTAAAGATTCCGTGTAGATATTGACAGGGGAACCGGAGGTGGCTGGGAGATTTATATGAGCAATCTCTGCGGGATCACATTGTGCTGTAAGATGATCTGCAGCTCCATCGTCTACAGGCACCGGTAAATTGTCTGGAAGAGTGTTCCAGTCCATGACAATGTTTGAAGATGAGTTAGAGATGAGTCATCCAGTTGCCTCCGGGAGTGTTTGTGTGGCTGTGTCGATGCAGCATCTCCCGCAACCAGAATCCAAATCTTTGTCACAGCTTGTGTCCGGATCTACTTCTGGGAACCTTTCCTTTTGCTATCTGTGCAAGCTACCTTATGCATCCTTCCCAGGCAACTTATAAGTGATTCGAAGATAATCCGGTTGAAAGGTACTTGCTGAAAGCTGGTACTACTTGACTCGTCAACAATTATGGCAATTTGTCTTCGTCCATGAAACAGGTCGATCTATAGGGATCTAGCTAACTCGAAGCAAACAGGGACATGTCTGGTGCCTCTCTTCGACTGTGAACGGAAACATTTCATCCATGCGTGTCTCGGGGAAACAGCTCGCAGTGTGGGAGTACTCGAGAGAGAGTCTCATCGAGATACTCTGCCTCGCATGCTTACAGTCTAATCCTGGCACACAACCATGCTGCCTCTGTTCTCGAGGAAGTTATAAAAGATATGGCCAGTGATCAATTTTGGTTGTCAGCTTCAGCCCGTCCGACATGCGCTGCTCATTCACTGCACTCGTCGCCCTCAGCCTCGCGCTAGTCTCCCTAGCGGTGCCTACTCCCAGCCCATACAATGCGCATGAGAAACGTAGCGCCATTCCTACTGGGTGGTCTCTCACCCGAAGGCACGGGAACGCGGCAACCCTGCCTCTGCGCATTGCTTTGAAGCAGAGTAACATCGAGTCCATCGGTGAATATCTTTACGACATCTCTCACCCAGAATCATCCAACTACGGCAAGCACTGGACTGCAGGGGAGATCTCCCGAAAGTTCTCACCCTCAGATGAAAGTGTTTCCACCGTCAGAGACTGGCTTATTGAGAATGGGTTGGCGAGCGAGCGCATCCGCGTGAGCCCCACCAAGGGTTGGATTAACGTTGATGTTTCGGTTGAGGAAGCGGAACGGCTTATGAACACCGAATATCATGTTTACACCCATGTTTCCGGACAGGAACACGTCGGTCAGTGTCTTCGTGAAGGATTCCAAATATTGTGGTACTCACGTGCCTCTTTTTAGGTTGCGAAGCATACCATCTCCCTGAGCACATCAGCACTCATGTCGACTTTGTCTTGCCCTCCGTTCACTTTGACACCAAAATTAAGCGTCGATCTGGCGGTGAACTGGAACCTGCCCGCGCGGTTGGCCAGCCTGGTGTAGGAATTACCCCGAAGACCGCTGGCACCATCTCACAGTTAGTGACTGAGCTCGAGCAGTGTGACGAGTACATCACTCCTATCTGCTTGAGGGCTCTGTATGGTCTTGCGTACGAGCCTGTGGCCACTGACAAGAACAGCTACGGCATCGGTATGGTTTATATTCCTTTGGGCGCCTCGTGAGCTAATTCATCCCCCAGTGGAATACACTCCTCAGGCGTACTTGCAATCCGACCTGCAAATGTTCGCCATGAACTTTTCTACTGATCTCATCGGAAAGGAGCCATACATGGTATCCATTGACGGAGGTGATTATCTCGAGCATCCTTCCTTAGCCAAAATCATGAAGACATGTTGTAGGGTATGCACAGACCGAGTACCAAGGTTTCGAATACAACGGCGAGTCAGACCTCGATCTCCAATATGGAATGACTTTGGTCACTGGCAAACAACCAGTCACTCTTTACCAGACTGGTGATATGGTCGAAGGTAGGACGAAAACACACTGCATGCATGTAGCTAACCTTATCACTGACAGGGGCTTCTTTCAACAACTTCCTCGACGCCATCGACGGGTCCTACTGCACGTTCGAGGGCGGCGATGATTACACTCAGGATGCAGAATATCCTGACCCATACGGGGGAGGGTATGAGGGTAAGTGCGCGACTTTGCTGGATCCCAAATGCAATAAACTTGAATGATGTGACAGGTCCCGAGGACTGTGGTACTGTTACACCCGCCTACGTTATCTCAACATCATACGGGTACAACGAGGCTGATCTCACACCGTTCTACACTGAGCGTCAGTGTGCAGAATATGCGAAGCTTGGCCTGATGGGTGTTACTGTCCTGTACAGCTCTGGAGACTATGGTGTGGCTGGTAACGGCGGCTATTGCTTGAACCCCGATGGTATGCCTTGAGTTGAATTTTCATTCGTGGCTTCTCACACGACAACAGGCACTCAAAGCGCAGACGGTATGATCTTCAACCCCAGTTTCCCTGGTGCTTGCCCCTACGTTACATCTGTTGGCGCCACTATGGTCAAGCCAAACGCAACTGTTCTGGAGGCTCAGCCTGAAATGGCTTGCATGGAAGTTATTTACTCTGGTGGAGGTTTCAGTAACTACTTCGCGATGCCCTCATACCAGAAGACCGCCGTCGATTACTATCTGGAGAACTATCCCCCCAACTACCCTGCAACTATCTGGAACTCAACTGGCATGGTGAGTGTCAGAGTCAATGTGATGTGTACAATCGACTCAAGCCAGTTATCAGTCGCGTGCTTTCCCTGACATTTCTGCCAATGGAGCTGTGAGTGTCTGTCCCAAATCGCATGGGTGCAACAGGGTATAACTTTTTTTGTCAGAACTACGTTGTCGCTGTCGACGGTCAATTCGAGCTTGTGTACGGAACCTCCTGTTCTTCACCAGTCAGTGGCGCTATCTTCACAATGATCAACGATGCCCGTCTCGCCGTAGGGAAGGCCCCGATTGGTTTTATCAACCCTACGGTATGTTCCCGTCCTCTTTGTCCCTGTATCAGTTGATAATTTATGATGCTAGATCTACTCTGCTGATTTCGCGGGTGCATTCAATGATATCACCGAAGGGTCAAATCCGGGCTGTGGTACCGAAGGTTACAACGCAACCGCTGGGTGGGACCCAGTTACTGGTCTTGGTACTCCCAACTTCCCTATATTGCTCGAGAAGTGGCTGTCTCTTCCATAGAATACTGAGTAGCTATACTGATAGTGTAAATGAATCTGAGCTAAAAAAAAATATTCCTGAATATGCGCAAGGCGGGCAATAAGTATACCAAAATTACTACGTACACGGTCTTGGAAGACTAGTAAGTATCCCGAGAATTCGGCGAGTCAAATGAATCGCGCGATGATCAAGGAATGATCGCCATTTGATAACACTTCTATGTGCATTCTCTACTCACACTAAGTATGTCCAAACACTACCCGCTTTTAAGTTAGCGTCAGTGCGCACAATGGAAATGCTGAAGCGCAATGGAGCAGTTACGTAAGACCCCCGTCGTACCGTTCAAGTACGCCTTCTAAGTTGCAGCTCCACAAGAACACAATTCATCTTGATAATCTTTGTCCACTGGTCCGGGGAGTAGTTTAATCAGGCGTGCGGTGCATCTGAATGTGGGATTCGTGCGGATATATGATAAAGGTTTCCAGTCACTCAGGAATATCTCATTGCCGGTAACTAATTGCTAGCCACCACCTCACGAATTCTGGAGTACTACAAACTTGCGTGTAAGCGGGTTGTGACCTCTGAGCTAAGAACTTACAATAAGCCTAAGTTGATCGCGCGAGAAGGGCAATCTGCACGTTAGTGCGTACGTGTCTAGATAGGCAGCCTATCGATGATTGGTTCGTAAATTCGGGGAGGCACTGTCAAACAGGGTTCAGCATCATCACTGATCAAGGAAGATTCAACGAAATATACAGGCCAACTTTGCCCGGCTGGCAGAAAATCAGCTTCGAATCTAGCAGATCGCTGCGCACTAGTGCCCTGCCACTGCCAGAGGAGTAGTATTAGATGGCTTCTCAGGAGTACTTGTGACCGTTTGACGTCCTTTGTGTACATTGCAATCAGTTCGCACGAGGAACAAATAAGTGTACACAAAGTAAATTGGCTGTGGCAGAAAGGGTTCTTGCCACTTGGTTAAGAGTTTCCGACCAGCCCTTTCTTTCTTGCGGCGCGTTCCCCTAAATCTGCACTTCACGCGCGTTGACGGCTTTACATTATGTCTAATTGGACGCCGCAGCCTGCAGGTCTACAGGAGATCCTACAGACTATACGCGACTCAACTGATACACAAGGCAATGTACAGCGAGCCATCACCCATGTATGAATTTTCCTTTCGATGATCCGCTGCGCGTTAACTGTGGCTTAATCAGAAATTGAACACCTTTACACGTGTACCGGATTATATTGCATATCTGGCATACATCTTGACCGCACTCCCCCAAGAGGACGACCAAATCCGCACGATAGCCGGGTATCTGTTGAAGAACAACGCGCGTCTACTCCTTAACGTATCTCCGGATGTGGCCGAGTATGCAAAGTCGGCTGTTCTTCAAGCCTTCGTCAGCTCTCCTCCTTTGATAAGGAATGCTGCCGGACATGATATTGTTGCTTTCCTTGGTGTTCTTGAGCCCAGAAACTGGCCGGATTGCCTGCAGCAGTTGGTGAATATGCTAGATTCGCCTGATCCAGCTCTTCAGGAGGTGAGTGTTCATGTCATGATATTTCGGGGCTGGAACATGGGATCGCGAATGCTTTGCCACGAGTTTTGAGGCGCCTGCTAATCAGGCAAAGTTCATGCGGGTGCAGCTCTGGCTTTTCAGCAGCTCTCCTTCATCGAATGCCTCATTTGATTGAACGTGATTTTATGCTTAGCCCGAACAGTCCCCAAGCACGCGACGTTTCATATTCCATGGTTATCTATGTCACTATTCAAGTGCGAATACTCAAAATTACTACGCAGGCTGCTTTTAGCGTTTTCGAGAAAGCTTGCGAGGACTTCCCTCGCAAGATGGATGTTGAGATTAATGGAACGCGCCCTCTGGATTACATGATCCCCAAGTTCCTCATGCTATCAGAGCATCCGATGCCGAAAATGCGGTCACATGCCGTTGCCTGTCTTTCATATTTCGTGCCGATCAATTCTCAGTCCCTTTTCGCCCACATCGATGCGTTCATCGCCTGCCTCTTCAAGCGCGCATCTGACGAGGATCCATCTGTCCGAAGGCACGTCTGTCAGGCTCTTGTTTTGCTCCTTGCAGCCCGTCCCGAGAAGCTGATGCCGGAAATGTCGAATGTCGCGGAGTACATGTTATACTCAACCAAAGATAAGAATGAAAGTGTGGCCCTCGAAGCCTGCGAGTTCTGGCTTACTTTTGCGGAGGATCCTGACCTCGCAGCATTCCTCCACCCTCTCCTGGGACGTGTTGCTCCTGTATTGCTCGATTGCATGATCTACGGAGAGGATGACCTTCTATGGCTTGATGGGGACACAGAAGATACCAACGTCCCTGACAAAGAAACCGACATCAAGCCACGGCATTATGGAGGTAAAACGCACGGTCTGGACCGGGATCAGGCAGAACCTAATGGACAGGAGCGGAAGCGAGGGGCATACGGGGAGGAGACATTGGACGACGAGGACGAGGATGACTACGATCTTGATGACGACGATTTCGCTGATGAGATGTCTACGGAGTGGAACTTGAGGAAATGCGCTGCTGCTGCGCTGGATGTGCTGGCTGTGAGGTTTGGGTCGGAGTTACTGAACGTGCTGCTTGGTCCCTTGAAAAATAAGCTTTGGAGTACTGAGTGGTTGGAGAGGGAAAGTGGCATCTTGGCATTGGGCGCAATGGCAGAAGGTGTGATTCCTGCTTATCTGAAGATCGCCTATTGACTTTGTTCTCAAGGCTGCATTGACGCAATCGAGCCTCACCTGACAACCCTCGTCCCGTATCTAATCAGTACACTCAACGACCCTAAGGTATGCCGTTACTACCTCGCTTTGAGGGGCAAGATTGACGATAATTAACCGTTTAGCCTCTTGTTCGGTCAATCGCTTGCTGGACCTTGGGTCGGTATGCCAGCTGGTGTACGCAACCTATATCGGAGCAGCATAAGAATTCGTTCTTTGTCCCGACAATGGAAGGCGTGCGTATTTTTATATATTTCACGTGTGATTATGTCAATTTATAAGACTGCAGCTGCTGCGAATGGTCCTGGACGACAACAAGCGTGTACAAGAAGCAGGATGTAGTGCATTCGCAACGTTAGAGGAAGATGCTGGGCCCGAGCTCGTGCCGTATCTGGAACCTGTCCTCCGGAATCTGGTGTTTGCATTCGAAAAATATCAGCACAAGAACACGCTCATACTTTATGATGCTGTTGGCACATTGGCAGATGCTGTGGGCAGGGCATTGCAGAATCCCACATACGTGGAAATCTTGATGCCTCCTCTGACGTCTCGATGGTCCAAATTGTCGGACGATGATGACGATTTGATTCCGCTTCTCGAGGTATGTCTCGGATCGATTTGTTGATATTAAGAGTCCTCATGCTTCGGTATGCCAGTGCCTTGCGTCCGTCACCATTGCCATGGGACCGGCATTTGCCCCCTACGCACTACCTGTCTTCCAGCGCTGCGTGAACATTATTCACCAGTCTCTACTTCAGTACCAAGCATACCAGCAGAACCCGGAGCTCGATGAGCCTGATAAGTCCTTCCTTGTGGTGTCACTGGATCTCCTATCGGGCCTTGCACAGGGCATGGGCATGCATCTAGAGCCTCTCATTGGACAGACAAGTCCAAACCTTCTTCAGCTACTGACGGTGTGTCTCAAGCACCCTCAGGCGCCTGTCCGCCAGAGTGCGTATGCACTCGTTGGAGACCTTGCGATGGGCAGCTTCCAGCTCCTGCGTCCTCATCTACCTGCCATCATGGCAGAGCTTATTGAACAGCTTGACCCTGAGCCTAAGGTCGAGTTCATCAGTGCATGCAATAACGCAGCTTGGTCTGTCGGGGAAGTAGCGCTGCGCTATGGGCGTGGTGAGTGGACTCCCCCGTTTTCAACATTGGGTCATTATGACTCACCGTTTTCTAGATGACCCGGAGTTCCAGCAATGGGTAAATCCTCTCATTGCACGTCTCATCCCCATCTTGCTGCACCCGAAGGCTCCACGTAGTCTTCACGAGAACGCCGCCGTGTCCATCGGGCGGATTGGGTTGATGCACCCCAATATTGTCGCTCCCCATTTGCCCGAGTTTGCACAAGCATGGTGCTTGGCCTTGTATGAGATTCGTGATAATGAAGAGAAAGACTCTGCGTTCCGCGGTCTATGCACTCTCGTGCAGACCAACCCGGCGGGCATTGCAAAGGTCCGTCGAAGTGACTGATCCTGAGTGTGCGATAAACTGACCAATCTTTACTCAGAGCCTTCTCTGGTTCTGCAATGCCATCATCAGGTGGCATCAGCCCTCCGCGGAGCTGAATTCGATGTTCCAACAGCTTTTGTCTGGTTTCAGACACCACGATGAGGCAGGCTGGGCTGCGCAGGTTGCGAGCTTCCCTCCTGTAATCCAGGAGCGCCTTGCTTCACGATACGGTGTATAGACTGTTTTGCCATGTGTTGTGACGTATGTATCATCAAAATGACACGACATCTCATTGTATTTCGGCATCCTTTGTTCATTGTGTCTTATCTCTGTTGTTTCTGGGAACTTCTAGTAGTAGTAGTAGTATTTTCTTTCAAACCAGCAACTTGCGTCTGCGTCTCTGTAGTTACATACATACCTACGTCCTCTCGCTCACAGCCTGCCTCTTGTATATCTTTTTACGTAGCATTAGTCGTAGTAGTACTTAGCTCTTCTTTCTGACATCGGCATTACATCTTAGTAGATAGTATGTAGTAGATACACATCCCGTACAACACTGAGTTCAACTGACATCAATACGATACAATTCTGATGGGATCCATCCCGAAGACCTGTCAAACCATTTCATCCGTTTCCTAGCGATTGCATTGATGGAAGTAAAGGTAAAGATGTACAGGAGCTCGGACGTAAACTGTCAGAAGCGCCTCCGACTCTCATAACCCAAGCCCCCAAATGCAGAGTCACCGTAACCCCTCCTCTTATTAAGCGTGTAAGTCTTGTACCCATACATAGCGCCTACACAGACACCGGCGAAGAGCAGCAATTTGAAAATGAAGCTGAACCAGGAGCCGCCTTGCGATTCGGTTCCAGGCCTGCGCGAAAAGGAACCCTTACCGCTGCCGCCAATCTTGTTGCGCTGCGCATCGGAGGCGGAGAGAATAGCGGACCACGTCGTTACGGAAATGACACTGAGAAACGTATTAGTAGGAGGTAACTACTGGCGAATGTGATACGCACTCATGCGAATCGAATACTTCGCCTGTCATTGCGGAGATGCCGATGAATGGAGAGGGGGGAAGACTAACGTCCGTGAGACGGAAACAATCGGACCAGTCGTCCCCTGCGTGTCTGTCAGTTTTAATTATCCGTTCATAAGGAGAAATGCGCACAGGCTCGATAGTGGACCTTGACCTATCATTTGCGTGAGAAACAAGTGTTATGAGAGCGCAAGCATCAAGACGCACATCAAGATAGGTATCCTTCACGTAGGTGATCTTGAGCTTCGTGATCACGTTCGTACGACGGAAATTGGCTCCACACGAGCCTAGGCTGTTGGCCTCACCATCGTGTGCTTGATCATAAGGTGTCTGTCCATCCCCCATCATCGCAACAACGCGGGGAAATCCATAAGGGTGCCGCGAGTTTGCGTAACTTGTATCACAGGTGAGAAGGGCAACGCGAAATATGTTTATTCGTCGACTCACGTATCCAAAAAGATACCGAGCCCTTCGAAGTTGTCTGGGAGGGCATAAATGTCAGATAAAGATGACCAAGGTGAGACTAGAACTTACCTTTGCTGCCGAAGACAGGGCCAGGTTCCGCTCGCTCCTTGGTGAGCCAAATAGCCATTCCATCTCCGTACAGGTGCGACGATTCACCAGTGACCTAAAATCCCGTTTGGACATGCTGACATCAGGGTATTGGCACTTACTTTGAATTCTACCTCGATAATAAAATTGGAAGCAGTCAGCGGCATGCGCGACCAGAGCCATCCCTAGTGGAAAAAAATGTTCATCGATGAGAGCGTCGCGTAACTTGTCTATTCGCACCATTTGAGATGGGCTCGCGCGCGTAAGACGAATATGTTTGTTGGTATTCTACATGACATGCATGTATTAGAATATGAGTGGTAGCTGAAAAGTGACTGGGCTCACGATGTATGCATCTGCGCCAAAATCCCACCAACTGAAAATTACACAGGTGTAAGGCTGCAATTTGCTGGGCATGACATTCATGTCTCACCGATTTTGCAGGTCTTGATCTATGTATGGAGGAAATATTGAATGTGTGCGAAGCTGTATAGTCTTGGATAGATGAAAAACAATGAGCCATTCCGAATTCGCCCACTGATGGAGAAGCGAAAGCAAGCCCCAAGAAAGGGTACACTTCTCAGATGTTACGACTCACTCGGTCAATTGTTTTGTTGTTCACGGTCGTGTCCGCTTTACCGAGAACACATGAGAAGCTTGCAAAAAGTACATATGCAAGATAGCACACGGAAAAGTACCGTGTCATCGAGGTTGAGAGCTAGAGAAATAAGTGTGGGTGCTCGGAGTCGCGCGTTGCTTGTGCGCGAAAGGGTCTTTGCCGCGACCGTAACAGACAATGTAAGTAAGTGCAGCATACTCAGTGCCACGTCTGCCGAGCATGCCGAAATGTAAATATGTGCAAGCAATACATTTATCCAACAAAATACTTGGAACGAATTTCGATTCACGAAAGAAGAGAACAAGTATCAAACACATTGAGAGTCTGGGTCATTATATCCATGATCTCCCGGTTGCCTATCTACTCGGTTATGACCTCTCTGTCGTTCCGACGGCAACGGAAGTTGCGAGAACTTTCACATACAGAAGAGTATGTAGCCACCCTTGCGCTCAAGTGAAATCGCCACCAGCCCATTGTAGTAGGCCCAATTGGACAATGTTATATTGTTTACTATGAGGGTCCGCCGGACGTTAATGAACTTATACAGGATTTCGGGCGCTTTCTCAAATCTGTTGCTCATCGTGCATACCTTGACAAGGGGTGCCGCTGGGAAAGAGGCCCAGGTCGTTGGAGATAGGCCAATCCACACCGGTCTCGTAAAGGCAGAAGTCCTTATTCAATGTCCATCTCTCTCATCGGCAAATTAATTGCCGCTAGCTGCAAGTTATGCAGAAGTTGATATGGCAAACAGGAAACTCTGAGCTGAAGGCGACAGACACCAGAGGCTATAAAGGGCTAGAGCGGAAAATGCTGGAGGAAACCTGGACGGATACTGGGTCAATAAAAAACGGGCGGAGAAACACAAGCGACCGTTAGGGTTCAAGATGATGTTTGGACTTACCGCAAAGAAAGACGGTAGCCCACCCAAGCCTGACCAGCGCCCTGCATGTCGCGCGTCGCCAAAACTACCCAGTATGTACCAATACCACGCTGGGTAATTCCACACTGATTGGCGCGAGAAGTTCGTGGTCTTGTCGGAGGCACATCCCTGTTGTTTCACCATTCAATCACAGTGAATGCTACAAAACGTGCAGAGAGAGGTAGCTGTTTAATTAGAAGGCATCCTGACAGATCATAAAAGAAATACCCCCACATTACCCCGGTGCATCACTGATAGAAAGCTCGAAACGCATCACTTAATGGATGCCTGAACAGGGTTGTTTGAGTAGATTCATAATACCTCGACCCATAAAATTAACAGGCCCGACTTGTTGCTTGGCTCAATGAGATATTTCGGTTCCATGTAACGCAAGATTCTATGGTCTCCCAAGTATACATGAATGTCCAAGAGCGGTTCGTGATATGTAAAGCTCTGCTCGATGACGTCGGCGGACTCCGACAGACCAAGATACGTAAACTCATGCCGGAAGCTCGAACTTCTGTCCGTGGAGGACTCTGGGATTGACGTCATTGGTAAGTATACAGTTGGTGCGGGAAACATGTGAAAGGCCCACTTTGTAAAGTAGACGTAGAAGAAGTCGAGGTAAAGCCCGGTTTGCACCAGTCCAGCTGTCACAGCTATAGGATCCACCACGTCCTCCGTAAAGTATCTGTAAGGCAAAACCGTCCGGTCATGAACAACAGAACCCACTGGAAGCGAGCGTACCTATATATCCAGTTGGGAAGGTACAGAGCACGATAAATACCCAGAGCGGCAAGGTAGTGTGTCGTGATTGTCTCCGCCTCGCCGGTACGTTGCAACATGAACAACTGGGGGAAAATGGCGACAGATTCGAGATATATGGAGAACGTCCAAAGAATCTCGGTTGGCTCGAACTTGTAGTTGAATATCAATGACAGAAAGATGCATGGCCCAAGGAGATATTCAATCTTGAACGTGTCAATGGAAGGGTCGTGCGTTGGTCTGTCAAAACCAAGGTCAATATTCATGAAATGGGGGAACACCAGTGAGTACGCACCGGAAACGGTACTTCATGAGGTAGAGGATGTAGCAACTGCTGCCTATGAAGAATAGCTTCATCACGAAGTTGTACAGAGATATCCAGCGGAATAGCAGGTCAATGTAACGCGTCAAAAATACGAGGGCGTAGAGAGCCTGCGTCTTGAAGGAAATACCTGGTGTGCGTACAAGCAACACGTCTGAGTAAGAACAAAATAGCGGCTCTAAAGTAAAGAACCCACCCCTGCATGACCTGGTCTTGTGAACTTTATGGATAAGGATGAATATAGAGGCCAAGTGGGCCAAATCCCCTGCAACCACGACCTGTCAACTTCCTGGACAACTTTAAAGCAGCGCGAACGCGAACCGAGCAACCGAAATAAATTCATGTTTTGACGTGACTACTTCTCCTATATCTTCCAACAAGCGTACTGCGGTTCTCCAATTGATGGTCCAAAAATTTGAGCGTCGTGGAGTGTAGAAGGGATCGACGTATACCGACGTGTCCAAACATTGTTGCTGGTATGAGGTAAAATATTCGCACGCCTTCTCTCCTTCTTCAGTCCCAGCAACTCCCCGCAAACTCCCCGCGACCTTTGTTTCATCCTGGACGACAGATTCCATGCATATAACCTTGTACTGTTGACGACAAAATAGCTTCCGGCGAGCATTTCCGTAACACATACAGATAGGCAAGTGGTCATATTCTTCTCTTGTTCGCCATGATGTCCAAGTAAAAGGGTCGACTTTGACATAATACTGTGATGCAAGCTGTCCCTGGCTCTTGAGCCCCAAAAGTGTCTGTTTCCCATTGCATTGCCCCAGCTCACCGCATTGCATTGTAAGGCCAGACCGACATTGCGTGGCTCTCATTGGCTGGCGAGGCTGAAAGGCCTATAGCCCGTCAGCAAAGGCAGAGCCCTCACCTCGCAGTTATTTGCAGTCTTTGCAGTCTTAGGTGATTGCAAAGTTGCAGGTGAATTGTGGCGTTTTAGCCGAGCCCTGGCAGCAGAGATTTGTCTGCTATGGGTGGTCTCTAGACGTGGATTTCTTTTAAACGCGAGATCTGCCCGTCCTTGTACGGGTACGCACATTATAAAGTACCCAGACTCGAGATAAATGTTTGGGTATGTGGTTATGTGCGGAAAAATAGCAGGCACGAGTTCCAGCGGACATGTGGTGCTCAGTATAGTCAAGGACATGAGATTATCTGGCTGCTTGCAGCCCTGAGCTTTTTTGTTTTCATCGATGTTGATCTTTATAGCTTGACTGATGCGACTACAGTTTCTCTAGATCCCAATTCATGTCAGCAGCGCTCTTCCGTATTGTTGGCTGGTCGTACCTCCCAGATTTCGCAACAAAACAAGCCCTTCGTGTAATTCACCACACATCTTTTAGTATCTTTCACTGGCCTCCACCTGACCCGCGAACGCCCGCTTATGCATTACACTATCGACTTACTTTTGCAGCAGTTGTCCTCTGTTATCTCATCTACAACTTCTTGGACGCTTCCGGAAGCATCGCAAACAACTTTTACGAGCTTCTCGGCATATATCCGAATTCCACTGATGCCACACTAAAGATGGCGTTCCGTGGCTTCGCAAGGAAATATCATCCAGATCGAGTGGGTCCATCGGGAGAAGCACTGTTCATCGAGGTTAGAGATGCATTTGAAGCCTTGAAGGACCCTGTCGTTAGGTTCGCATACGATAGGTGGGTGTTGTTGTGAGCGGTACGGCTTGGTCATCTCAAGTCTCTGTTTCAGATTCGGACCTGATGTTCTGAAGTGGAAAGAGTGTACGACGATGCGCGAGTATCTCCGGCGCGGACTACTGAGCTCGTCATTGTACCACATCATGACCGGCGCTGGTCTCATTCTTTTTTCAGCTATTGGAAAACCCAGTCCTATAGCAGCAGTCAGTACAAAGCATACTTGCGCTTCCCCTTTTAACCAGCTTCTTTGTGCCTGTTTTTAGTGGCGTTATCTGCTTTTTATTTGCCTGTTTGCATCGGAACTTTATCTCCTCCTTGCCCCCTCACCTTCCGCATTATCACCGAGTCCGTTTATCGATGCAGCACCCTCGCATGCCACGATCCTCGATGTTCTGTTTCCTAAACGGGTGGTATACCAACATGTTCTCCTCCTCCATCAGATCTTCTTCTTCCTGTCTGTTGCATTGTCGCGTGTGGCACCAGTCCTTTTTCCCTCACTGATGCGGGGAGATCCCGCAGTGGATCAGCAGATCGTACGCGCTTTGGCCGAGAGGCTTGGTGCCCTGGCAAAGACAACAGAACGGGAGTGTGAGTGAACCATTACCTTTCTAAGCATCTAACCCTTAAATTCTGATATACACCACAATTTTCTGTGACTCCAGTATCGATTATGCTAGATATGGAACTGCGCGCGATCCATGAGACACCTATGGTCACTTCTCAAACAAGCATGCCACCCCGGCCGCGCGAGGTGCTCAAGAGTGATATTATGCGTGCTTTGACAATGGAAATGGAGGATGTTGTTGTGGAGAATAAACTGAAAACGGAAGTCGGGCCTGTAAAGACTGCATGGGATGCCGCTGTTGACAAGGAGAGAAGGAAGAGAGTGCAAGGTTGGCGATTACAAGGTATAGCAGATAAACTGGCGTCGCCACCCCCAGATACGTGTCAAATGAAGCTGCACAACCGTGCTCGATCCCTATCGCTGTAATATTACAAGAAGTTTTTACATTTAAAAATTCTGACATTGTCTGTCACAAAGTGGTTGCTTGAAAAAAAAACGACTTGTTTGGGAACTAACTCATGACTGGCGGGAACCATAGATAGAGATCCCGTGTAGATCCGAAGTGCCTGGATGCAGTTAGTGACCTATAAAATGAGGGTGATCTGAGCCTACCATGAGGACAACACATGACTCACCTGCATGCAAAAGCATCAAAATGACAAGGCATGGCTACAGGTCCAAAAGCAAACTATATAAGAGACCTGAATTGACTGTGTCAATCGAACTTGGTTATTAAGAGATTACCAAGTTCAAGTGACCCTCCCTATCGATCAACATTGAAGAAAATAGGACAGATTTGCTCAAGATTTCGCATGTCCCCCGCACGAGGTCACGGCATTGTTGTCCTTGTGGTGAATTTTGAAAAGCAGGGTCGAAAAAATTGCGTCATTTTTAGTGTTCGTGCCGTGCAGTTGGATTTACATAAGGATCTACAAAGTGGCTTACACTGCTACTTATACAAAGGTCCGCCGCTCCATTGAAATTACAAGCAATCTCTTTTTCTCCCCTCCAACCTCCACTCGACAACATGGAGACAGATAGTCAACTCGCTGAGACATCAGCAGCAGGTGCTAAACGCAAAAGATTGACGACCGAAGCTACAAAGCTCCTGAAGGGTTCGTCCACCACCCATTGACACACAGCGAGACCGCCCAGCTATGCATCCGCTGAGGCATGGTGCATATCAGGGGCAATGCTAGAGGCGTGCTGACCCTTCCCATTCATTCAGATTTTGCCGAGCATTGTACGTTGGACCCAGATACATATCAAAGACAACACTTGCTCGACCAGGTGCGACGATTACCGGGGATGTGGGACATGCCGATCATAAACACTATAACCACTTGGTTCCAACGCCACCGCGCCGCTGAAAGGAAGAAATCAACGCAAGACGATGATAGCATACGTGCGTGTTCTTTCTCTCTTGAACACGCGCATATATTTTGTTCACGCTATCTTGTCAAACAGTGTTCCCAAGTTTATCATCAGAGAAACTCGAAGTACTAAGGCCATTGCTGCGTAACAACTCGTCACCCACGAAAGAGATGATTGGAATCTGGGCCATGTGTATCAAGGCAGAATTCGAGGAAGTGAGAAAGTGGGTCTTATACCATCAAGCAAAGGTCGCGCCAAGAGAGGCCTCGGAACAGTCCATGAGTGCATCACCCACTGCACCGCACCCTCATCTTCCCACACCCGCAAGGTCACTATCACCTGTCCGTGTTCGTGGCGTGTCATTGCCATTGATTGCAACAAAGGAGGAGTCTTCCCCAACAGGATCTCCTTTATTGGACACATGGCCAACACACACAGCAGATGTATCTCCTACGAGCTTGACACGACATATCGCAGTCAGTGCCGACGCAGTTAACACAGACGAGCTTGATGAACTGCATCCGCCGTTTACGCGCATTCCTTCACGAGGATCCAGACCTGTGAGCACACTGTGCAGCAGCCACGATATATCGGTAACTGACTGTGTCCCCAGTTGTGTGATGTTCCTGCGACGACATCATCTTCAGCAATGCAATTGGCAAAAGACATAAATCACGTTATGGCATCACATCATCCATCACGCAAGCCACCCTCTACACATGCAGAGTTCGATGCCATGTTCAAACCATACGAAGAGATGATGACGCAGTTTATCCGCAATGTTGAGAGCGGAAAGTTGCAACATTTGGGTTGGGAGCCTAGTGAGTTGACGATTACTGACCTGTCGAAACCGTCAAACTAACATATAATTAGGTTTCTGCAAAGCAACATGAGTGTACGACCTTCGATTGAATACCTTGGAAACCTTTGTATCATTAGTTCTGTAGTAACCACATTTCTTGTGCAGCCGTTTCGCTGCCCTAATTATTGTGTCAGTATGACATACGTAGTAGCACAAGTGTGTTCGGTACATATGAACCCAGCACACCAACATTGTAGTGATGACGCAATAATGCAGCGCACTGATCCGGGTCTCACTGAAGACCCCTATCAGATACTGGCGATCACATGGCCTACAGAAATTGAGACGTAACTACATGTTGTCGCGTCTGCGAGAAGAGGCTCGAACGCTCGCTAATGACTACGATGAGGCAGGAGGGAGGCAAGGCAACAGGTAGGCGCAGATCCAGCACCCGATGCCCGCTCGTTTCACCATCGGTACACCTAGATCGCTTGGAGATGGATGCGAGCTGGCCTCGGGCAGATATTCAGAACGAATCTTTCATGGCCAATAACTATAGATATGGCCATCAGGAGGGAAGGATCATGAATGTTGTCAGATATGGATGTTCTGTTATTGTTGGCCCGAATGCGGATAGGGAGGCAGAAGCCTCGGTTGATCGGACAACCCTTCCGCTGGACGCATGCATGAGCCAATTGAACGGGTGTTCGGAGCAAATCGCGGCGGCAAGACCCAAACGTGCTACAGTGGAACTGAGATGCGAGTTTTGGGGTTCTCAAGATAAGACTGATTCATGCTGGTTCATCGATAATACTTCCATCAGTTGCCATCGTTTATTTGTGGCAATGTGACCGGCAATGCCATTGCAGGAGGGAATTCGCATCATTCAACATAAATATGTAATCAGTTAGATATCCTCTGACCCTCCCCCTTCTCCTTGGTTGCGACAGCCCACACCTCCTGTACCGCAGTCCAATACCTTTTTGGCTCGACCCGCGCGTGTGCTACATGTTCGCTCTTTTCAAACAGCTCGCAGCATACAACCATTCCACGCTCCTTCGCAGTCTCAGCATGGCGCATGACCTCTTGCCACGAAACCAATTTGTCCTTGGGCGAGAAAAGGTAGAGGCGGGGCGTGTGGAGGCCCATCCATGATAGGATGCGGGGATTCCACATTTCTATCTGCAGGTTTTCCAGCATGATCATTCGCTTATCGAATAGCAGAGAGAGGCCGAAGCAGACGGAGTGCTTCGTGTGTACGATGGCGAGTACGATGAGTCTGACAATTGGATTCTGGACAACAGTGCAGACTGCGCGTTTGATTGATTCCAAATTGCCCACTGCTGGGCACGAGTCAAGGATCAATGCGCTCGTGAATGATTCTGGAAGTGATGTAGAACCATATTTCTGCTGCAGCATGTGTCCAAGAAGAGTCATTTGCAGGCAACCTCCTGGCGTTGCCATACAAGGATTTAGCTTGTTCCGAGTTTAACCTGGGCGAACCTACCATTGGAAAATGCATGTGTGAGTATGCGGGGGGACCGTTGGGGAGAAGAGGAAGATGGCAAGCAATGCAGTGCTTCTAAGGCATCAATGACAGGCTTGAGACTCCGTTTCTTTTGATTTTGTGAGATGACAAGTCAATGGTGAGCAACTACTGTGAGGTGCTCACCCTAGCACGATTTGTAGTCCAGAACAGGTCGGAATTGCACTGAACAATGATCTGAGATGCGTTCGGATATAATTTGGCATATGCACGGGTATAATGCTGCAAATGCCGAAGTTGTCCTCCCACTGTGGATGTGGCTCATTAGACACGGACTACAAGAACGCAAAGGTTATGAGGCCTCACTCCATCCAAATATCAAGATGACGCTATATACCCCATCAGCTAATATTGCTAAATAATGGACAGAGACTCACTTCGGTGATGTAGTATCCTGGCATTTTTCACGGATATCTTGCAGATATACCCCAGTGCCAATCGCACTGAACCCTTCTAGTGAGTGAGCCCCAGGTGTCGGCGATGTGCTGGTAGACGAAGCTCGTACTGACGGTAGAACCCAAGAGGCAAAACCCCAATGAAAATTAAAAGACCCGCGTGTTTAGGTGAACATGTTATACGCCCATGACTAACAATATTATTTACCGATTGCGAACCGATGATCGACCTTTGTGGGACTGGGCAACCGTCGAAACCCAACAGAACTCAACTGTCCAAGAAAATGACCAGGTCCAGGAGCACAGCAGTTTCGAAACATGTCAAGCGTGTCGGGATCAAAGCACGACCGTCGATGACCAGCAACGCACGAACTCTGGAAGTCCGCACGGCATCATTTGCGTCCGCTGGCTCTATTAATTTTGACAAGACATATTCGGCAGCGCGCACACTTTCTTTTATGTACGTGTATGTACTGCCTGCATGCGGCACGTAGCTAGTGCTCATAAGCGCTCATACCCCAGATCTGCTATCTTCGTATGTTAGCGCGTTCTTCGAGTAGGAATAATGATATGCAAACTAATATATGAAACTGAAAGAACGAGAACGATGCTAAGACAAATCGACAATCATTAGACGTCAGACACTTCAGGATCTCCTACACGGTGTGCGAGTGGAATATCGACGCACAAAGGGGCACAGTGAAAAAAAGAGAGTGGGACGCGATTTGAAGCGCAGACCTTTCTGTAGTCCTATTCAACTTAGGTCGCTTTTCATTCCACTATAGGAGTGGCCGTTATGGGGTCCAAGGCGCGGAGCAAAGAGATGATCCCGAGTCGACTGTGGCCCCCTACACGCATGTAAGTTATACATGTATACTCCAGCCTGGTCAAGGAGAGAACCACGGTGGGGAGTGAATTGACAAAGACCCATGGAAGTTCAGTTCAGGGTCAGTCGAGGAGTAGCGCTTTTGATGTTGGTTTCACGCGGTTGGAGTTAGTTGGTACGCTCCCAACAGCTCGGTCAGTTCATTCACCTGATCATAGAAGACAGGGCAGTTAGTGACGCAAGTCCCTGGTTTGTTAAATAACTTTGACGTTGAGAACAGGGTGGCAGAACGTGTGTACGTTGATCGTCGTTCAGGAGATCGTTGAACAAAGAATTGTTGTATTACATCAATTTGTTTGTATTATGACTTTTGTTTGTGACTTATTTGGTCGAGTAAGAACAATGTAATTACGGATATCCGATGTCAAGCTTTCAATGTTTGTGAGACTTTGATTGTCCACTTCTTGTCCTCATATTTTTCTTTCAGTCTTCTGTGCCATAGTATCTTCTCATTATCCTCTTTCTACAACTCATATCTCGTTCGTATGATCAAGCGAATGGCTGATAAGATTGGGCATTTTGGCCACCAGAAGCAGTCTATCGCTGACTCTAGTCCGACTGGACTTGCAGGCTTGCTGTACACACCGACCTCTCAATCAATTGTTCCCATATCGACTGCTGCAGACTACCATCGCGGCTCTATATCAACACAGCGAACGTCGTCCAGCGAATGGAGCAAGCGGGGGGACAACCTTGACACCGAGTCTCTTCCACTCCTATTACCACGTGTGTCTTCGAGGCCGAAAGCGTCTTACCGGCTCTCTGATTTCATAATACAACGAACCCTTGGGACGGGTTCCTTTGGAAGAGTACATTTAGGTATGTATCTTGAAGTTATTTACTATGGCACCGTCTCATTTAGCTTTCTCAGTCAGGAGCAAGCACAATCTCCGCTTTTACGCCATCAAGGTGTTGAACAAAGAGAAGATTTTTCGGACGAAACAAGTCGAGCATACCAACAACGAGAAGATAATGCTTGAAGCAGTTCAACACCCTTTCATCATTAACCTTTGGGGCGCGTTTCAAGATGCATCAAACTTATACATGGTCATGGACTTCGTACCTGGTGGTGAACTTTTCACCCTGCTACGACGGTCGAATGTGAGTCCCTTTTCAATCCTTTCCTTAAAAACGTTCCGACGCCTTCCTGGAAGCGCTTCCCAGATCCCGTGGCCAAGTTTTACGCCGCCGAGGTTGCACTTGCTTTGAATCACCTGCATTCCCTCGACATTATATATCGTGACCTCAAACCAGAGAATATCCTCCTCAACCATGACGGTCACATCAAAATAGCAGACTTTGGATTCTCAAAGCACTGCTCATCAGTGACATGGACGCTATGTGGCACGCCTGATTACCTTGCGCCCGAAGTAAGCGCCTGTGGTAATCTTCCAAGTTTCAAGTCCGACTTACACCTTGCGCCAACAGATCATAGGGCAGCAACGGTATAACAAGAGCGTTGATTGGTACGCCCTAGGCGTGCTAATATTTGAGATGCTTTCAGGACTTCCTCCTTATCACCAACCCGACCATAACCCCGTTGTACTCTACGAAAAAATCACTCGTGGTCCAGCTTTCATTCGCTGGCCACCGTTTCATGGTAATGCTACAGACATCATCCTGAAACTAATGGAGGGCGAGCCTTCCAAGAGGTACGGAAACATGCGGCATGGCGCAGGTGATGTCTTCGCACATCCGTGGTTCCGCGAGGTCGACTGGGACAAGTTACGGAATAGAGAGATCACTGCTCCTTACCTGCCTAAGATTTCAGGAGACGGCGACGCGAGCGCGTAAGTCCTGTCCACTCTCTGATCTTAAGCTCGAGACTCAATCTGGTGTAGCTTTGAACAGTATCCTGAGGACAACGTTGCCTCACTGTATGGACTTCCAGGTCAAGACCCATGGGGACAGGATTTCCCTAATTTTGAGTATACCAGTCATTAAATGGGACTTTGTTTCTTTTCATTTATCACTACATTATTCTGTTTTGGCACCATCTATCACACTGCATTTGCTGTTTGTACATAATACCACACGCCGACACCCCTGCACTCTGTATGTACATTGGATACTAGCTATGGCAGGTTGTTCACAGTAGTAACCTTCTTGTTCGTTCCTCCATTCAATCCGAACATTAACTACATTATCCCGGGTGTGATTTCTAGTCCTGCAAGTACGTGCCTAGTAACAGTAAGCTTGCATCGCGCTCGTACTCCTATTTGTTCGGAACAAACATCAACATGATGTCGAAAAATGGGCTGCCGCTTCCCCGAAACCTCAAACGACCAGCTAGTTCAGAATTTAGTCCCACAATTTTTCATCAGAGCGGTCCCATTCTTTTCCACTGACCTAGAGGTCCAAGAAGCTCGCTAAACCGTTCGGGATTTGCGGAGATCGACTTGCGTGGGCGCTCAGGTTAGGTGTTAGGCGTATACACGTTTATGGCTGCAAAACATGCCGACAAAACACTCAAAGTCGTCGAAGAAAAGCGAGAAAGGTTATAAGGGTGGCTTGGGGCATGGGAAAAGGCAGGGTCGTGGTGGGCAGAACGGGGCTACCATGGGTGCGCAGGCGGTGTCGCAGGCAGATGTTGCTGTTGAAAGGACAACGATGCTGCTGCAAAAGCAGGCTGAGTTGGACCAGATTATGGATAAACATGATACCATGGTCAGTCCTTTCATGTTGTCACTGGGGGTTTATTTTTTGATATCCGGACTAGGTGCGGGAGGTCTTTCACTTGGAGAAGTTCGTGACCCTCATCGAATATGACCCGACTGTAAGTTCTTCTTATTCTCCGCTTTTTTCGCACTTATTGGTTCCCAGACGGCCAAGCAGGACAATTCGATCGTGTTTCAAGAGGTGCGTGGAGAGGGAGGACGCGAAGATCATCACACTTACCGACCGACCTATCTTGTCTTCACAGTATAAATCGAACTATGACCTGCTCGAACGAGCCTCTACATCGGCGGGTCCATCGCGTGCTACAAGGAGGGCCCATATCGAGCGCGTTCAAAACCTCACCACACCACTTTTACCTTCCACGACTTCTCGAGTGCATCCTGAACCCGAATTGCCCCTCTCCGCTAAATCAAAAGGAAAGCAGAAAGCGATCGAGCCCGTCAATGGTTCTGTGCCCATTGAATCAGTTGCGCCGAATAAGTCTGGGAAAGCGAAATCTATATCTCAACCCCCAAAGCTTAGACCTCTGGGCCCGATTTTGCCTGTGGATGGCGAAACTTCTATCTCGGTGGGGCCTACACGTGGCAAGAAGAGAAATATAGCTGTTGCTTCTCCTACTGGTTCTCCCACCGTCCCCGCTTCCGCAAAAAAGAAGCGGAAATACCAGGGGGGGCTCGCGTCGGAAGCGGTAGATATTCCTCATGTCTTGGACCTCAAGTCAACTGGACCAGATGATGTGTCATCGGAGATTTTTGCTCGCCGCAAGTCTTTGGTGAGTGTTGATTACCTCTTGTGGTTTCCTTGCTCAAACATCTTTCAGCGACATCCTCCTGTGGTGACACGAAGACCAATGGTTCCCCGACTTCCCAGTGAAGTTGAACCACCGCCTCCACAATTTAAGGTCAAACGCATTAAGCTCATAGTGCGACCACCACCTCCAATGTATTCTAATCCGCGCCAGCATCCTCCCGGACCACAGTTTCATTCCTCGCTCTCCAAATTTCTGGACTCATACGTCTCCATTAATGAGCATAATCTACACGAGGATGATCTAAATTCAATGGCTCAGAAGAAGGCTGCGCTACTGGACAAAATGGAGAGCTTCCGCAAGCAAGGTCGGCTCATCGTTGACAGCGCGACATTCCATGAGATGTCCAAAACAAAGAGAGGCATGAGTTTTCAAGAATCAAAGCGAGATCGTGACACTTGGGATGCGGTCTTAGAAGCAATTACTCAACGTTCACCACGGGAGCAAGTGAAAGGTCGAGTCATCGCTGCGCAGATATCGACTCGCGTCAAAGCGTATTGGGATCAACGCGCACAGCGGGAAGACAAGGCAAAAACACAGGAAGAGAGACGACTTCGTGCCTTGGCGAAGGCGACCATCAAGATGGTCACTAAAGAATGGAAAAAGGCTGTCTTTGTACGCACACTACGTCTTGTTTGGGAATATCACTCTAATTTTCCACAACATAGCACATCCGGGAACAGCATCGACTGCGCGCAGAGGCTGAGGAAAGGCGCCGTGGTCACGAGCATCTGGATGCTATCCTTGACCGGTCTGGTCATATACTAGAGACTCAGCAGGCGGAACTCGCCAGGGGTGATATGTCTCGCAGCAGATCGAGTAGCGTTTCTGTTCACTTCCTGGATCGTGAATTCGACTCTGAAGGCTCGGAAAGTTCGGGGTCTGAAATGGATGAGGAGGCAGATGCTGATGGTGTGGACCGGCAATCTTCGTTACAAGCGAGTGACCGAGATACAGAGAACGCTGAGGAAGAAGAAAGTCTCAAGGAAGAGGAGGAAGATGAAGATGAAGACGCAACCAGTGCGTCGGCATTGCTGGGGCCACCACTCACTCAGCTTGGAGGTGAGGATACTTCAAGCGCCACCTCCCAAGCAGGTGTCAATGTACTGGATGCCGAGATGAATGATGGAGAAGAGTCAGAGGCCGCCTTGTCTGTATTGGCTGTGGGATCCCCTTCACTTGTTCCTTTCAGTCTACCAACTCCTACCGACACCGATTCTGTCTTGCATGAACAGACGACCGAAGAGTACAGATCTCCCCATTTCGAGAGTTTCAATGATGCGCCTTCACCAGCCAGCACTGTCACTGGTCGTGAAGAGGATTCCGAATCAAATATTGATGGTGACAAGGGGATGAGGATGACAGTCGCCGAATCTGCTCCGGACACGTTGGCTTCAGATACTGGTGACGTTGATATGGGTACAGTTACTCTACCCGAGAGCAAGGATGATCATACGGGCTTCCCAGTGGCCGAAACACCATCCTCTCACCCCTCATCCCCTGCCCCTGGCATGATAGTCGACGAGTCCGAATTACTTGATGATGCAGAGCAAGAAGAGGACAACATACCAGAGTATCTCAAACCGTACGCCGTTGCACCAGTCCATTGGAACCCTGAAAACAAGGTGAAAGTTCCCGTATTATTGCGGGGTGTTCTCCGTCCGTACCAGCAGTCCGGTTTAGAGTGGCTTGCAAGCCTTCATGTCAACAATCTAAACGGCATACTTGCTGACGAAATGGGATTGGGGTATGTCTTTTGATTCCTTGTTTAACGTGTTAACTCACTCTGTTCATTAGGAAAACTATACAGACAATATCGCTTCTAGCTCATCTGGCTTGTGACCGTGGAATATGGGGTCCGCATCTTATTGTATGTGATTCACGTCTTGCCCTTTTCATTTACCAACCAGCCATATAGATTGTCCCAACAAGCGTTCTACTGAACTGGGAAATGGAATTCAAGAAGTTTCTGCCTGGATTCAAGACTCTGAGTTACCATGGATCAACGAAACGCCGCAAGGAACTCCGCCAAGGGTGGTACAATAAGCATCACTTCAATGTCTGCATCACCTCGTACACGCTTGCCAGTCGCGATGCTCACATATTCAAGCGCAAAGCTTGGTATTACATGATATTGGATGAAGCGCATATGATCAAAAATTTCAAGTCGCAAAGATGGAACATTCTCTTAATGTTCCGCTCCTTTCGGCGTCTTCTCCTCACTGGCACCCCGCTGCAAAATAATCTAACTGAGTTGTGGGCGCTGTTGCAATTCCTAATGTCTGGTACCAACTTCGCCAACCTAAAAGAATTTGGCGAATGGTTTTCAAGTGCGCATGCTCGCGTTTTTGGGTGTAACATATCATCGCTTACTTTTGATACGTAGATCCCTTGGAGAAAGCGATTGAAATGGGTACCTTGTTGGATGACGAAAATATGCAACGCGTGAACAAACTTCACACAGTTCTCCGTCCCTATCTGCTCCGGCGTCTCAAACGTGACGTGGAGAAAGAGCTCCCGAGCAAGTACGAGCATCTTGTTCTGTGCCCCTTATCCAAGCGGCAGCGGTTTCTCTACGACGAGTTCATGGCTCGTGCGCATACCAGAGACGCCTTACAATCTGGTGTGTACCAGAAGATCGCAAATATTCTCATGCAGCTCCGCAAAGTCTGTAATCATCCGGACCTTTTTGAAGTCCGTCCGATTGTAACATCCTTCGCTATGACGCGCTCCGTCGCTGCAGACTTCGAGATCAAGGAGCTACTAGTTCGGCGGCAGCTTCTCCGCGCGAGTGACGAAGACGAGATTAATCTTGATCTTCTTGGCCTGCGATTTATCGATCAGCAAAACGTCCCTCTGATGTCTGCTCTGGAGACACGACGCCTTGATGCGACGCATCGACTCCCACTCGTCTCGGAAATGCCTGAGGAGCCGCCACCAAAGGATACTCGTACTATTCAAGGATATCGTGTTTACCATGCATACCAACAGCGGGTTGCCCGAATCGCTCGCTGGGCACAAATCAGTTACCTCAATAGCCTGCGCTGTACCCGATTACCCGTCTACAGCCAAGAGCTGTTGACCATTGCAAAGCAGTGTCATCGACCAATCCTCCCCCTTTCCACAATGGATGTTGGGAATCGCTTCATGGATACGGCTCTGCCTCTTTATTCGGCGGTCAAGACTTATACAGACCGGACTAAAGAGCTACAGCCTGTGGTCGAGAGGTTCGCTTTCGTCACTCCAGCCGCGGTTGCTTTGGACCTACCTCGTTTCGCCCTGGCAGGATACGAGCACATTTTATCCCGACAATCTTCTGACTTTGATAGTGTCCTGCATCACGCGAGCGTCAAGCTGCAGATAGCATTCCCAGATCCATCGCTTCTCCAATATGATTGTGGCAAGTTGCAGGAACTCAGTCGCCTTCTCCGACAGAGGAAGTTGGAGGGACATCGTGTTCTCATCTTCACACAGATGACAAGGATTTTGGACATCCTGGAAATTTTCCTCAACTTCCATGGCTATCTCTATCTTCGTCTTGATGGGGCCACCAAGATCGAAGACAGGCAATATATCACTGAGCGGTTCAACGCAGATTCTAGGATATTTTGCTTCATTTCTTCCTCTCGTTCGGGTGGAGTAGGTATCAAGTAAGTGCTTGTAAATTCACTTGTTTGGTGATTGCTAACCACCTCTTTAGTCTTACTGGGGCAGACACCGTCATCTTCTACGACAGCGACTTCAACCCCCAAATGGACAAACAATGCGAGGATCGGTAAGATGTTTCCTCAATGCATACCTCGTTCATAAGTGATCAAACATTTCCTCAGTGCTCATCGCATCGGTCAGATAAGAGATGTCCACATCTACCGATTTATCTCTGCGCACACTGTTGAAGAAGCCATGTTGTTGAAAGCTAATCAGAAACGCTCTTTGGATGATCTTGTCATTCAAAAAGGCGAATTTGACTGGCGATCCCTGTTTGATGATCAAGGTGCTCTATCGAAAGCACTAGTTGAGTTTGAGGACAAGGAAGATGTTCATGCTGCCGCTGTGGCCGCGAGAGAAGAAGACGTCATGGAGGGCGCTGATCAAGCTGACTTCGGTGCTGAGGGAGAGCTAGACGCTCCCCTGAGCGAAGGCAGGTTACCAAGTAGTGCGGAGGACGGTCATCCTACTGGTACGGAAATTTTGGATGTTTCCGCGATGGACCAAGCTGCAGAGGAAGAGGATGAAGGAGGGGCTGTGTCGGACTACATGATCAGCTTTGTCCGGATGGATTACGACTTTTTCAAAGATTGGCGGATATGATGGCAACATTTTCTCTAAACTATCTACTCTGATACTTCTATTTATCAATTTGTATGTGTCCGTACCAAAAAAATACTGAACGTTCGGTCAGCCTTGGGCTCGGAACTCGTTCAACTTGCAATTGTTGTTGAGTTGTGGCATAACACTTACATTACATAAAACGTTAAAATTAGACCGACTGGCATTTTCACCAGCTTTTACGCTCTCGAACTTTCATCCTCGCAGTCCACAGGTCGCGCACAGATGATAATAGCAGACGTCCTGCACCGCACTTTCGTCAGTGGACTGGCTGCACTAAGCGTGTATGGACTATTCATGGGCTATGCCGTGCACCGCGAAACACTAGCCAAAGGGAGAGGTGAGATGATGCATATATACCACCATTCTCACCCCAAATTTCTAACGCAATCTATGCAGAGGTGAGAAAACCTTAGCCCTCTCCAATGAGATGAGATGGCAACTTACATGGACTTCTATAGTACATGGCATTGAAAGAAGCTGAAGCAAAGCAACGCGAGCAAACAAATGCAAGTTTCCACATTCTACATACGGTCTCTGCCATTTTCTGACACTTCTTTCAGGCTGAGGAGGAGGCAAAGGAACTTGCGCTGGCAGAGGCTGCCCAGGCTGTTTTCCGCAAAGGGTTGTAGCCTCCAGCCAACCTTTTGCAGCACCTTTGGGTGCAGTGCATGCCTGAAGGATGACCATGCAGTTTTCTCAATGAGCATCCCACAGCCTGGGTGCCATTAGTCCACCTTCAGTTCGCCCTCGCATAGCGTTCTTGTGATTGGCTCATGCGCTAAGCTCTCTACGCCTATTTTGTATCAATTGTCGTTGCTTCGTGGTATGATTCATAAGGTCGCGTCCCTTCAGCATCAATTGCTCAAGTAGAGACTGAGACTGAGCTCGACTTGTATAGCGGCCAGAAAAATAGCTGAAGACGTGCTGGCTAAAGGAGCGCGAATGTTCTGCTTCAATGATTTCTGCAAACATGTGCTTCCCCAACCATCCCAAACGAATTTTCATGTCGAAGGAAAGGATGAGAAAGGTCGTTGACATCTAACGATGATCCCAGAGGCACTTTCAAAGCATGATCATTCAGCCCTTCTAGGTGCATGACGCAGGCAAAGGTGCCGATAACTTCTTGACAGGAAGCCGCTGCGAAGAGCATCCGCAACTACAAAAATATGCCAGGAATTGATCCAGGCGATGTGCACCAGTAACTCATTGCAACTCGATGCTGCCAGCACTAGATGATCTTCGATTGTGATCATGGTATGGGCGTCACCCTTGTTTTCTCTGATGGGCCGGTGTAAGACGATGCCCCGCGAGGCTGGGCCCATCTTCAGATCTCGGCAGCAAGTTACTTGGTTTGATTGTTCATGGGAAGGCACCAAGTTCTTCGCACCAAGGTCCTTAACACCTGGAATATGTAGAAGTATTGTTCGATGGGTTCATTCTACGCTGGACAGTACAGTACGCGGTTAAGAGCCCTGCTCCCTGTGGCTTGGGGTATATGTAGCGTGGGCAAGAGACGAGAGTACTGCTTACTGTGTTAATAATAGTGTAGGGAATTGATATTGACGTAAGCTCCGTCTATTGGAATTTAAGGGTTTTCACTTCGCTTCGATTTCGGTCAACGGGGTTGCAACAACGGATCAAAATATGATACCAAGCAACAGCGGCAACGTTAGATTCTGGAAGGCTTCCGAAGGCACAACAGTCTTTTTCTTCGTTCCGTTGTCTTCGTCTAAAGCGCACTCAAGACGCTAATCCCCACTCATTTGTGATCGTCACTCATTTGAATTATCTTGGCCTGACTTCTGGCCTCTTCTAGCTCCTTGCTATATTATAATTAGCCTTTATTTGAACCTTCGCTGTTGGCGGAAGCAGGAGACCCATGGTGGTCTCAACTCGCTGCAAATGTCCCCATAGCCAACAACTACTCATTCCGTACCTAACCTTCGCTGCTCTCGCAAGCACCCTGCTACAGGGAGCTATGGCACAGACCACGTACCCCATGGCTGTTCAACAACTTCAACGTCTTCAAGATCCTAATGTAATTATCGACAGCACGAACGGTACCACCGTGGTTTACAGCCCACTCACTGGAAATGAAATCCCTCAAGGACTCGCAACCGATGGCAGCGGTAGTGGATTCTCACTGCCTGCTGTCTTGTGGATTGTGTTCTCGTTCACCATTGGCGTTCCGCTCGTGCTAGCCGGCTTTCGGGGCTGGCGCCTCACCACCGGTACAGCCATAGGCCTATCTGTTGCTGTCGCATGTGAGTAGTGACCAGCAATTTATGCGTATTGACATTCCTAACCCGTCTATAGCGTGGTCTGTTTTTGTTAATACATTAGACAACGTTGGTATTTCGGACATTACCTTGACGGTTCTAGTTCTTGCACTTTTTTGTTTGGGCTTTTCTCTTTGGGCTTTTGGAAGTAGGCCGCATGGCAGGGGTCCTCCAGTTAGGCATACAGGGTGGCTTCGCCATCGGGATACGGATAGTTTTATTACGCAGCCTTCTATTGGTACCCGACCCCACTGCGTTCTTCGTCAACTGGCTACTCGTTGGATTCTGCGGCCTCACGACTGCAGTTCTTGTCATTTGGAAACAGCGAGCTGGACTGGTGAGAGTCGACTTCGTGCCTTGTGGTCTTCCTGCATCCTGACTGAGCCAAATAGCTTCTAGGATCGGCGTCGGTCGGGACTTTCTTTTGCGCTCTGGGGACTGACTTGGCTATTAATCAGCAATCTGGCATGAGTCGGGGCCTCAGATATTTGATTGACAGAAACAGATATCACGTCCTGGTGTGTACTCACCTTGAACTTGTTCAAAAGAGATCGCAATTTAATCAGATTGCAGGACACTGTGACTAATGGGTACTTTCCGCCCACGACTACATTGGTTATCATTGCGCTCTCCATTGCATTGACGTATGTCATCAGTCTCCTATATCTTTCACTGTAAGTCTGACATATTGGCATGGGTCATGAACAGACCTGCTTTCGCATACGCCCAGCATAAGATGTTTAGGGGTCCTTTCTGCCAAGTTCACGATGATGATCTCGAGTCCCTTCGTGCATCAAACGAGTCTCCAGCTGAACAAGAACCTAAAGCATCTGGCGAGGAGACCCCTCAAACCACTCCACCAAATACGCCTCCGCCTGCAACCCCTGTGTCGACTCCATTACCTTTGATGCCTTTCAGTAAAGATGTTTGCCCGACGCATTCTGTCATATCAGAAACCCAAAGCAATGTGTTCGCGAACGACAGTTAACGTTCATGATAGACGCGTATTCCGTTTATATTTCAACGGTTCCCTAAATACCTTAGTAGTAGTCGCATTTCATACGTCGGGAACCTTAGCATGCTCCATGCTTTATGGATCAGATCCACAATAGACTCTCGTTTACTTGTCACTCATCTGATTCTGTAGCTCATTGTGTGGCTGTGTCTCGACTTAGCCGTCACTGCGTTTGCAGGTATCATTCGGAAATCCCTGGTTGCAATGCTTGAGTCGAGCGGATAAAGAGCGGGGCAAGCGAGTGGGTTCACCTTGTAACTCTCATGGGCATATCAATGATCCAACAACATGAAGTAGTATTGGTCGGTGCTAACGCGGGAAGGTCCGGAAATGGTAGATCAAAATCAAATATTCACATGTTAAAGCCGCTACAAGTCATACATTTCTTCGGCCGTATGTGGGGGGCCCTCATTCTATTCAGCCAGCTTTTCATCCGCTGGCATCTAATACCCTCCCTACCTAACCCACTAGACACACAAATTATGTCAAGGAATGGGGACAAGAAGCCGGTAGGCTTTGCTACACACATCACGGCTGGAGGGATCGCTGGCGCGATGGAAGCGGTAAGTGTGCATGTTCAATGTGGTGCATTCCATATAACAACCAAGGGCCACAGCTCTGCTGCCAACCGCTGGACACCATAAAGGTGCGGATGCAGCTCTCCAAATCCGGGATGGCCCCTGGGGTATGTCACGAGCAACGTTGTGCGGCGCTCGTCAACTAACCCCCGCCAGACAAAGCCACGAGGATTTTTGGCGACGGGTCTTATGATTGTCAGACGCGAGACACCACTAGCACTTTACAAGGGCCTTGGCGCTGTCCTCTCTGGAATAGTCCCAAAAATGGCCATTCGATTTGCCAGCTTTGAGACTTACAAGGAGTGGCTAGCGGATAAATCGACAGGAAACACCAGGGTGGGGAATATCTTCATCGGTGAATTATCTAGGCATTTCTTCGCGGTGGAAGTTGACTTCTTGGCTTAGCTGGGCTCGCCGCTGGTACGACCGAGGCGGTCGCGGTCGTCTGTCCAATGGAAGTGGTAAAGATCCGTCTGCAGGCGCAACAACACTCGCTTGCTGATCCGCTGGAGGCACCGAGATATCGTAATGCTGGCCATGCAGTCTACACTATTGTACGCGAAGAGGGTTTCTCGGCCCTTTATAGAGGAGTCTCGCTCACTGCTTTGCGACAAGCCACAAATCAAGGTCGGTTTGATGGGTCCTATCATTGATACGAGGCTTACACACCAGGTGGTCGTAGGCGCGAACTTCACTGCATATCAGGAACTTAAGAAATTGGCACATAAATACCAGCCTGATTTGAAGGACTTACCTTCATACCAACACATGGTCATTGGACTTATATCAGGTGCCATGGGGCCCTTCTCGAACGCCCCGATAGACACAATCAAAACTCGTAAGTGCATCTTATAGCGATCGCTTACAGCAAAATAATCCACGACGCCGATAGGATTGCAAAAGGCCACGTATGAACCAGGAACCTCGGCGTTCCAGCGGATTTCAGCGATCGGAAAGGAGATGTGGAAACAGGAAGGTGTGCGGTCGTTCTACAAAGGTATTACGCCGCGGGTTTTGCGAGTGGCTCCTGGACAGGCGATCGTGTTCGCTGTGTACGAGAAAGTGAGAGGGATCATTGAGACGATGAAGGTTTCACCGTCGCAAGATCGGTATTCAGAGTGATGGAAGAAGAGTTGATATATCCGGGAGAGAATTTACTTGCAGATACCGAAAGTCTCAAGGATGTGTACATGGTTTCTGGTTAAATGAAGGGTGTGTGAGTTGTGACTTGATTTGTGGTGAGTAGACGCTGGAAACGGCCCTGAACGGCCCGACCCATATTCGGGTGAGGACATCTTGTTGTTGGTGTATTACTACCACTAGTCTCGCAGCTTGCTCGCAGCCGAACTTCTCCACAGTAGAAGGCCCAGGAATGAAACCGGATTTCAGATCCAACAGATGTTCCAGTGAAATTGCTGTTCATGATTGATATCGATTCGCCATTCTGACCCAATGACTCAGATGGGAATGAGCCTGGTATTTTGGGTGGTATGCTTATTCTACTACGTTCGTCAAATGGCGCCGGACAGCCTGTCACTCAGCCCAGTATTGCGGTGGAAGGGACGACTCATTGCGACTAGGGGAGACCAGAAGCGAGCTTGTTGGATGATGGCTCGACATGAGATGCTGTAAGTCCCACCTTGAATAATTCTTTTCGCAATGACTTATTAGACTCGCATAAGCACAACTGGCCACGGCATCAGCTCCGTACATTTGTGCTAGACTAGTGAATCTAGGCTTAACGGAAGCTAATTCGTGCCAGACTAGTAAGCCTAGGTCAAACTAACACTAATCATTCTAGTAATCGTCTATAGTAAGTTGGTACGAGAAAATTTTCCTGATCTGAGCATACTCGTACTCCCTCGTACTGTTACCTCACCGCTTACAGAGCTGGTATATAGTCTCGCGGCATTCTACCGTACTGGCAGTATTTTCCGATCAAGACTAAGGTGAGATTCATACGGTCGTTGCTATACTCCATCCTTACTGACTCCTACGTAGTTTATCGTCTATCTCGCAGGTACTTACCCTAATACTAGAGTCTTTTCCCACTGGGACGGAGTCTGTTGTTTCTCTCTCACAGTCTTTGCTCGTTGCTCGTATTAAAGCTGAGGATGGCCAGTGCCCCAAGGAAGGTGTTAATGCTGCATGGGAAAGTACCAACCAGAGTTCACCAGCGGTATGCATGCATGACTGATTTACTTCCTCAGATACGCGCAGAATGCAACTATATTCAGTAAACGCGTAAGTATCCTGGTACCTGCCAGTGGGAACGCGACCATCTTACAGGGTGATTTATCACAGCTCGGGGCCTTGAGAAAATCGGTGGGGGAAGATATTGAAATGGGTAGGCTTGATATTCATGCATATCTAGCGATGTACGGGTTAACGGACGGATATAGTATTCGTCAACGGGCCAATCGTCCTACATCCTGTTGATATCGACGGCACCTCGTCTACAGCTTCATTGGCAGCTCTCGGAGCTTCTGACACGACATCCTCTGATCTTTCAACTGCACCCCGAGGTTGGTGTAAATTAAACCCAGAGAGAACAGTCACATACAGGATGGAAGAATCTCTACTCCTTTTCAGAGATATTCTTCAGCGTGATCGATATGATGTGAGTATGTCTCATGTACACTTCACATCGAGCTGAGATGACTGCTCGTAGGGTGTGTTCGGTTTCAGGTAATCATTTGCTGACCCTCTTACTGGATATTGTTTGGCTTATGGGCAAAATAAAAGTCAAGGGGCAGCTATGGCTGCGCTGCTTGCCGCCCTCGTACGTACATCTATCATGTATTCGGGCTAGTATGACTCATGATGAGCCTTCATGGATACTTCTTCAGTTAGAGCGGCCTCACTTGTATCCTCCGTTTCTTGTCGACGGAGAGGCTCCTCACCCGCCTTTGTGCGCAACCACGTCCTACCTCAGAGATAGATTTGCTAACTCCCGATGTAGCAAATTCTGTGTTGCCGTCTCAGGCTTCAAGGCACCCGGGTCTCTCAGTGCAGAAATTTTTGGGACGTCGTATTCCACTCCCACCTTGCACGTTCTCGGGAGAACCGATGTCGTTGTCATCGAGGAGCGGACAAAAGATCTGATTGACCTTTCACATAATAAGAGAGTGGAGGAACACCAGGGCGGTCAGCCGATTCCGTTTTGCGCTGTGACTCATTCTCACACCCGCACAGGCCATTTCGTGCCCTCGGGGGCGAACTGGAAGGAATTCTTCCGCAATTACTTGGTTGATCCTCTTGGAGTGATTACTTCCACAGAATTGATATCTGCCTCTCAAGAGGCCTCCGGTGACTTGTTACTCCGACGTCTCAAACCAATACCTCGACTTGTAATAGAGTTATGTGTTATACCTCCTACAGGCCCAAAACACCGGCTCCCGAGACTGGGCATGAGGTAATAGAAAAGCTAATAAGGCAGCGTCCGTCAATGAAATATCCCTGCAGAACTCCCCCCATAATGACTCGTCTTTCTTCCTCTTCATCAGGAAAACAAGTTAAATTTGCATAATTCTATATAATTGTTGGTCTTTGGAGACTTGAAAATAGCTAAGGACAAGAATGTACGACATGATTACCACAAAACAGACTCACACAAGGATTAGCCTACGAGTCTCGTCAGAAATTCTCCAGTGTAAGGTCCAAGTTTGAGATCAAAATCTAATATGTCGGATCGGATCCAACGGAAAGCTACAACTGATAGTAAGTACTGTTCACGATTCATGATTCAAGTTGACATCGACTTGCCATTACAACCCAGTGACTGAGGCTTAGATTGACCTGCCAATGGTTGGGTTGGTCTACTTAGGGGTTGCCTAGTCGACAGCCCTCCCTGAGAACGGCCCGAAATAGTCTGCGTTATTACGTGAGCCAAACATACCGCATGAATTACACAGGCAAGCGGATATCATCAGAAGGAACGACGGTCTTCCTTCAGGTTTGACTAGAGTAGACTAGAGGCGAGCTGATCATGGCTGCCCCGAAAAAGGTGCTAATGCTGCATGGGCAAGTACCAGCCAATTTGAAGAGTTACTAACGGCATGGATGGATGGCTGATCCACTTCCTCAGATACTCGCAGAATGCAAGTATATTCAGCAAACGCGTGAGTTTCCTCGTATATGTGCATACACTCATCCTCTTACAGGTTGATTTAGCTTGGAGCCTTGAGGAAATCGATGGGAAAAGATATTGAAATGGGTGCGCTTGGAATCCATGCAACCATGCCGATGGACGGTTTAACGGACAGATATAGTGTTTGTTGACGGGCCAATCGTCCTGCATCCCGTTGACCTTGATGGCGCCTCGTCTACAGCCTCGTTGGCGGCTCTCGGAGCTTCCGAGGCGGACACGACATCTTCTGATCCTTCAACCACACCCCGAGGGTGGTGGAAATCCAACCCGGAGAGAACAGTCGCCCACGGGTTGGAAGACTCTCTACTCATTTTTAGAGATATTCTTCAGCGTGATCGGTATGATGTGAGTATATCTTGCGCACGTCACATTGGGCCAAGTTGACTGGTTGTAGGGTGTGTTTGGCTTCAGGTGATATTTCGCTGGCCCTCTGGGATGTCTTTTGGCTTATGGGCAAAATAAAGTCAAGGAGCAGCTATGGCTGCTCTACTCTCCGCTCTTGTACGTGCATCTGCGATGTCTTTGGGCCAGTAGGACTCATGTCGAGCCTTCATACTTCTTCAGCTAGAGCGGCCTCACTCATACCCTCCTTTTCTCATCGACGGACAGCCTCCTCACCCCCCGTTGTACGCAAGTATTCTTTACTGAGGGATACAAGTGCTGATCCTTAACGTAGCAAATTCTGTGTTGCTGTGTCAGGCTTCAAGGCACCTGGGTCTCTGAGTGCAGAAATTTTTGGGACATCGTATTCCACTCCCACCCTCCACGTTCTCGGGAGAACCGATGTCATCGTCATCGAGGAGCGATCGAAGGTCCTGCTTGATTTCTCACAGAACAAGAGATTGGAGGAGCACGTTGGCGGTTAGCCGGTTCCCTTTGCGTTGTGATTCGTTTCTGACACCCAGATAGGCCATTTCGTGCCCTCAAAGGCGAACTGGAGGGAATTCTTCCGTAATTACCTGACTGATCCTCTTGGAGTGGTTCCTTCCCCAGATCCGAGGTCTGCTTCTCAGCCTGCCTCCGGCGACTGACCCCCGCATCTCAAACTAATACCCCTGGCATTAAACTGCAATAGAGTTATATGATAGAAGGGCTACCTCTCACAGGGCCAAATAATGTTGGTCATCGTAAAGCGAGATAGCGGACAAGCTCTGTCAATGAAGTGTCTCCTACCAAACCACTCAGCCTTCCTCCCATCGCAGAATAAGCAACAAAGTTTTCCTCGGGATGGTTGAGGCTTCGTTGGAGGTTCAAATGCTTTGAAACCTTCCAATTGCTCTCTGGTTCAAGCAGACCAGCTACTAGGTAGCAGAGAGCAGACGCAAACAACAGCTCACCGTGGGCCACAAGGGCGACGCAGGACTGGTATTCAGTCAGGAATTGCAAGGTCTATACAACCGGATTAGCAGAAGACGCTCCGTAGACCAAGTCCGTCGATCTTACCTCTCATCATCCGTGAGTGATACCATTACCACCATCGCACAACCGACGCCTCGTATGTGCATCTATACCAGCCAACATGTTATGCGGTGCATGGTATACAGACCCAGATACTGCGGATCTACTCGATCCGTGCTGCTATTCAACGATCGGACGCCCGCCCAGGCATCAGATGAACACGCATATTTCAAGTCCACCGATAGTCGCACCGGCGAGAATTGGAGCTTCAACCTTCGAAGACTGAGTTTTCACGCCATATTGCCTTTGATTTGCGAGCACGGAGAGTTCGTGTACCTTCCGAGGGCCATAAGATTCTGTTGTAATTTATCTCCAGGCATGCTCTTGGCCGACTTTGACAAACACATGCGTCACGCGCACCCTTCTACGATAGAATAAGTATGCCGGGGTGTGGTGTAAATCTTGCGCAGCTCATCATCCAGTTCCGACGTTGACTGTAGTTTTAAGATATGAAACCCTGGATGTCAGTACTTTAGACTCTGTATCACGCTAAAATTTCTAACTTCCAAAAGTAACCTGATACTCCTCGGCAACCGTACTCTGGCTTTCAGGATTCTGGATACCCGGAGTTTCAGGGTTTTTATTTCCCACAACAAGCAAAGGTTGAACTTTGGGGTGCTAAATTATGAGCTCACCTCTGACAGAGTCTAGCTGGCTTATAGGCGTGTGTATGATTATACAAGCTATCTCTCTCTGCAGTATATGGTTTGCCTAATTTCTCAGTGAATATGTTCTCCTGTATACGACGAATTGAGTCGGCAGTGTCTGACCCATATGATTGTCAGCAACATTCACCCATTTTTGAGACGCGGCTGATATCCTACACATCAAATCATAAAAATGAAGGTCGGCATATTATTTCTAGATGAATCTCTATGATATTCCAGAACCATGAGAGAGATTGAATATAGTACCCAATACTATTCGTCGAGATGACTAGGTATGACAGTGAAAAATGTATGCCCCCAAAATTTGCCTTTAGGATACATGTAAATGAGATTTGGAGAAATGAGTGTTGCGCGTAGATTTGCGCGAGAAAGGAGCACCACACTGGTTGCACAGATATTTCACCTGCAAGTGTACTTCCTCGACGTGTCGAAGGATGCTCTCTCGTTTCATGGGAGCTCTTCCGCAGTGACCCCATGCACAAGGCATAACCACATTTGCCGGCCCCGTCACTCCATGCATCTGCAAGTGTTGTGAAAGGGTCGATACGTCGATATATGCACCGCAGGGTATTCCTAAGCCAGTGTCCCACAAGCAGATCGTGTGGTTAGAGTTTCCGGGTGCGGTGGGATCATCGAGGGCCTATGGAATGGCACGCCATCGTTAGTGACAGACATATAACCAGCATGAGGATCGGCTCAGACTAACAGAGAAGACAGACATGTGCTCTTGCGGTAGCAGAAAAAATCGATAGTGGGATTATTGTAAGGGGCTATGGAATGCCACACCATTGTTAATGACAAGACAAATAATAGCATGATGACCGGCTAAGACTGACGGTGAGACATGTGCTCTTGCGATAGCAGAGAGAATTGATTAGCGGCTCATGAGGGGATTTTTGTCAGAGCTTGTGACTATACATATACTTTCTACCAGAAGTCCGAGCTGTATCTGGCAGGGGCTAGAGCACCTTCTAAAGCGGCCATGCAATACAATGCAATGCTAAAAACAGTAAACATCCCTTTTTTCTAAAGGCCGATCATAAGTAAGTGGATTCATCTCCGATCACTTTTCAAATGTCGGATTCGACGATAGAAGGTGGCCCAGTGATACTACTACTAGTAACATGGAAACGTCAGACAGACGTAAACGCTCGCGGGATCACGTACTGCACTTTTGAGAAAATTCGGCCTCAGACATCTTTTCACGCCGCACGGGTGAAGACGGGTTTCAGCTAGAATGAAGGAATAAACCACCGCGTGCTCTGGCGTGGAGCCGCAGATCTTTCCAAGGATGGCTAGTCGCCTATACCCCCATGCAGCTCAGACCGTGCCAATGGCAGAGGACACGATGCAGCCAATCGGAATGCCCACACTCGTGGTCACGAAGCGGGACGCCGAGCGGAATAACACTATCAGTGGGCGGTCCCAATCAGGTTCTCGGCACCATGAATCATTGTATCGACATGTCTTGGCATTTTTCAAGAAAGAGGGTGGAGTCGCCGACGGCCGTTCTTTTACGGTATCATGTGGTGTTTCGAGCTCAAATATTCGGGGAGCTATTTCCTGCACATGCATCAGTGGCAATTTGGTTCCGCGAGCCCAGGAATATGGACCAGGGGGCAGGGGGTCTTGCGTTGTATTGCAAATAATTGCATCTTGTGTTACCTGTGAATAGTGACCAAAAGTCTCAGAGACAAAGTTTACGGCCCATCAACGGCCCTAAGTAGTATATGATGACCTCAACCTCACAATCGCAGTTATATCCGGTTATATCCGTCTCCGATGATAGGGGATGACAACAGTAGTAGTGCTCGGGTCTTGATTAAATAATGAAATGATACTGAAGGGATGCAGAATTCACGTGATATCGACAGGGAGAGTGTCGTATATTACTAATAGGGAAGGGGGCGTGTACTTACCATGAAGTAGACTGGTGGACGGGCTGGACCGTCACCAATCTAACCATGAAGGTGTACCGTCATTAGCAAAAAAATCTTTCTTTCCGCAGTAATTCCAAGATCAAGAAGGTAAAAACGAAGTGGTAAATGATCTTACGACGTGGACGTTCCATCACATGTTTCCGCGAGTCATCCGGGCAACACGGGTCCTCCATTTTCTGCGTTCCTTCTCTCTCTGAATACGCGTCACTGGGCTGAGCCTATGATCACGGAGATGGATCTTGGTATCCTATAAGAACTCAAATAACTCACTCCGTTAAGGGGGTTCCCCGTTTCCATGATGATAAGTATAGTGGACAGATAATGATGGTGTCCCCCCAGTACTTTTGGCAAACAAGGATGCCGCACAACAATCATCCAGTAGTAGTCGACTGCAATCATATGTCCGCCGCTTGTTCATGCAGGCATGACTTCAATTCGGTTCGAATATCCTATCTTAATCGAGCCCAGATATACTTTGATAAGCCTCTTTTCAGTATTTTCTGTAATCGCGAATTCTCTTGCATGTCGCGGAACCGAGATAGGGGTTCAATGCATATCTTCAAGTTTATGGGCAGCCTTATCCTGTCTATAGTGTAAGAATAATGTTGGGTCAACAGATTTCGTGAGAATCTATATATTACTTACTGTACATTCAAGCTTTAGAACCCACTATCTCCCGCTATCGGTTGTCCGAATAGTGGTACATGTCCGACCTTGTAGTAACCGATATCTCATCAGTCCAAGGTCCTGGCTCCACGGAACAGAATCCAACTCCAAGAAATAGATCTGGAAAGATCTGCAGGGACCCCACCCCGTGTGAGCTCTGTCAGAGGGATTCAATTGCGAAGTCACTCGGGGCCTTTCCAGATAAAGTTCAATGCTGAGCTCAGCTCATATGGAAAGCTCAGAACTCAGAGATCAACGAGACTGACTAAGGCACAAAGAGGATATATTTGAGATTGGCGGTGTACCAGGAATTCAATTGTGAAGTCATCCGCCCTTCCAGATGCGCACAAAAGGTTAGTGTGAGCCTTTCGAATGAATCCCGTGAGGCCCCATACGAAAATACGAAATGATAAGTCTGCTTAAGTCTGTCATGTCCGAAGTAAGTGCTCAGCGGCGTTGACGAAATGGGGTACACATGGGTCCACATGTCGTTGTTTCTGCTGTAACACGCTAACCCAACGCCTATTTCCATAGCCCATGATGCACAACGGGCGCAGCGGTCGCCTTCAATAAACCGCGTAATACATTTGTAGACCAAGCCCGTCGATCTTACCCCAGTCTGCTCCTCGTCGATTATCCGTGAGTGATACATCATTGCATAACCGAGGCCTCACCGATGGACATACCGGAAATTGGAGTTTCAACCTTCGAGGGCCGAATTTGCACGTATTGCCTTCGAGTTGCGCGCACGCAAGGTTCGTGCGTATTCATAAATCAGCCTAGTCATCAAAAATTCTCAAGCATCATAACGTATCTGAATTTCCAGACTGCTCTTTGTGGATTCTACGAGAGGGAGCGCATGCCAGATGCAATCTCTAAAACCGTTCCTGTTTGGTGTGTAGTCATCAATTGAGCTGTCCTCAAAACCACGCGCGACATCGCGCCACTTGGTGTAGTCAGCGCACAAGAGCATGATGAAATCGAGAAGAGGTTGGATAGTGGGCAGACGATCTTATTGTCAGTCCTATTCACCTCCCCCTCCTCTCCCGAGTCTCGAGTGTTTTGAAATAAGGCTTCATTCTATGTCGAGTCCCAAGACTGAAATTACCCCCCGCCTGATCTGGATACTAACGCCCAATACTACCATATTCCCCAAATTCCGCGAGTCGGATGACGATGGCGATGCTGAACGGCGGTTCTACCCTGTCCTATGCATATTCGCATCAAAGCAGGTCCTGGAAGAGAGATGCGTCACGGGTTTTGCGTACATCCAGGGATTGGGGAATGATCATGAGCTGTGGAGCATGGTGCGTCGAGTTGGATATGCCATTGATATGTAGACAATACTGTCTACACAAACAGCACACAAGTCCTCTCGCATCAAAATCGACCAAACCTCAAGCTCGCTTTCCTTGTTAGTATGCTATGATGGCCGATTTGAGGAGGTTGGGTTTACGATCACTGCTTACTCTTCCTTTGCGATTTTGTGAGATACCGTAGTCCCGCCACCTCGTTATACGCACAAGGTAAGATGTTCTTGCAGTTGCAGCACCTGAAACGCAATGCTAATGCGAACAATACCAGAGATATCTCGCTGAACGTTGCTGCTGAAGGGTCTCAGGGCGGATGCATATCAGTATACGTTTCTTTACCTCATTGTTTTGGAGATGACTGACTCATGAATTTACATAATTGATTGAAGATTAAATGAGAAAGAGGTGGTTGCTCATTCGGGGCCTTATACGTATGGTCATGCGCGCGTCGCTGGTCATCTAGCTGGTGTATGATTTTTTCACCTTTTTTTTCCTGGAGGGGAACCGCATTGATGGTTCGTCTCGCAAGCTGGCGACCACACAATCGTATCATCAGCGTTCGAACCAGACAAGACGGGGAAAAATGCTGACTCCACAGTTCCACTGGACTTCGTGAAGCAAATCCATCTTTTTCGAGCTCACTTACGACGCGAGGAGCTCCTTTACGGAACGCAGACTACTTACAATGGACTCTTATTTTCGTCAAGCAGATACTGAAGATGTGTTACACCTTTGTAAGGAGTCACGCGAAGTCACAAAATGTGACATCGGTTCTAATGAAAGATTTTGTGGTCCCGACGCTATGCATTATGAGAAAGTCTACTGTAGCAGCACTAGGAACCGGGGCTGGGGTGTTGCAGTAGGCATAACTATTGGCGGGTAGTTTTGCCGGCAGAACTCAGAAGTGCTATGGCAGTGCGTGATATCAGCCCGTCCAGCACTAAGTCTAACGCCGACTCGGAGGAGGATCGGAGAGGAGTCAGGACATCATTGGGTCAGCCAACTTAGAGAGCAACGTTCATGGCCAGGATTTTGCCTTCATCGATGGGGATTCAATATCAAGTCAGTAATTCTACTTGACCTTTCTCATTGCGACTCATGGTCCTGTCGTCTTGCTGGCGGCCTGTAGCTACTAGTTATATTAGTAGTCTACTAAGTGTGACGTAGTACGGCCCCGAATCCCCTGCAGGCAATTATTCCCGCACATCAGACATGGGTAAACGTCACACATCTCATCTACACCCTTATCATTAGGACTTTATTTATTTATTTTAAATCCATGTTTATTGTCCTTTGGGGTCGAAGACCCTATGTCGGACACAACCTATACACGGGGGGTTTACTCCCGCTACACTATCGTACGTATTGTGGTAATCTATGTTTGTTGAGTGGATATACGCGTACTCCGTCGGTATATTATCGGGCAAAGGCCGACACCGATTTCGTACAGAGGGAATGATGTAGTTAATGAGTTGCTTGGGGAGGGTGTCGGTCGGATGTTGCGCGAGACTTTGGCTTGGTCGCGGTTTCGATCCTGGTGTCTGCTTGTCCGAGTTGTGCTCCTTTCACCTCTCTTCTTCTACAGTGACTGGGCGGCCGGCGCTAGTATTTCCCTTTGGTCTCGGAGATCTATTTGCTTGGTGTGTTAACTATGTGCGTTTGTTTTCCTGTTGATATATGAAACGTGCTTAAGTTGTGTACAGTATTATGTTTCCGGGATCTCACCGAACGTGGTTTTAAACCTTCCTGTACCGTTAACGTATCGCATGAGCGGTCTGACTGCGTCGTCGGCGGTTAGTAGATAAGTGAGTGAGGTTGCTTTGCGGCGTAGAGCGTTCGAGAGAATGTGGCGTTCTCTTGCGTATTGACGGCAGTCGAACAGGAAATGGGGGACGGTTTCTACTATTTCCGGGCAGAATGGGCAGTGATCATTAGGACTTTCTGACGAAGAGTGTGTAGTATTAACCCCTCGTTTCCGTTCTTACTTCTCATAACACACTACCTGTCCTCAGCAGGCGCCCGTTTTAGTGCCGTTAAGAAACAGTATCATGGGTATGGTCTACATACTTACCTTCTTTCTCCCGAGCTTCCCATCCGCCACCCCACGTAGTATCTATTTCAGCACTTGTTCCTTGATTACCGCCACCTAGTATTCTCAATGGTTTTGTCGATAGCGTGCGTCATGAGTCACCCAAAGACCACACAAACCGTCCCCTTGAATATTCTCAGGATGTCCGAACGGGAAACAGGACAGAGCTCGCGGTGTTTGTGGACGATGGTCCGCTTGCGCTTACTGAAGGAGAGTGTAAGCGAGTGAAGCTGTAGATGTCGAATGCTGGTTCAAGGAATATTGGGGAGGTATGGGTTGTAGCTGGTCCTGGGACCCGGAGATCAGATCTGGATCGAGGCGAGTCGAGTGTGTTGGACGGCTGGCTTATTCTACTTGCAGCCTCAGGTACTCATGCTGAGCAAGTTTCATCCGTGATAGCGAATGGAACGCAGACATGAGCCCGAGTGTTGTGAATGTGAAGGACGGTTTGGTGATTGAGCATGATTTCAGCTGGGGTGAGTGGTCCTCTTCATCTCAGTAGGTCCAAGTCGACGACTTTCCGTCATTACTACCGTTCACGAATCGCCCATCCTGCGGCCCAGGCATCAGATGAACACGCGTATTTCAAGTCCACTGATGGACACGCTGGGACTTGGAGCTTCAATGTACCTTCAAAGGCCGAATTTGCACGTCTTACCTTTGATTTGCGCGCACGCAGGATTTGTACGTTTCAATACGTAAGCCTAGTCATCAAAAATCCTCAAGCATCATAACGTATCTGAATCGAACCTCATTGGAGCCCGACTGTGATCAAATGTTGAAGTTCAACCTTCCAATCGCTCTCTGGTTCAAGCACACGAGCCACTAGCTAGGTAGTCGAAGGCAGTCGGTCGTTCCATTCTATTGATCGCTACAGTCATCACCCGTTACTTCTGACGCCAATCGCAGGTCACCATGGGCCACAAGGGCGACGCAGCAAGTGAGCTGCGTAAGGAAGATCTATACAACCGAATTAACACCATCACGGAGGACGCTGCGTTTGCAGACCAAATCCATTGATCTTGCCCCAGTTTGCCCTCATCCGTGAGTGATACCACCATCGCACATTTCACCGGCCATGCGATACGGAGCATAGTTTCAGGGTTTTCATTTCCCACAGCGAGCACCTTCAAAGTTTGAATTTTGGGGCACTAATGTATGAGCTCACCTCAGAGCTGGCTAGAGTCTAGTTAGCTTACCAGGTATATTGTGTGTATGATTATGCAAGCTATTTCTCTTCTACACTACAATGTTTTACTTTCCGCCGGGCAATTGAGCAAGGCTGGCACTGCCGACAATGTCCAGCCCATAAGATTGTCACTGACAACATTCAGCCATTTTCGAGACGTTTTGTAAAGTCAAGATACAACATCATCATGTGGACAAGACACGAATGTATGATACTATGAAAATATGCTATAGTTAAAGAGTGTAGTATTCAATATTAGTGGGAAGTCGTCGGGTATTGATAGTATATCCAGAACGAGGGCGATATACCAAGGTATGAGAAAACACCCAGACAATTCCGAGAAGTCTGACGAAATTTATGCACAAAGAAGTAATGATCTGCTCCTAGGATGCGTGTAAATGTGCTTTAGAGAAATGAGCGTTGCGCGTATATCTGCGCGAGAAAGTAGCACCACACTGGTTGCACAGATATGTTACGTGCAAGTGTACCTCCTCGATGTGTCGGAGGATGCTCTCCCGTTTCATGGGGGCTTGTCCGCAGTTACCCCAGGCGCAAGGCATGATCAAATTTGCCGGCCCCTGCACTCCGTGCATCCGCAGATGTGTTGAAAGGTCCGACATATGGATATATGCGCCGCAGGGTCCCCACCCGATATCCCACAAGCAGACGGTGTGATCAGAGTTTACGGGTGCGGTGGGAGTACCCTATGAAATGCCACACTACCATTAGTGACAGACAAAGCATGATGATCAGCTAAGACTGACGGTAAAGACAGACATGTGCTCTTGCTGTGGCAGAGATAATGGATTAGTGGCCAATGAGAGGACCTTTTCAGTGACAACCGGGGCTTGTGACTATGTATTTTATACCAGAACTCCGAGCGGCATCTGGCAAGCGCTAGAGAGCCTTCTAACAAGGCCATGCAAAGTTAATCTGACGAGAACGATAAATGTCTTCGCTGTAACGCCGATCCGCCTACCATATTAAAGTGAATTGGTCCAATAACTTCCTTGACGAAAGTCACCGGATTCATTCAAATGTCGTATCCGATGTTAGACGTTGGCCTGGTGATATTGATTAAGGATAAGCATGCCGCCAATGATAAAAACGTCAGACTGAGGTGAAGAACCACGTACTGTGCATTCTTGATAGGAAGCCCATCACGTCGCCTGCGAATTTCGGCTTCGCAACCTTTTCCCGGGCGACGACGACGGTTCGTAGCTGGAAAGGGCAAGCAGGGAACATCTCGAAACTAAGCGCTATCATGCCCTTGTGTGGGGCCGCAGATGTTTGATTGCCAGGGAATAGTTGATTGTATCCCACGCAGCCCAAACGATAAATCGGAGAACTTCCTAATGGCCAATGAAATGATGTAGGCCGATGAGAATACTAAACACTCGTGAGACCGCCTGAATCCAACTATTACGGGCGGCGACGAAGTGGCATGAGCGGAATAGCGCGACCAGTGCGGTGATCTTAAGAAATTAATTCGCCATGCCAAGTCAGAGATCTGTGGCGTCGCATTACATGCATGCACCAGGAATCCTGTACCGACATGCCTTGGAATTGTTCGAAAAAGAGCGTCGAGTCGTTCCGTAATGACCCGATGCAGGTTCATTTGCAGGTGCTATCAGTATCACCATGAGAAGATGACTGGCAGCAGGTCCGCCGACTCCAAGCTTCAACAAGCACCTCTGCACGTCATTTTTTGGATCGTCTGATCGGTGAGAAGGTGCCCGCTGAGTCCGTGTCATCGATCGTACGATAACCTGAAACTCCGTGCAGTATACTATGCCAGGGGAACTTTCCAGCATCCTGTGGTTTTTCGAATTCCTTCATGATGAGTTATTTCCTGCACAGGGTCGTGATAATAATTTGATATCGTGTTCAGGAATATGAACGGAGGCCGGGACGAGCTTGCATCGTGTTGCATCCTGTGTCACCAGGAAGGGTGTCATGGCTGTAAATATACCGAAATTATCAGAGGCAACGTTTAGAGTCCAATTGAAAACGATAATCAGACCTTTGAGCGCTCCGACTATCCAGACACGCCGTGGGACGGTTCGTGATTCTGCCTGGTTCATAGCGCTCACTGGTTGTTGTTTCAGGTTGTCTATTAAATATCGTAACGGTTCATGGGTCCATGCGGGTCCGATGATCCGGGCCCGTGCAGCTCACCCAATGCAACATTAATAGCGCTAATGCTTGCCAATAGCAACACAAGTGAAACTCAAATTTGCTGATAGAGAGGAGATTTCGGGAGATTGCCCAGCTGTCGCCAATTGACGTTCTCACAGAGTCCTAAGTGTTCGGGTCTTGATTGAATAATTGACAGGATGAAACCCCTTTTGAGGATGCGTTCACGACATATCGAAGCATATCGCCATTGCGGCATACACGTGTACTGATAGGTCAGGAGCCCAAACGGATGAATGGAAAAATAGAAGTATGTCAAATATGCTTCCGACAGCTTCGAGCACTGGCAGGTAATAAATCAATCAGATATTGAGCGCTAGATAATCTTACGTCGAAGTGCCATGCTTCTGTGAATCTAGGCAACGCATGAAATCTCTTGACTATGTTAGAGGAAGTGAACAGCGGATGTGAATGTGGCGCCGTCTGCCTCAGCGTCACGGTTGGCGAGGGACTTCCGTTGCCATGATGATATAGTGGGCAGATAATCAACGCCTCCTCTTGTACCCTTGGCAAAGAAGGGTCACGAGCAAGAGCCTTGAATTTAGTTGATGCGGCTCAGCCTGCAGGCAGCAGCTGTGCTACCGTGGTTGTCAAGCCCGCATTGGTCAATTTGGAGGTGCCGTCCCGTGGTGATGTTGTAGTATGACAGCCTGGGCCCTGCTCACGAAGACGACGAAATGGGTCGGTGCCCACCGCCTTTTCATGGCAAGATCGGGGGTGTGCCAAAGAACGGTCCCCCACATCAGTAACACCCACTATGACCCTTACAGTCATACCGCTACCGAGTTGATCAAATATCTAAAAATTACCTCGAATTCCTTGACTTCATTTGCAAGAATGAGACAAATGCGCACCTGAAGCATACGGAAGACAATCTTGCGGAGGCTCTTCCCAATGGTAGTTGTAGCACGTTGGACCGGGCACAGACTCTGATGCGAGGGAAACCAGGGAAACCCCAGGCCAAACCTCTGAGGCGGGATGCAGCCAGGACTCCAGCCACTGCGCCAGGACCTCTGGCACCTCATGAGGCTGCCTTGATGTTATTTGCGCGTTCTGCAGTTCTGCGCGTCTTCGTCCTGTCTTTGTCCGGTAAAAGCTCCTGCGATGGGTACAATTTTTGCTAATGCGTTGCACGCCTTCGTCAATTGATAGCCCATTCCTTGTAAAAGTAATTGGGCATGAGTTTATGCAGTGATATCGAGCGACCTGACGTTCATGGCGCTCGGAAGGAGAAGGTATCTTCCTTGTAAGTATCTGAGAACTGACTAGGGGAGACTAGGTGATTTACCTGACATGGTTAGTCTCCTACCGTGTAGTCAAAAACTGTCAAACATTGACTGAATTGAAGAAGACGTTGAAGCGATACGTACACCACTCGGGAACTCCCTGGTTGGATCCGATCGATTCCGACGGAGAAAATGTATTGCACACTGGCACTGCCAACCTACAAAGCTAAGCGCGCCAGTTTGATCCAAACTACACTCCCCGTTTGGACTAGTACTATCAATCCCACAGTTTCTGCAAAACTTTTGTAGCTCCTCAACCACTCCACATTTTCTTTCGAAACTTTGTAACATTGTAGATTCATATCCCCTCCACATAGCTCTGATTTTTACTGATTTTTAAGATTTTGTGTTGTAGTGTCGGAGCAAACCCGAGAAAATTCAGGGTCTTGCTCTAATCTGCAAAATTTGGTCACAGCTTGTCACACCTCGGCAGAGTATCGGCGCACTCAGCTGGAGTGTAGACCCGATGCCGCGTGTGCCGTGCCACAGATGAGGAGGAGATTAAATTACATATGCATCTCCCCTGTCTGGTGTCACGCTTCTGTACATGTCGTTGATACTACCACTGTAGCACCTCAATGCAAGAGCATAACCTCTATCGAACTGGTGTTCTGACATCTATAGAAGGTATTTGTTGTGCTTCAGGTGAAATTTTACGAATACCTTTGCAGGATCTTTGGGATCTGGGTAATTTGTATTCCACCAAGGTTGCAAAATACCACCATTTCATCTCTCGTAGCTACAACATCCAAGAAAATTTTATTCTACTTGTACAATACATCATCTATAGGCATTCTGTATATGCTAGAATCTTTTCAGCGCCGGCCGACCATGGCGTTGAAGTGCTATGAACATTTTGCATATCAGGTACCCTTTGCATATTGGTGGGAATGATAGTAGTCCTCGAGCGCTCGCTTAAGGTTGACGAAAGCTAGGGAAAGGCTTCAACGTAAAGAGAGGCTCTCTCAGGAGTCAGATGTGGTGTAAGCAGGGATTCAATACAATTGTGAAGTCACTCGGAGCCTTACCAGTGTAACATTCTCGAGCCCCATACGGAAAGCGAGATTAATGACGCGAACTGACCAATGCGTCTTGCATCAGCAACAGCGGCTGAAAATTCGGGTAGATCTAATAGAAATCAATTCGGTTCACCAGAGGCTATACCAAATAGGGATCGTCGGAAGGTCAATGTCAACTTTCCGATGCACTGGAGACGGGTAACATAACTCGAAGAAGTACGTGTTGTCACAGTTTGGTAAGTGTCCATGCACTTTGAATTCTGTGGGTTCTGTACAGCCCTAGCTAACCCACAAAGCAAAGTGTTTTGCTGATAGGCTTACACAACTTCCACCCCCTCGGCTCAATATCAATCACCCAAAGCCTCCAAAGTCCATGATGGGCCACAAGGACAAGGACGGCGCAGCGCTCGCCTTCAATGAACTACGTAAAGAATCGCAAGATCTATACAACCGAATTCATTCTATAGCAGAAGACGCTGCATTCGTAGACCAAGTCCGCCGATCTTACCCCAGTCTACCTCTCATACGTGAGTGACACCATCATCATTACGATCACGCCTCATGCGTCCACTAGCTAACATGCGATGCGGAGCATGGTATACAGACCCAGACACCGTAAGTCCCGGTCTTCTCTCCATCAATGCTACCGTTCACGAATCGCCGACCCAGGCATCGGAAGAACGCGCATATTTCAAGTCCACCGATGGACACACCGGAAATTGGAGCTTCAACCTTCGAAGGCCGAATTTGCACGTATTGCCTCTGATTTGCGCACACGCAGGGTTCGTGCGCCTCCCACATGCCTAGTCATCAAAAATACCTAAGCGTCATAAGTTTAACCTATCTGAATATCCAGACTGCTCTTGGTGGATTCTACAAGAGCAGGCAAACGCATGCCAGACGCGCTCTCTAAAACCGTTCCTATCTGGTGTGCAGTCATCAATCGAGCCGTGCTCAAAACTACGCCCGATATCGATGCGAGTATTTGGAATACGAAGTTGTACACTCCCCCTGGTGTGGTCAGCGCACAGGAGCATGATCAGATCGAGAAGAAGTTGGATGGGTGGGCGGATGATCTTGTTGTTAGTCCTTTTCCCTCATCCTCTCCCGAGTCTCAAGCATTTGAAATCAGGCTTCGTTCTATGTCCTCCCAAAGCTGCAATACCCCCTCCGGCCGATCTGGATAACGCCCAGCACCACTATATTCCCACAATTCCCCGATGCTGAACGGCGGTTCTACCCTATCATATGCATATCCGCGTCGAAGCAAGTCTTGGATGGCATAGAGAGACGCGTCACGGGTTTTGCGTATATCCAGGGATCGGGGGATGATCACGAGTTGTGGAGTATGGTGAGTCGAGCTTGATCTTATTGTTGATGGTGATGGTGATGTTGATGTTGATGCGGGTGCCTTGACAGGGACTCACCCCCACTCAGTTCTGGAACCACAAATCAGATATCCTCCACGCCAACCGAAACGAACTACCAAACCTAGTCCGAACTCTCACATCCTCTACAAACGGTTCCGACGCACGCACAAACTTAAATTCACATTTAAACGTGTCATTCCATCCTACCCCCATACACCACGTCCGCGGTCGACTCTCGGTATGCACCAACCACGACCTCCTCTCCTCCCCCAAGGCGCTGGACGATGACGCAGTCGCAGTGGTCTGTCTAACCAGCGCCGATCATGCACTGCCCGCTTTCAAAGATCGAGATCAAGATCACCCCCGCGTCCTATGCATCCAAACCCCCCAAGGCAAAAAAGGCCAACACCATTTCCTCCACTCCGTCCTTCCCCAAGCCATCCCCTTCATCTCGCTCCACCTCAAGAACTTGCGCCGCGTCTGCGTCTCATGCGAAAAAGGCACGGACATGAGTATCGGCGTCGCCTTGGTCGCTCTCACGATGTTTTTTAATGAGTCGGGGGAATTTTGCGGTGGATGTGGGTATGAACGGGAAGATGTTCTTAGTACGTCGTGTCAACTATCCCAAGAAGAAGAAAAAGAAAAGTGTCCCTGATGTTGCATTTTAATAAAGCCAAAGACGACATCAAAACCCGGCTACACTGGATAATCACAAGCTGTCCACAAGCAAACCCCTCACGCACAACTCTCAAACGCGTCAACGAATTCCTCCTCTCCGCCCCCCGCGATCCGCCCAAATTCCTTCAAAAACCACCCATTCCTGTTCCCCCGCCCTCCTTACCGCAAAGAAACCTCGATCCCTGAAACAGTGCTATAAATGATAACCCTAAACTGAGCCTGCACCCCAGGATGGTACGTCGAAGGCACGAGGTAATACTTTCCCGCCGCCAAAGGCCGCTTGGGAATATCTACGCCTGAGAGTGCGTCGGAGTAGGGTCCGGAGGATGTGATGGGTCGTTGGAGGTTTGAGCTTGAGCTAGGGAATAGGGAGAGGTTGGTGGATACGCCTGGGGCGCGGTGGAGGAGTTGGAGACGGGCGCTGTGGGTAATGTAATGAGCGTTAGGTCTTTTGTGATTTTTTTGGAGGGGGGGACATACCCAAATTCAGAAGCGCATGGGATGTTAAACTCATAGACTGGATTGCGGTGATACCGATTTTGACTGGGAGCCCCTGCAGCTGTCGTCGAATTCCTATACAAATACCAAGATTTACGTCAGACAAAACACAAGATTTAATTCAGACAAAAAGAACGACAGCAAGACGTACCACTCCCCACGAACAGTCTTGGCATACATCCCCGCACCCTCCTGCAGTATCGGCTTGATCTCAAACCGAGATGGACTCTCCACTTTGAGCGTGAATTTCCCCGTCTGGTCTGGTTCGAAGGCTGATAGTATGATTGTGTAGTCGCCAGCTTGCGAGGAAGTATCAGCGCGTTTTCCCCGAGGTAAAAAGATAAAATAAAAACAAAGGAAAGGAGGCGTACCAGCAAGATGAGCAGCGGCGCGTGCATGCCCGTATGTGTAAGGTCCTGAATGAGCTACTACTTCTTTCTGAGTCAATCTTGAATTGAGAATTTTAACGCGTCAGACAGCTACCTAGGAGATACGAGAAAAAAGAAACGTACTCTGATATGCGTTCGCCTTGAGACCATACAGCAGTAACGTTCAAGGAAATATCCCTGGTACTATGTGCGGTGAGTATGACTTGGGTTTTACTGTTCGTGTTCGCGTTCGCGCTGTGGCGTTTACAGGTACTGGGGCTGGGGCTGGCGTTATGCAGTCGGAGGTGATATTGCGGGTTCACCATATACGTCGGATGCGTACAGTTCCCCCCGGCAGTTTTACTAGTCAACGTCCCGTCGATCTGTTCCAATCCATCAACATCGTTTCGGGCGCTACAACCACAACTCCAACTCCAAGGAAGGGAACCTTACCTTGTGCGTATAACGAGGTGGAGGGACGACAGTATCCCACGAAATAGCGATAGAAGAATAAGAATAAGCAGTGATCGTGAACCCAACCTCCTCAAACTGGCCGTCGTAGCATGCTAATAAATAGAGGGAGCCTGAGGTCTGGTTTTGGGAGAGTTTGATGCGCGAGAGGACGTGTGTGCTGTTTGTGTAGTTGCTCTTTTACCGCGCGTCAGTAAATCAGAATCGATAATTAAAAAGGGTGCTCCCAAAAACAAAAGAGAGAAAAAAACAGGGAAAGGAAACGGACAGGAAACGGACAGGACTACTCACCTTGAGTGCGACGTCTTCCGGATTCCCAAAAATCGTATCATCCTCTTGCACACTAAGCGCGATGTATTCGCTCGTTCGGCGCGTATCGCGGAGATGCCGCGTGAGGAGGACCCAGATTTCGATTTCGTTAGCGTCTGATGGGTCTTTTTGGTAGTTGAGGCGGAGGTGGTGGGTTGAAGCTGTGGGCGTGAGTTTTGAGTTTGAGTTTGAGTTTAATGGTGAGGAGGGCGGGGCGTACCTCGTGGTATATCTTCCGAGTTTTCGGGCTGCCATGATCTGTGCTTCCATTAGCGCGTTTTTTATGAGGATTGGGTGGTGGGACACACCCGTGGAAAGCGATGGTGTTGTTGAAGAGGCTGGGTGTCCAGCTGATGTATAACCCTTCGAAAGTCGCGCATATATCGTCCCAGCGCATATCAAGAACCCCTTCATTCATTCATTAGTAATTGCAAGAATAAATAAAAAGAGAGCGTACTAGGACATGCACTACTATCACACTCGCACGACGGTGTGCATATACGCGAGTCGAGAAGCGTGACCCAGCGCTCGTCATGAGATTCTCTGATGTCTGTTCGAGTCAGTTAGGTGTTGGATGGGTAAGGTGGGGTTTGGGGTACCTGTAACTGCGTAGTCGTGTGAGGGGAGGAGATTGACGTTGTCGATCTTGAGCGCTGTTTTGTCGTTTGTGCCGACGGTCATGATGCAATCGCCTGAAAAAAGTGAGATTTGGATGAGGGCGGTGAAAGGGGTGGGTACCTTTTGGAAAGCCGGTGATGATGCGGGACCAGGTTCGTTCGCGTTCAAAGGATGCGCTGGGTATTGTTAGAGAAGCAATGGAAGGTGAAGTGGTGAGTACCTTTGTAGATCTATGTGCTCTGGAATCCAGCCGGTGAGGACGCTGGTGTGGGGTGTAAGAAAGGTCGGGTGGTAGGTGTGGGACTTACTGGAGGTCTATGGCAGAGTTTCTTTGGAGTGTTAGTAAGGAAACGAATAGTGGAGGAGAGACATACGAGCCGAGGAAATCGTATCCGCCCATGAGTTTCATGTACTGGATGCAAGTCAGCGGGGAATGATAATAGACAAGAATGTACGAACGGCCTTTTCTACGAATGAGGGCCAGAGTTGGTTCTTTGGGCCGGTGGATACTCCGAGGAGATTGTTGTTGTGGTCAAAGGGGAGACGGTCGTCGATGACTAGGGCTATTTAGCTCCAAGTTTTGACGTGGTTGTGAGTACGAACCTATCTGTGGCGGACTTTAGAAGGAGATGGAGATGAAGTGGAGAGAAACTTACGCGACGGAAATCACCATTGACGAGGACTTTGAGGTCATATCTGCCGTCGTGAATGGAAGGGTACAAGGAGGAGAGTAGTAGCTAGAAGTGGTGTTAGGGAGTGAGAGTGGTGATGATGATGATGATGATGATGATGAGACATACGTTTGATTTGAAGCGGAGGTGATGTTGTATGCAAACTGCAATTGAAGCGCATACTGAGCAATCGTTGACGATTGTCTGGATGATATCGCTTGGAAGGAGAACGAGGGAAGTTAGTGATGCAGTAGGAATGACGTCGATTGGTCTCTTCCATTGGGATGAAGGAGAAACGGAACCAAGGGATGGTTGGCCGTTAGGGGTTGATTCAAAAGTGGAGGTCCACAGGGGGATATGATTACCATTGATGAGAGATGATTTTTTGAGAATGGAAAGTTGGTGTTCTGATTTTAAAGTGAGATAAGAGAATTTGAGAGAATAGAAGACTCGCGTTTTGAGAATTGATCTATTGAAATGGGGGCGAGATCTGACTTGTATTGTCTGATCTTCTCTGCTCTTTCGAGCGCCTTGGCAGCGTTGTTCCTGTATCTTGAATCGGAACTGCGGCTGATATGAAGAAACGCTTCAGCTGCTTCAAGGTATAACTTGAACGCGTTATTCCACTCGTTCTCTACTTCGTATGTCACAGCTCTAGTGTAAATATTCTTCGGTAGCTGTTTGAATCGGTCTTAATCATTTATTGAAAAATGCATACCTCTGCGTCTGCGATGGTCTTGGTCATGTTGATGCCAAGTAATACAATCATCCTAATTCGGTATATCATAATTGAATGTACAAATAATTATAAACAATAACCGTGTACTAGGGGGTGAGGCTATTTCGCTTATTCTGACCTCTATGACCTTAGTCCTTCTCCGAAAATCATCCCAACACTGACGAGATCCTCCACCTCCAGCAATGTAAAGCCAAATTCCATCTCTCATCATGACATCAGTCTCGTAGGTGTGACTGACACGGGGTAATTCTTTCTTACGTGTCTTTCCAATCGCTGGGGCCCGATACAGGCGTTCTATGTTGCTTGGCGGCCTAAACAAGGACGGCAGCAGGATGCCCAGGTAGCCGCCACTACGCTACCTCATCTAAAAAAAGTCGAACCGGTCAAAACTTGTTTTCAACAGAAGCCTGTATGTAGCCGAGCGCCCAGCGTCGCCTCCACCAATGAGAGCGCACGCTTATGGCTGAAGAAAGTTTCAAATGTGAACGTAAACTAGGCCGTCTCTCAGATGGCTGCTACCGCCACGGCGGGCACGCAGTCAGGTTGTGATCTAATCCTTGACAACCCCACGTGGTGCGCTCGTCTCTGGTTGTTTCTCAGCAGTGTATCTGTTCGATCCGCTGGTTCGTAGAGAAACAGCCAACGCCTGCGCCACTATATCACTAAGTCTGCGCTGTTCGACTCGGATGTCGTTCAATGCTAACGGCGTTTGGCGCCACTCCGAGTCAATGTCCATGGTTTTGGACGCTGTGTGACACCGGCAGTATCTTCATTATCGCGTTCAGTGAGGCGACTTTGACTAGGACATCGAGCCGCGTATTTGCTTCTTTTTTTATCATTAAATTTATTGTCCTTTGGGGTGGTAGACCCTATGTTGGACATAGCCCTATTCGCAGGGGGCTGCGTATTTGCTTACTTCCATATGTTGATCTACTTCCACACATCATCCCCACGAAGTTCGAAGGAGGGGGACTCAGACTTTGTCGTAGTGTAGTTCACCACCTCTTGCCTTGCTCGCGATACGCAGGCATTGTCAGGTTTAGGCCACTCCGATGCTTTCGTTCATGCTATGATTAACGTCTCGTGTATTGGCGGTATCGTGGGTCCTGAATTTCATGATCACGTTGTTTAAAAATCAAAATCAACTGCATCCACGACGCACGTGCTACCCCCCCTTGGTTCAACATGTTGGCACGCCTCTTGCACATTACGCTCGTAGCTCGTAAATACCCCAAGAATCCCTACAACACTAGGCAACCTGCAAGTGACAAGTAAAATTGCATCAATACAATTTTTTGTGAAGCAACCCAATTAACTAGCTCCGCACGGACCGCAAGGTCATAAGTCGGCAATGCTGACCCCTAGAAAGATAAGTGAAGAAACGTGTAGGGGGTGAGCCTCACAGCCTCAGGTTCATGAGCTTCCTTTTGTTTCGCCTGGACGATCACCACCACGCACGACGAACTGTCCCAACGAAAATTCGTGAGTTCAACTATACACCTTTCTTTTCGTTACTGACGTCTCAATCCGACTACCTGTTGTTCAAGTTGCGCGTCTTACTTTGCAGAATGAGCAAACTTTCCTCTGCATCTGTAAAGATTACAACGCCACTCCCTTCAACGCAATCATTTTGGGCAAAGGGCCCGCCGTCGCCATCGCAGTCTCCTGCTCCATCCCATGTCGCTTCCACAAAAACTACTTCTCGTTCAAGACGTCCAAGTGCATTAAGACAGGGTGGATCCGTAAATGATGGCATCTCTGTCCCTCTAAATAGTCTGGGTTCACTACCAGGTCTGATTTTATCACCACCACCTCCAATACTAACTCTTACTCTTAGGATCCGTTGTTTTTGGATCAATAGATGATGCCTCAGCCTCATCACCGGCTGTCATCAAAACCGAAGTCGTCGGATCCGTACCCCCTACCCGTTCCCGGGCCAACCATGTAAATGGCAAAACACCCGCTTCCGTATCAGGGTCATCGAAGCCTGCAAGACTCGCTTTGTCATCGGCACCCTCAAACTCAAGCGCTCCTTCATCAACAATCGCATCTCCCCCCAAACCGACTAAAGCAGATATCGCAAAGCTTTTCCAAAACTCATCATCTTCCCAGCCATCCTCCGACACGTCTTCTCCTTCCACCCGACCCTCTCCACATTCATCATCACAGCCACCCCCACAGCATTCCAAACTAGGCGCACATTCTTTTACTCCATTTGTGCCCGGTGTGCGCCAATCACAGCAACCTGTTATCAACCCACGTTCCCCTGCGTTTCCCCGTGCTATGCCAAACATGCAAGCCCAATCCCGACCCAGTCCTCAGGCTGGGTCGGGGGATTCCAGTGGCCCGACTATCCCTGCCAGTCCCCGCACCTCTCCACTCCTCACTGCACGTGTCATCGAGAATCTCAGCGAGGTGACGTATCCTGAGGGTATCAAGAGCCCTAAGATCGAGCTCAATGCAAACGTCAGGGATGGCCGGTTCAGGTTTGTGGTTTTGCCTCTCACTTACGGTTTCTCATCCATGTTTCCATGTACATAGATACGATCGTGATTTCCTCATGCAGTTCATGCACGTTTGCAAGGAGAAGCCACCAACCCTTGCTGCTCTCGGTGTCCTTGGCATTGAACCCGTCGATCTGTCATCAGCCCGCGGTAGTTCCGGTGCGATGCCTCCTCCTAGTGAGATTCCTCAAAGACGTACTAGCCCCCAAGACCTTGCTTCGGCAAAGACAAATGTTTCCGCGCCTCACACCTCCGCACTCCTCACCGCACGCGTCATCGAGAATCTCAGTCAGGTGGTATACCCTGAGGGTATCAAGGGTCCTAAGGTTGAGCTCAATGCGAACGTCAGGGACGGTCGGTTCAGGTTCGTGGTTTTGCCTTTTCACTTACACTCTCTCAAACATGTTTTCATATACATAGATACGATCGTGATTTCCTCATGCAATTCATGCACGTTTGCAAAGAGAAGCCACCTACACTTGCTGCTCTCGATGTCCTTGGCATCGAACCCGTCGATCCGCTCTCGTTTGCAATGGCCGGCAGTGGTTCTGGACGTCCTCGCAAAAAAAAGCCTCTGATGCCCGCTTCTGCCACCCATCCAGCTTCTGTAGGTCTGGGCATCGGCGGTTCCCAGAAACCCTCCATTCCATCTCCATTCCAGATGGGCAACTTCCAATCCCCAGGAGGAAAAAAGCTTACAAGCGAGGAGCGTTTTCCCAAGTCATCTACCGTCCCTTCTGCTCCAACTAGCAGTGCTACTGCTCTGTCCGCTTCTGCCACCCATCCAGCTTCTGTAGGTCTGGGCATCGGCGGTTTCCAGAAACCCTCCATGCCATCTCCCTTCCAGATGGGCAACTTCCAATCCCCAGGAGGAAAAAAGCTCACAGGCGAGGAGCGTTTGTCATCTACCGTCCCTTCTGCTCCAACTAGCAGTGCTACTGCTCCTCAATTCAACCGCTCCCCGATGGTGCACACGCCCGGCCAGCCTAGGGGTGCCCCCAAAAAACGCGTGCGCACCAAACGTGGTGAGAAACGGGGCGAGCCTAACAAGTCGACGGTGTCCCAAGTTGAACAAGGACAATCTGAGGGTTCTGCAAAAGATCCTGTTAACGCTACGTCTACATAGCGAACAGGAGGATCTGCAATTTGCTCGCCATAGAGTCTCAAACTTGCAAAGATTACTATTGAAGGACTTGAAGACTCGGATGATACTTTTTCCAATTCCTCCCTCGGCGAGTCGCTGTTCTCAATGTCGACGTCCTCGGAAGCGCGATATACTGACTCGGACGGCATCGCGTGTCTTTGTTGAATTCAATGACACGATTGAAGCCTTGGGTGATGAAGTTGAAAAGTTCTCTTCGCACGTCCAAAATCGAACCGCACACCACAGCTCCATCTTCTCGAGGAGTAGGCACTATATCAGCAGGAGAAATCTTGTTGTAAACTTCGTCTGGATCCTCCCCCACCCAGTTTTATATAACATCTCGAATAACCCTCTACCTGTCTCTGTACAGTTCGCAATATTCCATCTCGTCTGTTACAGCATTCCCATCCTTTACTTACCATATCACAAGATTGATATGATACCAACTTCCCAGATCAATAATTTGCCACTGGTGAGGATGCGCATTGCGATCAGTCTTGTTGGATGCCCACAATCGATGACCACGAGAAATGCTGAAGTCGTGCCTGTGCCACGACTCACGAGCGACCAATACATCATCCTAATTTGGTATATCATAATTGAATCTACCCAATCAACTACTTAGCTCCGTAAGGTAAGTCGGCAACGCTGAGGGGAAACGTGTAGGGGGTGAGCCTGGTGATACAGCCTCAGCCTCATGAGGTTCATAAACCGATCTTTTGTTTTCGCCTGGTTATACTTGATGACCACCACGCGCGACAATATCATCGATTGTTTCTGTCTTAACGAGGGCCAACGCCGACGACCGCCGTTACGCAAATCCGTGAGTTCAACTATATATATACATTGTTTTGTGACTGTACCGTTTGCAGAATGAGCAAAGTTTTCACTGTATCTGGAGGGACTCCGACGCCGCTCCCTAGGCAATCAGCTTGGGCAAAGGGCCCGCCGCAGAGAAGTTCATCTTCAGCTGTCCCCTCGCCGCGATCGCAGTCTCCTGCTCCAAACCATGTCGCTTCCCTAATAACTACTTCTCACTCCAGACGTCCAAGTGCGTTATGCCAGGGTGTATCCGTAAAAGATGGCGTCTCTGTCCCTCGAAATAGTCTGGGTTCAGTACGACCAGGTCTGATTTTATTATCAATTCATTACCATCTCAAATACTAACTCTTGTTCTTAGGATCCGTTGTTTTTGCATCAACAGATGATGCCTGGGCCCCAGTATCTTCATCATCAGCCGCCATTCCCGCCGTAAAAACCGAAGTCGTAAAATATTTCGGATCCGTGCCAGCTACCTCTTCCAAGTGTGTAAATGGCAAAACTCCCGCTTTCACATCGACCACAGGGTCATCGAAGCCTGCAAGACCCGCTTTATCATCCACTCCCTCAAACTCTACTACTCCTCCCTCAACATCAACCGCATCCACCCCCAAACCGAGTAAAGCAGATATTGCAAAGCTTTTTCAGAATCCCTCGTCGTCCTCCCCCCACCCACATCAAGCCCCTCACGGAGGTGTGGCTCCTATGCAGCGCATGCAATGTGGCGGATACTATGTGAGTCCTTCATTCTTTATTTATTTCAATCTTCTTAACGTGGCCCAAGTATATGGACCCGTATCAACAACGACCTCCCTCAACTGCATCTACCCCCAAACCAACTAAGGCAGATATCGCAAAGCTTTTCCGGAATCCCTCATCGTCTTCCCAACCTCCCTCCGACATGGCTTCTCCTTCCACGCGACACTCTAACCTCCCTCCACATCACCAGTCGTCATCTTCGTCACAGCCGCCCCCGCAACCTTCCCAACTGGGCGCACATTCTTTTACTCCATTCGTGCCTGGTATGCGTCAATCACAGCAGCCTGCTGGCACACCACGTTCACCTGCATTTCCCCGTGCCGTGCCAAATATGCAAGCCCAATCCAGACCCGGTCCTGGGCCGGGGGGTCCCGGTGGCCCTAATATCCCTGCCAGCCCTCGCATGGCTCCCCACCCACATCAAGCCCCTCCTGGAGGTGTAGCTCCTATTCAGCCCATGCAATGGGGTGGATACTATGTGAGTGCCCCACCTTACGTTTATTTTCAATCCTCTTGACGTGATCCAAGTATATGGACCCGTATCAACAACAACCTCCTTGGGGGTATTATGCTATGCCCTCCCAGCATATGCACCAACAATCTCACCAGCAGCATGTCCCTCATGCCGATCCTCCCCATCAACCCGGCACACCTCTTCCCATGTCACCTCGTTCCGCAATTCCCCAACTTCCTGGTACACCTACCATGGTACACGCTGTCCCGCACCCCCCTCATACTCCCCAATCGCCTCCCTCTGTATCTTCTCCACCGCCCACACCCTCCACCGCCAACGCACCCCGTCTTAACACGAATGCCAGCGCCTTTGTCCCTCTCGGGCGTCCCTCAGCCAAAGTCACCATCAAGAGTCAGGATGGCATGGAAGTGACGCTCGATGCGCTCAAGAAGCACAGCCCCCAACCGCCCTTAGTCCCCATCGCCCCCGCGTCTCCTGTTGTGAGCAGCCGACGGATACGGTCGGTTTCGGTTCGGATTGAGAGCGAGGATTCGAAGCGATTGCGTGAGGAGACTGCACGTGGGGAGGATGTCCGTCCATCGCTGCAAGGGTACCTCTTTGATGGTACCCAAGACAGTGTTCATCATGATGTGTGTCGCCTTTACATCAATTCACTTGCTCTTATTCTGACCTTTATACCCTCAGTCCTTCTCCGAAGAGTCTCATCATACCAACATTGACGAGGTGCTGCACCTCCAGCAACGTAAAGCCAAGTTCAATCTCTCATCACGGCATCAGTCTCGTAGGAGTTGCTGCAGTTAAGGACAAAGGGGTAAGTCTTTCTTGCGTGTCTTTCCAATCGCTGGGGTCCGATAATCTCTGTGCAGGCATTGTATGTTGCCTGGCGGCCTAAACAAGGACGGCGGCAAGGTGTCCAGGTAGCCGCCACTATGCCACCTGCTACTGGTACGGCGGGCACGCAGGCACGTTCTGCTCTGATCATTGACAACCCCACATGTTAGACTCGTTTCTAGTTGTTTCTCGGCGGTGTATCCGTTCAGTCTGCTGATTCGTAGTAGAGAAACAGCCAACGCCTGCGCCGCGGCCATTACATCACTAACTCTGCGCTTTGATGCGCTGTTCAACTCGGATGTCGTTCAACGCCAACGGCGTTTAGTGCCACACAATGTCCATTGTTTTGGACGCTGTGTGACACTGGCAGTATCTTCATTATCACGTTCTACGCAGGCTTCAGCTACCGTCGCGGTCTCATCAACATCTTGATGCTCTTGGACGTGGTTCATCGACCAACGCTACTCTCGCTCTCAGCATGGAGGATATTTAAGATATGATTAGTTACATAATGTATTTCATTGTTTCGTAGTACATACCAATGAAGAAAGAATTGTAAACTCCCGAGTTACTCGCGCTGACATAGACCGTCTACATCAAGTCTCAGACTATTATTACAAGCAAGGTTGCTGCTAACCAGCATGCATCCTGTCACGGTGCTCCAGTTGCTCAGTGCGACGATCATGATGAACAAGACACCCTACTAGCATAGAAAGACCCTTCGAGGAGCAACCATGATACTGCTCACAGCGAGTAGAGAACGTGATGCGGGTTATTTGCATCTGAGACCGAGGATCGTAGGCGATAGCTTAAGATGAAGCTCCTCTGTTGAATCTGGGTGGGAAGAGAACATTATTCTTGACATCAACCGAAGGTCGTGCCGAATCTTTGAGATGCAGCTGGATACAGTACCGAATGTATGTCTCCTATAATTTCACATGGGAGAGAGGAAGTAAAATTTGCATAATTCTTGGAAGGTGATCTACGAGGTGACCGTGTTAAAAACTGCTCCACGTAGCATCGACTGAGCGAACCACTGAATCGTGGATTCTTGTGCGCCCCTTGAGCAGCTCCTATCTGAGTCATACTTAGCGAGTGTCGTGACTTGATCATGTAAAGCATCAAGCGGACTTGGAAACCATTCTTCTCCTCAACCAGCTCGAACGCCACGAATGCTCGTCACGCACAGGGATGCTAAATTTCCGAGTGGGCTAAAATCTGAGGATTCCAGTCTCCTTCGATTGGCTCTAGCAGCCCAGCTGTGATCAGCTGCACGACGTTCCAGAACAGCAGCTTCGTTTCTCCTATCCCGAAGATTCTATCTATAGCAGAGGAGGGCGAGAATGAAGGCTTTGAAAGCGTCGTTTGGATCGGGCGAATCTGTTATTTTACAGTCAATCGTCACTATCGCGCGCGCGCCTGTGAAAAAGGTGCTCAGGATTGCCATAGGTACGTGGTGATGAACAAGGTTCGCCATTGTGTTGGTAGGCTGCCTGAGCGCGGGCCACCGGTAAACTCTGGCGGCATAGATCGTGCTGCCATTGTGTTGGTTGGCTGCCTGAGTGGGAGTCACTGAAAAACTTTGGCGAGCATAAGTTCTATCCACTTGCGAGAGTAATCATGAACTGCCGCCAAGGCTCGGAGGCGAATACCTCCTTGCGTATGAGTGGCGAGAGGCTAACCACCTCTTTGGGTATGAGGTGCGACTGATTTTATCATTATGCGGTGGTGCTAGTTTGTCCTTGAGTTTACTTTGTGGCTCGCGTATCCTTCGTGGATCATGAAACTCGATTCAGACTACTCTCGAGCTGGTTCTTTTCGAATTTTTCATTTGTTGAACTCCTTTGTGGAGAATTGTTGCGCAAAGGATCTGTGGTTGCTGCCTGCTTGTGAGTCCTTTTTCTCCATTGACTGAAGAACTTTGTTAAACATGGTCGAATATATGTAGATGAATCGTATTAATTTTAGACCGTAGATTCTTGCGCAGCGTTCTTGCATCTCGAATACTCTTCAATCTTCAAGTGAACAAGGAGCGGCCAGTCTTCGCTACCTACCAATCGACGTTTTCGATGGAAATGCTATCGCGTCCACATGAGTTTCAAGCGCGGTGTGGAGACGGTGAGATTGTCCACCCATATCAAGCTTAGACCCACCATTTCAGTCACATTCTCTGCATCCAAGTGTGTCCACTACCGCGTTCTCAGTGGTTTGAAGTAGCCAGTGGATAATTCATTGGTTAGCGCGTGCCCCTGAGCGATCATCCTAATTTGGTATATGATAATTGAATGTACAAACAATAAACAATAATTCTCATAGTCATTGTTCTCGTGTAACTAGAAGATCAATGCCAATTGCCATGAATTCTTGTTCGCCCAGTGAATTTGACCACTACCGCCATGTCTTCAAAGTTCCGTGAACACTTGTCTATTAATCCACCTCATCCTCACTCTGACATTGAAAAGTCAAAGTTCTCTCCAGCTTCTACTAAAGACGGCATGTCTCCCTTCTGCGATCGCTTCACCAAAATGTTCTTCGACTTTCGCATTCCTGAATCTAGGCCTGATCCTGAAGCCCAGCTTTCCCAATGGCCTCCTCTTCACGTTCACAAGCGTCAATGCAACTGTCAGATAGACAAGAAGAAGAAACGCAGACGCAGGTCGTGCTGCTTAATTCTTCTCATCATCATACTCTTGTTTTTGATCGGAGATACCATCTTCCTCAACATACGCGTCCTTAATATGACCATGACCATCAACAACTCCCCATTAATGACAAATACCACAACTCCCAACTTTCTCTCCGCCAATGCCCAACAGTGCTTGTCCCAGTACACCCTAGACGCACCTTCCAGCCCATCATCCTACCCATGCTCCACTTGCTTGTCCACCCTCCAGACGGTCCCATCCACCTATCTATCTTCAAATACCCAGAACGCACAGCAGATCCTCAACGCTATCCAGTTCTGTGGTCTGCGCGGCATATTCGACACCGCCAACTCCCAAGGTCAAGCATCACTCGGAAATGGTAGTTGGGTCAACAACGTCAAATTCTGTGCTTGGAACGGTGTCACTTGCGATAGCTCTGGTAGAGTTTCAAATCTGTGAGTCCCCTTCACACATCCCAAGCACCAGTATTGACCTATTTACAGCCAGTTGACGTTCCCTGGAGTACCAGCAACTTTACCCAACGAACTTGGAGCACTCACCGGACTCCAGACGTTGCAAGTCATCGGAGGTAACAGCATACCAGGTACGTCATCACGTCCTACCCATTTACATGATCTGACCGTTTTCTAGCTGGATCGCTGCCTTCCTCCTTCACCAACCTCACCTCCCTCTCCAACCTCCATATCGAGGCAACAGCCATCACAGCACTCCCAGACAACTTATTCTCCTCCCTCAAAGCTGTAACCACCTTCACCCTCGTTCGCAACCCCATGATGGGCACCTCTCTCCCATCCACCTTGACGAAACTCCCACTACAGAATCTGTAAGTCCCCTCTCTTAGCATTCCTTACCTTTTCTAACCCTCTCCCCAGCGTCGTCAACTCCCAGAACATCACCAACCCCCTCTCATCACTCTCTTCCAGCTCAACACTCCAAGCGTCTCTCCAACTCCTCGATTTATCAAGCACCTCCCTCACCGGCATCATCCCAAACACCATCTCATCTTTCTCAGCACTCACTCAACTCCTGCTCTCCAATAACAACCTCCAACCGCCCCTCCCAAACACTTTCCCACCCTCGCTACAGATCCTCTCCCTCCAGAACAATACCGCGCTCACTGGGACCGTCCCTAGCTCGCTCTGCTCCAGTACGCAGCTCAAGAACTGCTCGTTGCAGAACACGGGACTGAACGCGACTGGTGGATGTGGATCTTGTCAGTTCTTGTGATCGTTTTATTTTTTTATGGGGGGGTTTTATGCTTTCGTTCTTGTTTTTATGACGTTGTAGCATTACTACTTTCTGGACATACCTATTACTCACCACTCGTTTTATTGCTTGTTGGTTCTTATGAACAGTTATTTCGTTTACGTATACGCACGAGACTTTTGTGTAGCACTATCGTACATTTTTTCGATTGTTAATCGTGTAGCTCTAACTATTACTGCAAATGCCATTTGATATGCTCGTGGGGCACACAACCAAATAAAAGCAACCTGAACCAGCCGCACGTTCAAGCTTCAATGTTCAAAGCTTCAATGTTCAGATCTGTGAACCTTCAAGTTGAACGTGCGGCTGGTCCTCTCCACGCGCTCTCCCGCATCGCGCCAGACGCAGACGCAGCATGAACGTGGCAAGGACTTTTCTGGTGAGGATTGATGTCAATTGTTGTCGTGCGGTCGTGTTGTGAATCACTGATCGTCAGCTACAGAGTCCAAACGTATTGATATCTCCCCTCCACCATCGCGCCGACAGAACAAATAGAGACGGTCTCGACACGACACGACACTACGCTGCGGAAAATGTCTCCCCCACCAACGGACGTCGACATGTAGAAGAGTCAACAGCCACGTCTGCAGACTGCATCCCATACCTGAGAACCGGTGACGCTGCCCGTCCTGTGTGTTAAGGACTGACATGGGTCGCCAGTTTTCAAGCAGAAGGCTTGAACTTCCGAAAGTAGTTTTTGTTTTTGGGTCCAGGAGAGAGAAAAACTACTTTCGAAAGACATCAAGATTCAATCATGCCTTAAAACTTGAAATTATTAATATCAAATCTATCATTCTCTTCATCGCGGGTCCACGCGCTTGCACGGCCGCACACATCATGATATTAGCGTGATGACTTTTTCTGGTGAGTTGTGGTTGTGGTTGTGGTTGTGATCGTGAGTTAGATTTCTGATCGTCAGCTATGGAGTCCAGTATTAATATCTCCTGCGTGTTATGTAGTCCCCTCCACGATGCATTCCTCCCAGACAGGCTGCGCGCAGGCCAGCACTCCCAAACTTAATATCCGCATCAGCATTCCATGCTTGAGAACGGGTTGTCCTGGCGATTCTCGTCATGGATCATGAGTTAGCAGGACGACCAGTTCGCAGGCAGAAGCTGAGAACTTTCGAATGTGGTTTTTTCTCTTTCAGAAAGACATTATCGAAGATGCCTAGGCCTTATTCTATGCCCTGTCTTCGTCATCTCCGTGTTTCACGCACGGCACCTTGCTCTGGTGAGGAGTATTAGTTATGGTCGTCTAGTCAAGATGGCATGGAAGTGACGCTCGATGCGCTCAAGAAGCACATCCCCCGCCCTCCCTCCGTATCCTCTCCACTGCCCACATCCTCCACTGCCAACGCACCCGGTCTTAACACGAATGCTAGCGCCCAAAGTCTCCCTCCCATTGAGGACGCCCATCGACCGCTGCAAGAAATTGGCGATACGTTCATGTATGTTGCCTATTACGGTGTCGGTTCAACAGCTGTTATTTTGACTTTTATGCCCTCAGTCTTCCGCAACGCCTCATCATCCCAACACTGGTGGCACAACACCACTCCAGCAAAACCCAAGGCCAAGTTCCATCTCTCATCACAGCCTGAGTCTTGTAGAAGATGCTGGAATACTGGACAATGCATGGGTAAGTCTTTCTTGCGTGTTTCCGCCCTTTCCGATGATTGTAACGATGATGTTGAAGGCGGAAGATACACGAGGTCTACTGCAGCTTGAGGATGGTCGTCCACCGCTGCAAGGGCAAGGGCACCTAATTGATGATACCCAAGACAGTGTTCATGTGTGTCGCCATCACATCAATTCACTTGCTCTTATTCTGACCTCTATGCCCTTAGTTCTTCTCCGAAGAGTTTCATCATCCCAACACTGACGAGACGCACCTCCAGCCACGCTCAAGGCCAACTTCCATTTCTCATCACGGCATCAGTCTCGTAGGAGTTGTTGGGGTTCAGGACAAAGGGGTTAATCTTTCTTGCGTATCTTTCCAATCGCTTGGGTCCGATAGTCTCTGCGCAGGCATTACATGTTACTCGGCGGCCTAAACGAGGACGGTGGAAGGCTGTCCGGGTAGCCGCCACTACGCCATCTGCTACTCCCACGGCGGGTACGCAGTCACGTCCTGCTCTAATCATTGACGACCCCACACGGTGGACTCGTTTATGGTTGTTTCTCGGCGGTGTGTCCGTTCGATCCACCAATTCGTAGAGAAATAGCGCATGGAGTGGAGAACTATTTCCGTTTTTCTATCTTTCTTTTGCTTTGTTAGCTCGTTATGGAACCAGTCAGTGGTGTATGTGTGAGGTGAGTTTGGAGTACCTGTGACTGCGTAGTCGTGTGGATCTTGGGGGCTGTTTTGTCGTTGGTGCTGACAGTCATTATGCAATCACCTGATGGTTGTTAGTACGAACCTATCTATGGTGGTCTTTAGAAGGAGATGAAGATGAAGTGGAGAGAGACTTACGCGGCAGAAATCACCATTGACGAGGACTTTGAGCTCATATTCCCGTTGGTGAGTCCTCAAGGCCCCTCGATATTCAACAATTATTCGTTTGGGTGCGTACAGCTAGAAACGCGTCGTTGTAAGGTAAGTTTCTTAGTCGGTCGTGCAGACCGGGTATTACAGCGTATTACAGGCACGTACCACAATCAAGGTACGGCTGTCTTCCTTCTATTATGGTCTGACTACGGGAGACTAGGCGCATGCAATATCATCAATCAGTGTAAATTGCCCCAACACCTATGCGTTGGCAATCCTTGGCAATCGCGTGAACAAACGGGAGCAAATATTATCCCATAATGCTCGTCTCTATCATAAAAGTGTGGATTGTGGCCTGGGTATATCAAGACCGTACCCCATCTCCACACAACCACCAAGTTCACAGCTCCCTCACATCCATCCTCGAATAGTATGACCGTAGTCTCAAATGATCCCAGCTGGTGGCCGTACATCCAGTCATATGATGTTTCCAGCTATTTTGCAGGTTCGTGGAGAGCCAGTCGGATGATGACACTAGCGTGTTGATCTAACCCTGCCTGCGGTTTCACAGTTGCTGCCTTCGCTGGGGTAGTGTACGATTGGGGTGAGTAAGATAGTATTCCAGAACTGCTGATATCCTGATGACATTTCCAGTGCTGACATTCGGACAAGAGGTAGGTTGATGTCATTGCCGGACCAGTCATTTCGCTAAGAATGATTTTATAGGTCGAACTGATCTGGGTGAGCCTGCTTGAAGGACAACTTTACAATATAATTAATTCGCGCCAGAGGCAACGCTGGTCCATGATGACTGTTCTCTATCTCAGTGTATGTAACTTGCATGACAAGCGTGGCTAGCTGACTTGACAATATCCTAGGTGCGCTATCTTGGAATAGTATATATTGTGTATGTTTGGAAGGCTAAGCAGTTGGCGTTTGCGCTAATCAACCATCTCTCACAATCAGCATTCAGATTCCGAGTATGTCTCCTAACATTCACCACGTTTTTTGCTTCTGACTGGCGACATACAGTCGGTCTTCCAACAATCCCGGTAACAGATGCAGTGAGTATTATGTAGTTATATCTGCCATTACCGTCCAATCAACAGCATTCCCATGTAGGGGTAAGTGAACTTCTTAATCAGCTTGTTGGTGCCATATAATGACTGCCGCAGCTGTAAGTTCGAGTCGAGTGCGTGATCCTCCGAGGCTGATTGCTAACTGGTTTTGTCAGGCTATGCAATATATGGAGCCTTAAATTGGCTGAGCGCAATCGTAAATGCACTACTGGGCGGTGAGCTATGCAGCTGCGATACCTCAGTGATGTCGACTTGACTGAAACATCACGCAAGTCATCATGATCACTCGGTTGCATGCCATGTCTCAGAAATCCGGCAAGGTTTTAACACTTCTCGTTTTCGTCTTCGTGGCTGCCAACACCTTCGACGGAGTGACCGCCGTATTATTCGTGAGGAAGACTTCAGGGGGTAAGCTTAATTATGGGTGAAAGACATGCGTCAGGCTGATTGACGAATACCAGAGGCGCTCATTCTCTCCGGCAACTATGTGTGCAATATTAGCTACGAGGGAAATGCCCTACTTCTGGATTCCCTGACTTGGATACTCGCCACTGTATGGGAGGTCCTCGCACTGTGTCTCTCAGTCTGGATTGCTGTGAAACACTTCCGTGAACTGCGACGACACTCAGCAGGAGGGATTATCGGGGACTGTTTCAAGGTATTAGTTAAATCTCACGTGGCTTACTTTGCGGTGTAAGCTCTCAATGTTGATGTGGTTATCCTTTTCCGTTGAACTTCTCCGCTCTCTAGCTTTCTTGCGAACTCTTGCTTCGAGCTTGGTTATTTGCTTACACCGATCGAAGCGGTATGCCAGTCTCTCGCTGACCATCACATGCGACCATGGCTCATCATTTATATAGAACCAATATTCCCTGGAAACTCAGATTTATCTTGGGATACTTCAATTTTTTACGCTTTTCCAGATGTTTGTGCTGGGACCACGCCTCATCCTTAGCGTTCGAGAATATCACGCTGAGCTCGTGGCTGGCTCTGATACAGGATCCGTCATAACTTCAATTGCTTTCCGGGGCCGCGTACACGTGTCGACTAGTCGCAGTGTGTAGCACGACAAACGGTTGGTGTAATTAACATCCGTCGTGTACCCTGCAGGGAGTGGGAGTATTTGCATTTTGAGGATGGAATTGGGACCATAAAAGAGGCTATATACCATGATTCTATGCAGGGAATTTTCGTTCACCTATACAGTAGTATACCCCATTCAACGATTTAAGAACAGCGCCTTGTGATGCCTGGCTCAAGAGCGATGTCCACTATTTGGTCTGTCGAGGAGGGATGTTGTGATGCTGCTTCAAGTAGTTCGAGCTCGTCGTGGACCCAGTTTCGAGACTTCGAGACTCGGTATTTGTCTTGAGCACACAAGTGTCCAGCGTTTAGAGGCGGTATATACTATGCAAGTCAACGAACATTCAAATATGGTAGATGTATGGTATAAAACTCGAGGAGAAGCAGTAGCGTATCCTCTAATAAAATCTCCATCCTCCGCGATCAGTCCTTCTTAAGCATCGTGATCATGGTTTGTGGTCCAAGGGACAGTCAAAAAATACTCGTTAGCGCGCTTCGATAATAGATCAGTGTCGAGGGTAGGAGGAAAGTGAGGCTAAATATTTTTTGTATCAAGGACATGTACGTACATACAGGTACTTTCATGTCGGCTAAATAATACACCAAATTTCCTGTGATTTATGCAAAAAAAATACGCGCAAGTCAAATAAGATGGATGTCTTTTATCAATGCCGCAGAATCCACGCGGGTGGTTTTCTGATACATCCAAGAGTCTGGTCGAGGGAGCAGGAAGGTTTGTACAAGAGTAAGCATACTATTGATCAACTCCATAACGAATTGCATATCGTGAGATCAACCACTGTACCAACGCGAAAGCGGAAACACGACTCACTATTGCAACATGTTCAGTCTTCCAAGCTCATCGGGAGATGGTTAATGGCAGTAGTACACGACTCTTGAGTCGTCATTCTATTAGTACATAGCGCAAAGGGTGAGTCATGGGGATGAATCCTGGATGCGAAGCGAATGACCCATACTCATACCTCCATAACAAGTAAGACCTGAGCAGCATGGATCACTGCTGTCGCTGCTGGGCCCGCAAAGGTAGTTTTTAGCCAGGCATGTGGCACTAACAGACATGGATGTTGTCAAAGTAGCAACAACAGCGATGATGAATGAGAAACGTATGGTTTGTGCTATGAAATATGGGATGCGTCAAGGGGGATAATAGCTCTGATACTGGCAGTAGGAAAACGGCTTGCTTTTATGTCCTAGAACATTTGTTTTTTTTCACGCGAAGTACTCGGTAGTTCTATCAGGGTGGTTGAACCTGACGGATTGAAGGGTAGTACAGGCAGAACCACGGGTCGGGTAATACTATACCGATCTAGAGTATGTGGACTGCAAACGTATGAACCTTGAATACAAGTTAACTATGTAGTGATGGAGATGCACCTTGTAGGCGATGCCGGGAATGCCGTCCACATGTTAATCACGGTTGAAGGTGCATAGGTGCAGAAGGCAAAGGTGGAATATGAGACCTAGCGCCTTCGTGGCATACTGGTGCAGGAAAGTCCGGGCGACGGAGAGAGGTCACTGAACGTGTCCGGAAACGTAGTAACTCCGTGGAACCAATGTTATGGAACTCCGTCTACCTATACAATGTACGTCTGAAGTCTTTGTGTACGTTGAGTGGTGCCTAGTCAAGCGTGGAGTGAGTCCAAGGGAACAACGACAAACCCGTTAGATAGAAAGGAACCAAAGCCCTACGGTGCGCATCACCTAGTCACCGCTACTTTGGACAGTGGCCAAATTGGTTGACGAAAAACTCCGCGACACCATGTTTAAACTTTCATTACATAAGCTCAGAGCTTAATGTTAATAAAATAAATATATCGTTTTGCTCTAGTGCAGTTTCTGTAGTAACGACGAATGCCTCGCGCATTGCGACAAAACGCTGCCTGCAAAGTGCCAGTGCTCGTGCTGCCAAAGCTCGCAAGAAATCAACAGCGCTCCTTGAGGATGATATGCACCTCCACCACTACATTGACTCAGGGCACACTGCTGGACAAGGACGAGTGAAGAGGTTTCTTCGAGAGAACTGTGATTACACTTTCATGACGCTGAAAGAAAACATGCCGAAAGCTTTGGACTCCGGTGGGATTAACATTATTTGAAAATGGGAACATCGAATGAAGCGGTGGATGGAGGCTTATGAATCGGGGCTTGGAGCGAAGGATGCTCAATACCGAGTCAAGGCATTCAGCTCGAGGATATACAAATCCCACAGACGCATTTTGGCCATAGTAGATCGACTTAAAAGCCTATAAGTTGAGCCTATTTGCGATTCGTCGACAAATTACCTCTTCCTGCTCCAGCACGCAGCTTAAGATCTGCTGCCGAGCTCATTGTAGAGATTGAACGCGACTGATGGATGTGGATCATGCCAGATTCTGCCCTGCAGCACGCATGGCCAAATAAAAGCAAACTTCTTCACCTGCCCACAACACCGTGTCACACGTTCAGCTTCTACTCAATCTCCTCCACCCGCCCTTCCCTGAAGGCCCGACGGACGGAACAAGCAGAGACGGTCTCGACACCACACTGTAGGAAACGTCTCCCCCACCGAACGGACGTCCACCTCTTGGTGTTTGTGAAGGAGGACTCCAAGCAGAAGACCGCCACCGCTCAAGCCGGCATGCTCAACGCTAATATTTGCCTCTGCATCCCATGCTTGAGAATTGGTTGTCCTGCAAAACTCTCGAACCAGAGCGAGAGTTAGCAGGACAAACAGTTCTCAGGCAGAAGCTGAAAACTTTCGAAAGTGAATTTTCTTCTCTTTCTGAAAGACGTCAACCATGCCTTGAATTATTTCATCCATCATCCTCGTCACGTTATGCATGGTGGCCTCAGGGTTCGCGGGAAAAGGCACGCTGACATGATGACTTGTTCTGGTGAGCAGTTAGTTGTGGTCGTGTAATCATGAGTTACTGATTGTCGGCTATAGACTCAGAGTACAGACGTAGCGATTTATCCTGTGTGCCATGTAGTCCCCTCCACGATGCCCTCCTCTATCATCACACCATACCTGACGGGCAAAGCAGGCGGAGACGGTCTGAACACTACACCGCAGAAAGCGTCTTCACCGCTCACCAGACGTCCCACCTCCCTGTGCGTGTAAAGGAGGACCTGACTTGGAGAAGAACGTCATCGCTTAGGCCAGCACTCTCGTGAATCGCGAGAGTTAGCAGGACAACTAGTCTTCAGGCAGAAACTCAAAACTTTTGAAAGTGATTTCCCCTCTCTTTCCGAAAGACATTATCAATGTCTGCATCATCCTCGTCATCTCACGCACGGCGGCCTTAGAGTTCATGGCTTACGCGCACATTGGCCCGATAACTTGCCCTGGTGTGGCGTTAGTTATGGTCTTGTGATCATGAATTACTGATCGTCCGCTACAGACGTATGGATTATGACATCTCATGCATTCCAGTCCCCTGCACGATTCATTCGTCCCATCACGCTAGACAAACAGACGAAGACATTTTGGACGCTACAATGCAGAAAGCGTCTCCCGCACCGAACAGACGTCTCCCTCCCTGTGCCAGTGCATGTGAAGGAGGAACTGTCATCGCTGAGGCCTCAGGCTGGCACTCATTATAATAATATTCGCGTCGGTCTCCCATGCCTGATAACTGGTCCTTAGAACTGGAAGAACAACCAGTTCTCAGGCATTTTATCGACAGTTATTTTTCTTCTCCTTTTGAAAGACATGTCAGTCCCCTCCACAATGCACTCCTCCCATCACGCCAGACAGACTGGCGCAGATGGTCTGGACACTAGACTGCGGAAACCGTCTACCCACCAATGGATGTCTACCTCCCTGTGGTTGTGAAAGAGGGCCTGCATTCCTATTTATCGTCTTTCGCCACCTTACTGATGCGCCTGACCAAATAAAATCAACCTACTTCACCAGACAGCTTCCAATTAACTTCCTTCACACGCCTTTCTGTATTGCGCGGCGCGCTCCGCCGGGAGCGAGACGTACAGACGCAGCATGAGCGTCACGAGGACTTGTTCTGGTGAGGAATGTCGACTGTTGTGGTCGTATGATCATGAATCACTGATCTTCAACTAAAGGTGTATCGATATATCCTGCATGTCAGTCCCCTCCATCATTTCTTCCTCCATCATCGCATCATTCCTGACACACAGAACAAGCAGAGGCGATCTTAACTCAGGCCGGGACTCATTGATATTCGCGTCGGCATCCCATGCCTGAGAAGCGGTTCTCCAGCCTGCGCGCCATCGCTACCAGTCCTCAGGCAGAAGCTGGAAACTTTCGAAAGTGAATTTTCCTCTCCTTCTGAAAGAGTCGGCCCTGCCTTATAATCATTGCATGATCTTTCATCCCCTAGGATAACACACACGATGGTGTTCCCCTGTGGCAGACGGTCTCGAAATTCTCTCCCCCACCGAACGGGACGTCCACGTCCCTGTGTTTGTGAAAGAGGGGCAGAAGAGTGTGACCGTGCAAGCCGCCACTCATTAATTTCTGTTTCAGTATCTCACGGGATAACCAATTTTGACAGAAGCCGAAGGTGAGATTTACCTCCCCTTGTGAAAGACATCACCGACGTCTTATGCCATACACCATCCTCGTCAGGTACTTACTACGCCCACACAGGCCACCACTGAATGGGGTCAGTGGATAATCTCAGGCGTGTCCGAGGCCCTAAGTAAGTATGTTGAATGCTTCCATTTCATATATTATAATCCGGATTGTTACTCCGCCGACGATATACATACTACCCAATGCGGGTCTGCCAGGTTCTGCCAACAATTCCGTCCGTGCTTACGCAACACTATTCTGCGTCAAGCCAATCATCAACTCTCCCTACTCCACTGCCACGCACGCATGATAATCACTAAGCGAACCTTCTTTGTCAAAGGTTCCTGTGGGACGCCCGTTAATATTTAATCGATGACCTTGAGACGACCATGGTTCCCCTGCAGCGAATTCCGCCTCGTTCTTCTCACGTAGCGTCACCGAGAAGAGAATTATCGACTCTTCCTGCTGTGTTTGTGTTTTTAAACGATGTCTACTATCAGCGATGCGAAATCGGCTGATCCCATTGACATGATCGATGAGTCTTCTAGCATACCCTCAAGCCGTGCCCGTCGTGATCTCGAGAGGAGATTGGTGAGGAAGCTCGATTTGCGTATGTCCGTGATCGTTCTTTTGAATGCCCTGAACTTTGTGAGTTTCACCTCTTTGGCGAACTCTATCGGTATTTTTTTTTGCATCAGAATGAGTCCGTTGGGGTCATAGACCCTATGTTGGACATTTTTCGTCATATTTTTTCTTTCGTTCGAACCTGGTACTTACTGCGTGCTGTTGGTTAGGTCGACAGATCGAATGCTAGGTATGTTACGCGTCGTCATACTCCCTCATAGTATGTAATCTTATGATGTCTACAGTAGTGCTAGGTTGGCAGGTTTAGAGCAAGACCTGCACTTGCAAGGACAACAATACGCTACGATCTTGTCCATCGTATATGTGGGATACATTCTCATGCAACTGCCAGCGTGAGTTACATTCATCATCTAGGGGTGAGGTCAACGTGAATTCTCTTTCTTTCAGGAACATGTTTCTGCACTGGCTAGAAAGACCTGCTATTCTGATTCCTTCTACTATGGTGATTTGGGGCGTAATATCAACATTAACAGGTTCGTCGACGCTGGTCATTCATAAAAACGAACGCTAATTGCGCCCAGGGATCACAAAGAAGTACGCATTTCTATTTCGCATCATTCTAGTCTGTAATTATTCGACCCAAGTTATACGGGGATTTTTCTCGCCCGTTTCTTTCTTGGTTTTGCTGAAGGACCCTTTGTCCCTGGCGTTCTGTTTCTTATATCTGGATGGTACAAGCGAGACGAGCTCGCCGTGAGAACGACTCTCGTTTCTTGTGGAAGTGTGCTCAGCGCTGGGTTCGGAGCCGTTTTTGCGTCTGGTATACTTTCAGGCATGCAGGGAACACTTGGTCAAGCTGCGTGGAGGTGAGAAACAAACGTTTCTGTTACTCTTTGAAGCTGAAATATATATCTGTAGATGGTTGTTTTACATCGAGGGCAGCGCTACCGTCTTAGTCGCGATTTGTGCGATGTTCTTACTACCTGATTTCCCTCACAACACCAAATGGCTCACCCCGGAGGAAAGAACGCTAGCTATATCTCGTCTCGCAGAAGATGGCTATGGAAGGCCTGGCGATCTTACGAAACGGACAACCATGCAAGGACTGTGGGATGCTGTGTCCGACTGGAAGGTGTGGTGGCTTTCACTCGCATTGTTCATTCAGTTTGTATCGTTGTCATTCGTCATTTATTTCCCGACGATCGTTGCGACTCTGGGATATGATACGAGTGTAACATTGCTGCTCGTCGCTCCTCCGTGGGTGCTCTCCACGATAACCTCATTTGCTCTTTCAAGGTCAGTGATCTGTTTCTATTGAAAATCGCGTCTCATGGACGATCAGGTACTCTGATAAGAAGCGAAAGCGTTACATATACGTTGTGGCGTCGAGTTCAACAGCTGCCCTTGGATTCATCATATCTCTCTGTACGATGAACACGACTGCGCGCTATATTTCGATGTGAGCAGTATCATCGTTCATGAAGCAGTGGCTCTTGTACTCAGAGACGTACAGGTTCCTGATGGCTCAAATCAGTGCCGGACAAATGGTGCTATGGGGGTGGATGGCCAACACCTTTGCCAGAGAACCTGCGAAGCGAGCTGCTGCTATCGCTATGATTAATGGACTGGCGCAGGCAGGGAACATCGTCGGGTCGTTAGTGACATCGATCTCTCGCTCGCTGATCGTCCACAAATTCACGCGTCTCTAATAGGTTCGTATGGCCGATCAACTGGGGCCCTTCATATCGGTATTCCTACGCCATCTGCTTCGCAGCGCTTGGAGTGTCAACAGCCATGTTTGGTGTAATGTATTTGCATTTGAAGCGTTTGAATGAGCGGATGGAGAGGGACGAGCAGGATACGAAGGAGCTTCAGGGCCCCGTTGGTTTTAGATATCTGGTGTAGTCTACATGGGATTGATGCGACGCATGTGGAAGAATACTTTGATCAGCTATTCCGCGACCAAATACTTACCCAATCCCACTGAGGAGATAAGTCCTCGAATCCCAGAGCAGCCGAATTATAATATTGTGCCGTACCACTTCCACTTCACTGTGGCGACTCTTTCGGAAAGTTTCCTTGCCCGACTTAAGGGATGCTCAATTCTAAAATGTCATTGTCGCTGTGCACTTGACCTTACGGTCATCCTAAGTAGTATGAGCGCAAGAGACAGTGAGTATACTTCTGCATGAAACAGTGACCGCACACGGCTCTACATATACTGGTATGCGGGCACAAGAAAGGAGTCTCAGAAAGCCAGGACATTGCAGAAAGTTATGAAAGACGCCACACACAACATTCTATCATAACCTACCACCTGAAATCATCCTCCCTCGCCAGGCGCACAGTCAGCGGCACCTGCGGCGTCACGCCATCCCCAGCGGGGGGCTTGACAACAGGGACATGGAACACCCAGAGCTTCCACTGTATCTCCTTGTCTGTCGGGAGCGCGAAGTGCAGACGCACAATGAGTGTCGCGACGACTTTTTCTGGTGGAAAATAGTGTTAGTTATGATTGTCAACTACACATGGGTGGTATGGACGTACTAATTTCAATTTCGGCGAATTTGAACCCGCTAAGAATTGTGGTGGTTAGTCAGAAGGACGGCATGGGAGGTAAAGGACTGACACGCAGGAGCGGTTGCCGCTGAGGAACTGTCATCCTGTGCACTGAGTTAGCACGCATACCATATACTGAATGAATTCGGGGGGAAGGAAAGCGCTGTCAGCTACTCACATGTTGGAGTACACAGCAGGGAACCGCACGCCGTCCTTGACGCCTAGGGTAGGTGCAGACTGTCCTTGCTCCTCTGCAAGCCACCGCTCAGGGATCCACTCATTCGCGTCGGGACCCCATATCTCTTTATGGCGGTTCGCAGCGAGGATGGAGATGATTGCATGGCTACCCTGCGGCATCGTCACGGTGGACGTTTCTACACCGGCCCGTGTGCGCACGGGGAATCGTAGAGGGAGCGATGTTGTTTCGGTTGTTCTGTACCGTGCGCGAAATTAGTAGGCATAAGTGACAGGCGAAGTAAGGACGTACTTTCGGAGCATAATTGGGAAGGAGGGGTAGAGACGGAGAGTCTCCTTGATGACGCCATCGAGGAACGGGAGGTTGTTGAGGACGTCGTAGGGCAGTCTAGCGGATGTGGTGTCGTCGTCGTCCTGATGCATCGAAGATTTCATGGCATCGCGTATTTCGCTTCTGAGCCTTGCTTGAATGTGGGGGTTCATAGGCAAGCAGGTGGATGCAGCGTACGAAGTGCGGCAGTAGGTCGTGTCGAGGCCAGCAAATACCATGGAGCTGTAACGAACTCAGTCAAATGTTTGAGAAGATTGACCAAAGATCTACTTCATTTGCCCAAACATCTCAGCATCCGTCAGCTGGTTTGCTTTGGATGACATGGAATTGGCCTTTACTGTGTGTGCTTGAGCAATGATGTTCGCGATTGTCCATGGAACTTACGCATGATATTCATCATCGACGGTGGCGAACGACTGTCTTCACATGACATATCCTCAGCTTCCACGTCCGATTTCTTCTCCGCAAACGCCTTTCAACTGGCGGTATCCATCGTCTCCACGATGTGGCGCAACTCCCGCACGTGCTTCATAAACTGCGTCGGGATCCAGGGTGCTGTGACCAAATCAAGGACTCTCCTTGCCCAGTATGGCGAGCAGTAGCGATTGACGAGCACCACGAACCGTCGTAACAAGGTGGAGTTTTGAGTACAGAGGCCTGCAGCGCGTTATGTTATAGTTTGGGAAAATGAGGGAAAAAATGAGCGGACGCACCCCATCATCCGCAGCGCTTCGACGTACGCATCATCATCTGCTGCTGAGAGGCTGTTGGAGGGATACCCAAGGATGCATTGACAAATGCCGTCGAGCGCGCAGCGGGAGAGCCATGGGAGAACAGTCGATTTCTTTTTGTGCTGTGCGATCTGTGTCAATGGATGGTTGTTTCTAGGTGCGAGAGCGCAGTACGTACAGCCGTCAGCGGGGAGTTTGGCTGCGAGGGTGGATGTCAGTCTCTCAGCGATTGGGTGCAGTGTGGGCAGGAGGCGTCGCATGTTTATCGTTGAAAAGAGGGGGTTGAGAAGTTTGCGTTGCCGGCGGTGCTGTTCTCCTGTAGATATGGAAAAACCGTCAGAATAAGAATTGTTGATGTTTACCAGGATGTGCCGCACCGACAGTGCCTACCAGGCCATCGCCAAATAAGAGTTTGTTCGACCTTGATAGCACCCAGTCAATGCAGTATGAGAAAGGTAGCAGGATACTGACATAATGAAATCCTCAGTCTCTTCAAACATGTGCTGGTCTTTGACAACCATGTGATATAATGCGCGTGGGTCGGCAAGATAGACAAGTTCCTAAAGAGAGGAGCGTTCGTAAATGAATAACCTGATGTACGTGTCGAAGGGACTTACGCCGTATGGTCCGTGGAGCCTGACGGCCCCACCATATCTATCTACAATGCCCACGCAATATTCGATCCCATCTTCAAACAGCCTGTTGACGTTGCCTGTGTGGAAGTCAGACACGGAGGCCAAATGACGAGGAGTACATGATTGAAGAACCTAGCAGCCAATGACCCCTGTCGGGTCCATCGAGATCGATTCCCTGCTGTTCCCGCAGTAGCACATGGATGGCCTTGTACAGAACGAGAGAGAAGGTTCCGACCACGCAGACTTGGAAGAGCGACATGGGAAATTGACAGGGAGGTAAGACGTGCTGTTGATATATATACGGCCAGTGTTAGCCTGGGCTTAGGAAGTACGCATGGTTGCGTGTATCACAGCACTGTTCCAATGATATTAATCTCGACTTGAAGTCGAACGACATGGCGGATGGTAGGGATATGACCACGTACGTACGGACGAACACTTTGTACACAGATTCGTGTCATATCCAAAATGCATAACACATGCAACCAACTATAGCGCCCTTCCCCTGCAGCATGGTGGTGGTGCATTCGTGATGCAATGCATAGTTATGCTGATGCATGTTGCCCTTCCCCCACTTTGATCGTCAAAAAAGGGGCACTGCATAGGAAGATGAGCGCATCAGGAAAACCATCGGTTGTTTTTGGGACTCTGTGCGAAGACCGAGATATGATTTCACCTTTATCTTTATGACCATTTAGGCGCCAATATTGCGACGACTGCTGCGGTTTGGAGTACTGGACAAATCGTAACGTTTTGCGTTTTGGATTTTGCGCCACTTTTGCTTTCAGTCAGTGAGTTTTGATTTTGACTTTGTTCACGACTGCACCGCTTGGCAGACATGGCAACTTGAGTACTTCTCCATTAATGTAAGGATTGTTCCTTGAAGCTCCGACCAAGCTCCAAAATGAAGACGATCGACGTACCTACGCGTCGACGTCGTCCATGTGATTCACTGATGCGAAGAGTAACACTCTTCGCAATCCGAATTACGTGGATACATTCCCTCTCCATTCTATCTCGTCATTTTACCTTGTGCAGATTCCCGTCCTTCACCGAGTATTTTCACCTCGCCGCATGATACCTACACTCGTTCTGCTTTAGTTTCTCGTTCGAAAATATATATATACAGCTCATGTACACTTAGATTGAGCAGCAGAATCCCAGACGCTGATTCCCCGCTCCAAGCTCGACCGAAAGCCTCACAGACACTCTCCGTCCTATACGTTTTGCTATACGTCTCGATTACCTTCGCACTCGTTTCGTTTCCGCTTCGTTTCATGACATTTCCCCTTCGAACTCAGTGACAGCCTTACACCATAGCACTATGATTTGATTCCAGTGGTGCTGGCAGGCTGAGTGGAAGCACTGTATATCCTTGCCCGAGCATGTATATGTTGGCACTATTTATTCGTATCAGACTCACTCGTGGTGAGCCATATGCCTCGAAATCAATTTCACTAAGTACTAATGCAATATGCATTGTGATGCGAAAACACACCATTGAAGTCTACATTACAACGTGAATCTGTATATCGTATCTCTCGCTTCCAAGACGCATGATTTGCATCACATTGGCATCCACCAAGTTCCTTGCATGCCTCCTATGTTCAGCTTCATCGCCAGGAAAGCATCCTCAGTGCTTGTAGCAAGATACCTTAAATGCACCTTTCTGCTCGTCCTGTTCCACTTGCTTTAGACCATCCCGTTGAACCACGTTACGCCAAAAGGCAGTGATAATGAAGCATGCTTCATTATCTCGGACAGTATTTATACTGATTATGGGAACTCAGGTAAGCCAACGGGCTTACACTCCCACGGTCAAACGGAATGTGCACGACTCGGACTAGCCTATGCTTGGAACAACGCACATGTGATGAGTCCACCCAGCCACCGGTATCTGTCTTAGGCTCGTGACCAGCCTGGCGTAGGTATACTACCACAGACAGGTCGAGTAGCCTAGTCACGTCAACATTCTTATCTCTCAAATTCGTAGTCCAGACTGGTTATCGTCAAGTCTCTATCTGTCTATATTTGCAGCTAATCGATGTTCCCTGGGGTACCAGTACGGACCCGATGAGCTCAAATGAGCTCTGACCTCTGATGGCCTTCGGTCTTTGCAAACCGGAGGTAAAAACATACCAGGTACCGTATGTCTTATGACTCTTATCATTTGCACGAGCTGATCGATTGGTTCTTCATAGCCAAAGCATTGCCTTGGTCGTTCACCAACATCACCTCCCTATATCCAATTCCATCTTGGGGTCACAGTCACCGCACCCTCCTAGACAATTTATTCTTCTCCCTAAACCCTTGAAGCTGTCACCAACCTCACCCTCGTTCGCGACGCCATGATAGGTTCCTCTCTACCCTCCACCTTGTCCAGATTGCAGAATCTGTGAGACCACTCACTTACATTCCGCACCTTCCGCTTTCCTAGCATCTTCTTCCTGCGTCATCTTAGTAATCTCCCGATCAGCGGTTCTCTGATATATTGAACCCCTCAGTGGCGCCATCCAATGCACGTTGTTGTCTTTCTCAGCACTCACACAGCTCTCGATTTCCAATTACAACCTCCAAAAGCCGATGCCTTCCTCCTTCCGACCATCATGGGTCGGAGTCATGACTATCATTCCATGTAATATGCAAAACATCTAATTTTGATTTTCCTGAATTTTGAGACCATGTGGATGTTGGACTGTCTGATTATGGCTCAAAATTCAGGGGTCTTCCTGCTAGTAATCTGCAAAGTCAAGTTTCAGCAAGAGGAGATTTAATATGTCCTATGCAGTACAAGACGTTGATCCTTCCTCTGTATCATCTCGATTCAAGAGGATAACTTCGACCGAATGTATGTTCCGACCTCCCTGCAATGTATTTGTTATGCTCCAGGTGTAACTTTACTACTATGAATGCTCATCTAAATCTATGTTCTAACGTCCTTCGTGCCGCCGTTAAACGTCAGTATTTTGCAAGTCCTGCGGGTCAAAAACACCCAGTTCTAGACAGATATCTGAAAGGGGAGGGGGTAGGCCTCCTTCTACTTATTATTCAAAACATGTTAAACATCCCTTTGAAACTCCACGACGATGTTGGTACTGACGCTGAGTTACTGAATTTCTAACAGCTCACAACAAACTCGAAACTTGACATCAGAATCTAGATGCAATCGGTCTGCGGTTTAGATAGTGTTTCTCAATCGTGACGAAGTGCGAGGCGACACTCCGACTTTTAAAGTTTGAAAGTCTAATTACTACGGAAAGTCATACAATTAATATCCCTGTAGGAAGATCACATTCAAAATTACCATTCTACTTGTACAGTGCATCGTTTCTAGGTAGTCTGGATATGCCTGAGTAAGTTCAGTGTAATATAATGTTCGAGCTCTCTGGAGATTTTGCATATTATCTGGAATGATAGTACAGAGCACGGCGAGTGGCAGATGCAGATCGTGCCAGTTCTTTGCGTGATTAAGGGATGACTATCGTCATTCTACTGGGTCTGGCTAGGGAGACTATTGCGTGTTTGTGAAATTCTTTGCATCGACGTGATCGTGTCGTCTGTTCTTTTGTTTCATTGTCTCGCGTCATGCTATCGTCATTTAAGACCTGAGAACTCTTACAGTGAATCGTACAGCTCTACTATGTAGTTGCATGGAGTGGTACCAACAAACATCATCTATATCTGAATATAGTAGTATGAGCGCATCGAAAAGACAGTAAGTAGTACCACCATGTACTGCATGAAATGGTAACAAAACACAGCTCTATACACGCTAATGCGTGCGCATAAGATAGGAGGACGTTATAGAAAGTCGTGAAAGAAGCCACTGTCCACACGCAATGCTCTATCATAACCTACCACTTAAAATCTTCCTCCCTCGCCAGGCGCACGTTCAACGGGACCTGCTGCGTCACGCCATCGCCAGCGGGGGGCTTGACAACAGGGACATGGAACGCCCAGAGCTTCCACTGGATTTCTTTATCCGTCGGGAGCGCAAAGTGCAGACGTACGAGGAGAGTTGCCAGGACTTTTTCTGGTGGAAAAGTAGTGTTAATAGTCAGCTGCACGTGGAGTGGTACAGACGTACTCATTTCCATCTCGGCGAATTTGAACCCGCTAAGAATTGTGGAGATTAGTCAGATGGACATGATCATATGAGAGGGAAAGGACTAACACGCAGGAACGGTTGCCGCTGAGGAACGTCATCCTGTGCACGAGTTAGTACCATATATTGAATGAAGTGTTGGGGAAGACAACACTGTCAATACTCACATGTTGGAGTACACGGCGGGGAACCGAACACCGTCCTTGACACCTAGGGTAGGCGCAGATCGTCCTTGCTCCTCTGCAAGCCACCGCTCAGGGATCCACTCATTCGCGTCAGGACCCCATATCTCTTTATGGCGGTTCGCAGCGAGGATGGAGATGATTGCATGGCTCCCCTGCGGCATTGTAATGGTGGACGTTTCCACACCGGCCCGTGTGCGCACGGGGAAGTGTACAGGGAGGGTGGTTGCTTTGGTCGTTCTGTGCACCATGCGTGAAATTAGATATCTGCATGAAGAGTGACAGGAGAAGAAAGGACGTACTTCCTCAGCATGAATGGGAAGGAGGGGTAAAGACGGAGGGTCTCCTTCACGACACCATCGAGGAACGGGAGGTTGTCGAGAATTTCGTAGGACAGTCCAGCGAATGGGGTGGCGTCGTCCTCGTCCTGATGCTCTGAGGACTTCATGGCATCCCGAATTTCGCTCCTGAGTCTCGCTTGAATGTGGGGGTTCATGGCTAGCAAGTAGATGCAGCGGGCTAGCGCGGCGGTAGTCGTGTCGAGGCCAGCAAATACCATGACGCTGTAACGAAATCAGTCGACGTTTGGGACGCGCGGATGGTCCGAAGACCTACTTCATTTGTCCGAATAATTCAGCATCCGTTAGCTGGTCTGTGTTGGATGTCACGGAGTTGGCTTTTACTGTTTGCATGTGAGCAATGATGTTCTCGATTGTTTATGGGACTTACGCATGATATCCATCATTGACGGTGGCATACGACTGTCTTCGCATAATTCATCGTCAGCCTCCGCAGCTGCTTTCTTCACTGCAAATTCCCTTCGACTGGCACTATCCATTGTCTCCACGATGCGGCGCAACTCCCGCACGTCCCTCATAAGCTGCGTCGGGAGCCAGGGTGCTGTGACCAAATCAAGAACTTTTGTTGCCCAGTATGGCGAGCAGTAGCGATTGACGAGCACCACGAACCGTCGTAGCATCTGGAGATTTGAGATCAGGGGCCTACAGCATGTTATGTTATGGTTTCGAAAGAAAGACGACCAATGAACGGACGCACCCCAGGTTCCGCAGCGCTTCGACGTATTCATCACCCTCATCATCTCCTGCTGAGAGGCTGTTAGAGGGATACCCAAGGATGCATTGACAAATGCCATCGAGCGCGCAGCGAGAGAGCCATGGAAGAACGTCGATTTCTTTTTGTGCTGTGCCATCTATGTCAATGGATGGTTGTTTCTAGATGGGAGAGCGCAGTACGTACAGCCGTCAGCGGGGAGTTTGGCTACGAGGGTGGATGCCAGTTTTTCAGCAATTGGGTGCAGTGTGGGTAGGAGGCGTCGCATGTTTGTCGTTGAAAAGAGGGGGCTGAGGAGTTTGCGTTGCCGGCGATGCTGCTCTCCTGTGAATAAGCACATACCGTCAGAATAGGAGTCGGTTAATTTCGACGGGGTGTGCCGCACCGACAGTGCCTACCAGGCCATTGCCAAATATGAGTTTGTTTGACCTTAAAAGTACCGAGTCAACCGGAATGAGAGAAAAGGAGAAAGATACTGACATGATGAAATCGTCAGTCTCTTCAAACATCTGCTGGTCCTTGACGACCATGTGATATAGTGCGCGTGGGTCGGCAAGATAGACAAGTTCCTGGAGAGGGGAGGGTTCGCAAGGGCCAGTAACCTGATGAAGGGACTTACACCGTATGGCCCATGAAGTCTCACTGCCCCACCATATCTGTCTACAATATCGACGCAATATTCGATACCACCTTCGAATAGTTTGGTAACGTTGCCTGTGTGCAAGTCAGACGGTGCAAAATGAGGGAGATGACAAGATTAAAGAACCTAGCAACCAATGACCCTTGTCGGGCCCGTCGAGATCAAAACTATGAGATTTTCGCAGTAGTAATTGGAGGCCCTTGAAGACAGCGAGAGAGCATGTTCCGACCACGCAGACTTGGAAGAGGGACATAGAAAACTGGGGGGACAAATCGCGTCAGGGACGAGCGGTGCTGCTGTCATGATATATATATTGCCGGTTTTAGCTGCTAAACCATAGGCGTGCCATCACAGCACCGTTTGAAATATTAAACTCGGAGCAGAACGAATAGCGAATAGCAGGTTATCTTTCACGTACGATATTGCTGGCAATGCCAGGAATTACTCAATTGGGAGGGGCGCTCGGTAGCGCCCGCCTTTTTGCTCCTATCATTTTACTGTGAATAGTATACACTTATTTTCTCTAGCCCGTCAATCACGTTGCAATCGTCGAATCCAAGCAGTCGGAGAAGACTTGAAGAGGTCCGAGGACAACGTCGTAGCGCCCCCTTAAACGCGCACGTCTCGATTGCTATGACCATATGTACATCGACTTTCTACATACATCGCGGGAGCCTACTTGACTTCCGCCAAGTAGGGGTAGACGACGGACAACGTGCCTGTTGATATCATAGACATCGCGTACGTGACGTGACAACGTGTCACGGCGGCATTCGGACTTTCACACGTCAATTGCTATGAGCACCTTTTCGACGAAACATAGTACTGACGCGATTAGAGTCTTTGAAGACTTGAAACTATTATTAGGACGCCGTGCTTAGTCTCCCATTGTGCCGCGATTGTATCATACTATCTTTTGAGAAATTTCAATTCTTGCGACACAAATTGAAGCCGAAAGCTCCGGGAAACTTTGCCGCCGGGACAACGGCCTAATGACTGTATTGTCACTCGTAAAGCTGTTGCCGAAGGTTATCCGTTGATAAGCTTAAAGTACAGGCCTGAGAAATGACGACTCGGGCATGACTCGGGCATGGGTCTACACCCGAATTCTGCTTTGTCTCACTACGCCGCTCCAAGATCCATGTCTCACTACGTTATAGCTATGACCCTTATCGCCCCATGATGAACGTAGACCACAGTCCAGACTGATGTTGTCAATTGACAATCGAACCTGCTCGGCCTCGGCGTCGCTTCCGATGCTGAGGCTGCTCGCAAGTTGCTCGGTTCGCTTAACCACTGAGTTGCCATAACTAGCTTCGCTTCTGGAATAGAACGGCTTCAGTCTTTCAACTTGATAATGATTGCGGTAAACTTTTAATAAAGGCTTGGACCCCGAAAACTCTACAAATCTCGATTGTGTAATATCATTATGTCTTCGTCGTCGTCGTCGTTGTGTTCGTCATCGAAACCGATTGTATACAGCCGCGAACAGGTTGAGCGAGGTTGCACGACGCCGCCGCATCTCCATTTGTTTGCCACCTAAATCTACTCCTGTCTAGTAACCATCGTCATTGGCTGTGCCTTTTCAAAATCATTTGGCCATTCCTCAATCATACATGATTTCATTATTCCTTAATGACACATGATCTCTTCGTGTTGCGGCCAATGCTTCAAAACCGGGCGCCGGACCAACCTCTTCGATGAGTCATGACCCTAGGTGGTCAGCACCTAAACAAAGTCGATGTTGACAATGCATGCAGAGGATGAGACGGAATCCTGATACACAGGAAGCTGCAGGCCATGATTCAGAAGTCACCGCGCCCGATCGGAAGGAGGTCGGCAGTCTAGTCAGGTCCAACTGGCCCTAACCCGAAATCAGATAGGCTTGCACACAGTGCAGAATGCCCTGAGAGCAGTGTCAGGCTTTTTCCGGTCGATTTATGGGTGAATGTCATCACCGGGTGTTGGTGGTGGACGCAGTTGAGGTCCTCTGGAATATTCATGTGGCGGCGGCGTGCTAGTACGACAAACTGTGCTGAGTAGCGAACTTCGACTCTGGCCGAGCTATTCGCCGAGCGGTGGTCGAGGTCCTTCTGTATTTGGTCCGGCTATGGCCTTATGAGACCCGATCTATATATGTCGGTATCGAAAACCAGGGCACCAGCAGCTTAACTAGGTTTAGCGCAAAGACCAAGAAGTTGATCCACCCTCGCCAATGACCGGAGGCTGTTACTAATTGCCCGTGAAGGGCTTAACACGGCTCCCATGCGCAGCCCTGCACCACTTATAAGTAAACAGGCATGAAAGAACCATGAGGATTGTTTGTTATTGAGTCATGTCTGCAGAACCCCCCTCACCCATGACACCTGATGTTGACATTGACGGACCAAATGTGCTACCAGACAATGCATCCCACACACCAACGCTCCACGATGAAGAGGGTGCTTCTCAGAAACCCTATGACACCGGTGACGGCAAGTTGCATACGACAACGAGCAACGAGAAAGACATTTTAATTGTTGACTGGGACGGCCCAAATGACCCCACCAATCCTAAAAAGTGCGTCGCGTGAGCATAGCAGCGTTTTAATTGGGCTTACAGTGATTGCACAGTTGGAGCCACAGAGGAAAATGGGGTGCTAGCGTCATCGTGTCGCTCTTCACATTTATCAGTCCAGTTTCTTCCTCTATCATCGCGCCCGCCGCTTTCCAGGTGGCTGATGAATTTGGGGTGAAAAGCGACATCTTAATATCAATCATGACATCCGTCTTCGTCCTGGGATATGGTAAGGCAATTTGGTAAAATTACCCCGCTCATCAACTGAACTACAACCAGCGTTCGGGCCTTTCCTTCTGGGTCCACTGAGTGAAATATACGGGCGATCGCGCGTGTTACAATTGGCAAATGCGTGGTATCTTGGTATGTGACCTTTTCAAGCTGACATATCATTTCATCCTCATGCTTGAAATCGTAGGATGGAATCTTGCCTGTGGATTCGCAAAGTCTGAAGCTCAGTTCATTGCCTTCCGATTCCTCGCTGGCCTCGGAGGCAGCGCGCCCATGGCGGTAAGGTTTAAATGTCTTTAATAGGAAGTATTCATTCTGAACGTCTTCCTTTTCAGGTCGGTGGTGGCGTTCTCGGTGATATCTGGCGACCGGAGGAGAGAGGAAAAGCCATCGCTGTTTTTTCCTTGGCTCCGTTATTGGGACCTGTTGTAGGACCTGTCACTGGCGCCTGGTTTGTGATTTTTCCGAAATTAATGACATTATCTAATTCTTCCCAGGATTGCTGAACGTTCAACTTGGAAATGGGTGGTATGTGATCTTTCCACTAGTTGAGGATTGTTCTCATTTCTATGGTAGTTTTATGCTACTTCCATTGCGGATGCAATTGTTCAACTTTTGGGAATGTTTTTTCTTAAAGAGAGTGAGTAATTGACTGGCCACGGTTCGCTCATCCTTACTGATTTTGTTTCAGCTTATGCCCCTGTCCTATTGGAATGGAAGGCAGTCGAGCTTCGCAAAACGATGGATACCGAGAAGGGGCCGTACAGAGAAGTCCGCACCGTTTTCGATGGTGATGCCCGCAAGTAAGTCCTTGTATAATTTTGGTAGGATGTTATCTGACGACAGCGATTCCTATAGCTGGAAGACCATCATGTCCAATGCGCTCAAACGCCCTTTCCAACTCTTTTTCAATGAGCCGATCGTAGTGCTCCTCAGTATTTACATGGCGTATCTATACGGAATCCTTTACCGTAAGTCGCTTGTTCCTGGTTTTCTCTCCCGAGTATGATCTCACAGTCCTCTCAGTCTTTTTGACAACATATCCAACGATCTTCCAGGGTATTTACGGGAGAATCGGTCGGAATCGCCGGCCTTCATTACATTGCACTTGGCGTAGGGTTGATGTTGGCGTCCCAAGTCAATGCGAAGTCGATGGACAAGATTTACGTTTATTTCAAGAATAAGAATGGTGGAGTTGGAAAACCAGAATTCAGATTGCGTTCGTCGTATTTCTTCTAATGTCTCCTTGCTTGAGTGCTCATTCACTGTCATCAGCCGCTATGTTCCCGGGATCTCTCCTACTTCCAATGGGGATGTTGATAGGAGGTTGGTGTGTTGAAAAGCGTACATTATGGATAGGTCCCGATGTTGTGAGTTTGATCCTGCAAGTACCGCCCCCCCATACTGACGGCTTCTATAGGGCAGCGTGCTTGTCGGAGCAGGCATTGTTCTGAATTTCCAGTGCATTCCAAACTTACATCGTTGACTCCTTTCACGCTCTATGCCGCTTCTGGTACGTATTCATGTTTATCTGGCGCTTCCATTGCATCCTATCTCACGTCTTTCGTATTCAGCGCTCGCTGCTGCCAACTGTCTGAGGTCACTCGCAGGCTTTGGATTCCCCTTGTTTGCTCCATCGATGTACAACTGCACTCGGGTTCGGCAAGGGCGATACTGTCCTTGCAGGTCGTGGCAATCGTAATCGGCGTTCCTGCGTACTGTTCCGCTTTGTTCCTCCCATCGTCATCTTTGCTGATCATGTCCTGCAGACCCTGGATATTCTGGCGCTACGGGGAGCGGATAAGGAACAACAGTCGATACGCGTTCCGAACACTCTAAGCCTCGTGTGGAATGATGAACGAGGGACAATGTAACAACACCCTTTGCAGCTCACGTTATTCATGTTTTTGGCATTCGTTCTCATAACTGTCCTTCTCTGTCTATGCCACTTTCATTCGATATTTACACTGGCTTTCATCACGCATAACAATACAAATAGATTATTAATTAGCCAGTTCTCTATTGCCTGAAGTTGTGAATCTTCTAGTCCCTCGGCATTTCTTGACATCACCCATCCAGGATCTCGTCTTTCTCGGCACTTGAACGACTGCTGGTCTCTGAGCCCTCCCGTCCGCCTTCTCACCGTCTGAATTATATGTCTCCTGTCTTTCCCACCGTCCCTAGCTCGCTCACGTTTGCAGAGCACGGGAATTGAGCTGCGAATGGTGTTTACGGGTCTTGGCAGTTTTGTGCATGGTCTTGAAGTCAACGTGATCGCGTCGTCTATTTTTCCTAATTATTTTCTCATATTTTCTCATTTTACGCACCGTGAAGCATTCTTACACATGCCGCGTTGTTCAGGGTCAAGCTAGTAGACTAAGTCACTGTTAATCTTGGCTTAGGGCGGAAGCAATATTGCAAATCAAATCAAATCAAATGATGCCGTTTCTTACTCCACCCATATGTACAGCTATCTTCAATATATCGATAGGCCAGAATTTGAAATATTCACTTCGCCGCTTTTATTTGTTATTGGAGCGATACCAAACAGAGGTGCTCATGCTAGCTACTTTTGTAAGTCGCTTGGGGAATACTAGTACAACGACTGCCGACCGTCGCCATCATACACGGAAACCGTCGACATATATCAGAGGCACCCGAACAGCAGTGGGTTGTTATGTCCACACGCGGCGTGGCGTCGAAGGCCATAGCACAAGTGACAGGATGCAGCCATCGAACAGTCAATCGAGTGCTTCGGCTCTCGCAATTCACAGGCTCTGCTGTTCAAAGACCTCTGGAAAGCGGTCGTCCACGTCTACTTACAGCACAGGATGTTGCAGTAAGTGAAAGCATGAAGACATTTTGAACAGTACCTTCTCTCATTTGTCGAGCGCACTCCTGACATCAGAAACTAAGTGAAGCCTCATCTGATGATGAGCACAACTTGCTTTGACAACATTGTAGCGTCTTGCACGGCAAGGGCTTCGTTGCTTGACAATGAAGGTCACCGTACAGTTGGTACTAGTAGTATAGTACTACCATCACCATGTGCAGATGGTGGCAAATATGCGCGCGCGCCGGAACATTTGTACCGCCCTACTATTTCAAATTCCGGTCTATCGATATGAAGATAGCTGTAAGCAAAAGTTGATATATTATTGAGATGTACACTGATAGCGGTGCGTGAAAATAATAGATTTTATAGCTTCGAGGTTCGACTTCGAGCACGGTCGAATTGAGTTTGATAGTAAGTGGTTTTGAACTACTCACACCGCCGAGGAAGCGGCATGAAGATGAGAGTTCTATGGTTGTTGGTGCCGAATATGTTCTTGGTTTTTCGAGGTCGTTCAACGATGTTGACGTCGATCGCTACAGCCTTGGGCCCGCTTGCATAATTTCCTGCTCCTACTAAGTAAACTGTTTCGTGCTCAGGCTTGGCAAGATCTTAGTAAGAGCAGCCTAGCACTCACCATGACTCGGACATGCTCGAGAGTCTTCATATGACAAACTATCAGTATCACAGGGTCCGATGGAACCGATTGCGAGTGCCCGAACGACGTGCATAGGTTGGATAAAGGTTGGATGAAGGCGTCAGTTTTGCCAGAGTCAATAACAGTGCCTAGCATGTCAAGTTAGGCTTAGACGAGAGAAGGGAAAGGAGGAAGTTGTACTGCAGCATAGCGGATGCATCAGGGTGAAGTAAAAATGGAACGAAGATATTGATGAAGTTGTTGGCAAGGTACGAGACAGCAGCGATAGTGATAGCAGCACGTCTCAGAATCAGAATCAAAATAGTCATACAGTCGTGCACTAATGTACTCGTACAGCAAGAGAAATGCAAGTATCATGTAAAGGAGATGCGAGGAAGGTATATGGTATCCGAACACGTTGAAGATCTAGACTATTGACCGAGTAGATCAGTCCTCGGTACAGACAAAGCGAAAATCATAACAGCTGGAAAGTGTGGTGCTTGCCCACTATGATATGTCGACAAACGGAGCTACCTGCGCGGCAGACAACACGAAGATGTCTCATTCGATGGCGTGGCTGACCGTGCGCACTGTCACTAAATGTATCGTCCAGCCGGACAACAAAGATAAATCATAAATCAAGAAATACCTTTTCAACAGCGGGTACTTCTCCCGGGATGGGTGGAATGAGACACGACACAAGAACCAGCATAAAGACAGTCCATTTTCACATCCGGCAACGGATGATTGCTCCTCTCTGTGTAAGAGCGTCAATACAGCATCTTCGTGACCATGAAAATGCCCTACCAGCAAGACAATACGGGGACCCGTCCTCCTTGTGACCCCACCACATCTCCTCCGACCACTCGTCCACGAGGTTGGCGAGTGTCTGGAGGTGCCCGTATGCGACCGGCTGGGGGACGCGTGGTCGGCACAGTGTGGCGAAAGTGAAAACACAGGCAAATATCAACAGCGCTATCAATAAGTTCAAGATCTGGTGAGTGTGTGAGGACGTTGTACCGACTGTTGGACAGTAAATACTAACCTAGTTTACATACGTGATGAATATAGGGGGCTCCCCAATCCTGGCATTTGCGGAAACGTCGAAGAGAGCGACAGCCTAACCATTCAGTCTATAGCGTTGATTGTTCAAGACAACCGATCAACGAATGACCCACGTAGCACAACCTTCAGGATGAAAAGGAAAATACCGAGGGGATTAATGAAAAATGCCTGCAGCGGGTTCGTCCTGTGAAGTCCTTTCCCTGTTGTAGCACATCTCCATTGCCTTTCAATTTGAATAATGTTCACGAGCTCGGCGGAATGCAGTACAAATGTCAACAGTCCCTGGACAACCACCAGGTTGACAAACGCCAGAATCCACATCAGAACACCGACACTCTTGATAGTGTACTTGAAGGAATAGCCAACCCTCCAATCAGAGAATGACCACGATTTGGACGTAGTGAGGGTGTTCTGTTCGCACCTGACGAACGCGGCCCATACAGCACATGCTACAACGAGCACCCAAAGAGACAATACAACGTTCCGGATGCTACGGTGAGCACTCCACGCTGAGGGCTGGACCTCTGACGGCTTCACTGGACCTTCAGTTATGTTCCCGGTCGGACACACTACGCATGCAACAGAGAGAAGCTGGAGTCAATTGCGTGTGATGGACTAGAGCAGCGATAAGGTCGAAAGGTGAGGAGCTCCATGTGAATATTTTGACAGCTTGCATCCCTGCCAATGCGATCGCTACCTGCAGAGAAAGTGCGATGCCCAAAATGAGGATAGGGAACCCCATGATAATCCCAGACTCTTGCCAGGAGAGTGACACTGAGCTGTAGGATATGATGATGAGGACGGCCATGAGGCCAGTTAAGGAGTGGGCCGTTAGGGTTGCGTCATCCACGAGCTGCGGTGATGCGCAGATTAGTGCTGCAAACAAGCCGGGATTCTGAGGCTAGTGCAGAGCGCAACGAGATGCTGTGCACGAAGCCTATGGACTCCGTGCATAATGTGACGATCAAGTTCATTGTCAGGCATAGTATCTGTAACTGCAAATTCCTGTGCTCCTTCGGTGTCACTCGAACCATACCCGTAATTCCGCCAGTGGAAATAATGACAGTGCCTGCAACGATACAAAAGCAGCTGACGATACTCGAGCATACCACTCCAGCAAGGGCATATGCGCGACTCGTCAGGTCACGCTGATAGAAATCAGTTCCAGTCACAGCAGTGGACTTAGCGTTAGATATTATCGAGTCGGTGTCAGGGAGTGCGTCATCTGCAAGAAGACTGGACATACTCGCAGTCTCCCGATGTTGTTCTTTTGGTTCGGAAGAAGCTTCCATAAGAGAGGTCAAGGTGTAGAGGAGGGCCAGCGCATTATGATCACACCGGGGCGGATTAAATACGATCTAACGCACCTTTGACATCGCCTCAATAAACAGTACTTCGAAACTGAATCCCAGTGAACTCGAGTTCCCGTACTCCACGAATCTTATTGGAATGAAGCAAATTCGGGGAGCGCCGACAGTCAATGTTCAACGTTCCATATCAACGCCTGGCATGTACTAGTTCGTCGAACCTGTCGTGTTCCATGGAGGTATGGAGAATTGCTGGGGGATCTTAGGTTTGGCACCAATCCAATTGTCTGGAGTTGGGTCAAGTCGCCTTTGGTTTAACGCCTTGACATCCAGACACAATCATGGCGTGGCAGCATGGGAGATTCGTCAGGCTCAAAGTCGCCTGTACTCTATGAATTCAAGCACGAGCGAAAGCTTCGCATCATTCATCCCAAGTTGTAAATGAAAACAGGAGCATTGTTTGGTCATATTAGAATTATGGAATTGTAACTCTTGTCCAAGTCAGCTCCAAGCAACTTCGAGTAGATGCAGACTAGTCATGCTTTCCGATTCCGATACCGAGGACATTCAAACCCTCACCATCAATGAACACTATGCAAAGGCGTTTGAATACAAGAAAGAGCGCGAGGAGCTCGCAAAATGTGCGTCCAAACCACATTCCTGTCTGACGTGACAGAATTAGACTAAAACATGACTGCCAGTAAAAGAAAAATATGGGTCCGACTTTGAAGGGGATGAGGATGAGGAGACAGACTCTGAGGACGCAGAATCTGAAGATGAGGATGGGGAAGAGCTCACGCCTGCAGTGGGTGCTGCGATATTGAGGACGCTAGCAAGGATCAGGAAGAAGGATCCGGCCATATACAATGCGGAGAAAAGTATCTTCGAAGGTGCATCGAAACTGCGTCTGTATTGACCCCCCCAGTTCTGATACTTATTAGAGGAGCAGAAGCGCACCGCCGTTCGTGCCCCCCAGGTGCAAGAGCGGAAAACCAAGGATAAAGTGAGAATTCTATGTATATATGCAATCCTACACTTCATGCCTTTCGTTCATAGTCAAAACCTCTTACTATCCGGCAAGCAGCTCTCGCGTCCGCTCTCGAAGCCAACACCTCCCGTTCGCCCACTCCAGAACCTCACATACCCACACACACCGAGGAGCAGCGTCAACTGCGTGACGAAACCCGCGCTGCATTCCACACTGCCGTTGATCAGAGTGATGATGACGGATTGCTTGTCCCGCGAGAGAAGACAAAGGACGAACTTGAGCATGAAGAAGAGGAATACAGAGAATACCTCAAGCACGCTGTTGGCGAGGATCTTGAAGGTCTCGTAGTGGTCGAGAATTCGGGGATAGATGCAGGGACTGAGGACAGTGAAGAACGCGCCGGTGACAAAGAGAAGAGCAAGACGAAGAAAAAGGGTGACAAGGCGAAGGGGATGTCCAAGCAAGAGGCTGATCAGGAGTTCTTGATGAAGTCAGTCATGCCTCCTCATGAATCGAGTCACCTCTAAATCTTCTCAGCTATATCCTCAATCGCGGATGGATCGACAAATCAGCAAGAAGGTTACCCACATACAAGGAGATCGTTAAACCCACGTCAAAAAAAGGCAAAGCTAAAGACTCTGTAGCTGAATCTGACCTCGAGGCTTCAGATGACGGACGAGGGGATGCCACGGACGGAGAACAACATGTACACGAGGAGATCATGGACGATGACGATGACTTCGTGGAGATCGCCGACGCTTTCGAGACTTCATATAACTTCCGTTTCGAAGAACCGTGAGTACCATTACCCTTTCCATTTCCTTGTATTTTACGCTGTTCGCCTACCAGCGACGCAGCTACTATCAAGACCTTCCCACGAAACATCGCCTCCACAGTACGCCGAACTGACACAACTCGGAAGGAGGGCCGCGAGCGAAAGAAGCAGCGCCAGGAAGAAGAACTCGAGAAGCAGCGTGAGGAGGTGCGAAGGTTGAAAGCTCTTAAAATGAAGGAAGTCCGCCGAAAACTCGAGCGCATCGGGCGTGAAGGTGGTGTCGAGGTTGATCCCAACTGCTGAAGGTTTGCTGTTTTTGTCACCTTATTATGGCTCTCAGGCTCAAATGTTGTAGCCTTCAGGGAGTTCGATCTCGATGCGGACTGGGACCCCGAAGCGCATGACAAGCAAATGACGGGGCTCTACGGTGATGGCGACGACTCTGACCTGGATCAAGAAAAGCCCGTGTGGGATGATGATGTCAATATCGATGATATCATCCCACCTTCGCAGCCCGCCGAATCATCTTCGTCTTCAAATAAGAAGAAGAAGAAAAAGAAAAAGAAGAAAGACGAGGACAACGACGAAGGAGTGGACATTGATGCCATGGATGCAGACGTCGTGCGTACACACGATGATGAAGAGGAATGGGATGGCACTGAGGAGATGAGGAAGCGCAAACTTGATGAATACATGGATGAAGTCTACGGGCTCGAGTTTAACGACATGGTAGGCCCTTTTTTCCGCTTTCTGGAAATTCTTATTCACGCGTATTGTCGCAGGTCGCAGGAATGCCTACGCGCTTTAAATACACCACGACTACGCCGCAAACATTTGCGCTTACCCCTGCGGAAGTCCTCATGGCCACGGATCAGGAACTCAATCAATACGTGAGCGTGAAGCGCTATGCACCTTACCGCGCGGAGAAGTGGGATAATAACCGTGGAGAGCGCCTCAAAGAGTTCAGGGAGAAATTGAAGGAACGTGTAGGGGCCACTGGGACGAGTCACAGGTCAGAGGATGCGATACCAAAGAAACGGGCGGGGAAGAAGGAGCGGCAGAAAATGAAAGCTGCCGCTGGTGCTGGTGCTGCAGCGGGCGGTTATGGTGATGAGGGGAGAGTGGGGGTCGACGGAGTGGGGGAGGCTTCCATTAAAATGCAGAAGATGATATTTGAGGAGCAGGAGGATGATGTCGAAGAGCCGGCAGAAAATAAGCCACCTAAAAAGAAGAGGAGAAGAAAGCTTTAAACGGGCGTTCAGGCAGAATGACAGATATCTGCAAGAAGGATGGAAATTTGGATAGCATGACATCCCAAATTGAACGATTATCTTCATTCGTCTAAAATCTGCCTAGGACTCCTAGGAGAGAGTAGTCACCAGGGAATCCTGTGCTACTAGCTTCTGTCTATCGGTCCTCGGAGGCAATAGTAAGGGTTCATCACGTCTGCCTCAGCGTCCACTCTCTCGAGCAACTGCTACATGGCTCGTCGATATTTCAATAACCAAGTACCAGCTGTATATTCAAACATTGGACGGAAAATCGACACTCTGCTGGCCTTCCCCTTGCAAACTGTCGCCCGCAGAACGGCGGACCGATGGGGCACGTCTCACATCGGGGCATTCGCGACTACAGAGGTGCGACGGGACATGGATGTCCCTAGACTAGCACGTATTGTCCTACATAGAGTCATCTCTCAATGGACATAAATGGAATCAAAAAAAGAAAAGAAAAAACTGTCGCCCGCAACGCTTTCGGTCAAGCCCTCGTGCCAGTGACAATTCAGCCTCATCAAAAGTCCGCTGACCTCCGCTGACTCGTGCCCTCCGCTCAACATTACAACGGTACCCCTCACTTCCACGGGGTCAACACCTTCTTACAAGTCGTATAATCTGAGATACTCATCCAAGAGACTCTCGGCTGGGGACTCCCTTTCCAACAGAAAGGCTTGAGGAAGCCCCGGTGCGCATGGGGAAGGTTGGATGCTCGTGTTATCTACAACTTGTTGTTATTCTCGTCTGCGCTCCAAACATTTTAGGCTAGCCTCATGGAGTCAGGTTTCAACATAAGTGCGTAAAGATAAGCGGTCGGGCAATTCTTGAGTGCGCTTCAAAGCATGCAGGAAAGCATAGGCCTAGGAGTGATCCAACCAATGTTCTGTCCACCCTGAGATGTGCCTTTATTGCAATGGTGGTTACGTTCAGTTCTTTCGTCTTGATAACGTGCTAAGCCTCGTGATCTCAGGACCGCTATGATCTGCATGCTTTCTAACAATGTGGCACGTGCGGTTGTATATCTTGATACTGACACCATGAATAGACGGCATTTGGAGTTTATTTATTGGCCCTTGCATCCGAGACCACTGTTGATGTCCTTGGTGTGTCCATCGTCTCAAAGTTCAAATATCGCTCAGTGGCCCCATGGCAGATGTGAGTACAGAAGTTCACTCTTGTTACAGATCAACATGGAACTTCTGGTTAACACGGATTTCAAGTTTCTCACTTGATCCGTCGGGCGCTCCTTACCCCACACACGTGCGCTGCGTCCTCTGCACAGGATACCAACACCCCGGCCAAGGAGCCTAAACAGGGGTTTATTGACAATCGTTTTATTTCTAGCGTGGCGTTCTGACCTTTCTCATGCGGCAGCCGGCGCATGTTCAGCATCACGCTTGAGAAGCAGCTGATCTTTTCTATGACCCTGGGAGGAGATAATATGGACCGCAGTCATTGTCTTATCTGGTCACGGCTCCAATAGTGAGCAATATAAAATAGCCCCTTTGCCAGGCTTTTCCTCCAACAAACCTTTCTATTCCCAACTAGTAGGTTGTCTGAAGCATCCACGAACCATTATGCGACTGACACATCCTTGCAGCACAATCGCACATATCATCATCACCATGTTGTCCTACAACACTGAGCAATGCAACTGCACCTCCACGTAAGTCTTTTCTTGCACTACGTTTCAATGGCAGGGTTCTAAATGTCTGTCAAAAGCTGCAACTGTGTGGTCGGTAGCTGCACCTGCAAGAACTAAGCGTTGCGCACAAGCGCATGCATAACCATTTTCTTTCTGCCTTTGCGCATATATAAACATGTTAACCTCGATTGTTTGAATTCTAGTGTTGTATTGAAATAAGCGTTGTTTGCAACAGATCTTGATAAAGTCGAAAGTAAAGACTGAACCGGTATTGTCTGAATGGCCTGAAACCACTACTTCGAGAACGCTGATACTTAGTATCAATGATATCGTGACAAGGACAATGTTAATGAACTAATGTCATCTTCAGCAATCTGCAAAAATATTAGCAAAAATTCTGTAGCTCCTCAACCACTTTGCGTGTTCTTTGGCGAGTTTGTGGCATTGTGGATTCATATCTCCTCTACATAGATCTCATTTTTACTGATTTTTAGGACCATGTAATGTGGTGTCGGAGGAAACCCGAGAAAATTCAGGGTCTACCCTCCAATCTGCAAAATACAGTCACGGGTTGTCACACCTCAGCACAGTACCGGGGTAGTCAACTTTACTTCTACTCTCTGTAGCGATGAGGTTGTTGGGTTTGTGCGAAATACAAGCGAGGAGGGACTGAATTTCTTACACATCTTCCGCGGTCTGTCTGGTACACGCTGTCGTTCTACCACCATATGTAGGACCTCGACGCAAGTGCCAAGAAAATTAAATTGAATTTGGATTCTGGTATCCCTACTACGGAATACCCATTATACTCCGGGTAAAACTTTGCGAATAACTTTGTAGGATCTTCAAGATCTGGGTGATTTGTGTTCGAGCAAGGTTGCAAAAACACAACTATTTCATCACTCGCAGCTACAACATCCAAGAAACTTTGATTCTACTGGTACAGGACATCATTTCTCGGTACTCTGCATATGCCTGAATCTTTTCGACGCCAGTCGAGTACAATATTGAGGTGCTCTGACCATTTTGCATATTAGGTACCCTTTGCAGAATCCAGATAGTACTAAGTACTCCCGAGATTCCGATGCACCTCCGCTCGTGATCGTCATACCTTAGAGCTGCCGACCTGTCACCCAGGTTTCTTCTGCTCTAGGGCGGTATGTGCACGTACGTGTGTGTTCCCAGGTGTTCCCTCGCATTGACGCAGATTTACCTCCTACAGGACAGAACTATTGTCATGTCTAAAAGCTAAAAATTTAAATTTAAAAGGCAATCAACCGCTATGACGTCGCTAATTGTGAAGCCCCTCTTTAGCAGCATATATAGGGAAACCTATGGGCAAATCAATTGCACACATTATCAGGCATTACCCACGCGCAGCATAACGTCGCTTCAGCCATGGAAATACCTGATCTGCAGGCCACATGTCTTGTAAGA